GTCTTGACGAGCCATAGCCTCTTTGCTCGATGTCTGAAACTAGCTTTCTACCTAACTCATCCCGGGCTGAGCAGTGCACCAAAGCTACGAGTGGGGTTACGCTAAAAGCAGCTGAGACAAGGATGGACAGGGTGCGAGACTTGGCAACGAGGAATCTGGAGTCGGCGTCACGCCTATCGAGGCCAGGGCAGAAGGAGTGAAAAAAGGGTAGATAGTAAACAACAATATGTCCTGTCAAAAAGGTAAATGAAATTTGAGACCGGAGCGCCACATGCCATGTGTAATCCATGCGGTGGAGGGTGGGGGGGGAAGGATGTGAGCAAGATAATCTTTGAATTGAAGGATCGGAAAGGGGGCGCAGGACTCAGAAAGGTAAGAGTGGAAGCAAGGGGATGACCGTTTTGTTGATCTTCAATCTATGCCAAGATGGCGATCCTGGCATTCACAGGCGTCTCGGACTTTCTAGTATACGATTACGCCGTCCATCGGACAGGGGGTCACTTGAACCTCCTACCTGAGTCCACCGATTCTACGAGATGTGTGTATACATACAGGTAGGTACTGTGGTCGTGTGCTTACGTAGGATGATGGCTGAGCGCAAAGGGTAAGCGACAAGAGTCAGGTTAGGCATCGAGAGCGGAGGGCCCGATGATGGCAGACGAAGATCCACCAGTACACCACTGTAGTGTGAGCTCTTTTCTACCTTGTCATGTACAGCTGCTGCACTCTCGACGTCGGTCGGAGATCAAGACCTTGGAGGAGGTCATGCATGCGTGAAGACGGTCAGAGGAACGAACGTGGATGCCTCCTTGCAAGGAGAGGGCTGATGTAAAGCTAACCTCATCAGATAGACCTCTCCATGACGACTGGAGTACTGGAGGGTTGGCGCGAATTGGTGGAGCTCTGGAATTTACCAATCAGGCCCTGGTTGCTAGCAACCAGGGCCTGTCTATTTTGCAGTTTGCACCGTGTACCACTGTCTCCACAACACTTGTCCCTGGGTAAGTGGTACTAAGTACAGTAGGTACTGGGATAGTCGCAGAGCAGAGCGTTCGTTGTCCGAAGCCGCGCACTCGTTTCGACCTTGAGGCATCAACGTCAAAGTATGGGCTTGCCGCAGGAGCCACTAGTGGAAACGGAAGGACCTACTACTAACCTTGTTACCAGTACACTAAACATAGTCCCATAAGTATTCACCTGATATTGCGCGGGGCATCCAGATCCAGCCCCCGCCGGGACACGGTACTTAGGTAATCGGCTGCTCGGCGTGTCAGGCTGCCCGAAATGCCGACCGAGGGAAATTGTCGATCCTGGCTTCTTGAACTTTCCAAGTATGGCAGTCGCAGTGATGGACCTCTTGGTAGGTTCAGATTGATTGACACTACTGCGTGGTGCGTACTGATCGACCAAGTGTAAATGCCCCGGGGACCTGAAAATTCCCACCTCCCTGGTAGCTTCCCGTTCGTTGTCCCCCTGACCAGGACTCGACATGCTCCATCCAGACATCCACAGGACGATCCCACAAGCCAAGCACTGTCGACTTGTCCCTAGTTCGTTGAGTTGGAGCAACTATTGCATAGAGGCCAGAAAAACGATGATCAGATGAAGGATCCCGAAATTACCCCAAGGGCGATCTAGACACGATGACACAAAAGACACCAGAGGAAAAGAAGGGAAAAGCCCTGTTTTTGAAGAGAAAAAAAAAGAAAGGGTGCATCCGAATCAAGATACAAACGCGGAAGACGCATGATTTGCACGAGGCCGTTCGTCATGAGCTTCAGAGTTGTACAAGTGGGTAGACCCTAATGGGTGTCCTTAGGCTGTCCACCTCGCTAGGACCAGAGCGGAAAGGTCGAACTCTAATTTTCACGTGACTGTTTTGTCATTTTGTTTTGATGTTGTATTAATTAAGAGACTGGACCCTTTTTTGCTGCTCCTTACCGTCTACCAATTTCCCGACCGTGAACACCAAAAACTTATTAAGAAGTTCTCTACACTACAATACTATTATCTTTATAATAATATTATATACTTCCTGAATATCTTGTAGGATTATAATAAGATAACGGTTTAGAAGTAATTTTGTAGGGTCGGTGATTTATTGATGGAGGACCGAAAGATACTAGATCGCGGACTTGAAGAATTTAAAGTGTTAAGTCGGAAAGCAAAGGCAGAATCGTATTTTATTTTAGAAGTCAAACACTTTCGAAACGCCGAACGTAATAAATCCAAGAATTGACCTTACTATTTCGATCCTAGCGAGGTGGACAGTCTAAGGACACCCGACCCTAATGGGCAACCCTCGCAACTCTGCTCGGCAGAGTCTTGCCGGAGGAGAATGCAGAGCGGTAGCCTCTTTTGTTGCAAGATTCCTGGACAATCGGGAAATCGATCGTTACACAGTCGTTTATTATGCATGCCAAGCCTTTCACCCACCGACCACATGGCAAAGAGGGCTTATGCTTCATTCCCAGCTGGTCGTCCAGACTTCCAGTCAGTCAACTCCGCGCAGAACCCAACGATGATGGTATCTGTGGGCAGACACGGTCCGGGGCAGTGTCAATGTCATCTGGTCAACCTTATTCCCGATTTGAAGAACTCTATGAAGTTGAAGGGAAAGAGAGGAGCCCGAAATGCACAGGGGAAAATCAACCCCAAAAAAAAAAAACAACCAAAAAAAAGAACAAAAAAAAAAGAACAAAAAAACAAAATGCAGAGATGGAAACCAAATGAGGCACCTCGGACGAATAGAGAGGCACAGCCGAGAGGGATAAGTAGACAGAAAGGGTTGGAAGGATTTCTGAGCCACATCATATGCTGGTATCGGAGGTGCGATCGATCAAGATGATGTCGTTCCCGGTTTTCGTCAAGCTCTGGGGAAAGACTCCCGCTACTACAGATTTTGCAGGACAGGAGTGTGGTCGTAGTGCAGAACCACTCGCCTATCAGTCTACCCAGAAAAGGACGTTCTATAGGGCTTGGGGTGATCGTGGTGCGTTTGTAACGATGAAGGGGTTAAAAAATAATAATCAGAAAATGACCGTGCGATTATGCTCTGCTTCCAAACACATGAGTTTGACAATTAATACGCTAGAATACCATCCTGGTGTGACTGGTAACTACCAGACTAGGACCGCCAGCAACACACGTTTGCATGTTCACCATACAACCATATTCTCGAGTCCTCGACCGATATCCAGGATCCAGGTAATTCCCTCACATCTGATCTCCATCGCACACTGCCAACGGCACTCGGAGGGTTCAAGCCGCAATAGCCGTCTGTAGGAGCCGTCAGAGCCCAAGAGGGTCACTCTCTCCGCTCTTCAGCCTCTCAACTTCTCCGTCGCAAGTGGTCCCACGGAAGCCCAAGAAGCAGACGATGGCCGGAAGTGCAGTCCTTCCGGATATACGTCAGGGCCGTTCAGAAGTCTCCGAGGACCGATGGACTCTCCGTCCTCCGAGCTCAGCTGGTACAGTACACAGTACACAATACATAATACACAATACACGATGCAAAACAGGACTGGATACGGCGATCCGGTCACAGAGACGTGATCCGGTACGAGCCAGATGCCCACCATTTGGCATGCCCCACATCTCAATCATGGATAGCATAATCAGGAGATTGAGACCACTAAGCAAGGATGAAAAGGAACACGAGACAAGAGTCATCTACAAGACACGACTAGATCGAAGAGGCCTGTCGAGTGTCGACTGTCTGTCGATATCAGAGAGATGGGCAAGCATCAGCTATACGATTCTTGTGGACAACCTGGGGGTTCTAGGGGCTACAGAAGATTCAATCCCAAGTGACAGTCTTTTATGTCTACAGAGGTACAGAGAAAGGTTGATATACAAAGAGAGGGCTTCATAAAATGATGACCAAGTAAGGTAGTGCAATACACTCGTGAAGTTCTGTCGCACGATGTGACGATACACCCCCCCCCCCCCCGTTGAGGTGCTCGCCCTTCCAGAGCTGTGCCAGACGGGGGGCTTTAAGGCCCTCCTTTGGTTCCTGTATCGATCAACCGGTCAGACCATAACCATACTCCAATACGATACAGCCCCATACAGGACCAATACCTCTCTGGCCGCTGGCCAGAGCCTCGAACACCACGCCGCTATCCCAGCCCCAAGTCGACAGAAAAAGGAAGTCAAGGCAGTCATCTCAGATTAAAAATCAAAAATCCAGAAATCATCATACATCAAACGCAACGACGAGACAAATCTTTTGAAAATGGGAATTTAATCTATTTTTCGTCCATTTCTATTTCCTGCGTGTTCTCTCGGACTCTCACTGTCCTCTTGTGCACTTCACTCCACGATTAATACAAATCCACTAAAATACTCTAAAAGGACCCTCTCTCCCCTCCCCCCCTTCTCACTCTCTCCTACAGCAGAGACAATTCTTCCCTTCTTTGACTTTCAACATTTGAACCGGACAGTATATACAACAATTCCATCGGAGCAGCCTCCTCGACTTGAATCACGATTACTACGACCGTGACATCTCATCGTGCCCGTGGATGACCAGTGTATGACTAGCGGACGACAATCCTGCCTGCACATTACTTCATCCTGTCCTCAAACCCAACAAGAATCGACCATCGCCTGTAAAGTCAATTCTGGTTGGTTGGTCGTCTGTACAAGAGACATCGTTCTGAGATCATTGACTGGTTGACGTCGATCACTTTTGGTCGTGGTCACCTCAGACCGGATTTGGAAGCAAAGCTCCAAGTGGACTCCCAGACCAACGAAACAGACCTGCTGCAGCACCATCAGCACAGATCAACTATCAGCAACAAAAACCGAAAGTCTCGAAAACCTGACTCATCATCAACCATTACACCTGATCTCAGGTCAATTTCTTGGGTCGACCGGGCAGTTGATTTCCCATCTCTATTCAATTCGATACGTAAAAGAGCTCTCGATTTGCCTTTCGCAGAGGGACGCCGTTTCCCTTCCTTACACACATCCACCTTCACACATAATCATACAAGATGGCTGCCCGACAATCAACGCCGTCTTCCGACCACTCTCACTCTTCCGATGGTGTTCGCAAGCGCGTATGTAAAGCTTGCGATCGTTGTCGACTGAAAAAGTCCAAGGTACGTCTCCAAAAAAAAAAAAAAAAGCCCCCGAAAGAAAGCAAAACGAAGAAAAATAATCTCAAAGTGGCAACCCTTCTAACAGCGTTTCTACAGTGCGATGGAAGCAGCCCTTGCTCACGCTGTCGTGCCGATAATGCCATCTGCGTGTTTGGTGAACGAAAGAAGGCCCATGATAAGGTGTATCCTAAAGGGTAAGCTCATACTTCTGCACCTGGGACGGCAAACACTACAGAGACTGACCATAGTCTTGTACCCTCTCTGCAGATATGTCGAAATGCTCGAGCAACAACAAGCGTGGCTAGTTCATGGTCTGCAAGAATTATACCGTCGCAGTACAGAAGGCGAAGGATGGCCCGGCGAACGTCTCAAGACTGAATCCAACGGCCACCCCCTCACTCACGACTTGTTAACCCGTCTCGGCGCCCTCGACCATTCCAAGGGTGAACGATTTGAAGAAAACCCAGAAGCTATGCAACAAGAATTATGGCAAAACGGCATGGCCCGCCAAGAATCCACCGATAGCTCTGCCGACAGCCCTCACAGCCCAATCGCGCGAACTCGCTTCTCCTCCGATGCTTTCTCTTCACATTCCCAACAACAGCATACCATGCCACCCACGCCCCCGACATATAGTCCCATCCGCCAAAATGCTGCGCCGATGCACCAACCGGTTAAGATGGAGCCCACCATGAATGTCGCGCCCACCACGCAAGCGCAGTTCGCCATGTCGATGCAGGGTGTTGTAAATCCACTCGCTCTGCAGGGGGCGCCACAATGGCCCGTCAACAATAACCCCGGCTTTATCTCCTTTGACGATATAGACTTGATGGGATCGACCGATTACACTGGGTTCAATTACGACGAGCCCGTGCCCTCACCCATGTACCATCGACAAATGGCCATGAACTGCATGCCGACGGATTACGATGACTTCAAAGAGTTTTTGAACCCCAACGCCACGGAAATCACATCGATTTGAGTCAAAAGGCCAAAAGATAGAAAAGATCTCTGTCTGCGCGGTGGGCATGACATGCTACGAAAGCTGTAGCAGTCAAAAAAAGCTCCTCCCTCAACACAGAGGACAAACCTCATTTTTTAACGCTGTATGACGTGCTGCATGTCTGGAAAACATGTATGCCCTTTATCTTATTTTTTTCTGCCTTTTTCTCTTCTCTCTTTTCTCTTTTCTCTCTTTTCTCCCACTGCTGGAGCTGTCTCTTGCCCATACCCTTTCTGTTCATCGCAACTCTTCCTGAATTTCTCTCCCCCGCATGGTGTGGATTGAATCTCGAGAACACCTGCGATATGAATCACTCTGTATAGTGCCGGTCTGTGAGGAGTTCTTTGGCTTACTAGATTTTGGTCTTTTGAGGACGCTTCTTTTTGTTTTCTTCGCCTGTTCTTCGTTTTGCCATTAGGTGGAGTACTGGGGTTTCACCTCGGGGGCGGGGTTCATCTGGGCGGCTCACCTTGATCCTACGACTTCTTTCCTTTTGCCGTATTATTTGATATGGTCAAATTTATGGAATACTATCCATCTGAAGTGGTCTCTATTGTCTATTGCATCCTTCTTGAAGACTCTACAGTTCACGCAATAACTATCGTACACAGAAATGTTTTGTTTCTGGGAAGTACAGTAGACCCTCTCTTCAGTATACCTTCTCCACCTCTACCTCGCTCCGCGAGGTACTTCTTAGGCAAGCAGGTATACCTTATGATATCACAATTCACAGCTCGAAAAACCGATCATTCAATCTAATCGCCCCCGATAAGATACGTCGGGATCTCAGCGAGTCAGCGCCAGGCTGCCCAGTCTTCCAAAGCAATCAAGCCTATCTCAGTTCCCACTACAGATCATCACATAGTAGGGGGAGAGGTACTACCACCAGAAGCCCATGTCTGATCTGGCTCTTTTCTTCTTCTGGCAGTGTCTTGTCGACGGCCTTATGGAACCTTTGTTACCGGTCTTTCAGCTCCTGTATCTGACAATACATGCGCGAGAACTGACGGGAGAAATACTGTAGTACGCAATTGGACACGATGTAACTCGTATCGTGGTACGTACCGTCGTACACGGTGTTAGATCGGAGGAAGACGCCGAACAACCCAAAAGCATGCAAGACGGAGCAGAGTACCAGATCATCCAATGATTTGCGTGATGGGTGATCAATAGGTCTGGGCACTGGGCACTGGGCACAGCGAGGAGATCCATATTTCGAACCCATGATCTTACAGAATGTCAGAATCATCCAGAGCCAGACATCCCCTCATAGAATACTCAAAACATTATCCATAGTTTCACACTCTCCCGTACAGAATTACAGTGCTGCCGAGGTGGACCTCCCCACATCTGAGTCTGCCTGGCCCTGCAGTCATGGTCGCTCAATAGTGCTGTAATCATCTGAAAATCAATCAATCGTCTTCGATCCTGTCCGAGGACATGGAGTGATGGAGTGCCCGTATCCACTTGTCCTGACTAATGCGGCTTCGAGAAGATTCACAAGTCCCCGCCCTCGGTTTGATCATCTGAAACGGTTCAGACTTGTGAGGTTTTGGCATGGGTTGGTGTTTAAGGGCGAAAAGCAGCGAAGGAATGTGTTTTCGCTTGACGTACCAGAGCCTGGGTATTGCTCTATATTGAATATCTACATAGGAATAGTGTATTACAATATGGTAAATTGTTGATTTGTATGATGCATAATGTATAATGATTGGAAGAGCTTAAGCAGTACTCATAGCGATTTCGTCACGATATGTTCATTTTTACTTCACATAGCAAAACAGTGTCCATTCAATGTACAAATTGGCTAGTATGTACCTTATTGAATCTGTTCGTCCTATGGACCGCTGGAATTCTTCTCCGGGCCGTTTCCCCCAAAGCTCGAAGATCTCCATTTCGATCCCCGATTATTAATTCTCGGACGCCGATTACACATCATACGTTAAGCCACGATACCCGTCATCATGGTCGTCTACGTATTGGGCGGTGGCTCATGTCTTGGTATTTTCCTGGCGCAGACGATCGGATCTGCTTAAACTTGGTTATTCTTGTACTGTACTAGATTACTAGTTCATGAGATCTACGATCCACCATCGGCATCTAGTACTCCTGTTGCCCGGTGTACAGTACACTCAACACTGTACTCTGTAGACTGTAGACTGTACAGTCTACAGCAGTAGAATCGATAGTGAAACGATGAATGATGATCCCTTGAAACAAACCCAAAAACAAATTCGACAGAGCGAGGTTTTGATAACATCGATTCTGTTACTCTACCACTCCTGTCGGGCTGAAGACAGGGGGAGGAAAATTGGAGCAAAAGTACACAAAACAAGTTTTATGCTAGATATACTGCATAAAACAACGGGGGCGCACTTATGAAGAGTCAGGCCACAACTTCACATTCAATTTTCCATCACACTCATACGCCAATCTCAATTCAGTACCTAATCATGAATCACCACATTGTGAGTACGGCGTGTTTTGACCTCGTGGGCGAAACGCTGTCTTTCTGTGTCTGCCTCGTATTCGTGGTCGACTTGGTGTTCTCGACTTGTCTGGTACTATTGACAGAGGATGGATGGAATGAGCTTTACTACGACGAAAGACGATGAACAGTAATATAGATTATGGATAACCTTCGTCGTAATATTAATGTAGTCTTGTGTAATGTGCATCGGTGCAAGACCTGCCACCCGCACTCAGTTTTTCACCCTGCACATTTTCTCCGTACAGTTATGCACATTGCACTCGACCGCTCCCCGCTCGCCTGCTGCTCGGTCGGTCCATCGGCGTCAGCTAAACGCGGTCGGTCCTTCGGACATAAGGCTCAGCTATTGACAGGACCCACACGTGACATCTTAACTCCATTGATCCCGATAATATTGACAGCTGGATGTACGGGCCGCGGGACACACTGCTTCGCTTCCGAGCAAAGTTTGATGGCTTTGGTGGGTTCATTTTCTGATCGGCGTACTGTTGAACTGTAGATCCGCTTCCGAGGTTCCATGGGTCGATCAGCATTCAGCGGTGTCAGGTGTAAAGTCACTCGAGTGTAATTTAAAGATCGTGTGATGTGTAACAGTCTTTATGTAGGTGGCGGTGACGAAAGGAGATATCTTCCTGGGCTATGGAATATAGACAACCGTTTACATTAGATAGGTTAAGGAGGAATGTTCTGAGATACTACAGTACTGCAATACTACAGTATTACTGTACTACTGTAAGTGTACAGTCTAGTTCTGAACTACAGAAATCAGTTTATAATGCAGAAGCCTAGGCTCGGTAACGGGTCGATCCAATGTGTTCTAGAAAGGCCGTAGAACTTAATGCTTTATACTGGGTGTCATCGAGTTGACATCCTATAGATGTTGGAGTGATCGCATGGCCTGTATATACACACGTGCGCCTATTTACAGTCGATGAAATTATTGGCATATTGGCTGCGGAGCATTGCTTTTGCGGCGTTCTAGAAAAGATCGTGACTTGCCCTACAACCTTGGAAAGTGAGCTTTGTGATTTGATATGGTCAGTGCGGGTAATACTCGTCGTGTGGTATGTAGTTACGTACCTTGTACAAGTAATAGAGGAGCCCGCTCAAGTTTGAATAGAGTATGACTATACCATCATACAAGCGCGCGATTTCAGGTGACTGTACTGAGTTGTTCAAGTTACTGCGACGCTGGACTAGATGATCCCGAGAAGACAGTCTCAAGTTCGTAGTTACCTCCCTAGATGCAATCAGAGCGTCAGCATCTGGTCTGACTGCATATGAGATGAGATGACAAGGTGCTAGCCGCAGCAGGCTGTCAGACGAAATTCCTGACAAGTTATCAAGTCCTGACTCATTTTCGAGTCAGTAGGTGCCGGATCCAGATTCATGCAGCCTCCAGTACTTCAGTAGTCCAGTCAAATGTATACTATGTTAGTGCGTTGAGCCTGTGAGGCCATGCAATGCAGACCAGCATAGTTGATAGTGAGACAGTGTGTGAGTGTATACCTGTGTTCAGTTCACTGTTTGACTGTTCGTATTTGAAATGTATACTCAGATCGTCAGTGAAAGCTGCAAAGTGCGAGGATCTGATAACCCCACCCAGGGCTTCCAGAACCCCCTCAGGAAACTTCTACACCGGCGATCCCATCTACCAGAACAGCACAGTTCCAACTTCTCACGCACATCGAGAAAAAAAAAAACGAAAGAAACTCCAAGGCTAGCAGGTGGATACCCCTTCCCCGAAAGCGCAATATGCGCGCACCAATATCCCCTGCAACTTGTGGGGCCCGGGCACTATGGTTGTTGTGACAGGAGATCAGGGGACATGAGGAGGAAAGTATTGTCCTCCTTTTGCGTCTCTTGGATGTGTTTGGACCCCGTCCCCCTCCCCTTTCCCCCGGCCGAGCACCAGCACCGGCACTCCTGAGACAGACTTGACAGATTCCGCGTGGGGTCGTGGAATGAGATGCGTGGGCGGTTAGACCGCATATGAGTGTAAGGCGGGAGATGACTGTGGCCGTCTGGGGCCCGTTGAAGTGGGATAGACCGATAGACGGAGTGGATGGCAAGTGGGATGCCTTTTCTTACGTGAGCGGAGCCGAGGGGGGGGTCGTGGATTGCCTGAAATGGAGCCCGAGGGCATTAAACGCTTACACTTGCACAGTCAGGAATAAAGGAATCAGATCAGATGGGGGTTTTTTGTAATGAGACACACGAAAGAGTCCGACTACAAAGCTACCCATATGTCAGCTAGTAATACAGATCCAGTATGGGTATATGGATATAGAAGTGTTTGAGAGTATTCAGTATACCTCCGAGATTAAAGAGCGACCATCGACATGGATTATCTTGACTTTTTAAAGGTTGATTCCTTGCTCAGTGTTCGGTGTTCGGTGTTCGATGTTGTACTATGCGTTGCATTCCACGGTAACCTTTTTTCGCTCCAAACAATACATATTACATACAGTATTTGTTGCGTTCAGTTGGGTATCGCCTCAACATTGCCGAGCCATAGGATCGCCATTGAATTTCCGTCCCGTCGGGGTTCCAAACACTACCATGTAAATCCAGCTCGTGATGGGGCTGCCTTAATGCCGCTTCATAGACTTTCGTGTCCGAGCAAAATGCTCCGTCAGAATGGTCACGCCTTCGGACCCAGTTTCGCCCATTGACGGTTTGACAGTTGACACAGTAGCGCTAGCCAAAACACTACTATCGTACTATGTAGAGTTGTGGACTGGGGAGAATAGCCTGCTTTGGTCAAAAGTTACTAGTCATCTCCCATTCGGATGCGGGTTTGCGACCATTTTGAATAATGGTAGCATAGCATTCTTGACTCAAAATGGTAGTAAGCTGAGCTTTACGCATCCTTACAGCGTGACAGCACCATCACGAGGTTGAGGGTTCACAGTCACACTTAGTCTTACAGGCTCCCACTTGTCGGGATGCAGGACTCCGGAACCGAAGTTGTGTTGCCTGGTACACGAATACGCCGTCTCGTCGGGCACAGCGCACCTCGAAGCGCAGCGCAATCGAAAAGGTTGCTGGTCAAAGCTTTGAAGGAACTTCCTCTCTCAAGACCTATTCCTTGACGACGAAAATAGCTCCCCCAGCTCCTGATCGCCCATCGGTACATCCACTTTGCGTTGCGTGGGAGGGGGGCCACGAGTAGTTGAGCACTAGTTAGTAGTTAGTAGTTAGTAGGTAGTAGTAGTCAGATGCAAATCCATTAGAAGAACTAGAGTGGAGTCGGCCTGATCGTCCAGATCATCTCGTGTCTGAACTATGGAAAGTCACCCAATACGAGGACACGAAGACGACCTCCAGGCATCCGCGAACTGGCCGCTACACTTACAGTAAGTACCAAGTATTGCAGTAACTAGTAAGTCGCTTGCAGCTATTCAAACAGTTACGGCGTAGTTGTACGCTGTAAAATACTCGATAAGTACTGAGAACTCAAGAAAACTGCCAAGTCATACTGTAGCATTTCCTTTTTCGAGTTCCTGCCTCACTGGACCGCATGTCCTTCGATCAGGCTCTCTCAACATCGAACGCTGTTCAGGGGCACATCCGAGTTTCTGCGCTCTTGGCCCTGCATCCTCCACCTAGCGCGGCACTGCTGACGAGGCATCCCACCATCTCACTCCTCGACCGATGCGTTGGACGAGAATGGGGTCAGAGTGTCAGACTACTTATTACCTAATACCTCGACCCACGAGCTCGATCTTCGGCAATATTACTATACACTTTATCGTGTGTACCTTGTACCCGTGGTGATGCAGAATCGACGTTGGTCGAGGAAGGGCCATGCTATTTTCGTGTGTTGCTTTGCTGGGGCGTTTCCAACCCAACCACATGAGGACAATCACGTACTACTGTAGAATGTAGAGTGTAGACGCCGATTCCATGAAGCCTAGTTAGGTAGGTACCAAGGTACCTTACTCTATCTTTGAATTCCGCCTGTCATGACTGTAATTCGGTGTCTTTCACAAATCTACATAAGCCGAATGTAGCTTTTCTCAACCCCGTCTTCCACGTATGCTGAGACACGCCTCGTGTCTAATCTCCGAACTCCGATTGTAGATCTCATCGCCAGGGATGCTTTACACTTCTCTGCATGGCCCAAATCTGGATCGCTGGGCGGGCCTGGCCTCACCCCAAGCAAAGCTAGTATAGAAGGATCGGAGCTCAAGCAAGTCGACAAGCCAACGGGACTGCTTGAGACAAGTCAGCTTGGTCGTAGTCTGTCTACTTCTAGCATCTGATCAGGCGTGAGTTGTGAGTCGGGTCTTCGGAGCATCGTGGAGCCGGGATGTCAGACACGGACACGGCGACCGAATGTCGGTGTCTACTTGACTCTGGGCTGACGCAGAAACTCATCACGAAGAGGGTTGGATCACACGTGATGGCTTTCGGATGCGTCGATGTTTGTGCTACGTCCAGAGCCGTGCTCTGATCCGTGGAATTGGGGTTCTAATGATGCTGTGGATTTTCTGGACATGTATACTTGTCATTCATGCTAGAGTTCATGTCCTGATGACTCTTACTCCTCACGTAGTCTGGGATCCTGATGAAGATGCATTACCCGATACCGGTTCTCCCAGTATCCGACACATTCAGATTTGTTGAACTCCTCTGACTCGGCTCGATTCCATCACCCTATATCCATCACAGGGGTTCTGGAATCTCTCACCGGGAGTTCTGAGATGCACCACGATGCGGCTGATGAGGGTCTTGAACACGGAACCGAATGCCGCCCGATGGGAACGGAGACGGGTGGCTGATAGAGAGCTCATCTCCGCTTAGTCTTGCACACTCATCTTCATGCTGACGGTGGGCGGATCACCTTGTCTGTAGATTAGGGTACTTTACAGTAGCAGTCTCACTATGAGTCTACAGTGTACAGTCTACACTCTACACTCTACACTCTACACTCTACACTCTACACTCTATACTTTATACCTCCTGAAGATGGAAAAGTGAGTGGGAGCATTTGGACCAGCGGGAGCTGGTCTGGTCAGCCCACGTGACAAGATGTACCGCAGGATCCCAACTCAAACAAGAACTTTCTCCATCATCATAGTCAATGAGACCGGTGGATGTTCGCTCCCTATGTAGTCTGTACCAGATCTACTGTGGTCGATCACCAGCAGGGTCAAACTTGCCAAACTGCCCTTGCGCAAAGCCACCGCGGGGGAAAATGCAACAAGGTGACAGGTGTCGAGCATGGTGTTGACCTCTCCAGTCGAGGAGCTCGAACCGACCAGCTTCTCATGAGCTTCAGCTTGAGCTTCAACTTCAACAGATGTAGAGTCTGCATTGACCATTGACTGCCGTGACAGACTGAACCTGCTGCCCTGAATTCTCAACCACCATCCAGGGACCATCTCCTCTCCAAACCGCCAAATCACGAGCTGGACCAAATCCACCGCCGCAATTAGCCGTGCAATTCAGCCTAAGCGGAGGATTCGCGACTCCTCAAAGGGCCGCTGGACAGCTCCCCGCGCCGATGCGATGCCCGGGTCCATTGCGGGGTCTCCATCGTCATGCCTAAATGTTGACCACCACCTCCCCCCATTCTACCGTCCCTGTATTTCTCCGATTTACCCCGCCATCAGAGAAAAAAACAACACGTCGGACTTTTCTGCTTGCTCAAGTCTGCCAAGTTGCCAACTACACCCTCCTTTCAAAGACAGAGAACCATCACTGTAGCAGACAACTGCAACCTAGAAACAAGCCTCATCCCTATCATCACCCTTCTCCTTCCTATATTCCCTTCCTCCCCCCCACCTCCAAACCAAAATGACCGCTCCCGAACAGGCTGCTTTCACCTTCTTGCCACTCGGCGCCATCATCCAGGAGTTCCGTGTCGGTGGTCAGAACATTGTCCTGGGCTTCTCCACACAAGAAGACTATGTCAAGCACAATGCCGCGTATTACGGCGCAACCATTGGCCGTGTGGCCAACCGCATCAAGAACGGCGTGATCAACAATCTCAACGGCAAGAAGATCCAATTGGCCAAGAACAATGCCCCCAATGCGCTGCACGGTGGACCGACAGGCTGGGGCAAGCGTGTCTTTGACGGCCCTCACACAGTGCAGCGGAATGGACAGGATGCACTGCTGTTCAAGTATCTGAGCCGCCACGACGAGGAGGAGTATCCTGGTACGGTCGAGTTGCGGGTCTGGTATACCGCCAGCAAGGAAGGCGAGGCGACTACCGTCTTGACTGTCGAGTATGAGGTGGAATTTGTCGGTGACGAGGTTGAGGAGACGGTGGTCAACATTACGAATCACAGGTGAGTTGATGCACCGTAGTGGTTCACTGGGGTCTCTACGACTTTTTCTCTCTCTCTCTCTCTCTCTCTCTCTCTCTCTCTCTCTCTCTCTCTCTCTCTCTCTCTCTCTCTCTCTCTCTCTACGATGACTCCCTCTCCCTTACTCTTACTTTCCTGCGAAATCAAGTTGACTTATACGGTTCCACCCCCAAATCAGCTACTTCAACATCGGCGACGGTCCTACCATCACCGGCACCACTGCCCAGCTCGGCACGGCCGATTATCTCCCCGTCGACAACACCGGCATTCCCAAGGGCGGCATCGACAAGTTCCCTCGCAACGTGACCGAGCCATTCGTTCTCGCCGCGACCGGCCCTCACATCGACGACTGTTTCGTCGTCGAAACCGACCCTTCCAAGGTTCCCCTCGACACGCGCAATTTGCCGCTGCGCCGTCTGGCCGAGTTCAGCCACCGCAGCACCGGTCTGCACCTGGAGGTGCACAGCACCGAGCCAGCCTTCCAGTTCTACACTGGTAAATACATCAACATTCCCGCGATCAAGGGACGCGCCGCAGACACCGAGGGCTCCGGCTTCTGTGTCGAGCCCAGTCGTTACGTCGATGCCATCAACGATCCCAAGTGGCGCAACATGGTGCTCTTGAAGAAGGGCCAGGTCTTTGGCTGCAAGAACGTGTACAAGGCGTGGAAGGAGTAGATGGAAGCTGATCAAACGATCTCTGGGAACATGAAAATCATGGATGCAAACGACCTTTCTCAAGCATAAAGAAGCTTAGAAAGCTTGTATCATGAAAATTGAAGAAATCTCTAGAAAGATATCTCAGCCCTGTTGTCCATGTATAGCACCGAGGTCAATCCACTTTCCAGGACTCCCAAAATTAGAAGCCACGACCAGCCTAGAACAAATCGTCCGTGTTCTAGGTATCAACCCAAAGTCACCCTGGGAGCGACAAGCCAACCGTGCCGATCGATTTTGAAGACATGATTCACAACTTCTTCATATAAACCTTGTCCTCCCTCCGAAACTGTTGTAGAAAGTAGATCGGTCTCGCTTATTCCGATACGATCGCCAACTCAGAAGAGGGAAGAATCTGAAGCTCTACGGTAGACAGGTAGTCCAGGATCGCCCATCAACGAGCACAACCAAGTCTACCCGCATGATACATCCAGTGATACACGCTGGACTCCAAGACGATTGACTTGACCCTGATCCTGGCCCTCAAATGAGCCAGTAACAGGGCTGTGACCAGCACGGAAGTCTCAGTATGTCTTCCGTCGACTAAGGATTTACTATTGATTACTTACTCACAATCTCCTACCACTACAATCAACAATGGGCGGGAGATAATACCATCTTCCTGACGATGGTGTATAGTCCAAACTCCAAACTAAAGAAATGATATCATGCAGACATGCATCCTTCAGAGCGTGGAATAAACCAAAGCACGTGTCTTTCGCGTCTCTCCTCTCTCGGTCCACTCCCTATTATTTCTGCCTTTTATTCTTTCTTTCTCTTCGAACTGGATCTTGGTTCTGCATCGGTCAAGTCAGAAGCAAAGCACAAAATGCCACCACGTCACTCCCAACCCTCATAGATCTCGGTGTCGTTAAGCATCAGTCTTATCACATGCCACCCTTAACCTCCACCCAAACAAAACAAGTATCCAATCGGCCCCCGCTACCGAGACAGTCCTCTGTAAGTTTGGACTCGTCGACCGGAGTATCACCAACTCGACAAAGGTTCACGACAACTCGTCCTAGTCAACTCCTCTCCTCTCCCCTCCTCCACCAACTATCCAATTCCACGCTAGCGCGCGACCCGTGCTCCATCAAACCCACCCTGTAACCTGCTCAGTCCGGCTCCCATGACTCGACCTGCATCCTTCAAACCTGGAACATCTCGAGCAGGGAAAAACGGGGAGAAACAAGGGCGCAAGTCGGTTATACGGCTAGGGCCCACCTTGGTGCAGGTCGGACTCCCGATTTGAATCCCATCCTCGTGGTTTAGTGGGTGGTGGGTGCCGCTGCCAATCGGTCGCTGGCCGCGGGTGAGGAAGGTACTGGGAGTGTAATCATTGAATGTAAGAGACTACCAGGCTACTAGTGCGCTTAGGCGCTACTAGTGGAACTGGACTGAGGACTCAGGACTGGAGTTTCTGGGTTTTCAGGATTTATTGTCTTGCGGTCTTGATGGGTGTAGGGGGGGGGGGCGTTTTTTTTTTTTTTTTCTTTTTCTTTGGATGGAGCTTGCTTGGTTTTGGCCTTTTTGTTTATCATATGTCTTTTTGCGGGGGCTGGGATGGCGGTTCGGTAGGTGCAGTGCTGTGGAGGAAGAGGTTCATGAACTTCATGGTAAGTTTCGAGTTGACAGCCCTGAAGGATGGGTAAGATGAGTAGTTTCCAGCGTTCCATGTAGTTCTGAATTTGTCGCTTGTGGTTATCCATATTGGAATGAAATGATGTCGCTATCTGACTAGGGAAGTTGGACTAGTGACTATCTGTATACTGTGGTTGCTTCATATCCTTGCTTTGCATGAATGATGGATAAACCTTGCCAGTAAATAGAAAGTGCTAGATTAGTAGATAGTACTGTACAAGTATGTACTAGATAACTAGTAGATAATATTTAATAGTAGATAGCGATACTAGTCACATTTCCTCTTCTAGACAAAGAGCCTCATATGTGAATAAAGTCGTTTATACAGCAGCTACACAGTCCGTTAGTACACTCTCATCCACCTCCCCCAACGTCTATGAAATACAATATGCAGACTGCAGACTGCAGAGTACATCCGTCAGTGCACTTATCAAATTACGCCACAACACGCCCTATTCCTTGGGTTACCATCGCTAGAGCGTCACCCAGCGAAGAAACGAAACTCAATCTTCGAGCTCGAGCTCGAGCTCGTGACAGCTGAAGATACCGTATGACTATGGCGTATAGCGTACTAAGCGACGAGCGTAGGGTATCTCAGTATCTGCCGCGGCACAGACCGGCTCCCTACTCCATGATCAATCACCCTAACTTACCAGGTTCTTCTCGAAAAGACCTTTTCTCCAGACAGAGTGACTACCCTGCCATCACCTCCATCACCTCACCCTATCGGCTTTCCCCTATTCACCATTCGCCCAGAGCTTCAGAGTCAAGTATCGCAAAAGCTTATTCCGCGCCAAAGCTCTTCTCTCGTTGGTCCCTCGGCCATGACTTCCGGCTGTGGTCTTTCCCACGTGAAGAGTGTCGAACGCCTAACCTTCCATAGGGCATAGACAGAAGGATCGAGTCTAGACTGTTGTGCAGATTCATGGGTCTCGCTCTGTTCTTCCGGGCCACTTACGTCGTTGTCGCTGGTCATGTGGGTTGAAGCTCATACCTCTCTGTGTGAGAAGAGGTGGTTGGCTGGCCCTGGCCCTGTCAGGGTGAGATGGAGTCTTATCTGACGCGGGAGAAGGTTTCGGTCTCTGTAGCCGGTCTGTGACTCTGTGGAATGATGCTGTTTTCGAGACAGTGTATGCCGGTAATGACGTGAAGGATTCAGAATGGGAACTGCGCTGGTGGGCATTTGGCACAAGATGACTGTGACTTTACACTTGCACAGTGCATAGTTATTAGTCATACTGCATCGTTATAGATAGCAGACAGCAGAATGGCCTGGCCGGTTTGATGACCAAAGCTGTAGTAGGAATGTTCAAGCGTTGGACTCACCTCTCTATGACTAATTGAGTTTCAACTGTCAAGTACCCAACTCGCACGCCTCGCATACGTACTCCTGCATAGCCAAATCCGGTAGTCGACCTTGTCTCTGTGCTGGAATATCCAACCACAAGTCCACAGCAGGAGGGTAGTCCGCACAAATCTCCAAGTGGTCGAGGCAGATATTTCCGAGGCGCCGCCAAAGCTAAATCGGAAACCCGAGCGCGCCTCGGTTGATGTTCCGAGGTTGGGAGAAAGCTATGGCGTCAGTACTTTTCCCGCGTCCTCTCTTGGGCCTTGTGCATCATGGTTTGTCATGGCACCAGTGCGAAGGTAAGGTAGATTCGTAGGACTAAGTAAGTATGTAGCTGGTAGGTACTGGTTGGAGTTCGGTTACACCCCTTCCGCTCCCCGCGAACATCCCTTGGTGATCAGCCTGCCTGGCGTATCTGTGGACATTGTACAGGTCTGGGGGTCTGGTAACGGTGGATTCCATAAGCAAGTCCTCTTGAGCACTTGGCTTTGCATGTGCGCATGCTCGGTCGAGGCGGTTAAAGTAGAAAATGAAGTCTACCACATGCGTGTCCACGTCATAGCCTCAATGACTCCGAAGGTATCAGAAACAACACGACATATTCCCTGAGCATTGCAACTCGCTCAGCAGTTCGGGCAGTGGTACCTGGTAAGTGGTCAGATCAATGGCCTTTCAAAGTCAAGAGCAAGTGTGGGTTCTTGCTATCCTTAAGCAAGGATGCTGGCGAAAAGCACGAGAACACCCAGAACCCTCTCATCGCGTGCGATCCATTCTTCTACGCCAAATACAGACAATAGAATGTCGGAAGCGGAATATTGCATTGATTTCATGAGACAACAAAGCATACAGAAGGAAAGTCTCCTTTCTTGTTCTTGGAGTCCAACAATCGGTGAATGAAAAGTTTCCCAGTGGAATACACTCAAAGCCGAAGGGCCGCATGAGACTTGAAGAAGCTGACAAATCCCCGAAAGAATGAAGATGAGAATGGCGATGCAGTATCAAATTGGAAAGTATCAATAAAGACAGCAGAGCATTTCAATCCATCAGATCGACCATAGCAGGAGTGACCTAGTGGATTTGTTTTAAGAGAGGTTTCCAACGCATGAATGGAAAAAAATAAAAGCATGTGAAGACCAGAATAAAATAAAAATAAAAAGCCCTACGGTTTCCAGCTTGCAAATTCCCTTCCATATCATGTCATTACGCCGAGCCGAGTCGCTAACCATCGATACCGTTGTGTGTGTCGGCCGGATTCCCAAAGAAAAAAGAACCGAGTTACTGCATTGACTGCTTCGCCTCAGCAAAATCATGGTCGCTGGCATCAAGCACATCGTATTCCTCATCGGTCAGGAAACCGGCGTCAGTGGAAGCCTCGTCGAGAGTCAAACTCTCAACGTCTTCCAAAACATCCAACTCGGATGCAGCCGACGAGTTCGGCGCTTCGTGAGAAACGTTGGTGGCTTCGTGGAGACTCGCCTCAGGAGACTCCTTCTCCAGCTTTGGGAAGATCATGCCGCTGCCAGTGGGCTCAGAGACAGCAACAGAGACCTCTTTCTCGGCAATCTCCTTTCCGGCGGTCTCGAGAGACGAAGATGTGGTGGCCTGCACCTGGACATCGCACCACAGGCGGTGTCCAATCGGAACGCCATTGGGCAGCTTCATGCGCCAGTAAGAAATGGCAGTGCCCTCGCGCTGAGGGGTGCAAAGTGTGACACTGAAATCAGCGCATTGTCCAGGCTCCACAGGGGCAGCGAGCTTGGTGCTTTCCATCGCATCCCGAATTGACTCGACGCTCGAAGGGTGGCTGGAATCGACATTGAACATAGTGTCTCCCCCAACAAAGCGAACATCAGTGCCAACAGGCCATGCAAGACAGCCTGCGTTGACCAGGGTCCAGGTCTGCTGGAAGACAGTCTTTGGAGGCAATTTGGTGCCATCAGCGACAGTGTCACGAACGAAATGAGCCTTGTAGGCCTCGGACTCGTCCTGATCCTTGGGTGCTGCCGCTGGCACGGCAATTGGCCATTCGACCGAGCACCGACCTGAAGCTAGCTCAGGTTTGCTGGCCTCCACTTCTACTGGTGTCTGTTCAATGATGGGTAATTCCTTTTCCACAACCTCACTCTTCGCAGTGGTAGGTGCAGTGGCAGGAGCACTGAGCTGGCTAGACAAAGTGGCTGCTCGCGCTGCCGCAGCATAGTCGGTAATCGTGTCAATGGAGACAGCGCGCACATGGGTCTTGAATTTGACTAGCGGGTGAGTGACGTTGTGTTGATTGGTGGGATGAGCTTCGCAACTGGCGCAGAAGTCCAAATCATCACAGACAGCACACTTGTATCTGACGCCAACGATGTAGTTTTGGCCAGGCTTGTTATTGCACAACGGGCCATCGCAGTAGACTCCGAAGTGAACTTCAGTTTCTTGTGGTTGATCTCCAAGAGACTCGTAAATTGGAGCGAATCGGTGACGAGGATGACTGGTGCCTGCTTGTTGGATACAGGTAGAGCAATAATCCCAGTCAGGGCACGACAGACACTTGTGACGCGTACCCATGATAGGCTGGTTGGGGAAGGATTGAATCAGCATAACACATCAATTGAACACAAGAATGGAAGCAGCACTAACCTTGTCACATCCATCACACAAAGCTGCGTGCTTGAATTGACGACCAGGAAGGCATCGGGAGAGAATCAAGTTCTTCAGGCAGAAGTTTCGGTCCGTGCCCAGAGAGAACGTATGCGCAGGGTGGTGACCATGTTTGTTGTGGAGTAAACAACGCAGACAAAGGTCATAATCCTCGCACTCATTGCAACGCACTAGGTTACTTTCGTCTACATCTGGAGGGTGGGTCAGTATATGAAGTCTCATGCCGGTACGACCAGGAGTGTCTGCACTTACCACGGCAACAACCGTTGCAAATAGGTTGCTCAACGGAGAGACTTGCGTGAGCCTCTGTAGTGCTACCCGATGCAGTGACAGAGTCAGCCGGACAAGTCGCAATTTCTGGCTGCGACTCCGGCTGCGACTCTTGAGCCATTGCTGCCGGTTCAGGCACTGACAACTGAGGCCGACGGGGAGGAATGGTCTCGGTTGTGCTATTTGTCACGATGCCATCGACAACCATACGCTTGATCAGCCAGTGACTATCACTACGGCAGGATGTGCCCTGCTCGACGCACTCTGGACACAAATCGTAGTCTCCACTTTCACAGATACTGCAATGATAATGCTCATTGGCAATGGACCGGCCGCAGTGATTGCAGTCGATGCAAAACATGCCGTTAGGTGAGCTGTGAGAAATAGTGGGGAATCGAATTCGGTTCTCGACCTCAAAGAGGCGGTCTCGGCTTGTGCTGGCGACTTCAGTAGGCTGGGTCGAGACAGCATCAACCTCAGCAGAGGTTGTAGCCAGCTCAGGCATGTTTGTGGCGCAGTCAAGTTGATCCATCAAGATAGGAGCCGGTGAGCTGAGGACAGTCTCCAGATAGCTGTGTCTCGATGGGCTTTGGTTGGACGACTGAGTGGACGACTGAATGGACGACTGAGTGAAAGACGGTGCTGGAGGGCCAGATGCCGAGGTATCGGCGACAGTAGCTCTGATACGAAGTTTTGATTTGGCTTTGGCAGCACGATAGAGCTGCTTGTACACGGATGGGTTGGCTTCGTCTAGTTGAATGTAACTTGCCGCGCTGTCGGAATAACGTTCGAAGATGACGTTGACACTTGCCGGAATACCGAGGAGTAAGCGGAGCTAAACCAAAGGAAGACAGCAATTAGTCAATATGGAACCAGGGAACACTCGCCAGTAATACCGTTTACTGGAATGTGACTTCTGAATCAAGCTCGACAACAGCCTCGCAGTATCCTTCTTGATGCAAGGCTATCGTATTGAACTATCGTTGCGCAGATCTTTGACGATAAAGAAAACTGGGGCTGAGATGGGGGCACCCGGTCGGTCGGAGCTTAAGTGGGAACGGGAGAGCTTGCCTTCTGGGAGAACACTGAAGCTTGCAGGTCCTTCAGTGGTAGCTTGAAGCGACGATAGTTATCATTGTAAAGCACTTTCACTGAGACTTGGAAATCCGGGCCGGGGTGTGAGAGGAAAGCTGGAGTGGCCATGTTGTGAAGTGATGGGAGAGGGAGGAAGAGAAATGCGGAGAACCGAACGAAGGTAAGAGATAAGCTAGGAAAGACCCGCTTAGGATCGAAGTTCCAAAAAGAATGTTGTGAGAAGCAAAGGGCACAAAAGAAGCAACAATTCGATGGGGACCTCCAGATAGATGCACTTGAGGATGGTCGAATTTAGCGAAACAAGAAGTGAGGATGAGCAAAAGGATGAGCCAAGGCGTGTCGATGAAAGAGAAGGACTTCAGTCGTCGAAACGGCGGATGTTGTACGGATGGGGGGGGGTGAGGAGAAGGTCAGCTGCTCCCGTCGTCCGGGGCGGTGTACGATTAGGTAAGGCTTATCGGCCCGGATCTGGACCTTCCGCCCGTTTGAGAATGGACAGTTCACCTTGGACCGACATGCATGTTATAAGAGTCTCAAATTGAGTCAATGGTTGTGCAGTACAGTCTCTACAGTTAAAAACTTGGGATTCTGGTCAGACAGCCGTCTTGCAAAACTCCAGTACAGAAATATACTCATTGCCAGGATACACCGTTCAACGGCGAAGCCCATAAACGGAGAAATCAGGACACAGCAGTCCTGAGTCCAGACAAAGGCCACTGGCGATCTAGTTTACGTTAAACCCGAATTTCGAGTTGGTGAATTTTGCCTGTGGCATGGTAATTGCTTTTGATTGCTAGGTCATAAAATGGAGAATCATCAAAAGGAAGCAGAAACTGGGCAGAAAAGAGGCTTAGAGACATGCCAAAATCATGCAAAATGGAGGAAGAGGAGTCGATGATGAAAACAAAGAAATGTTGGGCTGGATAGAATTGTTGTGCTAAATATGGAAATAATGAGGGACCAAACGCTCAAATGCATCCAAAATCATGTCTAGTGCCCGCCTGCAAATGATGGGCGGAGCCAAAAATCATGTCTGAAGACGAAGGATTTCAGGAAAGCTAGGAGAGACATCACACAAGGAGAGGAGACAGAAAGAGAAGAGGAAAGACCAAATGAGGAGGAGAAATATGAGGCAGTTCATCGGTCGGAGGAAGCTGACTAGTGAATCAGGATATAGGAATATGAGGTTGCGAGATTGGAGAATTTGGAGACAAGGAACGCGCGATCTCCGATCGGACGAGGCAGTTCAGATGCTACTGAGGCCCGTAGTATGCTCCACTGTTAGCGCCAGGAGGATGGGGGTAGTAGAAAGTGGTACCAGGAGGCGTCATCATACCGCCCATGCCAACCACCCCGCCCGCAGCTTGGCTCTGACCCTGAGCACCATAATTGGCATCGGTGTACATCTGATTGGCATCGTAGAAGTAGACAGTGCCATTGGATTCATGTGCAACAGTCCCGGGTTGTGAGCTTTGATCTGCCGGTGGAGGAGGGACCATATATGGCATGGGCTGCGGGCCAGATGGGTAGCTCGGCACTGAAATGCCAGGACCCATCGGCCCGTTGTAAGGCGGATATTCCATCCCAGATCCAGGGTAGTAAACAGGACCTGGGTGGTATCCGGGGTAGAATCCTGGTGCCTGGTAGCCATAAGGTTGGAAGGGCTGAGCATGAATTGCCCGCTCGGGTATCTGCGAAAGGGGGGTCTTGGAGAGTTGACTTGGTGGACCTTGTTGAAGATGCTCGGGGCCAGAGCCAGAGATGGTAAGAGGCACCTGATGATGAAAAGGTTGCTCCTGCTGCGGTTGTGGAGGATTGAAGGGGAAGCTAGCAGGACTTTCGATGTCGGCTACGGACACTGTCTTCTGAGGTCGCGGTTGGTGCATGGGGATAGGCGCTGGACGACTCTCACGATAAGCTGGGTGAGCAAACGGGACGGGTGGCATGGGGCCTGCTGGATGTCCCACGCCCAGAGCGGCAGGGGGCACGACATGAGGTGGACGAGAGGAAGGTGGCAATCGAACAACGGGCTTGTTGACGTCTGGAACTACCATCGCAGGGCGAGAGTAGACCGAACCTGCTGGGGAAGGGTAACCGTCTTGCGAGACAGACATTCCCAGAGAAGATCGCCGGCTGACACTGAGTACACTAGGAGTGTATGCGGTGTAGTAGCTGGATCTTCGACCAGTATAAAAACCACCACCACGACCTCGCCCGCGGTAGCTCTGTTGATTGGGTCGGAAGGCACGGGGTATAAATATAAATGAACGCTCAATGGACGGATAAATGTAGCGTGGGGACTGGCCAGGAAGCGAAATGCGAACTGGTTTGTCGCGGCGCAAAGGAGGACGATGTTCAGGCAGACGAGTGTGTTGTTTCTTGGGGATTGCAGGGAATTGTTTTGACTGTGACATGCCGGGTAAGAATACGACAACTGGAACATTGCCTATCAATGTGGTGCTGGAGAAAGTGCGGTTTGGAGGCTCGGATCGAGGCGCGGTTGGGACGTGATGTAGAGGTGGATTGTGTCCAGTCGCTGCGGTTCCCTGCTTGCGAGGTAGATTGTCGTCTGCCACTGTTTCGTGGAGGTCGTGCGTCCATTGCCCTTCGCTTGCATCGGCCTTTGCTGTCGAGTTTCTGGTCGGTGAGCATAAACGGTCAGCAAAAGGTCGTCTCAATTCCATACCCTGAAAGAGAAGGGGCCATACTTGCGAGAGTTCCCATCCACAATCAAGCCGACAGGTTTCGACTTGCCCTTGTTGAAGGGGCGGTGGTTGTTTGATCCGGACTCTGAGGTACGCTTATCGTGAAGAAAGAAGCTTCCTCGCGTGGGTACAAATGCCGGGTTCTGTTCTCGCTCCTTTGAATATTTCTCATGCTCTCGGCGCTTCTTCGCAGTCAAAGGTTCCCGCTTGGAGTCTGGAGGTGGCGCTGAAGGTGTTCGGCCCATTTGAGGATCCCGTTGTTCCACCATCTCGTCGAAGTGAACCGCATCGCCATCATCAGACATTTTCAAGCCATTCAACATCGCTTCTGTGTCTGAGACAGTCATTTTCAGTCCCGGCTTCCTCGCCGGTGCAGAAGCTTGCTTTCGAGCCTGGTTTGCATCCCCGTCGCTAGCCTTTCCATTCTCAACATCATCCGCGGCCACCTTTTCTGAGACTTCTTCATCGACATCGCTGACGTCTCCTTCAGCATCGTCGTCATCGTCATGGTGACTGCCAATCGAGCCCTCGCTCGATGAGTCGTCTTCTAGTTCGCCAATCTGAGAGCTCTCATCTTCGCCTTCGTCATCTCGCCTCTGTCTGCGACTTGCTCCAATATGTCGTCGGCTGGGAGCCATGGTCTTGGCACGAAAATAGGACTAGCAACAGCTCCAAGAGCTCTTCTTTTGCTGAGCTGGCTTGTAGCTGGCCAACCAGGAAGGGATGAGCAGGGTTGATTCGAAGTGCGGCGAAGCCAATTAGGCTAAGCAACAGGTGCAACGGGTGAATCAGCGACTCTAGTGGTTCGATCCTGGGAGCTTTGAGTCAGATCTTGCCTCAGTTGAGTGATAGCTCAGATGAAATGAGCAGATCAAGGGGGAAGAGACGAGATGATGCAGACAGGTAATCATTTGAAGCAGATATTCCATGACTGGGCATCACATTGCAGAGACGTCACCCCAAATAAGGCTAGCGTCGAGCGGTGAGGTTGTTTCTGCCTGGGCTAGATAGATCTACGGATCTCATTCCCTTTCGGCAACAATTTAAGCTACTTTGTTTACAACGAACGCATCCTCCGTTGGAAGGGCTGAGGAATACCTGCGCGACGGACGATATATTATCTGACATACTCAAGTGTGTCCAGATCTGATAAAATGTCCTCACGGCGCACTCTCTCAGATCTATTACAAAGCCTGATATCCACGTCATGGTTCATGCTGCGCGGCGTACTGCACTCTCCAGTAGTGTATGACTGTAAACAACACCCCTGATCGATTGACAGGGCTTGCCTATTCTACAGCTTCAGGCTAGTATTACTAGGCCACGGCTCACTACAGAACACAAATTTTGGATTTTCATGCGGGCTTCTGCAGAAAGGGTATCAGAGAGTCTCGAATTTGGCCCTGGTTTCGACTTTTAGGTTTAAGCACAAGAATCTGTTCAGAAAATGTATGGCGGCTTGTCTAATCCTGAGGCCACAGCATTTAGGTGGTCCAATATCTGCCCTTGTTGTAAGTGTGTCAGGCAAATCAGGACCGATTTATACAGCACGGCCGCTTTGCAACGGGGAGTTGACTCTTCAGTCAAACGTAACCTTCTTGCCCTGAGCTTCAACGATAGCACCGCTCAGTCGCTGAACAGTCTCCTTGGAGTACCGCGATTCGTCAACTGAGGGACGTCTCTGTTTGCGGGGACGGGCCTGTTCCGCTGACGGCTCAGTACCTGCTTCGGTGATGGCGGGTTGGTCGTTCTTTCTTCCTTCACCGTCCTTGCCAAAACGCTTCTTGTATCGGGTTGTTGCATCCTCGGCAAATTCAAGCTTCAAGCGACGGCCCAGAAGTTGGTTCACCCAGATCCGGCGTTGGAAAGGCTTTTTGGTCTTCTTCTTAGGTTTTGACTTCGCTTTCTTGGTCTCTCCCTCTGAATCTGAGTTTCCGTCGGATTGCTGCTGCTCCTCCTCAGCTTCTTGCTCTTCATCATCCTCCTTCTCCATCACGAATCCCTTCACTGCGGATTCTGCGGCGGCAATGTCTTCGAATTCCACCCAGGCATATCCTTTGCATTTTCCTGTGTCCTGGAAAGTGGCCATGTGCACATTTGTGACTGTTCCGCACCTTGCGAAATGTGCCTCCAGCGACTCTTTTGTGACATCGAAGCTCAGGTTTCCCACAAAGATACGTCGGGAGGGAGGATGGCCAGGCTTGGCAGTAGCGGCAGCGCTGGTTTGTTCAGCTGATTTCTCGGGTCGACCTTCGAAACTGTTCGCGTTCTTGATCAGCACACGGCGGCCAGCGAGTAATTGCTCGCTCAGGCCAATGGCTTCCTCTAATGCCTTCTTCTTGGAAAAATCGATGTAGGCGAAACCTCTGTTCTGCGGACGGCCGAACTTTTCGGGTCCTTTGGGGAGATGGATTCTCGTAATCATTTCGTTGGTGACAGAGCAGTTGTCAATAATGAATTGCCGGAGGTCGTCCTTGGTAGTGTTGAATGACAGATTTCCGATCCAGATTCCGTACTGAGAGCGCTTTCCCTGCGAATCGTCGGTGTCCTTCGGCTCAGAGGACTCGGCAGTAGCGGGGGCAGTAACATTGGCAGAGGATGTTTCGATTTCTTGAGTCTTTGAATCCACGCTCTTTCCCTTCTTGGCCTTTCGCAGTGCCTTCTTCGATGGTGGCTCAGGCGCGCCAAGGTCGATCTCCAATTCAGGGCCGTCCTGAAGCTTACGCTTTTTCAAGCTTGATTCGGAAATCTCAGCCATGATGAATTTGAGGGGAAAAATTCTCAATATCACTTATTCGGTGTGAATGTTGGGAAATGGTCTGCCAGAGAGAAAATTAAAGTCATTCAATTTCCCCAAATTTTCGGGTGAATCTGCGATTTTTTTACGGCGGCCATTAGTCACCAGTCGCGCAAGCCCTCTGTAGCACTCGGCGCGCATCCCGAACCAGCTCGTAACCAAACTTCCTCCCTTTACAAGCTCATTAAAGCATCGATCCCGCAGGCTCATCATCATATACCCAATAAATTGAGACAATGGCGGACGATAAAACCGACTCGAAGCTCTCCATGGACACCAGTCTTGACGCAACCGAAACTCCGCACGCCAAGCAGTCGATACACTCTTTCAAGTACGGTCCTTCTTGCTCTTGCACTGGGAGCTTCGTGCTAATTTTGTTCTTCCAGGAAGAAATATGCCAAGCTCAGAATGAAATTCACAAAACAGGAGTTGGAAAGTGAGGCTCTCATTCGCGAAGAGTTGCGCATCGAAGATCTCTCGAAACGCATTCAAGAACAAAACGAGTGAGTCGAGGCCAGAGCGAAGGATTGAATCTCCTATTCGATGCGGGCAGATCCTAATTGAGCTACAGTCAACTGCTGGAGATTCTTCTCGAGTTCAACGAAAGCCTACACTTACCTCCTTCATCACGCTATGATCTGAGCATGCCCGATGACACTCCCTTCCTTCCTCCAACCGAACAAGAAATTACGCCCTTAGTCAATGACTCCAAGCTTGCCAAAACAGCTTTGAAAGAGGCCAAAGCCGAATTAGCCAACGGTACCCTCTCGGCCAGTGCATACCGCCAAGTCGAAGAAAGTGTGAAGAAAAACAAAGACTTTGCTCCTGCTTTGCAATATCGCAAGTTAATTCAAGTGCCCCACACCGCAGCCAGTGCCTTGGAGCAAGAACGAGGATCAAATGGCGTACGACGAACCCTTGGGTATCTTACACCTGAACGCGAGACCGAATGTTACTTGGCTCTAGATGCCAAGCTTGGCGACGAGACAGCCATCACGCAACTCGCGCGCATTCCGGAACCACCCACCTTTGCAGAGCGCGAACGCGAGGCAGTGCTGCGCAATCCTGCATCAGTTCACAATTGGCTACGACGCAATCAGCCACAGAATCTACAAGAACACGAAGTGGCGTCCGAAAAATCGACGTCGCGTCCGTCCAACGTACGCTCATCTAAGCGGGCCCTTGCCCAGCGCAAAGATGAGGAGAACTATGACGAGGAGGGAATTGAAATTGAGCCTACTCCTAAGAACAAGCGTAAGCGCGAAGAAGATGCTGGGTATCGCCCAAAGGGAGGCAATAATCGCTCGAAAAAGAAAAAGGACGAAGGGACTACCAGTCGCAGTGGCAAGAAGGCATAGTTTCAAGTCCGACGCAATTTTTTCTTACAATAGCATCTTTGATTTTTCTGCACCATTGGATCTTTGCGTGGAGGATTCTTGCTAGCATGCTTTCCATATTTATATTCCAATACGCCGCTGATGGTTTCGACTCGATCCCTTTTTCGAATCATTTACCGAATTTGTCTCTGTAAAGGCAGGGATTATTATTTTCAAAGCACGTCCATTGTAATCGAATCACAACATGTGTCAATTGCACTCTTCAAGGTTATATGTTGTAGTAGAAGCAGAACTCCCAACAAAGCCAACGCTGAAAGCGACGGGCCGGACTTGAAGCTCACGGAAATCGAATCTTTGCACAAATGGTTTTTTTTGGCGAATGACATATTTATTCGGTTTGAGATTCTCTGGCTCCTCAACGTGTTCTTCTGTCTTTCTAGTGTTCGATCTCTCGTTTTCAAGGCCACGAAATGACGAACGTTTTAAAATCTTTTTGAATCACAGGTTCTGAAGATCATTTCTCCAACCCCATAAAATCAAACCAAGGCGCAGGTGGGTTTACCCTCAAGTGTTAGTGCAATGTGGATCCTGCGGGTACGATCACGTGAATAGCAGAAAGTCTCGGACTCGCTCAAGCATAGCCCAAGTATTCCCAATATCAATCCAAGTGCTATTCTTGCACTCATCGCTTGTCCGATATTATGGGAATTACAATCCTGCCCCCTGTGTCAGACGACATTATCCCTCGTCATGAGGACGACTCGGATGACTCCATGTCTGTTGATTCCGACGAAGATGTTGAGATGAGCGGCTTGCGGGCTCCGAAGCGGGCCCGCATTGGGAATCAGACCTTGTCAACCGGCGTCGTCACACCCGGTGAAGTTGTTACAGATGATCCGCAATGGATGAGGTGAGTCGCACTAAGTTCTTGAACAAACATGCCCTAGTTGCGAAGGGGATCAAGTCGAGCTTCGCTCACGGGTCAATGGTCCTTCCAATCATTTCTTTCGACGTCTAAATGGATATGGAGCTAATGCAATTTTTATAGAGGTCACGGCACGTACATGACTCCCTTATCAACCTCTATCATTGCTACTGTTGCCGGTACGGTTCAAAAAAACAAACAAGCTTCTTTCTGTCCACCCTCTACGTGCCCGCTATACACCCGAAATCGGTGACCTGGTCGTGGGTCGTATTGTCGAAGTTCAATCGAAGCGATGGAAGGTTGATGTTGCCGCTCCACTTCTCGCTCAATTACCTTTGTCTGCGATCAATTTGCCCGGTGGTATTCTTCGTCGGCGAACCAGCTCCGATGAGCTTCAGATTCGAACATTTTTCAGTGAGGGCGACCTCGTGGTCGCTGAGGTGCAGAGCGTGCATCAGGATGGAGCGGCTTCTCTTCACACGCGCTCGCTCAAATATGGAAAATTACGCAATGGGGTCTTCCTTGCTGTGACTGGCACGGGCGGTAGCGGCGCATCGAGTAACAGTACGAAGGGTGGTGTGGGTTCAAATTCCCTGCGGCCTGGAGCGGGCAGTGGTATGGGCGGTGTTGTGCGGTCCCGTCGACAAGTCTGGACCATCAACACGCATAATGGTGGTGGTGAGGTCGATGTCATCCTGGGAGTGAATGGATACATTTGGATCTCTAAGCACGCGGATGGCACAGCCGCGGCGTCTTCTGCGACGGAGAATGTGTCTATCACGCGTATGGAGGAAATGGTGTCCACGTCGATCTATTCCAGTCAGAATGACGAGATCATCCCTCAGACTCGTCGGGAGATTGCTCGACTGGCACAGTGCATTCAAGTTCTGGTGCAGAGTGGTATTCGGGTCGACGAAGAGACCGTGATGAGCGCTTACGAGGCTAGCTTGCAGGTTGATCTTGAGGTCGGCGATGAGGATGATGAAGATGAGGACTCACGACACGAGGGACGGGAATATCTAGAGGGTGCTAAATCACGGCGCATTCTGGAGTTGGTTGTTTAGCAGGTCAAATAAGAAGCCTACGCTCTCTTGACTCTGACTCGATCATGTTGCCTGTTCTCTCCTTCTTAATGGTTGTTCTCGCTGGAGTTAGTGATACCCTGTCATGATAAAAAGACAAAATCCACAAAATTTCAACCGATCCGAGTCAAGATTGATTCTCTGCTCATTAGTCAAGTGCCGAGGCGTCTAGTCGTCGATTGTCCGTGGGCTGCAGATACTCCACGAGTCCATCTTGCCTAATCAATCATGATCTGTGTTAGACACCAATCTTTCTTTGTCTGAATATTCCGTTATCTTCTCAGTGTCTATTGCTATTACGGAGAAGTTCACAGTGCGCAATATACGAAGTTGGTTCCGTGTTTTCTGGGATATGATCCCCCGCCTTTTCCGATCGACTCGCAACCGCTGCGCCGCGATCCAAGAAACACCGAATCCGTGAGAAGGGCCGACTCGGGTACGATCGACGGACAACTGGCAAACCACGGTTGAGCTTCAAGTCAGCTTCGCTTCAGGGTGGCAGTTGACAATCCGAGGCCAACTCGTAAAATGCCGCACTGTCAACTCAAAACTCGAGCTCATTACTCAGGCAAGGTAAAAAGTCACGGTTTCATAAGTGTAATTGAAAAATAGCCTGTGTACCTAGGTAATAGGATATCGTTGTACTGCTTGTCGCCGCCTACAGTCTAGGTACAGTCTTCACTGCTACAGTAGATGTACTTCGGATTAAAGTATGAGAGAGCTCACGGGCGGGCGTTTTGGGTGTGGAGGATGTCTGAATTTTTACTTCGAGTTAGCTTTTATACTAGATCTGAGCTGTGGTATATCATTGTGCTTGCTTTAGTGCTCTTGGTCTGGCGCTGTTTGGTTTCATCATGAGAATACTACTTAAGTTAGTTAGTACTTAGTACTTACTAGGTAGGTTGGGGGTTCTGCTTTGTGTGGGAGCCTTACTTTTGTGACTTGTATTCATGACAATAATCAGAGGTAATATATTGACACATGTGATGTACAGGATCGTAAGTCACTGGAGCATTATACACCGTAAGAGACTGCACAAGCGTGCCGTGGTACAATAGCTGTACAACTGAGGTACCGCGTTCAGATGAACCGACGACCTATTCGAGTAATTGTCGCCTACTCGGAGCCTTGGATGATCCCCTCACTGAGCAAACTTCCTCTTCCAGTCTTCTTGTTCTTATTTTGCTTTTGCCTCCTCCTTCCTCCTTCCTCCTTCCTCCTTCCTCCTTCAACCTCTTTCCCTTCCACCCCACCTCATGTTTATCCAGCAAGACGATGTCCTTTCTGAAACTACCCATCGCCAAGTTTCGCTTCGCCATAGCTCCATTCCAATAGGATAGTCTTGCCACCACCCTACTTCAACCTTCCTCCATACCTCACTTCTTCCTCGATTTTCCGCTACCCAGCGCCTGCTGAGCTTGTCGTCGCTTCCTGGTAGCTTCTTTTTCCACGCGCACCACACGTCTTCTCCTTCCACCCTTCGATCCCCCCATCATGCCCGATCTTCGTCGCCAGGTCCTGGAGAGCGGCAAGACCGTCTCGCGCAAGGCTGCATCTCGTGAGGCTTCCCGCACCAACTCCCGCAGCAGCTCGAAGCAGACCTCTCTCCAGTCCTCGCGCGCGGCCAGTCGACAGGCGTCCGATGATGAGGAGTCAGGCTTCCTGTCCGACGACACTGCCCTGAGGTGAGAGCTTTTCACGTCACTTAGCACTCCATCGTTCCATCACCTTGCCATCGCCTTCCCCTTACTTTCACATCACATGTCCCGTCACTTGCTCCCACTGTATCCCGCCGTCCTTTTTTTTCGATCTCACATTCAAATCCTTTCATTTCGCCCCGCCTCCGCCGCGCGGGCCCACTCTCTCCGGGATGATGTCATGTGCTTGGTCTGACGCCCGTTCGGAGCATGTGCTAACCACTTTGGTTTGATAGTATCGGCTCTCTTGACGATGAGAATCCAGAGACGGAAAATGTCGACTGGCCTCAGGAGCTGAGTGATCGCGTCGCTGAGATCCTGGACCGCAAGCGCAGCAGCGTTCAGGGTCGTGAGGAGGCACTGGCCGCTTTCTGTCGCCTCACCAAGTACCACTACGCCGAGGAAGAAATCCGACCCTTCGTCTCCGACTTGCTTGCCGCATTCGCAAAAAGCATTCGAAGCGAATCGAGCGTACGTGAGGCGACACTAGCCCTGCGAGCCATCGAGCTGCTTGTCATCACCTCTTGTGATGACAAAATCTACGACAATGCGGAGCCACTCCTCACTCGCTGCATCCGCGACTCGACTTCGACGGCCATCAAGGCGGCGGCAATCTACTGTCTCGGCGCCTGCTCCAACTTTGGAGGTGCGGGAGAGGAGGGTATTCTCGAACAGATGACCTTCCTCCTTGACATCATCGCCTCGGACGGACAGTCTATCGATGCTGCCGACGATGCGGTCAGCGTCACTGCCGCCTTGCATGTGTGGGGCTTCCTTCTCTCGGAGGTGGACGATTTCGAAGAGGAGAGCGAAGAAGCGGTTCAAATTTTCATGGACCAGCTTGACTCGGGCGACTCGGGCGTTCAGATTGCTGCGGGTGAGAATATTGCGCTCCTCTACGAAAAGAGCTACACCCCCAGGAAGATGACGACGATGAGGATAGTGAGGAGGAAGAGGGCGGAAGCGACGAACAAGAGAGCAAGGATCTCACAAGTGGCCCGAAGCTCATCAAGCGATACAACGCGTATCATAACACCGCTGAGCTGGAACGTCAACTCGCCAACCTCGCGACCATTCATTCCAAGCGTATCAGTAAGCGCGACAAGAAGTCCCTCCACAGCAACTTCACCTCGATTCTCACCACAGTCGAAAATCCTCGCCGCGGCCCTCGATACAACATGGCCATCGACCAGGCCACGAACAAACACTACGGAAGCACTCTGACAGTGAAGATCGGGCGACACGGTGTCATGAGGATCGATCGATGGTGGAAGTGGGTGCGGTTGACATCCTTGCGCCGTATCCTGCAGGGTGGCTTTGCCGAGCACTATTTCCAGGGCAATCGGGCTGTCCTAGATAATTTGCCGGTGATGATGCGTATGCCCAATGCCAGTGGATCGGGCGATCGTCCGGCGGCGAAGAAGGCGGCGAGGATGCGTAACGCGAAGCGGTGGACTGGTCCTTCTGACGATGACGAAGAGATGGAGTAGCCGTCTTTATGTGTTGTCAGGGGCCCGAATCCCTTTTGGCTTCCTAGACGGTTTTACGCCGTTCACTTTGGGCAATTGATCCTTGTTCCGTGGCATATGCTTGTCTTTTTTTTCCGTTTTTCCTTCGGCCCGGGGTCTCTGTCAGGTCCTTTGTGTGGTGTTTGGTGGGTATGTCTTTATTCTTTCGATCATTTTTGAGGATACCTTGACGATCGGTTCTTCTTGGTCTTGTGATGAGGCAACAGGTCTAGCTTGTTGCGATGGGATTCTTGACCGTGGAAGCAACCTTATTGGGTTGGATATGTACAGCATGCCACGGCCGGTGTGCAGTCTTTGTGGATAAAGACTGGGTTCTACAAATTCAAGTTACCATCTTCCTGAAGAGTAAAGTAATGCATCATTTGCGGAGGGTCTTTAACCCTGCGAAATAAATGCAAGATTCGCGCTGACCGGCACGGTCGTGATTTTTATAAAGGCTTGCAGGCGTGTCAGCCAGAGCATGACAAGACAAGTCCAGCTGAGGTGAGCCAACAGTTGACCTCGTACATCCATATAGATACTTGCTTCTACTTGGCAGGTGTCAATCGATTCTATATAGCTACCGGAACGTAGTGGACGTTTTGTTGTTCGCAGATCTATTGTAAAGGGGTTATATCGAAGGACCTTCTGATCCCGGTCTGGTTGCGCCGGGCATGTTCGCCGGAAGGACCCAACGGCTCTGGCCAGGATATCTACCTGTGAGGGTCGGCCTCGGGAGATTGCACTATTATCCAGAACTTTACCATAGTGAATCGACTCAGTCGAGTACGGAGTACGATAGATAGATGGTTAAAGAAAAGACCGCTCTTGCTCCACCCATGAGAAGTCCCATATGGCTCGCTGAAGGACTATATTTATTTGTGTATTATACTTTCTTATACATAGAAGAGGTTGAACCTTCCATAACCTCTGCTACATCGACGGGTGGTTTGGACTCTCTGAGGGGGAATTGGAGACCGGAGACGAGACTGAAAATTGGAGACAGCAGTAGTTCCGGAGAAATTCCATGGAAAATGCGTGGCGTACTGGCGGCCTTTTGCGCTCTTATAGTTCCACGGTAGTGTAGGAGACAAGGAGTAAGATAGAGGTTGGCAGGCCGCAGGTACAGTAAGGCATGCACCCCGGACTGCAGGAAGAGCACAAAATTGGTATATAAATACAAAGTACGTCATGTTTTCCAACAAGTGCTCTATTAGTGTAGTGGTCTAGCACGTGAGATTTTGACAGCATCCTATCTCCGGATAGGCATCTGGTCTTCTCAAGTCCCAGGTTCGAACCCTGGATGGAGCTTGTTTCTTTTTGCTTTTTGGGTTGGACTAAATCTTTTTGTTCCAACTTCCAACTTCCCACTTAACTGACATCCACACCATTTGGGGGGAGGGGGATTTGTGATTATCCGGATGAATATGCGTACGCCGTGTAGTAAGTTGATCTATTTTTTCGAGCGCTTCTTTTTTTTCTCTTTAAAAGAAAGGGAAGAAAGAGTACCATGTCCTTAGGGTGGGCTTGAAATGGTCCGTAAGGCGGTGTTCGTCGGAGGTGGATGGATGAGCTGTGTTATTTCGTTCGCGGGCTCAGAGTCCAGCTGGAGGTGAGGTGTAATTTATACTCTGGAATTTGTAGTCTGCCGTCTGTAGTTTGTACTCTACACTACAGTACATCAATGCACCAAGGGCTTCTTCGCATTGGAAACTCCCTGTTTGTATAGTGTATACTCAATCCCATGTGCATCCAGCATCACGACTCAAAAACAGGAATAACATCGGTCCAAGTTCCCCGGGCCCTCTCGTCCCAATATCCTTCCTTGCCCCCCTTCAATCGCCACACGACCTCTCCACCATCCGAGTCCTCGCTCACTCTCGTGAACCAACGAGGAGTCCACGTCTGCCCGGCAGCTTCCATCTCCCGTCGACGTGCGCGTTGGCCCTCTTCTAATTGTACTTTGACTTCCTCTGCACGGTCAAGGTCCCCTTCTTCCAAGGCGCGCTGGTCCGGACGAAGTCGCGAATCAGTCACTGGCAGATGGCCCTCCTCAATCGATGTGATCTCATTGAGTGCTGCGGCAAAGGCAGTCAATCCGTAGTGTTTGGGTGCGTTTGGAACGAGCGGACCGGCGGTCCAGATGGGTTTCCCGGAGGGACTCCCGTCCCGGGTGAGACTCAGCGAGGCGGGCCATGTGCCAGTCAGACCCAGCGAAACGGGAGAGTTGTAAGAATCGACTGCGCGCGTGGTGACTTCCTCGCTGCGACCGGAGAACATGCCGCCAGATTTGAAGGTGGAGATGGACCGATGGCCGGTGGACTCGTTGGTCACGGCCAGCTCGCCGACGGGTTCGACGTATTTCTCGCCAGCGATGATATTACGAAGGAATGAAGTGGCAGGAACCCAGCTGAATCGGTCGCCCGTTGAATGCAGAGTGACTCGAACGCGACCCTCGGTTGTAATTTCAGCAGATTTGCCCCAGAACTTTTGACTAGGTTTGGGAGACTGGGCCAGACTCCATTCGCGGCTGTCGGCTTGATACGCAAGTTGCACGGGTCGATGAGATACTTTCTCGGCGATGAAGCGGAAGCCCTGATCCTCGCGGACCAGCTCATACGTTTCGCCTAGCATGGGATTGAAGGGTTTGCGGATCGAACGTTCTCGGACTCGATTGCTCGAGAGCATCGAGATTGCAAAGGCCGTGACGTACATGAGGCGTTCGACAGGATCGGAGACTTGTGCAGCTTGATCGAGAAGGGTGGAATACTCGAGAATCTCGGCGGCTCGCTGGAGCAGGGACAAAGGTTCGTTGGCAGACACAGGCATGGATATCGTAGATAAATCCTTGCCCACGTTCCTGCGGAGGAATCCAATCAGGCTGGGAGGGAGGACTGTGGGTGCGGTGATATTCTGACGACGCCGGACTTTGTCCAGTGGTAACGGTGCGAGTGATTTAGGGCGAGCTGGGAACAAAGGAGATGCAGTACTGGTATCGTGCAGGGTGGCAGTGTCAGCCTCGTCCTCACTGTCTGAAGGCGCATCGTCCTCCACGTTCTCCGCAGCGTCCTCCACTCGATCCCCGCTCGCCTCCTCGTCATCACTGTCCTGAATTCGCAAGAACGGAGAATGTGAACCCCCGTCCGGTGCATCGAAGAATTCTTGCGAGATGTCCGATTCCATACTCTTCCGGGAAGCAAAAGTAGGCCGTGGGGGAGCTCGGCGCTGCTTGCTTTCCGCAATCAGAGTGGAAAACTCGGATACAACATGGTCGAGATCGGACAGGACGGCCATGAGATGATCGTGTATTTCATCTACTCCTTCTGTATGGCTGTGGACACTGGCAGGCCGCCCGTTCGTCTCAGACTTGGGTACCACCAATTGAGACGAACTGGAGTTGGTTTGCTCGGGTCCAGCTGGTCGTCTGGAGCTAGCTTGTGAGTTCCCACTCGCTTTTCGCTTCCAGAACGGCCGCTTGGGATCGAGACCCGACGCGTCCTGCGAGCCAGATCCTGCTCCTGGGTTGGGACTGGGAGATCGGCCTCGACCCCGTGATTCCCCGGGGCCCGGGGAAGGAGTCGGAGCGGCCATATATTTGGGATCGGTATCCCTGGCCAGCCGGCGCACGGCATCTCGTGAGCCAGAGACCTTGCTCACCAGCCGCTCCACCCGAGTCCATTCAGCCTCCTCGGCAGGCGAAGGGTACCCTGCGCTGGGCAAACGAAGCTGCGGCGGTACACCCGCTTTCGCTGCGGCTCCAGGGCCTGCCACGGAGAGTTCATTTGGTCGAGGCGTATCCTTTGATGATGCTTTCTCCAGGGCACCCTTCCACGCCTCAAAGTCCGCGTCATTGCTCGCACGCAGATGCCAGATCTCCGTTCCCGAATCGATCGACATCTCCCGTGTCTTCTCGTTGGTCGCCACAGCGGCAAGCGAGAGCGGAATGGCACCGCGGAGGGCGGACGAATTGGGGTCATGATAGTAGGACAAGGTCGACGAAGTATAGTCCAGAGAAAAGTACCGACGTGCCCAGCCCTGGTGTCTCTTCCGCCGACGCTTTTGCAAGATGCCTGTATGCACCGATGTGTCCGACACCTGCACGCTCAGAGTAGACTTGCTGCGCCCGCGCGTGCGAGACTGGGGCAAGGAGTCTGACGAGCCCCCCGCGGGAGAGCGCGCGATAGAGGAGGGCTTTGATCCATGTGGTTGCATGCCCGTGGGATACTTCAGGAGCACCAAGGTGACGGTCTTGGAGATCTGTTTGGAAAAAGTGTTGTCAAAGACGAGGGCGTAATTACCCGCCTCTGCGGCGGGGACATCGTAGGTGCCCTGTGAGATGCGATCGGCCTCACATTTCCCATACCATTCGATCTGTTTCAATCCGATGGCGGTCAACTTCTCGATCACCGGAGAGGGTTGATTGCGGGCGCCGGCCGCGGGGAGGTTCTCGTTCGAGGCGGTGCTCTGTGAGTCGGAGGCGGGTAATTGTGAAGTCAAGCTGGATTGACCGGGGTGTTTGAAGAGGCCAAAGTTGACGGATTTCTTGTGAGGTTGGATGCTCCAGGAGATGGTCTGGTTTGCGCCGACATTGATCCAACGCACAAAGTAGGACTACACGAGCAGAGGCGAGCTGAGGAGTCAGCTTCCATGGGTGATCTCTCATTCATGTCTCTCGGCACACACCACGCCCTCCTCGAGCGTGAACCTGTGAAGGTCGTGGGCGAGGGGGAACCACAACTATGGAGGGTCTGACCTTGCTATGTATCTCGAGCTCCTCCATTGCCGCCATGATAGTGAAAACAATGCCCCTGAAGCCGACCAGGGAGACTGACCGGGCAAGAGAGCGAGCTGGCGCTCGTGAATGAAATCAGGTACAGCCGTCGCGATCCGGGTGGAGTTGCGGATTGGAGCGAGTTTGGGGGGGGGGAGAGGTCTTTGATTTTAAGAAGAGGGCGGGAGAGAGTGGGTTACGATGATGATAGGGCGGACCCAAGAGACTGAACGGGGAAGCCGAAGAAGGGGAGGAGAGGACAAAGAAGAGAAGTTGCAAGTTGCTGGCTGATGAGTTGATTGACAAGAGAGGATCGTATACAATAATAATGTACTACTACTAGTTAGGGTAGTGCCTAGTCACGTCTTCTTGTACATGACGTGTGCCCAGGAGGGTCATGTGAAGCGGTAGATTGATGATGACCAGGACGAGGAATTAAAACGCGGTGGAATTTCTCAGATACGCAGAGGTCAGGACTGACTCTCAGAATGCAGTCTGTAATCTGTACAGCTGTACAGCTGTCGTCACCGAGTTGGGCAAGGTACCTCCAGTAGTCATTTTGGATTTGAGCCTCCTGCCGAAACTGAATGATGTACAGAGAGACTTTTGATGCAGGATGGACGGGCGGGGGCAAGAGCTGTCAGAATTCAGGCCAGCCGCTGCAGCTGCAGCTGGTCCTTGCTATGTTCGGTTACTCTACATTGAACATTATGATTATGATTATGAATAATCGCAATAGTAATCATAATGATATTATCATTATTACTATGAAACCCCCGCAATACAAGGTGGCGACTGGCTGTCAGAGGCCGTCCTTGCCTATTTGGTCTCTTCGGTCCTGAGGTACCGCTCCTTCCGGGACTTGGTTGGCTAATACCAGTAAGTTAGCAGCTGACTGGTAACGTTATGCATGGGAACCAAAGATGAAGCTACCATGGATACGTACTACTATTCTTATGAGCACAAAACATTGAAAACAATAGCAACGACAAATACCTCGCGCCCATCACATCGATGCCAAAGAGACCCAAATTGTCTCTGACTGACCTGACCCAGCAAAATCACCACTGCAACCAGAACTCCTAGACCCGTCACAACGCGCGGTAGAGTTGTCGAAGTATGGACGCTCCTCGTGCCCATCAACATCGATCGCTATCCGCAGCCCACGCAGGCCACGCAGCAAGCGAGGCTGAGTGTCTCTCTCAGCCCGGTTCCAAATACGGTAGAAATCGCGCGTTCCAGCCTCTTCCAGCCCTCGGACCGTCCAACCTCCTCAATTCGGCGCTCGGCGGATCGGTCCTCGCGGACCCCCGAAGAGCGTGCGCCGTACGGGTGCTCCGACTTCCGAGGCCGTCCGTGTGGGAGTCTGGATTTGCGATGACCAGCTCCTGAATGAAGATGGTCACGGGATCATCACATGCTGGCCTCGCTGCTCTTCAGGAACGCTCAGTCAATCACCCATCAGAGTGGGAGGGAGAGAAGTCCAATGGTGCTGACGGGCTAGCCAGATACGCGCGGATAGTTTCCCTTTCCGTCCTGTGCATGTTCCTTTCGTGCGAATATACGGCCTGTACCCAACGATCGTCAGGCTTGTGCTTCTCCGAAAAATCCGAATCAGCCATGTCCCTCGGTTGAGAGTTGAAGTGGTGACAGATTTTGCTATTGAAGATAGAATACCTTGGAAACCTGGGAGATTGGCGTGGATAATGATCGTCGAGGTTTTAATACTTGGGCCGAGGAGATCCACAATCCATCATCCGGACAGTTGATCCTTCATCAAGCATAGTGCTTCGCTACATATTGTATACTGCATAGTGCATAGTGCATATAGTAAAGTACAGACAGAAGACGACCCTGCGTGTTACCCTTTGCGAGTCCGAGTAGAAACTAGACAGTGGACTGGACACTTTTGATAATGCGGGATAAGACCGGGTGACACACGCTTAGGAACATGAACTGATCAAATATGATTTGTCTCTGTAACTTGACAACGCGTCCCGTAGTAAAATGCTTTTGACTCAGAAAGAGGGAGATCAAATCAATCAAAGAGACCCAGATTCAGGAACCCGGGGGAGCCTTGGTCAAAACGAGAAGTGGAAGGGGGTGGTGCAAGTGGTGGGGAACGGAGAAACCGAAGATGGCATACAAGATCCTAGGTGAGGTTCGAAGCCGGGAGACAACCCCAACTGGAGGTAAAGAATGTCGAAAATCGAAATAAAAATGGTACATGGTACACTGTACATGGAAAGAGACTTCTGCGACTCAAAAGAGCCCGCTCCTTATCGTCGACTAGCTTGCATGTTGGCAAACATCAACTTGAACCCATTGCACAAAGCCTGCATGTCCGGGTACGGATTCTTCTGCAACTCGTAGCCTTGTGGGATCACCTTGACCGGCCAGTTCTGGAGCCGTGCATGTTCACCTGCCTTGAAGCAGAGGAAGAAGTATCCAGGGTACTTAGGATTGATACAGAAGGCATAGGCCGAGCGACGTGGGTTGGCCTTGGTGTATGTTTCCAACCATTGATCTGTTTTTCGAAAAAGGAAAAGAGAAGACACACACATGGTTAGTATGAGAAGATCTCCAGTCGGTAGCCCCGACAATGTCGAGAGCAAAGAATGTCTTACCTGTCTCGGCCTTGCTGCCCTCCTTGTACTTCTCATTGAGAACCATCTCGTCAACCTTCTTGGCCATCGCCTTGACGTGATTGACAATGAGATCGTCAAGATCGCTGTAGCTGTACTTGCCGCCGATACGCAGCACGCGACCGACGGAATATTCATTCTCCTTGTCCAACTCCAGGACATCAATGTGCTGATAGACACCTTGCGCCACCTTCCACGTCACAGCCAAGTGATCAGGACCCCGAGACGAGGGTCGAATGACCACGTCGCCGCGGGAGCGAGAGCCGAGATATTCTTCGGCTTGCGCCGCATTGAACGGCTTGAAGAGAGGATGTTTGATGACACGCTGCGCCTGATCGGCCTGTTGTCCCTTCTCTTTCATTGACTCCCGGTCCTTGCGCTCTTGCGCCTCATCCCATTCACCGAAGCCGCGGTCTGGCCCGTCGCGGATCGGGTTGCTGACCTGATCCTCGCGAAGGGAGACATTACAGGTGAAACTCTTGCGATTGATGAACATGATCTTGGCCGGCAATGTTTGAGTGGGGAAGTAGACATCTCGAACGGACGTGTCGTAAGGCACCCCGAGATCCGTCTCTGCGACCAGCGCGTCGAGTCCGCAGTCCAACTTTGCATCAATGTGATCCTCAAACACCCGCTTGATCTTGATAGGCACCACCATACCCACCTTGAGCGAGTCCACAGTCTCACCGGTCCACATGGTGAAGACATCATCCGCGCTCATGTGAGCAAAGGGCTTCCGCAGCTCCTCGTATGGCTGTTGCAGTTCGGCACGGATGGTCTCCAGGGTGGCACGTTTGCGCTGATTGAGGTTTTTCTCCAGCTGCTCGGCATACTCCTCCAGAATCAAGTCGTTGACACGATCTTGTTGTTCCTCACGGAACAGTTTGCGCACAATAGCCCCAGGACCATTATCGTCCGTCTCACCTTTGATGTCTTCCTCATCTAGTTCTAGAGCATCGGCCGCCATCTTGCGGGCAATATCGTAGTCTTCGGGGTGCACACGCGTGTTGTCCAAAGGATCCGCGTCCGAATCTAACGTCTCATAATCAAGATAGACGAAACTGGCGCAATTGCTCCATACAAGTGGGGACATCGCAGGGTATTGCACATTGAAACCCAACAGTTCCTGGCGATTGGTCACCTCGCCTCCGTTCATGTTGATGACCTTCAGAAGATGCTCTGACTTTCGTGAACCCAGGCCGCAAACGAATCTGAGCAACATGCCTGTCCTCTGATCGTGAACAGCTTCATTCAGGTCGACACCAACAAGGTTCACCATGTCAATTAGGGCCCTGCGGAGATGCGTGAGCAGTAAGTCTTGGTTGACCAGCTCCTGACCAGGTTTCAAAGGAAGCGCTATGAAATCTGGATCCACGAAGGCATACGACTTCAATGGGCTTTGCAGATAGTGACCCAGCGCCAAAGTGTAGTGAACTTCATAATTGAGAAGCGGATTAAAGTTGTAGGAGCGTGACGTTTTGTGAAAGAGACGGGCGGCTTCATCGTTGACCAAGACGACCTCGAGACGATCGCTGACCTCTTCATCATTTTCATCGGTGTAAGGCGCACCCCGTACATCTTTGAGGTCAACAATGTCGTTTAACATCTTCTGAAGCCGGCGAGTCTCCATCGTTAAGCCGCCCACTCCAATGACGTCGGGCTTTCGGCGACGAATAACGTCCAGGAGCTTCGGGACGTCCACTCCATCTTTAATGCCACGAGCCGGGTCTCCGACAGTTATGTCATCAAAGTAGCCATATTCCAGAAGACGACCGTCTTCTTCGAGGTAGGCCCACGCAATGGTGCCCTTTCCAGGAACATTATTGTAATTCGACAACACCAGAGCCCGTGGTACTGTACCCAGAACCATTCCTTTGGGTTTGTAGGGAGCCTGATCCAGTCGCTGTGAGAACGCGTCCCGGCATTCTTTGATAACATGGATCTCGCACTCCTGTCGAACATTCTCCTTCACGCCGCGATTCATCAGTTGAATCAGCTTCTCAAGCGCCATATCTACCACGTCACGACGAAGACGATTCCATGCATCCGCAACTTCTGAGTAGTTATCGGACTCCATGTCGGCGTACATGCGTCGCTTGAACTGGTCAATGTTCTCGAAGCGGACCCTGACTTCCACCAGACCTTCCTCTTCGGCTTTGAGCATGCGCAGGAACATTTCCGGACGGCGAGCGATATCGCTGAGTTGCTGGTTGCGCAAGTACTTGAACTCGTAGTACACATGATGCTCGTCAATTCGGCGAAGACCCTTCGGGGTGCGGAAGCAGTCGACCACGCCGTTCATGTAACATGCCTGACGAATCACCTTGCGCATCTTCGGGCTTGCCGCAATTTCCTCGGCAAACATCGTCTTGGCTGCCTTCAGGACCTGATCGGAATTCGAAAAGTCGCTATCGACATGCTGATCAGCAAGCTCCTCCGGTCGCTCGCTGGGATCTTCTGTGTATTGTCGTCGGCCTTCCTTGGACGCATTTTGAGCAAACGCATCCGCAGTGAGGCCAAAAGCGCGGACGAGACCGTAAGCCTTGGCGCTGCGCACCCGCTCCGAAAAGCTCTTGTTGGTGGCCTTGCGCCGCTGCGTCTCAACGTTGACTGTCGACATATCGCGGAATTCCGAGGAGTATTGGAAATGGATGTAGTCCTGTACGTCTTGGAGCTCTTCCATGGATTGAGCGGCAGCCAACAATTCCTCTGCTATCGCATCGTTGATGTCAAAGGACGCCTGGAGGCTCTGGTAAGTGTGTTGGATGGCATTACGCTTGTCCACCAGAGCGCGGAATTTCAAATCAAGATCGAATATGTCCCACAGATCTGTCATGTTCAAGAGCTTTTCGGCGCGTATACTGTATTGAGCGGACTCGTCATCAGGATCCGCCCCATTGAGCGGCTCTTTGACCGCATGGATCATGTAATCCTTGCGATGCTGGAAAATGAACGGGACCTCATAACCATCCGTGACCATGAACTCCAGCATCTTTGCCACGGCCCGTTGGAAGGGCTCTCGCAAGTCCGGCTCAATGCGCTTTTTAAGCAGCATCATCTGTGCGACCCAGACTGCTTCCTCGCGGAATTGATCCTCGGTCAGAACCACATGTGCATAGGGCTCACGGGAAATCTGGTGGCGTTCAGGTTCGTCATGGAGACGAACCATATGGTCATAGTCCGTCAACCTCCACTTCTCCAATTCAGACGGCTCAAAGACATCCTTTAGATCAAGGTTGCGGTCGTGATCCTGTTTCTCTTCATCTTCCTGCTCTTCAATGTCCAAGGCAAATCGATAGTCCTCACCATCACCAAACGCCGCGCGCAGATCCTCCATGGCGTTTTCATCCAGACCGGCTACCTCCGCAGCTGCTAGCCCCGGCATGGTCGCCCGCGGGGGCGCTGCGACTTCGAGATCATCCCGCTCACGTTGCATCTCTTCGTCGGAGAAGGTGTCCTCCTCAATGAAGTCGTCCATCTCATCATGTCGGCGGCCACCACGGTGACTGGGTCGGCCGTATTGCGCGGTGGCTTCTTCGTCCTCATCCGAATCGAACATTTCGTCAATTCCCTGCGACGGGCCACGGTGCGTATCGCGATCGCGGCCTCGCTTGAGACGCTTGAATTTTGATTGCTGCTGTATATTTTCCCCGCTGTTAGCAGACTGGTTTGTTGCGAATGACCATCCTGGCCGGCGGCATCACACGGCCTGAACAAGCGCACAACAGATGGGGATGGGGTGGGGATTAAGCCGTGCTCTCAGCTACATACATCAGACGATGCGCCTCTTGCGAGACCGGGAACCACCTCGCCTATCAGTTCGAGATCCTCTTCATCAAGATGTTCCTCCTCTCGGGCACGAGGTCGTTTCTTCTCCGACCTGCGCCGGGAGCGCTCTTCGATTTCCTCATCTTCATCGACAATGAAACCTTCCCGAACCTGTATATGACCGAATCCAGTTAGTCTCGGTTCGATGTTTAGTTCAGAATCTTAGAGGTAAAACTCACGGCGCGCGCCGCATCCTCATCGTCGTCCTCATCTTCATCTTCCTCACTGGAGTCGTTGTAGTGACGGGCGGTACTGGGCCCATCGCGGGCATCTTCGTCATAGTCACCGGAAACTTCCTCGTCGTTTTCCTCATCATCCAGCGCGGCTTCGCCATCCACCAGGTCGCGAAGACTCATTGTGGCTGGATGGGCGCACCCTGGTGCTGTGTCGAGATGAGAATTTTTGAACGAGAGATGGAGCGATATGGAAGCTAGCAGATTGCAACGGGTTTAGGATCTAGACTGCATCCAACTCGGGAGATGTAGGGTTAGAAGGGGGGGGATTGGAAGGAAAGTGCATTGATTCAGAGTTAGAGAAGAGAGGACATGAACGACGACCGTCGGCGAGGGAGCATGCGGTCGCGGTGATTGGGCGGGCGGAGCTGGTCATGACTTAGTCCTGAATAGGCAATTCTGTGGCTGATGCCGTTCACCTTACTTGGGCACGGAAGTGGCGCATGTGTACCAGTTGGTTCAGGCTGCAAATTCAGGTGCCTCATATACTCACGACTCAGTGTAGACTGCTAACTTGGGTCCAAGTACAGTGCCTTACTCAAGGACGCGAAGAGTATATAGCTCCGATGAAAGATATGCTTATAGGCAAATATGATACTAGGTATCTATATCGCTAATTGAACTTTGTATTTTAGTGAGATGTGGCACGTGGCTGATACGTACAGTATATGTAGGCATTTTGTAAGCCTTCACATGTTTGGTCGAGGCTGGAGACCCGGGCACCTTATTTGTTTACTCAGTAAAACAAGATAACTATAGCTCTTCATTTGTGACATTGAGGCATGGTCCACTGAGCAGTGAACATAGGTCTCCCTACTAGCCTTAATACTCTATTCAGTCTTCAATTGATACGGGTTTCATTGCTTTACATATGTATCTGAATGAAGCACGAGAGTTACGTCCACACGCGCGTATTCCTAGAATGGTTGGTGAGCCAAGCCATAGGAATACTTTCAATTACCTGGTCTCCAGGAACAGAAAGCTGATATGATTAGTCCAACTGTATATCACTATGCTGTAGACCCATAATAAGGCCACTGAGAAGCTCATCGAAGATCTGGGTTGAGAGGCAAGGTGGACCGGCAATAATCATTTTATGGACTACGGCAAATCAAGGTCACAGGGAAAATCATGTCACGTCTCAATTCTCACTCTATTCTCAAGTGGGGGAGAGACTTGCAATATCCAAGAACTGATAGTTCTTCAGTAGTCGCTTTTCCCCAATTAAATAGCTTCCGTCTAGTGCGCTGGAAGCAAGCAAAGTGGACTCAGTAGTGGGTACTCCGGCACCGACTTGTTTCAGTGGCATGAAGAACCTCAGGAGTGTGGTGTCAAGCCTGATAAAAAGTACAGTACTGGTGAAAGCAAACATCGACACTACTGCTGGTCACACCCCCCTCTTGTGAATTCTTCTTCCACACCCATCTTTCTATATTTCATCTTTCCCATTCTCCCACTGCTGATTTCACCCGATCACCATTTGACGCCGACTGATCTCCATTGCTTCTGGGTCTCGGTCGATGCGCCCGTCAGATCCAATCAGCGCCGCCAAGTACATATCGCAAGGTGATATTGGCTCCCCCCCCGCCGCTAACTAAGTTGCGCGCTTCTTGCCTCTCGCTTTCTTTCTTGTTCCCTCCCTCCGTCGTGCTTTGTCAGGGGAGCACCGATCTGGCTTTTTGTGCGCAGCCTTCCCTTGCAATCGTCTCTCGTCGTCAACTTGACTGCTCGACGCTTCCAGATCACACATCGCCGATCGATCTTACACTTGACGCCCGTGTTTCCCTGTCCCGAACCCCGGACGGAAGAGATAGAGTCCCCGCTTCCTCCTTTGCTCACCCCTCCTTCGCTCTCTTGCTTCTCTCCCCGTCCCTGTCGGCTGCCTCGCCTGCACCAGCGCCATGGCAGATCAATTCAAGGCCCGGACGCTGAAGCGCAAGAATGTCAAAGGCCTTGCTCTGAATGCAGCCCCCAAGGCCGCTGACAAGCCCTCCGATGGCGATGCCCAGATCCCGGGCGCTATCGGCAACGCCGATAGCAATCGCACCGATACCCTGGAGATTGGTCTCGAGTTTCGATTAGATCTGCGCAGTGAGGATCTCATCACCCTCAAGGAGCTTGGTGCTGGAAATGGCGGTACCGTCTCCAAAGTGATGCATGCCTCCACAAAAGTGGTGATGGCTCGCAAGGTGAGCAATGGTCATCTGCGCTTGTGCTTTTATAATCTCCTCCGTGAGAAGGCGGGTAGCTAACCAAAGCTTCTTGCAGGTCATTCGAGTGGACGCCAAAGAGAACGTGCGCAAGCAAATCCTGCGAGAGCTTCGAGTGGGACATGAGTGTAACTCTCCTAACATTGTGACATTCTACGGAGCTTTCCAAAATGAGGCTGGGGACATTGTTCTGTGCATGGAGTACATGGACTGTGGGTAAGTCCGACTCTCCAGAACCCCACGCTGAGTGTCTTCCTCATATTTGAAGCATGTCCAACATCATGGCAGATAAACTAATACCACTTCGTCTGATTACAGTTCGCTCGATCGCATTTCTAAAGACTTTGGCCCTATCCGAGTCGACGTTCTCGGTAAGATTACCGAGTCGGTGCTGGCTGGTCTCTGCTACCTGTACGAGGCCCATCGCATCATGCATCGTGATATCAAACCATCCAACGTGGTGGTGAACTCCCGTGGTCAAATCAAGCTCTGCGATTTTGGCGTCGCCAGCGAGACGGTAAATTCGATTGCCGATACATTCGTCGGCACATCCACATACATGGCACCCGAGCGGATTCAAGGAGGTGCCTACACTGTCCGCTCAGATGTCTGGAGCGTGGGCTTGACTGTCATGGAATTGGCCGTGGGTCGATTCCCATTCGACAGCAACGACTCTGCGGCCGGCGATCGTGCCAGCGCAGGGCCGATGGGCATCTTGGATCTGCTGCAGCAGATTGTGCATGAGACCGCACCTAAGTTGCCAAAGAGTGATGCATTCCCGCCCATTCTGCATGACTTTGTGGGCAAGTGTTTGTTGAAGAAGCCCGAGGAGCGTCCAACCCCACGGGAGCTTTATGTATGTATATCTCAACGTGTTGCAAGCTTGGGTGCTCTCCAGCTAACCCTATTCCTTTTCTACCTCTTTTAGGACAAGGATGCCTTCCTACAAGCTGCCAAGCGTACACCCGTCGATCTCCAGGAATGGGCCATCAGTATGATGGAGCGACACAACCGCAAGTCTTACCTGGCTCCTCCTGCTCCAAAGTCACTCAAGGATACGCCCTCATCCATGCCTCATTCAAATCCATCCACGTCACCGGCACCACCGGCACCAATGGTACAAATCTCAAAGTCTCCTGTGCCGGGACTCAAGCCGGCCCCTATCAGCAAGACTTCTCGACCTTTACACTCCCAACCCCAGGCGCAATCGCCATACCATCCTGCGTCAGGCGACATCCCCTTGAACATTGCGAACGACAGTCACTCGACCTCCAGCCGTGGCTATGGCTCCTCGGACGCCTACCCGCACTACCCAAATCCGACTCCGTTCACACAGACGCGAGCTGCGCACTCTCCTCCCCCTCCTTCGCTGGAGCATCTCTCTCTCGAAAGCAAAGAAGATGATCCTCGCTACGGGCGTCGGCCCATGCGCCACCACGGAGACCCAGGATCCGCTGTCGAGCAGCCCTCTCGACCGTACATGAGCCCGCGCTCCGCCAGCTCTCATAATTCAAAGCGGACAAATCTTTCCTCGGGCACACTGCCAGTCAGAGCAGCTCAAGCTCCGCCACCGCCACCCCCCGTCTCGGCTGGTAGCTGGCGAGGATATCCAGGCCAGATGCCTTCCTCGTAAAATGAGATCACGGCGCCAGGGTTTCAGTCGAAAGACGTGGCGTGATTTGGAACAGGCTGCGGATTGAGGGGGGGGGGGGGCAGGAGAGCAGGAGAGCAGGAGAGCAGTTTGAAGGGTGACACGCATTGCATAGCATTTCCTCCACGAGATGTCGTCTTCTACCCTTTCCCGTCCCCTTCTTATTTCCTCAACATTTGAAGCATTCTCGACCTACTGAGCCAAAGCCACTTCTTCCTTGCCCTTCTTCCCCCCCTCAGTCTTTCCAATATTATCGTGATGTCAACGTATCTCCACACTTTCAGTTCCCATGTCATCCATTCCCACAGTCACACACACGCCATCAAGCCCTGTTTTCCCATTTTTCCATTATTCCTCCTCCCTGATTCATTATCCAGTACCAATCATCCCCGATCCACCATTCTATTTCCTTCCCCCCCACAGTTCCTTCTCAAGACATGTTATGCATGACAATAGGCGTCCACAAGGCAAAGAGCATCCTGATTCTCAATGCGCTACCAATATCACAGTGCATTTTTCTTTTTACACCTTTCCTTTTCGACTTCCCACCGCGATGAAATCAGTCATATCCTCGATACAACCGCGCCTTGTTTCTCTCCCTTCCTCCCCTCCCCTCCCCCCCTCTCTCTGGATGTAAAACCCTGTTTATCTACCCAGTATATGGAGTAGACTCACATATCAACACGCTGCTCTTATTCTTCGAATTATACATACGTTCATGTTGTTATCAATGTATCAAGATGGTTGAGGCCCAAGGGACACAGCTGGCAGGGATTGGGTATTCAATCATAGTCATCCAGTACAAACGTACCACATTAGAGCTCTGCCTTGATCTAGACGGGAACTACTCCCGGCAAGGTTGACACCCAGATGAGACAGTGAATTGTTTGTGCGACTTTTGAGTTGTATCAGTAAGACTCGGACTGAAGCACTATACTTTCCAACAATACTGACTCGAAACCGAGACAGCGAAAGATCCCGTTAAGGCGCAGGACACCAAAGTATGGTGTGTGATTTGCGGACAAGAAGGCTGGGTCGACGACTAAGTTTACCAACGAAAGAAGCAAGTAAAGTAGGGCAACTTGAAGAGATCATATAACACCGATACCGCCTTGCAAAACGCCTATTGTTCCCTCCTGTCGCTGTTTCATATTCAAATGGAAGCAAAAGAACACGGAAGGCAAAAAAAAGTCCATCATGCCAGACTCCGCCCCCCCAGAAGGAAATCATATCCGTATTGCTACACTCCTGCTCGGCACTTGCACTTTCACAATTGTCATTTCATCATCAATTCCGGTCCGGCGAGTGGACTGCCTGCAGGTGCTGGGGTGAGATTTCCCATCTGGCTTTGCGGGCTAGGAGCTGGGGCGATGTCCAGCATCGACATGACGGAGTTTTTGCTGCCCCGTGAGGATGAGCCTCCACGGCCACTGGTATTACCACCGCGGCCACCTCGACCTTCATGGGAGGTGGAGGCGGTCGTTCCGTTGCGGTCACCGTGCTTTTCTGTGGCGTCGGTTTTCTTTGCGCCTCGGCCACGACGCGAGAGACCGCCACGAGACCCGGGTCCACGCAACGGCAGACCGGTCTCTTGAGAGATGGGAACGGCTGCGGCGATGGGTACATGGGGCTGGGAAGTCAGACCACGAGAACGTCCAGTGCCCCGACCCCGACCTCGACCACGTTTGATCGTACCATCCGCACTGCAGGATAGAAATCACATAATTAATATCACATAATCAAAACATATAGATCAAAGAAAGCAGGAAGAAGCCAGAAGCCGACGTACCGTTCCACTTGGACCTTCTCGCCCTCGGGCACGAGTGGTCCACTGTACACAAAGAATCCATCTTTACTAGCTGCCGCCTGCTCTTGCCACGCCATTTCACTGTCGTCAACAAATGGGTCGTCACGGTCATATTCTTCAACCTTCCTCCGACGTTTCTTCTTGATCCCGTCACTGGCCTCGGACTGTGCGCCGTTGGTGCCTGCACCGATCATGGAAATGTCTCCATCAAGATCACTGTCACGATCCACGTCGAGGCTCAAATCCTCGTCTGCACTTTCACCAGCCGAGATACCTTTGAGGCTTTTGTCGCTTCGCTCCAATGCAGCTCCTGCGGCGGCGACACGTGCCAATCGTTCTTTGTGCGCCGCTAGTCTTGGATGAAGCGCCGCAAAACCATATTGCTCTTCTGCCAGCTGCGCAAAGTTGATAATTTGGTTGCCCCTGTTAAGCGGCACGTGAACAACAATGTTCGGCACGCTTCGCACTTCAGACTTGGCCGAATCATCGATTCCGCCGAAGAGAGCAGTCGTGATCAAACCTGAGCCCTGAGGAATTTTTGGGGCTTCTTTGGCTGCCTTTGCCGGCTTTGGAGAAGGCGGTTTCGAGGTAGAGGTGGCGGTCGTGACTTTTTCCTTCTTGGCTGGTACGACCACCGACTCCTTGGAGTCAATGTCCATTGCATCGGACGATTGTTGTGCTGAGCGTTGCGGGGTCTCGGTTTCGGTCGAGCCGTCCGCAGGTCGCTTTGACTGGGGGTGCGCTGGTTCTTTTGTGGCTTGCTGAACAGCAGGCGGCGACAGATCGAGTTTTGGCGGCGGAGCCTGAAGTGACGGCGGTTCATTACGAGGAGTGTAGGGGGCATTGTTGAGATGAGTCAACTGCTGAGGAGTCTGAACGGCGCTGTGCGATGGCGAGGAGACTGGAATGGGCGAGGGTGCGAGGGTGGGATGACTAGGTGTGTGCACCACTGCCGGACGAGGCGCGGGCGAAGAAACAGCCGAGACATGAGTGGATGAGGAGCGAACTGGTTGGGAAGAGTATGTCACTTGTGTCTGAGCCGCCGGGGGGTCTATGATGCTGGAGATGGCTGGAGAGGCACTTGCGCGATAGCTCGGTCTGGGGGAAGCCGTCGGCGGCGGGCTGTACACTGGCGCTGGTGATGGGTTCTCGAAAGCCGAGCGAATTGGATCGAAGTTGCGACCGCTCGTGCGTGCCGGTGCCGGTGCCGGCGCCGGGGCTGGTACTGGACTAGGCGCGGAAGGCACTTGAGGTGGCTGATGAGGCAGGGGTGAGGGCTGAGATAGCGGTCGAGAAAGATGGGACTGCGCCGTCGGGGCAGACCTGGCATCTGAGGGAGACAGGCGCGGACTTTGGCCCATATGCAGCGCCGGACGCGACTGAGTATTTGAAGTTGACGTCGGCGGCGGGCTTGGATGCGCTGTGACTGGCGGGGAGTTTGGCGACGATGAAACCGGTGGGTGAGAAAGTCGAGGGGAAATTGGTTTCGTGTTTGCAGTCATCGCAGAAGCCGCTGCCGCAGTTGGCGCTGTCGGAGTCGGGGATGGAGCTCGTTGACCCGTTGGAGCTTCATCTCCCGAGGTCTCTAGTTTGGCCTTTTTGCGTGACGCGGCCGTGGCGGTAGACTTCTCCCGTGGGCGACGAGCAGCCCGGGTCGGCTTGTCTTTTTCCTTTTCCTTTTCCTTTCCCTTTTCCTTCTCTTCCTTCTTCTTGGCTCGAGTATCTGGAGTATTTATGGCCGAATTGATAGTGGCGGTGTCGTCTTCCTTCTTTCGACGCGACCGTCTGGCGGCCGAAGCACGTCTGGACCCGTTCATCTCGTCCATGAGCGGTCCGTCATCCTTGGGAGGACCTGCTCCAGGGGGATCGGTTGACATGATGACAATCTCAGATGGGTCGGGAGGGAGAAGACGGGTGATGATCCGGAAACTGCTTCAATACGTTCCGATGAAGATTGGGGGGGGGGGGGGGAATGGACAGTGTGGAGAGGGAACGGAGCAAGATCTGAGGAATCACGGAGGGGTGGATGTGGTTGATCACAGGGAAGATGCCGGTGGCGGTGGATGAAATTAGATAGAATGGTTGGGGGGGGGGGGGGGTGGAGGAAAAGGTGGAGAGGAAGAAGGTGAGAGGAAAAGAGACGAGGAAAGAGAGAACGAGAGGGAAAAAGGATGGGAAGGGAGGAGTAGGATGGGAACGATGGATGGGATCAGATGGGCCTAAAGTTTGGGGTACGGGCAGGAGGTCGGCAGAGGACCAAAACTACAGTCCAAATGACCAGACTACCAACACCTCGTAGCCTGGAATCGGCACTAGTAGTAATCGTCCTCCCTACTGTAACTGAACAAGCTGCGTTCCAACCTGACAAGTTGGTTCATCGGTCGTCGGTACCAGCATGGCCATGGCCATGGCCATGCACAGACCGCGGCCGGTCATCCTGGGTATATTTTGTTTTCTTCTCGCGGGCCTGCTCTCGGGCACGGCAGACTGGCACAGCGGCAGCAGTGCGCTGGACAAACCAATTGACGGACTAGAGCAGTCGCGCCCGTCCAACAAGTGAGTCCGTGAGTAGTGCACTGTTGCAGAGACCAGCAAATGACCCAAAACGAGCAACCAATCTATACGGAGTCGGCCCTCGTCACTGGACCAGATGTCCGTGACCCGCGCGGGAATGACTAAGCTGGCGGGGGCCCACTCTGCAGCGGGTGTTCTGCACAGTCCACAACTGCACCAGGCACGGTAGAGTCGATCCGGTGGCGCTTGATTCATGTTCCAGGCATGTTGAACTGCAGAGTGCAGACTGCGGAGGCCTTGATTGAATCTGAATGAGCCTTGAATCTGACATTGGAGACATTCCAAGTTCTTTGTCATTTTCATGAGGAGTTCCTCGAGCCCCGCAATGTGAAAAACTCTATGCAATTCGGATCGACCGACTCGCAGCCGTACCTGAACCCATCTTGTCCCTGGTCTCATGTCAGGAGCCAAGGGAGAAACTCCACGTTCCAAACAAGATCGGGGGACTAATCGCTTCACATCTTGCAACTCACTATCATGACCCTAGATATTGACCGACGACCTGCCGAGTCTCCAAGACCATATTTAGGGACAGCGCTGTACTCGATCAAGGTTGCTTGCAGTTCCCGACTACTACGGCTGGATATGAGCAGCTACGGAAGGGAAGCCTTCCTTGTCGCAAAAACCGAGCTCATGAGTGGCGATGAGTCATCAGCAGTGAAGCATCACATTCAATGCCGAAATGCCACCACTATGTCGCTCGAGAAGAGAGCGAGTTCAGACCAAATGCGACACACGGTGCTCACCCAGCCTGATACTCAGTGCGCTCGAATATTTGGATTTTCATGGGTTGCGCATCCCAAGATAGCGTGTGTTTCCCCTTTCAGACAAGCACTCCCGCCCTTCCATGACTAGCCAAGTAAGGTTAGAGCGTCTTAACCTCCGGCGTTTAGCCTTTTGAGCCGCAGGGCCCCGCGCTGACATAATAATCTTTTCTAGTTTTCACCCGCATCGTGGCACAGTTCTGACCTGCTGTGTTGACCCGGGCAAGACTCCACGCGACCCCAAAATCATACCCAATCTCTCTTCCATTCTGACTCCGCCCACCACGAGCGGTCGATCCCACTGTCATAATGGCGTTTCGAGGCGAACGTTTTATGGTGGATTTGGATGATGACACAATCACGATTCCCAGTGACCCTGCCCCGTCTCCCTTCTCATTAATCGGAGAGATCAAGGAACGAGCACCCACCGCAGCCACACCATCCGCTCCAGCACCACCCTCGGCCACATCATCCACCGGCTTTCCCGCGCATCGTCGGCGCACCAAGACTCCCTCTTTCAAGGAACGTCGATCGGGCCAAAAGACGACCGCACAGGCGGATGTACTCGCGACGAACCCGACTCCCACGATACAAGATGAGAAGCGTTCTATTGGGGAAGAGAACAGCCGTCATTTGGCTTCCATGTCCGAAGCGCAAATTCAAAAAGAGCGGGAGGAGCTGATGGCATCAATGGACCCTGGCCTGCTGGAGCGGTTCCTACGCCGAGCTCGTATCGACGATGAAGAAAACACCGCCACGAGACCATCCCCCGTGGCACCAACGCCGAAGGATTCTCCTTCACTCACGGCCAAGCCCGTGCCAAACCCTTCCCTAGGGAAGCCCAAGAAATCCGTCACTTTCGACACGCCTCCCCCACCACCATCGGGACAACAGAAGGGCGAGCAGACGGTCCCTCGAACCCCCAACTCTTTGCCAAGAGTACCCGCCAACGACGACCGTCAGCCTGTTCAACCTCCCAAAGACCTCCGACCCGCATCAGAAAAACCTCCCATCATGGACCCCGCCGTCATTGAAACCTTCCACTTCCCTCGTCCCAAACAGCCGATGCCAGTCCTCGACCCCTCATCGCCCGATTTCCTCACAGACCTCCAGTCTCACTACTTCCCCGAAATGGCCACAGACCCAGCCGCTCTCTCCTGGTTACGTCCCCCGTCCAGCGACCCCGAAGATCCAGAATCCACCTCCCCATACCACCCCGCCAGCAGCGCGACATCCATGAGTCCCTCCGAGATCCGATTCTCCCTACGAGGCACCATCCTCGGACCTACAACGTCCCTATCCCTACCCACCACTCTCGGGCTACACCACCATGGCGACGACCCCCAAGCAGCAGGGTACACCATTCCAGAGCTGGCGATTCTCTCGCGGTCAACGTTCGCGGCTCAGCGCTGCATAGCCTGGCAAGTCCTAGGCCGAATTCTGTTCCGCCTCGGCAAGGGCGAGTTCGGCGAACGCGGAGGACAATTATCGGAAGGGCTGTGGTTCGTCATTGAGAAAGAGGGTGTGGTCGGCGGGATGTTGGCCGAAGCAGAGGGTGTGAGTGGGCAAGAGAGAGTGCGCGGGGGTCCAAAGCTCGGGTCTGAAAAGGAGACGGATCAAGAGAACCCAGAGGGTCGTCCTGTTTTGCCTGTTGCGTCTGGAATTGGACGCCATGCTAGTGCTGCGGCTTGGGCGATGGAAGGTGTCTGGTTGTGGCAGAGAGGAGGTGGTGGAGATCGAGGATTCTTGAAACCAGGTCAAACGCGGCCGCGTTAAGTTGTGGATGGTATGCTTTTCACTCGTGACATAGGAAAAGGAGTTGGATGCCCGACGCTTTTCAATGCGTTGCCATGCATGATTTGAAGCGTTATCTTGAGTATCTTGATCTACTTAATATAAAGCAATGTTCTCGCACAGAATGTTAATGCATCGGTATCGGTTTCAAGAACTTACGAGAATCGCGAGCGACACAGAGAAACGTCAATTCGATTGACTATCATGGATATCATATCATACAATGAACAATCACACTGACACCGATCCTCATCTATCATCCCTAGTCAAATAAAGATGCAATCGCAAAAGTCTAAGGGTACTTCACATGAACACGAACATCAAGCACCGTCCATTCCAACTCCATAGTCTTCATTCTGCACCCCCAAAATCTGCCACCTCGCCTCCTCCAAGAAATCCCTCCGTAGCCACAAGCCAGACGTCTGATTCTGTGACTGTGGGAGCGCGTCCGGACTCACGCTCTTCTCAGCTTCGTCTGACTGCACGCGATCCAGCCACTCAAACAATATTCTAAGCTGCCACACACGATCGCGGATTTCATCTGCGTCCGCACTAAGACCATGCGCAGCCTGGACGATATTTCGAACCGTGTGCGCCAGGGCGAGGCGAGTGTCAACGGCCGAGGTACGGAGCCATGGTGGCGCTGTGACCGATTGTGCGTTGATTCGGTTCGAGGGCGCAGGGAAAGAGGACGGTAGAACGAGGGATCGTTCGCGAATGTCTAGTCCTCGCAGGGAAGGGAGAGCGAAGACCCAGTCCCATGGTGATTGGGAAGATCCTGCTGCGGCGCCCAGCAAGACGGGCAGCAAGGTTGATTGATTTGGCCACAGTGATGGTGGAAGGCCCTTGGCAGAGCTTGCGCCGGCAGCTGCTGTAGCGGGAAGAATGTCTTGTGCTTCGCTGAGACCGGTTAGAGTCGAGGCGAATACCGAGCTGGCGTCGCCAGCGGAACTGTAGGTGGCCTTGCGACGCAGATAGACGGATGGATCACCGCGGCGGAACTTCTCACGTAGAGCGTGGTCTTGATTGAAGTCTAGCACCAGAGGCCAATGGTCCGGACCTCGAACATCAACGCGGGTGATCTCACTGGGATCAGGAAGCAGGCAGGGTGCAGTGAGGCTGAAAATAGCGCCAGTCCGTGTGGTTAGAGTGATAGGGATGGAGATAGGTCGCCGATTGTCCAAATCTCGAGGCACGATGCAGCGAGGTTCTGCAGCGAGAACCCACATGTGACGGAATGCTTGAAGATGACATTTGTTGTCTAGAACGGTGGTGGGGAAAATGGGATATAACGCGCACAAAAGCGCGGCCACGCCAAGATCGGAGCTTCCCAGCGTGTAGCTACCTCCTCCCAGGAAAAGCATACCGATTGCCATATGGGCAGCCATGTGGCTACCATAGGGCGTGTCTGGATCGACCCGTCCGTGAAGCGAACGCAACCTTCGGAATAGCAACAGGTCGCCTGTACCAGCCATGACAGCTGCAGCCGACAAAGACACGATATCCTGACAATTGCGCACTGAATTGCGTGTCAGTCTGCCGTCATAGCTGACAACTGGTAAGCGCGAAATGCGAATAAATTGGTCGAGATAGTAGATGAGAAGATCTCGAGCTTGCGTGTTACCAGAGCCGGCGTACCGAAGGCCTAGAGCAAAGCAGATACCCCCAAGAATGTTGAAGAAGGGCATATCTTCACTCTGCAACTGACGGATACCGCGAAGGCGAGCCCGTCTCCGATAAACAGGGGGCAAACTCGAATCCACCCAGTCCGGTTCAGGTCTGATACTGTCCCACATGATAAGATGGCGTGCCAGTGTGCGCAGCAGGAAAAGATCTGGCCGGACGTAGTCAAATCGGACGGTGGTGTCAGGAATGTCAATCTTCTGTGCTAGATGTGAATCATTGGTCTTCATGAATATGAGAGTAATTGCAATCGTGGCACCCGCTGTGGCACGGTCCAGCACGTGTGCAAGATCAACGTTTTTAGTGCCCGCGGCAATGGAAAGAAGTCTTTCGACGACGTGCATGTCCCGCATGCCCTGGAGATCTTTTCCCTTGGCGAGGTTGATCAAACCAAGCGCAAATCCTGCGGCCAGACGATAGCCCTCGTCTCGTAAGTCCTCCTGTGATGCGGAATGCTCCTCTTGTTCAGTGCTCTCGATTTCAGACAGCATCACCTCACTCATGCGGCGGTGCTGCGAGCCACAGTAGAGTAGACCTATGCCCATGATACCGGCAGTCTGGGTCAATGGTGATAAGTTGAGCTCAGCAGCACCCATAGGAAGCATTCTCGAAACGTGGACGGAAAGTAGTCGAGTGATCAGCGTGTCCATGGTGCCTATGTAGGAAGCCGAAAGACCAAGCAGCAGCCCGATCGAAGTCATGGTATGCTTCGGAGTCAGGTACTTGAAAGCCACCCACTTGGCCAGGCTTTTCAGATGGCCATTCAAACCAAGAGCCAGCAAGAAACCAGCATGACGATTGGTCAAGTCTTGGGGCTTGTTGAAGAGGATCCACGATGTATCGATACCTTTTGACGCCTTTGAGATCGCCAATCCCGTTGACACACCGTTGTGGAAAAACGCCCAGCAGACCTTCTCTTCGGTGAAGGCACTTCTGTCAGCACTGACAGTAACATTGGAAGGCTTCATGACACATTGCAATGAGAAGGAAGGAATGGGCAACTTCTCAGTCAATAAGGGCAGACGTCCACTGAAGTAAAGCATACCGCGACCAGCGGGAATGGACAATGTGCGGAACGACACAAGTTGCACTATATCTTTTTGAGCTTCAAGCAGGTCGGAGTCCGTCCACTGCGGCTCAGGAACGCATTCTGCTACGGGCGCTTTTGACTGATTCAGAAGCCGTGATGCATCAATGTAGCGCCTGTCCTCGCGGAACACAAGCTTGGTCACCGCCAGCCGGTCAGCTTCCGCAGAAGCTTCAAAGGCCACATTGGTGTCAAACTCCAGTGCCGAAGTGCCAATATTGTGATGATCGCGGAAAGCATCATGAGAAGCAACAGGCTGCTGGGAATGGGCGAAGCTCTTGGCTTGAGCTGGATTCATCGACATGTACAAATCTTCGCGGTCGATGATCTCCAGAAGTGCAGTATGCCACGAAGTAGATGCTTCATTTTGACATTGCATCACCGTCTCATACAACGGGCCACTGACGCCTTCTGGGAAAGAATCGATCACACTCTTGTTCAGACCCCAGCGACGGAGTAGCTGAATTTTGTCCAAGGGAGAGGTCGCGCGACGTAGATCAGAGAAGAAGCCGATCAAGGCAAGTGTTCTTGGGGTTATCAAGAAGCACTCTTTCCAGAGCTTGTCCTTGCGAGAAGCACGCTCTTGAGCATTAAGAACGTCGAGAAGGGATAGGAAGGACGGTGGATCCTGGCTCGAGGCTCGAGCCAAGAAATCAAAGATTGACGGCGGTGCAAATGGTTCAGCGGGCACACTGAGCTCGGTGATGCGGGTATCTTCAAATTGCCATCGTTCCATACTGGCCATCTCAGTGCCATAATAAGAGTTATCCGTCCAGTTCCAGGATTGCCAACCGAGCCAGCCACCTAGTTGAGCAAGGACTGGACCAAGCAGGCCCAATGGCTGTTGTGAATCCTCAGAGTCAGAAGTGCAGAGCTTGCGTTCCTCTCGCAGAAGGTGAAGGCCAATCAGTATTGTGCCAAGCGCCGTGCCTCTTGTGGAATCGGCGAAAGCCCCTGAAATGGGCAGATACCCATCCTTGCCAATGGCTCGAGCTCCCGACGGGCTCTGTAGGAACTCGCGACTCAAAGACGCGCAACGAAGTAGGTAGGAATTCGGACGATATGTTGTTCGACTCGCACCTGGCTGCTCGCCCTTTGGTTGCCGGGTTGTGACTCGGGCTGAAGTCCCTGAAATAGCGTCCTGCTCGACGATCCAGTTCCATGCACTGCTTTTCATCCATGGTGCAACAACGCCGGAAGACCCGCCTTCAAGATCAAGCATAGCCTCCCAGCTTTCCAAGTCAATGTAGCTGCCGCTGCTGGATCGAAGGAGATTCCTTTTTCGGCGCGTCCGTCTAACTGGAGCTTGAGGCTGAGGCGATTGAATAAAAGGGGTCGCCAGAGAGAACAAAACGATGACTATAGCTGCCCATTCAAGATCGCTGTCGACGTCTTCTCTGCCTTGCAGCCATCGGACAACCTCCCACCAGGCGACCAGTATGCCGTCTCCAGCTTTCCCGGTATCTCGAAGTACGAAGTTGCATACTTTCAGGATCTTTTGAATGAGCTCATTGCGAGGTTCCATGCGTATCTGGAGCCTGTGCCGCTGCTTCGTTGTATCAACCAAATCTATCTTCCCTCGCGAGCAGCTGTGATCAAAGGCTTCGAAGACAAGGCTCGGATCAGCCATAACCCGATTGACGCCACTTTCTCGAGGGCGTATGACGAGCTTGCTGGCCGACACTCCATGTGGTTCGTTCATCTGAAGAGGACAGGGGATTTCGACCTGACTTGGGCTGCTCCAAGGAGTTTGCAAGCATAACTCGCGATGCCCGTCCTCCGCAACAGACAAAGTCAGGATGCGTGAGATTCCACCATCCTTCACAGTGCACGCATCCCAAACATTGGGAACATACTGAACCCCAATTGCATGGACTAGCAGAGGCCGTCGCTCTGGCTTGAACTTTCTCGCTGCTTTCTTGCTCTTCGAGACGGCTACTTGTTCAGCTTTCAGATTGACGATCGTCATGTTTCGAGAATCTCGATCCACGACGCAGACTGCCACGAATCGCAGATTGCCGTTTTGCGTGCTCGATTCTGATGATGAGAGCGTCGAGATTCTGAGATTGCGAGACGATGCGTGTTCAAAGGATCCACGGAAATTGCCCGAAAACATAGTAGAAAAGCTTTCAACTTTCGTTAAAAGTAGCTCTTCCGGTAAACCGGAAGCGGATTCACGCAAAGCAATATTGCCAAACCCATCAGTCAGGGCGCCCCCATTTGTCTCTTCAAGTAACCTGTCCACATGAGAATCCATAAAGCTACCAGCAGCGCTGTAGACAGATCCTGTTCCTGGCGGAAGACTCGACCGAGGATTGTATCCAAAACTCGCTCTCGTGCTACCTGCCCCCATGGACTGCCGAAAAGTACCGTGGTGAGCCGTTCCGCCAGACTGGCTACCCGTAGCAAGGTCTGAGAAAGTGATACGGTCTTGGCTCGTAGCAAGATCCGTGCGTGCGAGAAGAGAGCTGACCCTCCGAGACGTCTTGAGAGGCACCCCAATGTCACCAAAGTCCTGGGCTACCCGCGAGACTAGGTCTTCCTCAACGTTGTTCCTGTTTTCCCCTTGCTGAGACGAAGCCCAATGTTCCGTCCATGGGCCAAAGCTTTCTCGACTTGTGGGCGGTCGAGCTACCGGAGTGGTTGTACCTGGAGTCATTCCAAAATGGGAGCTTCGTCTCTTCGAACGAGTGCCCTCAGTCTGTCTGCGCGAGGACTCCAATTTTGAGCCGTCTATTACATCGTCTCTGTATCTTGCCGTCCAGATAGTGTAGAGTCCGGTAACAGTGTTCGTCGTCACCACTAGAATTAGAGGGGTGTCATTTTGGCGTTGTCCTGCACCCGCCAATTCGTCTTTAGCAGAGATGTACACGATCTCGTCGGTAGAATCGAGAGCTTCTAGACCGGAAGCTTGACGTCGCGAGGCGCCACTGCCGATACTGCTCTTGAATCCACGCGAGGCTGAGGAAGTGACTACCAGCCCCATTTCAGAATGAGGATCAATGAGTGAAAAGACACGAGGAATATCTGTACTACCTTGCGAGCTCGCACCCCATGTAGAATTCCGTATTGAAGGTAGTTTGAGGGACTGCCTTTTCCCTTTACTAGGGGCCGGCCGCACTGTGTTGGACGACTGCGATGCGCCGGGGTCAAACAATGAAGCTGATGTCATGAAGGAGTTCGGAGGAGGTGGACACGATGTGCGTGGCTGTGGAGCATCATCGACAATCTTTCGCTGGAACAGTAGGCCTCGAGGAGTTGCAAAGACCGACTCAACTTCGAATGGCAAAGGAATGGTATGAGTGTTTCCTGCGACAAAGAAGATGTGCGCTTGGGATTTGAGGACAACCACCAGAGCCCTGGACCGCTTCTCTCCTGGATTCGGCGGGGCGACAATTTCAGTATGAGTGTCTGCATATGGATCCAAGGTCGATCCAGAGCCTGGCAGGGATGAAGCAAGCCCATCGTGCTTTGGGGCGACCTTTGACCGGCTCTTTGTCGTCGCATGCGCCGCGAAGTGCTTCTTCGAGGCACTTCCAGCAGCGTCCTTGTGCTTGGGCAACCTAGTATCTCCAGCCACGAAATGGGTGAAGAGGGCGTGCCTGACATCTTCTTTTTCGGGGTCGAATCTAAAGACTCGTTTCACGACGCCCGCGCGAGACCATACGACGCAGTGCTTTGTCCACACCAGTTCGTCGTCAACAGGACCAGCCGAGCCACTTTCGTCAGCACATGTTGTCCACTTGTAATGATCCCTCGGAGGGTCTAGCGGGAGAAAGCCTTCGGCAACAAGGTATGATATGGCTGAAGGTTCATGCACCCCAAGCGAGCGGGTGGTAGCCATGTTGGTGGGATCTGCGATAGCTTGTAGCCTTCAAGCTCGATCGGTAATTGTAAGGCGCCTTCATGAGCTTGTTCGTGTTTGTGAGGACCTTTTTGAAGCAGCACCCATACTCTCGCTTTGAATGAAGCTGGAGTACATTGCGCATCAAAGCATGTTTATGGGATGAGGCGCCGGGTTTTTGGAGAAGTCGCGCAAGCGCGCGCGGAGAGATCGACCCGCCGAGTTTCTTTTGCTGCCGACCAAAACAACTTTACTTCGACATCTCCTCCACCTTCGAACAGCGTCCTCCCATCGTCTGCTCCGCTCGCATTACCACCAGCGCTTTGCAATATTTCACTGGTCACTCTGCTCAATTCCTTCATACCCACAGGCACCCCGATATTTCTTTTGGAAAATCATCGTGCTGCGCGGTACGCGCTTGTGCCTTACGATTCCGTGAACAGCTCGAAAAAACCGAGGCGCCATGCCGTCCTTTCCTCTCAATCCGCTTGTGCAGCCTCGAGAAGATAATGGCTTGCAACTATGGTAAGTACATTTGTGGGGTAATTCTGCCTTTCTCTATTGTAGTCTAAGTCCTATGGCTAATGTCACCCTGTCAATCTTCTCAGCTACCGACTTCCCCATCGCATTCACTCCGCGCAAGCCTATCCTCTACGGTCAACCAATGGATCTTCAATCATCGTGTACGGCTACGAGACCGGGATCAAGATTGTATGGAGAGGAGGGAAAGACTTTGCCGCACCGAAAGAAGCTGCCCCTCCAGCGCCTTCGAAAAGTGCAAAGCCTAATGACAATGATGCGGTGATGATCATTGACTCAGACGAAGAGGATCCGGCTCCTGCGCCTGCTATTTCAGAGGAGCTCCGTATCGACTTCGAGGCTTTTGAGTCCGAAGTCGACCCCGCTTCTCCATTCGAGCCGATTCTGCGACAGATAGATATCCCTCTTGGAAGCAGGGTTCTCGATGTAGCCGTGCCCCGAATCCTGTCTGAGGAAGCGCGTTCTTCTCTCGATCCCTTTCCAACTGCGGCCAAGGACACCCTCTTTGTGGCTGTGGTGTGTTCTGATCTTTCCACGCGAGTCATCACATTACCGCTCGTTCCTCCCCATCCGTCGCAGAAGGACGCTGCAAGCTGGAAAGTTCAAAAAGTGACACTAGATGGAGGAGTCACTCATCAGGATATCCCTCGGGGTGTCTCTATTACTTTTACTATGAAGGAGTGCGCCGATGATACAGGTCGCCGAAAGCCACACAGTCTTGCCGAGGACACTGGGAGATGGTACCTCTTGGTGGCTACTCACTCAGCCGAGGGATCGGGTGCTCTTTTCATTCATCGTGTGCCTCTAACGGAGCAGCCGTCGGGACACACAAAGCTCTACCGAGTGACCGAGCAAGAGATTGTTACGCAACGGCGAACTCTGCCCTCTCCAGCGCAAAGAATTGCTTTTAACCCTTCTTCTTACCCTTTTGCGCGGCACTCGAATCTTTTGGTTGCCTTCCACAGTGGCTGTGTGAAAATCTATTCTTCTCTTTCAAGTCCAAAGTCATCTGCCAAGAGCAACAGGAGGGATTCGGGGTCTCAGGAGGAGACTGAGCCGAATGAGATTGAGGGTCGATGGTTGATCAGTCTCTACCCTGGTTTTGAGCAAGGGCCAACAGGCCTCACTCGACGAAAGACCATCATTGATGCCGACTGGGTATTAGGAGGTCGTGCTATCATGGCTCTCCTGGCGGATGGTGAATGGGGTGTGTGGGACATTGAAGGAGCCGGGCCCGGGACCACCAAGGGTCCGTTACACCGGCAGTCAAACGTCCAAGGCGTGACCGGAGGGTCCTTGACCACTTATGCAGTCAGTGGTCGGATCGTGGCACCCTTGACAAATACGCAATCTGAGGCGGAACAGCGATCACGCTTTGCTCCTATGACGCCGTCAACCCGACGCGTTCGAGAAGACACGTTACTGAAAGGATCGACGACAAGTCCCAGCCCTTCATTGCGCGGTCAAATCTCCGTGTGTCAGACCAGCGTTTCGCATGATCTGCCTGACGAATCCATCTTGCTTCGACACGGTCAGCATACCGCGGCGATCCCCAGCTTACTTTCGCTTTGGCGAAACGCTGTGAAATCCACCGGTACCTTTGATGCCTCGAACCGCTGCCGCGTCTCGCCGTTTCAGGTGGTCAATTTGATGGGAGAGAATTTCCAGGCTATTGGCCATATCCCCGCTCCAACTCGTCAATCCCGAGCGCTTAGTCCTCAAAAGTTTGATATTCTGGTTGCTGCTGAGCACCAGATTATCATTCTCGCACCTCGACTGGCTGAGTCTGAGGAAGAAACTTCTAAGGTCCCTCGAAATTCGACGCACGAAGTGAATGCCGAAGCAGATCAATTCATGTTGCGCAGAGGTGAATTGGATGTGGAGGGCATGGGCCGCCTTCTCAGTGGGATGGCAAATGGCGTCGGAACTCAGCGCGTGGGAGCTAGTCCTTCGAAGCGAGCCCGCATCTTTACATGATCTTGACAATACATATCGTGCGGTGCGGCTGTCGACCGGCAAGCCAACCTACTAATGAATCAAGAATACCTATTCTCCATGGATCCGTTCCGATTTCCTCGTCTTCAGCTCACAATTGTCTTCTTCATACTAGGTCATTCAGAAAACCGGTCAGTAGCGTTTGTTCTTTTTTTTTTTTCCGATTCGCGCTGTAAGGTGGAGCGCAAGGCGAGATTCATGCCTTGAAATTCCCTCTTCGGAGGCGAATAAGCTCTGTATCGGATGCGATATATCAACGTCCCCATCTCCTCATGAAGCCATTGGGCTTCTTTCTGGCTTTCGGCTTCCGGACTCTTCACCGAGTTCCCGTGGCGCATATCATGTGTCGCGGCACCCCGCGTCCCACGTTTGTTTCTGGAACCACCTGCCTCTCCTTCTGCACAACTCTACGATCGCCGATCAGTCTCTCGACGCGATCTCACCTCGGTGGGCGTAGCCAGTTGTCAGGGAGAGACAGTCCGGAACAGGACCTGGTGTGAGAACTAGCCAGGATGGTACATCATTGTCTGTAAAGCAGAGCTATCAAAGAGTGTCATCAATCATAGCTGACCACAGTCCGTGGAATGAAAATGCAGGCATCACGCCCTGGTCGGAGATGACTCGACCAATTCGCAAAAGAATTCTTCCAGGCAGTGAAGGTGAAGCCATTCTGCGTAATAGTGAATGCCGAGCTATATTTTCCTGTTATCATTACTTGATCAGTACTTGAAAAATATGGCGGGTCTTTTCAAGTAGGAACCGTGCCTCCGCGGCCTGTAGCAACTTATTCTTAGAGCTTGCATACCTGTCAAGCACATGAGCTCTCGTGCTCGTCGGATGAACCATGCAACCCCGGCGAGGCCTGAACCTCTCCAACATCTCGTTAGAAGCAGGCCACACTCACTATTGCTCCTGCCCTTGGGACAATCTAGCATGAACACCAAACCAAGCCCAGCCAAACCTCCTCCCTTCGCGTCAGACGGATCCGTAACTCCACGCCGTAGGTGGTCCCTGACAATGAACGATCACCAGCGCCTCGGCGTAGCTCAACTCCTCAAGTCTTTACCTGGTCCCCCGTCTCTCAGGAAAACGAGTCACTAGTACGCTGCGCGGCACGTTAGCCCGGTTCTTTATCCTGGCCCTACCGACAAGGAAGATTGTTCAAACTAGCCTTGTTCAGGGAGGCATGGGCTAGGGTTATGTTGCATACTGCCATACTCGACGGTCGCAAGACTCCTTTGGAGTCACCGAAGAAAGCCGCATCCTTAGACCCATTATACCTCAGGTAGCATACCAGAACAAGTAGGATAACTGTGCTCTTCGTGTATACTCGATACATCTCCCTCAGCAGAAGCGATACCACCCATCAATGTCTTGAGGTCCTCTAAACATGCCCACCTCCCACTTCAGACGGATACAACGACAGTCACAGACTTTGCAGACCCCGTTACTCGCTTAGCCAGAACGGAAACCGCTACATTCCAGATTGACAAGACCTCACTCCTCTTAGCTCACGCGTTCAAGCCGCGGAGAATGGACGCACAATCAGCCACTCAGCTCGATGCACAATGCACAATGCGAGAAGTTGTTGATATTATCTCCATGACGACGGCTGCTAGTCTCTACATTGCTCGTCAGGCACTCGATCTCCAGCCTTCGGGCTCTGCCCAATAAATCCTTCACCTTTTTCAATTGGAAATCCCTTGAAAATCCACTGCTATCTGAATTCTATACCAAGCACGCAATCACGCCGTTCCCAACCACACGGCTGGAAACCTAACTAGACGGTCCGACAAGATCAAAACCACCTTCCCATACGCCTGGCAGTCAACAGTACGCCGGGACTATCCAAAGCCGGGATTCAATATGCGGATCGTCGTTATACACATAGCAGGAGAGTGCCGAGGTCATTTGATTCTGGCCTGACAAAGCCCCGATGGCCTGAATGTCGGTGATTTTTCTTTTGAACATGAAGGCTGTGGTTTTGTTTTCCAGGGTTACATGTGTACATGACCAATGCTTTGGCCACGAGCGGTCAGAATCTAAGGGTTTTATTACTTTCTTTGGGGGGGGGTTCATGGTATGTTGAGACTCGGGCCTCGCCGGTCTAGCGCAATGCTACTACTTGTTTCCAGCTCTAGCGGTCATCAAGACCGATATTGACCGGCTCAAGGGTATGCGCCAAGGATACTGAATTTCGCTTCAGATCAGAGAGCCTCCTTGAAATGTAAATGTCCCCTAGGCTTACAGTACTAACAGACATGACGCCGGAATACTAATCGAACGCTTTTCACGAATTTCAATCGTTTCATAAATTTCCTTTCCTATCTCGAGGCGATTACCGCCCTATGCTAAAACCAAAGCAGTAGCCGCAGAGATGGCTCGCGGTACGTGCATGCGATTCCTCGGGGAATGAACCCATCCCGATTCCCAATACAAACGGATTCTCGGGGAAATGAAACCTCCCGATGCAATGCCAAAATCAAAACGTACCTTGCGTACTTTCGAAAGCAGATCATCGCCAGTGTAAATCCCTGAGAAGCTCGGGGCTAGAAGACAAAAAAACACGTCTCTTTCTCTCGCCGTTGAGAAAAGCAAAAGCGTATGAACAAGGGTCGGACTAACCGCTGTATCCAACGGCCTCGAGCTCCTTGCGAACGGCATCCTCAGTCTGAATCTTCTTCATCTGAGTATCCTCGAGCTTCTCTCCGCCAGCGAGGCGCATCTTCAGCTCTTCAATCGCTCGAATCTTCTTGAGGAGACCGCGGATCTTCTTGTCCTGGGCAGAAGGGTCCACAGCAGAGTCAGGAGTAGGAACGGGAGCAGCCTCGGTCACAGGGGCCGCAGCCGGGGCAGGAGAAGCTTTGCCGTTACCGTGCACGGGGGAGCCGTTGTTCTTAGCACGTCCACGGTTGGCGTTGGGGCCAGTGGGGGCATTGGCAGGAGGGGCGTTGTCAGTGCCGTCCTCACGAGCCTTCTTGGCAGCCTCACGCTTTTTCTTGTTCTTAGCGGCGGACTTGGAAAGCGAGGCGTTGTCCGCACCAGGAGGAAGCGCAACGCCGCCTCCGGGAGCGGCACCGGGGGCAAATACTCCTCGGCAGGCTCAGCGCCGGGGATCTCACGGCGACGAGGCTTGCCAAAAGCGTTGACGGAAGCAGTACCGGAACCAGCAACGCCCTCGCGGATGTAGGCAGCGCCACCTTGATCCTCACGCTTGAACGCCAGAGGAGTCAACTGACCGCGCGCACCGGGAGGACGGTACGCACCAGCAGGCTTGACAGGAGCCTTACGGGTAGCCAAGTAGGCAGTCGCAGATGGGTGGGGCACAGGCAGCTTAGTGAAAGGGTCACCCAAGGGGTGCTGAGTAAGGCTCTGGGGACGCCAGAACACCTCGTAGAGCTCAGTCATCTCCTCATTGTATACCAGAGCGCCGCTGACGTGCCAGATGCGGATACCATTGTCGACACGAAGACGTGGGCTAGTGGTCGCCGTCAAGATGTACTGACCGTCAGGAGACCACTCGCAAACGCTAGCATTGGAAGCCTCCACGGTGGCGATCTTGTGGAAGTTCTTTTCCATGTCGTAGATGTCCATCTGACCGGCAAGGTTTCCAAAACCGGCAACCAGCACGAAACGACCATGAGGAGAGAACAGAATGGTGTTTCGAGGGCTCAGAGGGAAATTGTGCGTCGGCTTGCCACGGACATTGAAGATGGTGGTCTTTGCGGGCATGTAGCCATAAACGACACCGAATTCCTTGGAGTTGGGGTTCCAGCTCACATCGTGGATGGGACCTTCCTTGTCTATTGGATCGCAGAAAGAATGTCAATTTTTGGTCAATGAGACACTGGAGCCGAACAAGGCCCGCCCCCAAAAAGAAAAAAAAATTGGGAGAGAAACAATGGGATAGAACATACCAAGATCAACTCGAGAATCAAAGGCACCACTGGCACTGAGCAAGTACAGTGTAGTCTCACCGTAGTAGCTCTTACCAGTCTTGTCGACCTCGGTCTGAGCAAGAACGATTAAAGTAGTACCGGACGAGTTCCACTTCAGCTGAACCTTGTCACCCTTGAAGAAGCTCTTCTGGGAGACCGGAGCACCGAACTGAGGCACAATAAACACCTTGACTGAAGCAGGCTGGCCCTTGCGCTCGGGAATGAAAACCGCGATCGACTGAGTCTGACCGGGCGAAAGAGCAAAGTCCGCCACCCCCTCCACACGAAGCTTGTTCCACACGGTCGAAAGGTTGTCGCTTTGGTAGAACTGAACCTCATTGGTCACCACACGAGCGCAAAGCTTCTCATCCGGAGTGTATTGCAAGTTCCAGCCGGTCTGCGACTTTTGAACGAATTGACCAACGATGGTTTGCTCATCACCAGCTTCAATTGCGCGCCAAACCTTGAGATTCTTGGTAGCATCTCCATTGGCATCCTTGGTGGGGCGCTGCCAAGTAATAAGGTAGGTACCGAGGGGAGAGAAGCTCAATTCGAAGACATTCTCGGCAGTGATGGTTGAAACGATGTGACCAACGGAAGCATCCACAATGGTAACCCTGCACAATATTCCAAGCCATATTAGTTTCACGTAACGACATATTGGTCATCTTGTGTCAAAGAAGGAAAGACAAAGGAGAGACATACACTTGAGGGGAGGCCCAGGCGTAGTAACGGCCGTCGGGTGAGTAAGCAGCGCAACGAAGATTTCCATCAGGCCTGAAGATGTGATACTTGCAGGTTAGCCAGATGTTGAGTCCAAGGATTGTGGAGGGTAACCAGGCGAGTCTCACTTCGCAAATCCAGGCAGGGGCTCGTAAACCGGAGCGGCATCCATGATACCGATACCCTTAAGGGTGCGGTCTATATGTTCATTAGTCCCATGTAAGGCGGTAAAGTGAGGCGAAAAAGCCATCAACAGAATCGAAAACTCGCCGACCGCCCAGCCAACAAGTCGGTAATTGGGGGTCCGCATGTAGATGAGGTTCACATACAAGCAAGCTGTGTCGGAGCAGCCATTTTGAGGGCGAGTGGCAAAATAAGATGTTGGCTTGGACCAAATGAAGCGAACCACGTCACAAGTTGGATTGAAGAAACCACTTGACAGGTTGAGGTTGAAAAGATGAAAAGAATCGGAGCAACCCAAGAGATTTATAGCGGCGGAAATCGACTCGGCGCTTATGTCGGCCGATGTTTTCTCTTCTGGTCTTCACAGAATCTTCACAGGAACGGTGCCTGACGGGAACGATTTGTCCGGCAAGAGATAGAAACTTCCGGTCAACGGCGTAACAGTATCTCGCAAGCAATCAACGGAAAGTTTGCTCGATGAAAGTCGAGCTTCCAGGATTATCTGTGGTACAGGAGGAAGACCTGGGGGTGTGTTTTGCAGAGAAAGTTGGAAGCTGCGAAACACAATTGCGCGGTGCAGTCAACGCCAACAGCGGGGAGTTCTCGACGACGCGGCGAGACCAAGGTATCGATAATCGTTTCTCAATTGAATGCTAGACAAGTCAATGCCAGCAACAGGCGGTGTCAATTCCGAGACGAGAAAGAATGCGAGACGGCGCAAAAGGAATCGGAAGAAGGAGGACAGGTGCGGAGGGAGGGCGGGACGACAAAGGGTGGGGGTGGAAGAGAGAAGGAAGACAACCTGGACTGAAAATTCGGGTGCTGGTAACTTGGCGCGCGCGCCGGGCGACAGTGGGCGGTGGGCGGTGGGCGGTGGAACGGGTACAATCTTGAGACCGGTGGGCCTTTCGGAGGCGGCATGCCGTCATGTTTTAAGTTGCTAAGGGCAGCGGCTTGGGCCGAGGAGCCTCAGCGTGGTCTCTATAAGGTCGTTGACCATTACTGGACCCGAGGTCAACACGATGGGCGCGGGCATGGGCATGGATATGTATGTTTGTGTTGGAGCTCGTGGGGTAACTGGTGTCTCTAATGCAGCGTTTGAGCAAGTCGCTCGCATGTCATCTACGCTTTCTACTAAGTGAATCACGGAAAGGGGACCTGCAAAGACACGGACCTTGATTTTCGCCAGAATTGTTCGCCAATGCCTTGACTACCCACTGATACTGGCCGCGGAAAGTGCTGAAGTAGAATCTTGCAGTACCGCAGCATGTCGACTCTCGCACATACGCCAGGAAAGTAGTGACAGATCCACACGGCTATTACCTACAAATTGACCATCAGCATGATCTCGTAGAAATCAAATCGTGAATGTTTGTTCCCCAGAGGCAAAGAACGAGCCGAGCCCCAAAATCATATCACATTAATCATGGTAGGCCCAGGTCTCCCCCACAATAGTAAAAATACAAGCATCAGCTTCCGGACAGTTCTGGAAACAAGAGAAAACAATAAGACTAAGCATAGTACGCTGAACAAACAACAAAGATCATAGAATCAGCAAGAAAGATTTCCCTTCAGATCGAAAGACTCTTACCAGAGCCACCACAGTCAGTTCATAACGGATATACCTGACCGCCAGAGACCTTGGTCTTTTCTGGAACTCGCCTCCCAAGGCTGTCCACTACCCTAAGGGTCGCCTCATCAGCAACATCAGACGTCTAGTCACGTCCTGTATTATGCCCAGCTGGACTGTAGCTCGGTGTGGCGAGTCGTGGAGTGCGCACAGTGGTGTCAATGATATTCTCATCATAGGTCATGCCATTGACCATTCGAGCATCTTCTTGAACAGGCTCCGGTGTAACGGAGCCAGCGGCGCTGGACGAAGCCATCGAGTCACGCCCAGCTACCGCAGTAGATGCCATTGGAGGAGGTGGCTGCTGCTGTTGGAGATAACCCGCAAGTGGGTTGGTTCGAGCCGCTCCTAGATTTCCACCCGTGCTACCCATGCTCGTGGGTCGAGCGCTCCCCGAGGACATACGATTCAACCCACTCGGCCGACTGACAGGCCCAGAGATTGTGCTATTCGCACCCTCGCCAAACCCCACCAAGCTTGCATTTCCCTCATCACTGATGTTGCCCACACTGTCTCGATCATCTGCATCAATGTCCTCGCTCATTTTGTCGGCAGAGAAAGCTTCACTGCTGGAGGCCCAGGTTGTATGACCCACACTGCCGGTTGCGCTGGCACTCCCCACAGTACTACGCTCCTTGAGCGCATGGCTGTCAAAATAGCCCGGGAAGTGGGACGAAGGGACATAATTGCCGGAGTGAGGGCCCCCTGCCCGGGCCGTAGCGACACGCTCGAGGCCTGCAAGACGTGAGATTCGATCGGCACGTTCGGCATCTAGCGTGCTTGTGGACGTTGTCGAGGCAGAGGAGGACTGGTGGGCGTGACCTCGGTGGTGGGGGAATGGTGCACCCGAGTGGCCATCTTTAATTGCGGTGGTGGACAGTGCTGAGAGCGAGGTGGTGCCAGAATTGGGAGTGCCACTAAAGGAGATGTAAGCGACGCTGTGGAAGCTCGTTGCGGAACAAAAAGCGATAGTGAGCGCCGGGAGTCTCACTTACGGTCCCATGTCTGAAGGGGTGACGGGGTCAGAGGGGGTGGAGGGATGTCGATGAGGGTCGGAGTAGTCATTGTGACGCAGATTTGATCTGTGACTTATACCAATCGAACTATACCTACCGCAGATACAAGTTGGAAGGGCGGGGGGACAGACGGGAAATCTCAAAGCGTTTTTTGTGTAGAGTCAGTCATTGACAGCATCGAGATGGAAGGGAGAAATCGTGCGGTGAGGCAGACGGTGCTCAATGCCGAGCCCAAAATCATTAAAGAATGGAAACTGCGGGGAGTGGTCGAGTGGGTGGTTGATTGGGTGGCGACGTCAGCCCACCTTATCGACCAATCGACAGGATGTGGATGGGGTATCTTGAATGCGGATGATTGGGCGCAAGCTGAGGGTGTGGTACCTAATCGCAATGCACATGCAAGCTTAACACTCGGCCCCCGAAGTAGCTGTCTAGGAAGTGAACTGTGTACTATCTAAGCTGCTCGGGGAGGGCTACTGCAAGCACCATAGAAGCAGGAAGGATTCATGCAATGCTGACTGCGGACTTGGATGTTGGAAGAGTCAAGAAATGGTCGCATGGCAAGGGGAAGATTATGTAATAATTCGTTGACTCGTAGAGCTACATGTGACAGGAGAATCCGTGAAGGAGAGACTGGTGTCAAGGGCCAGGTTTTCGTAGGCTTACGCCCTTGTCTAACTTCACAGACTATGAACTGACTTGACGGTTCTCATAATGTCCACGCAGATCATCAACCTCCTTCTGCAGGCGAGAAAGATCAGCCAAGATGTCGGTCGCATTGGAGGGCTGCGGCACGGGTACCACGTCTGTCCCGGACACCTGCGATAGGGGCCTCCCTTCACTGCTACGAGAGCTTGAGTCTCGCGCCCGCCGAGGTGGTGGTGGTGGAGGGGAGGCACACTAGAGGAAGAAGAGCTACTGCTCATGGGAACATTATATGACGAGGCACGGCGACCATGTGACGAGAGGTTGGCTCGGGCTGTCGCTGGGGCGGAGGAGAGAGTATCCCTTGGCAGTGGACTCCCTGATGGGCGAGAATCCGCTTCTCTCTCAGCGACTCGGGGTGCTGCAGATGGTGGCATGCTAAATCGTTTGTACTCGGATGCAGTGGGGGTAGTCGACCTCGCCGAGGGTCCGGGACTGGGCGGTCGTGAGCCATCAGTGCCCTCGGAATCCAGTGATGACATGACCAGCCGACCGCCACTTGCTTTGGACTGTGAGGATCGGGAGCGTCCCATTTGACTTTGCCGGCGGCTGAGAGGAGGTGTTGGGGGCCGTTTTCGCTGAGATCGTTGGGAGCCACTGCGTTGAACGGGGTTCAACGGAGGTCCATTCTCTGCCGCCTGCGCTGGTTGTGGAACCGGAAGGGAGGTTGAAGAAGAGAAATAGTCCACACCATCACTACTGAGTCTGGAGCGGGAGGTATCTGAGCGTTGGGCACGCGATGTTTGGTAGTCGGGAAGAAGAGCATGGTATGAGAGGCGATTCCGGGATCGAGGTGGTGAGGGTTGAGGTGATGCAGCGCTAGATTGGCTTATAGCGCCCGCAGTCTCCAAAGGCGTGCTGATTTTCCGACCGTGATGGTTTGGTGGAGGAGGGGGTGGTTTCTTGTCTTTCGTTGATCGACCGGAAGGTGATGTGTTGGCGCCTGCTTCAAGCCTGGAGCGCGGTACTTGCGGGTTGCCCACACCAGGTCTCATCGAGACTGGGCCATCCTCTCGTAGAGTATCAGACGATGGCGTATTCCCCGTTTCAGTTCCCAGAGATGTTTTCTGCGCAGCAGATTGACTCTTTTCGGTGTCCGATGGCCAGACAGACTGGCCGCCGTCATCCGAACTGGACTGCGAAGCAGTCGCGACAGGTGAAGTCTGCTCAACCGTGTTGCGTTCATGGTCGTTCGCCGAAAATTCTGGGGCAAATGGATTCACAGTGTTCACGACATAGGGAGCGGATGCGTCGGGATTGGCTGTTTGGATCCCTGGGGGACTATGAGGATGATGGCGAGGCAGTTGCGGTTGAGGAACTGGTTTAAAAAACTCGCCAGGCTGAACTTCTTTGCCGGCAATGTGAAGTTGTCCAGTCGCACTGTCGGCGCTACCTATTATGACGCATGGGTTAGCAACACAATCCGCCAATGGCTCCTCAGTCGAACCAGGCGTAGGAGAAAACTGTCTGGAATGGCTGTCGGCTTCGTGATGCACGGTTGATCGGCAAGAGGCGGATGAATGAAGAGGCAGGGCATCGGCATCGATGGAGCAACTCACCGACGGCATTCTTCGCACGAAATGGGTTGAAAGCTGACATCGCATGGGAGTAGCAATACCAACTCTGCTGAAAGCTATGGGCAAAGAAGGTTGGAAGGAGAAGACAGGATCCCCGCGCCTCTTATCCATGCGCCCCCTCCTTCTCCGCTGATGTCCGGGATGCCCAAATCGATACCAGTTGCAAATGCAATTTGAACCTTAGAAGTCATTTCAGAACCAACACGATTATTTTTTCACGAACAGAATTATCTCGACAAAGATTCAGACACAATATGGAGTTTGGGAAGGATTGTCAGGGCTTCTGAACCGGTCAAGGCGAGGGAAAAATAAATATAGTACAATGCTCAAACGAATGCAAAGAGGCTTAAAGAAAAGAGACAAAATCAGAAATCCACCAGTCCATCCAGGAGACCCAGGAGACCTTCTCCCTCTCCGTCCGGAAACCATGCCTTGACCCCCGTAAAGACAGAACCTGATCCGATGAATTGCACCGGAGGATATAATATGAAGAGTAAATGTAAGAAAGTGAAAGTCCAAAACCGCCGTCTACCACAGATGAGCCACCACCATAGTGCTTCAACCCCGATCAATCCCGAGACAGTCTTGTCCTGTGAGAAATCTCCACAGGGACGGAACCGCTCTATCACCGTTCGTTATACACATGCCACGTCGCACTCTCTTCGAAGAATCTTTGAGCGAGTCGCTTCCCACTTTCCGTGGGTTGGCTGAAGGCGATGTTGTCTTTGGGGATCTCCATGCCGTAAATGAAGTTGCTGACCACGCAGTCCAGCAAATCCAACGCGATTCCCTTCCTTCGGGATGCCCCCGATGTCCAAATCCGCGAGACTCCCACGATCGCCGGGTGCAATTCATCTTTCACCGATACCGAGGATCCATCCGTGCCTCTCTCCGAGTCATTGCGCACCACCGGGCGCGCCTCCCAAATTCGCTCAGTGAGACATAGGCCCACACACCGGCTGTCTTTCATATGAAGGAACACCCGGTATCGATCCACTTTCTCCTCGGAGCTCTCGTTGTGTAAATGCTTGGGAGGCTCGGCTTGACTCCAGAGCACCTCATCTTCGATGTCAGGGGAAGAGAGCTCCTTGTTGACAACCTCGAGAACCTTCTTCGCTTGGTTCTTGGCGCTTGGTGTGGCCTTGCGATCCACAATCACCACGTATCCTTCATCGAACCGCGTCGCCTCGTAGACCCAACGCGATGCATTGGCGCGCATAAATGCCTTGCCCAGGTCCACGCCCGTCGAGTTCATTTCGTGAAATTTCTTGTGAAGCGCCGCATCTTCTGAATTCGACGGGATATATTCCATTCCGCATGTCGCACATGTTTTTCGTACCTCCGCTCCTAGGTCGATCTGCATTTGACGCAGTGCCGGTGGCTTGGGGGTGGTCTTCTGTGATGTGGGTAATGACGGCTGATGCGTGCTGTTCTGGCGTTGCTGCTGCTTGGGTGGATCGGCCGTGGAGCGTACACTATTGGAGTTGACCTCGGTCAGCGGCGAGCCGCCCGTGTTCTCCTTGAGCTTCCGTTTCAGAAAGGCGAAAGTCGGTTTGCGCGTATTCGCGGGTGGCGGGGTCAGTCGCGGCGGCGGCGACGATGGCGGCGTCGTGAGATCGTCTATATCATCGAGCGTACCTTCGGAGCCGATGATGGAGTTCCGGCGCGACGGGCTGGACAAGACGGCCGCTGATGATTCTCGGATCGCATACTGCAAATTTGTCTCGGCCTCGTCGGACTCGTCCTGTACGCGTCTTTTTTCGCGACCCGTTCGTCGTCATAGACGCGCCATGTCGGTCTTCCGTAGGTTTTCATGAGGCCGCTGGAGAGGAGCAATTAGCGCGGCGATCGCGGTCGCCAGGGTCTGGCCAGTACGTACCGCTTGAATGAATTGGTGACTGTCCACGGCATCTCCCTGGAAGTCTGCTTCTCTGGTGGGAGTGGAGGGAAAAAGCTGTTTTCTTTACCAGTTGCAGAGAGGGGACTTTGGCCGGTTTACATAGGCGGATCGTCCGGTTCCACTGCACGCGTGGCGCTAACTGGATTAGGTCATATTGTTTAGGTCCTGTTCATGAGTTCCGTGCGATCAGCCACTTACCACCCGATGAGGTATCCCTTGCTGGGGGGGGGAGGGAAAGAGGTCGGCAAACACGTAAGGAAGTTGAGTCGGGAATTAAAGATCGGAAGGAATGCTGGAGAGAAAAAAACTGTGGGGAGGAGATAGAGAGAGAGAGAGAGAGAGACGGTGTCAGATCCAGGAGGCCTTGAGTTTCATGGTCGGAACAGTGAGGGAGTGATGGATCAATCAGAGCCACATGAGCTTCTATGGGGACCTTCTAATACAATCTGCGAGACACGAGTTTGCCACCGCAGCCAAAAGGATGAGGGAATTGTACCTGACACGCACGGGATCTGATTCTGAACTGTAAGATGATGAAAGAAGGAAAGCTCCCACGCAAGCCAAAGCTTGACTGTCCACAGCTGCCGCTCGTGCTGGTCTTTTGGTCTGTCTGCCTTGGTCGGTTGGCTTGTGCTGGGCTCCAGTCGGTCCGAAGAGGGACTTCCTCTGCTAACTTCGGTCGATGTAGAAGCTAGAATTCTCAAGTTGAAGTACTAGACCAGGTGGGTGTTAAGGCAAAGGTTGGAATAGCCGTTCTATGGAGCTCAGGTTTGACGTTGAGTGTCGTATATGACGACACTGGATTGATACAGGCGCAAGCTTGACTCCTGAATCACCGTTTCCGAGTTTTCTTCTCCTGAGCCTATCTCCATACTCTCTCATGGCTGTGAATTCCCGTCGCTTCGGCATGTTAGGTGGAACCTCCTTTTAAACCCCCTTTTGCGCCAGGAACTATCGTCCAGATGGGGACCGTTGATTTGCCTGATGACGTGAACAAGAGTTGGGAGTCCGCCTTATTGACTTTTGACCGTCTGCTCATTCGCTGCGATGGCGCAGAGCCCGTAAGTACCAACAGGAATTTTCCACCAGCCCATCGCCCAGAGTTCAGCCCCCAGATTATCATTAGGCAGGAGGATCATTGGCGACATTGGATCGTTCGCCCAACCTATGCCAGGATGGCTGGACATTCTGACCGCATACCATACGGCATACCCTGTATTCCATACAGTGTATACTGAAATACACTATACGGTATAAACTCACGCAGGCGCAAAAATAGTCGACTACTAGACAAAAGTGGTGGAGTGACCACGAACTATGAACAACCTATACTTTGCTATAATGACTATGGACTCATGGCGCATAGACTTATAGCGTATGGTCATCCTATGTGACTGTGCCCATAGCCCCATAGTCCTACTCCATACTCCATACTCATAGTCCATGGTCCATACACATTAACACTACCAACCCAAAGCGTCCAGCCGTTTTTTCAGCATTCTCCTTCAAGCCCCCAGCCAGGTAGACACGAGAATTGTTCGTGACTAGTGTTGGCGTGGCGACAGATGGTCGTCATCATCGTGGAGTGGACTGGCTGACAGCCAACTTCCCTCCCTCCCAGACCCAGGGTGTACGGCTAGGCTAGGCTACACAAATCGGTCGTCTTCCAACCAACTGAACCTTCGCCCCCTTGGCCAAAACGACGCACTCGCCTAACACTCACCATGGACGCCTAAACTCGGCATGAATTGGGCGCTGCGGATGGCTGCGCGGGACGCAGAAGAGCCGTCGCGCCTTGCGGTCGATGGCAGTGCCCATTACTATGATGATTCCCCATGTTCGCTCATCATCAAAGGGACACACGTGCTCCTCCTCGCTCCGATGAATGCTTCTTTTGGCACTTCTTCACCTTGCCGGTCCGAGACCTGAGCAAGTGCCAACGCTCTGGAGATTCACCTCGTGGCACCTTCTCTCGAGGAAGAACCGGAGATTTGATGGGGACGGGGGCCTCTCATGCCTGACACTGCTGATTGGGTCTTAGTCAATCAACTCTGGGCGAAGGTCCAGCCCAGGTGCGGTGATTGGCTCCGGCTGGAAGATTGATCGCACGGTGAGAAACCTTGCCTCTTACGGAGAGCATAGAAGGAAAAAAAACCTTTCGTGATCCCAAAGAGGTGCAAATCAGGGCTTCAGCGGACAGCACAGTTCGTGGCCCCGAAGCGGAGAGTTTGACACGGTTTTCTGTCTCGGTGGAGGCTTTGCCCACCTTGACCATGACTTCCGGGTGGCCGCAGATGAGATTGGCCGGGGGATGCTTACGCAGCACAGAGTTGCTGGAAGCGCCCAAGAAGCACGGAGGGGACCCAGCGTTACCCGGTGGCAAATGATCATTTTTCATGCCTGTACAGTGTACACAACAGGAGCAGAGATCGGCGAATCATATGTCGATTTTCATTTCACCCGAGGCCATCTGGGAATCGACGGAGGGAGAAAGAAGGTGTTTGCCATTTCTCGGAGTCGGAATCTCAGTCTCGTTTGAGGCAAGACGCCTTGCTTTTGTCCGATCACTAGCTTCCAGTGATCCTCACTCGTTTTCATGGGACATGTCATCGATTTGAGCGCTGTGATATCAAGGTCAAAATCAATGGTTATCGACCATGTGTCAAAGTTGCCGCGCTCCATGCGAGCAATGAGGCTTCCAGTTCGTCAATCAAGCAGCCCAGGAAAGGTTGGAAGGGCCATTCTTCAAGCGTGCCAGTTCAAAAGCGATTCCTACGTCAATGCATCCGATATCTGCGATTCCCTAGCTCAGAGAAGAGAGACCGGGGGCAATGATGATTGGGAAGACAAGCCGAGGGTTTCGTGCAGATGTGTCTTCTGGATGGTCTTCACCCTGCAGACATCTGCACATTTGTTTTTGGATACCGCTTGCTATCTCCAGTAGAATCCAAAGCCGCTTGTGCCAAACGAGTTCATGTTCGAGTAGGAAGACTCGGGGACAATCCTCTGGATCACGGTCATTGATCGAGATCACGCGACCTTGACCTCCAGCGCCCGTCGGCGACCAAGTGCCCACACGCCTCAACGTCTGGAACTTTTCATTCCCTGCAGCTTGAATACCTGACAGCCTTTTACTTCTACACTTCACATCATTCTTGACGAGATGCTGGGTTTCTTGTGTCGATTTGCGCCCAGTATCTTGGTCGCATGGTTACTAGACTCTACGACGTCGACTTTCTCGCGGTTCCATCAAGTTATCAACGGTGCACTGTCCGAACTCGTGCCAGATGGTCTTCTCTTCGCTCTCCGCCTAGGCGTGACGAATCCCAACCACCCAGGGAAGCTGAACTTACAGTGATCTGGCCTCGGGGCAGACCAGCATCACTCTTCCTTTGATATATCAGATTCCCTGGCAGGCGTCAATGGATTCATGATTGGCGCCCCCCATTAGTGTGAGGTGTGTAGAGTGACAGACGTGCAGTCACTACTAGTCTGTCAAGACACAATGCGTGCTGCAGGTGGCGAGGTCTGCCAATAATGGCTCGCTGCAAGCTCCCTCCGCTGCGTACTTAACTCTACGAGGCGACGATAAGAGAGGTCATTTGGGTCATTCAGCATCTTGAGGTCGAACTCCATCATTTGGCGGTATCTAGCTGTATGCCCTTTGTAGCTGACTCGCACGAGCAACTTGTGAGAGGGTCCGGAGTGTTCGGAGGGCTTGGAGCCTCGGAGACTTTGCCTAGCCCGGATTATCCTCAAGACCGAAAGCTGAAACGCTGTAAGAGACGCCAGCGGGTGCAGATGCAGTTTCACGACAGCATCGAAGCCTTCTCCAATCCCTCGCACATGTAGCTCTACCTAAGTTGATTAGAACAGTAGTAGACTACTAGACTCTGGCCCTAAGAGTACCACAGTCTCCAGATGCCTCCCCCAACGTCTGGGCAACAAGCCGTACTAAGGTAGTTCCCACCTCCAAATGTTCGGCTCCGCTTTAGACCCGCGGAACATTCGACAGCGCGGGTCCCTCCTAAAATTTCTTCGACATTTGTTCGAAGCCTTTTCATCACCCTCATCACCCTCTTCCTCTAAATAATGTCAGACGACGCTCAAGGAGGCAAGCGAAAGCGTGCGAGTCAGTAACCACCTTTTCCCCACCCCCTTCTCCTCTGTCACGGACGTCTTGTCCCACCAACAATCTCCCACGTTCCAATCTATCCTTGTCCCATACCCCAACCAGCTCTTTTTCTTTCTTTCCCCGCGACGAGCAGGAATCCAGCACGATGGACTCTGCCAGCAACGAGGCCGTTTCGGCAGAGTCATCAGACCTACCCCGGTCGGCTGGGACGCAGCCAAAGGTCGAGATTGAGCATCCACGCCCGTCCAAGTTGTTCCCGGCGGCGATTCCATTCCTGCCTGGCCGACTGCAACACTATCATCAGCAGCCCCCGCAGCCGCAGAAACAGCCCGAGGAACTGGAGCCGCATCTTTCACCTTCACCATCACCATCTCCTCCTCCTCCTGCTGCTGCTGCTGCTGCCGCTGCTGCCATGGAGGTCGAGTCACCCGACACACGTAGACCTTTCGCTAACGACGGACGCTCGCCAGGGACCCAGTCATGTCCGCCGCCGGAGCTGCCGCAACTCGTGGCCGAGCAACATGCGCCAATTCCATCGCATGACAAGGACACTCAGCGATTGATTGTCATCCTCTCCAATGCCAGCTTGGAAACCTATCGAGCTTCTAGTGGGCGTGCGGGGGCCAAGGATGAGAAATATTCTCTCCTGAACAGCGATGAGCACATTGGTATCATGCGTAAGATGAACCGAGACATCAGCGAGGCTCGTCCGGATATTACACACCAGGTATGGATTTTCTTGCGTCGAATTTGATTTTCCCACCTCTCCTCGGTTCCCCTCCACGTGAATAGCTCGCTGCGGGATGGATCATGCGAACGTCATGTGGTCGATCGCATGGTATACGTATGCTGACTGAAGATTCTCTTTCTCGTGCGTAGTGCCTGCTCACTCTTCTCGATTCCCCCGTGAACAAAGCTGGTCGCCTCCAAATCTTCATCCACACCGCCAAGGGTGTTCTGATCGAAGTCAACCCCTCCGTTCGGATCCCGCGTACCTTCAAGCGTTTTGCTGGTCTGATGGTTCAATTACTACACCGTCTCTCTATTCGCTCGACCAACTCGCAAGAGAAGCTGCTCAAGGTCATCAAGAACCCTATCACCGACCACCTGCCCCCCAACTGCCGCAAGGTGACCATGAGTTTCGATGCGCCCGTCGTCCGTACTCGGGACTATATCGAGTCGCTGGGACCCAATGAGAGCATTGCCATCTTTGTGGGTGCCATGGCCAAGGGTCATGACGATTTCGCCGACTCCTTCAAGGATGACACCATCTCCATCAGCAACTACAGTCTCAGTGCCAGTGTGGCTTGCAGCAAGTTCTGCCACGCAGCCGAGGAGGTCTGGGACATTCTGTGAATGCGGTCCAGTTTCCCACTTGTTTCAAATCGCGCAGCGTGACGCGCGCGTCCATCGACATGCCGCCCCACACGGAAAATCCATAAGAAGCTTCCTCCAGCGTGTCGTGTCTATGACTGCTACGAATTTCCTTGCCATGGTGATTGGTCACCACTGGGCCCTTGCTGTTGAATTGAGTTGTATCTTGAATTTGTGAAATGAACTCCACAAATGGGTGGATTTGGAAAGGGGGGGGGGTTGAATCCGTCCGTCTTTCGACATATGCGAAGATGGAGACAAGTCTTCTTCTTCTTCTTTTTCTTCAACGTTCTCGATTTTTTTTTGCTCTCATGCATTTGCTGGCATCGGCGAATCGCTTAACCCTGCCATGTGTTTGGCTCTACATCTGTTACACCCAACATTTACCTGTCTGTCGACCCGACGGTCGATGAGTGATGGTATGACCCGCTCAAATGTGTTATGTCTTTTGTCGCCGAGTGTCGCAACTCGTGACCTCTCTCTGGTCTGACTGAGCAGCCGGGTCTCGGTTAATATTGCATGAGTTGTTGTTGCGATGGTGCTGTCGTTTTTTTCCTCTTCGTTCTTTTACCAGAAGGTGTCATGTCTACGAAGGTGTCATGTCTACGCCACGATGAGGAGTCCTCACAAGACCAGAGATCACTCTTCCCTTCTGCCGAAAAACGCATGGCGATACAACTGGACTGGATGGCCTTTGGTTCCTTTTCGCCAGACCGGTCCTAATTCAGAGCCTTGGCCTCGGAAAAGAAAAAGAAAAAGCAAACGAAAAGCCTTCTCGTCTTCCCCGACGAAGCGGGCTTTTCTTACCTTTGACCGTGGCAATGAGATTTAGAAAAGTGAACAAATTTTCGATCGGGATCCTGTTGTTTGACAGGGTTTTCTGAGATTTCGGTGATATATTATTTGTGTGTGAAAGAGAGTACTCATTTTCAAGATTGTTTCCTTGCGATTTTGCTTTTTATCCTATCATGGAGGATACTCTGTGTCGGTAGGCCGTACTCCGTATCGAAGTCACTATTCTTGAAAAGAAGCCCCCCGTAAATGCTAATCAAGCAAGTCACTGTTTACTCTCCAAACGGCCCTCGGAATGCAGCTCTACAGAAGCCTCCCTAGTCTCTGTAGTAATGAATATATGTCGCCAGATCAATCTCTTCTGGATCTCAGATAGCGCGACAGAAACCAAGGCCGTGCCGGTCTATTCCAAGTACTCGAGTATTCCATAAGCTGCCGGTATACATATACATACTCACCAGGTGAAACTCAGATAATCACAAAGCATACAGCGCCCCAGCCTTCCGAATTCCAGCCCCAGAACGTGGAGACGTCATCGCAAGACGGGTACGGAGTCCGCCGTCGCACTTTCCAGTGGGAAAATGAATCCGCTGTCGAGTGTCACTCTCCACTGCGCTGGAGTCGAGCTCACAAAATGAGGACCACCCAGTTCCTAGTACCTAGTACGTGATACGTACTCCTTGGACACTCTGTCCATCAAGCGTCCGCCTCAATGGGAGCGATTATCTAGTAGGGAGTAGGTAGTAAGGTACTATGATAGTGGAGGGACCCATTTAGGGAGTCTACTAGTCGTACACAGTTACACATGATACGGGCAATGTATGATGTTACATGTAGATCCAGGCTACATTCGAAGCGGCATCGAAGTTTCAATTGTATTGACGCAGTTGTTCGTCCCGGAAGAATGGTCATGGACGACATGAAAACGTCGGGGCTGTAGCTTTTCACACCAGACCCGTGATATGTGGCCAAGGTAGTACAGGTGGTTGCTTCAAATCTTCCGGGTCTCGCCCGAACGGAGATTCTCTCTATTCCAGCTCAGCGAAAGTCTGGACCCATCAGCTAAGCTAACATAGCAACACAGCCTTACTATTCTACATAACTATTCAGTGCTTAGAAAATGGCTGAGAGTAAGCACAGGTAGATAGATATTGATCGCCGAAATGGCTGAGAATAGCTACGTAAGTTATTAGTGAGTTAGTAGTACTTCTATACTCGTGAGTCATGGCACTAGTAGCCTCACTTCAGGTACCCAACCCATGTACCTAATCAGTTCACACTGGAGACCTGATCTCGAAGGAATCAGCTGCACATCTGCCCAGGTCAATTGGATAGGGAGCGTGATGACCGCTTGAACTTTGGAGCGGTTTATTCTCGGATGGACCCGGTTTTTGGGATTGTAGTTTTCGGACCCTTGGAGGCTGTTTAGGATGGTAGAGCGGCCGATGAATGGGGTAGGAGTCCAGGACAGTAGGACTCATAGGTAGAGCTAGAACACAAGCATTTCGCCTAGTAGTAAGGCAGGACGTTTGACCGTATTGAACAAGTCCGATCAGGTCCTTGAGTTCATGGAGTTGGGTTGCCAGTGAGGCGGGAGAGTATAGGCGGGATGTCGTTTCCTTCTCTGCTGTACAAAGTACGAAATGCAAACTCCAAACCATCGAGTGCTATGTCGATACCTCACGTAGTAGGTTACTAGTAGACTACTGGACTTGAGGTTATACCTGGTAGCTACTGCTTGATCAACTTTACTTGTGGCTGCAACTCAAGTTACGCGTGGATCATGACTAGTATGTTAGTAGGACTAGGTACCAAGGTAGTCCAGTCACTGTTGTACCTCCGAGCACCGATGATGTTTCTCTGCAAAGATGCCATCGTGCTTTGTGAGTTGATCCCTTGCGATTCACCGACGCAGTACCTTTCTGTCACTTGACCATGAACCCACCTTGGGCCCCTCCGAGGTTCCTCTTCCCCGCCATGATAAGCAAGGAAAGGCATGGTGCCCTGTCGTGAACCCGACATAAACACCAAAGAGCTCCGACGAATACTGCATCAACTCATATGCCATGATGACCCAGTCCTGCACCAAGCTTTTTTGGGTTCTGCTGTCCCGGTCTCCAGAAGCGGTCGAACAGATATCCTCTGAAGAGGATCGTCATCCTGATGAATCAGGTAAATTAGTAACCTCCCACTAAATACAAGAGCGACAAAGTTGGACTCGAGTCCAGCAGTAGTAGCGGTCAAGCACTCCAGCAAAATCCCGATATTTCCCTTTCCCGATCGCCCCGACTCTCCGTGTCCAGTGCCCATTTTTTTCGAGTTCTCCACCCAGCAGTTCCACCTTGGTGAAGTGGACGTTCAATTTTCAATTTCATCGACGGCTCTGATTGATCATGGAACTGCGTGTTGTGACTGTACCCTCTTGGTACGTCCCCTTTGTCCACTCGGATGCGTCCACGCATTTGTCGAGTGTCCGACTCGGTGGGCTTCAACGAGGTACTCCATTGGGAGACACTTGGTAGTAGTTAACTTAGTAGGTAATTAGGTAAGAAGGTGGTCATTTCATTAACTTATGATTGTACATCTAAGGGGATTGTCTGCGATAATTCACCGATATCAGAGGGCTCTGCACGTTGTACATATGAAGTCACTATTGTATTGCTGTAGAAGGGGAAAGTGAGTAGTTAGCGACTTGGTTGTTTTCCTATTCTCCCACAGTCCGACTTGCTGACTTCCAGGTTGATGATATTTCAAGTCAAGCGGTCCCTCGTAGGCCTGGGCCACTCTGCGACCTGAGCGAGCCCCGCTGCTCTCCGGACTCTTACGAACTTGTCGTTCGTGTCGATCCTTCTCGGTGACCATTGCTGATTTGGAAAAGAAATGGCCTTATCGCATCACGATTGACACCCTGGATTTTGTGCTTTGGTCAGTTGTATGAAGACAGCAAGACCGGGAGATGGACAATGCTCATTTTCGAGGGATGCCGGAGAAGTGAATGGTTATCTAGGTTGTCGAGTAAATCCTGTCCACTAACAGAGGGAGTACATACTACATTCACATAAGTGGAATGGAAGACTAAAGTAGGCCCCAGTGTATAGTTGTATACTTCTTCATCAGTGTATACCATCCACGAAAGGGGTATAGTCTCAATTGAAGGCTCAGGGTAGTAGAACAGACTGTTCGAAGTACTAGCTTATCTTCCATCTTGAACACGTGAGTCAAGTTGGCTACGTCTTGAGTCCCTCTGGACTCTGGTCCATCCTTTTCCAATACTCTAGGTCGCAGGACAGGATTGAGGGCGCCAATCGTCATAACAGCTTCACTTGCAGTGGAAATCTAGACGTTGCCGGAGACGGTCCATCGTCGCGAGCTCAACATCGCTGTCAGCCTGGAGAACTGTATAACTACGTTAGTAGACTAGTTCGATTAGTCAGTAACTAGTTAGCATTTAATAACCAGTAGTTAGTAGTTATTGGTTAGGGGAGATGTACATTATACAATGTATAATGCACACTGTGCACTTCCAGTAGTCATCATCCACCAAACAGCCCCAGCCTGGTGGTCGCTTCATGCTTCGAGTCCACGCCTCACTTCCGACGCCTCATTTCTGAAAATGCCCATTCTGAAAATGCTCTAGTCCGCACGACGCTTGGGATGCTGAACAGGTTGACAGCCAGTCTGCTCACGGGGAACTCTCGTTTCATCAGTGAGCTGTTCCGGCGCACTTCGCTCAATTGGGTAAGTGGCTAAGTCATCACCAACTCCCGCCGACTACTCGGACGTGAGCAGTGAGTTGGAAGGTTCACCTGGCCAAATGGTAAACTGTCCGTGGACGAGACTCTCTCTGGTATCCGCCCACCTTGTTCCAACCCGGCTCTGGCAGATCCAGCGACCGATGCACCCGCTACTACTACTGGACTAGTACTGGTGACTTGACTGGACTTGGACGTTTGGCCTTTCCTCTTGCGAGTCAGCATCCAAATCCACCTCCCCACTGATCCACTACCCACTTTTCTGCTGCCCCTCTGCTCTCTCGTGCTCCGTGGGCCAGTTGCCAGAGACTCTGGTGAGTTGGCGCATAGTCGGTCTACAGTCTAGTTCTACAGTCTACACGACGTTACGCGCGACACTCTCCACGATTGACGGTCCAGTGCAAGACGACTATTGCAGGCGTTGCTTGGGCCTGATTCCGGGCGGTTCCACCTGCTGCTGGAGCCCGGTCGGACTCGTTGGCGTTTTCCCTCTTCGGCTGGATACTTGCGCGCGCACTGATGGATGGATGGCCGATTCGGGTAGTGACTGAGGTCCACACGTTCTGGCCTTGCAGTTGTTCCCCGAATCTGACCAGATGGGACAGTTCTCGCAGCGGAAGTCAAGTGACTGATGTTGCTGACTGACTGACTGACTGACTAATGAGCCAACTCGAACCGCGTGAGATGATCGCAGTCGTCTACCGATGTACACTTGTACAGGCGTCCGGAGGTACACTAAAACCGCTCTGCATACATGTCCTGGCGGGGCTATCGGGCAGAAGGGCCAAGAGTGGGCTCGCGATGGTCAAACCTCGATGAGGCAAGTCAAACGTTGTGCTCACGAACTAATCGGAGTTCTTTGATCACAAACTGGATACTCCGTCCCCTTTTCCTTGCAGCTGGCAGAGCCCATCGGCATTGACTCTGGCTCCCAATACAGTAGACCAGGCGTCGGGTGGTGTGTGTGTGTGTCATCGTGGATTCCAGCTAATCACTCCGAGGCACCTCTATCTGGCATGCTGGTGTTGGGTCCAGGATACCTTTCCGCCCTGCTCGTCGCCCTACTTGGCTCACCGTATATAACGATGCCCTGCATCGAGGTGCAGGGCATCCTTAAATTCTATTCATCTGCACAGATCGAGCTCTAATCATCATATTCCGATCTTCCTCCTCAATTAAATACCTCGGTCGAGCCACCGCACTTGCACTCTTGATGCTCGTTGCTTAGTCCGCGGGCGATTCATTCTACTGTCACCAGCCTTCTTCGCGATGCCCGTCTCTCATCTGACCTTGACCGTCTCACATCTCCCCACCTCGACTTCTTTCTTTCTTTCCTGCCTGCAGCCTCTTGGATATCAATTCATCGGCCGTCATGATGACTATATCGGATTTGGTCAGAAGCAGGGAGAACCCGCCGATTTCTGGATCACCGAGAAAAAGCCCGGGTATGTTCTCTAGTCAATAGACTCAACACACCTCACGTCCGAATACACGCGGCAACAGACCCCACCCGTCTTCCGCCATACTGCACAAGGCTCGATCCACATATCCCCATGGCAAAGAAACACAACGTTTACTGATCTTGAAACTATTCCCAATTCGACAGTGTTCTACCCAGTGCCGCACATGTAGCATTCCCCGCTCCGTCGAAAGACGCTGTGACCACATTCTTTCACTCGGCCATCCAAGCCGGTGGCCAATACCATGGCGAGCCGCGAACCCGCGACTCTCAAACAGGGTATTATAGTGCTGCGGTCATAGACTTTGACGGGAATAGCATCGAGGCAGTCTACCGGCCTGGAGCCGCCCCGTCGGTTGCCGCGTCGGTCGCCGGCAGTCCAACAATCGGTCTTATCGAGAATGGCTCCGCCGCGTCCAAGGCGGGCTCGGTTGTTTCCAAGGCGAACTCCATTGCGTCCAAAGCCACCACCGTTAAATCGCGTGCAATATCGAAAGCGCCCACGGTGGTCGAAAGGACCGTCTCAGCTCCATCCGTCGTTTCGGTGAAATCGACAGGATCAGCTCTGGCATACGGCACCCCTCCGCCAGCACCGCAGCCGCCAGCTCAGAAAGTTGACGATGGTAGCAAAGCCGCCAAAACGATCATCGGCACCCTGATCGGAGCTGCAGCCGGTGCAGCTGTCGCGTACGCAATGGTCCGAGGCGATTCGGAGTCCCAGAACGCTGAGGCGAAAGAGGCAGTCGCAGCGCCTCCCAGTCTGCACCAGTACGCCCCCGATCTGCTGCAATTGATGGCCCCTCCCTCACAGGTTTCAGAGGCAAGATATCAAGCAGAAAACGGGCTTCGGGCCATTGAAGCGCCGCCCGCACGCAGTGTCTACACTTCCGCGTCTGCTGCTCGATCGACAGCGTCCCGAAGCGTCATATCTAAGAATCCGTGGGCCAGTACGGTCTACGAGGCCACCGAACATTACCAAGATGATAAAGGCCGTCGTGCGTCGGACGGAGGTAGCGTCTACTCGATCCCGGAAGATGCCCCTCTGCGCGCGATTGACTACCCCCCACGCAGCTATGCCTCGCAGCAACGCTACCCTTGCAACCCCAGTACATTCATTAGCAGCTACGCCGCGGATAAGCCTCGCGCAGGCAGTGTCCATTCGTCTGCCTCCACCATCAAGACCTCTGCCTCTCATCGCCGTCACAGTACCGATGACGGCTTCTCGGAACACCCTCGCGCTGCGGTTTGCCGTTCAACTTCCTCGCCAAGCGTCCACACGGTGAAGTCTCATGCGCCGTCGAAAGCTGCAGGTGGTGCAGAACCCGCTTCCGATGCTCGCAGCTTGGCCCCATCCTCTCATTCGGCTCGCAATATTCCTCTGCCAGCTAGTTCCTCGGGCACATTCTACAGCGCGGCGCCCAGTCAATCTGGCAAATCGACCGTGTCTGCCCGTCATGTTCCGCTCCCAGCCAGCTCTTCAGCCAACTCTTTCTACAGCCCCGCTGCAAGCCAGGCACCACGATCGCATATCTCTGCACGCCATGTTCTCCTTCCCGAGAGTGTCATTGATGTCGATGTCGATTCCAACGTGACCCCGGACGATTCAATCAGCCAGGTTGGCGGAAGTCGATCGGGTCGGTCCACCCACTCGCATCACTCGAAACATTCCAAGCACTCGAAGCACACACATTCTCACGGGTCGCGACATTCGTCCAAGTCGAAGATGGACGAACCCGTGAGGCCGGCGGACAGTGTCAGTCAAGTCTCAAGGTCATCACACCGTCATCTCAAGACAGGTGGTTCAAAGGTTGAGAGCCGGCGGGGCACCGAAGTCATGGTATAAACCAAAGGGCGATCTGATCGTCTCGCTGCATCATGACCATGTCTTCCATTTGGGTTTCCCTGGAACCTACTGGAAGGCTAGAGTCACGCGATCCCTCTCTGTTTACTTTCTTCTTCGTCTTTTTCTTCTTTCTTCATTCATTTCTCTTCCTCTTTTCTCAACATCACAAATCATCATCATACAACCAGCTGTTGCACTTTTGGCCTTGTGTCATTTGTGTCATCTCTCAGCATTGGTTTCGGAACTGGCTTCACGACAGATTGATTGCTTCAGGGATAGCTCTCCCTCATTATGACGCTTTGCATGGACACTGGATTTGCATATACATAGATTGAACCACAATTCAATTTGCTTTGATTTTCGATCATAGCCTTTTTTTTTTCCCGAGTGAGTTGGATGCTTTTAGATCAATAAGTAGGATAGGTTGACGGTCAAGAGTTTATTATAGATATTGGTCTCAGGGGGAGTCTTGCAGAATAAGCTCTGAATAGTTTCAGCGAAATGGAGGTCGTTATCAAAAATAGCTCAGATAAAGTCTAAACACAGGCTGGGCTGAATCACCTGATTTCCATTCTGTCTGTGAGGGCGAAAGGCCTGTCCCCTACAAGGGGCATCCGGGTATTGTTCACTCCGTCACAACGGAAGACTTCTTACCTCCCATCGACAAACACCATGTATTACCTCTTGCAAGCATTTCTGGGGTTCTCAAAGGCTCCTCCTCCAGGGGCCGGAGTGTCCTCGGTAGATGCCAGGGATGCCAACCCACAAGGGATGGCGCACTCCTGACCATGCATACCTCGCGGACTTGCCGGTCTACTTTCATACCTGGCTATTGCTATAGCCTCGGCAAACTGCAACAGAGAATATGTCACTCGAGGTGTACTATGACGCAGGGAATGCCGAGCGCAGGCTGCTTCAATTAATCCCTGAAGGATCGGTTTTTCTCCCTGGTTCGAAATCGCGCCCCCCCCCCCCCCCCTGTTTCGCTATCATAAGGAAGACCGGTCAAGCCCCATATCGTGTCGCCAAGGGCCCTGCATCATCCCATGGGAGCTCGGAAAGCTCAGAGCCCAACTGAGGGATGATCAAACTCGCCAATCGGGACGATGAACACCGACGCGAAAATGGTACGCGGGAGACAGGAATGCGAAGGGCGTTGTTATGTCCACATTGCGGGGACCTCTCCTGTCGAGGGCCAGAAGTACAAGATGGTCGCGGGTCGCAAATTGACGAGGTCGTTGTGTCTGTGATTGTGTGACAGGCTCGATTCCTTGGAGCTTCGCTATTGCATTATGAAGACTTCCACGACAATACTTGCAATTACATCATGGGCGAGTTGTGGGATTGTGGCAGCAAAGCCGATATATGATCATCAAGTATGCCTCCACTTCATCGCGAATGCGTGGCTTTTCGTACGTTGCGTACATTGCTGATGATATGCTAACGTCTTTGTACGAAAAGCCTGCGCTGCTTCACGGACTACAGATCGAGGATTCGGATTCATACTCACCACCCTTTTATCCTTCGCCATGGATGAATCCTCGCGCGGAAGGATGGGAGGACGCGTATCAAAAAGCGCGGGACTTTGTATCCCAGCTGACATTGCTGGAGAAGGTCAACTTGACGACAGGTGTTGGGTGAGTGGGCCTTTTTCGGTTCAAAATCTATATGTCTGATTGTGCGAAGAAGACTATATTGACTTATCCTCTCTTCTTGAAAGCTGGCAAAATGGACCCTGTGTTGGTAATACCGGATCAGTACCTCGCCTTGGTTTCAAGGGACTCTGTTTGCAAGATTCCCCTCAAGGTGTGAGATTCGCAGACTATGTCTCGGCTTTCACATCCAGTCAGATGGCAGCCGCTACATTTGACAAGACCGTTCTATATGAGCGCGGTGTTGCCATGGCCCAAGAGCACAAAGGCAAGGGCATCACGGTACAACTGGGTCCTGTAGCTGGGCCGATGGGACGCGCTCCTGAAGGAGGTCGAAATTGGGAAGGGTTTTCGCCTGATCCCGTTCTGAACGGCATCGCCATGGCCGAGACGATCAAGGGTATGCAGGATACCGGAGTAGTGGCCTGCGCCAAACACTACGTCGGGAATGAACAAGAGCATTTCCGCCAGACAGGCGAGGCCGCAGACCACGGATACATTATCGCCGAATCGATCTCTTCTAACATTGATGACCGCACTATGCACGAAATGTACCTGTGGCCCTTTGCCGACGCTGTGCGTGCTGGTGTTGGTTCCTTCATGTGCTCCTATAATCAGATCAACAATTCCTACGGATGCCAGAACAGTCACACACTGAATAAGCTCCTCAAGAGCGAGCTGGGTTTCCAGGGCTTCGTGATGAGTGATTGGCAGGCACAGCATTCCGGCGTGTCATCGGCCCTGGCTGGGCTCGACATGACGATGCCGGGCGATACAGTATTTGACTCGGGATTCAGCTTCTGGGGATCCAATCTCACTATTGCCGTTCTGAACGGTACCGTGCCCGAGTGGCGCATCGACGATATGGCGATGCGTATCATGGCAGCCTATTTCAAAGTCGGACTGACTATCGAGGATCAGCCTGACGTGAACTTTAACTCGTGGACCTTTGATACCTACGGATACAAATACTTCTATAGTAAGCAGGACTATGAGAAAGTGAATTGGCATGTGGACGTGCGTGCAAACCACGCAAAACAGATTCGTGAGACTGCCGCCAAGGGAACCGTTCTGCTCAAGAATGTCAACGGCGCGCTTCCCTTGAAACAACCTCACTTTGTCGCGGTGGTTGGCGAAGACGCGGGGCCAAACCCTAAGGGTCCAAACGGATGTGCTGATCGCGGCTGCGACGAGGGTACCCTTGCGATGGGATGGGGATCTGGGACGACTCAATTCCCATTCCTTGTGACTCCAGACTCGGCGCTTCAAGCCAAGGTCTTGGAATATGGTGGTCGATATGAGAGCATCTTTGACAATTACGACAGCAGCGCTATCTCCGCGCTTGTCTCTCAGCCAGACGCTACTTGTATAGTCTTTGGTAACGCGGATTCTGGCGAAGGCTATATCACCGTCGACGGCAACTGGGGCGACCGGAACAATCTCACTCTGTGGCAGAATGCGGATGAAGTGATCCGCAATGTGAGCTCTTTGTGCAATAACACCATCGTCGTCCTTCATACTGTCGGTCCAGTTCTGCTGAATGATTACTATGAGCATCCCAACATCACTGCGATTGTTTGGGCCGGTCTGCCTGGAGAGGAATCGGGCAATGCCCTTGTGGATATTCTCTGGGGCTCAGTCAACCCAGCTGGTCGAACCCCATTCACCTGGGGCAAGTCTCGCGAGGACTACGGCACCGATGTGATGTATGTTCCCAACAACGGAGACCAGGCACCTCAGCAACTCTTCTCCGAGGGGATCTTCCTCGACTACCGACACTTTGATCAGGCCGGCATTGACCCGATCTACGAGTTTGGTCACGGTCTCTCATACACCACGTTCTCCTACACCGATCTGCGCGTCGTCAAGAAGCACGCTCGTCCCTATCGACCCACGACAGGCAACACCATTCAAGCCCCCGTCATCGGACCCTTGCCTAGCCAATTCCTCAGCGACTACCAATTCCCTTCGGAATTGAAGTACATCTCAACCTACATCTACCCCTACCTCAACAGCACCGAGTCACTCCGCGCCGCCTCCGAGGACCCCCAGTACGGCAGCACCGCCTTCATCCCGCCTCACGCCCTCGACGGCAACCCGCAGCCTCTCAACCCAGCCGGCGACCCCGTCACCAGCGGCGGCAACAGCATGCTCTACGACGAGCTGTACGAAGTCACGGCCAAAATCACCAACACTGGCGGGTTAGCCGGTGACGAGGTCGTCCAGCTCTACGTCAACTTGGGCGGCGACAATCCACCTCGCCAACTCCGTGCATTCGATAGGATGCACTTGCTTCCGGGCGAGAGCAAGACTTTCAGAGCGAATTTGACGCGTCGCGATTTGAGTAACTGGGATGTCAAGACGCAGAATTGGCGCGTGATCAAGTCGGCCAAGGAGGTTTATGTTGGACGGTCGAGTCGGGACTTGCCTTTGCGTGCACGACTCGAGGCGTGGTGATTTTTTATTTTCTTTTTGGTGAAATGGGTCCTATGGGACATGAATGTGAAACGAGGTTTCTCGATGAGACGTTTACCTGCTGCAATGTCTATTCTCCTTGCGAGTCTGCTATAAGCTGTATTAAACAGCTATGAACATTGAACACGATGCTCGATTGATCTCTACCGATCTCATCCTATACGATGGGAGAACATGCCAGAACCGAGTGGCGCACCATGATATGAAAATGAGATGCTCAAAAATTAAAAGTCCAAAATCACCACTACAGTCTGTCGCTGCTCGCTACCTAGTACAATACAAGGTTACTGACTCTAGTAGCCATCTATCAAACTCATTGGCAATGATCACTCAACATGTTCAATACGCCCTTCTTTATCTCTGCAAAATTGCAAACTGTGCCAGATGTCCTCACCACTTAGCACTTACTATAATTAGTCAACACCCCTACACTTTGAAACCGTTCCTCTCCTCTGGAGTCTGGATGGATTGACCCGCCATGGCCGCTAAAAGCCACCCGTACCCCCCCCCCCCACCCAACCCAAGCCAAACCGAACAGGGACATCCCTCAAAATAAAATTCTCTCGTAAGCGCCAACCCAAAAGGGCAATCTCATCAAGATTTGAAGATCCCTCGATCCCTCTTCTTCTTGCCGCAATAAAAAAAAAAAAGGAAAAGAGCAAAGACACCGCGACGGTAACTTTTATATTCTCCGAAATCCGTTCTACCCTCACTATCAGAACTCCATTACCACTGCACCTTTCTCCCAACTATCTGGTGACTTGCAATTGTTTCAACACCTCAACCTTGTCCACTGCAATAATCCATCTAAAACAACCCCCTCATCCTCCCCCTCCCTGAAAAAAAACAACCGACCATCTCTCTCTACTCTCTACTCTCTATTCTCTACTCTCTATCCTCCAATCTTCTCCGAGACTCAAACCAGATACCAGAATCTCACCAAACCCCCCAAAAAAAGAAAAACAAAAATCCTCGAAATGCCAATCATCAAAGACTTCACTCTACCACCCTCTCCCTCTCAACTTGACATCCCCCAGGACTCTTCTCCTTCTAACCAGACCTCCGCCATCATCGCCTTCATCTCCGGAAACGACCCAGTCACCCAGCAGCCCTGGTGTCCCGACGTCCGCGATGCACTCCCGCATCTCGACGCCGCTTTTGCAGCCCCCGACGCGCCGGCTGTGGCTGTGATTTCGGTGGGCGAGAAGTTGGTGTGAGTTCCCTTTTTTCTTTTTAACTAAACTTCCCCCTTGTGTTCGTTTTTTTTTCCTATTCTCGCTATTGATCCTCTCATCTTGGATCAATGTGACGAGTGGGTGGTAGGGCGTCGACCAAAAAAGAAGGGGGGAACTGGCGCTCTATTTGTTGTGTTTTCGTGTTCTGACAGGGTCATCGCAGATGGAAGGATCCCATGAATGTGTACCGTACGCAATGGGGGATTAACAATATCCCGGCGCTTGTGCGCTACCAGCACGTTGATGGGGAGGTGAAAGAGACGAAGCGGTTGATTGAGGGCGAGATTCTGGATAAGGCTAAGGTGCAGGCTTTTCTTGCCTAAGGACGGGCGTGAATAGATGCGATGTTCGGTTGACCTTTCTTTTTTGGGGGGGGGGGGGGCGTAAAGGCAGCATGAATGATGATTCACGTTTATCCAGGATCTCCAATTACGAAAGCTCATGTATGTGACTCAATTAGGGACGTAGAGCCATGCTCAGTAGAAGAGAGACGAGGGAAGCGGGAAGTGAAAGTTCAGTTTGTTTTGACTTTTCTGGATTGAAGATTATGGTTGTCCCGATAGTCGCAAGATAGAGAAGTACCGAGGGTATATTTCAAGTTCAAATTACATATTAGACATGTGCAGGGACATCCAAGCTCGTATACATTCACCCGCATGTCCGCCTTTCAAAAATTGCTCGCTCAATGCCTGGACTAGGCCGTGAGAAGCCACACCCTCAGGCAATCCGCTCGTGCTTGTTCAAGCAGAAGCCTTGAGCTCCGTCAGAATCTCATCGGCAGCCTTCTCGGCAACCATATAGGTCGACACAGCAGTGAAGGTACCCGGGATCTTGGGATAAACAGAGGCGTCAACAACACGGAGGCCGGAAACGCCACGGACGCGGAACTTGGAGTCCAGGACAGCCATGGGGTCGTTGTCCGCACCAATGGGGCAAGTGCACGAGGCGTGGTGGCCCCAGGCAGCGTCCTTGACATATTGCTCGATGTCCTCCTTGGACTGGACGGCCGAGCCGGGAAGGACCTCGGTAATGGGGACGAGCTGGCGCTTGAAGGCATCACGCGCGAGCTCGATAGCCTCGTACAGAGCAGTCAGATCCGCGTCATAGTCACCAACGCCGGTGTCGAAGTAGTTGAAGATGATCTCAGGCATATCGAGAGGGTCGGCAGATTGCAGAGTGACGGTACCGGCGGTGTTGCGTGGGTGAGCCTTGAGAATGGCCCAAGTGAACCAGTTGTGCTCGTCCGTGGCGTTGATGCTGTAGTTAGGGAAGTAGCCACGGAAGTTGACGGGTCCACCGAAGCAGAAGATATCAAAGCTGTCGTCGGCAGTCACCGAGCTCTTGTAGAACATGGTGGCAGCGAGACCGGGGGATGAGTAGATGCCGTGATCTCCCAGAACGGGGGTCTGCCAGCGGTCGATGCAAGGGTCGGCCTGGTCGCGGATGCTGAAGGTGCACTTGTTCAAGCATGAAAAGTCCTTCTCGACCCGACCTTGAACAGAGATCTCGTAGTGATCCTGCAGGTTGGTACCAACACCGGGCAGATCACTGATCACCTTGATGCCGAACTTTTTGAGCTCATCGGCAGGACCGATGCCGCTCAGCTTGAGTAGCTGGGGCGAGTTGTACACTCCACCGGCAACGATAACCTCACGGGAAGCAGAGGCGGAACCGGGAGTACCATTGCCAGCACGCTTGGACATAGGGCTGGCCTTGTAGAGGTGTTCCCCCTCAAGGAACTCCACGCCGGTGGCACGGGGAGGAGTCACGGATTCATCAAAGGTGACCTTGGTAACGTGGGTGTTCATACGAACGTCGAGGGGATAGGCCTTGGAGCCATCAGCCTTCTTCGCATCGCGCACAGCAATGATGAACTCGCGAGCACCGTTGCGGTGAGCGTCCTTCGTAGAGATGGGGATCTGGTAGTAGCCAGGGTCGTGATCGCGGTGGGGAACATCAGCATTGGCATCACCAGCCAACAGAGTGCCGATGTTGAAGACGTTTTGAGTCAAGTTACCCAAGGCAAAGGCTCCACCGGTCAACATGCTGAGAAGCTGAGGGTCCTCCAGAACAATGCTCAAAGGAGCAGTCTCGGTCGACAACCAGCCGTCATAACCGTGGCCCTTCTGACCCGGGAGGAGGTAATGGTTCTTCTCCAACTTGGTGAAGTAGTTGCGCATGTTGTCCGGCGACCACGAGCTGTCCCCGGTCAAGGTCGCTATGTAGTCAAAGTCGGATTCGTGAGGGTACACCGCAATCAAGGCATTGTGAGCAGTGCATCCTCCAAGAGTGCCTATAGGTAATCACGATGATGATCAGTATAACTTCATTGCTTCCATGCGGCGCAGACGACATGCTGATGTCTTCATACCTGTGCGGGGATACAGAGTACCCAGCAACTTTGAGCCCTCGGGAGGGCTCAGACCAGTGTACAATTCACCGCTGGGGGTTTCATATGAGGTTTTGAAGTCACGAGCCTGACGTTCATCGTCTGCGTAGTGACGAGCAAAGAAGTTCCATGAAAGCTTCTCATCTTCAGAGGATCTGGCCGAGTAGGCAGGGATTGTGTAGTTGTAGTTTTCACCCTGATCGTCACCAGCTTCAAGCAACAAGGTCTTGTGGCCAGCCAGCGCAAGACGAGCTGCCAGAGGGCCACCTCCGGCACCTGAACCCACGACAACATATTCGTAACCAGTGATGTTGACGGCACTAGCGACACCAGCAGTGGCGGCCAAGAGGCCGAAAAGATGAGGAAGGATCATCTTTGTGCAGAAAGGAATGGCTGCCAAAGGATGATTTGAGACTTTGGATCTGGTGAGAAACAAGAATCGTCTCTTATATGCTGTTAAGAATCTCCGCTAGATTCTTTTTCTTTTTTCCTTGTCATCGCCCCTGAAGTCGAAATCTTCCCTCGGTGCGACGCACACCAGCCTCTGAGCATCCATCGTGAAAAGCTACTTGCTTCTTCGCTTTGACATGCTCCACATGTCCATCCTGGCCGTGCGGAAACCGTTGAGAACCGTTGAAGTTACCGTGCCGCGGCTACTACTGTTAGACGGACTGGAGACAGAGTCCAGCCAAGACCTGAATCGTCGCTAAATCATCCCGTTGTTGCCAATTGCAGCCCGCGAATGGGGTGAGGAACGGTCCGTGTCTTCTATAAAGGTCCCACCGTGTATAGTCCACACGCGGGCAAAGTGCACACAATCTAGGCCGTTTTAAGCACCTAGTCCCGAGCGATCGTCAAGAAGTTTAATTTGGGACACGGAATTCCCCACAAGCTCACCTGCCCATCCCTGTTGATCCTACTGCTGAAATCCGTTTTTTTTTTCCCGACAGAGAGAGATCCACACCTCTGGAATACGAGGATCGTCTTTGAGAGTGTGGATGAACCAAATTTGAATGATGAAAAGAGTTGATTGACAGGCATGACAGGCATGACAGGCCTCGTGGAGTAGAGATCTGTGGGTCTTTCAAGTGGTTCTTCTTCAGGGGAAGTGGCTCATTATCCTGTCTGCCACGTGAGCTTCTGGGTTTGTCCAAGAAGAGATGAATGTTCAGTACTGGCCACAGTAAACGCTTGGCAGATATTCCGCCTCTCAACGCCCTTCGGGCTTTGCTCATTCGAGCGTTGATCAACCGCTCAGACCATCGCGGTTTCCACCGCGGGCTTGGGTTCCTCAAGTGGATACGCTTCCGGCAGTGAGTTTTGAAAGGCATGAGAAGTGGCAACTTGGAATCGGTCCCTTTCTTCCTCTTTCACTTTAGACGCATCGTGCGATAGTGGGTAGGGAGGCAAGTAGCGGAGCATGTTGTGGGAAGGTAGTTAGCTTTCCAAGGAAAGTGTAGTACTAGTGGTGTTGGAGGCTGTTGAAGGCGGCCAACCTAAAGTTCTGACCGACTGATAAGTCACCTCCAGTCACCTCAGGACGTGCCCACCTGGCATTGTTCACACAAATTGATTTCTAAAAAGCAATAATAAAGAAATCTCTGGTTGTAACAGGAGGCAGCGCCAGTTCGCCAATTCTAATTCTTCATCCCACGGATTCGTCACGATATCACGTTAGGGAAGGAGCCTTCCTCGTCACCGAAAGCAGATCAGCATCGTCCGCCAATATGCACATCTTAACAAAGGATATTGTCGGGCAAAAAGTACAATGAATAATGGCTAGCAGTTTGAAAGTTCCTATTTACTCGCTAACATCAATCTGGCTTGATGCATGCTAGAATGGGCAAGTCTCGGATGTCCTGGGCCAACCAAAACACGCTTGTAGCGGTAGCCAAGAACTACTGTTTCGCCATTGCTTCTAAAGCATGACCAATCTTCCAGTGGGACAATGGTAGATGAAGGTACATGAGAACGAAATTTAGAGCTCACTAGGATAGCTGGCAGTATTTGATAAAGCCTGCATTAGGGAGATCGCCAGAAAGACTATCCAACAAGTCTATCCAGCAACCAACGAGACTATCCACGAAGACCCGTAGAATTACTTACCTCCTGGAGAGTCAGATCCTGATGACTTCGGATACTCTGAAAAGCGCGATACGCTATCAGGCGCTATTTGTATATGTCAATCATAATCATGAGAGGACGGGTAAGGCTCTATGGAATTATGAACATCACTTCACATGTAGGCGCTAGAATTCATGAGCTGACACTATGAGATTCTTAACATAGCTTTCATGTCTACCGCAATAAAGCACAAGGTCTGATGCTTGCATTGGTACCTATTACCTGTAGCCCACTCATATGGTGTCGGCGTTAGATCTATCGTACTAGATAGAAGTCAGTCTGGAATCGGCGTCTACTATCTTGGTGTTTGTATGGCATGTGATACTGCCGTCTCATCCCGGCCCATAGCCTAGATAGAATCGCTCCTCGCTAGTCAATCTCACACTCATGATTCATCCCTTTCTCACATCGTGCAGCTGCACCTTGCCACCTACTGTAGCTGCACCTCATCATTTGGCATTCCCTGATATAGTAGACTACAACTAATAGACCATGAAACATGTATGATAGCAATGTTGACGGGGAGCCTCTTATGTATGGTTGACTTCCAAGCATGAGTTCCTATCTATGACTTGCGCTCCGTTGTAACAGTTTGGATTGATCTTAGAAGAATCCGGATGCCAAAGTAAGCGATTTTGTAACTGAAATTCAAGGCTAGAAAAACTTAGCACGACTCTTTGCGAAGAAAGTTGTGAAGAGTTCATTATTTCTTAGTCCATAGGTTTACCAGGGAGGATATGACAAGATAGCCTTTTGATCGAGAATATGAGCTCACTACATGATATTTAGCATGTGATTCTGCCAGTCAGTTCAGATTAGGTAGAAGTTTAGAACCTCTGATACGCGACCATCTCGCCATTCCTTCCACCTCTTTACTGCGCTGTCTTGGTTAACCCCCTTAATATCTTATAATTACTCCATATGATGCCGCTCTGTATAAGACTTTCGGTAGTAACTTCTTTGCACTGGGGAACTCGGAGTCTTGTGAACACACACTCATGGAGCGCCGCTCTCTCTTTTATCAGCTAAGGCTTCTGACACTGACTCATTAATCAATAAAGGAAGATCTTCAGCACGTCATAGTCGAACCAGACCCACAAGCCTGCCTTGTCGACGCCTACAGCGATTCTGTCAATGTAAAGCCAATAGTAATGGTGACCTAATCACTTTGATCACCTACCTAGGCGCCTCAAGACGAAAGCCGCCGCCGCCAAGATGACTACAGTATGAGCCGTATCATCTCCAGCTCAAGACTTTAGACCAGATCACCAGAGCCTTGTTTAAAAATTCTATATGATCTGCGAATTTTACAGATACTTGGACAATTTGAACACTGGCTTATTGCTGCTGCAGCCACTCATATGGGCACGCCTCCACGCCTGCGCAGGCATTCTACGGAGTCTTCTCCCATGCTCTTCGAGCGGCCACGCCATGTTGAAAATGACGACACGAATCGTCACCCGATGAACGATTCCAGATTGGGTGAGCCTTGGAAGTCTCATAAGGCTCAGTCATAGTGACTGGTCATTGTTCAGATTCGACGATGGTTTTCAATTGCCTGTCCATCCGGGTGCGAAATCCCTTGCAAGGTAAGAGTACTTCCTCTTTAGTGCTTGCCGCATCCGAGGACTAACCACACACCATCGCTTTATACACGGGAAGAGAGTCGTCGGATACCCTACACAGACAGTCATATGCTGTCTCGATAGATCATAGCGATGTACAAGCACTAAAAGCACGCTGTTCCCCACGCCCAGATGCAGAAACGACTATTCATGATGCAGTGTCACATTTACAGCTCCATTTAGGGCATTGAGCGCCTTGCACACCCTCGGAGCTCAAGGAAGCAGTACCTAGATCACGTCCGCATACACTCATATCACGACTGCCATCTGAAGATCGCATTGGGACTTGTCTTTGACCTTTGCAGAACGATGAATGATGAGAGATGCATTATGCGATTCAGTTCGACCGACGTGCCAGAATGCCGTGCACTCAGTAAGAGTTCTGTCCGAATTTGAGTTGAAAGGATCCTGTCTTGATAGAGAATCTTTTAATATCGCAGTCCTGCACTATGTGCGTTCCCCCGCTGACGGCAAGGCCACAAAGGCTCTCTATCATATGAGCCGCGGATGCTATACATTCACGGATAAGGTCAGAGTGCCTTATGAGAGAATGAAAGAACATCATACTCTGGATTCGATCGTTGCGCCTTGGCGACGGGCGATTGTCTGCAAAGTTGAAGGATGCCGAAAAGTACATCAAGCTCATGCTCGACGATGGCCAGCTGTCCACATCGAAGTAGTATTTCTGGATCTTGGCCTCTATGCAAGAGTTCAAAATGAGCATCATGGACAGCACCCGTCAATGGAATCTATATCACAAAGCCCGCATCGCACTCCTGACGATCACGCCACACAGCTTAAATCTCTCATTCGACAAATTAAAGAGTCATGCGGTTACCCTCGACGAGATCAAAACCCAAAGCGATGACACGGTTGAGACGGTGAAAGGCCGTCGAGACGGCCTCGTCAATGTAAGCGCTCTTAGTGAGAAGTGAGAGCCGTGACTCTAACCCATCGGGGCAGCAAATCAAGCTGCTCAAATGGGTGAGCATGATCTACATGTCTCATGCCTTCTGTACTGCTATCTAGGCTGGATCAGAGATGAATACGGCCGCGACAAAGACTGCTTTTGGTATAACGGCCTATTTGCTCAGCAGGGTGAACTTTGTCACTGTGGCAAACGTGGGGGATCTATCCACGCGCAGTTGGGGCAGATAGGGCTATCTATACAATCTACCGGACTTGAGAGTTGTGCAGGAAATGAAGAGTGAACCTGATACACGCCTCAAGCAGATGGGGCATGATCTGGAGACATTCTGGCCACAGCGAAAGATCGGACCTTCGGAGTGGCTCATGGTGCAGTACAAAGTCATGAAAATGGTGAAGGAATTGCCGCATAGGAGACGCACAAGACGTGGAGATGAACGGGAGTGTTTCCTTGAAAATATCCTCTCCTCGTGGGCCGACAATGTTTCTAATCTTCTCAGCGTATTGGGTCGACCCGGAATCGTGACATTGGGACACTTCTACCCGGTCTCAGGAATGAGCAGGCTTATAATGATCATTAACTGGGCAATTTGATGCACACTGGGATCGTAGCCGTCTAATTCAATCTGAGCCTTTCCTATTATTTGATGGCTACAGCCTGGAGATTATTGCCGACCCACAAGGGTGGCCTTCCTCCTGGCAGGCCGACGATGTTGATGCTTTTGACTGTACCCTGTCAGGTCTGTACCAACTCCTCCTACGTGACGGCGCCCAAACACCACTAGACAAAATTCATCCATACAGAAACCGGCCTGATGGATTGTGCGAGTAATTGCTATCATCGAGAAAAAAGATTCGTAAAATTTCCTGCTCTTCCCGCCAAACTTCGCATGGCCCTGATAAAACCCGAGTCCATCCAGTAGCTCCAAGCCATCGCGTTCTCAAAATCCTCCAAGCTCAGTCTCGACCCACGAAACAGTGAACGGACCATGTTCCCCAAGCGCGTGAATGGGGCACAACTCATATAATCAACCGCTAAGAGGTCGTGCCTACTGTAAGACCATGGCTAGAAATGAAGGTTTTCCAGCAATGACCGCTGAGTAGACAATGCGGTTCCAAGAAGCTTGCGACTCCCATCTCTCTTGCTGTGTAAATTTGCCTTTTGATTTGACCGAAAAAACGAAGAACATAATCGCATGGCTGGTCTGGCACGACCAAAAGCCTCCGATCAATGAAGCACAGAAATGATGAGATGCCGTATGCAGATTTTAGTCGTGAGGCTCGTGGAGACACCGTGCCGCGAGCCACAGGCTCACACACGGACACGTAGAAAGAGATATAATGACGAAGGGAGCCAATGCGAGCTGGCCCGACTTGAGGCAGATGCAAATAGTAGAAAGGAGTCCAATGCAGCACGGAAGAATGAGTAGATCTTCGGCCAATCAACCAGAACCTCTACCACCACGATACGCCAAGCTTCACGAATCTGGGACTAAGAGAGAAACTGAAAGGGACGACACAGGAGCGACGGAATGGGAATTTAGTCATGAGCATGCGAGCGGGGCGGAAGGCGAGCAGATTTGCGGAACATTCATCGATCAGATAGCGTACTTGCGAGTCCACTCACGAGCCGTTGCCTCATATCGTGGACGGTCTGTCTTGTAGACATGCGCGATCTCGGGCACCAGCGGGTCATCGGGGTTGGGGTCTGTGAGCATAGAGCAAATCGACAGTAGAACTGGGCGAGGTTAGCGCCGGTGTTTTCGATTGGAGGCTTGGAATAGTGGCAAGATGTGCAACTGATAGGGTATTTAAAATTGACTTACCCTTGGAGATTGTGAGAGCGGGGCTCCATTGGTCCCTCAAGATGTCGAGACAGATGCTGCCGTTGGAGTTGATATTGGGATGGTAGATGCGGGTCGTGAAGTTGACCTTAGGAGGCTTGAAGGGGTAATCGGTGGGGAAGTGAATAGTGAGGAAGAAGACACCACCAGAGTAGGGCGAGTCAGTCTGAACAGAAAATATTAGTACCATTGTAGACATTGGAAATGAGCGTGTCTCAGGACGGCTCCAGCTGGAGAGGCGCATCGACGCCTTTGATGGCCACCAACACCTCTAACAAGATGGAGCAGTTGTCCTGATTCGTGAAGCAATGACGAGAATAACACATTCGACTCACAGGGCCCATAATGGTCGCTTGCCAGTGGAACTATTAAGGCAAGAATATCTTAAGGTCAGTTAAATGCTCTGGCTTCATGTGCGTCGATTGCTCCGGCATTCCGACAGCCCGCGGATTTCAAGGTTTCAGCCCCGCCGGACGAGACACCCCTCAAACCGATCGTCTGTCGATAGCAACAAAAGGAAAGGGAAGGAGGCCATACCAAATCATCTCCAACAGGTCCGGCAGAGCAGGAGGACGGGGGATCCCTATAGAAGTGAAGAGGAATGTTAGTTTCTCCAAGTCTTGCTCGTGTGATGTTTTCAGTCTGTAGAGGGGTAACGGGTGGTGGGATGAGGAGCAGAGCCTTACCGGCCGAGATCAGTGAGTTCCTTGTTAATGCGCTTGAGAGCCATGGCGACGGTGAGATGTTATGAGGTGTGTGTGAGGTGAGGACTCTGGAAGGAGGAGAAAACTGGGTCAGCGATCGGAGGAGGGAGATTGAATCGAAGAGTCGGGCGTTCCCACGTACGGTTACGTCTTTGTGTGGAAAAGAAGAAGAGAAAGAAGAAGAAAGAGGGGGAAGTCGGGCGGGTCAGTGATGGCTAGGTATTACCAATACACGCCACTCCATGACACATCCCTCTGCTGCGAGTTTGGCTCTGCCTGGGTGGGCCGATCAGGTTTTTAATCGTATCTAGTGTATTGAAGGAATGTTTGCTGATACAGCATGGTAATATTGAGGTTATCTGGCTACCAGAAGGCTGAGCCTGACTCTAGAAGTTTGTTTGACTTTGTGAAATAGATTTATGACCAAGTTTGACCTGCAGCATCATATATCGGAAGTCTCACACGAGACTTCTCATGTTGAGAGAGTAACTCGATGATGTCACGTGCTGACACGGCGCTTGTGATCGCCCGTTGGCCCAATGAGGGAATAATTAGCGCTCCCATTGCTCCCAATCTAAAACTGAAAGATGCTATATACAAAAATAGTCGCCTGCCTGGTTTGATATTTCAGGCAAATGATGACGGGTATACTATGTAGACAGTGGACACAAACTTTCAACATGCCAGCGTCGGTTGCAGATACTTAAACAAAGGCCTGCTTGCCGGTGATTGCGCGGCCGAGAATAAGAGCTGTCACAAAAAGCAAAGATGATCAGTTTCATGCCCAATAAACCTTGGTCGCTGCGCGACGGGTCAAGCTCAAGTACTCACCATGAATATCGCTCTGGCCCTCGTATGTTTGCACTACAAACAAGTTGGCGACATGACGTCCGATATGATATTCGTCGCTGGCTGCATTGCCTCCGAAAATCTCCTGAAGACTGTATATGGCAATTGGTTAGCTTCGAACATGGAATCCGTCTTCCTCTACAATGCAGTGTAAAGGTTGGGTAGCGGAATTTCGGAACTTACATTCGAGAATTGGCCAAGGCCCGGTCGCAGTTCTGACGCTTGACCATGGAGATCATTTCAGGCGTGGCTTTGCCGGCGTCCTTCAGGCGAGCCACCTGCACAGCAGCCAGCGTGCCATAAGCAGCATCCGTGGCCGCATCAGCGAGCTTCTTTTGGACCAGCTGGTACTTCGCCAGAGGATTGCCCTTGAACTGCTTTCGCTCGAGACTGTACTCTCGGGCCCGTGCGAGACAGTCTTCCAGCGCGCCCATCGTGCCGAAAGCGATTCCCAAGCGAGCACTATTGAGACATGTGAATGGGCCCGTCAAACCTTCCACGTCGGGAAACATGTTCTCTGCCGGGACGGGGCAGTCGTCCATTTGAATCATGCCGGTGATGGACGCTCGGAGAGCACTTTTGTTCTTGATGGCGGGTGTCTCAAAAGTACCTGGTGGGCATCGTGATCGCTCGACGAGGAATCCCTTGATCTTCCCTGTCGTTTCCAGCTTCGCCCAGACCAACGCCAAGTCTGCGATTGGGGAGTTGGTGATCCAGGTTTTGCTGCCTGTCAACAAATACGTCCCCTTCTGAGTTGGGTGCTCGCGCGCCACCGTTTCCATAGAGCTGGGATCAGAGCCGTGATTTGGCTCCGTCAGACCAAAACATCCGGAAAGCTTACCCTTGGCTAGTTCAGGCAAGAATCTCTGCTTCTGTTCGTCCGTGCCGAATTCGTAAATACCTGTCATGGCTAATGAGCTCTGGACCGACATCCCTGAACGATATCCAGAGTCCACTCGCTCAACCTCCTTGGTGATCAACCCAGATGCCACGGTGCTGACACCGGCACACCCGTATCCTTCGATCGAAGCACCCAAAAGGCCGATCTCGCCCATCTCCTCCAGGATCTTGCGATCATAGTCCTCATTCCGGTAGGCATCTAATGGAATTTTGAATTAGACTCGACTTGATAAATAACGTGAGCAAGCAATGTCACGTACCTAGAACTCGTGGTAGCAATCGCTCCTGACAGTACTGTCGAGCGGTATCTTGAATGGCCAACTCCTCTTCCGTGAATAGCTCCGCAGAGGCGAGGGGGTCCTCCCAATTGAACACTGCGGAGGATGACGCGCATCGACGACCAGCGACAGTGCGGCTTCCTTGGACCGAGCGGACAGCCGCACGGAAAAGCGAGCGGTTCATCATTTTGCTTTCAATTTTCAAAATGCAAAGTATAGAACAACAAGTGGAAAAGAAATCGGGGTAACCAAATTGCCAAGTATCATCTAGGAGAATCCATGGTCGCTCTGTTGCGGGGGAGCTCAATCAAATATGCGCTAGCCGCCGGAGAACCTCGGCACCTCCGAGGTTTGCAATCGCCGAGCACACTGCGGCCCGTCGGACTCTGGGGTCGGTCGACTCTTCACGTAATGATTCGATCGATCGACCGATTCGTGTGTGAGTCTACCTCCTGGCAATCAATTACCGACTGCTCGGCCATTTTCGGTGCTTTTGCAGTACTCCGAGAATGGAATAGATTATCGGGCGTTCCGGTATGAGCATCGTAGCTGGAGAGCTACTATGCTAGTCTTACATACTTATTGAGTTTATTGAAGCCCGTTCGAAGGAGCAAGGCAGCATGGTGGACGTAACTTCATAACGTAGTCGACGCATACAGTCATTCCGTTTAGAATGCTTTTGTTCAAGAAATCTTCTATGACCATATATACCACTTACGCGTCCCCAATGTGATAAGAAGTCAGGTACATGACGCCTTGCACACTCTATCAAGCGGGCATCTGGCTTTGCAAAAAATCGAATACGCCCGTAGGAAAGTACTCTTCATCAAATCCCCATAAATCCGCCATCATAGGATCCACGGAGCCTTCTGAAAGGCCAGGATCACGCTTGGACGGAAGTATGTTCGCGTTGAACCCATTGCTGCGTTCGGCAGACAGAGGAGCCACCCCTAACAGAGGAGGCGGATGATTCACAATAGTGTCCCGCTCACCTACTACCTGTGCACCAGGGATAACGACTGGCTTGAAGATCGAAGACCGCTCAGAAGGAGGCATCGGCCCATAAGATTGGGGGCAGCCTTTTCTCTTCTCCCATTCTTCAAGACCGGTCAGCATCTTTCGTAACCCGCGAGCGATATGGTGACTCAGATGACGCTCGCTCGCGCGCTGGCTACAAGTTACCATGACCTCGACGATACGGCCAACTATGAGCCGTACGTAGGGGATGTCGATGGCAAGGTCGGCTGAAGAGATAGACGTGATCTGGCCGCGGCTGAGTTGGGTGGGCTCAGTAGAGCAGGACTTGACCGCAATCTTCATGAGAAACACAGCGGCAAAAGTTATCATGCTGTGAAGGTAAAGCGGGACCCCGACCAAGGCACGCTGGATATCTCGCTCGTCCAGTACCACTTGCAGAGTAGCAATAGCTGATTCAATGGCTACGTTGGCAAGCTTCCTTCGCTCTGACGACATTGTCTTAGAGGAGGTGCATGAGTGGTACGTACGGAGGGCAACCGAGTTGAGCTGCAGACGAGAAAAATGATAGTGCATGTATACCGCTTTATATGGGTATGCACCGACATGACGACTCCCAGCTAATTGTCTGTCAGCACGAACCCGTGACAAAATGCTCCGGTTTATCTTACCAAGACGTGGAAGCCATGCTGACTTCCAGTCCACCAATTCCTGATCAAAGTCATCAATCTTCGAAAACTCGGTCTCCGGAACCTCGAGTTCCACGTCGGGGCCGAAAGCAAAATATATGCGAGTAAGTACGATGAACAAATCGACCTGGCTATGAAGCCTCAAGTCACACTGGGATATTGTGGGCGATTTTGTGAAAGCATTATGTTGAGTTATGGCGGGATCTTCGTGAATGATTGGAGGCCGGCCGTACGCTATTGAGAAGTGATGCTCCAATGTCTGATGCAGCCCAGATGTTAGACTCAAATATGGCCGTGTTCTCGAAAGACCATTTGTACGTACATATAGCAAATACCACAATCTCGCGTGCTCTTGATGCTCAGAAGAGCCTTGTATGGCCTTTCGGAAGAATTGGTGTATGTTTCGCTCGGTTGCAATGCGGACCGCGTATCCAGAGAGCTTCCAGCTCACGTCTGCAAGCCAAAAAGCTCCGATACACAAGGCACGAATGTCATCCAAGTTGTGGTGGTTCTCAAGCATCGACTCGGATGCTAATTTCGCAAATTCCGTGTAGCACGTGTCAAATGTTCGCTCCTTGGTTGGCAAATGCAGAGCTGTGACGGCGAGAATCGCAGCAGAAAGCATCGACGATGACCTTCGAGTCGATGTCAAATCCTTGTGTGCCAAGCAAGCCCCATCCCACAAGTATCGATTCAGCACTTGGTCAAAGTGATGGAAAAGTTCTTCTGCCTCGTTGATGCCTACTACCCCTCGGGAGATGAAGTCGGTAACCAATGCCTGATCCGGCGCGTACTCCTCGCTCTCCAGATTCTCTTTATTCTCGCTCAGTTGCGTCACCTCGTACAGGCTTCCCATGGGGGCTGTCACGAGCGATGTCTCGTCCGTCTCCTCATGGTCGATTTTGTACTGGGATTGTCGTTGGGCCGGGGCGTGGTAGGATGAGACTGATCCTACGGATCTTCTAGCCGTCAGGTCCAATGAATTTTTCTTACTGCGGTTTCCGTTGATGTAGCCAGCTTCTTCCAGAGACACTGTTGAATTCTGGCGTCCTCGTTTCCTCGATGGAGTCTCGATTGTTCCGCTCGCTGTCTGATAGTATGAGAGTTCCGGGAGTTGTGCCTTTCTCAGCAAGTCGGTCATTGCAAGCTCGACCATGCTTTTCCAACTATGAGATCATGCAGTTTGGGTGTCAGTCCTCTTGTCCTTGAATCTCATCAGTCCTGCCTGTGCGGTAGCAGATAGTTTGCGTGATAATTTTTAGAGGAGAGGTAAGGCTTAACTTACTCGGCCTCATCTTCCAGCAATGTCTGAAGACTCTTGTTTACGACGCATTCGAGGTTCATCCGCCGACATCTCGAGCAAATGGACTCTCCAGTTTTCATGTCACATCTCACTTTGTGTTTCTTGCATTCCGTGCACGCGCGTATCCTTCGGGATATCTTCGGGATATGTCCTTGTCGCTGGTCTTCCGGCGTGAATTCGCCCCCAGTAGTAGGTGAGGGAGGTGATGTACCATCATTAGTGTCAAAGTGAATGCGATTCTGCTTCATACTGGAATGCGCACCTTGTCCCGCAAGGGGGACTACAAATTCCGGGGAAATCAAAAAAAGGCGGGGTTGGCTCCGGCTCTTCTCCGATAAATATAGAGCCTGAGGCATGATATTAGCCTCAAGCTCCGGTCATGGGCCGGTTCGTTTCCGCTATCATGTGACTTTCCACGCTTATCTCGATACGGCTAAAATTGCGGCGCGTGTCTGATAGGCGAGCGCGTCATTCTCGTGGTTGGAAGCTCTGGAGCTTTGCAAGTGTGCTTCGCATACATTCTTTCCAATTCAGCGATTGCCAAAACTTTATTCCACCATGGGTATCAAGAGTGAGTGGGATTATCAAACTTCTTATGGATGTTCTTTGCTAATCAGGACTCAGACCTTTACCAGATCATTTCTGAGAATGCGCCCGATGCGATCAAGACGGGGGAGATCAAGAATCATTTCGGCCGGAAGGTCGCTATTGTGAGCTCTTCTCATGAACAATACAGGTTTTTTTTCCAAAATTTGCTAACGTGTGCACTCAATTTTGGCAGGATGCGTACGTCTACCACATTAAATGCGAATTCTCACACCTGAGCACTACTAATTCGGCGCAGATCCATGAGCATCTACAGCTTCCTGATCGCCGTGCGCTCCGAAGGTCAACAGCTCATGAGTGAGTCTGGCGAAACGACGTCACACTTGATGGGCATGTTCTATCGAACCCTGCGCATGGTCGACAACGGTATCAAGCCACTCTACGTTTTCGACGGAGCCCCTCCGAAGCTGAAGTCTGGAGAGCTTGCGAAGCGTGGTGCACGCAAGGCGGAGGCCGCTGAAGCACACGAGGAAGCTAAGGAAACCGGTACCGCGGAGGATGTCGAGAAATTCTCTCGACGGACAGTGCGCGTAACGCGCGAGCACAACGCTGAGTGCAAGAAGCTACTCAAGCTGATGGGTATTCCTTACATTGATGCGCCCACAGAGGCCGAGGCACAATGCGCTGTTCTGGCGCGAGCCGGTAAGGTCTACGCTGCTGCGTCGGAGGACATGGACACTCTGTGTTTCGAGGCGCCGATCTTGTTGCGCCACTTGACTTTCAGTGAGCAACGGAAAGAACCCATTCAAGAGATCCACCTAAATAAAGCGATGGAAGGTCTCAATATGGACCGCAATCAGGTATGATTCATGACGAAATCTGTGCACCGCACGTCCACTCTAGCTGTAGTATCCTCATCTTGCTGACGCTTGTCTCTCTTCTCGTTCCTTTAGTTCATTGATCTCTGCATCTTGCTTGGTTGTGATTATTTGGAACCTATCCCCAAGGTGGGCCCCAGCACAGCACTCGCCCTCATCCGTGAACACGGCACGCTCGAGAAAGTGGTCGAATACATGAACAATGACCCGAAGAAGAAGTACGTCATTCCCGAGGACTGGCCGTTCCAGGACGCGCGCGAACTCTTCGCGCACCCAGACGTGCGAGACGCGAACCACCCAGACTGCGATTTCAAGTGGGAGGCACCCGATGTGGAAGCCTTGGTGCAGTTTTTGGTGGCAGACAAGGGATTCAATGAAGACCGAGTTCGCAACGGCGCTGCGCGACTTACCAAGAACCTCAAGAGCGCTCAGCAGTCAAGGCTTGAGGGTTTCTTCAAACCGGTAGCCAAGACTGATGAGGAGAAAACCTCCCTGAAGCGAAAGCATGATGAAAAGCTCCAAGAGCAGAAGAAGCGCAAAAAGGACGAGGCAAAGGCTAAGAAGGAGGCTAAATCCAAGCCCCGTGGTGCGAACTAGAACCCAGGTAGACCAGTGTTTCTCTTCTTTGGGATGGGCCCACGGCGTCCGGCGACTGTTGCAACTTCCAGGCTCGTCGGAGAATCGGTCATCTCTCCGACCACGATTCTGCTACCTTTTCGCCTTTTCGTAAACAAAAATTTCTCTCACATTGTCTCGCTATTTCTCGAGTCAGGCGTTGGTGTTACGGCAAGTTTACATTGCCTTGTTGAGTTCTCGATTCTTGTGGGTTACATGTGGTGGTTTCCGTGACGGCCTTGATCAGGTGATTTCTAGCATTCAGCGATTATTCTTCAGTAGCCGAAATTCAATGAACGGCTTTTACTCAACATATCTGTAATTTCTCATGTCCGAGACTATGCAGGAGATATTTTCTGCTATGCTCTCTTCAGCCAAGCTTTTAAAAAGAGTCAATTCACTCTGGCGCATACAGGATCAGAGGGTTCATGTTGTCGGCGACGGTACAAGACGGTCGATTTTATTCTGCTGATCCTCAACTTTTCCGGGCCATGATCGCTCAGAGAATTGCTAGGAGCTAATTCGAGCTTATCTTGATTCATATCCTCTAATTTTGAGTCGTGAATGTATTAATTGCCGAGCTGAGATCGAAGCTTGTCGGGTTGTATGTGTACAGTCCTGATGGGATTAAGCGAGAATGATCCGAAGATGTCGCTTAAAGAGAGTGCCCGTGATCTCGACAACCACCCCATCAAATGACAAGCTCTTTTCATGATCTGATGGACATCTTTGACGGCTTTCCTTCCATGTGGGTTTTGAGTTGAAAGGAGCAGTGGTTGTTCTAGGATCAGGAATTTCGCCATTCGGGTTCTTGATTCGACGGCGGATGTTCTGCCGCTTGAATCAGGCATCATGATCCTTCCCTTTCGCCAGCAGAACAGTAGCGCAACGCGACCCATCTTTATTAACCACTTTCAGTGCGAAATAGGCGCAAGCTACTACTGGCGAAGCAACTCGTTAAGGCTATCTTTGAGTAATTAAATATATTCAAAAAAAAAGTCCAATGAACGGAAGGAGTGTACTTCCAACTTGTGTGGAGGTACCATCCAGGTGCCTCCAGTCGGGTGGATCTACTTGCTTCTGCCTCGGAGGGAAGCTTAGATTGTAAATTAAAGCTCTGGCAGTTAGGTAATCGCTCGAGCACGTTTGAAAGGACTGAGTGAGTCTTGTAGTCTGCGGGGCGTCGCGGCTACGTTATTCAAGAGATTTAGTCTGATTGGCCGTGATCCGGTTCTTCAATGAGCGATTCGATTTCCAGATGAGGTGGCCCACCAAACCTGTTGAAAGGGGTTTGTATGCATGTAGAGGTGGTGGTGGAGGTGCCGTGGGTGCAGAAGCTGGCGACTGAAACTATATATTTGGGGAACCTGCGCGCGTTAATTCTCGACTACCTACGAGCCTCTTCCGTTTTTAAGGAGGTCAAAGTCGGGGCGGACCATGTGCTCAACAGACAAGGGTTGAGAAGCGTATTCAAAGTGTCACCCTGGGATTATCATCCATTGACGAGGCGGATTTTTAAATGATTTTTTATTTTGTTATACTAAAAATTCTCATCCTAGATGACTTGGTACTCTGTCGAGTGTCGGGTCTCGGGTGACGGGAGCAGTCAGATCGAGGTGGATGCAGATCACGGGATTCACGAAGCTAAGGTAGGGCAAAGGCATAAGCGGTCAGCGCGATCTATATCTGCAACATCAGTTCGAGTGCCATATTCAATCCAGCCAAATGGTAAAAATCATAGTCGTAGACCCAACGTTCCGAGATCGAAGTGACTTCGAGTTTCCTACAACCTCTGAGCCTAAATCCAAGTCACGACATCATCGAGTCTTGGCCCTGTACCATGGGCCTGACTGGAAAGTGGGCGGGGGTGTGCCAACGCATGTCCCTCGTGACAGCTGCAGGTCCTCAAGGTTCACCACGCAAGGAGCGAAGCTTTTCTTCACAGCTTTGATATCCTAAAGTGACATGAGGTCGTAGATATTGGATTCATTGAAGCTGTCCCGTGTCGGAGAATTTGAAATTTAACTGTTGGACTTTCTGAGTGACGAGCAACGAAGGAGAATCAGCTGCGGAGTCAGAGTGGTCAGTGGCCCAAGGCGTCAATCGTCTTCAGTAGGTTAAACATATAGGCATATGCCAAGCAAGATGGTTGAAATGGAGATACCTCCATTCTCATATTGAGAGTAGCCATCGTCAGGCAGAAGCTGGTACTAGAGGAGTGGAAAAGCAAAGTGTCGTGCCGAAGAGATTGGTTTGGACTGAGCTTCGTCTCCTCGTCGCGAGGAAGGACGGAAAGGAGTTCCTCGGACAGGCGGATCCTCGCTGGGTTCAGTGGAATGTTTCTAGGTCTAGAATCAAGTTGAAAGGGAGACAGAACGCGAGGCATTACCCTCCAGCGGGGAGAGATCAGGAAGAAGAGCCGTTTGAAGAAAGAATGCTAGCGGCGCCATACATTCGTCACCATCGTCGCGCGAGGCTGACCGATCGTTCGGCGAAGAAGAGTCGTCGGCAGCCTACAAGATAAGGTCATTGCATCATGTTGTCTACAAAGGGTGATCTTCAGAATCCGGGGTGAAGCGAGAGGGAATGGTAGGAACTGGATCATAAAGATGAGTCCAAGCAGCTCTGGATTTCTCCCAGTTTCTCAGGTTCTACGATGATGAGTTTCTTAGTCGCGAGTCGCGTCGTTCGCTTGGGGAAAACACGCACTAACTGACAAGCATGACGAGCGTCGACGACAAAGAAGAGGAAGAAGAGCGCAACATCAGAGCAATCATATATGAATATAAATTGACCCTGTGTAGATCGGCATATTGACTGAGATAAACCTTTGAGCTTCCTCCGCCGGAAATTCTTGAAAAGATGGTGGAGACGTAGCTAAAGGAAAAGGACAAGGACCCGTGCGATCTTTGCAAGAGGCGCCCGGGGGCGATGAGAGGTGAGTGATCTTGTGTCAACACCAGCCGCCTATAAATCACGGATGCCCCGCCGCTCTTCCCACCCTTTCCCTTTCGTTGGTTCTTCTTCTTTTTTTCCCACTCGCAACCACCACTCCCCCCTTTTTTGAAATCTTGTATAAGTCATCTGACTTATAACACGATCAATAACTTCAATCTCCCATCAATCTTCTTCACCACCTTATCAACATGCCCCCCAAGAAGGCCACCAGCGCGACTGCCGCGCCCAAGAAGGCTGCTCCGGCTCACCCTTCCTACCGCGGTATGTATTCTCTGATCCTGCGTGCGCTTTTCGTCGCGCCTTTTTGAAAATGGTATCATTTTGATCGCAAGCATTTACTTATGCTATCCATACAGACATGATCAAGGATGCTATTGTCAACGTGAGTAGATCACTGTTGCCGCCCGGCCTGTTGTGATCGGGGACCACGCGCTCCCGACCGTGACACGTCCGGTCCGGGGCCTCGATTCAACCACGGCGCCTGGACCTCTCTTTGTAATTCTCACTGTATTGTTGCTGACTGATTTATCAATCAAAAGTTGAAAGAGCGCAATGGTTCCAGGTATGTATTCGCCGCGCGCGACATTTTCATTCACGCGCCGCTCGTGGTTACCACTCCCGGCGGACCAAGAGCGGCGCGTGATCGATGTTTCAACCTCCGCAATCAGCGACCGCAAACTAATTCAACTGGATTGATACAGTCGTCAAGCCATCAAGAAGTATGTTTCTTCAAACAACAAGATCAATGTCGCCTCTCAGGCCACCTTTGATGCCCAGTTCAACAAGGCCATCAAGGCTGGTGTTGAGAAGGGCGAGTTCACTCAGCCCAAGGGTATGTACCGAATATCTCGAATGGTTCTCACCCAAATTGTGGATACATTTTCATGTATCGTCGTCGTGACATCTCAAAGTGTCACTACGTCCATCTCATAGCACGACTATTTGCTGACGCTTTCCCTTCAGGTCCCTCTGGTCCCGTGAAGCTGGCTAAGAAGGAGCCTGCCCCCAAGGCGGCCAAGAAAGAGCCTGCTGCCAAGAAGGTTACCACTGCCAAGGTTCGTTGTCATAGCCCACTGATGCGCCCGCGTCGCTTTGGCAATGAGAAAACTAATCCATATGAACAGAAGCCTGCTGCTGCCAAGGCTGCCGCCACCACCAAGAAGGCTGCTGCCCCCAAGAAGACCGCCGCCAAGGCGACTTCCACCACCAAGACCACCACTGCTGCGGCTAAGAAGGCTAGCACCACCAAGAAGACCGCTGCCGCTAAGCCCAAGGCCAATTCTGGTAAGGCCCGCAAGACGACCACTGCCGTACGTAGCCCTGTGTGCCTTTGCGGCTCGGGCATCAACAAGACCATGCTCACCCGACCTCGATTGATTGATCGATGACTGACTCTTTTACCCAAACAGGCTCCGGCGATAGTTGAGCAGCCCAAGGTTGTCGGCACGACTAAGTCTGGCCGAGTGACCAAGACCACAGCGAAGCCTGCCGCGAAGAAGCGTGCGACCCCTAAGAAATAGAGGACGCATCATGTCATGTCTCGTTCTGACTTCGACTTGTGTCCCTCCCGTTTCTAACGTGCGCTCTTGTCTGCGGGAGGGCGACTTGATTCCTCTTGACCGACTTTCTCTTCCGCTGTATCTTCTTTCCTCCACAACAGGATCATTTGATCCTGATGGGTTGACTCTATCTTGGTTCGTGCCATGATTGCCATGATGGTCTCTATGGTCCCTGATCTCATTTTCGTTCCTTCTCTTTTGATTATCGCTGTCTTTTCTTTTTCTTTGGGAATATCCGTGTTTCTTACGATCGGTCTTTGTTTTTCACTGCAAAGCTGAAGGGCTGGCGTCTTTTGGTTGGTTGAGTTTGCTGGGGCAATCCACTTGTTTATGGTTTTCTACGTTGTGTCCTACACTTTGCTCGCCAGGGCTTTTCTGCCCGGGGTGCGGTCCATCCACCAATTGTGACTTTTGTTTTCCATGATCACCTCTGGTGGACCTGATGAAATTTTATCTCTGTTGGTCGAACTGCTGCAGATTCGTCCACATCGCCTCGTAGATTACCCCATGTAGAGAACTCTGGTGTGAATATGGTCATGCAGGGCTGATTCTACCCGACCGCACCGTTTTGTCCACTGGTGCGATAACCTCTGGTATCAAACGCATTGTTATGCTTAATTCTCGGATTGTTCTCTATTTCCCACGGCTTTCTATCTGACTTGATCCGGGACGAGACCGGCACTTGGATTTTCCACTCGGCTCTTCAGATTGAAAACCAGGAGCTGCATGTCAGGTATGGGCCTCCATTCAGAATCAGTGAAGGGTAATCCGATCACGCAGCCCCAGACACGTCGTGTAACACGTCGCTGTGACGAGCTCGAATTATGAGTCATTTCATTCGGGGCTTCTTCCTTATACTAATATTGCAAAGCGAGGATCGGATGATAGCATTGTTCCAGAAATCCACCATTGTGTCGTCAAAGAAAATTTGAGTCGTCGTTTGCATCACGTCGCTGCGGTGGCATTGACCGGGTTCGTGGTCTACCATGTCCTCGAAAGTCGGGCAGGGCTCGGTCGTCTAGATTTGTCATCTCGGGGAGCAGATCCCCTCCACCTCAGAACCTCGTAGGTGCTTCATTGAGACTTTGATCGCCCGTGTGTCTGTAGACCGAGCTCCGGAACCAAAGCATGGTATGTCTCTCAACTTCACATGGTGAAACTCCTGGTCTGCTGGGCTCTCATCTGCCACGGATTCAGCGCGCTGGAAAGCAACACGGAGCCAGCGGGTGCCGCGTTTCCTTGTCCCATTCTCAACAAGGCTAGTGCATCCTATTTGGCTCGATCAATATGGAGAATCGTCAGTTCTGTCCGATTGACACCGAGCCGTTGATGCAGGTGGGTCTTCACTGGCTGAGTGATTCCATTCCAAAAGGCGGGCGATAAGGTTCGGGCACGTTCGAGACTTTCTTCTGCTGATCACTGCTCGGAAGAGTACTTCGCGAGACACGTTTGACTATGATCGATCTTCTAACAGCACAGTCCTCGTCCTTCTTGGTGATGCTTGCAGGTTGTGAATTGTACTTTATCTTTTCGCTTAGAAACACAGGACGCTCAGGTATACAGACCCAAGATCTATGCCCAGGACATTTCGTGTATGCAAGGACCGTTGACCCGATGAGTATCTGCGACATTCCTACAACTCACTACAAGGTAGGGGATTGGGTCTGGTCAGCACGAGACTGAAGAACCGGTGCCTGATGCTTGCTGAAACCGACATGCGCCGCAGATCCCTTCCCATATGAGAGCGTGCTAATCCCATCAATATCGAAAAAAGGATCGCCTTCAGGTGAGCATATTATTACTTCGAGATCCTGCCAAACTCAATTGCATTTCAACCGGGGAAATTTCGGTCTGCGAAAGCACCTGGATTCTTGTACAACAGCTGTGCCACTCGTTCCAGTTGCAAAGTCCTGGGCAACATCTAACGGCCTTCCTTCAGCTCCTGAACCTTAATTGAAATGAACATGGTTCTTGCCGGAGTCTCCGGAGACCACAATGGCGCCGATCATCCCGCATCCCCCGTAATGTGATCACCCAAGGTGCGATATGAGGGTGCATCTCCTCGACAAAAAGGCTTATATCTTCGAGCATGCCGCTCGCCTCTGCATCTTGGATTCAACTCAGATCGTAGGCACATCTCACAGAGCAGCCGTCCACTCATTTCTTTCTTTTTTTTTTTTTTTGTGTTGATCACAAGTCGTAGGCTGCTGTCCTACCTGCCATTCATTTTCCTTCTGACTTAAGTGTCTTCTTGCTGGGCCTTGCAATTGTGACCTCAAGCAAGATGCGTTTGAACACGTTCACTTGCCTAGTGCTTGCGGCCGTGGGAGTCCAAGGTCGCCATGAGCGTCCGGCTCATCACCCGGCTCATCACCCGGCTCACCACCCGACAGAAGAGCCTCGATGGACCTGCGTCAACGCTGGAGCAAGCACCAGAATGAAGACTGTTGGATATTTTGGCAACTGGGTAAGAACAATACCATTGTATAGTCATCTGTCGGATAAGAGAACTTCACTTACAGTATTGCCATCCTACGCGCAGGACATATACGGAGCCAACTATCGCATCACCGACGTTCCAGCTGAGCAGCTAACCCACCTGACTTATGCGTTTGCAAATATCAACACGACTACCGGTGCCATGTGAGAAAAACAAAAACCTTGTCTGATCATTTGCGTACTTGATCACAGGACTAACACCTATGTAGTATCTTGAGCGATACCTGGGCTGATCTCCAATTCCCCTACCCTGGAGACAACACCACTGCGGCTGGCAACAATGTCTACGGCAATGTCAAGCAGATGTATTTGCTGAAGAAAAGTCACCGCACGCTCAAGACAATGCTCTCCATCGGCGGATGGAGCTACCGTCAGAACTTTGCTCCCATGCTCGCATCTGCCACCAAACGTCAGGCCTTTGTAGACTCTGCTGTGCAGTTCGTCGCGGATCTCGGCTTCGATGGAATCGACATCGACTACGAGTACGTAGCGGACAAGACCCAGGCAGCACAGATGGTCGACGTCTTGCAGCGTCTGCGTCAGGGGCTGGATCAATTGGCCTGCCAGATCAATGCCTCCTCTCCTTTCCAGATCAGCTATGCCTCCCCGGCCAACGTACAGACGATCGCCCAGCTGGATCTTGCCAGTATGATACCCCTGGTGGACTTCTTCAACGTGATGGCCGTGGATTACCAGGGGCCCGGCTTCAGCAACTATACGGGCTACCTAGCCAACTTGTTCCCGGACAAGCGAAACCCACGCGCAACAGACTTTGACACCGTCTCCGCGCTAGACTATTACCTTGTCAAGGGCCGGGTCCCCTCCACCAAAATCGTCATGCAGAACCCTCTCTACGGCCGCTCTTTCAACGGCACCCGCGGAATGGGCGACAAATTCATCGACGGTGGCTCGCTGGGCAGTCTCGGCTCCGCCGCACTCTGGAGATACAGGGATTTGCCCATTCCCGGATTCAACGCAACAGTGGTTAATGTGCCCCGTGTCGGAGGCAGCTACAGCTACGATGCCAAGCGCAAGTACCTTGTCAGCTACGACACCCCGCAGATTGCCACTCTCAAAGCCGAGTACACCCAGTGCATGGGACTGGCGGGTACCGCTTGGTGGGAGGTGAGTCAAGATCGCAATGACAGCCTGAGCTTGATCAGCGCCACTGTGAAGCAATATGGTGGGTCTGAGGCTTTGGACCAGTCTCTGAACAATCTTGACTATCCGACCAGTGTGTATGAGAATCTGAGGGCTGGATTTTCGGGCAATTAGTCATTAGACGACGTTCTCGCTGGCAACTCCATCCTTGGCTTGTGAGTTTGTCTTGGTCGACCGCGGTTCTATAGGACGTTGCTTGGTGGATTTTTTTCGTCGTCGGTCCTGGGGATAGTGTTCCATACCTTCATTGTTTTCGACTTTTTCCTTACCTTTCTTTTTGCCGAGTCTTTCTTTTACTAGATGGATGAACCTGCCCGAGGGTTGATGTAATAATACCAAGTTTTGTATCTACACTTCATCCTTAACATTCGGTTGTTCGTGCTTATTCCAGCGCACATTTGAGCTGTGTGGGGCGAGTCTATAAAATCTAACCGGCCTTCAGGACTTTACAAACCTTCTTTTGTAGAATGGATTAACTTACTCCCGATGGCAGCCCAAGACTTATCTGATCGCATCGCAATACGTACCCTCACTACCAAGTTAGTAAGTAGTAAGTACGCCTTGATTATCACCTGGCACGCATGACCGGGGCATTGCAATTCGATTAATAAGCTCCATATCCATCTCCGCCCCCCCCCCCCCCCCCCCCCTTTTTTTTTTTCCGATCTTTGAATCGTCTGGATCCATCCGAGCCCCTTTCCGGGGGTGGCTGCTTTGCAAAGTCTCAAGAGCAGTTGATTCAGCATGGTAATGGAGAAGCCTAGCTGCCAAGCCATTTGATCTGTACTCAAGTGTCCAGTGAGACAGTCACAGTACTGCTATAAACAGATAGACAAGCAGGGGAGGGGCTAGAACTCTCGCTGCCACCGGTGCTACAGTCTGAGTCGGGTATTGAGTGACTACACCTCCCGCCAAGCACATTGGGATGAACGGAGACGGGCGTGGGGATAAGAAGACTTCACAATTCATGACTTGTAAGATGTAGATACTAGATATTCTATGTATGCTCCGTGACTTGAAGCAACTCGCATTTTGTTAAGCTGGTAATGCGAGAAGTCGAATAATTGGACTTCACTGGTACAATCGTATACCCGACTCCTACGAAAACAGCATGTCACATGGTCGCTTGGCGTGTGAATGCTTGGGTTCATAATGTAATGTGCCCTGCCTGATCCTGGTCAATATATCGTCGGTCCTGTCCAATGTGTCCATAGCTCCACAACTTATACGAGTGTGCTAGTAGTAAGGCACATCATTCTTGTTGTACCCTCCTACAGTTCCGTTGAGCTGGACACCCCGAACGCGCCACTTTGACCGAGACAGATACTGGACCTTGTGGAGCTTCGAGCAATTGTAATATCGACAAAGCTCTCTCGTTTAGAGGGGCCGTGTTGACGCCAGCATAGATTGGAGGGCTGCGCCACTGTGTCTGAACCAGGTACCGTTTCCTGATGTTACCGGACTAGTATGTACCTATCAGGCTATCACTACCTAAGGTAGTCTAGTAGTATCCACTTGACGCCAAGGTTTGATGTGGAGCGGTGCGCGTAGCTCTGTACCGTCACGTTCTCAGGGACAAGATTTGAATACGCAATACTGTAGGTTGCTAGGTCGATAGGTTCAAAGGTCGGACATTGAAAGGCGTGAAGTGCCCACGTAATGACGTGAATCGAGGCCGTTACTCGAAGCTCAGAGTATGAGCACCTGTGTAAAAGTGACGACCGGTCCTCGACTTAATTCATGATCTCGTTGAGTATGAGGATTCGGTAGGTGGAACAGCCCTATGATCGGCTGACTACTCCCAGTCATGTGATCCCCTTTGCCTTGCCTCGTACATGTCGAAAAAAGTCACATGCTCAGGTGCTCGTCGGCAAGTTTTGGACCGGTAACTATGTAGGTAGTTCCTCTTCCCGACGTCACCAAGTTAGCGACAGACTCAAGGGGGGCTTTCCCTTGCCGCACAATGGTGAAGACACGGCCTCATCGATTTGTATGAAGACTCTCAAATTTGACTACCTTTGCCGCGACCTGCTGAGTTAGCCACTATGACCAGGTAGGACCGAGATTCGTGCATGTTGGGTCTTTAGGCGCATAGGACAGGCCGAGTATCAGGGAACTCTCTTATCACCTCAGTAGATGAGTAGATCTAGAGAGTCCTCTTGCGCGTACAATCTGAACCTGGATCATCGGCATGCAAAGCGACGAGGATTCAGTCCTACGATGAGGAACAGACCTGTTTATGACTATGACTGTCCTTATCCCCGACAAATTGTTCCCTCTCATCTCTTTCGTCCGACCGCCAGCACTTTACCTGATCAAGAAGTAGTGGCCGGTCTTGGGGGGCTGGAGATCAGACATGCATCTTGGGTACGGTGTTTGGGCAAGAGTCGGGTGCCGGGTTCTCGATCGTCGTAGGATGATCTGTGACGGACAGAGTATTATATCATTCTGATCCGTGTCGATCAACCCTTGTACGACACTGCGCAGTGCGCAGTAGAATAGTTGTATTGACCTCGAGAAACACGTAAAACACCACGCATCGTTGAAGTTAGGTGCGTGACCGCTGTGGCGTACTAGTTGCAAATCGGTTCGACCATCTTGGAGATGGTTTGAGCTTACAGTAGTGGCATAGCTACGTGTGTATGACTAGACTCAGGACTGTAAGGGCATGTGTATCGATGCAAAATTGCATATCTGAAGTTATGCACTTGTACAGAAATAGCAGAGCGTCTTATGATCATAGAAGGGGTTTGGGTCTTGGGATGCTTCACAATCGTCAGTCCGACAGTATGTGAGCCGTATTTTATGTATCGTCCTAAACACGGGCCGAAGAAATTTACAGTTGAAACCGAGCTGATGAATTGAATTTCCCGTCATACAGCAATACAGTACGGCTGTGGAGTACCGCTGACATGTAGATAGCGGCGATCGTAAGCGGATGGAGAAGTACCTACTACGACGCCAGGCACGGAGGATAAGGTAATTACCAGGTTCCAGTTTCCTCCTGCCAGTCCCACTGTCCCAGTGTTCCTGTGACGCTTTCTCAAATCTCCCCACGGCCACAACAGCAACGCCGTCTCTGCCAGGCTGCCGTCGCTCAAGCCACTCTAACCTCATTCTCCAGCCCAGCCTCTTCTTCCTCTTCCTGCTCCTCCGTCTCCCCCCCCCTCTCCCTCCCCCAATCATTCTAATTTATCCTACCAAACACACGGACTGGAACATCGTCACTTCCTAATTCACTGGACGATTGTTCACTTGCGCGCTTGACCCCGTCTTTCCGAATTGCTCGAGCCCCCCCCCCCCCCCCCGTTCCGTGAGACCTGATCATGTTGACCCGCTGAAAACACCCTACTCCTTCCTCCAATCTTGCCACTCTGAGGCTTGGCTGCCATCCTCCGCTCGCAGAACATTTGTTTGCCCGACTTTCCTTCACCTCAGCTAGACCATCGTCTCTCTCGATTTGCGTGACCGGTCCTATACTCACCGACACGGGGTTCCTTCTATATCCTTTAATCGTGTCTGCCAATTAAGGGCGACTGCCATTGGTTAGACTTTTGGACCACGCAGAGCTCACGTCACCCCCTCTTTCCCTCCCTCCCCCTGGTTCAACATCTTTTATTAGTTGACGGTCTCGACATCTTTGGCACAAAGCCAATAATGCCCTCATACTCCAACGACTCTTGTCAGACGGCCACGGTGACCGCCACCCCAGCTCCTCAACCTCCCCGTTCGTTTGATTCCGCCCATCGCAAGTCGCACGACAAAACATCGGTCAGCAATACCTTTCTGTGGACTAATTGGCCCAACGGCGACCACAATTATAATCCCCAGCAAAGCGATCGTCCTTTCATCTCCGAGTTGAAAAACGGCAGCGCATATTCCCTGAATGGCACCCGGTCAAGCATAGGCTCCTATACGCGCGATCTGCCACACTCCAAGGACGGCAGCATGCACTCCTTGGGCAATGGCTCGGTCAAAGATCCTCGGGACCTCGGCCGGTCGTCTGCCATGACAGACAACAAATACTCGGATGTTGGCCCCGGAGCAGGCTCTGCGGCAGCACCAACGCCGGTCCACCAAGCTAATGGCAGCGCCACAACGCCGAGCCATCGACCTGCGTTAGGCAAGTCAATGCCCAATGGCGATTCACACCGGCAATCAGCAGACGACACCGTCCTGTCCGGTCGCACAACAAGCCCATCGGCCTCATTACTGCAGATTCCCCACTCCGACGACACAGGTCGTCTCTCCCCCGACTCGGATCGATTGTCACCGGAACCCAGAGCTAGTATTCACCACCGCTACTCCTCTCCGCCGGCTCCCTCTTCTCCCGAAACCTTTCCTGTATCCGAATCACAACAGTCGAGTATGCGGCAACGTAATTCTCTCCAAGTTCCGCGCGGTACGAGTGTTCGTCGGAATAGTCGCGACCAAAGCGAAGATGCGGCCTACACGAGCGGTCGTCTCTCTCCCACTGGGGCGGGTCCCCGCCGTACCTCGTTCAGTCTGATTCGACGGGCGACAAGGACGCAGTCAGAACCATTAGATGACACAGTACCGGACGAGGATGCCGCGCGATGGGCAGAGGCCATCAGGCAAAAGCGAGCATCGCGACGACGACGCGAAGACGACGACGACGAGCGGGTGATCGTGGGTACCAAGGTCGACCAAAATCACGTCAACTATGTGACGGCATACAACATGTTGACCGGCATTCGTTTCACGGTCTCTCGGATCAACGCCAAAATGGATCGAGAATTAACTACTGCAGACTTTGAAGCGAAACACAAGTTCTCCTTCGACATGTATGTTATTGAATTACTCACCGCGAACGCGATCTCCATTTCGGATCGCACTCATGGATGCCTGACTGACGGGCAAACAGAACCGGCAACGAGCTGATTCCCTCCGCCAAATACGACTTCAAGTTCAAAGACTATGCCCCCTGGGTGTTCCGTCACTTGCGCGCAAAATTCAACCTCGACCCCGCCGATTACTTGATGTCTCTGACCAGCAAATACATTTTGTCAGAGCTTGGCTCGCCCGGTAAGAGTGGAAGTTTCTTCTACTTCTCCCGCGATTACAAGTACATCATCAAGACGATCCATCATTCCGAACATAAGCTTTTGCGCAAGATTCTACCACTTTATTACAAGCACGTGCAAGATAACCCCGATACGCTCATCTCGCAATTCTATGGGTTGCATCGCGTGAAGATGGCTTATGGACGGAAGATCCACTTTGTCGTGATGAATAATCTCTTCCCACCGCACCGTGATATCCACCAGACATTTGACCTAAAAGGCTCGACCATCGGCCGTGATTTACATGAGGCAGACCTCGAGAAGAATCCGCGAGCGACTATGAAAGATCTTAATTGGGTTCGACGGGGTCGACATTTGCAATGCGGGCCTGAGAGACGTGCCGCCTTCATTGAACAACTAACCAAGGATGTGGAACTGCTCAAAAAGCTGAAGATCATGGATTACTCGCTGCTGGTCGGCATTCATGATGTGGAACGCGGAAATGAAGAGAAACTGCGCGACAAAACGCTCCAAGTTTTCCAACCTGGCGGGGACCGCGAAGAGGAAAACAAGGGAAACAACATGCTCATGCGGACGCCGTCCAAGCTCGAGAATGAGCGCAAGGCCCGTGAACTTCGCATGTTGATCAAGCGGGAGCGTCCAGTGCCGTTGGACAAGGCAATGGCAAAGATGCCTGAAGAGGTTCTCGACTCGCGCAAAAAGGGACTTAAATTTTACGCTGACGATGGTGGGTTCCGTGCCACTCATGAGGACGGTACTTTCGGCGATGAGATTTATTACCTGGGAATCATCGACTGCCTGACCCACTACGGCATGATTAAGAAGATTGAGAATTTCTTCAAGGGTCTCTCACACGATCGGTCTCAAATATCGCCAATTCCACCTGAGGGCTACGGCGATCGTTTCGTACACTTTGTCAAGGGCATCACCATGTCCGTGGAAGAAGCCGAACGACAACGTGAGTCGGGCGAGAACCGCTCGTCTTCTGTCGATCGTGTCATGCAAGCCGCTGAGAAAGAGGCTGCAAGAGATGTCTCTATCACGCAACCCCGAATCCTATCTACCGTCCGGGACCCGTCGGACGCCGCTGGCCCGGGGCCTACTTCTACCCTACCGATTGTCGACGAGGTTGGCGAGGCAAGCAGCGTTGGTGGACGCAGCTCACAAAATAGCCGACAAGGTCCTCGCTTGACTGAGAAAGATCTACCACCTTTGCCGACTGAAGAGCGCTCGTAAGTTGTGGGCAAGGGGAAAAGGAAATCGGTTCAAGGTGACTCGTGTGGCGAAAAACATCATTAATTGCATGAAGCCTCATCACGTTCTTCTTGTCCTGATTTCCGTCTTGTAATCATTTGGGTGAGTGCGATGTGTCAAGCATGTCACTACTTCGCAGCTCTCTGAAAGACTCATGACTTTCCCATCTGTCTCTTTGTCTTTTTCCGTTTTTTTTTGTGCCCTTCTGTCCCCTTTCAGCGAGATATCCCCCCCCCATTTTGCTCGATAGATGTGTGTTTGTTTCCCCTTGCCGCGTCCTCGCAGTCCAGACTGGCATGACTTGTTCAAAGCTCATGCTTAACTCATTTGCATTCCTTGCCTTGTGTATGCCCCGCTCTTCACTATCGCTTTTCCCCGCCCTCCCTTGTGCGAACGATTTTGCTCGTCAGCAGTACATTTTTGGTCGTCCCAACTCAATTTCACGAGTGACGTGTGTATAATTCCTTTTCTCTGAGCGTCTGTCGTCTTCGTCTTTCTGCTTGCGTTATCCGTTTTCAACACCATGCCTCTGGGCTGGAGGGAGTGGCATCAAGGGTATTGAAGCAAGACAATCGGCTGCCAAATCGACTGTCTTCTACCCACCTCATCGCCCTCGTCCGTCGCTCATGGACACGGGCATGGACATACCAAGTCCAGTTTTCTGCCTACCATCCACCTATCAACTATTGTGTTTGTCTCGCTTCAGATACAAATACCCTGTACCATCACCATCATAGACCAATTACTCGAATGGTCCTCACTGTCCCTGTCACTTGTCCTTGCAACCGTCGACTGGATTGAGCCAAACCTACATTGGCTGTCTTCCTGTCACCTTCCTTCTCACACTCTTTGTCCAAGATGTCAACTGACATTTGTCACGTCTTTCTTATTTGTCCGATTCTTCCATTGTCTTTTACCCTCAGTCTCTGCGTTGTCCTCGATGTCCTCGTCCTTCTCCTTCTTGTCTCTATAATTGTGCTCAGTGCTTACTACATTACATTGCAATAAAGCAATTATCTTTCCTTTGACTTTTTGCTCCTTTTCTTATCTCCTTATTTCTATTCCTTTGATAAGCCTCACTTTTCTTGCGTGCGCGCGTTTCGCAGTCCTTTCGATCCGAGTGCCAAATCCAGGACTATCTTCATCTTTAGACCTACCCAACAGTCAAATTAGAAATGGCACCAAGACGATGTTGGTATCAATTGCTTGTCCACTTTATCTTCGTCTCTCATTCACACTACAGTAGATGCGGCAATACCAAAGTCATGTAATCAACCATTTACCTGATTTTCCAATATGCACCCTAGACTGTGAATATTGGACCAGATCACGAATCAACAAAAAAGCAGCAGTCACTGCATGTACATCCTATTCCAGGCTTGCGCAAGAATGAACAATTTGCACATGTTGGAAGGGAAATTGATAGAAGTCGAGGACACGGATCGAAAGACGAGACGTGGAAAGAAAGTTTGTAAATTGGAGAATATCAAGAGTAAATCATTCCATTTCCATTTTTGCGCCCCCCCTCCCCCCTCCCCCCTCCCTCCAAAAAAAATACACCAAAGATAGGAAAATGAAAACGCCGTAATCGCTATGAAATAGGCCTTCCTCCCAGCTAGACAAAATGTTTTCAAATCGGAGATGTCGTCACCCGGCTGGGGGTAGAATGATGTACACCAAGACGTTCAGGGTAGATATTACAGGGATTGAAGAAAGGGGCATACGCAAAAAGGACAGGTGGGGAGGGATCAGGGATCAGAGGACGTGAGCGGCGCGGGTGATATCAAGCCCAGCCCCGGCTCCTTCACAAAGGAGAAGTTTCGAGTATGGCTCATCTCAGACGAACAACGAACTGTTGGGCGACAAGGTATCGAGCCCGGACTCGCCGACGAGCGTGGGGAAAAGGCGGCGAATTCGATCCTCCAAGATTGCCTCTTCGGCTTCCCATCTTTTTACCTCTTCGAGCATGGACGTGTTATTTGTGCGTGATGTGTTTCCGCCAAACCACGAGAAGCGAGAGGAGGAGGAAGAAGAAGAAGACGACGACGACGACGACGACGCGGATGACGAGCCAGTGCCGTTGCCCGCTCCGTTAGCCTCGGCGAGTTCATTCTTTGCCTGTGCAACACGCGTCGCCACCATGGTCTTCCAGTTCTCGAGTCCGACCTTGAGGCATTGTGCGCAGCGTGTGCGAACGGGCTTGTCTTCTAGACTGGTGAGTTGGAGCATTGTTGATTCGGCGGTTTCAACTGCGTCACGGGTCCATGCAAGTCCTTGGTCCTTGGAAGAGGATGCATAGAGTATCTCGCCAATGTAGGTCATCAGGCCGGCTTCGTCGCAGAGAGTGGCGGGGGTTCGAAGAGACGGGGCGTCACCGGATGGCAGGGCAGGAGGGTATTCGGCTTTATTGAAGATCTTCTTCAGAGTGGTGACGATGCCGGCGAAAGGGTCGTTTGACGGTCTTGGTGCAGGTCGATAGGAAAAGGCGGCTTCTGAACCGGCGGGGAGTGTGCGTCGCGCTTTGAGTACGGATGTGAAGAGTGAAAGTGCGGTGGCCAGATCGCCCTGACGAGCGTGGTGAACGGCCATCGCAGTTGAGACACGTAGGATATTTTCTGAGGGCCGATCGGATCCATTGTTCTTGAGTATGCCCGTCTTCAGATCGACTACTTGACTCGCGTCACCGTCAAGGCCGTTCGCCGCAATGTCCAGCGCCCATGTATACATATCGTCGGATGTGCGGGTCAAGCCCTTGAAATCGAGCCAGTCTGCATATGCTAGAGCCGCATCCAGCTTCTGCCGCGTGTCAAAGCCCTTGGTCGTTAAAACCTTCATGTAAAAGGTCTCTGGGGGTGGCGAAGCCGCTTCGCAATCTTCCTCACGAGGGACCAACTTCTGCCCCGCGGGCATGGGCTTTGGTCGTGGATTTGAGGGTCCAACAACATACTCTGCAGGTGCAGAGATCTTCTGCTTGCGATCCGTCAACCACCCATCCAGATTCTCCGCAGCCTTGGCCGCCCCCATCAGCGCCTGGAAGTATCCCCGACGCCAATGTTCACTCTTCGCAGACACATCATGGCCCATCTTTCCAATACCCTCGACGAGAATTCCACCCTCATCTTGCTCAACAATGCCCTGTCCCTCGCCCTCGGTGTTTTCCAATCGCTCCAACAACTCGTGCAGATACCCAGCGACCATGGGCCAATTGGTCATCAGCTTGCCAATGTGTTCCGGATGCATCATTGCCTGAGCAGAACGCAGACACCAGCGGCTCTTGAGTGTCCATTCTGACGGCGTTGGCCACTCATGCTCAATGTCTTCTTGATACAATCCGACCTGGATGATTTGGATCAGAATTAGGATGGCGGAGAACGACAGGCCAAGCTTGAGACCGCGCGAGAGCCGCTTCTTCAGATGCGCTCGGCTTTCCGTCGAAATCAGCCGACCAAAGTGCTGGCGCAGGTGTATTGAAAGCGGCGGAAGAGATCGAGTCGGAGTGAGAGGCGATAGGAAAGGTAATTGAGGGCGACCTGGGCCACGGGACAGCAGCAGCCGGCTGCGGTGCGTGAAAGGTTGAAGTCGCAGCTTGGGAGCCGGTGCGCGCGAGGCGAGCACCGGTCGTAGGTGGCCCGGTGATCGATTGAACGCCGTCCGAGGAGGCAGCATTGCTTGGACTTTGAATGGCGGAGGGAAATGGCCGCTATGAAAGTGACGAAGATCGAACTCACGGTGGATCTTAGGCTGCTACATCAGGTGTGTTTGCATGGTTTGCAGCGAGCTCCAGAACCGAATTGACGTGGGGAACGGGGATTGACAGGCGGAATGAACAGAACAAAGTACAAACTACGCTTAATCCTAAAGTACCTAAATTAACCTCATCAAAGTGACAACCTTGTGGACGTCTCGATTATTGTTCTTCATTCATGTCTGAAATCACCTTGTCTTTTACCTAGAATTCATCGCGAGAATGGCTACCATCTGCTCTCGCACCTGTCCTGGCCTGCCACCCTTATTTCTCCAGTATGGTCATGGCCTTCCCGTTCAAGGAATGTATGAATGACACTCAAAAGTTACGAACATCCAAAGTGTTCCAAGTTGAATAAACTTCGATCTGCACTTGCTCTCGACAGAATCGACACTCTTGGAACCATGCGGGGGTTTGTTGTTCATTCACCCAGGTCGCTTATATCTAGCAATACAGACGACAATGTATCTTCGCCATTCACCCAGGTCAAGTCGACATGAATTCCCTTCGATTCACATGCAATGATCTTTTCTGAGTCTTGAAATCACAAGAATCTCTCGTCATTGACCCGATATGAACTTCAGCGATTTTGATCACCGAACAGAAGATTCGCAAGGTACCGTACTCCGATACTGGGGTACGTTGACTTGGATCTAACTCTTTCCTGGAAATTCGCCACTTTGACAAAGCCATCATCATCCCTGCCTCTTTTGGCATCTTCAATGCGCTCCTGCTCATGGATCCAAATTCAAAATGGACTTTACCGCGAAGATATCCCCAGTAGCTGAGGTCATATGATGGAATGCGACCAGGTACTACACTCGGAGTTCATTCTTTGGAGAAGTTCATGGCTGTGGCGTAGATTGGAAGGCAGCAAAGTTAAGGGTGTTCGCGTTTCGAGCACACGAAGACTTATCCATACTACTTTCTCATGGATGAGCACGGAGAGGTCGCGTACGAGATTGACAAGCGATGATGTGAACAGGTTGGCTTTACAACTTGCCGAAGAAGCTTCGATAACAGCATAGTCGGAAGGGAATCTTACGAATATTGACCGTGACGCAAATGAGGCTGTCACCATCAATATAGGAGATGGAATAGATCTTAAAAAGAACAGGATACTTGCGCCGACCAGTCACTGCGCTACCGGGAACGTAAACGCAGTGCAACTGGACACTGGTCGGGAAGAATAATTGCTCATATGAGGCCGATTGACTCAGAGTAAAACAACCCTAATCATGGCAGCAGTGGAGCAAAGTTCGGCAATGATCTCGCTTCTCATTGCGGATGGGCCTGAAGTCAATGCTGGTGCTCAGAATGGAAGAATTGCATGAACGGATGCAGCACTCTTTGGTCGATGCGAAAATGTCAAAGCTCTCCTCGGAAACCGCGCAGACTTACTATTTCCGAGAAGAACCAGCACAGATAGGCCATGGATCTCGCTCAAGTCAACTACCGGAACAGACCAGACGTATGCAGTCACAGTGCCGGGGGATGACTCGTTATCTCCATGTCACCGACGACTCGGTTATAGAGAATACATACAAGAGGGAGATTGATCCTCAGGAAAACGTACGCCTTCTCGGTGGAGAGAATAGCAAGTCGAATCTTACGTCTGGAGGACCTCCGACTTTGTTTGTGTTCAGCCCTGGCTCTTTCAAACACTCATCAGCACGAGTATTGATTGATAGAGATCCGGGGGACTGAAGACTGCAAGGCTCGGGTAGAAGGAAGAGCCTTGTCATTCCTGCTGGGTCTATCAGAATATCATACCATCAGGGTCGCCGGATGGAAATGGACCGATGATGTGCTGTACATCTCTAGAGTCGTGAGTCATCATGTACCCCCTGACAAAGCCGAAGATCACGATCGAGATTCTCAATTCAAGGCGTGTCACGCAGAAAAGCAGTTGATTACGTACTTTACTGATCCCCATGTATTCCTGCCACCGAACTCGAAACTGGAGACCAGTGTTCAGGTGAAGGAAGAGGAGCTGGAGAAGCTCTTGAAGTCAACTCGAATAGACCAACAAATTGCATTTTTGGAACGGAAAAAGAGGGATCTACAGAAGGAGCTCTTCGACGGTGACGAAAAACTCGTCAGGGAAGATGTTGAAATCCAGGCAATGAAGTTGGAGCTCAAACCTGTTGAAACAGCCTTGAATCACCAAGCCACAAGACAAAAACCTAAAGTGGAGGCCTAAGGCGCCGCCGCTGTCAGCTTCAATGACCGAGTCTGTGATACTGATCAGCTCCGGAATCCGCCCAGACTGCATCCTGTTCAAGGACAAGATAAACGAACAACTCGGTCTGTTCTTCCCGTTGTTCATGGCAGTCTAATTCATGCTTGAGAGCCGTGCAGAACGCTAGAACTCCCGCAGTCTTTGGTACTCCTGAAGGTTCATCGACACTTATTTTGACTGGAAGCTTCTGTCGGTTCATCGTCGGTGCTAATTGCTACCTACCCGCGTTGAAGTTTTGAGTATAGATGATAAGCTGGATGCGTTTAACTTGGCAGAGACTACGTGCGAGTATTTCATGAGAATGAGACCGAATGAGTAACAGAAGCTTTTATCCATGCGCTGCAGGTCAATATGCCAACATGCCAACACCGTCCTGGGTGAACGTTTCGCAGTCTCTAATGAATCCATGGTTATATTCTGATCTGACATCGAGCTACGCGATCCGCGTCCCACCAAGCGGTTTAAATGATTAATTCAAGTCCGGACTCCAGCTACTATTCATCAGATGTCCTCGGTACCCTCACTCGCTCTCATACGATGATACTCCGTCCTGTCCCTCCAGCCGTCGAGCCTACGACCACGAGTGTTTCGCCGGTCCAAAGTGCGAACACATTGAATTGCATGTATACGATCTGACCATGTTTCGTCCGCTCTCCGTACGAGCGGACCAGTATTACGGTAGTTGACAACCTTCTATGCCTGTGCTCAAGAAGGAGGAGTGGAATCACTTCTTGTCCGCGTATGCATAGTCCACACTGCATAGTCCACGCTGAGCACAAGTCACGCACAGGTCTGGGATTGGCGGTGGTTTTACCAGAGTTTATTTTCCCCCGGGAATGGTGCATGTGGAAAAGCGTTCAGTATAGAATTAGCGGTAGTTGTCTGTTGTAAATGGTGTCACTGCTTCGCTCCGCGAATACCTGTCGTACTTTCGATTACGGCTCGGATGTAGGTGTCTGATTCCCCTGCTACTCGATTCTACAGAGGATGGAAACCTGAATAGAGGCTTATATGGTGGATGCTTCAACATCTCTTCAAATCCGGTGGCGAGGTCTTGGCCTCCCAGAAGGACTAGTATGTATTTGGGGGAAATCTAATTTAAAAAACAGAGCAGCAAGATTGGCATATCTATAGGGCATCACTCCTTGTGAACAGGGAGAAAAAGAAAGAAAAAAAAAACTTCAAAAAAGGGGAGGGGTTTCAAATCATTTCATCGCCAAAAAAAAAAGAGAAGAGGACAAGAACAGCAAACATCAGTCATGGATCTATTGAGTCTTCTCAAAGAAACCCTCGCTCTCGAGCACAAGAATGATCTCGTGCACGATGCTGCGGACCGTCTGCTTGGAGCAGTCCACGACGAGGTCGGCCTTCTCAGGGATCTCATAGGGGTCATCGACACCGGTGAAGCCCTTGATCTCACCGCGACGGGCACGCTCGTAGATACCGCGCTTGTCGGTCTTCTCACAGTGCTCGAGGGGAGTGGCGACGTGAACGAGGAAGAAGTTACCCGCCTGGGTGATGATGTCCCGGGCGTGCTTACGGGACTCCTCATAGGGAGCGATGGGGGCAGCAATGACGGCGGCACCAGCGCGAGTCAGCTCAGAGGCAACAAAGGCAATGCGCTGGATGTTCTTGTGGCGGTCCTCACGAGTGAAGCCCAGCTCGGAGGAGAGCTCGTGACGGACAGTGTCGCCCAGGAGCAGGGAGACAGAGCGACCACCCTGCTGGTTCAGGGTAACCTGCAGGGCACGGGCAATGGCGTCCTTGCCGGAGTTCATGTAGCCAGTCAGGAAGATGGTGAAACCCTGCGAGGCGCGAGGAGGGTTGGACTCGCGCAGGATCTTGACAACCTCGGGGTAGGAGAACCACTCGGGGATGTGAGCACCGGTACGCAGACGACGGCGCAGCTCAGTGCCGGAGATGTTCAGGGTCTTGACACCCTGGGGAACCTGGTCGACGGGACGGTACTCGTCGGTGTCGGGCAGGTAGGTGACCATCTGGAACTCAACGACCTCGATGCCAAGCTCGTCCTTGTACTTTTCCACGGCGTGCTGGGCATCGTAGGGACCATAGAAGTCGACGCCCTTGGAGTTACTACCGGGACCGGCGTGGTCACGGCCGACAATGAAGTGAGTGGCACCGTGGTTCTTGCGAATGATGGCGTGCCAGATGGCCTCACGAGGACCACCCATACGCATCGCCAGACCCAGCAGACCCAGAACGGCCATGCCGTTGGGGTAGCGAGGCAGAAGAGCCTGGTAGGCACGGACACGGGTGAAGTGATCGATGTCACCGGGCTTGGTGAGACCGACGACGGGGTGGATCAGGACATTGGCCTGACGGGAGCGAGCCGCGCGGACCGTCAGCTCACGGTGAGCACGGTGCATGGGGTTACGGGTCTGGAAAGCGACGACGCGGGACCAGCCCAGCTTGTCGAAGTGAACGCGCAGCTCCGCGGGAGTGTCTGTGAGGGTGGCAGGTTAGTTTTGCGCGGATCAACACAGGTAACACATATTGGGATTTTCGCGCCGTGCGTCCACAATGGGCCGAAAGTGCCGGGGACGGGAAACGTACAGCGCAGACCGACATAGTCGTAGTGGTTCAATTTGTTCACGGCCTCGACCTTGCCACCAATGTACAGCTCCTTGATAGTTTCGCTCAAGTAAACGACGGCGGGGTGCTCGGGGTCACCACCAAAGACCAGCTCGCCCTCCTTCTTCCTAAAATCCAGGGGAAAAGGCATACGTCAGCGGAGGGGCCCACTAGGAAGCACGAGCCACCACGGGGTGGGCTTTTCCGATTGCAAAGGGAGAAAGTGTTGCACCAAGCCATTGATTCTTGACCAATGGCCTCGTTTGTGCCAAGGATTATTCGGCGCATTCGCATGGATGACCAGACTGAGCGACACGCGTGCTGTCCCGCGTGGCGGACGCTGGCCGATTTTGCGAGTGCTGCGAGGGTCGCCGGTGGAGAACGGCACTGTTCGAGCGGACCGGTCGACCGCCAGTCCAGATGCAGTCCCGCATGATGTGCAAGGCCAACCAACAGAAATGGTAACGGATTGATCATTGGCGCACGCGAGCTTTTGGCCCAAGAAAGCGCAGGGAAAGGCAGAGGGGAAGCAAAAAGGGAACATGACCAGGAGATTGTGGCTGAAGAATTGGAAAAACTCACTTGTCGGGACGGTAAATATCGTCAATGGTCAGGATGGCCAGATTACGGTCATCACGGAAGTCACGAAGAGTAATACGGGCACCGGCCTTGAGCTTGTTCTCGTCGACGATCTGTTGGGTGACATCGAGGGTGATGGGCATGGAGAAAACATTGCCATCGGCAAGACGGCAGTCCTGGCAGACACTGGACTGGGGATTAGTTACTGAAGCAGGGATGGCTATGAGGACAGGGAAGCAATTGAGAGGCAGAGGGAGAGAGAGAGTGTCTTAATACATACCGGTCATAGTCGGCCTGGTTCATGAAACCTGCGAAATAAGATCAAATCAGCATCGATCATAAATGACTTTATGGTCGTTGTCAATGGAAGCCTGCACAATTCGCCGCTCAAAGCTCATGGCGCTCTCTTCCAGTCATCACTCTGAAATTTGGCCCCCGATGCTGGTCACAACGTGACTCGTCAAGTTACGCATGTGACGGCCATGGTAGCCATTGAGCGCAAACGGCGAGGAACTTGGCAGCACCACAAAATACACCACAACGACGCTTCAGTGGGAGTGCCACACGACAGGATACATACCCTCGAGAGGAGAGAAACCACCGTTCATGATCAACTCCAGATCGCACAGTTGGCGCTCGGTCAGGACGACCGCGGGGAGCGTCTCGGCCTCGGCGGCGAGCTGATCATGACGAGGAGCATCGCGGGCAAGCAAGTCCTTGAGGACACCACCGTGAGGAGCGTTGGCCATGATGTGAGGAGAAGAGGGTGTGGTCGAAATTCTCGAGAATGAACTAAGAAATGATACGACGAGGATAGGTGGCCCGGTGATGTTTAGAAAGGAATGCGGAGGAGGGAAGGAGAAGAAGGGAGGAGGGAATCGGTTCGAGAGAGGATGAGAATGAGAAAGAAAGAGGAAGAGGCAGAAGGACGAGAATTGGATTACTCAGTCGTATTCTAATAAATCGGAGTCGACCAGGAAGTACAGAAGTCAATTGAGCGCGCAATTCCCAGTGCCAAAAAAAAAAAGAAAAAAAAAAAAAAAAAAAAAAAAGGGAAATATACCTGGTTTAGTCAGTCAGGTTCCTTTGCTCGAGCACGACACCGCGGAGAAGCTTTCCCATACATTCCGAGTCGAGTTTGTTCCCCCACTTTGGCGACAAGTTGGCGGTGCCTTGCCAGGTGGGGGGGGGGGAAGAGGGGAGAGGTACTCGAGACGCATTTGGTAAGGAGTCGAGATGGACATCGAACACTCTGTGACTTGACACTCTCCATCACTGCACCGCCAGGACTTTGCAACTCTACAGTCAATCCCTGCATATTGTAGTAAATGACTGTGACTTATCATCAGAGGATCAATTTCACTTGTCGTACAGCATGTCATGCATGCTCAATAGCGCCAAGGCTCATGCGGGCGCGGCTACTACTTTGGAAGACTGCGATGTCAGAAAGTGACCTTGTCAGTCAGGATTCAGTAGTAGTAGTAGTAGTAGTACTACTACTACTACTGTACTGAGTACAGTGTCCAATATCCTACCCCAAAAAAGATGTATATTCCGGGCATTCACCACCTATTCCTCAACTTTCTAGAATATGTACCGAATCCAAGTTCGACATCGCGTCTCGTTTCTACTCAATTATCTCACCTTTCCACCTTCTTACCTCCTTGAGTCCATAATGCTGCACAAAGATCGCAACCCCAATCGTCGCTCAAGACCCAACCTGGAACCCCTCGACAAGTCGACAGCCCGGCGTCAACAGTGGACCTCCGACCCAGTCTTGCCCAGACGCTCAGAACCTGCAAGAAAAGCGGGTAACTCAATCTCAACTTTCCAAAGGAGCCACGTTCCCAAGAAAAAAAGTCAGAAAAAGAAGGACAGAAAATCAAAAAGGTAAAACGAAAAAGCCATACAGCATAAAACCATGGACGAGATACAATGGAGTCGATTTGCAGGACCAGGGCACAGCTGGAGACACCGTACACTTGCCTGCGAAGAAATCTTGGAATATGGATACGGGACAGTGACACCGGTGCCGCTAGATGGGGGGGGGGGGGGGGTGGGCCTTTGGTCGTGGAGACGCATGTATGGAAGGAGTGGATGTTCTCGTGGTAGATCAATTGGGGGAGAAGTAGTACTGTGTCTAGATGCTGGATCTGGAACCGACTTTGGAAGGGGGAAGGGGCAGAATCTCGAGGGAAGTCCCTCTTATCTTTTTGTTTCCATTTGAACAAGTTGAGAAGAAAACCAAGCCATGCTTGTTGATTCTTGTCCAAGATCGTAAAGGGTGATGGATAGTCCTACTGCATTTGGCGACGCAGTGGCTCTTACGTGGAGAAATCAGGAATAAAGTAGTGTTCCAATGCATACGTCTGATAACGGGCATAATCTCACCGGGTTGGTCATTATTCTGGCCTCTTGGGTACGTCGGTACTCAAGCTTCTAGAAGCCTACTACGGTCATGGATACCTTTTGAAACCAGTCAGATTCCATAGTACAATAGTGAATCCTATTGTACTAGTCCCTGACTGATTATGTGGCTACAGTTACACTATCATTGAGTTGTACTCTACTGGTGGTGTACTGTAACTCACCATAGCCATTATCTCATACTATCCTAGTCATAGTCATCCTCCTCCTCATGTAAGTAGGGAGGTGACAGGGTGCCATAAGTGTCAAGTATCGCCCTGGTGGCGTGATCGCACCGTCTCAGCCCTGTGTGTCTCACGTGACTATCACGCAACCTCCACACGGAATGTCGTGATCGCCTCCGGCCCAAAGAGGATCGCTTAGTGGAGCGCTACTCCGATTTGCACGACTACGACACTCTTACGAGTCTTCGACCGGTACGACTACGACGACACTAACTTAGTACATATGTCAAAATCAGGCGACGTAAGGCACAGGCGTGGATTGAGTATGGAATCGATGGATAATTTGGATATGAGTATTGGTCATGTGACTCATGTCTTCGAGTGCGTGTACAGTCGATTTCGAAAACAGATCACCCCTTCAACACATCGACTTTGTTTCTCGGCCCGTATCCGAGTATACGCTAATCCTAACTGGGCTGCGCTTTGAAGACCGCTGCTTGCAGCTTGACGGTATCAAGTATTGAAGTGTATTGAATTCATGGTCCGTGTAAAATATTGTAAATCTATAGAGACATATCAGCGACAGCCCATATTACGCTGACTATACCTCTCAGCCCCAAGAGCTCGAACCATGGAAACAAGATTCTCAATATTCCCCTCCTACGCCGGGATACGTCCGGAGCCCTTATACTACGCGGTCCAACTATAGTCCCTCCCCACCCACCTTCCTCGACGATCAACGCAGTCCCGCAAGCCGACCTCTTCCAAATGCTATACCACTGCTCCGGGAATCTGAGTGGGAGGAGGACAAGATCTACGATGAGGATCCACCTAGCTGCATTCACTGCTTCATAGAATGGCGGGTCACCGTCAACAACAAGGCCGTGGTGAAGGACACAGAAGAAGACCTAGTTTTGGCCCTAAGCGCTTACTGGCAGGGATTTCTGGAAAAGAAGCTACTGACTGTCCTTAGACAGAACTTCAGAAGGTCTCTCGCAACAAAAGGGTCAGGACTGATGACACTGTCATTGTTGTATTAGTTAATGACCGATTGACCGTTCTCAGCCTGATCTGACCAAGCGTTTTAATAAGAGCGATATTTTTTGGACGGCTATCGAGAAACAGCTCCGGATATGGTCGAGGACTCGAGTTACTTCTGTCGGGGTAAGAGACTTACGCTGAGGATCTCTTTTAACTACGTAGAGGATAATAGTTCTCTATCCGCTAGACGGAACGGGGAGAAGAGAGGTAAATCTTCTGTCACAAAAAGGATGCTTAATGGTCGCGATGTCTAGCTAGATGCTGAAGAAAGTATATACAGTAAGCACCTCATTTGGCGACGTGTGTATGCCCTGATGAAATATGATTTAAGTGTATGCCATTTGGGCCCCTACTGTTGGCTGGATCTAGTGGGGAAAAAGTATTATCGATATCGTACTTAAACCCTTAGAAGGTTGGTTACCTACGCCGAGAAAGGTGGTGTCCTAGAGTCCTACAAAGAATACGGTGAGTGGCTTGTATCGAATGTGTCTGATGAAACCCTTAAAGCTGTATTTAGACAAGCGTCCGACGTAACGCTATCAGATGGCTTTGACCTTGAGCACATCTACAAGGATCAAACCCCAGAATTCTTCGTCGGTAAGGGGATCAGGCCCGGAATTGCCCGAAGTTTTGTAGAAAATATCCGCGACTGGGTGGAGAACGTGAAGAAGTCAGTATCCATTCTTGGAGTGGTGTAGAAATTGCGTTAGCGTTGGGTGCAGCTCTTTGGCGTTGTTTTGGGTTGACTTGACATGGATGCATTTGTTAATACAGACAGCAGAGCAGGACGTTGCTCTTTGATAATTTCAGTGTGCGCTATGTTTTGGGATTCGAATTGGTGTTCAACACCGTAACCCGCAGTCTTTTTGCTGTTCGCACGTTTTGCTGTTCCATCCAAGACGCCCGTAAGTCAGCTTGTGTTTCTGGCCCAACGGGTCTGTCTTTCGAAGATGTCCCTTTCATCGCCTTTCAAATATACGAGTCCACGTTTTCTTAGTTTTGAGAAGAACGCAACGGCAACGTCGAAACAAGTCCAGCCATCCCTTTTGACAAGACCTTCAATACTGTCAAAAAAGTCCTGAACCTCATTCCATCCATCGGCATCAACTAAGTGGTTATATAGTTCAGCCTACGTGAAGTGATTGTTGAAGACATGGGTGTTGCGGACTTGGATTTCTTCTGCGGAAGATATCCGTATCAGAAGGGAGACGCCAGCACCACGCACACCACCTCAAAACTTAGGATACCACTGTAGCTTCTTCTTCTTCTTCTTCTTCTTCTTCTTCTTCTTTCTCCTCTCCAGCTCTTGAGATTCTCGATACCACGCAGTCAAGTTGAATGAATAGTTTATGAGTCCTGCTAAAACTTTTCTTAAACTGGCGTACAACATTATCTCAAGAGCCCCTCCCTACATTTTTTTAACTCCCTTTCTTGAAGTATCAGCCGGGCAGTGAGGCACTACGTCCTCTAGCCACCCTGAGATCTTCGCACACAACAATTACAACCTTGACGAGCAGTACGATATCGCATCTACGCTGCTACCCTTGGAACTCCTCAACACGAACCGAAAGACAAACCGAAGAATCGACAAAAGACCTACAGTCAGTATGGTAGGCACTGATGATACTCTCTCCGATGAGAGTGTTGAAGAAAACCGACTGGAACAAGTCCTTCAACAGATGGAAGGAAACCCAGAGAACGCCGAGACCGCCCAGCTGCTGAGGCAGTGGATCAATGGAATGAGTGATACCCTGAGAATCCTGAAGCAGGAAAAGAAGACAAATGAACGCCTTGAGGAAAAGATCAAGGATCTCGCGGAACAGATCGAACGGTTGACCGAAGAGAACGAAATGCTGAAATCACTGAACGCTATGGATAGAGGATAGACTCCGTACACTGTACATTCACTACATTGTACAAAGGTACAGTCATAGTACACTCAGACACTGGGAGTGTACAGTGCATAATCGTACTACAATTCAAACACGGATGTCGTCCGCCGGCATGTCTATCTACCGATTCAGCCTTTTGCCATCCCCGGCCGCAGTCCATCAGTCACTCCCTAGGTCGCTGGAAATGCTTACTCGCATTGACAAAGAAATGATACACATAGATCACTCTACTCCATCCTCGGAGCAGCTTCAACTTTCAAATATTGCGCCCTCCTCACAAGGCAATGGGTACACTCTGAAATATTCACAAGAAAAAAAAAATTGGTACAAGGTATCCAAAACAGGGCGAGAAAAATAAAGAACAACCAGCAAAGACAATAATCTTTCCTTTTTCCACAAACTCCTCCAGTCCAGCTTCGTCACGACAGGCTGGTAACTTCCCTCTGCACATTCAATTATTGAGTTGTAATCGTCATTTTCTCAAAGTCCAAGTCGTACTTGCCCAACAAGTCAAGCTGTGGATGGCTCGCTTTCGGATATGACTCGGTCAAGTACGTCTCGATCTGACCCTCCGACCAGATCGCCGAAGTCAGCGAACCGGTCTTCTCCAGTATATACAAGACAGCAACCTGACTGAATTGGATCACCCGCTGCGGGACGGCCTTTGCGGTGTTGTTGGAGGCCGTATCCGACCCAACACTGCCTGCGGAGACGGCCATAGCTGTGGCGGTGGTGGAAGGGAGAGTCGATGTGGCTGTAGCACCTGTAGCACCTGTCGGAGTCGCGGTATTATCGAAGAGAATGCCGTTTGATGTGGCGACGGAGCGCTGAGCCTGGGTGGGCGAGGACTCCAATGTGTCGAGGCTGGACGCATTGATCTTCTGATCAACATCAGCGGTCTCGGATCTCTCCAAGGGCAGCGAAAAGACGCGGCGGGCCTTGGAGTTGCTGCTGCTGCTGCTGCTGTTAGACGATGCGAAGGGCACGTTGAAAGTCACGAGGGAATTCTCGGTCTCGCACGAGGCATTGTTCATGCTGAATAATGCCATGATGGTGACCGAGTCCAGAGTGACATTGAATGTGCTAGACGCTTGGAACACATCGGAGAGATGGTTGCCCATGGTGGCGTTCATGTGCATGGCAGCATTCATGACCTCCGCCGTGGAGCAGCTGGAACCTCCAGGGATGGTGCATTGTGAGCCGGTGAATCCATTCGAGCATACGCACGAGCACTGTTCGCCGCTGGACACACTGATGCCGCCATTCTGACAGGGATTGCGACTTGCGCAGGCATCAGTACCGTTGCCACTACTGCTGCCGCTGGACATTTGCTTGGGCACTGCGATGAGGAAAACCGGAAGGAGAATTGCGAGGACCAGGACGATAAAGAGGATGATACACAGTATGAGCACCCATTTGCGAGACATCGCACAGCGTCTCCGCGGAGCTTCCTTTGTTTGAGGTGGCTCATCATTCGATGGGAGAGCCTCCACATTTCGAAGGCCAGAACGCCCAAAGAAGACAGGCCACGAGCTGTGACTCTCTGGAGTCTGAGCCCCCGGACGTGGGAAGGACGTAAGGATATCGGAAATAGATCCGGATCCACGACGATGCTCTGTCTCACCTGCACCAAAGCGAACAACGCAGATTAGCAAATTGATCCCTTGAAACTCGGAAAGTGAATGTCGAGTCAATTATCCGATGAGACTCACCAAAGCCATGCCTGAAGATCGCGGCCTCCTTTTCCACAAGGTCGCTCCGACTTGCTGTCTTGCCTCGGTCGAGGTTAGTAGCGAGTTTGGTGGCACGTCGAATCAGATCTGACAGGCTGGAGAGACTGCCGCGGGTCTCGGCATCGCGAACTGCGCCCAGATTCAACCGTGGAGGCTTCTTACCATGAGGCCTCGTGTCGCTCATCGTCGGCGCGGCCTTGGGCAAGACTGCGATCTCTTTTTCCAGAGCCAGATCCTCAGTCGAAGAGACAGGCTGCTGTGCGAATCGCGGCTTCTCGGGATCCACGAAAGACTCTCCCGAGGCTGTTGAGATGGATACTCGCCGCACCACATTGAGAGTCTGGCTAGCGGCTACACCACCAGTCAATGCACCTGCGGCGGCGGATTGCTTGTGATGATACCCTTCTTGAGGATTGGTCGATGGAAGGTTAGGGATGTTGTCGTCAGAGGCCGCGCCTAGCCTCGAGATGGTGCGCACGGTGGGCTTGCCACGCTTGCCAAGACTAGCATTACGCACCAACAAGGCATTGTCATCATTGTGAGCGTGATCATGGTCATCCACATCGGACATGTCATCCAAATGGATGCCCATAATTTCTGATCCAGGAGATCCAGGTGTCCCGGGACCCCAACTAGACGGTATGGCACGACTCGAAGCCACCGAGATGAACGTTTGGCGCGAGCTTGAGAGCTCCTCGGAGATGGTGGAAACAGCAGACTTGGGAACCTGAGATGGGGGCGCCAGGCCCCCGGCGCGTGGGCGAGCCTTGTCCTGAGGTCGAATCGGTTCCGGAAGAGGATTGGGTGGAACATCTGGGAGAGACGACAGGCCCGAGGCGGTAGACTGACGATGAAACAGATCTTCAGTTGCGATTGAAATGCGTGGATTCAAGTCCAGGGTACTGGTCGGGCTCGATGACCCATCCTTTGATGATGGGGCCGAGGGGCGTTGAACGTCATCAGAGGGTGCAAAGAGAGGCTTGGGAACTGTGAAAGCTCGCGCAGGCAATGTTGGAAATACAGATTGCGTTTCCGAGTCCTCCCCGCTGACCACGGAATAGACGGATGGGGACGGGATGGCAGCAGGAACTTCACTAGGCCGAGGAGGGCGCGATGGTGGTGGTGCTCGGGGGCTAGAAGTTGAGGCTGCCGTGGTTCTGGTTCGTGAGATTCCGCTGCTTCCAAGTAGATAGGCAAACCTCCGTCTGGTAAGGGCCATTGGGTGCGATGGGCCAATTCCTTGGCAGTGGGCGTATCCCCCGGTTTAGAGGGAGGGGGCGGCCGAAGCTGTGGTCTTGGTGCAGGCACTGGTGGCGAGGCTCGAGTTGGGCGAGCACCCGCCTGAAGTTGTTCTCTGGCTCTCTTCACGGAGCCTTGGCGGTTGGGTCCATTTACGTTCGGAGCAGGGGGGACTGGCCCGTCGATTTCAGGGGCATCCGAACTCATTGGTCTTGCTTATGACACAGCACTTGGTTGATCAACAGGTCTCGCTGGGAGTTTGCGGAATGCGACGTTGACGGGAATGAAAGTCATGCACACAAGTCTGGTTCAAACGAGCGGATCCGTAGCATCAAGTCGCCGGTCAAGCACCAAGGGCGATCTTGATCAAAAGATCCCGTCAACACTCCACCGTGGAGGTCCGATGTCAAAAGACCGAATGGTGGCGAGAGTGGCCTATATACACGTATATTTCGGTTGAAAAAAAGAGCGTACAACAAGCGCTTGGTTGAACGTCGTCGGGCAGGGCGGGTTGAGTATCAGGGATCAATTGAGCCCTTGGGACGTTGTGTGTGATCAATTGCTAGGAAGCTGACATCCAGCAGCTAGATCTTCAATGGAGAATAGGTGGTACACGCCTCCGATTGAATGTGGGCGTGGAACTGAAGACAACGTGTGTGTCTCTATACGATTGATCAGGATCCGCACTCCAGGCTGCGCGTGACTTATCTCGAGAGGAGGCTTACTGACAGTCAAGATGTCACAAAAGAATGGAAGAGACTGTAGGCTGGTTGAAAGAATGGCACACAGGAAAAAGCTAGTATCGAACCAGCGAGATCGGTTAATTAGACTAGACGCCTGTCAAATTTGAATCAATTATGGTTCCTTAGTCCATGACTTTGGGGATCATGGCCCTTCCAACATCGAGGCGACAAGGCCAAGGTGGTGTGACAACCTTGTCCATGCCACATCTCTTCAGGCGAGTTGGGAAGAACCTACAGTGACGGCACCGCACCAGCAGACAGCAGAGCTTCAAGCTCTTGAGCGAGAGAAAAGAACGCAAAAAAGAACGACGAAGAGAGTGGCGCGGGAGTGAAAGAGGAAGGGGGAGAAGATCCAAGTGTGCTGGCTTGACAGTGTGATCTCGAGTCCCAACGTCCAACCGTGTGGACTGCTGGTTCGGTACCCGGTACGGGGCGGATCTGAATGATCCTGTCACTCTCAATGTACCCCCGTGGCTATTACCGCGAGGTACAGGATACGCAATCCACCTCTGCTGAGTCTGGCAGTGGAAGGGGCTCGGCCGGGCAAAAACACGTCCCAAAAACCACTAAAATTATAAAATAGAAACGGGCCCAGCGAGCTTCCAGCCAGGAAAGTCGGAGGTCCAAGAACGAGCAAAACACCCTGCGAGAAGAAGGCAGCAGGTAGCCACTATGATCGAGGACCCGCCGAATAGAGTGACTAGTGATTCAGGCCGGTCACTTGGATACGATAGTACCCTCCGCCATTAGATTAAACCCCCCGTTCAATTTCCCCTTCTGGCGCTGCCGGCACGTTGGACTGGAGCATTGGAGGTTGAGAGAGAGAGAGAGAGAGGCTTGAGTTTTGGCACAGTGGTACTTTTTCGTTTTCACTACTCTGACCGATGAGCACTGGAGCTCGAGGTACAGAGGTCGAGGTCCATTCGGTGCCGGAGCTCAGCATTTCCCATTCCCATTCCCATTTCCCATTTCCTGGGTCCGGGTCGGGTACCTTCTCGCAAGTTCGCAACCACATGGACTCGTGGAGTAACCGTCGTCACCGAACTCGAAAGTACAGTAGCGCAAAGTGGACGGTTTCAGTCGCATAAATTACAGGTTCCGGACTTGTGTCGTGAGTAGTGACTGAGTACTGACTCTTCTAAGAGTGAGCTGTACACGGGGGTGGTGACCCGTGACTCGTGAGTAGTCCTCCTTACTGATCATTCGTTGATCCGTAACTTCGACACATCAAAATTCAACATGACCCCATATCGAAGAATGGTACTCTTGGATTCTGTCGCCTCCACTTCATTCTCTCGAACTATCCATAGATTCCATACCCACCCTTGCACAGGTGGTACTGGACTACTGTGAGGGTGATTCCTGTGCCGCATCAGAGTAGTCTCTGACTCTCCAGGACCCGACAATCTTCCAACCGACCCGTCAGAAAACGCCACTCTGCAAGTTAAGGACCCGGTTGTCCTGTCCTGTACATACAAAGTTCAACCTGAACCGTGTCTTATGGCGTCCCCTTGGCCAGACTCCCTAGAAAACGGACTTCAAGCATATATGGGCAGGGGTTCCGTCGGGCCGGACGAGACCCCTTTATCGTGCGAGTCGACGTGAGCACTAGTCGAGGAACCCCAGCATGATTGATAACATCACAGGCGCAGTTTAAGGCACTGAGTGTCGAGGTCGGAGACATCTCGCTCGAATGACCAGATGGTCTGATCTGACCTGATCTGATCTCATCTCACAAATGGTACAGGACGTGTTCCTCGAACAACTCAACTTGTCCAAAGGGTTGCTGGCCCATCCCCGCGAGGGCGAGCTTGCTCAGTCACACTGCGCCGCTGCGGTGCCTCTGACTGGGGGGTTCCAGGGGAAAACAAAAAAGTGATCGGTTTCACATCAGGTCCAAGCGATGGCTTGCGGGGTCAAAAGTGGGTTAGCGTGACTGACCCGAGCATCGCAACTGCTGCCAATGCCAAGCCTTGCCAGTGTACTACAGTACTACTACTACTACTATTCTGCAAAGTTTGCAGTTTGCACTGGTGCATCATGATCCCGTTCCAGCACCCAAAAGTGTGTTTGTTTTAGTGGGGTTTGTTGACTGCCGCGGCTCCAGTCACGGACCGGTGGGGCAACGCTAGTGTTTAGTCCCCGACGCTACGTCTCATGTTGACAAGTGGGAAGAAGAGGGGAAGAAGTGGCTTGGACGGCAAAAAGGCTGGTTGACTCGTGTGGAAAGTTGAGATGAGAGATGGATTAGCTGAATATCATTGAAAATTGTATGGTAAACAAAGTAGTAGTGTTGAAAAAAAAAAGGATCTCTACTCTAGTAGTGTATATACTACCTATATACTACGAGTATATAGGTACTATTGTATATGCTGATTGGCTGGGGTTCGATATTGGGCCTCCGGCGCCATATATCATCATGCATGGATTCGCCCTCCTCTCGATAAGAATGAGACCTGTGGGTCGGATCTGGACATGCATTGACATGTCGTCAACTCTGGCAGAGATAGAAAACATGATCATACGGTGACTTCAAGACTTGTCCGGTAGCTCATCGGCGATCGACACACTGCGGTCGAGTCTAATTGACTCAAAGCGTGCATCTACCACAGGAACATCCTGTGGAGCCGCAGGAGGAAAAAAATCTCGACGGTCGAAGGACTTTATGCGAAACGGTGCACGATGTGCAGTTGCCAGTGACGCACTAATACACATTACACGGTCTAGGTGAGATCGACATGGCCTATCATCACTTTGAAAACATAGCACCGCAGTGACCCGCCTTATTTCGCTCCAAGGGCAGACTGGATCGCAAAGGTGCACTTACAGTAAATTCCAAAGAGACATACGTAAGAGAACATAGGACCTCGATTGGGACGAGTCACGATCAAACGTCATGTCCCTTGCGCCTCCAGTATTCCGAGAGTAGGACGCATCTTGCGACGCGGTGGTGTCAAACATTCAACCAGCGCACAGCCAAACGGACGCAGTCTGCTCACGGACTATGACCCGGCTCAATTCTTCCAGTCGAGCCAGGGTAATGTTTCTCCGTGTCTTGAATTTTCCACCACATGAAACACCCGCCCTCCTTCACATTGCCATCAGAGCCTGTCGAGGGGAAAATCTTTTCCGTGGCTCACCGGAAATATGGAAATCATCTCACCCTGAGACTGGACAGCATCCTTCGTGGATCAACTTCGGGTAGAGGATGAAGGGAAGTGGGGAGATAGACAGAATTCGGGCAGGTCTCATTGGGGCCTGTTTTCTTTTTATAGAGCGTCTCGTCATAGTCCCCTGATTGTGTCCTTCTACAACTGTGAGGCCTCGGCCTGGGCATACACCTGGGTGTCACCCAGAACTTAGAAGGTCTATCTGCGTTGATAGTCGAACTCGAATGAAATTATTGCTTCGGATACCGGAGCAAAGAACAGGAGTACTCATGCACGTCAATTTGCTCGTGTAATCATTGCGTATCTGTATACTCTGAGGAGGTCACCTCATGCGCAAAGAGGCATGCTTGCCTTGGCACAGTATAGGCACAGAATGACTCATGTTACGTCCCCGTCCACGGTATTGCTTATGGATCGGTACTTTGGATGAGTATCAACGGTCTGAGGCTCGAAGGACTGTGGGATGATGCACATGGCTTGACCGGAACAGCATCATCGATGCATATGCCATACGACACCAATCGCATGCCGGTATAGCGCCCAGGTGGTAGTGACGCGTTGACCAAAGTCTTCTCCCTGGTCTCTCGGGTCATGACATTGGCTGATAAAACATGGCTCAAACGCCACTACTGCAGACTCGAAGGCTTATGTGACTGTTTCAAGACAATAGCATCCAGCTGCAAAGCCCGCCACTGGAATTGTACTACTGCTCCTTCGTCGTGACCCTCCCAGTATCGATGCCGAGCTTCGCGCGGGTTTCGTAAATCTTTACCTCAAGATCACGCATCTGCACAATCGTTCCAGCCAAATCGGGTACCCGAGTCTCTATGACCTCCATGAACGACCTCTGAGCGGAGCGAAGCGAGGATGGCACAAGAATCCCATACCAGTGAAGCGGGTTGTCGGAGCGAACCTTTTTGCGAATAGGGTTCGCTGCACTCTCTGTAGGACCGTCTGCAGGCGAGTCCTCGCCTGACGATCCTTGTGATACACTCGGGCTTTCCGTTGTGGAGGACTTGTCCGCGTTGGTCTGGGCCTCAGTTGTTTTGCTTGAGACTTCCTCAGGTGCGTCTGAGTTATCAGCAGATCCTTCAACCTCCTGCCCCTTCGCCTCCTCGATCTGGAACGTATAGTCGGTGTTTTTGACAATCGAATTGCCAGTGAGCTTTGCCTCCGTTCGTGAAGCGTCAGCGTCCGGGTGAACAGGCTTGCGGTGAATAGATCTGGTGAGATGGGATAAGTCAGCGTGTTCTGCACTCGGAAAAGACAGCTCTCGCCGGCTCACATTTTCCGCGTCGCCTTCATCCGCTCATCGTAATAATCCGCCCCATATCGACGCCCCGGCGGGCATGTGTAGTTTGCGTGAGCGAGCGAGAGAAACCCCTAGTCAACCAAGTTAGCGCCACCTCGACCTGGAGCTGCTGATTCCAGAGCCGAAAACATCTTACTGATGCTAGAGTCTTCGATAAGCCTGACTGCAGTGCTTGCTGCCGATCCAGCAGAAGCAAGTAGTTCTCCAGCAGAAGATCTAGGGATTGCCGTAACTCCGCGGGTGCTTCGTCGATCTTCGACACAGCTTCGGGAGCTTGCGATCCTGGACGAGAAGGTGGAGGGGTTGGTATTTCAGACATTTGATCCACAGAAAGTGAAGACGCAATACGCGACTTGGTGTAGAAGCGTGCAGGGCGCTCGCGAACCGACTCAGTGTGTTGACTGTGTTCTTGTGAAGCAGCGCTCCGCGGCTGTTGATTGATAAAGCCAACGCAAGTCTGCACGGCAACTTATTTTGGAGAAGCTCGGCCCCGGTAACTCCGTCATTAGGTCTCCGAGCGCAAAAGAATTTCCCGCCTTGCACTTCGATCCGGGGAACCGCAACTCTGCCAAATTCTGCGCCACATTCGGTACTTCGACTCAAGTGCATCGGAGCCTCGAACTGAGTATATACTCGAGTCGTTATACTCGAATTGTTGTGAAGCTTCCTCGTCATCGGGAACGCCCCAGCTGAGCGGACTGCATCTTGAATCGCCACGTCCGGGGACAGCGTCTCTACCCGTGACCCACCCGGCAACATTTCGATCACGACTCTCGAAGACACCACTCCATCTGATCTTCTCAGCCTCCTATCTTGCAACTTATTGCGTCGACCACAATGTCCGTCGCCAACATGCAGCGCGAGACGGCATTCCAGGTCCGGTCTTTGGTATGTACAGGTGGTCTTGACGGCTGTGAATCGGGACACTCTCACAATCATCGTCTTGCTTCAAAATGAGCTTCAAAGATTGAGACTACAAACGTTCCACCGGCTGATGCTTCTACATTCTAGTTCCGTTCCTTGATGCGCCAGTCCTCTCAGTTCTCCAACTACAACTTCCGCGAGTACGCCCGCCGTAAGACGCGGGACTCATTCCGCGAGCACAAGGCCGAAACGGAGGAGCGTCGGATACAGGAACTCATTCAAGATGGCCTGCAGAACCTGCGCTTGCTGAAGGTTAGTGAATTTCTCACTGTTTGTGATGGTCGGCTACTGTGCTGGCCGAGTTCGACGCATATCCGACTTGTAAAAACAGCGAGGCCAACCCTATCTTCGTTGTTTCGAGTTCGCTCCGGCATCGTCTCTCTTCAGTTACTGTTGACTAATACTCTTCTTTGCAGAGACAAACCGTCATTAGCCAGTTCTATCAGATGGATAAGCTGGTTGTGGAAGGACAGAAGACTGTACGTTCACCGACTGTTTTGGACCGCAGTCATCCACGGAAATCTGACAGACTACAGGGAGAGCAAACAGGAAACAATGGAGACATCGTTCGCCAGAAGGACACTGGGTATGACATCTTCCAATTGGGTGCAATCAATTTCGATCAATTACTAACAATGACACAGCTGGGACTAAATACCCAGGCAGTTTATTGTAATGGATTGAGATGGAATGGGATATAAGCAACCAATGCTTCCTCAAGTGATCTAACAGATCAATGACTTTCAGCGTACAGCTCGTGACAAGAGGTCCCGAGAGTTCGGCCGCAGTCTACTGTTTTTGTATTTATAGTATGATCAAATAGCAAATGCCGCTCTAGGAATCGGTGCATCTTGTAGTGTTTTCATCGTGGCTTGACTCCATGCACGACTTCTGATGAATCGGTGCTTTGCCCCCGTGAACTTCGGCACGTGACTTGACGGCGATGGGGTTCCGGCCAGCCAGCGGCGTCCGCAAAGTAACGCGCTCGGCATCATCTGAAGCCACACGAAGCTCTCCTTACCAAACTCGGCCAACTCGTTGAATTGCGCAAGTGCTGAATTTGTTCCAGTTGCTTGGCCAGAGGATTCGCGTTGGATCTGGGGAAATTCCCACAATTTTTGGTCGCCTACCATGCCATCCACTGTATGTCCACCATCCCAAATCCACCGCAGCTCTAGACAATCAGCTCGAGCGAGTGGAGATAGTGTCCAATTGATAGCCTCAAAAGGCGATGCTAACTATATTTCTCAGTTCAGGGCCTCGCGCTCAGGGCGCCACCTCGATACCTCCAACCGATCTCGCACTGGCCAAATAGATCACGACGTCTTCGAAGGCCTCCCAGTTCGACGCTGGTCGCGCCAGCCTCATAATGTCTCGCAAGCCCCTAAGGTTGACGAATCTGAGGTAGCCGACGCTCCTCGGGGGAAAAACGCGCTCCCAGAACTGCCAATGCCACGAGACAGCCAACTTCTGCCCGCGATGAGTCGTGCGCTCTTGCGCGCCGCGCGTGCTGGCTGTATTCACATCCGTGCGACCGACCGATCGGTCGAGAACGAGACAGCAGAGGTCGCTGAAGGAGATGAGCAAGTGGCGACGGTACATCTTTCTGATCGCAGCTTTACGAGTCGCAAATGGTCATCCCTTCCAAAGCATATGGAACCCCCAGAAGTGGAGTTTCTTGCAAAGCGGCGTCCTGGACTTTCTTCTTTGTATGGGAATAGTGCAGAAGGCGGTGCAGTGCCAGGTCCCATGAGAAAGACGAAAATCAAGAGAACAGACCCCGATACGGGCAACATCTCTATCTACGAGGTGTGGGTTCCAGAGGGACATCGCATAGAGGGCGAAATCACAGTCGATGTTCAGACTATCGCTGAGCAAAGCGCAGTTGTTGTCACCACGGAAACCCCTGCGCCAGGAACTGTTGTAGAGGGAGTTGGTGTCGTCAATGCGGAAGGTGTGGTTGTGGCCGAGGCTGGCTCCGCCGCTGTAATGACTCCACCAAAACGTCGTCCTCCCCCTCCGAAGCGAAAGGGTAGAGGCATTGGTAAGGGCCGGAAGAAGAAGGTCATGTTTGCTCCAGGTGAAGGCGCCGATGCTTCGACCGTACACGGCGTTCCTCCACCTGGCGCCACAAATGACGGTACCAAAGGGGCTGAAGAAACTTCGCGCATGTCAATCGACCCTTCTGTCCATGATGAGGATGAGGATGGCGATGAAGGCGAAGAGAGTGACGATGGAGATGGATCCATGCTTGATCCAAAGACACCAGAGACACCGCAAGTCTCAACTGGCGCAGAGGCTCCAATTGCTGAACAGTCTGTGCCAGTGTCCAGGGAACAAACAAACGATATTGAGATGACGGATGCCACGGCAGACACCGAAACGCCTGGCCCAGAGCCAACTGTCGCGAGCGGTGATGAAATCAAGGAGCAACCAGTCATGATGCAAGATGTGCAAACAGAAACAGCTCAGGCAGACCAAAATGATCTTCCAACGGCTCCTTCCTCCTTGCCACCCAAGCCTCCCACAGAAGACGTGGAACCTCGAACCCAAGCTTTGGACCGAATTTCTCCTTCAGCGCCTCCCGCTCCCCTTGAGGTTGACGTGGCTGTTGGCACATTCGTGAAAGAATCAACTCCACAGCAACAGCCGAATCCTTCAGTGTCGAATGCTTCCAAGCCTTCGGCCGAGGAAAAAATAGTCTCAGAAGTCACCGAAGTGACACAGGCAGAGATCAAACCAGAATCAACACCGCAGCCCGCAGACGCTGAAGCCTCCATACGCACATCAGTAAGTCCTGCAAAGCTCGAAGAGACGCACTCAGAGACTCCCTCGCAATCAGAGGCTGCGCCAGAGCGGCAAGCCCATGAAGCTTCGCCACTTCAGCCCGAGTCAGCGCATGAGGAGCCAGGACAGTCTACGATGGAGGTCTCGCAACAAATTGAGGTAGAGCCAGCCCTGGCTTCAACCCCGGAGATCAAGGAATCCCCTGAAGCCAAACAGTCTCCGGATCCTGCTCCCGTCGTGCACTCGCAATCTGCTGATGTGACGTTGGTCGATGCAACTCAGGAAGAAGAGCCCGCTCCATCTGATCTCGCGCCCACACAGCCTTCGTCGGTGCCAGCTGCATCCGTTGAGACTATCTCTGAGCTTGCTCCCGTTCCTGAAACTCATTCCGAACCTCAGTCTGACGCTCAGAATGAGCAAAAATCTGCGCCATCAGCAGGATCTGATGCGTTCGCAACCGAAGCCCCAGAAATCCCTATTCCTGTTATCCCCGACACGGCACCTGGCTCGGATTTCAAATCAGAAGAACCTCTTCAAGAAGCAAAGCCAAACGTGGACGAGAACTCAGTACCAGAGTTCGATCCAGCCCCTGCCTCTCCGCCGGCGCTGGCGCTGGCGCCAGCGCCAGCGGATGGTACTCCAACCGCGGCTGGTACAGGTGAGGAGCCAGCTGCTGCTGAAAAGGAAGAATCTGCCCCTCTACCGGCCGCCGATGCCTAGTCCATCGTTGTTACCCTTTCGACTTTTGGCACTGATGCTTGAGGCTTGTATACGAACACCACCAGCTTCGTGGATCACAGCCCAGATGCTGGCTTCCACTGCCCCTGGTGTACTTTTTAAACCTTTCATTTTCATATGCGGATTAGCTGGCGTATTATTGGAGTCTCGACAACATCATGCAAATACATTCGAATATTAGTAACTTTGATGTCAACAACTTCGTGTCCTTCTAGAGGTCGTAACGATGGCCTGTACCACCTAATGACTGACCTAAGCCATACTCAACAGTCGACAGAGTTGACATAAGGTTGTCTAATCTTGAATTTCTATATGACTTTGCTTTGGCTTGCTGTCCCAGTGCTGCTGTTCAGTGCCCATCGACCTACGGACTGCAGCCTTCAATCTTGCTTTCTTCCTTATCTTTCACTATGCATTTCCTCCTGCTTCTCTTATTGATCCTCGTTTCGCTTGTTTCCTTGACATTCCTTAGGCTCTCTCATATATACATGTCACTCCAGATTAACATATATTCCAGCAAGACTTCCTAGGTATGTGGTGTAACCTTTATGTAAATAGCATCTACTGTAGCATCAAAATGGTATTCCATTCGCGCATGGAGCTTTCTCCAAGGGGTGTATATTTTGAGATCTTCCTGACCTCATCCACCTCGCATGGGCACGCCGCTTAGGTAAACCGAGAGTAACACGCCGATCCTCGCAATTTCCAATCTATCATGAGGCTATATCCTACCTAAAGATCACTGCATACATGATCAGAAATCAAAATCTGTCCCCTGGCTAAGCGCAATTTCACACAGTAGCAAGCTTAGGTAGGACACTACGGTCATCATATGTTCCTGGACAGATGCTTGCGTCTTCAGATTGGAAGGCTACCTTAGGTAACCAGGCGCCCGTCGCGTTAATCCACCAATTGCTACCTGAACACGCAAACAGGTAGTTGGCACGCGGCAGCAGTACCTACTACCTAGTCAACATGATAGATTTGTCACGGGTAGCCAATCCCTGCTGCTTGCTTACACCTAACAGACATGCTCATAGATCCTCCTGGCGATCGTGGACGTTGAAGGCTTCATCTCCGAACTCTCGTACTCGAATCCAGCCGCCAGACGTGAAGAAGAACCGCGAGTGGACGGAGAGACACAACACACACTAGACAAGAGCCACACTTTTGCAGCAGCCTTACCTACCAATCGCTTCGTCATACATAATCAGTACATAGTTACATACAGCTTGCATCCATTATTCTGACAGTGACATTTTTCCAGCAATCGGCGATATTGAGGGTTTCAATAACATGGAATTCTCAAATCGAGCTCTCGCTTCATGTCATGGTGAATGTCCTTCAAGCTGTGCATTATTGGTCGGGCGCAAATGAACTTGATCATCAGTATTGGGTTTGCAACTCCGCCGGTCGCCGGTAGGAGCTAAATGCCTTTATAGTTTGTATACTACCTGGCGATTAAGTGTTTAAGGTAAGCTGGCAGCATTAGGTAGACATTGATGCAGTACCTGGACTACCGCCGCAGCAGCAGGAGGAGGAGGAGGAGGAGGAGGAGGAGGAGGAGGAGGAGGAGGAGGAGGCGAATCTCGCAGTAACTTCCGTCCTGAAATATTGAAGCTATGAAAGGCCTTGAAATGGTAGAATGAGATGAAATTCATGAAGTAATTAGAGTGATGTGACAAAGAAGGAACCCAAAGTGAGACGCAAGTGAAGCGAAGCGAGGAGAGCCATGAGAATCAAAATTCCAGACGCCGAGAGCAACATGCCAAAAGGGGAATTAGATGAACACCAAAGTGAGCAACAAGTCATGAGAGACCCGACCAAAAAAAAGTGCACGGGGACGCGTTAGAACATAGACAAGAACTCCGGAAGGAATGAGGGAGATATACAGAGCTTGGAAGGAGAACAGATGACCACGTAAGCCATTAGATGTGAGGACAAGAGTCTTCACGAGGACGAAGAAGCATCACGTCCTGAGGAGCGATCACAAGGGCAAAACCAACCCTGAGACTAACATCGGCAAGGCAGCGGAATCGCCATCTTAATGAAATTCACCTGCTAACATCCTCAAGAGGACTTTCCCTTGATAGTGCGGACCACGCTCTTCGTAGCCTTTTTCACACTGCCCTTTATGGTACGCTGTGCTTTGGTGCCAAAACCAGTGCCATTCTTCTTGACCTTAGAAGGAGGCACGCGAGGCTTCACAGGACTCTTTGCCGCCGCCTTTTTGCCAGCAGGCTTACGAGGTGATTTCGCGTCGCCTTTCTTGATCTTTGCAGGCGACTTCTTCGGTGAAGCGCGACCGGTGCCCTTCGCTCGCGCCAGGATTTTCTTCTTGGTCTCGAGGGAAGGGCGCTTGAGAACCGATGAACCTTTCGAAGAGGAGGCCGCAGTTACTTTTGTCTTGGCGGCCTTTCCCTTTGATTGAGATGCATTCGCAACAGTAGCCTTGACTCTGGATGCGACCTTGACCTTGGGCAAAGTCACGGTCTTTTTGGCCTTCGACTTCGTTGTTGTCGCAGACTTGACTGTTTTCTTGGAGCCCGTCTTCCCGCGTGCGGTGGCTTTGGCTACGACCTTTTTGACCCCAGCCTTGATCGATTTGGCGTTGAGAATCTTGCGCTTCTTTCCTTTCTGCGAATCTGCGCTTTCGGCATCTGCCAGCTTGCGCTTCTTCCCTGCTGGTTTCTTGACCTCCTTCTCAGCCTGTGCCTTTTCTTCCATTTTTGCTCGCTGGTCTTTGTCTTTTGGACGAGGTCCGAGGATGCCTCGGCAATTCTCTGAGCCGCAGCGACACTGCTGGACATTCTTGAGCGAGTAGGGACTTATAATCTCGTTAGCCATGACCAATCAATTCACTGCTGGTATGGGCATAAAGACTCACTCAAAGTTGTAATCGTAACTCAGTTCCTCACCGGTCATGATGCCACGATCACCCGCGAATAGAGCCATGCGTGGTTTACCAGCAACAGTCCACTTTTCCATGCGGCAGTTTGGCTCACAGGAATGGTTCACGAAGCGAGCGATTGATCCTCTGGTAGCATCGATGATCATGTTCTGATCAAAGTACATGAGGTAGTAGCACTGAAGCGAAAAGTTTGGTAAGCATTCGTAAGAAAAGTGGAAGAGCAGAGGGAAGCCCACCTCATTCTTTTTGTACACCGTTCGCATTCGCCTCTCACACTCAAACTGCGTGATGATTTCTCCGGTGTACTCCACGATGATTTGGTTCGGCTCAAAAGTCCTATTACTCCGAACACCGTACCCACGATCGGAGGTCTTGATCACCTCGACGCCGATGTTGTACTTGCCACCGGCCTTTGTCCTGTGCTTGAGCTCGCTGAAGTTGCGATTTCCACATTCCGGGCCGAGTCTACAGTTGCCGCTGTCGCATTCATAGAACATGTACCGGTTTTGACAGTTCTCGTCGCAGCCTGTGTCCTCTTCACACATGCAAGTGGACAATTCCAACTTCTTGTTTGCTTTCCACTCACTAGCTGCATCTCCAACAAAAACATCTATCACTCAAATTAGAACTTATCCTAGTGCACCTCAGATACACCTCACTCCTCAATCACAACTCACTTTTGTTGGTTTTGCGCCATTCATCAGGTTTCGGCTGACCCGGTGGAAGTGGAGAGAATACATCAAATGGTAGCACATAGTCTCTGCCATTTTCGATCATTCGAGAGCCACCGAACATTGGCATTGGGAGAAGACGCCTCTGAGCAGGCGTTGTCGTAGTTTTTGAAGAATTTTTACTGCGACGCTGTTTTGGAGGTGAATTTGAAGGCTCCTGCCCAGTGTACAGCCCATGAGTCAACCATCGCTTGGGTTTGTATCGAGGTGGAGGGAAGGCGCGGCGGGCTCTTCTGACGGAACCTTGTCTTCGGCAGCGTCTAGTTTGGACATATCACTCTCCGAAACCCGGCGTTTCTTAGAAGCAGAAGGCTCAGGTATTGACGCAGCCGACTCCTCTTTAGGAGGAGCCGCGATGCGAGGACGAAGACTAGAGCGACGGCTTGGTTCTTTGACCTTCTCGCTCAGTTCCCGAGAGCGCTTACCCAACAAGGCACTCGTACATTCCAGCAAGTCTATCGGTTTGCTCACAAAACTGAGGCGTGTTGATCTTCGCATCGAGCCTTGCGAGTCGTTCTGCATAGGTGTTTCGGACTGGGGCGTTTCCACTACCTCAGCAAGGACCTTTGTCACGCGTGTGCGCAGTGTGCGCTGCTGTGTTGAAGGCTTATTATCGTCGGTGTGCTGTTCTTGCGAGGAGTTCGAGCAAGGTGTATGGGGTATTTGAGGGTTGTAGTCGGCCACCATGTTATCACCGACAGAAGGCGCCATGTCGTTTGAACGTTCCATCACAGCAATACTGTTGCGCAATGACGAGCGCGTTCGCTTTGACTCGACAAGACTATCAACATATGCCTGGCTGCTTGACGCAGCTGTATTTTCGATGTGGGATGTGGTGGCTTCTGGAATCTCTGGTGCCTGCAGCGAGGCGCGAGTTACACGTGTAGATCTCCGGCGGGGCGCCGGTTTCTCTTCAGGCACCGTAACTTCATTATTGCTGGAAGTTTCGGAGCGACTGTTTTCTGGCGTCAAAAGCTGTACCGGTACATCGAGACTGATCGTGTCATCGGGCTGGTCGTGGGAGGGTTCATCGGCAATTGCGGGAGTTTCGGTCACGGACGCCTGGGTATTCAAGCGCGCCATTTCAGGCGAGAAGCGCCGGTAGGTGACCAGGCTAATCTCACAACACCGGGAGTGCGTTTCTGGCTTCAAATATGTGCTGTCGCTGAGCAAGAGGGAAAAGTGCAGAGTTCAATCGGGGTGTCAGGGGGTGGGTGAAGTTGGAAGAATGGTGAGGAGCCGCGCGCCTCTTATCAAATTAGGGCGATGCGGATGTCCGACGCGTGCAACACCAAGGCTTGTCTGCCACTCTAGGCGAATATTAGTGAACACGGTTGCCTTGAATAGCTGCTTGTCAACTTGTACGAGTAGACAAACAATCATGTAACTGAACAAAATCTTCCACTTATGATGAAGGGAATGATTGTCGTAAGATACTTGTGTGGTCCTGTATTTGCATCTGATTACATCTCCTTCCCCGCAGGATACCTTCAAATACGCAGAGGCAAAGTCATGTGCTTGCGTGATACATTCGCACTCTCAGGGTCGAGCATTATGACTTCGGAGACTTTTAGCTGTTTCAAGATTTCGCAGCGAGAGTGCATACGTATGAAATTTGGTAGTCGAAACTATAAGATATTGGGATGACATTAAAGTTAGGAGAGAGAGGTTGCAAGACATTGAAGTTCTGGCACTGACACATTCTGTATGATGCCGAAGCTATGAAAAGGGACCTCCCGTGTAAGGCTGTCGATAGAATTACAGAGTGCTAGGAAGGATAGCATGTGAGAGACACATGGGTGATATAAGAGAGGACTGTCAGAAATGTGAAAGTGAAAACAAATCTGGAGAATCACTCAATGGAAGTGGTGAAAGGATGGAGTGATTAGAGGGCAATGTCAGAAAGACAGGGGGAAAGAGGTAGATGACAAGAAAAATCGGAGAAAAAAGAGAAAAGAAAAGTGATCATCAAAAATCGAGTAATACTACAAGGCGCTGGCAAAGCAAGAAAGCAAAGTTGGCTTGAAGGGTATGAGAAATTGGAATTGAAAAGGACAGGCGAGGATTGATTTCGAGGATGATCTCAAAGTTCGACGGAGAGAAGATGCAGTATCGGATAAAAAAGAGTGGTCGTTTCGTCGTCTTGGCCAGCCATACGGGCAGGGGATTGAACTGGAGCCGGTGACTTTCCACGGGTGTGGATATCCAGTATTTTTGTGTGTTCCAAAATGAAGAATTATTAGTCGTGGTGATGAGGGCCAACGTCTTGCATCTCAATCCCAGCCTGAAACTCAACATCACGAGGAAGATACTTGCGCTTTTGCGTAGCGAAGCGCTGATCGCCTTCTTCGTAAGGGCGCTTGAACTGCATGTAGGTTGGGGGTCGAGGCCGACATAGGACGGCAATCCAATTAGTGAGCGCGTTTCCTTGAGTGAAAGGTCGATGACGGTCTTGTTTTTGAAACTTGTGAGAGTTCAGATACTCCCTAGTGGTCTCGCCGCGTCCGACAAGGAACAGGTGATAAGCCCACAGAGATGTCGGATATGGGAGCGCAATGATGCCGTAGATGACCATAGCAAATGGCACACGCCAAATGGAAATTGAAGCTCCAAAGGAGATTCCCTCCCGGTTCATGTAGACCAAGACATGCGCCAGGCTCGCCCCGATCAAAAAGAGACACAGAATGGTGCAAGAGCTCACAAAGGCAAAGAAGTAACGGTAGTTGCGTCGGCCCACGCAGTTATTCAACCACACGCAGTGATGATCCAGTGTCTCCACACAGTTATCACATACACGGCAATGATAGCAGCGAGGAGGCCGCCAGATAGCACAGGTCTTGCAGTATTTCACAGGCACGTCCATGGCCGCGACATCGGAAGTTGCAAGCTTGACCATGACCCAGTCGTTGGAAGGGGGGCCCACCGTCAACGGATCGTTCGAAGAGTACTGAGGCACGGAATGGAGGTTTCGTGGCATGATACCGGGATCAACAACCGACGCATGCACGAACGAAGAAAAACAGATATAGAAGACATAAGCGAACAAAATGGGAACAGCTGGTGATATATTGTGCCACAACCAGGGAGCTGAATAACCGAAGAACAAGGCCGTTGGGATAATCTGAAGGATGCCTGTGGCGATGTTGATAGGCTTATCTCTCGAATTCATGAGTCGTCCACCAAAACAGAACAGCGTGTTGCCCACAAAGTATTCCCAGTTTTTGCCGAGGTCGTTTCGAGGAAGGTTGGCTTTCGTATCCATGGAACCCGGGGATGAGCCCCCGGATGATAGTCGATCATGACCTCGAGTATCATGGCTGTTGTGCGAGACCCCAATATTTTGCAGTGAGAGGAAAGACATTGGTGACTTCGGAGGGACATCTTGGGAGTCACTGGATAGCTGGTTTGTGTTGCGATTTAACGGAGTCGGTCGTGGCCTGTCGTTATGGTCTCGGTCACGCAGAAGCCTCACACTGTCGCCTAAACTGCGCATTGTGGTCCGGCCTGTGGGACTTGCGTTCGATGTGTTTCGATCGATGATAACCGGGTCTGTGAAGTCGGTGCCTCGCGATGGTGGAACTTCCAGCTCTGTTTGAGCTTGCGAGCCATGTTGCAGTGAACTATTCGAAACAAAACTTTGCCGATTCTGACTTTGTTCATCGGCCCAACCATCCGTTGTAGATATTGTTCCTATGGTCAATGGCCGGCCGCCTCGATGTGCTTGCAGGCGCTGCGAGCTCATTGGTCGGAAAAATGCCTGCGCAGTAAGTGATGGGATGTGCGTCCGGCTCAGACGGCTCGCTGAGCTTCCAGGTCTCTGACTCGACCCAGTCGTTGAAGTGACCGAATTTCGAGCAGGGGGCGGAGCGCGGCGAGAAACAGAACTACGCTGCTGGAGGCTGGAGGGTGGTAGTACGGAAGAGGGTGCAGCATCGCCATCATCCGAGGCAAGGTCTGTCACTCGAGAAGAGATCCCTCCGACAGAGGGCGGCCGAGGAATCCCTAGAACATGGTGCTGATTGGTATCGAGCGAGCTCGGCTGAGCCGCGGAGCTCGCCATGATATTGAGTTGAATTAAGAGAGTACCGGTTGGTGTGATCAAGGCATATCAGATTCGAAGATTGAGCGTGACAAGGGAGACGCGTAGATCACGATGACGAGCTAGAGTAATAGATGAGATCGGCCGAAGGAAGCAAGGCAGGAGGAGATAAATGAGCGACGATGAGTTCCGAATGGAGGTTTCCAAAGTGTGTAGAGGCCAATATTCGAAAATTATCTGACTTCTAGAGGCAGTCTTAGCTTGAGTCACAGAGCTGTTGCGTTATGTTGTTGCAGCGAACCGACTCGTACACGTCTAGAGCTCGGAGAACCGGGGCCCAGACCAAGCCCCTGATGAGAACGCAGACGTGCCGAGACCATTGTCTTACCTTGAGTAATAGCGGTTTGTCGTCTAATAAAGAATGGGAGTCATGGAGATATACCAAAATGAAAAATAAAAACAATTGCGTCACAACCCACCGCTCCGCTGGCAGCTGTCCCAGGTAGAGCAATTTGGGAGTTTGCAGCGAACCAAAAATCGAAGTCCAGAAAGCTCGGCTCTTCCGTCACACATCCGCAAATTGCTCGAAACGGCGAACGGCTGGGCGATGATGAGTCAGCCACCAGTAGCCCCCGGGCTTGTCACATGACCTGGCAACATCATTCGATGCTCATGATTCTCACCCACCATCCGCGTTTTGGTCTCTGTCAATTGTAGCTCCACACACAACTTGCTATAACCATGTCTTCGATCGCTGCTATGGCTACTCGCCGGGCTCTGGCCCGCCAGCCCATCCTCCGCGCTCCTCCCCGCCGCTTCGCCTCTAAGGTTTCAGAGGCCAGCCTCGACAAGGCCCCCAAGCGGGATCCTGAGCTCTATGTACGGACAATTAGTCACCATTGAGCGCTTTCTCGCTCATGCAGGCTAATCTATGACTACCAGGTTCTGCTCGGCGTTATGTCCGGTGCTTTCCTGCTTGCTGGCTGGTAAATAGGCCCCTCCCACAGTACCCTCCTCCGCCGACCCTCACTGCACTGCCATGAGCGACTGCGACTTTCGATTATAACGATACCGGGCAAACCAATCGCTATTGCCTATCGGGCGAGAGACTCTAGGGGCTCTAGTAGAAGATACACAGCTGACCGGCGGTCTTTTTGCGATCTTAGGTACTTCGGCAGCAAGCCCACCTCCGTCACCTCCGAGAGCAACGTTCGCATTGGCGAGTCTGCTATGCCCTGGGATGCCGAGTCTCACGATGGAAAGGTCTACAAGTACCGCTACCACCCCCACGGTGACAAGAACCAGCCTCTCCAGGCTGCTCCCAGTGCCATGAACACTGTCATTGTTCCCAACGTGGCCCTGCCCGCTGTACGTCGCTCATCAACCCCCTTCCACGTGATTATGGACAATCTCGGGTCAATGTATGCTGACTTTCACTCCGCAGGATCTTCACGAGAAGTTCAACAAGTACGGCAAGGAGGAGTGGGACTACTAAACAGCTTCTGCGAGGACTGTTAAAAGACGAGGGATGTGGCCACTCATCCATGAGTGGGAGTCAACTGCTGTACACTAGGACGGCGACGACCGTGTTGTTGCGAGAGCACCTGCTCAGTGCAATTACCGACGATTTGTGCATAGTATTCGTGGTTCTGATTGAGAGTCAAATGAAAGATAGTGTCTTTTTTTAGTTCTGTTTGGCCGAATCATGGCCGCGAGCATTTTGACGCAGCCCGGAACGTATGATATGTCAAGCAACAGCTTTCATTAGGCGTTTTGGAAGTTCCGGACGGAATCAGACCTAGGTGGCGCGATAAAACGTCGGACCATCGGCTTTAGTCCCGAATGGAGAATTGATGTCGAATCCTTGGCTTTCCATTGGGGAGGCCGCTGTATTCACGTGACTCGTGAACGCTTGACGCCTTCTAAGACCGTGTACTAGAGTAGCAGAGAGAGCGATTACTTGCATCAACAAGTCGAAAAGAGCGATGTTATTTCATGGTACATGGTGATTAGTCCCCAAGCCCACTAAGTCGGCCATAGCTATTCACTACAAATCACGAGCCTATTTAGTTGCTTCATATCCCTCGCTGGCTGGCTTCGCCTCAGGCGAGCCAGAGCTCTCCACGGACTGGGTCTCTGCCTCGGCAACAGAGGCGGGTTGCTCCGGAGGAACAGAGTCCTCGGGCTTGCCGGAGCCAGTCTCGGGGTTTCGTCCCTGAACATCTGGATGAGGGGGTGCGAGCCGGCCATCCACAATAGGGATTTCCTGGGCGTGCTGGAGCTTGGATTGCGACTCGTAGCGAGTCTCAAATTTTACCTTGCCCTCGGCCCGCAGCGAAGCAACAACGTCCTCAGGAAGGACATTGCCATGCTGGTCACGATATTCGACGCGGGCAACAGAACCGGACAGCTTGGCCGAGGTAACGGCAGCCTGCTCGGATTGCTCCTCGCCTTGTGGTTGTTGAGGGATTTCAACAGCTGGGGCCTGCTGCTGCCCCTGCTGAGGCGCAAATTGTGGTGCCGAGGCTGGCGTAGTCGGAATCACGTCCGTGACACTGTTCACACCGGTGATGTACTGGCTGAGCTGTTGAGGGAGATACATGTCAGTCATTATGAAAAGACAAGCCCGTTTAAAAGCCGCGTCGTGGAGGTCTCCACTCCGGTACACTTACGTCGGTATGGAAGGTGTTGCAATCGAAGTCCCAGCCGTTAAGAAGCTTCACTTTCTGACACGCACTCTGGGTCCATGGGTTGCCATAAATCAGAGGAGAGTAGAGGGTGAAAACAGCGATGCTCAGGAGCAAAAAGCCAGCCATCAAAATTTTGCCGACAGCGGGCTTCGATGCCAGGCCGAGGGCTTTGACACGACTGGTGATGAAGTCGAACTCCTGGCAAAGTACCAAGATGGCAAAATAGAGCGCTGGGAGATAATGGTGGAGGAACAGCTGACGAGCCATTAGGTAGAATGGGAAATAGTGGAAGAACCATCCAAGAACGCTCATGCCAACCTCATAGTCGAAACGCTTGAATGTGACGTGGCGGTAGTCATTGCAGCTGCGCTGCCAGCGAATGAGCGCAATCGCTTTGAAGACCAGGTAGATACCAATGGCTGCGGTGGAAGACCACCAGATGAGAGGGTTACCCAAGAGGTAGATCTGGCGGTTGTCCTTGCCCCAGAAGTTGATTCCACGCAGAAGCGTGGGCCACGAAGGGGGGCGCGAGTCCCAAGCGTGCGACTCCACCAGGCCAGCGTTAGTTGTCCACATGACCTTCTGCAATTCCCAGAACTTGCCTAGAAATCCGGGATTGCGGTAGTTGACCTTCTCGGCATCCGCAGGCATCATGGGGTGATAATTGGACTCGATGTACCAAACGCTGTTGGGCAGGGTTCCGCCACGAGCGCAAGTAACCTCTTGCTGCTCGAAGCCCCATTCTGGTAGCTTGACTTTGTGGGAGAAGAGCACACAGCCGGTCATGACATGCACGAGTCTGAACTTGGTCTGAATTGTACGCACGCGCTTCTTGGCCTCAGCGCCGTCTGACATAGATTTGACAATCTCGACCTTGAACAGATCGTTCGCGTCACCCGGGAAGCCTTCGTAGCCGTAAGCTGACACCTCGAACTGCCAATCCGCTTCAGTGACAGGTGGGCGCTCATCGTGCGAGTGAACTCGACGGTGGGTGATTTCGTGATACAGACGTACAACAGCCCCATCCTCGATGAAGCTCACAGTCGAATTGTCCCAAGCGTAAGGGCCTTCAATCTCACCATAAGGACCAAGGGGCTGAGTCTGGTTCTCCATGACGAACACGTTGTTCTCATCCTTGTGCGGGTACAGAGTAATCTGCTGCTGCTTGCTGCCGGTGGGATACATGTGATTGTGTGAGTGGAGGTAGCCACCCTGGGTGTTCCAGTGACGAAGGCTGACACGAGAACCAAATGACACGTCCGCTGGTACATCTTGCATGGACTTTGAGTTGAGGGTGGCCTGGAACTCCGAAGACATGAACCCGTCACCCTCTCCAGGATTGACGAGACATAGGAAGTGGATGTAGAACATAGCCATGTAGAAGCCCACGGGGATGATAATCAAGCAGAAGACACGGGAGAAGAAGTGCTTGAACCACAATCGCTTCGAAATTGTTAGTATGGCACCATTTACAGAACTTGTGGAAACGTACCGGAGTGACGGTCTTTGCATCACCAAGCACAACCCAAAGTTGGAGAACAGTGAGGGATCCGACCCAGGCCATTGTGAAGAGGCCAACCCATTTCACACTCAGTGTAGCACCAAGTGAGACACCCGTTGCAGCTAACCAGAACCACCACGGTCCCTTGAATGCGGATGAAGGACCCAATTCCTGTTGGTTTGTGAAGCAGGTGAAGGTCAATGCGGTTAGGGCTGTAAAGAAGACAAGGGGCGAATCCAAGAGAATCAGGCGAGACTGAGTAGTGAGCGCATTGTCTGGAGACCTGGATTAGCTGCGCACAAATGTTGATATCATAAATGAATTGACCCACCAAAAATGACAAGTCCGGCACCGAGAACAGCTGTCGAAGATCGGCATCCGGTGGCTTTGAGTGTTAAGAACATCAAGGATACTGTAAGCACGCCTAGAGTTGCAGGGAGCATTCGCATTGCCACGTAGGGCACACCGGGCTCTAGGTAATCTTTGCCAATATCCTTGAAGTCGAATTCGCCATCAAAACCAGCCAACCATCCAGCAAGCGTGATCAAAAGCTTTGCGAGCGGCGGGTGGACATCCATGAAAAACTTCCCCTTGATATACTTGCTTGCGAATCCTCCGAAGCTGGGTTACAATGACCATGTTAGTAACAGTTCATTTCCAATAAATGCGTTTAGCGTCAGAGTACACACTGGACTTCATCGAACACCACACTGGTGGGTTGATAGATGCGGAACAAGCGCACAGCGGCCGCGACCAATGTCACCAAAACCAGTAGCTTGTAATCCGATGAGGGCAGATTGAAGATGTCATTGTTTCGCACGCCGTCTGACGCATAGCTGACCACTTTGGCCGACTTCACAGCTTTACCCTTAGGGTTGGGAGATCGACTGCGTGATCTGCGCCCGCGACTTTGTGGCCGAACGGCGAGTGTGTCTTTGGACTTCTGGCCCATGTCGAGGGATTGCGATATTCGACAGCAATTGCGTGGATCAGCCGTGAAGTGAAGATCAAGCTCACGGCCTGAGAGAGGAAAGCGGAACTAAATCGGTCGAAAAATGAGATTTGAAAGTCGAGCACAGTCGATCTTTAAGAAGGCGAAATAATAGGTTTTAGACAGAGCCCGCTGTAGCAGAGCTCTGGACAGCGCCAAACTGTCCTCCACCGAAGACAATGGCGGGTTCTTGATTAAACGATCGTGAATGAATTGACTAAGTGGTTACCCTCCACAGGGCATGAAGAAGAAAAAGAAAAGAACAAAAGGCTGAAGTGAGTGTCGAGAAGAATGGACGGGAGCATGCAGAGGTCCGTCTTGAGGCCAGATCGACGAGCGGAGGTAAAGCCGTCGAGGAGCTCTCAATGGCCCCTTAGCCTTTGGCCCCAGCCGTGACCCGTGACGCGGACCTCTTAGGGACTTTCACATGGGTTTGAGTATCACTGAGCCGTTGTATCACTTCATGATGACAACACAAACGTATATTATTCATGATGGTGTTACTGGTCTGACATGTGAGTATCATAGCATAACTGTTCTGGGCCTCTTGGCTCGATTCCCGACTTCTGCGAAGAAAACTAGGGGGCCGCGCGTAACGCAGCTGCGAGCTGGGTACTCTTGTCTACATATTGCCGGATCCAGCCCTGTGGCTCATGCTGTTACAAGTGTGGCTGGGCGCGGGCGGTCGACCGAAGTGGCGCTAGTCGTGACTCGTGAACGCTGTCTCGGGGCTGGACTGGCCTGGTCCGCGGAAGAGACACAGCTCCAGGTTCATCGCACTTACATCACACAGCCATGGACTCATCACACGGGGGCACTCCTCTGCCAGAAGAGGCGAGCAAGTTTCCAGAGGGGCTTGTTCTCCCACCAAAAGATATCCGAGGTTCGTCACATCCGGTAGATCTTGAAGCGATAGCAGCTAATGATAATTTGCAGCAATTGTCGAAAAGACTGCGGGCTATGTTGCTCGCAACGGCGCAGTGTTTGAGGGTAAGTTTCTCCTTATCGTTCCAATCTGTGCCATACCTCATTATCTGACTGCCTTGGGATTTAGACCGCGTCCGTGACAAAGAAAAGAACAATCCCAAATTCTCGTTCCTCAATACAGGTGATGCATACGAACCTTTCTACCAGTGGCGACTCAATGAGATCAAGGAAGGTCGAGGCAGCGCGCTTACAGCAGGACGCCCTGGTGAGCCTGTTGCTGCTGTTGAGCCCGAAAAGTCAAAAGGACCTCCGGAGCCACCCGCGTTCCATTTCTCTGCGCGCATGCCGCCCATCAGCGCGCAAGATCTAGAAGTGGTGAAACTTACGGCACTTTATGTCGCAAAACGCGGAAAGTCCTTCATGACCGCGCTATCGCAGCGCGAGGCGCGAAACTTTCAATTTGACTTTCTGCGACCTCAACACAGTCTTTACCAATTTTTCACACGACTGGTCGACCAGTACACCATTCTCTTGCGCCCGGAAGGGATTGACGAGGCCACTACGCAGGAGCGGCGGATCTCGAATTTGGAACACAATGTGCAGAACAAATTCCACATAATCGAGCGGGCAAAGCAACGGGCGGAGTGGGTGAAATTCCAAGAGCAACAGAAACAACAGAAGGAGGAAGAGGAAGAAAAGGAGAGAATTGAGTATGCGCAGATTGACTGGCATGACTTTGTCGTGGTCGAGACAGTATTGTTCACTGAAAGCGACGATCAGGCGGAATTGCCACCTCCAACTTCGCTCAACGATCTGCAATCTGCGTCCTTGGAGCAGAAAGCAGCCATGTCCCTTAACCCATTGAGAATTGAGGAGGCTATGCCAACCGACCTCGATCAGCCAACCTACTATAACGCCTACCCTGTCCAAGCTGAGCCTTCCGTCCCCGCTCCACAACCTTCGGTCTCGCCATATCCTGTTCAGGCTGCTTCTCCATATCCCCCGCCTGCGGGAGACACTGGCAGGCCATATCCTCCTCAGCCAGACATGGTACAGGCCCGCACCGAATCACCCACACCCGCGCCTGGCCAGCCTCCTATGCGCATTCGATCAGACTATGTCCCTCGAGCGCAGGCTCGGCGTCAACAAGCCTCCGGTCCCACCGCACTATGCCCAAATTGTCACCAGCAGATTCCAGTCGCCGAATTGGAGCAACATATGCGCATCGAATTGCTCGATCCGCGCTGGAAGGAACAGCGTGCTAAGAACGAGTCCCGCAGTGCCACGACCAATCTTTCCACTGCGGATGTCGTGAACAATCTTAAGAGAATGGCTAGCCATCGCAGTGATGTATTCGACCCCTCTCTAGCGCCAGATCCTGAAGAGGAAGCGCGCCGAAAGCGCGTTGCCTTGGGAAATGACCAGGACGGGAATCTTCCACCAGGAGTGGCTCCGCCACCAGGCACGGCCATCGGACCCGGGGGATTGCCAAAGCCTCCGAACACCAATATCGAGGACCAAATTCGGCACTTTCACCAGCTCGCGAGACGCTAGACATAATTCACTGATCGAAGGACTTGATTTCGACACCTCTATGTACTCTAGCCAAAGCTAATAGGGCAGGTTTAATCGAGCACGTGCGCACTTCATCGCGTCAATCGCTTACTGCAATTCTAGATGTATGCCGCGCGTGGTCGACTGATTCAACCTGCACTTGAGATGGGTCCATGTAGAATAATTCTCATTGTAAGCTGAAATGCTGCTATTGATTCCCTTCGCCATATGTCAAATATTACAGTAAGATAGCCCCGTGTTATAAAGTCCGTGTGCGTACAATCTAGACATCCTTTCAGCGTGAGATCAGTCCATTTCTTGGGTATCTAATGTGTGTCGAATGTTACAGAGTTCGCAGCTTGATGACTCATTTGCCTCCTCTAGATTTGCGAATGTTTTCTTTCTTTTGTCGTCTGTCTTTCTTTTCTTGCCGTAGTTCGGCCTTGGTCGCCTTGCGACCTTGCTTCTGAGCACTCTCGGTTCGAGCTCTTGTCGTATTCTCCTTTGCTTTCGTCTTCTTTTTCTTTTTGTTCTCAATATCATCATTCACGTCAGCGTCGCCAAAACCGATAAATGCCTCGCCGGTCTTGAAATCCTTGGCTTCGTCTTCTTTTTGAATGTTCATCTCTTCGTCGGATTCATCGGCATCGTCACCAGTCTGTGCCGTGAGTGACGTGGCGCTGGAGACATGCTCCTCATTTCTTGATGCGGCAGCTTTCTTGGCAAGCAGCGCGGCCTTGACTTGAGCTCGCGCGCGCTCTTTGGCTTCCTTCTCCGCTCGCTCCAGATCGATCTTATTGTTTCCGGCCTGTTCCACCTGTTAGTCATGGTTCTCCGTCACTTATGCAAGCATTGCTTCTTACAAGTCCATGCTTGATAAAACGTCCCGCGGCTGCCTTGTCGAGGACCATTGTACGCTGTTCAGGTTCGGTTTCCAACTCTTTCATTTTGTCAAAGTATTGTCGCACACGGGTAATTTCACGCCAAACTGGGTGCTGTTTCGCGTCGACTCCGCGCAACCGTAAATAGTCTGCATTGCGGTTAGTTTGTCAGATACTGCAGGATTCTGAGAGCTGTGACATACTAAAGATCAATGTCTCAATAGCATATGTAGTAAGCACGTGAATTTTGGCTTTGTCCAATATCGGCATGTTTTTAGACATCTTGTTCAGCGAGCTCCCGAGTAGAGGCTGCAAAGCATCTTCGAGGTCGTCGACACCATCATCCAGCTGTTCCAGCAGCGGTAGCAAATCTGCCGTGTCCATGCTCATTGTCGTTATTGGTGTTTGATTCTGTACAGAGATGCTTCGAGGAAAAATTAAGCCAGACGTAACAAGAGCGGTGGGTCAGGCGGTGGGGATCAGCGGGTCCCGTCATTCGTGCAAGGCGCCTTGCATCCCAAGAATTTCCCCGGCGCGCATCGAAGAGAGCTGTCCGCTCGATGCCGAGGGTTACGGATTTCTGCAACTATATTGAGAAGGACAAAATGCCAGTTTAACACTCGCTGCGATTCAACACGACAAATTACAACAAAAGTAACTTTGACCGCCACCACGACTTTTTGTCTTTTTCGAACGAACGCTCGGGGAGACGTTCTCCCCGAACCCAGGTCAAAGTGATTCTGCAAATATTTGGCCGCCGGCCACTATGGCGGAGGGGCCCTATGTCCGAAGTGTGCATGCAATGTCAGCTACGATTGAGTGCAAGGCCCGCATCAAAGCGAATGTCCACTTGGTCGCAAGATGCGGAGGAGATCTCGCGCGAGGCCAAGGCGTCTAAGCTGAGCGGACGAGTTCACATAATTGGCCTGGGCAACGCAGGAACATTCATTGCACATTCGCTGGCTGCACGACAGTCTCCGCCTCCTATCACCCTACTTATGCACCAAGCCTCATTCTACCAGACCTTTCGAAGGAAAAAGCGGAGCTTAGCCGTCAACTACAACGGACTTGACGACAACAGGACCGGCTTCGACGTTGAAATCCTAGAAGACAAAGTATGGCGGAGGATACCGTCCAGAGAAGAACAGCATGACGCACAGGAGGAAGACGAGATGTACGAGAACGATCAAAATTTTCATGAGGAGGAGGAGGGGCACATTGAGTGCCTGATAGTCTGTTGCAAGGCCTACATGACCGAGAAGGTTATCAGAGACGTTCGTCACCGGTTGAGCCCCAACTCGACCATCCTGCTGGTCCAAAATGGATTGGGCATCGTTGAGAAGCTGAACAGAGATCTGTTTCCCGATGAACACAGTCGGCCGCATTACATGCAGGGCGTGCTCAGCCACGGCCTGAAGAAACAAGACTCATATAAAATCGGCCACGTCAGTGTGGGCTCGTTAATACTTAGTCCTGTTGTTACCAGTCATACTCCCCTGATCGAGGCCGAAAGAGACACGCATTGGGCCCCCACGACGAAATACCTCCTTCGTCTATTGACTCTGACACCTTCCTTGGTCGCTACTGCGGACACGCCTGCTGGTCTTTTGCAATACCAATTGGAAAGGCTGACCGTTAGCTCTGTTCTTGGCTCGCTTGGGGCAATCCACGACTGCAAAAACCGCGATCTTCTGCATAATTATGCTGTCTCGCGCACTATGCGATTGCTTCTCTTGGAGATCTCGAGCGTCATCTACGCTCTGCCTGAGCTGCGTGGCATTCCAGGAATCGAAGACCGCTTTTCGCCTGAACGCTTGCGGCGACTTGTTATCAACGTTGCAGCAAATCGTCCAGAGGATGCGAGCTCATTACGAAACGACTTGCGTTATCAGCAAAACACGGAAATCGATTTCTTGAATGGGTGGATTGTCAGGCGTGGCGAAGAACTCGGCATGAAATGTGTTCTGAACTATATGATCGTGCAATTGGTGCTGAGCAGAATGCAAATGATCAGCCAAAGGGAAGCCAGTGCTGTTCCCATTGATTTTGAGAATGTCATCCTCACCGGTGATAACACCAAGGATGACTAAATCGCCGACAAATTCTCTACTGTTTGTTTACACCTTCTCCGTGGGCACGTTTCTCACATCCTCAAAAGCATCTCATGTGCTGGTTTCAAAAAATGGCATATGTCTGTCTCCTAGAGATCAATTGACGCCAGACCACTCTCGCATATGCTTTTGATCTGCGTCCACCGTCGCAACAAAGTCTCCCCTTTCTGGCGATGGGCTTTGACCACAGCGTGCGACTTCATCGCCTGCTGCAATGATGCGATTGCCGCATCTGCTTCGGCGGCGTACGTTTGGATCCATCCCTTGATGATGGTCTCCGACTTATTTTCGTCTAATACCTTGGTCGAGCCTTCGAGGACATGGGATCTCCAATCCTCTTCACTCATGTATACTAGGGCTGCCGCCACTTCAGTGCGGTAGCAAACGCCTTGAGAAACAAGTTGATAATTGCTGGCCAGAAACAAATGGTTAGCGTAATAATTTCGGCCTACAATATTTGGCACCCTTTCTGTAGTGTGTCCAAGGTTTTTTTGCTCACCCGTAGTATTGATAGAGCCACAACTCCTCTTGCTTGTCTTTATTGTCAAGGTCACGGAAGATGATGTCGTCCAGGTAGAGGCAGTCGGCGTTGCTGTGCTCTAGGAAGAAACCGTCTGCCGAGAAGCGTCAATAGAGGGACTTGGCCTTGGATTTGACTGAATGGGCTTCCTCACATTCTGCCAACAGAAGATCGTTGGGATGTCCACCGTAACTCATGTACACTTCGTCTCCCTCTTCGTAATCTTCGGTTGCCCGGAGGGTGTATCCATCTTCATCGAATTTGACATCGCACTGGACTTCGAGTTAATCGCAGCTTCCATAAGAACCACAGCCGACACTGCCACAGAGGTGAATACGCACCTCGATGTTTGCATGGTTGAAGTAATCTGCAAATGGCAACATGGCCATTGCATCATTACGGTCCTCGGGAGGCTCCTCACCCGCAGCGACCCAGTAGAAGCTTCTCGTGTTCAATATAAGCCAATGATACGAAAATGACTTCCAATCAATCCCCGGAACTGCTACACTGACATCTGCCCACGCTTTCCGCAGTCGTATTTGCTGCGCCGGGAGCAGCTTCTGATGCTCACTCTCGTACTCCTTGAACCCACTTCCTTTCTGAACTGTGCTCCAATGACCTGAGATACATGGAGGAAGCAATTGCGGCAGATCAGTCTGGCCATTCGCCTCTCCCTTTTCAGTGTCGCTGTCCGGCCAAGAAAGACCGCCGAGCTCCTTGGGCCACAGTAGCGGTAGACTATCTTCAAAGTCTTGGCGCGTTGGCCAGGCTCTGCGCCAAAGCGCATACTGCTCCAGCTCTTCATCGTCACCACAGGTGAAGTACGCGGCCAAAATTGTCTGCACGGCCGTACCTTCGGGAAATTGGTCCTTAAACTCGAGAGGGAGTTTCTCCATTGTTAGGATCACGCTCGTGGGGACTTGAACCACGGCTTCTCCTTTCTGACACAATATTAATGATGAGACTCAAATGTGTTCACCTCATAAGCCAGGCAAGTAAGAGACGGGATTCGGGTAGCTCATAATGAAACTATAGATTACCTTGATCTTTCGAGTCGCCATCATGCCTAGGCCTCTGCCTGGGAACCTAGCTGGCGTCACACCAAGGGCCTCAACGCCATTCTCCAGGGCCCAGATTGTGAAGGCTTCATGGTCCTCGCCTGGCCACCACTCTGGATGCGCCATATTTGGGAGTGAAAAAGAAATAGCTGGTCTGGATAGTCAGCAGCTGTGACTGGCACCTTTTAGCATGCAATAGAAGTCACAGCTCCGGTGAAAATTGCCAAGCCAACGCGAGACTCACTTGATCTCTGCTGTTCGAAAGTTTCGAAGTGAAAAATGAAGCAGGGGGAAGTCTCAGTGTTATTTTCGAGAGGAACGTCGCCTGGTAACAGATCATTAACAGTTTTAATTGTCGATTTCGCTCCCCAGTGCCTCGAACGGTCCTTCGATCAACAAGCCGAAGGCACTAAAATTAGTAGGTGGGGCTCCAAATCCTTATCGATAAGATTTCTACGATGATAAGTACGGCAGGCGCCTGCGACGGCCAATGCTGTCTTGTGATATCAGACCATCCAAGCGCATCACCTTGACCCTAATCGTGACTTAGATCGGCTCTTAAATTGAGTGTCATCGTCATGTCAGCGCTGGGATCTCGCAGCTCCCAAGGGCTACGCAAGCTATGTTATAGCTCGTCATCGAACATGACGAGCGTAATACGGCCATTTTCTGTTCTCAATCGACCTAAACCCAACTATCCAGGACATGTGCCATTGACAACAATTGAACGCGGCGCTTTAGCTCTGGGCTCAGCATTTGGCTCACTGATTAATCCTCGTAGAGCAGGTATGTGCTATATCTCATTCTGCTAGCCTAAGCGACGTCAGGGTCCCATCTGCTCAGACATCGTTCTGTGGAAGGGAAGGCTTTGGACCTACTACAGCTCTACAAATGTGAGCCTCGGTCACACATCACTCACATTGCGCAATAGATCTGATTGCTGCCCTGGGTGAAGCGACCGCGACTCCATACTTCATCTACCGTCTCCGAGATGCGATGCTATCCAACCCCACCGGTCGACGAATTCTCCGTGATCGCCCGCGTATCACCTCGGAGACCCTCCAGATGTCTCAGCTCCGCGCTCTTCCCGAGAACTCCGTTGGCCGCGCATACGCTACATGGCTTGACCGCGAGGGAGTTTCACCCGACACACGTGACAATGTGCAATATATTGATGACGAGGAGTGCGCGTATGTTATGCAGCGATACCGCGAATGCCATGACTTCTACCACGCCGTGACGGGTCTACCGATCTTCGTCGAAGGTGAACTCGCCTTGAAGGCACTGGAATTTCTCAACACGCTTCTGCCTATGACGGGCCTGAGCCTGTTTGCGTTTATTCGCATGAAGCCTGCGGAAAAGGAGCGCTTCCTCACCTTGCATTTGCCGTGGGCAATTCGCAGCGGGCTGAAGAGTGAAGAGTTGATCAATGTGTACTGGGAGGAGGTGTTGGAGAAGGATGTGGACGAGTTGCGAGCGGAGCTCAACATTGAACAACCGCCTGATTTGAGAGAGATTCGCAAAATGATGAGGCAGCAGCAGAAGCGTGAGAAGGAAAGGCTAGCACAGGGGTCGAATTGAAACATCGGCGCGTGATGCCCCGCGCTCTTCTGTTCAGCTAGAATGTACGATTATTGAGTTTAAGAGACAGCAAGATATCCTTTCTGACTGCATACCGGAAGCGAAAATGGCACCGTATAGGCCATTCGAATGAACCCAGACCATGACGCCCAAAGTACAATTCAAGAAGAAGCTTCCCCAACTTAAGGAAATCGAAAGCTAGACATGAGGAATGGCCAGACTGGTCAACCCCGTCCTATTACCCACAGGGATCATTGAAAGGCTAATCGCAAAGAATCGATCTCACTCCCTCGTGCTCACAGATCGAGCAAATCGTCATCGTCGTCCCAGCCGCCCTTGCGTCGAGTGATCACAATCTTTTGCTCTTCCTCTTCTTTCCGCTGGTTCTCCGCAACAGCGTTCAAAAGCTCCTTCAGCTGATCCTCGGTCACTTTCTGGCGGATCTGGCCGGTCTGTGCGAGCATCATCAATCGGTTCTCGATGTCAACGGCGCGGGACTCCTTGACCAGTCGGATACGGCCCAGGCGATCAGCGGCTGCCGGGTCAAGGATTTGGCTCATGATGGCGGATCGACGTTCAGCTATGCGGACTTGAATTAGTTGGAGGTTTCAGTGTGCCCATCTTGTATAGGTTCGAGGTACATAGTTCCGCATGATGTTCGGGAGTTGGGGGCTGTGCACCAGTCGGCGTCACCTACATTCAGCCTGTCTGTGTTGTTGCAACCTTGCATTAGCCTTCTTGTGCTCTTTCAAAGCTGTACGCGGTCGACCAAATAGCCCACCAACCTCCTTTGATCCTCTTGTCCCCCTTCTTGACTGGGTCCGCCTCGAGAAGCAGACTGCTGCTGGAGCTGCGCAAGGCGAGCTCGCCTGATCTACGGCATTTGTCAGACTTTCAGCTCCCCTGTGCTCGAAATATTGGAACTCACTTCTTCAAGCTCTGCGTCGGCCATTGTGTGAATTGAGTCTTGGGAATAAGTACTGTTGTAAATTGAGTCTCGAGATCTTCTCCGAATTTGTGTATGGATCGATGACTGAGATTGGCTCCTTTCCCCCACTTTATGTTATCGCCTAAGGCTGCCCTGCGGGGTGAACTTTTTCTGGTGGAAGCCGCAGTTACAAGATCGAGGTACCTCTTCCTCAGAACATTCCGTAGTAGCTGTCCAGGTCCGTACATAGTAGTATTTCTCTCCAGCTGTACATAGTATGCTGCACCTAGCCCGGGGGCTTGAAACTTGAATAGTACGGTGTTGAGCTTATTGAGTCCGGTGTGTTGTAGGAATGTGTACGCTGAATTTGATGTGCTTTGGTCCAGAACCGTATGTATTATTATTCGGTTGTCTATTCACTTTTGATTTTCATCACACGGTTTCCATGTTCTCGAGTTACTTCCCATAGGAGCCATGAGAAAGAGAAACCTGTTTAGCAGTGAGCTGGTAATTACCAGTACCCTTAGACCTAAAGTCGTGCAATGACCTTTCTGACAATGGAACTATGGAAAGCGTCCAAAGGAAAGGTAATGACATCCCAACAACGACATCATAAAGCCCTTTTAAAGCAGGTGCTCGCAGAATTACATTGCCTGAATCAAATTACAAGGCCGTTAGATTTGTTGCGCAGGGCTGTTTCCAGCGGTCGGTCCAAGACAGAATACTATCAGGCTGAGCCCCGTTGATCATTGATGAGTACATTCTGCGTCGAGAAGTTCGTGCTCTACAGCAAGCTCACCGTGTAGTTGTGCGCGGAAACTTCGTCATGTATATTCAGAGTCTGTAGGGTGTAGACTGGAGAGTGCCATAACGGCCACGGAAGACATCCTTCCCAAGGACTTTCTTTACACGAGTTTGCCACACCGGGGAGCTCAAGAGACAGATGCATGACCATATGGCAGCCATGATATGTATCCACATTCCACAATAGCCACAGTCAGGCATTGAAGGCGGAGATTAACGATGCAGGCGGGTAGTGGTGAGCCAACCATCACACCTATGGTATTCCATCCCAGATGAGCTGCAGATCCATCACGTTCCGACCGAATTACATGTCTGCCAGTGCCCATCGCGGGCGCCAACCATCAGAATCACAGGTATGGACTCATTGTACTGTACCTAAATCAAGCACAGACTTCAATATTCGGGGTTTCTTCGCTTGCGCTCCGCCGGGCTCCGCTCACCGGAGTCCGAACCTGCATTGGGAAGAATTAAGTGGTTTCACGGTCTTCAGTTGGGCTGCAGCTAATTTAGTTCGTTGAACCCTGGTGCCCGGTTCGGACAGACGGGCGATAAGCGGAGTCAAGAGCCTTGACAGTACAAAATCACATCGATCGGATTGATTATAGGAGTAGAGACCATACCTTTCACGTATTAGTAGTCATAGTCTTGCAAGGATCATGTAGACATTCGTGGTTACTCATCCCAAATCGTGAGAAGTTGAAGAAGATTCGCCGCGATATCGCAAGACCGAGGCATAAGACCTCATTCTCCATTGTACGAGCTAGGGTACCTTCTTACCGTTCTAAGTGTGTTCAAGTTCGGCAAAGTGCTCTTCCATTGATGGTACTAAATGTCAGGTCATCCTGTCTGTTTCAAGTTCGCAAAGCTCCAGCCGACTACTGATATTCGGTGGTGTGATAGTCTAGCGATATGAAAGGTAGGACTGGAGTCATTTGAGTTGAGTAACACGCAGTAGTACAGCAGGTGACTTCGGGCATTATGCTCCAATCTACAAGATTGAATCCAGTAATTCAACCCAAAATCCGGGCAGTCATTCATCATCTCCACATCTCGTTCATTTATGCCCGGCCGTCACCCCCGGCCAGATAGGGGATGACTAAGCGCCCTCTTGCAGCTGGGCTGAGTGGAAGTCGCCTCCTGCTCCCCCAAGTCGAACTCATCATCGCCTCTCGATGCGCCATCGGTGGCAATCTCACCCACTGGAAATCCTCCACATCCTTAATTCTCTCATTCCATTTTTCTCCAGTCACCCTCAGGTCACTCCTTTCCGCGCTATCGAGGCTCATACTCCCTAGGCCGCACCCACCCGGCTGTTCGTGGAGGCGTCACCCCAACCACCAAAACGCCCTGCGGGGTTGGGGCTTCATCTACAACAGTCACTACTGTCCTCACTTTACTCATTGAATGGCTTAGACAGCTGAAGATTTCACTGGATCGGCCGCCATTCTGACTTCAATTGCGAAGGTCAATTGAACCGCAGTCGGCGTCGGTCATTGCAAAATTCCCTCTTTCGGCGCCGTTTACGTCACCCGCCATGGCCGAGTAAGCTACCGGGCCCAGTTGGAGATCGGCCGCGATCACAGATGTGCTAACATGAGCTCCTAGCTTAATATCATTCCAAACATACTATCCCAGTGCTCTCCGTCGACCCTCGTCCACCATGGTGCCGCGCCATGCCCACAAACGCTCTCTGTCCTCGGACCCCCGGGCTCTGTCCCCGGACCGCATGATCCCCAAAGCTCGATCGACCACTAACCTTGCCGACGCTGTGAAGCAGCAGCACTCAAACTATGAAGAAAGCAATTTCAACACCTTGCAAGATCCGCGATTGATGCTTCCCACCGAGATCTCACCGTCGACATCCTCATCACACCATCCGGATCTCAGTAATGAGGTGGCCGCGCTCAGTGTGAAGCTCATCCAAGCGATTAACAACCAGACCACCCTCGACGATAATCTGGCCGCAACAAGGCAGCAGTTGGAGGTAGCACTGAGCAAGGTCAAGACACTGGAGTCAGAAAACGAAAAGTACCGCCGCGACTTAGCAGAGAGGATCTACATCAGGAAAGCAGATGCAGACACTGAGCTCACGCGCATGAGAAGTCTTCTGGCCGAGGAAACCGCCCAGCGGTCGACAGCAGAAAAGGCCAAGAAGACCATCGAACAGGAGCTGGAAGCACTGACAGCCGACCTGTTCGAGGAAGCCAACAAGGTATGTGTTCATTTTGTTCAACTCGACAGAAGTCGCGAAAGGCTCCAAACGGCTTACACCCCCTTCAGATGGTTGCTGCCGCCAAGATCGAGCGAGAGGCGGTCGAGAAGAAGAATGAGCAATTGCGCTCACAGATCAAAGATACGGAAATGCTTCTCGCTTCGCATCAAGATCAGCTGGCTGAGCTCAAGTCTGTCATGCAAGGGATGAATCTCACACAAGAGGATATCGATGCCCGCACCCATGTCTCGACGGCCCCTCCATCGCCTGCCGCTCCCCCGCATTGGGTCACGGCCGCGACGCCAGATGCGACCACGGACTACGCTACATCCACTTCGACTCACCAAGCGGAGTTGAAACCGGGTCCCACGTGCGATTTCCCGGATCGAATTCGACTGGTCTGCCGAACTGATCAACAGGCATATGAGGAATTCAAAGAGTTACTCGCGCTTCCCCGGAACTCCAAACCACCCAGTCGTGCAGGAAGCGGGTCTTATGCAGGATTGAATGTCATGAGCTTAGCCAGTTTTGCGACTGGCGGCTCTACCTCGGCCACCTCCTCGCCTATTAAAGGACTGCCGCAGTCACCCAATGGGAGCCTGTCGTCACAGAACGGTCCACACGTCCCGCTCAAGGATACCCGGTTTTACAAGCGTGTACTAATGGAGGACATCGAACCCACTCTGCGGCTTGATCTTGCTCCGGGTATCTCATGGCTCACCCGTCGGACGGTTCTAAGTGGGATCTGTGAAGGCAGCCTCATCGTGGAACCGATTCCAGCTGCAACGAAGAAGTTCGAATTCCCTTGCTCCACGTGCGGTGAACGGAGGCAGAGCCCGGAAGCTGAACGCACTCATCGCTTCAGAACCTCGGATAGCGAGTCAGCTCAACGATACTCTCTCTGTCTTGCGTGCTTGGACAGGGTTCGATCTTGCTGCGAGTTCACCGGGTATCTGCGCCTGATCCTTGATGGGCACTTACGTGCAGGTGACGCCGAGGAAGAAAAGGAAATTTGGGAAGAAACTGTCCGTTTGCGGGAACGTATGTTCTGGTCACGCATCGCGGGCGGTGTTGTCCCTGTCATACATGACCCTGTCGAAGCCAATCCGACCTTGGAACCTACCGTCATATCTCAAGATCACTTGCAGTCTAATGGCTCTTTTGGACACCCCATCGACGGTCCCAACTCCGAGCTCAGGATTGTCGACGTTTCTCCGCGGCCTGTCGAGGCCGCAATACAAGAACATGGCAACGCTAGGCCGGCGACGCCTGAGATTACGTCCTCTGAGAGAGAGAGCAATCTGGAAAATGCGAGTTCTCCTCTTCAACGGCGCGACTCTGTCAGCACTGATCAGAGTGTCTATGAAGAAGCACCTGTGGAGCTCTCAGATGTTCCTGAGCACCCTCCGCAAGATGAGGTCTCATCTGCACTAGAGACGGAAACTAGTGGCGACCATGTCACCAGCTCAGGTGGCCCTATCTCAAGTCCTCGCATGCCGTCTCCAAGACAGGACGTCGAGCCCATCGTCGGCGAGCCTATCATTCATCCTCCGACTCCGCCTTCGGACAGTGAGAGCAGAGTGAATGCCTGAGACCACATCATGGCACAGGCTGCGCCAACTTCCGAGCCAGCTCTACACGTGAGCTGCAGTCTCCAATTAGGCGGACTGCATTGAACTGACAACATGATCATCCCTCTAATGAGCGCTACGACCACACTTCCACCCCTACAACATCATGACTTGAGTCCACTTGCTTTGCATCGCTTTGCTTCTTCTTCAACCGCGCTCATAGACTGACTCTTTTTCTTCTCTTCTTCTCTTCTTTTCTCTTCTCTTCTTTTGTTTTCTGTTTTCTGTTGCTTCCTATAACGACGCTGCCATCGTCTTTAAATAACTCTTGCCTTGCACGCGCACATGGCGGCATCCGCACTGCTCTCGTTTCAATTCTCGTCGATATCCCCGTTTGATCGCTACACGGCAGCGTTTTTTATTCTTCTCTCCATGTTTTATTACCTTACTATGCACAGTCACATGAGCGTTTTCACTAATAATTGCTGTCAATATGACCTCTTTCCATGAATTTTGATCTATCTATGTTGAAGGCCAGACCAAACGTTTCTGGTACCTTTTGCTGCTTTTTACTAGTCGCTCGTGTATGTTTTGCCGATGCAAGGCTTTTCCCTCCATCGCAAAGAGGTAGGTCTATTCCAGGACTCGAAGAAGAAGCCAGTGCTCAAATAGCTTCTTGCTTCCTGCTTGTAACAGGTGTCCGGTTAGGTACGAACCACGACGAATTTGTTGTAGTTACACTTCTGAAGGAGGTAAGTTGCCACGTCTAGGTACCAGCCAATCACCGTTCAAAATACATCCATCTGGCTCCCGTCGGCAATCGTCGCGCAGTCTCCGGGCTGACTCAGCCTTGTTTGGCGGGCATATTTGCCATTCTAGCTTCTTCCGAGTATCCACCCCATACTGTACTTTTATCGACACCGTCCCTCAATCCTTCCTTTCTCTGTCATCTTACGTTCACCGATACACACACATATTCGCAAACATGCCTCGCCAACAACGCCGTGCCGCTCCCACCCCTGCGCGTAGCGCTCCCACCCGTCCTACCGCGGCCCCTGCTCGGCCCGCCGCACCTGCTGCTCAGCAGTCGCAGCCTCACTCTACTGCCGCCCACCCTGGCCAGGCCACTCCCATGCAGCAGGCTGCTCCTGTCCAGCAGAGCTCCGGCGGTGGCTTCTTGAGCCAGATTGCTTCGACCGCTGCGTAAGTGTCTCACCTGTTTACGGTTCACACCCCCGGATACCGGACTCGAAAAAGCTCGAGATGATCGACGAAGTATCTCTCCAGCCGAGGAAAAGTCCGGGGTCGATGCCTCCTTGCCGAGACTCAGCGTTTCCGGTGAATTTTGTTGGAAAATTAAGAGTTACCCTGTGACTAATATCGAGTTTTCTTTCCGCATCTACAGTGGTGTCGCCGCCGGTCACGTTGCCGCGACCGGTATCACCAACGCTCTCGGCTGGGGCTCCAGCTCTCATGCCGCTCCCGCCGAGGCCCAGCAGGCCGATCCGGCGCAGAACCAGTCTATGGACAACGGTCTCTGGCAAAGCAGCGCTTCTCAGTCCGCCTTTGAGACCCCCGCCTGTGATACTGATATTCGCAACTTCCGTCGCTGCATGGACGACAACAAGGGTGATATGACCATTTGCGGTTGGTATCTGGACCAGCTGGTACGTTTATCCCATTACAACTTTCCCACCAGACTTTATAGCTCGGCCTCTGTTGGACAACAGTATCTCGACTAATATCTGTGCCTTTGGCTAACAAATGCTACAGAAGGCTTGCCAGGCTGCTGCTAAGCCCTACTAAACGGCTCGAGTTATTGTGGACTCGGGGGATTTTCTCTTCGGGGAATTAACCCTTGGACGTCTTGCTCTTCTTCTTGTGCCATGCAAGAAGCTCATATCACTTACTCGGGCCGGGTTAAGTTTCCGGCTCTTGAATAATTCCACCATGCATTGCGATCATCGCCTCTTTTTTTGTACCTTATATACCATCTCTCCTCGTCATTTAAAAGATATGATTTATTGAGCAAGTGGTCTAAATATGTCTCCAATTGCGGTACCTCACGCATCTTGCATTTCGCGTTCAATCTCTTGTGATGCAGTGGTTCGAGATCGTAGTTGGCTTGGAATGCTAACGGGCAAGCGCGCGTGAAATGGCTCTATGGTATAACTGCCCACTGCTTGTTTATGAAGTCAAGGTATACAAGGATCCGAGCCTCAACGCTCTCTTAATCATCCTTTCGCTCCGATGCGCGCGGTTCGAAATTCAACTTGAAAGTGGAAAAGTCAATATATAAGTAACAAGAATAGTGGGAACTCCCCGAAAAACGTACCTGGTTGCCATTGTAAAACTGACTATCATCTCGACTATTCCGTTGATCATGCAACGTGCGGATATTCGGCCCCGTTGTTCGAGATCGTGGGGTATGTTCCACAGCAGCCGGGCTTGCCGACGATGCTGGTGGATTGGCTTCTGTCGCGCCCGAACCGTAACCGATAAATGAGCCCGCGAAGTTCATAGCCGAACTGGCAACCGTATACACCATGTTGGAAACAGCCGAGATTCCCCGTGCAGGCAGACTGGTCGCAGCCGAGGCGTATGCCTCGGTGTAAGAAGCGACAGGGATCATGACCAGATTGGCGGTTGAACCGAGACCTAGGTCTCGGAGGGCTTGCGACTCTTCGCTGGTCGATAGTGTGCGGCTTGGTAGGGGTGTAAGAACGTGTTTCAGATTGTAGGGTCGCTTGTCGCCGTCCATCTGCTGATCTAGCCAGGGGCGGACATCGTTGCGTATTGTCTGGGTGGGCGTGAAGCTCGAGCGGATTGATCGGCCGTCAAATAGGCGGACTTGGAGCCGATATTCACTTGGAGGCCCGCGTGGCGCAGAGTGTTGGGGATTGGGCTTGGGCTCTGAAGCCGATGCGGATGCGGCCTTGACAACTGAGCCCTTTCTCGTATGAGCTGATGTTGTGGACGTAGACCTCGTGTGTCGCGTAGGGCTCGGCAGCTTTTCCTGCTTTGCTTGCTTTGCCGACTGGGGCTTCGGTTTTGTGGACTTTGGCTCTGGTTGCTTGGCCTGCTGTGTACCCGATGTCTTGGCCGATTGAGACTCTGGGGGATGGGAGCCTCGGGAGGAAATGGCACTGCTTGGTGGCGGGCTCTGAGTAACCGCCGCTGGGGCTGGCGGAATTGGGGATGGCGTTGCGACCGAGGAATGGGTGTTGGCAGCTGCTTGTCGCTGCTGTTGTTCTTGCGCTAAAGAGGTTGTGGGTTCAGATAGTTTTCGCCCGCTCAGCACAGCAGTGATTCGGTCCCTGAAAGCCTCCTTCGAGATGCCCGGTAAAAGATACTCCTCCAGCTTGCCATTTCTGTAACATTGGGTCAGTGTTTCTTGTTTTTATATATTTCAATAAAGATATGCAACACATTGTACCTACTTTATCACAATGACCGCGGGAAATTCTGCGACTGGACAGAATGAACTGAGGAAACCTGCCTCTTGGCTTCCCGCTGTCAGGCGTAGCAGGACTGATCCGTCGCGAAGCGCTTGCGCAACCTTGACGGCTTGTCAATCAGGCTTATTTGCCAAGTTGTAAAGAATGTTCAGGTGTAAACAAACCTCTCCATCTGCGAAATATTCATTCTCCCAAGTCGAGCTCAAAGAGGCGTCATCTGCGTGTTCAAGGTCTCAGTTGGGGTCAGATCGACCAGATGCGGGGAGATGCAACGCGAACCTCGGACAAAGCAGACGACTGCTCTGGACTCACGGACTGCCTGGGCAATGCCATCCTGTAATGATCCTTCGAAGAACGTGGCCATATCGATGTCACAGAGTAGGTAATATCTCGGTCGAACTGCTTTCTCCAAACTGGACAAAGTAGTACCAGGAGGGCTGCCAAAACAGGGTGCTGTTCTCGGCAGGTGGACTGCGGAGTCCTGGTCGGGGAAATCGGAGCAACGTGACCGCCTCCGCCTGCAAAGTCCGAGCTTCCGCAGTCATTTTCTTTGCTTCCAAACAACGTCGCAATCCTGACAATCGTGAACGATACACGTGCAACGTTATCTGTGCGTTGAAAATGCGACCGTTCTTCTCGGTCGTTCAGCGGTCTACCGCAGGGCTATGGTTGTTACCGACTCGCAGGTTTCAAACAAGTACCCTGGCATGGAAAGCAGACATCATTTGCTCGAAGTGTCGTCTGCAGCAGAGCCGCCAATTCTCGAAATCGCGACCATTGACCGATTCTCTCTTGAACGTGGATCATCCGGCACGCTTGGTGCGAGTCAATCGAAAGCATGGCCCTGGCTTGATCATCCTGGGTAAAGTCCATTCCATATGATATGTGAAAAAGACTCTCGCTGATTCCTGATACCTCGCACATAGCGCTCATTCCGATCATTGCCTTCGGCCTCGGTACATGGCAAGTGCAGCGCCTGGACAGAAAGACAAAGATGATCGCCAAATTTGAAGACCGTTTGATCAAGCCTCCGCTTCCGCTACCACCTCGAGTAGACCCCGACGCCATCTCCGACTTTGATTATCGCCGCGTGCTCGCTACGGGTCGGTACCGTCACGATCAAGAGATGCTGGTCGGACCTCGAATGAACGATGGTGAAGACGGGTTCCAAGTCGTGACGCCTCTCGAGCGTGGAGACGGCCAGAGTACTATTCTGATCAACCGTGGCTGGATCTCACGAAAGCTGATGAATCAGAAAGATCGTCCGGAGGGCTTGCCCCAGGGCGAGGTTACGGTGGAAGGTCTACTAAGAGAGCCGTGGAAGAAGAACATGTTCACACCTGTGAACAAGCCCGGAGAGGGCAAATTCTATTTCCCGGATATTCAGCAAATGGCCGAACTGACAGGCAGTCAGCCAGTGTGGATCGAAGAGACTATGGGTAAGATACTTGGAGGCTCTGCCAATTCGCCAATACCCGTAGCTAACGATGATTCTCAGTTCCGGAGTTGGTCGAGATATACAACCGGATCGCGAAGGGACAACCGGTCGGCCGCGCTGCGGAAGTCAACTTGAGGAACAACCACGCCCAGTATATTTTCACCTGGTAGGTCAAAGTTTGCTGAGCAATCAGCTCTTCCTCGTCTTTGCGCAGAATCGCCACTGACCATACGCTCAGGTACGGTTTGTCCTTGGCCACGTCCATCATGCTTTGGATGGTCGTACGAAAGAAGCCCAACGATGCCTTGCGCCGAGTCCGTCAAAACCGCAACTGGTCCTAGACACCATAGTGGTCTTTCTTTCATGCCAAATCTAGCGGCGGCGTCATTATTGTATGAGTACGTTCTTACATTGTAATCATGGAGGCATCGCCAGTCTCATGCCTTGTTGAAGCTCTTTAGGCAGGTGCTTTTGAGCCAAGGAAAATACCGTGGTGGAACTGTTGATATGGCGTTGTCTACAAAGGAAAAAAAATCAGTGTCAAGGAATTTGCGGGAAAACGGCATAAGGAGCTCATACCTTTTCAAAAGTGTGACCACATCACTCTCGTCGATAGTCTTGCGTCCAGCATGCTTTGAGTACGCTGCCAAGTCCTGGCTCACTTGTTCAAAGTACCAAGATGATGCTTGCTCGATAGCAGCCAATGTGGCCTTACTGATCTTGGTGTTTGAATTGGATCCATTGCGGGCGAATTGGCTTGCCAATTTTTTTACCACTCCGGCCGGCAGGTTCGGGACTGGGATTCCATGCCGTGAAAGCCTTTTCTGCTTCCCGGTTGTTGGAAGTCCTTCGTCTCGCAGACCTCCACCTACCAGACCTGGGCTTATGCTGGGAGATGCTGCGGGTGCGAAATTGAGACCGAATTCAAAACCAGCATCAGCATCATCATCGTCTCCAGCACCGTCGTCGGAGGGTGTACCAGGAGCCGGCTGGATGTCACCTGGGGACAAGCGAAAGCCATCCATGTCGCCAATATCATCGTCCAGCGGCTCGTCGTCGAGTGGGATAGCGTTTGGCGATGGAAAATTCATCTCGATGTGAAACCGGCCCAAATCTTCAGTCTCTCCACTATTTGTACCATATTAGCCCTCGTGACCAAACAAGAGAACATCGAATCCAATGTGCTTTCGATTTGAGTAAACTCACCCTCGGTCAAAGTCCCCTCCACTCATCATCGTATCATCGGCGAAACCGTCTTCGCCCACGATTCCTGTATCTTCTATAATCCCCTCGTCACTCTCTAGCCGAGTGTCCCCAAACTCTTCGCTCATTCGGGCGCCGCGATCTATCATTGATAGTCGCTGTTTATCACGAATGGCGAGATCTCTACGAGGAAACTCGACAGATTGATATGTGAGATCCTCTTCATCGAAGGCAATGGATAAGCGTGGCGGAGGAATATCTGGACTCCCTTCCTCGCTGGCTTCCATACTCCCTTGGAGAGGAAGCGAGAGGCGCGGCCTCTCCAATTCCGGTTCATTATCAAGCTCCTCGATTTCATCGACCTCTTCTTCCACAGGCTGTAATACCTCTTGAGGCGAAGATTCAATCGGTTTGGAAACCGGCGCTAGTTCTACAGTCGCAGGGAAAGACAAAAGATTATTAGACGTCAGTCAAATGGCGCAAATGATGGCTGTTTGCGAGAGATTGCACCTACTACGTCCCAGATTTCGCAATATGTCAAAGGTTGTCTCTCGTTGAATGCGGCCACTTCGACGGCGGTCGCGTCCTGGTGTGTTGGCGGCTCTTTGCTGTCGTGCGCGTAATCCATAAGGGGTTGAAGGTGCCGCTGAGGCTTTTGCCCGAGGTGTGAAGCGGGATACCGATCGTTGCGCTGACGGGGTTAACGTCGTGATTAGGCGGCTTGGTGTGAGTGGGTAGCGGGTGTGACCTGGGAGCCGCTGGAGCTATCATTCCTATTAAAGACTATTGCCTAACAGAGCAGGAACTCTTTCACTTACCCCCGTCAATGTGGTCTCTCCAGAGGGTGTGTTTGACCCGATGTTGGGGTTGGCCGTTGATCGGCGGTCGCGCGCTTTGGGAGTTGCCATCGCTGTTAGTTGAGGCGGGGCAACAGCGCTATCGAGGAGCAATCATCAGCCTGATATATGACTTCGATGGGTGTTCAGAGACTGTCAATAAAAAAACTCTCCGCAATGACAGCCCAGAAGCTCTGCTACTTTCCGTAAAGAGAAAGAAGTTGGAGAAGAGCGGCGCGTCTTGCAATAACATTGCGGGCCCGCCTCTGATTGGACCATGCTTATCGGCAAGATAAGGTGCTTAGTCATCCAATTTTTATCGGGTCATTTTTCTGCGACGCTCAACTTGCGACATTTGAAGAAGGTACTTATCACGCTTGAGACAAACTCAATTGCAGAGCAAGTCTGAAACTGTCACAGTATGGTCGATACAAAAGCCCCACAAGGTCTTTCGGCTAAGCTCGACAAGAAGCGCAAGCGCCAGGCCGAAGAAACGACGAAGCAGGATAAGCCCGAAGCCGCACCCGCAGCAAACTCGACCGCCGGCGGAGAAGGATCGGGCAAGAAGAAGCGCAAGAAGAACAAGAAGGCCAAGGCTGAGCCCGATCAGGATGTGAAGTCACAAGACCGCAAGAGTGGCGTGGACGAGTCTATTGGCAAAATGGATGGACGGTTGTTGGCCGACTATTTTGCGCAACGTGCGCAGAAGCTCGATAAAGAGCTATCAGCGGTGGAATTGGACGATCTCTCTGTTCCTGGTATGCATTTTTAGGTCTGGACACTCTGAACCTAGCTTATCGGTATACTGAAATGCCGCAGACTCTGCCTTCCTTGACACAACCTCGTTCTCCGAGCCCCGAACCCTGGACAAGCTTCCCAATTACCTCAAGTCCTTCAGTCCTAAAGGCGCCGATCTCGCAAAGGCGTCCGAAAAGAAAGGAACACCCCATACTTTGGTCATTTCTGCTGCTGCACTCAGAGCTGCGGATGTTGTGAGGTATGGCAGTTTGGCTTTTTGCGTGCTTCATTTCCAGCTTCGCCTCTGTCCGCCGGTACTAATTACTCGCCGTAACAGAGCACTTCGAGGGTTCCAAACAAAGGAATCTATTGTGGGTAAATTGTTCGCCAAGCACATCAAGTTGGAAGAGGCTAAGCAGTTTTTGGAGCGAGCTCGGTATATTCATCCAATAACTTCCTTTCCTCGACTTTCGAGCCCTTCTAACATCAAGCGCAGGACTGGAATTGGCGCCGGTACCCCGGCCAGAATATCTGATCTTATCGAGTGTGGTACGTGCCCTGAGCTCTCTTGTTGCGGATGCCTCTCCGGGTCAAGTACACCGAAACTAACCTTCCGCAGGCTCTCTGAACCTGGAAGAACTGCAACGCATCGTCATTGATGGATCTCACATTGACCAGAAGCAACGCGGTATCTTTGATATGAAAGAGACACATTTCCCCCTCTTGAAGCTCTTGACGCGACCAGAACTGCGGGACAGATACGGCGCTTCCAAGAAGAAGGTGCAAATCCTCGTGTTTTAGATTTGGTTCCGTGCCCTGGCGAAAAGTTTATCATTGCGGGCGTTAGTGGCTTCTTTATGGACTGGATAATCACTTCGTATAGGTTGATGTGACCGTCGGATGATCAATTTATCCAATAAATCGAATATATTGAAAAAGATAGAAGTATGCCAAGCCGGCTGTCGACCTTGCTGCCAATGCCCAAAGTATGACCACCAGCAAGAGGAGAATTTACGGATTTGGAAGAATGCGAGATCCAAGCACGGGAGCCAATTCAATGCTAGGTGAGCATCGGGAAAATGTGTCTACCGCGTATCTACTTCTGTCCCCGTTGAAATGTGTGATAGTAAGGGACAGGGTACCCATTTTGGCATGAATGTGTTATGCGACGGACCAGACCAAACCAAATCTATCCCACGGGCGTTGGTTTCCAAACATCAAGGCTTCTAGAAAATTGAGGGGAAATTACACCCCTGCAAGAAATGTCTATATCTGCGCGCTCGCTGCACAATTTCTGTCCAGCCATTACTTTACCGCACGGACACTTCAACGTCTTGAAGATGGTAAGGTATATTGATCAATCAACAAAATACCCGATCAGGCAAGCGGCCGATTACTGCATGAACCCGCTTGGGAAAGAACGAAGCATTGAGAAAGATCAGTCATAAAATCTCATAGTTACCACTAGCTCTTTAGAAGACCATGCCCCGAGAAGCAAAGCTCTACCCCATATCCACGGCTTATACTACTATACGAGTGACGAACAGTCATTTCGTGACTGCGCGGCACGTTGGGCGCCGTTCCTGGATGCTCTTATCGGCCGGAGGGCTGGACGATAGCGGGGACCCACCGCCCTAAAAACGAGGACGGCAGAATCGACATTTTTCCCGTTCTCCGCCTAATTTTTCTCGGACATTTTGGAGATTGTAAATTTTGCGAACATTGTCAATACTCTCTTCAGATTTTTCCTGAGATTGAACTTGAGGAGAGCTTCATTCTGGGTCTTTTGTTTTCAATTGCTTCACTTCACATCTTTCGCATAATTCACCATGGGTGACAAGAAGCGCAAGATCGCCGAGGACACGCCGGTTGACGAGGTCGCTCCGGAGGGCAAGAAGATGAAGAAGGAGAAGAAGGAGAAAAAGGAAAAAAAGGAGAAGAAAGAGAAGCGCAAGGCCGAACAGGTTGTTGAAGAGACCACCACCGTGAAAGAGAAGGAAGTGAAGAAAGAGAAGGAAATGAAGAAAGAGGAGGAAGAGGTGAAGGCGGAGCCACAGACCGAAAAGACCGACAGCAAAAAGGCCGAGAAGAAGGAAAAGAAGGAGAAGAAAGAGAAAAAGGAGAAGAAGGATAAGAAGCGTGATTCCGAGGCTGCCGAGCTCGACGACGGGGCCAAAGACAGCAAGAAGGCTGCGAAAAAGTCCAAATCAGACAAAAAGAGCAAAAAGCAGACTACAAAAGAGAGTGCCGGGAATGGAGATGGAAATGCGGATGAGGAGCTGGCCGACGCTGATGCCGACGCGGAACAAACTGCGAAGAACTCTCGTTTTATTTGCTTCGTCGGTACGTATATTGAGAACGGAGGAGGGTTCTGAGCTTTTGGATTGCAAAAGCTTAACTGCACTCCCCATTTGCCCGTCTATTCCATTCACCGGTCCTACAACACGAGCTCGAGAATCATCGACTAACAGACTGGCCAGGCAACCTTCCCTACTCCGCCAACCTTGAATCTCTCACCAAGCATTTTGAAAAGAACCCTCCCGCTTCAATTCGCGTCGCGACCAAGAAAGAAACCCCGAACAAATGTCGCGGCTTCGCCTTTATCGAGTTTGATAACTACGACCGCATGAAGACATGTCTGAAGCTATACCACCACTCCATGTTCGACGATGGGAAGTACCCACCTCGTCGGATCAATGTGGAATTGACGTGAGTTTCTATCCCCGACTCTTTTGCCGTGTCTTCCCCTCTCTATTTCAGGCCATTGAGGAAAAGAAAGAAGAGGGAAAAGAGAGAAAAGAGAGAAAAACGCTAATCAAAACACGTAACAATCCAGTGCCGGAGGCGGTGGCCCCAACTCCGAACACCGCAAAGCCAAAATCGTCGCCAAAAACCAGAAACTCAACGAGGAGCGTCATCGCCAAGCTACCGAGACCAAAAAGGACAAGAACCACCACGACAAATCCAACAAGCACAACAGCAACAACAAGCATAACAACAAGCCCGGTCGTTCCAACGCGACTGCCTCGGACGCAAATGCTGTCGTCGTGGATGCGGAGAACGATCGCTTCGCGGGTATGCACCCTAGTCGTCGGGGTTTGATCTAAGTGAACTTGAGAATCTTTGGGTCTGCCATGTTCTTTTTTTGGCATTTTCCATCTGTCTTTTGCGGTGCCACATGGCAGGATAGGAAAAGAAGAAGTGCATGGCATGCTTTTTTGAATTTCCTGATCACCTGATTTACTTGGATCGTGGACATTGTTGCTTGTTTCTTGCTGCTCTTTTACATAGAAGATACCTCTTTTTTTCTGTCTCTTCGTACACTTGAATATGAATGTGCTTGTGCACATGACGTTCCGACGCTACTGGTGCTGCAGTATGATTGGGAATCGCAAAAAAGGCGGTGACATTCTAGTCCTATGCTTAAGCTGATGCAAATACAGAGAGAACATACAGTAGTCCGTATTACGTACTACTACGCAGGTGAGGACACACAGAGACGCGCAATCTCAAAATGACTTGAAGCCCAATCAGCCTCGGGATCGAGGAAAGCAAAAAGCTGCAGGAACAAAGAAGAAAAAGCACAAAGGTAACAAGCCCATGGGATTCATCAACCACGGCACGGCCTTCTCCGGGCACGATCAAAAACAGGCCCATGCATACCCGGACGCCGTACTAACTATTGTATTACTCATTATAGCATACGAATGACAAGAGAGTGAGAGTGAGAAGAAATGAGTAATGGGGGAGTGAAAAGGGGAGGAAGGGAGGGGGGGAATGACTCCCCATGCAGGTCATGCATATGGCATCTCTACAAGATCATGCATTTGTTCTTTTTTCCGGACTTGGCCAGTGGACGGGGGTTGAGGACAGCTCTGGAGGGGGAACAGAGAAGATGGTCAGTTATTCAACTCGGACATTGGTTGCAGATGGCGGTCTGACTGCACGAGACACCGCGAAAACTGGAAGAAGAACGTGGGAACGAGGGAAAACAGATTGGCTTACCGGATAGCTTCATCAAAGACACTCTTTAGATTGCGCTGAGTCAAGGCCGAGCATTCCAGATACTTGTGTGCGCGGATTTCCTTGGCAACTGCCAGAGCCTGCTCGTATGAGACCGGTTCCATCTTTCGAGCACGCAGGGATTCAATTGTGTGGCGATCATCACGCAAGTCGAGCTTGGTACCGACCAAAATGATGGGAACGTTGGGAGCGTGATGTTCAATTTCGGGGAACCACTAGCATTTCGGAGAAGTCACAGTTAGAGAAAAATTTCACATCCGAAAGTGCGGGGAAGCTCTGAAGATGACTGATACCATGCGCTGGATGCCGTAGATGGTGTCATTGGCGACCCTCATGGTTGATGACTTACCTTGGCTTTCACGTTGTCGAATGATGGTGGGCTCACGATGGAGAAACAAATCAGGAAGACGTCAGTCTGGGGGTACGATAGCGGTCTCAGGCGATCGTAATCCTCTTGTCCGGCGGTATCCCAGAGTCCCAGGCTGATCGGCCGGCCGTCAACCATCACACTGGCCGTGTAGTTGTCAAAGCTACCCGCAGGAGAAACATCAGCATGGGACTATGAGTCGCGACAAAAGAAGGGGACTCTTCTCTGTCGCATATGGAAAATGAGGGGGTGAGTGGGAGGGTAGACGAACACTGTCGGGATGTACTCGCCCGGGAATGCATTTGTCGTGTAGGAGATGAGGAGACATGTCTAAACGCCGCGAGAACAGATCCAGAGGTTAGCCACGCCGTGCTTGTTCTTGAAGAGAATCTTCTGACCATGGCCCTGCTGCTGCTGCTGCTGCTGCTGCTGCTGCTGGAGGCGGCCAGAGACGAGCACATGGGCGATCGTGCTGGAGATGGTCCAGCTGGAAGGGCTTCATGCTTACTTTGCCCACCGCACCGTCACCCGTCACCACACACTGTCGGTAGAGTCTCCGGTCAGCTAAATTCGCCTCGCCACTGGTACTGTATCGATGATGCTGACCTTGAGCGATTGCGTCGCTGGACCCGTCGCCATGGTTGGTGGGAAGATATGTACAGACAAAGCACGAAAAGGGGGCGATAAGGGGCGGGCGCTCGGTCCTGATGACAATCGATAACGAGCTGCGAGAGAGGGAGAGAGAGATCTCCAAGGCGGCGGCGAGTGGGGGGTGGAGCCAAGGGAGCGGACAAGGAGAGAATGGATGAGTAGATCGAATGTCGGAGGAGGAGGAGGAGGAAGAAAAAGAAGAAGAGGGGGGGGAATCTTCCGCAAAGAGACAACAATCTAGATGTGAAGTTCAGGATTTTGAGTATTTCTGGGGAGACCCGTGTGTTGTTTGGAGGCTTTTGGAGCTAGGGGCGGAAGAAAGAGGGGGGGGCGAAAGGACGGCGCAGGAGGAGAGAGAAGCAGCGAAGAGGGTTTGGAGTGGAGAACGGACCAAGGACGATGGATGGATCGGATTCCGATGAAGACAAGGGAACAGGCACAAAGTCCAAGAGAGAGAGAGAGAGAGAGAGAGAGAGAGAGAGTGGATCACGATCATACACCAGTGATGGAGAGAGGTTGTGGGATCTTCTTCAGCGGATTGAGATACGTCAATTGTCTGTGATTTTGGATGTGTCGACAGCTGAAGAGGGCGGAGAAAAGGAGATCTCCAGCACAAGAAAGGATGTGGCCGAGAAATGCATGTGGTGGGTATACTGGAACTACACCCGACAGACCAGACTTACAAACATGCCACGATGAATGCGAGAGTGAGACGGTGGACTAGGTAGATCTAGGCAAGATAGATGATCCTTCTGTCGTCCTTGCTATATTCCTACGTAAATTGAAATCGGATAAAGTGAGTGAGTATTCGACTACAAGACACCAAATGGAGGTCTTGAACCGGTGCTACAGCAGTAGTTTACTACTAGTTCCCTTACTCTTCTTGTCCATTACAAGTACCTTTGGCATCAGGACCATGAATGACCCGCTTCTTCCATAGCTCGTCCATGGTACTGCGGCATGGTCTCCTACGGTACTCATTCAAGTATCACTTGTCGCGATGGTAGCTTAATACCTCATAGAGATACGAAGACATCCAGAGTACTGCCCGTGGATCCAAATCGCCCATAGACATATGTAGGGAGTCTTCCAATCCACCTCCAGCTATACCCGAGTTCAACTGCTGACCTACTCCCCAGTACAGTAACAAGTTCCAACTACCAACTGACCTACTACTGAGTCCTGACCGACCTGATGTTATGTTGGAGCTCTGTCCAGATCCCAGAGTGACGTACATCTCAAACCCCACCAAAGCTCCGCTGTGAGCTTCGACAAGAATAGCTTCCCAGGCGCCCGCATGCACCAATTGCAGGATTGTGTGATCACGGGGAGTTCTCGGGCGCCTACCACTCTACAAATCGAGAGTTTGCATCCGTCCAAAAGTGCACAGTATAAAAGGAGAACCGCCATCAGAGAGGCTGACTGGCTCATGTGCGGACTGGGTATACTAGTTCAATGCACCGAATCGACAGGCTAGGCGCTGTCAGGTAGAAGCTCGTAGTTATCCTTGCCGATTGCAACGAATAAGAGATTCCGGAAGAAGCGAGCACCAGTTAGTTACTCGATACTTTATTGGTATCTCGGTTCTCGAGCGTCGATGCGCGTAGAAGGTCAAGGTTTCAAGTGTGAAGTCTTTGTAGTAGGACCTAGTAGTTAACTTACATGTACTTACTACCAAGTAACTATCTGTCCTGCGTCCATTCAAATAGTGCAGTACCTCTCTTTCCATTCCACCCCTTTCAGATCCAAACCAAGCCCTCCATGCATATGCAGGAAAAAAAGGCCCACCATGGAATGTGACGGCCGAGGAGCCGATGCAGCAACAGTCGTCATCGAGCCGCGCCTGTCAGTCGCGCTTTCAACCCCATCAGTTTCTGTACATTTCTGGATCCACCTCTCTCGCTAGACTCTCAGAGTCGTGACACTCCCCGGTGGCCGTTGAGGAATGACCCCGCTCGCAGCTCGGCAGGCTTGGCCATCAACGGCGCGATCTTGGCCGAGAATTCGCGGAAATACGGAGTCTTGGTGTGTGCCTGAACGGCAGCCTGGTCCTTATATCTGTAGAGGATGGAAGATGATGGGGTTAGAAGTGTCTCGTTAAGTTCCGTTTGCTTTCGCCGCACAGTAAATGTTGACCAGTTGATGGGCAGCGAGATGCCGAGGCACAACTCGATAAGAGGGGCAGTATGGATGCATGGGTGCGTGTAGGCTAGGGAGAAGCCCATCACCCGCATCATCACGGTCATGCAATGAATTTGATCGTGTGGTATCTTTGGTTGATGACTCGAAGAGAGTTGGAGAAGATTTCCATCCACTGACCTTTCCACAATCACAATCTCCTTCTTGCCCGACACCTGAAAGGCAGTGTAGAGGAGGGTGCCCGGCTCGTTGGCCTGCACCTTTTGAATCACCTCGGTGATGAGCGCAGCAGCCTAGCAGTATGGAAGAATAACTCATTAGCGTTGGCCCGTTGATGTTTATCGTCCATGCGATGATCAATCACCTCTTCAAATTTCTCCGACTTGGGAGTCAGGACGGCGGCCACGTTGATCTCGGACATGGTGATGTGAATAGAGAGGGGTAACAATGGCGAGACGGTTCTTAGAATATAAAGAGGCACTGGACGTATGGAATCCGAAAATATGAGGCGAATTGGACAGAAAAAGACTTAAAGGAACAGACAAAAGGTGGATGCTTGACTTAAATGCCGTCCTATCGTGAACGCTACTACTACACAGCCGGCAACCTCGGCGCATGGAGGTGTGGGGGTCGAAGCTCACTCCTCTCACCACCATCTTGCCGGTCCGATCGGCTTCCACCCTCCCGATCGTTTGGTAAGCTCGACACGTTCAAAGCATGAAAGCTGTCAGCTACAGGTACAGTAGAACTGAGTTCAGTCACCCTTGCTTTTGTTCGAGCCCAATTTTTGCCTCTTGTTTCCATGCAGGCTGGTATCTCACGAAGAAGCTTAGGAGCAGCCTTTCAAATGCACGGTACTTTGGCTCTTTCAACATGAGTACGGTTAACGGTACTAGAACACTATGTTCAGAACTGCAACGAGGATGCCAGTAGGGACCAGTGGAGGCATCCCTTTCTTGTTCGTCTGATTTTTAGTCAGAATATCGCTCTATCAAGTTGAAACACTGCAGAGGCATAGGATACTCTTCCAAGGGCTGTAACAACTCGGTAGTTAAAACAGTGAAGAACGGTCGTGCAGGACAAGACTCGGACATGCTGGTCCGCTTGACCCCGTCTGAAGCCGGCGAGACCCACTCTAACCGCGGCTCTTGAAGGAGGATCCACCGAGCCCACATCTGGCTGCAGGATACATCTGCATCATCATCAAGGTTTGAAGGTACAATGCGAGTACATCCCGTCATCAGTTACTATAGTAAGCCCGAGACCGAGGGAGGTACTAACTGCAACCACACAAGGAATGTATTTCTCTGTCTGCAAGAATGTATCTTTTAGGTACTATTGATAATGGTTTGATAGCAGTATCATGATTGGGAGGGTCGCGCTACATGACAATGTGTCTTTAGCTCGCCAACCAATGCCTGATACACATTACACACTTACTGTACGCAGGTCGCCGCGTTCTTTGCGAATAACTTCAATCGATTAGGGGGTGTATATTGTTCATGAACCAAGGACTATCCTCGAGATGACCCGTGCACGACTCGATTGACATCGATTTAGGCTTACGCACTAAACGATGTCAAGAATAATATTCGATGAACTGGTCTGCGATGGGAAAGAAACGTCTCCAGTTCATCACATGACTGGATGGAGGTACTATAGTACAGCTACTGTAAGCTCCTCCGACCTGGATTCGTGTTTCCGGTTGTGTGACAAGATAGACCTCACCCGTCACCCGTACTTATTTCCCACGTGGACTGCGGATTTCCCCCTGGCCGCAATTGACACAACCGTATTCTCCGTTCGCTCCCTCAAACCACCGATCCACTTGGAATTCCACTGATTTCCAACCCAGACATTGGCCTCCTCGTCTCCAACTATCTGTTCGACATGATTCCTGGCCAAGATCGTCTCCAGTTTCTGATCCGCCGCTTTGGATAAAATGCTATCAGTGTCCACCGCAACATCCCTGAGAGCCATGAGAACCGACTCATCGTCAACTCCTTCAAGTTCCATGACAGATAGCTGGCGCTGAACTGCTTCAGCAGGGGGCACCAGCTTCTCCAGTGCATCAACAAAGTCCGTGATCTCTCCAACCAGCTTGTCCAAATTCTTCCCGTCATAGAGTGCCCATCTGGCCTTCTTGAACAGACTCGTCTGTTGCTGTCGCTCACGCGCAATCTTTTCGAGCCGCCCATGCACGTGTCTGATCCCAGGGCACAGATGCTCATTTGCAAAGCACGTCCGGTCCGCTTCCGTTGCCTTGAGCTCGTACCGTTTCGAGGATTTTTGGACAGCCTGGAAGAGCAGCATGATTTCTTCAAGTATGACCTGAATTTGTTGAGTGACTTCATCACCCGCCACACCGTTGGTAAATCGCGGATCATGGCTGATATCGACGGCCTGGCCCCAACGTCCAAGACGGGTTCGGGCGACATCAAGCTTGATCTGGCATCGCTCGAAGTTTTGGCCGAACTGACGACCTAATTGGATGTACTCAAAGCAGTCAACACAGTTACTGAATAGTGCTGCCACTCCGAGAGCAGCGGCCGTAGTACTGAAAACTTCCATATGCACCAGTCGGACAGACAGTGTATGACGAAAAACCGAGAGGCCTCGCAACGACACTGTGAATCGGACAAAGCAAAATTTCCGAGCGAAAGGAATGTCAAAAGACTGAAAAAGCTCAAGGCACTAGCTTCCGGGCCATTTGAAATAAGTGGGTAAGTAACAGTCCCTAGCTTTGACCCTCGAGGTCGAAGCCCGAGGCTGAGAGACGCTAACTCTCCTCTTGACAAGGGTCAGTACCCCACTGCTCGTGTGGAGATACTGGCACAAGATGAGACCTAATCCATGTAAGAAGACACTCAGTTGTTGTGCCATCTATGCATGCCATGTACAGTTGGTTTACCGAGGCGAAAAATAAGACAGGCGACACCCGCGCGTTTGTTCGAGAATCAGTGAAAATCGTACACTCGGCTTTCGCCCCACGATGGGGTATCACTGGGTGCCAGCGAACAAGGCGAGGCGAGACTGATGAGCTGGCACCTGCAAGCCCTTCTACCAGCAGCGTTCGATGTGAAGACAGGGTATTTTCCAAGAAATGAGGCTGAGCTAGCCGAAGGGCTTGAGGATGTCGATCTCTCAGTGCCGTCTCCCTCAGTCTGCCCTTCCCGCTTGCAACATATGAAGTGACTACCCGTGGACTACTGGGAAACAAGGCATCTAGACGGTCAGAGCAGGGCATCAACATTCGAGCCATATGTGCAAGGGACCTTACAAAGGGGCGTCACCGGATTACATGTTGGAAAAGTAAGGCACCAGTCTCGCTTCCGCTCTCCGAAATCGTTCACCTTGATTGGAAGTTGAGTAGACAGGGGGTGATTTACTCAGCCTCTGGATCCCCGAGTTCGAGGGCACCTGGACGGATCTATATCTGTGTACTCAACTTCTCCGAATGCGCGTCATTCCCTTTACCAATCATGGGTCTGGGTCCGAATAAGAATATGACCGACCCAGGAACCCAATATGAGTAAGCGAAACGAAGTACGTCCCGTCGGACGGGCCTTGGAACTATCTCCAGATCTTCGAATAATATGCCAGCTAACGACATGAAGGAAGGCAAAGCAAAACCACAGACATCCAACACGGTTGGAAGCGTGCAGGGTGACGGTAACGCGGCTATTCATGTCGGAGATAAAATCTATCGATTTCCACCGCCAAAGCGTCGCAAGCAGGCACCCTCTTCCGTCGAAGCCAGACTGAGGAGGAAAACCGTCAATGTTCCGTACAGTCCAGACAGCAAATTTCGTGGAAGGAACAAAGAACTCAGACAGATGAATGAGTTCTTGATGAAACCTGAAACATCTGGTGTGCGCGATCTACGGGTTGTTGCCATCCAAGGACTAGGGGGCATGGGCAAGACCTCACTGGCACTTCAGTATATACATAGCAACCGAAATTACTACGAGGCCATTTTCTGGCTCAGAGCGCAGGACTTCACAATCTTACAGCAAGACTTTGCGAAGATTGCCCAGGCATTACAAACAACTACTCCAGCCGGCGCGGACATGAGCAGCACGGTCCAGCTTGGCAATGATTGGTTACGAAACACAGGCAAGTCTATTCGATCTCGCAGCTTGAAGAATACAAGCTAATGTGACATTCCTCAGATGAGCCGTGGATTCTTGTTTTTGACAATCTTGATAATGTGAAAAGCGTCGAAGAGATTTTGGCGGATTCTTGGCCCCATTGGGGCAAGGGCCATGTCATAGTCACCACACGAGATCGAGATATTGCAGACCAGTTTGCTACGTGTAGAGAGAGCAAGCTCGTGCTCGCTGGGCTCGATGTTGAGGAAGGCTCCGACCTTCTTCTTGATTATGCTGGACCAGATCTATCGGCACGCGACTTGTCGCGAAACATCGTCAACGAGCTTGGTGGAATGCCACTAGCCTTGTGTCAAATGGGCACATACATACGACAGACTGATACGACACTGGATGAATTCTATCTGATGCTTCGGGAGCAAAAGCACTCAATTCGTCTGTATTCCGACGAAGCAAGTACTTCCAGTCTGAGGTATTCTCATACGCTGACGAGCTGCTGTGATATTTCATTTGCAGAGCTCTCGGAACTGGAACGGCATCTCCTTGCTGTGATCGCTTTTTTCCAAACCGACGAGGTACAAGAGTCATTTGTGACCAAAGGCTGTTTGAATGTGCCTCGTCTTGAAGGTAGCACCGACAAGTACCATTGGGGCAGAACCATTCGCACGCTGAATAAGCATGCTCTTCTCGTTCATCGGTCACCGGGGAAGTCCAAGGGCTATCTGTGGATGCATCGTGTCATCAAGCATCATGTCCATCATTTGCTCGATTCAGGCGATTTATCAAAGTGCACCGACGCCTTTGAGGACGCAGTCAGCATCGCAATGCAAATGTTCCCCTCGCGGCCCCTGGACGGTGGCACTATGTCCAAACGCTGGACAGAGTGCGAACTTTGGTTCCCCCACGTTCTCAGCCTCAAAGAAGCGTTCAAATCGCTCGAACACCGTATCATCAGGCCACCGCGTGCACTGGCGGATCTGCTATGCAACTGTGCGTACTACATGTGGGAACGGAGCATCAAGCACGCGGCTTCTTTCGCCGCAGATGCTCTTGAAATCTGCAGACTTGTCCTTCCAGACGATGATCCCGACCCCCTTCCGGCGGACATGATGACGATACTAGGGTCTTTACAGCTCGTGAATTTTTTGACTCGGAAAAATTCCATTTCTTACTTCCAGCAAGCTCTCCAAGTGCGAACAAGGCACATGGATGCAACGCGCCATCCCACACTGGTTGATAAGCTGCAGTTGGCCAATGCCTACAACAACACTGGAGCCGGATATCTGGCCATGGAACAATACGACGAGGCACTCAAATACCTTAACCGGGCATTAAGAATCAAGCTCGAGTTAGGAAACGAAGAAACGATGCCGTACGACATCAGTCTTAGTCTCTACAACATATGCCGTGTACAAATGGGTAAGGGGCAATTACGCCAGGCAAAGGCCAATGCACAGAAGGCTCATAGCCTGGTGGAAGGTAAAAATGGACCAGATGACCTTCGATCCAACCAGTTCAGGTTCACGTATGCTGATCTAGTCGTTGCCTGTGGGGACATTGACGGAGGGCTTCGCATTCACAAGCGAACCCTTGATATCCGAAAGCGGGTTATGGGGCCTTACAACAATGATACTGGCGTCAGTTATTACGGAATGAGCTGCGTCTATCAGGGAATGAGACGTTGGGACAAGGCACTGTCAGTATCTCTTCCTTCTTGGAACTGCCTTCGCAGCCTTTGATTCTTCAGCTACTCAGATAACTAACAGACGTGAGACAGGGAGATGATAGATCTAGCGATCAAAACCTTCGATGACGAGGTTCCCAACGCCGAAGACCGAGCCGCCCGGGCGTATTTCAGGAAACACCTGATACTGTATGAATTGGGCAAAGAATTGGAATCCGCAGCGGCTCTTGAGTTAGCACGTATACGACGTGCGGAGTTACTCGGGCAGCCAAACCATGGTTATGAGTCGATCAGTGATTATGACTCACTTGTATCATACAATAATCGATAGGACTAATTTCCCACTACCACTACGTGGGTGAAGATAAAAATGCCCTTGTTTCAAGGCTCATCCTCGGCTCGTATGCGGTAGGCAGAATATTCTTCGATTTAGCTCAGGATGTACAGATACACAGGAGTATAAGTCGGAGAATGAAAGCGGTCCTGCAAACCGCGGGAGGAGCAGCAATGATCATCAGGACCACCTACCTTACCCCTCGACAGACAGTCATTCGCCCTGTCCCAGCTTGTGAAGAGGTCCGTCTCTTCGAGATCCATCTACATGCGACTATTGGAATGGCATGAGAGGAAGAAATCGTAGGATGAATAATAGATCTCGCCAACAAACGATTGCGTGACCTGATTTACCGCATGCAGCTTCTCCGGGCTGTTGTTAGACCTATACCTAAGAGACCAATTTCTGACTTTGGAGAAGAGTGGACGCCAGAAGCTAGGTAGGTATCACAGTTCACTACTTGACTTTGTTTGATCGGTATATATTTCTGTTCAAACACAAATTAGGATCATCCGCACTTGGCCGTAAATAGAGACCCTCAATGGCGAATTGAATATTCTCCTGGATGAACTTCTGAGCTTCGAATGTGTAATCGTGCCACGCAGCCCCTTTGCTGGTGATAAATTTCCGAACCGAGTGGCTGTGTCGGATGTATCGAGCCCTTGCTCGTCTATATGATATTCATTCTCCTTGTCTCTCACGTCTCTGATCCTGTTACTTGGAATAGTCTCAGTCTCCACGTTGGTGTCTGGGACATCGGAGGGCTCCAGGGGCGCTACCGACAAAATGTCAGTACGGTTTCTCCAAGTTGTAACAGTTGATTTTCTTCAGGGATGCGAGTTCTGGACGCATATTCTGATTTAGGTTGACCCTAACGTGAGCGAAGGACACATCAGCACTATGAAGAATGTTTGAGATTAGTAGAGTAAGGACTTTAGTTTCCGAGGATCACCTAAGGTAGGCGCCCACTGACTTCAAGATCCGGTTCGAGCATGGGTTTTCATATCTAAGAATGCTTCTTTCCTTTGGAACAGCGAGGTTTCATAGCTGGACCTAGACTTTCCGCCGACAGGTCCCCTCGTCAAAGGAGTAAGACCTGTAACCCGTGACCTTGTCCGTTGGTGGACAAGTCCTCCGAAGCACGATCGTATTCGTCCTAGTCACAGGCTTGGGCCGTGACGCTTGTGAACTTTGCGAGAATCTCAAGGGCCCGTGACCAGACTCACTTGGAGTAATACAAATGAACAAAGCCCGCTTTCGCGAGTTTCGCCTTCCAGGCTGTCCCGTACAGAAGAGAAATTGCCTTCTCGCCGAGAGCGAGTTTGTGGAGGCGGGCCGGGCCCAAGGGCAGAGAGATCACGCGCAACGCGACATAACCACCTGAACATATCAAGAAATCAGACGTCGCAATAGCAGCGACAGTGGAGTGCTCTACATTCGAACAGTAGTAGTGTGCACCGTCCAGCGCTTCGACATTTCCAGGGCTCCGAGCGGCATCTGGAGTCGAGTCATGATAGATACGAGGCGGCTACGAACAGAGATCTCAGACCCAATACGTGATCGTTCGAAAGTGTACCGCCTGACGGTACCCCGCCATCGCAATGGTTCATGACTCGTGTGACTTTCTTAGTTTCACAAAGACGCCGCCTTGGGCTTGGTACAAGACAGACCTGTCGGTGACATGTACTTCTGCTTTGACGTAGTAGAAAACGTCCAATGTTCTACTTGGACTTGCCCGTCTCAAAGGAACCTGATTTTCCCTTGCCGCGTGAAGCGCAGATTCATTCCATCATAATTACCGGCATGCTCCAGTCTGCAGCAAGCACCAGGGTATACTCATGTAAAGACTCTCATACTTCAAGCGTTGAGATCCAGACAGATGTATGATCAATGATATTTCCTGAGAATGGCATTTTTAGAGCACTTGTATTGGTCATAGATCTATCTATCGACTCTGCAGTATCATATGCCATACAAACACGCCCCTGAATCGCGACTCTGTCCGCAATCTTACTGAAAACCAAAATGAAAATTTTTGACAGATGAATTGACAGAATGCGTATTGAACGCGGTGACGCTGGCCGAAATTCTGACGACTGTGGTGCTCGTACGGCGCTGGTCGGATTGTGTATCAGGATATGCCTTATCAGGACTCACAATCACTGAATATACGGATTTGAACTCGTAGTATTGACGGCGGCCGAAAGGTTAATGTTTTTGGTAGTCGATGTACTCCATTTTGGACCTTTGGTAAATTTGATGGACTGTATCTGCACTCAAAATGATGTGCCTTTTTGCACTGAAAATCACCCAATGTATTATATTGATCCATATTTTGGTTGATGTGCATCGAAGGAGTTGATTCGACCGTTCTTTTTCGAAGGATCCTCTGCGGATTCCTGGCGTTGAGTAGGCCGGTTCCTACAGGTGAAGCAGGAAGTGTTGATTTTGACAGAAGATGGCGTCGAGTCGAAGTAACGTAGGCGAATCGTTGGAACCGCTGAATATGCGGTGGTTATTTTGCAAGTCGGTGCTTAGGTGAGTAAGACTAAGTGAATAGCTTTCTCAATCGCGCTAAGCGGGGCTCATAACCTGTTGGGAGGTGGCTACAATAGGTACAGCATCGCCATGTGTGAGAGAGATGAGGTGTGAGATCGCTACGGGGGACAGATCCTATCTAGGCTATGGACTGCGGTGAGTCGGTAGTATCACATGCCGCGCAAACAATACCAATATACAAAAGGTATTGATTTGATGGTTGCCATGTGTAAGCGCCTACCAACGCTGTACTCATCTCGGTCCAAGTGGTTGTACAACAACTGGATACATACTCTGGCCAGCGCGATCATCGAACGAGTCACGGGTGTACCATGGGGTCAAGCTCCAGAGACCTTGTTTCTCAGCCTGATCGGCTTGGCGCAATCTTCGGTGATAGGGCCAGAAATACCAGTGGACTTAATAGCGTTGCCCTACCTACTAAGAAGTAAGTAGTCCCGAATACAAGACCAAGTGGCGGCTCGGCGACGTTGAGCTCATGGATGGGACACCAATGTCGCCCGTCGGTGGAGTCCAAAGCATATAGAGTGATCTACTCTCAAGAGATGACCTCTTTCTATCAGGCTCCTGGAGCGAGGGATCGCCTCCTTGAGGATTGGACAAGATTCTATGTATCAGCTCGCAATTTCATCAACCACCCAGCCTTGTTCGATCAAGTGTACAGACCAGTCTGGTCTGGGGAGGGACAAAGTTACTCCGCTAGTCTTGTCGAGAGAATTGGGCTCAATCCAGGTCTCGTGGACGCAATGCCAGTGACCGGCTCCGAGTGAATGCTCATTTTGTCTTCTACCACAATGGCGCCCTTCCAGGTTACAGCCACTGTAACATGCTGGCACCGAGGGAGCCGATGGCGATTGTGGTCTTGACAAGCTCCATATGCTGAGGGGTTATTACAGACTGGGTAGCTCAAACCCTTCTTCAGACGGTCTTGAACCTCGAGACCGCCGGAGCAAGCGCTGGAGAGCGGTATACTCGAAAATGATTGAAGCCCTAGACAGTTAACGAATTCCCAATACACCCCCATCCCACCATAAAATCAGGGGTGAAAGCAATGGCTTCTGCCATGCTCTTATGATTGCAGCAGCTAATCTGATAACTTTGTGTCTTTTCTGGCCAGGTCATCACATCATGAACCATTGACCGAGCGGGAAAGGCTCTGGGTGACAATAAGATCTGTCGCAGATTTTCGCCAAAGGTCACATGCCAAGAAAGAGCCAGCGGCGTCTTCAACAAAAGCAATGACGCTCAACGCAGGAGTGGAAATGAAATCCCGAAAATTGCTTGTTCCCCTTTTGGTCGACTTGAGCCGGTTCCCATCGCCCGATCCTGGGAACATGTCGATAATGCCGATGCTTGTTGATTTATGTTAGATCCCGAAGATCTACCTATGTAGTCAGGCTATTCAAAGAACTTTAGCCAATACTTGGAATTGACCTCGATCTCACTTCAGGATGGCGGTCTGATGGCAAAGTCATCGAAGATACTAGAGCTCAGATCATCATATCACAGACGTTAGAGAGCAGTTGACCCTGTCTCGTCTCTGCTCAGTGCTATCATCAGTCGAAGGGAAGAGAGAAACCACAGAATGGTAGTAGTCATGGACGATCAGTGCGCAGGATCAGAACGAGAATATGGCGCATTTCTCACCCTCGCTCCAACGCTCCACGTTAGGTGTGTAGGGCGTAGACCTTGTCTTGGAGAACTTCCAGCAATTGCAATCTTGCGGGAGAAGTGAACGTTTGTCCACTACCGTCAAATCGGTGCTGAGAGTCTGGCAGTACTGTACTTGTATACCCGCTGAACCATGAGGCTCAGACTGTGGCTGGGAGCCTTCGGATCAACCCTAATCCGGCTTCGGCCAAGGAACGCGTGCGTATACGAGACCCGAGTGTTTAGAACTTTAGATTGCAGAATAAATGATCCACCTGAGGTTCGCATGCTCTTGCACAATCTTGTAAGCGCTCCTTTCTCAACTCGCAATCCCCAACCAGACTGGTCTGAAACATAATAGCTCATCAGCACTCTTCTTATTCAAGAATTTCAAGTCATCACTCGCTTCTCAGCAGCACGTGATAGCATCCAAAAGGACAGGCTCCAGCATTCCATTCACCCCCGGACCCACCAGAAAAGCCGCCAGCGAGTCGTGACGGACCTCATTGACGGTCCGCTCAGCATCCCCACTGCCAAGCATTCGCTGGGCCGGTGTCATTCGACAAGAATAGATCCATGCCGCAGTGGCTGTGTGGCTGCTTCCCATCACGACCTGCCATCTCATCTTCTGGAAATTTCCCATCCTCTTCTTTTCGGCCCGCAAAGGCATTATCAGTGACCATGTCCGATCCAACGCCGCTGGACACAACTGCACCTCCGGGGTCGTCAGATCTCCCCCCAATAGCGCCGGGCGCTCCTCTGGCTCGGCGGCCGACCAGCCCCCATCACAGGCACAGTCACAGTCACAGCCTGTGGCTGCGATCTCCGATGAGCTCAAGGCTCGTCTGGACAAAGTCATCTACTCAGAGGTGAGTACAGAATCACTCTGCACAGTGATAGTAGCCCCACAGTGCAATTGCTCTGCGCATGCGGTGCTTTAAGCGACTCATTTGCTGACAGTGAATCTCTTTGGGGGAGTAGATCGGAGTCACCACCCTTCTTGCTCGGCTGAAGCAAAGCGTTGCCTCCGCCAAGGTACGTCATAGTTCACACCCACTAGACGTGGATCGCTCCGGAATTGCGACAAGAATAGATGCGCTAAGACAGACTTCACAGGATTTCTCTTCTTTCCTGAAGAAACGAGGGGCTCTGGAAGAGGAGCATGCTCAGGGGCTTCGCAAGCTGTCGCGCGCGATCAGTGATGCTGCGCAACGAACGGAGAACCGACAGGGTACTTACAGTGCCAGTTATCGAGATATTCATCGCTTGCAGGAACGAATGGCCGATCATGGGCTGCAATTCTCCGTATCCCTGCAGCAGATGGCCGATGACCTGCACGAGTTGTCCAACAACATTGAACGGGGCCGGAAACAATGGAAGCAAACCGGACTGGCGGCCGAAAAGAAGGTGATAGATGCTGAGACTCAGGCCGAAAAGGCCAAGGCGAAGTATGATTCGCTGGCTGAACAGTATGATCGGGTTCGCACGGGTGACAAGACCGGTGGGAAATTCGGCTTGAAGGGTCACAAATCAGCAGCGCAGTATGAAGAGGACCTCTTGCGCAAAGTTCAAAATGCGGATAGCGATTATTCCGCGAAAGTGCAGGCGGCTCAGATTGCACGACAAGAACTGCTGTCCACTCACAGACCACAGACTGTGCATAACCTGCAACAGCTAATTGCAGAGTGTGACTCAGGCTTGACGTTGCAACAACAAAAGTTTGGTAAGTCTCAGCTGGCAGATTCGCTTAGATCAGCATTTCATCGTTGTGTTTTTGTGGTCGCCCGCGTACATTGAGGATGCTCCGCTAACCTGTTGCAGCTACATTCAGTGAAAAGCTGCTTCTGGGCCAGGGTCTATGCGTTTATCCCATGAACTCGGGCAATGGATCTGTCCCCCCAAGAGTCTGGCCGAGGTGGTGCGTCAAGTAGATAACCAGAAAGATTTCCATGAATTTGTGCTCAGCCACGAGGGGCATCCGGGTGCAATCACCGGACCTGAGGTGAAATATGAACGCCATCCTACTCTGGGCGGCGGCCCACCGGCCGCGGCGTCGGCCGCCGGTCAACCACCCCAGACGAGTACTCAAGCAAAGCGTCAATCGACGTTGCCTCAGAACTTCTCACAGCAAAATCTTCCACTCGCACCTTCACAGCCTCATCCAGCTGCCAGTACCGGAAGCTTCCAGCCACTGCCTTATCCGACCCAATCCGAGCCAGTGACAGCGCCATCCGTTCAACCACCTTATCCTGTTTCAGCTCCTCTTGCCCACGAAGCAACCTCAACGCCATCTGCACCAGCTCCAGTACCAGTGTTAGCAGCAGCGACAGGACCTGCAGCCGCAACACCACCAGACATGGGTCAGCGGCACTCACGCGGGCAGGGAGCGCCAAACCTGCCTGCCCTCAATCCAGTGTTTGGCGTTCCATTGAATGACCTGTATGAGCGGGACAAGACGGCGGTGCCTCTCATTGTCTACCAATGTTTCCAGGCGGTGGAGCTTTTTGGCCTCGAGACCGAGGGCATTTATCGACTCTCTGGCAGCGCAAATCACATCAACCACTTGAAGGCGCTGTTCGACAACGGTCAGTAGAAAAGCCCATGACTTCCACCTTTGATTAACGCACATTGTACTGACTCATCGCATGTAGACGCCTCTTCGGTTGACTTCACCAGCCCTGAGCACTTTTTCCACGATGTCAACAGTGTGGCGGGTCTGGTGAAGCAATTTTTCCGCGAGCTGCCCGATCCTCTCTTCACTTCAGAGTATTACTCTGACTTCATCGATGCCGCTAGTAAGTCTTGTAACCGCAACTCAGACTTTCGTATCGAAGTGTTTAACGCGTAATTCATAGGAATCGATGACGACACTCAACGGCGTGACCAGTGCCACGCGCTCATCAACAACCTCCCAGACGCTCACTATGCGACTTTGAGGGCTGTGATCCTGGTAAGTCTATTATAGTCCTCTGACGGCTAAGCTAAAGAGTCATATCCACTAACTTGAGCCTATAGCACTTGAACAAGGTGCAGGAGCACTACACCTCGAACCGCATGAACGCGGGAAATTTGGCCATCTGCTTCGGGTAAGCGACCAGCCTACTTTCTAACGTGGAATGCTTCAAAACTCACCTCACATTAGGCCAACGTTGATGGGTGCCAACTCTGGCGGCAACATTGCCGATGCTGGCTGGCAGGTTCGAGTGATCGAGACGATCCTCAACAACACCTTCCAGATCTTCGATGACGACTAGGTGATCTGCCAGTCGCTCACTTTGATCTGAGAGTCGGATCTCTTGATCGTCGGTTGCTTGCTCCGGTTCGCGTCGTCAATGACCTGCGCGCACCGTTGGGTTTTGCTCATTTCTAGCAGCGTCCTCGGTCTTCTCCGTTTCCTTTCTTCTTCCTCTGTCCGCCCTTTCTTCTGTTATTTTTTCTATGCTTTAGCCTACTTCTTCTTAGGGGGGTCTTATTTCTTGCATTTGATTCCCATTGACGTTGTTCGTTGCCACTCTTCGGGAGATTCCTCTTTCTATAAATCTCGAGATTCGTGCCAAGTAGAAAACTTATGACGAACTTGCTGGGCCTATCCGAGCTGGTCTCTGTCAACGGTTCGCAAGCTGCAACTCTAACGAAGAACAGCGTGGCTCGATTGTCCTCAAGACCTCACCGCGCGAGTGGCCCGCCTTGCGAGATTCGGCGTGAACATTAACCCATCCCCATGACGTGATAGATCTTTGGATTCGTCGCGTGAGCCCATAACCCCTAATACATCGGCCTAATACATCGGCTTTGTTCGTGTATCTCTGAACAGCTCGGGGAGATACTTCGATCTCCGAGTTTATCTTGCGACTAGAAAGGCATCCCTACTTCTTCGAAGTGTGTTTGACACCAGTTGCGAAATAAAAGATTCCAATACAGGATGACTATAATACATTTGTGAATGCTCTCTATATGACGGGCTAGATATAACAGGGGTTTCAGGGAAAGACAACAGAAAGAAATGAAAACGCCCCTAGCGACAACGGATGATCGTGGACAATATTTGCCAATTCCCTCTCCACTTCATCACAGACTCGACAAGACAGTAAAATGAGGAGATGAGGTGAGATGATCACAAGACTTATTTTTAGGCCAAGATGAAAGAAGAGAGGCAAAGACGGAGGCGAATGGGGTTAAATGGTGGTTTGTTTGATGTCCACCGCATAGACTTCGACAGAGCCATTTCTTACAGAGGCTACCTCTGACCCATGCTCCTCATGGCCTCGAGGCGATCTATGGTGGATAATCCCGGTGCGAAGGCCGGGTCGGTCATTAATGTCTTGAAATCGGTTGGGTTGGTGGTTCCCCAAATCTGCCAGTCGGCGTGCTTGCCGTGCCAAATGAGTTGCTGGATCACGACGTACTCGACGCAGTCCTGCTCCTTGGCGGCCGGAGTGACCTCTTGTGATGGGGTGTTCTTGTTCTGGCTAGCGGTTGTGGTCTTGCTGACGGATTGTCTGGACGATAGACGGACGACGATCTGGCGGATACCGGAGTTGGCAATGTCGGGAATCTTGATGGCGCGATCAGCCATCACGCGCGCGCCGCGGAACTTGTCACCAACGAGTTTCCAGGTGAGACGTTCGTTGGCGGGACGTCGTTGAATTTGGGCGGTCAATTTCTGGGCAAGCTTGTCGCAGCAGATGCGGTTGATACCGGCAATGTCGCCCCTATATTGTGGTTATTCATGCGTTAGGTCAAGGCACCTCCCGTATGGGGAGACATGTTATTAGTGAGGGACAGAATGGAGGCTTACTCGGCAAGGTAGGTGTACATCTGGGTGTACAGGGACTTTGCAATTGCACGTCGGGGCACGCTGTGGAAGATCGGGAAGAAAGGAATAGAGAAAGATCCAATCTGTGGTCTGGCCAGTTGTTTATGGATAAATGGAACGTTGCTGAGATCTTTCTTGCAGTACATCAAGAGACTGTAGTCAAATTAGCCGACTGGACATGTTGTTTGGCTGTTTGCTGACCGCGTCTCCAGTGCGCATTCTGGAGCTCCGGCAAGCTCAAGAAGAACTTGCATGGGACCAGTACACGATGAACATGGTAGACAAACCTAACATAGCCCTGAAAGACACTCTTCAGCCAAGTCCATTCCATCTGGAACCTGTCCCGCGGATCCTTGAAGATTGATGGCATATCCTTCCACATGGGCCGAACAAAGGTGCCCGGCAATAAGCCGATATCATTCGGTAGTTGATGTCTAAGAACGTCCTTCGCGCGCGACTTCATGGACGGTGCCGACACGCCACTCGGTTTGAAATTCGTCGTTCGGTAGGCCCATCGCTGTGTTGCCGCTGAGAAGGCGCGGCATTGCTGTTGCTGGAAGCCGACGGTGACGAAATGGGCGATATGGGGGGTATGACGAGCGTGTAAGACGAGAGCGCCCGTCTGCAGTCGTAGTGAGGACGCCATTTGCGCGCTGCAATTCGGAGCGAGAACTTTGTGGCTGGAAGTCCCTCGATCTTGAGAATCGCAATCGAGGCGACCCAGGAAAATCCGCGGGCGAGTCACGTGTGATCTCCGCAATCTCACAGGTGGCTCCCTACCCCCAAGTTAGTAGATCATCTTGGGAAGTTGTCGACAAGCGGGCAGTGAGGCATTTGCGGATTCACCACCACGGACGCTGTTCTTGACCAATATCGAGAGTCTTGAGAGCTGTGGCTGTGACACCTTGGTCTACTTTTCATTCCGTTTTTTGTTGCATCATCCGAATCACTCAAATTCCACCGGTCAATTGACTTTTTGTGTGCCCCACGTCAGAAATTCGACTCCTGAACCACTCCACCAATTCAACTTCACAGTATCTGGCCATTAATTCCAGTTGAACGCTCTAGTCGCCGACTGAAATTGATCATATAGCACCGTCACAGCAATATTCCCCGATCTTGCGCGGCGGTCGCATATGCCGCGATCAAGTCTAAACTCTGGCTCCTCTTCGTAATGCCTCTCCACCACCTTATTCGCCGCCCGCACACACATCGAGTTCACCAGACTTGAGTCGCACGCCAATTCCTACTGTCCCAGAGCATTCCCCATCCTTCACGCCCTCAGGCCAGGGCCGGATACTCAAGAAGGTGGCGTCTACACCGATTGCTTCCGCTGATTCTCCTCCATCCCCAATCGCCGATCCTCCTCATACCCCTCACGGCAGCGATGTCAGCCAAACGCTTTCCTCGCCGTTGCATCCGCGAGTAGCAGTCATTCTGGGAGTCGACCGCAGATGGCATATTCCACTATTGGTATGCCGGGCTCTAAGCACGCTGCCCGCAGCCTGGTGGGGACTCCGATGCGCCTTCACCTTCTTGGCTGAACTGCTTCACATTCAGTCCGGAATGGGCCGTGAGGGCTGGGCTGCTGCGATCGTGGGGAGTGTCGGGCAGGATTGGGACGTTGAAAGAAGATTTCGAGTCACAGAAGTTGCGTTGGCTATCATGTGGGTATGTAGGATGCTCGACCCGTTCCTTTAATTACGTTGGGTCTTGGACTAATATTGATTTGACCGATAGTGCTGTGCATCCGCCTACCTTTCTTATTTCTTCGCTGATTGTATGATGTCCCGATGGTACGTGATTGTCAAGTCTCAACACCGAAGGGTCTTCGCTGCTCTCCTCTTCGCGAAGCCGTCGTGATTTTTTGTGTGTGACCCGGTTCTCAGCTAACCTTCACTCTTCCACTCGTGTTAGGCTTTTGAACTACACTCCGCCCGCTGTCGTGATCCGGCTTTTGACAACGAATGGCCTCATTGCATATATCACATCATGGGTTCTCTATTTGTCTGGCGCATCGTCCGATCCTCGGCTTCTTCTTCCCGCCTGGATTTCCATCACCACTGTACGTCATAGTCTTGGCCCTCTATGCGGGCTGCACGTATTCCTCTTTTGACAATATCTCTAACCTATCTCCTCGTCTCGGTCCAGACTCTGACTTTCGTTTACCATGCCACACAAAACCACGCCAAAATCAAACGAGAAACAGCAGCGTCCTTACTGGTCGTCTCCGCCGCCAGTTTTCTCAGCATGTCTTCGCTCCTTCTTCAATTGCACCTTACTCGGGAGAACGAACCCGAGGTTCCTGTCTTCGTGATCACTCGCAAACTTTGGGACTGGGCTGTGACCATCTTTTTGCGCATGCGCGTCGCAGATGGTCGAGCCACTGGCGAGTTGTAAACTTCGGGTTCATGATATACCCCCCTTTCGCATCTGCATATCTTGTGCTCTCATTTTCCTTCTCTTCTTTGCCACTTGATCTACCCTGTATTCGGCGTCTTCTTGGGTTGCCTAGGGTATTCTATCAAATTCCCCTTCGCTTTCTGGTATAAAATCTTCTCTTTTCGTCAAGCTGATCGTTGCCTTTCCATGGACTCTCCTGCTCTGGAGTGTGCAGCCTGCACGGCCATCGAATGATGACCCATGTTCTTCGCCTTTTTAGACAGAACCGCTTTCGCAAGATTGGTCATTTCTACTCCCCTTCATAGTCAGAGCCTCCCTGGGTCCTGAGTTTTGAGTCCTGGTCGAGCGCTCGAATGTGAATTTGGTCTGCTTCTGGAATTCGAGGTCAACTTTGTCCGGTGAGGGTATTTAAAGCCGAGAACAAGCCCAGGGAGTCGTGTGTCGAATCGGGTTGGATATCAGGCAAACTGCTAGCTTGTACCTAGTAGAACTAAACGTAGAGCCATCGTGAGCGATGACAATCTGGTACCACTACCGTAGGTATGGTATATGTGAGCTATAATTTAAGCTGTCTACGGGATGGACTGGGTTTGCCTAGAATTGCAACTACCTACTTGATAAGAACAGGATCAAGATCAAGACTCGGTTTGATACGGTACAGGTTTACAGCTGTTGAACATACACAATCCAGTGAGAGGTTGACATGTGCTGCACGTTCGAAATTCCCTTGTATACGTAGTGATGGCAGTCTCATCGAGGTGCATCTACAATAAAAGATATGGGTTTGTTGGAGCAAAGTGAAATGCAATAATGAAAGCTCGTCACGTCAAGTTATCGGAAACAAACACCACAACTGGAGATGACAAGTGACTTGATAATATCGGTGTCAAAAAAACAAGAAGCATCGACTGTCTATGCAGTAATGGGTATCTACCAACGCCTCGTTCCGTCATAATCCCGTTCTTCTGGTTTGAGAAAGGTACTCTGAACAAAAATGCACACGCTTGAACCCCCATGATCATGCTCGATCAATCCCGCCAGAGAGAGGGGGGGAAAGAAGGCCGGGAGAACAAAGCGAGTCACAAATTAGACAGGGCCCAGGTCTAACACGCCAGGCATAAGTGGGTTGGAAGGATCGGAAAGCAAGAAACTGGACCAACGGACAAGGCCGGCTTGAAGCACGGCCAGCGGTTAGGGGGACACATGGCGTGCTTCCATTTCCCACCGCACACAGGGCAAGGTAGACTGGGAAGAAGGGACCGGAACAGAGGCAGGATAGGGGATTAGAACCCGTGGACCTGAGACGAAGTGTCAGCCGAGACGCGCTGCAATTTTCCAGTGCTTTGGGAAGTTCGCAACATACCTTAATGGTCTTTGCATCCAGCTCGAGGCCTTCTTTCTTGTCGGTCAAGAATTCCTGAACATCCTTACGCTGATCTCCTTGAAGCTGAATCACCTCACCCATCTCGGTGTCGGTGACGATGGTGCCATTGCAAGCTAGTCGGATGTTAGCTTCAATCCCTCAACAATACAATTTAAGCGACGTTGAGAGGTGACTCAGTGGTCAACGGGCAAGAGCGGATAACGAAAGGAAGATAAAAAAAAGGACATACCGAACTTCTTCTTGATGACCTTCAGGATCTTCTTCTGGTCAAACTTCTTGGGAAGTCCCTGGACAGTAGTCAGAGTCTTACGACCATTGCGCTCTATATGAGGTTTTTAGCATGTGGTCCCCCCCCCCTGGATAACGAGTGCGCTTTCGTCTTGGCGGCAATATTTTCGTCAAGATTTCCTGCGCACGTGAGGAGAGGAAGGTGAAAACCTACGCTGAATGCGTATATGGATGTAGTTCTGAGACTGTTTAGTCTCGCCGGTGTCTTCGTCGGCTTCGGCGAAGGGGTCTGTGGCGGGGCGAAGAGAGCGAGTCAGCTTTGTTCCGCCGTTGGAATGCTTACCCCTCTATATTTCAAACACCGCATGGCGCAAGCGAAGGCGAACTCGCCATGCAAGGACACAATAGTCCCAGAGTACGGTGATCATGCGAAGGTATTCTGGACATTGAGAGCGTCTTTGGCCATGGCGATGCCAGTAATGGGAGCGTCCGGCGGGGAGTGCTCACGCGCTCACAGGGGGGAAGTGGGGGGAGCAGTGGCGACTCACCGAAGGTCTTGAGGTTTTCGATGGACATAAACTCGGCCTTTGGTCGGTAAGGGCCTTTAAAAGCGGCTTGTGAGATTGAAAGCGTAGAGAGGAGATTTAGTATCTCTGAAAAGATAGGCAATAGGGCGGTCGTAGACGGCGGAGAGTTTGAGATGCGCTGGTTGTAGGTCAGGGAAGGAATCGAAAGGAAGACTGGGCAAGGCATTTTGAGCCTTGTGGGGCACAAGAAAGCGGTGTGTGACTAAGCGATCCCTTAAGACGGTCTGGTACCTTACCTACGGGCTACCTCCCAAGCGGTTCCTAGATCATAAAGGCTTGGGTACAGAGGACCTGCAACATTGAGCGGCCGTCCTGCCGCTTAGGAGCAGTGTTCTTGGTCCTGAGGTACTACTGCCATACTACCAGTACCACTAGTAAGCACTGCTGCCCTAGTTCGCTTAACATGCTTAGTTGTTGCACTCTAGCTCGCGAGACAATAAGGACCAAAATTGCGACGTTGGAGACTCATCAGAAGAGAAGACGATATTCGTATCAATGTATGGTCATACGCTCGTCTCGAACTTCAAGTAGAAATTGCAGCTTTAGCGGCTCGACTTATTCAATAAAACAATGTATCGGGAGTGTTTGAGCAAAGACTTGGAGATTAAACATCCCTAGAATGAGGAAGATCCAACGAGCAACTTCAAGGCCCGTGAATTGTTCAAAGCTAGTATTACATTGTAATTCACTCAAGTATGTTGACCCTGCCAGCGTAGGCGTATACTTCCTCCAACCATCTCCGGTAGGTGAACCAGAGAGCGTGGACTCGAAAACACTGGGCCAGGATTCTCGCACTGACGGAAGCCTCGATATACTTGTAGTGAAGAGAGGTATCATGAGGTAAAGATCGTTTATGGCGAGGGCGAAGGAGCAGGAGGGCTGGCGGCGGTGCCCTGGGCGGCTTGAGGAGGCAAGAACAAGGGGAAATAGGTCTGTCAAGGAGTCATGAGCAACGTTTTTTCTCTGCGTGAAGTCGAGTAGGACTAAATTGTGACCACGTACAACAACGAGCGCCATCACTATAAGAGAGTTGTCATGATCAGCATTGCTTCAAGTGCAACAAGGTATCGGTGATCGGTTTCAGTACATACAGGACATGGCCACCGACATATATGCGGGGGTCGCGGCGGTCTTCTTCTGCTCGGGTGACTCGCCGAGCCAGGTCTGAAGTGAGAAGACGAAAGATACCCTGTGCAGGCCTCGTCAGCGGACGCGAACGGCGGCGCCAATTGAGGAGGTCAGTCCTACCAGCCGACCATTCTATATCACGAGCGCATGAGATAAGAAGTCGTTTATTCTGAAAATGGTCGAGTACTCTGCGGCTCACCTGTTGCGCATAAACATCTGAATATGACCGCGTGTTAGCAAGCGTCCTGCCACAAATGGTCATGAACAAACGCGTGGTACATACCGCTGCCATTGGCAATGTGCTCGACATGGTACCTAACGGAAATCATCGTCAGAACCCTCTGACTGCGCATTGTTGTCGAATTATGAGGCCATCATCGTTTGGAAGGGAACGCGGCGGGGCTGCGTACTGGACATGTCGGCATCGTTGGCGCTCTTGGGGGGATCGACATAGGGGATGGCTGCGGCGTCGTCTCAGGTTAGCTGGACAACCTTCCATGGCAAAGCTTCGACCTCCACGCCGCTCGTTCATCGAAGAACACCTACCAAGATCCGCTCGTCGCATGTCCTTGTTTGACGCCATGGCTTTGAATGTTGGAATAATGACGAGAATCGGAGGGCGCGTGTATGGGAGAAGGTGAAGTTCTGAAGCGGCAGCCGACCGATTGCCAAGATAGTTACCCGCTTGGGGCTAGACTCAACCCATTCGGGGAAGCTGAGAGATGGAAAATGCGGGGCCATCACCTGGGGTACGATTGCATGACCTGATCATCCGTCTACCCGGCTCGCCCCGATCTACAGAACGACTCGAGATTCCGTGCGAGTTTCGGTGTGCGCTGGACTCGATTGAGGTGGCCAGTTTAAGGATATCAAGCGGGCCATCAATGCAATGCAGGTCGCGGATTCACGCAAGTCACAACGTTGAGGCTGTCCCGCTAAGGCAGCAGGCGCTCTTTATTCCATGGCGGGCAAGGACCCATCATTGATCTCGCCTCCTCGTTTACTATTGGCAATCTGGACATGCAAGTTATGTGTATGCACTATGCACTGATGCAGTACTAGGAGTATTTCGACTTCTCTTACGGACAGTGCCACAGGGGTCAGGTCACAGGTGCAGTACTGGGCCAGTGGACTCAGTACTCAGTAGTGTACTACTAGTGTAGGCGTGTGGCCTCGGACCCTTGAAGCCACCAGACTTGATCTATCGACTTCTTTGATCTCGTCTTGGGGCCTGTCAAATTCGTTCGGTATAGACACGTTTTGTGATTGTCCCTCTTGAGTGCGAGGTGTGGCGGCCAGGCCTACACGGTCGCCTGCATGCGACAACAGCTCAGGGATTCCATTGAAGTGTGCACAAAGGTGTAATCCATAGTATCATTGATCGCAGAGAACCAGAAGGCTGGATATCTTCTTCGGCGGTGCCCAGGAGAGCATTGCCGAGGCCGATCGTAACCATATGGACCGTATCTACGTATCCAAGCTCACAGTATGAGCTAGACAGACATGGTAGTCAGAGACGCCTGGAACATCTTTTGAGTACGGTGGAAGTGCTCGGATGTAGATTCCTTTGATAGCGGACCCTACGCCGTACGACGCGGAGAGTCTTCCCCAAAGAGGTAAAGAGGAGCTCCGTGGACCTCGCGGGGATATGATAGTTCCAAAGGAAGTGGTGAATACGCCTTGATAACCCTATTTATAAGCAATCCATTCCTCACAGGCTCATACCTGCTCCGGTGACTGACAGTCTGACGGTCATGCCGATACCATTCACTGTGCGCTTACTCTTAGCAAATCCGAATGACCGACTTTGATTACTTATGACATTCGGTCGGATATGCACTTTATCATACATATTGTACCTATACACAATCGGACACGCCTTGCGCCAGACACCGTATGACTGTCGTTGAGTGATTGAAAAGATAGGATACGTCACATTAGCACGGACATTACGTTACGCTTGATTGTCCGTGGTGTCAATAGCAGCCCGTCACGGGCACATCATGCATTATTGGAGAAGCATTCGCCTAATGATGTTTAGTGTTCCACATCGGGAGCATTCTGGAGCAGAAGCAAATATAGGCCTTTTGTTCTAATGAAGCCTCTATATGGATCTCACACTATGAATTACCGGACGATACGATCGACTCACACCCTTATATCTTCCTGAAACCACAGATCTTTGTGTAATCCTTATTAGTATGATTATCATGCATTCGGGGGACTACCATCCCAGCCTGCAGGATACAAATTTATCGACTCCAGTGCCTACTAGTCCTACTGTCTTACTGTCCTACTGCCTTCCGCCCGGAAATCCCGAGGTGGATCCTCGCGATCGTGCGACGGTACTTACGGCAGCATGGCGGACAAAGATGACTGTACAACTACAAACTACAAAGCATTCCAGGGGTGTGCTGGAGACCTTGGAAGTTGGAACCCCGACCAGACGTGCGAAGTTATGATCGAGTACTGTGGGCACTAGGCAGTGAAATTGCATAATAATTCTAGACGAGGGATATCAAACAAGTAATGAATGTATGTGAATTACCAGTGAAGCTCGTATGGTACAGTAAATACTCAATGGAGTCAATGCCATAAATGGTACGCCAAGTGGACGGAGTGACGGACTGGGGGAGGGCGACCGCCGCAACTCCGGACTGTCGGAGACGGAGACTGGCGGACTCGTGACTGGCAAGTTGCAACCGCACGTTATCTCGCTCTCTTCCATCCCCTAAACACTTGGCCCCGATAACGCACTTGCCTTCTTTCCGCATAGTCCGGTCTCCTCGACACCGGTTGCTCTATTCTAGTGTCCTATTCTTCTTGGAAGTCCACTCGATAATCCGATCCCTATCTCCTGATCGCCATTGATTCACACTCCGCCGAATCTCTCTATATACCCGTTGGTAGGTTGCCTTCCCCCCCCCCCCCCCGATTACGCTCTTTAGCTCCCTCTGGATGCCGATCTCCTCCCGACAACTACGAGTGATCCATTTCGGCCTCAAATCTGCGATATTCGTCACTCGCGCCGGCAACAGACCCAATCTTAGCGGAAAGAGACTGATCGTGAACCCCAGACTTATAAACATTGCATATACACATCCTCGGGTCCATGCCCGACCGCTTCAACCGCCCAGATATTCCCCTAACCTTACTATTCCAATGATACCATACGCATCGAGTCTTTACGCCATGAACCTGAGATGATTCCGCATTCTTCCGCCGGCCATTCCTGGGCCTATCCGATGCGTGATCCCAATGGAGGACCTGGTCGGCTTGATCTGGCACAAGCGGCTGGCCACTTCGATTCACCATCGACCGCCGCGCAGCAGACCGCGGGACTCATGCAGTCGCAACCGGCGGCCCGCCCTACACCTACCATCGAAGCTGGGAGTACGGGTTCCCATGATCGGGCACCACCCTTGAAAAGGCCGAGACTGGACCTTTCCGGCACCTCCAACCTGAGCGATGGTGGCTCGGCCATGTCGAGTACAGAGCCTCGAAGCACACCCACCGGCACAGGCTCACGGCCGCAGCTCTCATGGCGAGGAAGGCCTGCTTGGTCGTTTCAATCTGTCATCTCAGAGATCCCTGGCCATGACGCTCGAGGGGATAATGCTTCGGGGTCGAAGCCATCATCTCCTCCTCCATTCCCTGCGCAGCCATGGACAAGTATCACATCGATTCGCCTGCCAGACACAGACTCGGGTCTCTGTGACCCTCCACCCGTCAAGAACGTATCGACCACGCCTTATCGAATCGAAACACCTTCTACGGCTCCGATTCTAAAGGGCGACAGTAAGCGCTCCCTTGTTAATTCTGCTGGCAATATCCACTCGTGTCGAGTATATATTATAGCTAACGAATCTGAACAGAGGTTGCCGGGTTTGCACCGTGGACGGGCAATCACCCGGAAGATATACTAAATGAGCAAACGGCAAAATCCGGCTACTACGATCGGACGCAAGTATCTCAAAATGAGTCCAACACCGCTCGCCCCGCACTCTATGCTCAGCTCAAGCACCGGACGGGGTTACAGATGCTTTCCACGGTCTTCACTGCAGCCCTGGAGAAGCGCCAGAATCACAGCACTGTGCATACCCCATCAACCTTCAAACCACCGCCTCGAGTCACGCTTACTGATAACAAGCGCGAGGCCTGGCTACGTGATTTAGCCAACTCCGCCGTACCCCTTCGCCGACTCAGCCGAACGATTCCTCATGGTATTCGTGGCAAGGTATTGCTGGACCAATGCCTTGGCAAATGGATACCCATTGCTCGTGCAGTCTGGCTAGCAAAGTGTGTGGGCGCGAACGAGATTCGCGCCTTCAAACGAAAGGGTACAAGTGGTGCTTTGGCCACGGGTCTTGAGGTCAAGTGGGTTCGTGAATGGACGACCAATGTGCAACAATTCGTGGAAGGTGTCTTCACCGCGCCCAAATCCACTGATTGGAAAACCAAAATGACTTACGCAGTAGGCTTGTGTGCGCGTCTGTTCTATGAAAACTTGCTGGACCATGAACAATTTCTGGACTGGTTTTTAGCATCCTTTGGAGCTGCGCCGTTGGCAACTGTCCCCATCTGGTTGCTGATGCTAGGAATGTATTGGGACAACATCATGCGATTTAGGCGGCGAGCCAGGCGTCTGGCCGAGATCCTCCTGGAGAAGCTCCGCCAGACGACGGCCGCTGAAGTCGATGCTTTACGTCCCCTCCTAGACCGTCTATCTCGCTTTGTCAGGAAGATCGTTCACGAACATACGTCTTCGATGATTCTTCCTAATGCATGGCCAGTGTATAACAACCACGTTCGACAGTGTCTAGACCTGTCGAAGAAAGTCGATTGCGCGCTTCTTCGCACCGTCGCAACACGGAATTTACGGGTGCAAAGACCTCAAAGTTCCCAACTGTCAACCCAGCCCTCATCCCATCAGCGCGTCATACACCTTTTCGATTCCGTTCATACCGCTCACGATGCTCTCGCCGCATCAGCTGCCTGCCTCGATGCGCTTGATGACGGAGTCGCTCTCGTGTCGAAGTTGCTCGAGTGGCTTGCAACTCCCTTCCGACACGGTATCTCCCGTGTCTACGTAGGAGTCCGTCTTCTGCGCCGATGGAAGGCATGCGGCGTGGATGTAGACCAACACATCTTGACCTTCCTCGCAACTACAGGGACTGGCAAGAACTTGAATTTGGAGAATATTTACCATACCATCTCTGAGCTCGTGAGATCCCAAACGTTTTCGGTCGGTCGCTATCTTCAATGGCTAATGGCCAAGGGAGCATCAAGCCGCCAACTCGATGACAACGTTCCCTCGATCTCCAGAATGGCGGGTGACATTGAGCTCATCACGCAATTACCGACTTGCCGCCTCCCGGAACACGTCGGCAACCTACGGAAAACTCTCATGGCGCGGACTGGATATTCCACAGCAGAGGAGGTCCAGATGATCGAGGAAATCAAGACTTCAATCACGCTTCGGCTTCCGGAACTCTTCGACTCGACGCTAGCATTTAACGCTTCCCTCCCCTCGCTGCCAACAAGTCGCTCATGGGCCGTCAAAGCAGAAGTCACACAGTGGCTTCGACGTTCTGTCGTCGACTACACTCGTACCAGCTCATTGATGCAGCAAGCGTCATTACCTACTTTTTCCAGCGAAATTTGCGCCCTTACGCCTGAAGAATTCTCAACGGTACGGGGCGTACTGGAGGAGTTTGGAGACATCTCCATTCTGGCGGATGTGCTGAACGTGGCATCCAGTTCGGATAATGTCATCGTCCTTGCTTCCATTGCCGATACCATTAACTTTCATTTTGATGCGTTGTCTGTGATAGGAGCCACAACGGACCTTTTCCGGAAACTCGTCGGTGCTTATTCTAACATCAAAAGAAATAACGTTCCGAGCCTTGATGTTATCTTCTCACTCATCGAGCTTAGCCTCCGTATGCCCAATGAAGGTCATATCGTTGCAATCCTCCGTCAAGATCTCTCGCGTCTGGAGAACAGGTCTGTTGTGGCTGCTTGTTCGCCAATCTCAGATCACATTCCAGATAGTCTTGCTGACGCAGATCCCCTACTGAGGGAGAAGCTCGACCAGCTCTTGCATCTTGGCAACGTGATTGATGAACCGACCATGGATGCGGTATTTCGTTCTTTGACAAAACACCTGGAGGGTGGTGATGACAATTCGAGCCTGTCAATGAACGACACCTGCAGATATCTGGTGCAATTGCGATCTTTCCACCCGAAGCATTTTGATGTGACGCTTGCCCGATGGGTGTGCATGCATATGAAATCTCCTGACCGTTCGAATTTGATGCGTATCTTGCCTTCGTTGATCGGCGTCGGGTGTGTGACCATTCGATCATTCTGGTGTCTTGCAAAGAGGCTGTCTGCCTCCCCTGGCTCCATCCCAAATGCTGCGATTCTACCCGCCGAGCTGATCCAACTTTTGATGACCGGCGACCAGGACGCGCTGTCCCTTGACCTCGTATCCTATCGTTTCAATATGGCCCGACAGCAATTCATCTCTGATAACACGGACACCATTCTCTCATCCATACAAGATGCTGCGGCCTCTCTAAATAGCGTCGACGGAGCTTTGATTGCCAAATTTGACAACTTAGAGAACACGATGGCCAGGCTGTTGGTGGAGTTGCTAACGCGTAAGCCTGTGCACTCGAGCCATTACTGTTCGGAGCGAATTCAAAATCAGCCCGCTACTTTCTCATCCGTCGTCAGAGAAGCCCTCGATATTCTTCTTGGGGCGGAAACAATGAATGGACCTCACACAGTCATTGCCGAGGTCGAAAACCTTGCTCTCGGGGCCGATGAATTTTCGCTTCCGCTCTGCCGGCTTAAACTTCGAATGATTTTCCAGGCACAAACAAACCTCGAGAATCGGAGCAAGCTAGTTGATGCCGTGTTTCGGACCGTGGTTGCAGGCGTCGGGGCGCACAAGTCTCAATGGACCGATCTTGTCGCTATGATGAGCTCTGACTCTGTGCGTCAGATCCGTGAACGGGCCGAGAAAGAGTTTCTTGCCACCCCACTTTTGGAAGAGTCCGTAATTTCCGAAGGCATGGGGAACTTGGACGCCGCAAAGCTATACCTATCAATCATCGAGCAACTTGCGTATAGTATTCCGGAATCTGGTGTGCCCACAATCGCACCTCTCATCGTTGAGAAACTGGAAAGTCTCCTGCAAAGGATGGTTATGGTTCAGAACAGCCAACTTGAAAACCACCGCGCCCCAGGCACTGACGACGGATACCGAGATATGCATCGTATACTGATCTTTTGGTGCTTGGCGTTGTTGAGATTAGTTGCTCTTCACCGGACCTCTTTTACTCAAGCACATGTCACTGCTAAGACCGGCTTTTCGCAAGAACAGTCTCGTTTGCTGGTCTTGATCTTCTCGATTGCTCTTTCTCGCCTGTCGAACATCAATTTGTCGGACAACCTTTCCGGACCAGAACCCTCTCGCATACCAGCGGTTCATGACGAAAGTCAATCGTGCTCTGATGTTCCTTTGCAGACCCACGCTTTGGATCTGGCAGCGATCTTGATTGATGTCTTCCCTGATGAGGCTCGCCACCAGTGCGCAAGGATACTGAAAGAGAAATGTCCCCCCTTTGCGCCTCTCCTGACCGATCAACGTTTTGTCTACTTGTTGGGACCCTCGTCCGACCTGAACGTGTCCGCTGCGCTCCAGTCCACATCTGTCCAGTCTCCCATGGGCTCTGCCTCAACGCCTACACCACTTCCTCCCAACGCTACTACCGTGCGTGAAGCAACTCAAAGTGCACTTCCCACTAGCACGAATGCGGGACCATCCGAAAACCCGGGGTGGGTCATAAACCGGCTACGCTATGAGCATCGCGGGCGTGTAATTGGACCATACCCCATCCGACCTTGGGAGTTACTCGAGGATGCTGCTCCCTTTGTTGGTATAAACGACACTGCGGTGAACCTGGGATATTTTGACGCACGACGTGTGCGTGTGTGATCCCATCTCGATATATATTCGGAGCCATTTGTCTCCCTTCTTGCGGTCTCGACATTCAACAAGTAGGATTCACCTGTTGTGTCTGGCGACTGCCCCAGGAATTAGGTCTTCTTGTGGGTTAATTCTCAACAACCGCTTCTCTCACCCCGCTCCCCTCGTCTCAACGATCTCAGCCCTATCAAATTTTCACTTTCCTCCTCACACATCATATCCACTATTCTTCTCCGCGCCCATGGCCCTTCGAAGAGGGTCGCACTTGTCGTGGCCCGGAGCATATTCATATACGATACCCACTTCCACACTCGCGCGTTGTTCAGCCGCCTTCTTATAGCCACTCTTACCATTATTCCCGTCATTCATCATCACCATCACCATCACCATGTGCTTCTTCTCCCTGTCTCCTTGCATCGGCGTTGACTATAAAGTCTTTGGCATATATTGGCGATAGGAAGAGCATAGAAGAAATCTTGAGTTCTTTGGACGATTGAGAACCATTTCCATCCTTTAAATCCTGGTTCTAGGCATCAAAATTCTTCAACCTAAGCTCTGAATCGGGGCCTATGTAGAAATTCTCTTGCAAGCCGACCTCATCTTTACCCATGCCTTGAATCCTGTATCTTTTGCGTTATGTGGAAATTGGAATCTGTATCCACAGGAATGCGACCAATCTCCGCCAGTCACCCATATACCTTAGGCAGTCATGCGCCATATGTCAGTGCAAAGAGATTACCATGACACTTACTTCCCTGTACCCGTAAACATGGCCATGTCTCTACTTGGTATGAATACTTTGTGCTGTATACTTGAAGGTCACCAGTCACTCAGCACAAAAATCCTCGACCTTCATACCCCCAAAAAAGTCAAACCTGGCTCAACTTCTTCACACCACATTCCTACTCTCACGTACTCCTACACAATCGAAATAGCTTCATCAGGCTACTGGGAAATTCAAATAATAATAAAGTCGCATTTTGCTAGTCTGCCTACTGCCTGCTGTCTGTCTGACATTCTGAGTAGCTAAGAGTTTGTGACTTCGTTGTTTTTTTTTTCGTTTCTCGTGGCATTCATCATCTTTCATTTCTCGTTGCTCGTGGCTTGATCACCGTCCTGTCTCTGTGGGCGGTGACTTCATGGTCATTCTTTCTTCGTGTCTCGTGGCTTCACGCATTTCTTGTTCGTGTCTGTGTGTTTCGTGCTCTCGTATTTCTGGGTGTCGCATCATGGGGGAGAAAAGGCCAAGAAAAAAAAATCAAAAACAAGGAAAGGGGGATCGGGACGTATCAAACTCCATAACTGTGCTGAATTCCAATCTGTTTGTCCCGTGTGCACTCCGAGACTCCTGTATCAATCTAAGAACTGGATGATGATCTTTTTTTTGTCTGATGCATTTTCGAATTTGATGCCAATCTCAATGCATGTTCAGGCTCATTTTCGATCCAAGGTCCAATTCACCGAGTCAAAATAACAAAAGCAAGTGAAAGCAGCAGCGAGAACAAAAAAGAAGCAATGGGAAGGGGTAAGGGTGTGTAGAAGCAGTTTCGAAGCAGCAATGTTATGTCGCTTTTTGTACGCCTCTATGCCATGGAGGCAATGTCCATAGAGGACTCATATGCATCGCATTCGTGAACCGACATGCTTGATTTGAGAGGGGAGCCAGATCGCGGACCACAAGCCGAGACCGAGCGCGAGCGAGAAGTCGAGGCATGGCTTGGAGACAGCGATGAGGACTGAGACTGACAGCGACGACGAGCAGCAGATCCTCCGCGGGACTCAGAGCGCGAGCAAGACTCGACTTCAGTGACGGACTCGTCATCTTCAATTCCCATGGCGGCCCTCTTGGCTTCCTCTTCGAGGCAGAGCTGCTCAACTTTGGCTCGAACTCGCTCTTCGTCTTCCTTTTCGTTGGGGTTGTGGACGTAGACGAGACGGGGGGCTTTCTCGCGGACCTTGGGGTTCCAGGGACAACCGCCAACGGTCTCTTCGTCTTCAGCGGCGGTCTCTTCCTTGACCGAGGTGGCATTCTCAGCCAGGGGCACCACAGTGGATGGGGCAGCCTCGCTTGACTTGTCAGAAACAGGAGTGGCGGTGTTCGCAGTGTTGCTCTCTGGCAGTCGGACAATGACAAGAGGCTTCTGAGTGGCGGGAGATTTCTCGTCTGGTGGTGTCGGAGGGGTGTTGGCAGTGTCAGTCCAGGACTCGTTGGGGCTTAGACGATGAGGCATGTGCGAATGGCCCACCCAATTCTCGACGTGGGCCTGGTTAGGTGGATAAGGGTAGTGGTATGGATTCTGGTAGCCGCAGTTGGCTGGAGGATGGTGCGCCCAGTTCTCGGCATGGCCATGGTTAGGTGGATAAGGGTGGCAGTATGTGTTTTGGTAGCCATAGTTGGCTGGAGGATGCATGTAGTTATGTCCGGGATAGATTGGTCCCTGGTAATTGGGATGCTGATGTCCATTCCAAGGATAGATGCCACTACCGGGCACGAAGGGAACCATGAAAGGAGGAGCCCACATGTCAGGTGAAGGACGAGCACCCATGTAACCGGCATGTGCATTCTGACCGTAGTTCTGGTAGTGCTGGAAATTCTGGTAGTGCTGGAAGTTCTGGTAGTTCTGGCGATGAAAGTGATGGTAGCCATTGACATCCGAATTATTGTTGCGGTTGTGATGGTAGTAACGAGTGCGATGACCACCACGCCCAAAAGTGTGCTTGGGTCGTGGAGGAAGTTGATGATTCACCGCGGTTGAGGAAGCAGAGCCTTCCGCGGAGCCATGAGAGTCGGATTTGTTCTCCATTTCGTAAGGATGCAGGTAGAACTTTTCGTCTTCGTGAAAGTCCTGCGCAGGAACGAGTGGAGTAAGCATGAGATCAGTATGTTTCTTGTGAAGGAATTTTGAAGCAGGTAGCAGGCGAATGTAATTTTTGGGTTGGGAAGAGAAGAAAGTAAGGAAGAATGAAAGAAAAGGATGGGGATTAAAGAGAGGTGGCAGAAAAGGAGTGAGATGAAATGCTGGCGTGTTGATGTGCGAAGACAGTAGGTTGGAAAAGGTAGGGCAAGCCCACTACTCCGAAGACGGGGGGCCCTCGAGGGAGAAGCAAACAAACACGTACCTTGATAGCATCACGATAGTCATCGACGTACGCAAACGTGATTTTGGCTACGTCGGTCCACTTGCCCAGACCGGTCTGCTGCGACTCAATTGTGCAGTCCTCAAGGGTACCACGATTGGCCATAACGTCAACCACGTCCTGGTTGGTGACGGGCTGTAGAGAACGAAGTCCAAGGCACGCAACACCTGTATCAGGTCAATATCAAGTTGCTGATAATGGTTCAAATTGTGTCTCGGAGGTCTCAACTTACGCTGGGCTTTGGCCTTCTCGAGTCTCAGCATACGGCCGTAACAGAAGGCTGGCTCTTCACACGCCAGGGCTGCCTCTGCGTCCTCCACCCGCTGAACGGACAAGAATGATATCAGAATGGAAGCTTCTTCATGACCACGAACCATGCACACAATCCAAAGAGACTGCGTTGCTTTCATTGAAAAGGATAAGGGAACTTACCTCATACTGAACAAACGCCCCAGGGAGGCCCTTTTTCCGGTCCTGTTTGATCTTGACATGGCAAGGGCCAAACTCGCTGAAGAGAAACTCCAGCTCCTCGACTAATGCGTCGGGGGACACTCTGGTAGAAAGACTATCATGCAGCATGGTTAGTAAAGACCACATCCCCTTTGCTTTCTTTTTCACGTCCCTTTCTAATCATCCTCGGCGTACAGAGTAACGAAGTGCCGCGTCAAGTGACGGATTGACTTACTTGCCAACAAAGATACACGCTGCTGGCGGGAACAATCCCTGCGCATTCTTGCCCGAAGGCTCCTCTTGCAGACGATCGCTGCGTGGGACTGCAGCCATAGCCTGGACCGCCATTTTGGTCTCTTGACACATGGAGATGAGTTTGCTCACAACAATCAACTATCAAGAGACGAATAGAGCCAACGATGCTGTGGGCGAGATACGAGAAAGTTCACGTATTGCAGACAAGCGTTGAGACAGATCGGTGGAGGAAGAAAATACTTGGGATGCAGAGGATGAGTACATGTAGCTGGAACTCGTCATCTTTTTGATCATCCTCCGCATCCCAGTCGGGAGAAGACTTTTCCTATTTTGCATAATGCCCTAAAGAAGCGGCGGCGATGCCTTATTTTGCGGCCGAAAGTCTGGGGTGATCACTAATGAGCCATGGATCCGGGGAGATCAAAGAGAAATGGGACTATGGGGCACACCTTTTTGAGTCAGAACTAGCCCTATAGAAAGCGTCGCAGAAGTAGGGGAGAGTCATTGTCACATCATGATTCCAACTGATGCTCAGAGTCTGCTGCGCTACAGGCTGCTGGGGAGGTATGAAAAAGGTGCAATCCATGGATCAAGCTTGTTGGCGGCCGACAGAAGAAGACCGATGCTGAATTTGGCGCTTTCCTAATGTAGCTCGCACTAGTCAAGCGAGCTCATCTCGCTACCTGAGAGCTCATTCATACCATACCATCCAACATGAAGCAAGGTACGGTGTGACGAAAACGAGTTGGTCCCTGTCCATGGTTTAATCGGATTTGTGCATGGAAAAATGTGAATTGTTTTCACTGCTCTTCAATGCATGTTTGGTCTTCACCGCAAAATTTCCAGCTTGCAAACAGATGGAAGGAGCAGCGGATATGCTGTATAGTTCCATGGAATCAAGCTTTGGTAGATCATCCGCCAACCCGCCCTTTTGGGTCGGCTGAGGCACCCGCCACGAATTTGGGGGGCTGGGGGAAAATGGCAAATCTAGTTAGGGCAAGAGCCTCAGTGGTCTACTACAGCTTCATAGTTCATTCAAATGATTGACAGACTTGTTGTCTTCTCAATACTGGTCAGAACACCGGGTTGAGTGCTGGTTATGCGAGGTCTATGGCCTCGTTTAGATGGATAGGGCACAGGCTTTCTAGTCAGCAATGGGATCCATTCTGGCACTTCTTTGCGTCGCCTTTTTCCGGCAGTAGCACACATCGTAGCCGAATCGATTCCATCCCCACAGAACGTTTGTGGTATGATTATACCGATAATTTGTCTACAAAATTTCTCATTGATTAGCTGTTCAAACTCTTGATTTGAGTCAACATTTTCAAAGATCTTCACTGAATGATCAATCATCCATGATCGATTGGATTTCCGTCGCATTCCCGCGATCTATGGGGGCTAACGACACATTTCTTCATGGAGGGTGACCCGAACTCTCTGAGGAAGGACAGAATACCTCGTCATCATTACCCCGACGAATCAACCAAACCTTCCAGCTTCCAGTTGGAATGTTGTCACTCGCAACACAGTCTTCATGTACACACGTACCCGACATACAGTAGAGGTTTGTAACTTGTGCGGTACCTGCTGCAGGTGGAAGAGGCTTGGCACCTGGCGGCTCAACTGCTGTATCAGGCTAGGCATATCCATAGGTATATGTCCACAACCCACAGGTTCATATCTACTCGGGTCTACATTCCCAGCTGGAGGTTCACGAGCTTCACGAGGTACATGGATCCTTGAGTCCAAGCATCAGCCAAGGAAGTGTAGAGGCCAAGCTCATAGAGAATTAAGTGACTATACACGAACAATCACTCCTCCGTCGACATTTCACGGCTTGTTCGTCTAGGTTGGTCAGTACCTCGATAGTCGATACACACATGTGCTATGTGACATGCAGTGGAATCGACGCCCAGCCTTGGCATTTCCGCCCCGACCCGATGGACTTGACAGGTTGCTTATCTTATCGTGGCACATCTGCGCGCAGGTCCTGACGCCACTCCATGGAGCCGACATCATTTTTAGTTCACAATAAGCTCGAGCTTTTTCTCAAGTTCTCCTTCTGTTTCAAAATTTCGAGATCCTGTCACAGACAGCTCACTGGTACATAAGACGCGATGATTCCAACACGAAGACTAGCAGCCCCCAGTGGCTTTATGAAAAAAAGCGCCGAGGAACTCGGCCGCCTCTCAAGAATTGGTGAGTGTTGCCATGTTGCCGTCGTTTACAGAGCGATGAGGAAGCTGACTGCGACACATTCATATACCAGCATGGAACGCGGAAGCTCTAGGAACCCCGACCAAGCCCTATACACTTTTGAATTTCGAAGATGCCTCCACGGTGGCGGGCTGCAAGACAATGGCCGACCGTGCCGTGGGCGGGTTCAGTACTGCAGGCCTAGACTTCGAACCCGCAGACCCTGCTTCCAACACACCTGCACACGCCCGCTTCCATGGAAATATTTCAACCAAGTTGCCGGCGAATTGGCGCGTGGAGCGCACAGGTACATTTCCCACACTCGCGCACCTTCAAAAAGAGACCACCAAGACTGAGACATCGCCTGGGTTATCGTGAACAGGATACGCGGCATTCCGCAATCAAGATCGCGGATTCTGGCTCTTTGGCCGTCTGTACTGGGACGTGGACCCCTACGCCTACCTGGCACTTCGTATCAAGTCCGATGGTCGACGATACACCGTAAACATACAGACCGACTCGATCATTGAGACCGATATCCACCAACACAGACTTTACACGCGGCATCACCGCGTTTTCGGCCAGACGCCGATGCAGCAGGCTTTGAATGCCAAGTCCGACGAGAACGCCGAGATCGCAGAGTCACAGCGTTCGCGGGACATTCCAGATGGCCTGTCGGATTACCCACCCGAGTCCACAATCCTATCTTCATCCTCAAGCGCCACGACCGCTGGTATTACTGGGTGGGAGACGGTTCTCCTGCCATTCACTTCATTTGTGCGGACCAACCACGGATATGTCATGGAGCCACAGACATCTTTGCTTCGATCGCGGGTGAAGAGCATTGGAATTGGTCTCACGGATCGTATCGAGGGACCATTTGATCTACGCATTCACAAGATCTGGGCCACGAATGGCATGGGTGAGGCTGATATTGAAGAGGAGCGGCGCATTTGCGGCACAGATGCGCTCCCTCTTGATGTGGGTTTGCAGTCGGGGTGGACCGATCAACAGCGCGGCAAAGAGACTACAAGTCAAGTCGGCGCTACACCAAAGGAGAAAGGCCTGAAGGGGTTGAAATCAGAGTGGGATGACTAAATAGCCCTGTGACATCCTTATTGAAAATATCTGTACATTAAGACACACTTCCAGCTTCTTACCACCTCATGCCAGAGATCAAGAAAATCCTGTGATTCTCAGACATTCGTTCAAGTCATACTCGAGGTCAACGCGAGACGTCTGGCATGTCGAAATGTAGAAATGATACTCGCCCAGACTCTTACGTGCAAGCTTCCCTAGATTGCCCTCTATTGGTTGCCGGTGATCTTCTCCCAGGCCTCCTTATACTTCTCCGCCGTTTTCTGGACGACTTCCTCGCTCATACGAACACCCTCCTTGCCCTTGAGGCCCTCAGAGACCAGCCAGTCACGCAGGTACTGCTTGTCGAAACTTGCCTGACCTTGCCCAATCTTATACGAGTCCTTGGGCCAGAAGCGGGAGGAGTCGGGGGTCAGAACCTCGTCGGCCAGCACAACCTCGTTGGTTTCCTCGTCCACGCCGAACTCGAACTTGGTGTCTGCAATGATGACTCCTCGCTCCAGAGCATAGGCATGAGCCGCCTTGTACAGCTGCACGGCCAGCGAGGCAACGGTAGACGCGTAGGGTTCGCCGACAATTTTAGTCGCTGCGAATGGTCAGAGAGTTGAACTCCAGTTCCTGAATATCACATTACTGCACGTGACCATGCTCCTCCACATACCTTCATCGGGGTGGATGTTCTCGTCGTGCTCACCCAACTCAGCCTTCGTGCTAGGTGTGTAGATTGGACCATCGGGGAAAGCCTCGCTCTCCTGAAGTCCTGGCGCCACCTTGATGCCGTGGACAGTGCCAGACTTCTGGTACTCCTTCCAAGCGGAGCCAGTAATATATCCACGGACGATGGCTTCAATGGGAAGAATACGCAGCTTGCGCACCTGCATGCTTCGTTTCTGTAGCTTAGGACGCAGCGACTCGGGGATCTGCGGTGGGAGGTCGAGTGTAATGAAGTGGGTGCGCAGGGAGGGAATGGCCTTTGTCAAGATCTCGAACCAGGTCTTTGTGCAAAGTGTGAGTAAGACGCCTTTGTTGGGAACTCCCTGAAGAACCGAAGATCTGGTGAGCATTTGTGTCACGTCGCGCAAATGTGGAATTGTCTCATATGCGTACATTCTCCATAATCACATCGTAGGCTGAGATGCGATCACTAGCAACGAAGAGTAGTGTCTTGTCATCGACCTCATACAAGTCGCGTACCTTGCCACTGGCAACGAGAGGCAAAGCGCCCTGCAGATCAATTTTAGTGATAGCTTCCGACATGGTGGATATACGTCAATTGAACGATTGAGTAATTGAGGAAGAAGAAGGATACCGAAGAATTACTATGCGTCATCCGTCGCATACATATTTTTTGGCGGGGCACCCGCAGATTACGCTCGTTTGTCGCCTCAGGCACTTATCGCATGGCTTATCGCATGCCTCTCTAAACGCGCCTCAATCACGTCGAGAGCTCCAAGAAACAAAGACGGGGTAGACAGTGCTAGCAATGGGCTGACTTTCGACATAATGGCACGGTATCTGACCCCTTGGAGAACATCTCTACTGTGCCTGATCAAAGTCTATACCGATGGGCTCGTACCAAACTCAGCAACTGTCGACGTCTTGTCTTTCCTTACCGCAGGACTATTCCCTCTGGATCCCGCCGATAAGCAATGGGAAAAACATTACCTTCCAAGAATCACCGATATTGAAGAAGCACTTTCTAGCCATGAATCGTCTGTTCCAGGTCGATCAGTATGGGATCTGTTTCTCAAGAAGATCTGGTCTCTGGATTCATTAGATGCCCTCGAGGTATTCTACATCGATGAGTTACCTTCATTGTTGACGAAGACGCGCGACGAACTCATTGCAGATCGCGACAATGGTCTTGCACCGGAGAATGAGGGCATGCGATTGTCCCGGAGCTCGCCTCTCGGTGCATTCGTGCGCAGAGCATACTTGGAGTATTCGAGGCTACAATTCCATGACTCAGTGAACTTGTGGTCCGCTTTTGTAAAATATCGGTTGCCGACGTACCAGATGTGGACCCGAAGAAACGCATTTGACAAGCAAGCACCTATCGATGTGAACTTGCCTCTGGATGATTTTCATTCCAGTGCGCATCTTGCGCATGTTGTCTACGGTGATATCGAGAATAATGAAGAAGACGAAGGGTTTGCGAGCACCAAGGACGCAGACCGACTTATCGAATTTCAGGTCGGCGAGCTGCAGAGTATGTCCTTTTCAATGCTCGGCTTCTCATAACTTTGCGCTGATCTTGAACAGGACATGGCGGGCGGGTTCCAGAGGAGATGCGAGTGCACCTGAAGCGTATCATGACTTCAGATTCAAGTGCACCGTCGATGGTTTACTACCTTGAGTGAGTGATTTTAGGGAAACACACACATGGAATTCTCGAAGCATGGCGACTCATTTGATCGATTATTATAGATATCTTGACGCTTGGAGAGCTGGTGATTACACGTCTGCATTTGACAATCTACATCGGTACTTCGATTACACGATGCACAGCAACGCCGATCGAAGCGCCTATCAATTTGCGCTTCTCAATCTTGCCATCATCCAAGCTGACTTTGAGTGCTTCGGCGAAGCTATCTCTGCAGTGCAAGAGGCTGTTGCAATTGCGCGCGAGTCTCATGACATGAATTGTCTCAACTTCTGTATGAGCTGGCTATACCATTTCGGCAAAGCCTTTCCCGAGCAAATGCGAGAAGTCCAAAACAGTGGTATGCTTGGCAATGAAAAGGAAGGTCTCGCCTTCCTCAAGGCAAAGTCCAAAGAGACGGAGATGTGGTCGCTCATGAGCATGACATTCCTCAGCGAGGCGAAGCTGGAGATGCAGCAGGTGCGTGTCGATTGACTCCAGTCTGAATATGACATAAGAGAGCTGTCACTGATACAAGATAGGGCGAAAGTCTTGCTACCATTGTGGAATCATTCGTACGAGCATCCCACATAAACGTCACCAAAGCCCTTGCCAATCCCACTGGGCCGTACATGCTTCTTCGAAGTGCCATGTACGCACGAATAGGTATGTGTGCGCCGACTGGCCCAAAACACTTCGTCGACTAACGAGCGAGAACAGGCGCGACCCATCTTGCTTGGCTTGACACGGAGACCTTCCACGAATGTTACAAAGATGGTCATCCATATGAGGATTTCGTCAAGTTGACGTACCGGAACTGTCAAATCGTAAGTCTTTAAATGCTTGAACGATACGCGAACCCCAAGCTAAGTGTCACACGATAGCTGTCACAAAAGGGCAAGTGGAAAGAAGCGACAATTCGAATGAATAGTGTCGAGCCAGAAAGGCTGAGAGCTTTCAAGTACAACAACTCTTGGGCGTACTACTCTGGTCTTCTTCAGCTGCGACGGCAAATTAACAGGTAGGCCGCGAGATGTACGCTTGCACGACACTGCAGAATTTCTGACTTCTCGACAGGGATGACAGGGTAGCTGTGGAACACATTCTCGCCCAACTCCAAGCCATACAACTTCTTGACTTTGATATGCGTCTCCTGCTTGCTTTTTACACCATAGAATATACCCTCCGTCAAGGCGACACGGGCCGCGCGCTGCGTATGGTCGAACAAGCCGCCGCTTCCATGCAACCCGAGAACTTTGACATCCACTGCCAGATAAAGTTCCTCTGCCTCAAAGCTCAAATCCTAGAGAAGGCCGGCCGCCCGCAACACGGCTTTTCTCTCGCCATGCGTGCCGCAAGCATTGCCTATCGATCAAAGGTACTGTTCGACCTATGGGAAGCCATCTGTACACTTGCCGCTGTGCTTCTGTCTCTGCGCGAATTCGAAGCCGTCGTCGAGTTGATCGAGAGCATCATACCTCAGATTCTCGAAGCCGAGGACTCTGCTCTGACAGCGCGAGCATACTCACTGCTTGTTGATGCGAATATGGGCATCGCAGGAGGACTGTGGTCCCAAGGAAGACAAGAGAGTACGATGGCCGCCAAGGAGTACATCAATCGTGCCCTGGGCTACATCGAATCAGCTTACGATGCGTACGAAGAGATTGAGGATATTTTGGGCCAAACAGAAATGATGGCCAAGAAGGCTACCGTGATGCATCTGACGGGCGATCCCGTCTTGGCAAATGACTATGCTGCAAAATACCTGGATCTGCGAAAGCGCAGAGGCGCGGAGATATGACGAGGGGTGTGATTAGTTATCATCAGTGCCTGTCCTAGTGTTCAATAGAAGGTGAAAGCCGTATTCCAGAGAAATGCAAAGCATGGTCCTCTTCAGCATTACTTCCTGTAACAATGTGCGAAACCTACGTCGTGACTGGTTGGCAGCAAAATAAACCAATGACTTCCCTATCTGTATATTCATGGCGTAGGTTTCCTGTACAATCGGAACTATGCTTGCCAGGTTAAGTTGTAGACGATCAAAAATTAACCTGCAAGCTCTACGCCTGAGAGACGCAATAGTCCCTCCATGGTCAACTGAATCAGGCGACTTCAATTTCAATGACGGAATGAGCAGAAACAAGTATGAAGCGAGAAAAAAACGGTAGGAAAGCTTCAAGTTGATTCGAAACACTAATTTGACTCCCCCAGAATCGCGGACTCAAAGGCTTCGCGCGCCACATCTGTAGTAGAGATACATGTACATGTACGTCGAATTTCCAACATCCCCTGCGGGCAGCAATGAGACTCCCATATGAGCTTCTGATCGTTGAATTTCTGACTGAAGTCAACGAGCTTAGGTAGCCTTGTCCTTGTTGTGGTAGTTGACCTCGGAGTTCCAGCTGGAGGCTCGTTAGCGTGTGGTCATCAAAGGTCACAAGACCATGTCTGTCATGCGTGGTGGAGAATCAAGAAGGAATGCATAAAGAGTATGCAAAACAGCAAGAGTGAGATCAGAGGACTAATCAGAGTGGACGCTCTGAAGACATGGACATGGTCACTTACAAAATGGTCTGTAATCAAAATATGATCAGCCATCAGCTCCTCACTTGTTTATCGCGTGCATTTGACAAAACTTACCTTGTCACCATCACCCCAGGGGTAGTTCTTCACACGGACGTTCTGGTAAGGGTACTCGGTGCGCTCCTCGAGAGGAGGCATGTGGTCCCAGTGCTCCCAGTGCTCGTTCCACAAGTTGTAGGCATTGAGACCACCGCCGATCAGGCAAGGAATGACGGCGCTGCGAGGAAATTTCGTAAGTCATGGGATTCCCTTCAGGCGACAGTAGGTTGTCCGCATCGCTAGTACGCCAAGAGATCCACATACAAGATAGAGAGCTTGCGCCAGAGGTCTGCAAGTCCATTGAGTTAGTAAGGTGGTCATGTATAGCTCAACGCAAACTGGAGAGCATGCGCCCGATACTTTGGGACCAATTGCATTTATGACGCACCGCTGGTAGAGGCAGCGTGGTGCTTGACAGCAGCACGCTCACGGTTGAACTCGTTGTCGACGATCCAAGAGGGCTTGGCCTCGGCGGAGTTGAAGCGGCGCTGGGCGACAGAGCGAGCCTGCTGGGAGGCACGCTGAGCGAGGCGAGCAATGTTGCGCTGAGCGAACATGGTGACGGTTGTGGGGTTGCAAATACTTTGCTGGAGGGGAGAGATTCGAGGCACGTCGTACGTTGTTGAAATCCGAGCCGCTTTAGTGGATTCCCGTGATCCCCCGGCTTATGTAACCTGACGACACCATACGTGTCACGTGACACTCACCTACCAGCACGGGCGTGAGCTCTGAGTGCTGGTGCCTGGTCGCTTTGATTGAACAGCTAGGGTTTCGTTTGCTTCGAAATTTTCTCCAGCATAAGCACGAGGTAATGTCGTATTGGTCTGTGCCAAAATCGCGGACATGGGGCTCCGCATCACGACGTGGAACGGTAAGTGGCTCATTCGCGTTCTGGGAGAGTGGGCCTTGATAGCTGGATGATGCTAATCAAAGTCCATAGTGAATGGCATTCGGTGCGTAAAATATGGTTAAGGCTTATCGGAACAGAAAGGCTCACCAGTTGATCATAGTAATCCATTCTCGTACGAGCCATGGAGGGGAACTCGGACTTTTGAGGTAAGACGTCATGGCTCGTGTCAAAACTTCGGGATGCTAAAGACTGGATCTAATAGGCCATGTTCAAAATTCTGGAATCAGACATTGTCGTTTTCCAGGAAACTAAAATTCAGCGGAAAGACCTTCGCGATGACATGGTCTTAGTTCCAGGTTGGGACTGCTATTTCAGCCTACCTAGGGTGAAAAAGGGTGAGGCTAATTCCCCTCCAAGCTTTTGAGGTCGACCCGCTCATCAGTGACAGGATATTCTGGAGTCGTAATCTATACGCGGAACGAGACCTGTGCTCCAATTCGTGCCGAAGAGGGGATTCTTGGTACACTCTGCCCTCCAAATTCAACAATCCCATATCGAGACCTCCCAGGAGACCGGCAGATTGGGGGATATCCAACTCTTGACCAGTTGCGAGTACCCGCAACTGTGGATTCAGAGGACCAAGACGGAGAATCAGATGTGGAAAAGGCGCCAGAAGAGCCGATTGATCCGGCAGTCCTCGACTCGGAGGGAAGATGTGTTGTACTTGAGTTTCAGGCCTTCGTTCTTATCGGGGTGTACTGTCCAGCCAATCGCGACGAAAGCCGTGATATGTTTCGGCTCAGCTTTTTGAACGCACTTGATGCGAGGGTCCGCAATCTTGTTGCCATGGGAAAACGCGTTTTTGTGACAGGTGACATCAACATAGCGAAACAGGCTATCGATTCTGCCCATGCTCTTGAGGCAATTCGCAAAAATACCGCTACGGAGGATGAATACGTATCAACTCCATCGCGCAGGCTCTTCAATCAATTGCTTGACAACGGCAAAGTCATCGGCTCTCGCGATGAAGGTAGAGGCCAGCCAGTGATGCATGACATTTGCAGATCGTTTCATCCTGACCGCATTGGCATGTATACCTGCTGGGACACCAGGCTCAATACCCGACCTGGCAACTTCGGTGCTCGGATAGATTATGTGCTTTGCACACTCGACATGAAGGACTGGTTTGCAGATTCCAATATTCAAGAAGGGTTGATGGTATGTCTTCCAATTTGCCGTGCCGAAGGGAGCTTGCTAAAATGAGCACGCTCAGGGTTCGGATCACTGTCCTGTTTATGCCGTGTTCAAGGACAGAGTACCGTACAAGGGAGACTTGGTACATACTCTGGACTTGATGAATCCACCGGGTGTTTTCAAGAACGGTGAGCGCCAGCAGGAATATACATCTCAATGGATGCTACCTGAGTCTGGTCGCCTACTGCCTGAGTTCAATGTCGACAAAAGGCAAAGCATCAAGGATATGTTTGCGCGGAAGCCCACTCCTGCTCTTCATCGAGCCTCATCCACGGCCACTACCACCAATAAATCAACACCCCCAGAGACAGTGACTCCCGCAATAAAAAAATCAGCGGTGGTTCAGACAGTGTCTGTTCCCGCTTCTCCGGGCCAGAAACGTACCTCGGACATTTCGTCGCGGAAGAGGTCGCAGCCTCTTTCGACTGCACCAATAAAGCGCTCGAGATCATCAGTAAATCAGGCCTCTTTGAGTACTGCGACGGGCCAAAAAACCCTCAAAGGATTCTTCAAGGCGAAATCAATGGGTGAGAAGAATGACAAGACGCCCTCCGAGACGATGACTGAAGAAAAGTCTCAAACAACTTTCGACGGAGCCTCGTCCCCACAAAAGCAAAATGGCCCTTTCGAAATCAATGCTGGAGGCTCTCGCACCGCCGAAACTCCGACAGAGCCGCAGTCCTCTCAAGTCAGCATATCATCAGCGCAATCTTCGCCCCAAAAATCGCAGACCGGCACATTTATCGATCCCATTGTCAACAAGGAAGACTGGGGCAAGCTCTTTGCGAAGAAACCGGCCCCTCGATGTGATAGCCACCAAGAGCCGTGTATCACTCTCACTACCAAGAAACCAGGAATGAATTGTGGTCGAGCATTCTGGATCTGCCCGCGACCACTGGGTCCCAGTGGTGAGAAGGAAAAGGGCACGCAGTGGCGGTGTCCCACGTTCATTTGGGCGAGTGACTGGAACTCGAGCTTACAGGCAGACTAAAATACAACGAATTTGACGGCACATTGAGCGAGGGTTCGTTGATTCATCCATGAACTAGGTATTCCTTCTCGTGACACATCATTCACTGGTGGCACGGGAGCCTGAAAAGCAGCATTATGAATGACTACTACGCCAGTGGGACAGATAATCATCGCGATGGAATTCCACGACACGGCGAAGTTGCAGATCAGTTGATCATATTTAGTTAGACCAGTCCAGACAAAATAAACCCCAATTGTTACGAATATATTCTACTGTTCAAGTGAGCATAAACCTCCAGTGAAGTTGTGGGTTGGTGAATAGTCGGGTGTTTCGAAGAAGCCACAGCCCGGTACTCTACATTCAACAAGCCTTAATGAGAGCTATGAGCGTAACGCCAGTGGACGATCGGGTAGAGGGAGGTGCTTCCAAGTAGTAACAACACCCACCTGCAGTACTACTAATGACGTATACACATGGCATTGGAGAGTCAGGGGTGATTTCCATGAACCTCTGGGGCAAAAGCGGTCGTCTCCAGGCTCTGTTTCCTCGCAGGGCGTGGGATCATGTAGGCAGCAGTATGTCCAAAGTAGGTAAAGAATCGTTGCCTAGAGGCCTAGTGACCAGAATGTTCTCCCACCTGGGGGCGGTAAGACGATTGTCAGGAGCAAGAACGAGCTAGTGGCAATCCTTGAGTCACATGACCTTGACCTCGATGGCGCTGGCTACACCGACCAGATGAAAGATTCTTGGACCCTAGCACACGAATGGGTTACTGCTGGCTTCGTGGAAGCATTCCAATACGGCCTGGCATGATGCAGCTTGCATGAACGTACGGACTGGCTCTAATTCGGAGGCATTCCGAGGCCCACATCTCGGCCCGAACAACAGGTGGCTCCACCGAAATATGACGGGACATACCCCTCCAGCCGTTTTTGTGGGGCTACTTTAATCCAAGTCTGCATTTATCTGGTCTTTCAAAGAAGGACACCGTGTGGCATGGAAAGGCGAGCGCTTGAGATGACATTGTAGCGTTGTCACTTGACTCAGAAGCTGCATCAATGCGTCGTTTGCTGAAAGAACCGAGATATCTGGGTTGTTGGCTTTAAAAATTGGGGAGCATACTCTTTCCGCCAGGTCCGCTCGTCGGGACTTCAGCTTTCTGGAGATGTTTATCATGCAAAATCTGTCAACTGCCAATCTTTCCTGAGGACATTTTCATGTCAGCAGTCTTGAACGGGCTCTGAATTGAAGTGGTGCGGCTCTCGACCTGTACTAAAGTCGCGAGACTTTTCGACCAGAATTACTACGGGACCCTGTGCCAACACGTGGTCAAATGATCTAATGCTGCATACCAGTACTACCTAGGTAGTTGTCAGACTTTGCTTCAAGAGCTTGGCTTCCACCATCAAAGCATAGATTGACATAAATGATCTCATATGTATCAAAACTGCCATGGCAAGTTTAGCTTCGAGCTCGTTGCTCCCAAGCGCCTGCGAATCATCACAAGAGAAGCCCGTTCCGGGGTTGACTTCCGGGGCCAACGACCAAGAATGCGAAACTCAGCAAGTCAACCAATTTCGTGAAGCTTTGATATAGCAAAACCAGGCATTGTCGGAAAGAGCGGCGACTTGTCGACTCAAGGGTTGCGCAACATTGCGGCTCTAGAGTGACACCACGCTGAGCTTTGCGCCTGAAAATACTCTCTTGCATTGCAGCTGGGTGCCATTCCATCAACGCTCACCTACGCTCGGCGTTAGGACGGCGGAAAATGAATATGGATCACGCCGATCCACTTTGCTTCGGTATGTGCTTGAAGCAGTACCGGTAGTAAGTGGAGGTAGGTCCTAACGTGATCAAGCGCGCGGTGGTCTCGTCCATGATACTGTATCAAGTCATGACCCTGAGTGATGTCATCACGAATTTGAATACCGGGATACTTTTTACAATCATCCTTGGAGCTCCTAACAAGCCACAATGGTTGCTTGTCCACATGAGAGTGATGACTGAGGAGAACATTCCATATTTGTGCTACCTAAAGAGCACCGAGAGCCCTAATTTTGCATGAAATTCTCTTGTTGCAACCAAGCTGTCCCCGAGATGGTCCAACTTCAAATGCAACTCTCGACTTTTGAGTGTCCCCTTCACCGACCCGGCAGTCTGAGATTCGCTATACGGAAGTCTATCGCAGATCTTTTGTCTGCATTGCATGCACTTGTGATAGCCCGCAGCAAAATTTCATCAGCTCGGGTGATGAGCCACTCAGGTGCTTCGGTTTGAAGAACTGACCGAGATAGCGATCCATTATGATCGGCCTCAGCCACCTCGCTATGAAATACCCCCTCAGAAGCATAATGATGACCTATGTCGGCTGGTGCAGGCATCACTCAGCAAGTATATCTGCGGAATTTCTGCCGAGCCTTCCAGGTGAACGGGACGAGAAAAAACGACTCAAACTTTGGGATGCGACGAGTCTGATACCTTCCATAACTGGTGACTCAACAAAGTCGATGCGGTCTGCTGCTGCTTGTTACTTCGAACCAGCTGGTTCAAATCATGGAGGCTTGTTTGAATGTGGGTTCCTTCAAGTGTATCCATACTCGAACTAAGTCCCATGCCACGGCTGAGTGAAGGCGCCCACGGAACATCAGGGCACTCAAGTTATGTGCAGTGGAACTTTACGCTGCAACGAACAGGAAGGAAAGGATAGGGCCATGCTAAATCATGATTTGGAGGTCCATTGGTCGTGCGAGATCATGATGCTTCCTCTGATTCCAGCACCTAATTTTAGCCGTACTTTGGTTCCTCGGGAAAGTCTGCTGCCTCTCGACTAGTATGAGCGAAAAGGGATCTACTAGAACACAACGGAACTTCTCGGCAGTTTGCTATTGAGGCCGCTTGGTCCAACTCGGAGGCTAGCCCGGAGAAAGCTCAAGGCAAGGGCCCAAGAAAGGCCAAACTGGATATTACGCCGACATTGGCGAGATCTACACCGACATCATTGATGCTGAATGCTCGTTTTCAAAACCGGTCTGACGAGTTGATGCGAGTATACTATCGACCATTGGAGGCAATTGAGCCATATGCTGCTTTCTTTGTGAATTGAAACGCCGAATACGATCATCTGTCAAAATGACAAGATCCTTCGCAATGGCCCGTACCCCGGGGCTCGCTTGCAATGATGCAGTGCCTCCTACTGAGCGCAGAATTCTCAGCCACCTCTGTCAGCACGCCCCCAGACGTTCAACACTAATTTGCTGCCCACCGACAGGATTCGCTTTCTCGAAATTCGTCATTCACCCGAATTTATTACTCCATCTTCAAATCCGCTTCTTCGGGTTTTGGAGCTTCCAATTTGGGTCGTCCTTTCTCACTCATAAGTCAGGCCTGCATAGCACGGCTCGTTTGCTATATTTTACTGGTTGGTCTGTCCGATCCTGTACTACACCAATACCCGGGCTTCGGTCAATCCTCCGCTTCTCAATTCAAAAAACATCCACCATGTTCTCGACTTCTCAATCTGCTTCTTCTCCACCTCACATCTGGGTCACCTCATCATTAGCATCACATCAATCTCACCTCCCTTACATTTCAACTTCATCTCACCCTAACCTCTTCATCAGTTCATGTCCTCCCTACCTGATCAAATCAGATTGCTTACCATCTCACCTCTCCGTCGTCATCGCATGCAATTACTTCTCCTTGGGGTTTGAGGACTTCCACCGCCGCCGAAACGCTGACCTTGCCGGTTGCTTCGATCCCACCTCATCGTCAGATGAAAGCATTTGTTTTATATAGCACGCGTGATCACGCCACTAGGTATACCCTAACTCCGGGACGTGAGCCCATATTTAAATCCCTACTTTTCTCTTTCCATTCTTCTCCTTCTTCATATTTCTCTTCTTCTGCCCCCTTTCCCTCATTATCTCATTCGCCATCTTCTCTGCTTCAAGAGAGGTTATCATTTTACCTTTCTACCACATACGCGTCATCCCTCCTCCCTGCCATGCTTTCTCAGTTCCAAGATCTGGATCTCTGCTCTTCAACCATATTTATCTTCTCTGTTTCTCCATTGGTATATCTATACTTCTGTTTCTGAATTGAATCAGTTCCTTCTTCTCATGTGATCTGTTTTCACAATTGTCTCAATTTTCTCAATTCGTAATTACTCTTCACGTGCATTCTTCCCCTCGGACACGACGCCGGCGTCCAGTGTTCTCTGTGGAATGCATTTGACTCGAAAATTCGTCATCGCTACCGAGGCTTTTCCTCGGCACCTTGAAACACGCAGCGATACTGACAAAGATCTGCAGACCCGAGTCTTCATGTCTGATTAAAACATGTCCAGATGGCCTCGAAGCGCGATTTACATCAGTCACATAAGACCGGCCGAGTGTTCAATACCAGATCCGAAACCCGCTGTTTGACTATACAGTTCGAGGGCTCTCCAGGCAATTTGCCCTGAAAGCTTACATTGTCCCATTGAAAAACTACAGAAAGGCCTCGCCGGAAAAATCATCAATCCTGAAAGATTAGCTCGACTACCAGTGTCCGTTTCTGGGTGAGCCCTGCATTGGACAGACTCGCCAAAAATTGGAAAATTTCCCTCAATCAGAGCTCTGTCATTACATTGGAATTTTCTGAGGGATTTACAACTATCATATATGGATTCCAACTACTATTTTGGGACTGTGAATATCATGCTAATAGCCAGAGGCAGTTGCACCGAGAAATCTCGCCGACTTCGAACAAGATGCCGATGCTCCGGAAGCTTGCTTCTGCGTATACATTGACATTTTTCTCATCGCCATTTTTACCACACATTTACGGAAAGGCATGGCAGGCGTCGAATGCCTTTCAAGCACGATTTGAGATATGCCTCCTCCGATTTTGAGAAACGAAGGGAAACCATTGTGGGAAGTCGGATCCTTCCAAACAGTGAATTCCTGAGCACAACCTTTGCAACAGCGTTTCCAAACTTCCACTTTCCGGGGGCTCGCTCGCTCACTCGATTCCATGCATGACGAATCTCTACGATTCCGATTCCAACAAGCTTCCCGAGTTCCAATTCCAACACTGCTTCACTCATTGCAACCGGAAGCCCTACATTCTGATACATGTGGGGCGGATCCATAGCTGACGGCGAGTAATGAACCATTCGGCCCTCAATTGAAATCCCACGCAGGACCAAAAGGCGCAAATGGACCAGACAAATCGATAAGCTCCGAACTTTTATCATGTGCTCAGGTAGGATAAAAGCCGTGCAAAAGACATCGTTGACTCCCATACAGTTTTCCACCGACTAAAGCCTTTTCTGCCTTCCCCGTCCCCCTCCCATCGTGAATGCCCCCCCCCCGCCGTCCCTCTCCCCAGAGGCGCCCAGGCATGCCTCCATGTGATTCTGCCACTGTTTACACACACAGTCGCCAAGGCAGCCATGCAAATTGTTTGCTCCCTCTACCATCTTCTACAGGCGCCGTGCCTGGACAGAAGAAAAAAGAATTTCTGCCATTCGCGGTTTAGACAAACAAAGGACCCTGGACCCACACCCGTGGCAGCATAAATACCTCTGTCCCTGCTCTCTCCCCCCAACTTTTACTTTTTCTCTCAACCGAACGTTTCTCATTACTCAAGCTACTCAAAGCACAAATTGACTTTTCTATTGACTCATACCCAGGAAGCCACTGTTGGCCTTCAGCCCACTATGGCTGAGACCGAGGCCTTGGTTGTCACAACTTTCCCAACCGATCCTTCTCCTCCCCATGGCCATCATACCTTAGCGGAAATCGACCTCAAGCTGCTCGTCTTCATGAATCATTCGCATGAGAGCGATGCATTTACGTTATGGCACTTCTACCCGAAAGGTTCCAGCGCCCATGCGTTTGCCGTTCTGGCTATGACCAACTTTCCAGATGAGGATCTTGCGATTATCGAGGAAAGACCTATCCGAGATGGACTGAGATACACCATCATTAATGACGTGATGCGCCAATACGATTCACTGACTAACCTGCTCGTCGATCCAACTCCACCAGTGGTTCCCGAGTTTGACGATCTCGGACAAAACTGGGCGTTCCAAGAATACGTGAACAATCTTAATGTCAATCACGCCGATTTGCAACCCTGGGAACTCGATTTTAACTGGCACCTCCGACCAGTCAACTCCTTCATGGCATTTCGCGGTAAGTAATGACTGATTGCTAAGGGTTTCACAGGTGCGAGTTACTGATATGACTTAGCTTTCTGTGGACCTGCCTTATTCAACCGGCCCCAGACGATGAGATCTGCGTACGTCAGTCGCTTTTGGATCGTTTCTCCACACCGTCCCCAGTTTGAGCTTATCGCTCAAGCTTTCAATTATCTACGAGATACGCACGGTATGCAGACGAACCTTCGTTTCTTCGTCTTCTTTGTTGCAACTCGCCTCTTCCGACTGCCGGTTCCTAGCCTGTACATTATGATGTGCGGATGGAACTTCTGGATTAGAGATGCCAGGAACCTTTGGCCGGCAAATTTCAGTCACTGCCCGACATGTCCTTCCGTAACTGGTCAGGAAGTCGCCAACTTTGCACGAATGCTTCGACTTTCGCCCACAGTTCCTGGGGCCGAGCCTATGGCCGCTAATACCAACACACTTGCTGTCTAATGGTCTGCGACAAGTCCCATCCAACTTGACATTCGACGAGAGCATCTAGATTTGGATGCAGTCTTTGGGACTCAGAACATGCTATGTGTGATCGGATTCAACAAATCAGTCTCGCAGTGGTTGCTCGATGATCCACTGCTTGCCAGCTGACCATACCCACACCCGTTCCCATGTCATTCCTATTCCGGGTCGATGTCATCCTTGTATCGGTGTAGTTGGGTGAGCAACATGACCGTGCATTGGCGGACAAGGCAGTTGAAGACCGGTGGCTTGGAACCGAACGACATTTTTATTTTCCTGAAGGGAGATGCCGCCGATGTGTCTGTCCGCCTTTCATTAGCTACTTTTATTATGATTAGGATTCAATGAACACCGTACCTTTTATTAAGACTCTCCGTGGCCCTCCCAACCCCGCGCCTCTTCACGACTCCCCAACAAGATGATCATGCCCAGGGAGTACGCCCATGCAGCCGCTCTACGCAACGGTCGTTCCCCCTGCACTTTGGATCCCGTCCGATCACCACCCTTCGGGAGCTCGACGGTCCGCAAACAGGACAACATTCAGCAAGATGCTGAGCTCGACCCGGCTCAACGGCCAAATGATTACAGGATTCTGATGGAGATGAACAAGCCTGGCCTTTTCGATGAAGTCGAGACCATTCGGGAGCGGTTGTGAAGGCAAAAGATGACCCTGGACGTTCATTTCCAAAGACGTGAACCAGACCAATTGATTCAAGAAGACAGGCGATACCACTATGTGGAACTACTTCATTGATCTACGTTGGAAGAGGTTCTCGTCGCTTCCTTTTGGCACAGTTGCTGCTCAGCGTGGCATGTACCTTGCGAGGATTCTCCAAACAGCATCTTCTTCTTCAGGGGGATCGGCACAAGCCGTTGAATTACCTTTCGCGGTATAGTGAGTCTTCATGCTCTGGAACCCCCAGTGTGAAACCGATGCCCGTGGAAGTCGCTGACGCCAGGACAAGGCAATCCTCGTTCGAAGTTTCCATGTGGGCCCAGCTGGGGTCTGTAAGCGATGAGGACCACCTGCTCACCTTCGTCGATCATGTCGCGGTCAGTCCACAAAGTCGACTGCCATCTAGATCGCTGCCACGGAGCAGAGTGTCCACGAGAAGACATTCTGGATCTGAGTGTTGGAGCCCTTGACCCATCCTGTTCCGCGAGAGCGATTCCTTGCCGAATGGCACGGGACCCACTCAGACTGGGGAGCATGTGCTTGACAAGACATCGTCTGATCGAATCCAGTCAACTGACGCGGGAAAGAGAGGGGATTTCGGAGCCGCACGCGGCACTGGCCGTCAATGGCCCTCCTTGTCTCGAGATAGAGCGGTTTTGTGGAATTTCATAGTGTCACCACTGAATTGAAGCCTCAATATGGACCCGCGATGAAACTGCGACTCATGCACAATACTACTCAAAAGACTATGGCCCAGAAGAAGAGAGAGGAACGATACCCAAAAGTACCTCCTAGTAAACCCCCCGGCAGTACCGATCTCAACCGCACGCCAATCACCACATATCATTCCTCGTGTCGATAGACCGGGCCAGTGGATCCACTCCCGTCCAGCCCCGTCCATCGGAACGAGTCCTCCACCGCCCGAAACGCGACTCGAACAGAATCCTGAAGGGGGAGGGACAAAGAAAAACACACCCAGTATACCCCGTGAGCGATCCGGACGACCCAGTGGACAGAGGACACGCCCTTGCCCAAAAAGTCCGGTGGCGTCGCACGAGGCAAAGGTGATTTCTTTGACGTTGACGCCAAGGCGGCCCCCCGATCGGCGGGATCCACGCGATCAGGACCACCACTGCAGCCTGCAGCCTGCAGCTGTGCGGGTCGACTCCGCAGGCGACTCGAGTGGAGACGACCCAAGACAAGGTTCATGCGCCAAGCCAGCCACCAGAATCCACCTCACGCCGTCCGACACGCGAACAGGGCTTTGATCTCTCCAAAGCAGCGCGGGAAAGAAACCCTTGCGACTGGGCGATATGTCGGAGGAGGAGGAGGAGGAGGAAGAGGTCATCTGCCTGCGAGGAAACAAAGAAAGTCGATCGGGCTCCACAACACGAGGAACACAGTCGGACGGAGGGCCGGGGATTGCGACGAGGGGTGAAGCTGTCGTGGAATCGAGCCGGGGGCACGAGGTCTGCGCGAGGCAGTAGGCGAGACCGACCGAGTCTGGCCATGCCGCGTCTCTCGGCATGCGTTGCACCGTGCGACGGAGGGTCTCAGGGCTTTCGATGGATGTTTGTTGCGTCTTCCATGTATTCGTCGGCAGAGCGCCCTGGGGAGTTCTGGGCTCGGCGGGTTAGTGGACTGGATTGAAGGCCTTTTTCTCGACTCCGTCCAGGTCGGCTCGTGCTTCCTGCTCCAAGGTGAATCGGATGGGTCGACCTCGAATGGATCAATCACATCTTGGGTGATGGGTCAACATGGTGATGGGTCAACATGGTGATGGGTCAACATGGTGCAGACAGTGCGATTTCAACCCCCACCCAGCCCTACTCAATCCAGATCACCATGTCTCGGGAGCGCGCAAGTGCGGCTGAACTACAAACTACAAACTACAGTGACAACCCTATCTGGCACTTTTCAAGCTCAGACCGTTCAGCACCGGCCGAGAATTCCCCGCAACTAGTCCAGTCGCTCGCGGTTCTGGATTCCGTCAAGACGGAGAACTCGATCAAATGAGTACTCTCATCAGTACAAATACAGTCATACCCGACCTCTCTTGCCTGCTGTACCTCAAGCGATAGAACTCCGACCCGCTTCGTTCCCCGTGGCGCGCCGTCGGAGAATCGAGATAGGATTCACTTCCGGAGCGCCATGATTTCTCGAGCTCATCATGTCCCGTCCCGACGGTTGTCTTGGGGCGGGGTTTCCCTGTCCTCGAACCTACATCACGAACTCTTTTCCTATCGCGAGGTTTCCGTTCCTATTATGACAGCATAAAGTCTTGGCTACGCGATCGGATCCCTCCTTAGCGGTGGCGGGTTTACCTACCGAGTCCCCCGCCTCTGAGGATGGTATCACCAAGACCGCGGAGTTCTAAGACCTGGCTTTTGCGTAGGTGAAGTAAGACTTCATTCAATGAATCCGAGTACGTGTTTCACGACTTAGTGGCGGAACACTCGTCATCATAAGGACTCTGCTAGCCGCGGAGAGACAAGTCTCACTTGGTGTAAAATTGCGTACATTCCGCTGATGAATAGAACAGAAGAAATACACTAACAACTCGAGCGATACTGAAAAAAAAAGCATCCAGACAGAAGATACTAGCAAGACCCGCTCAGAAGATGCGTTCTCGGCAAGTGCAAAGTCACCGGGATGACCACACGCCAGAAGGGAATCAATTATTTAAGGAGGACCAGGAAGACTAGCCCCAGAAGTGTGGAAAGTGACTACTCCTCCTGGTAGGAAATCTTGCGCATCTCGCCAAGTCGTGTGCGAGCGCGAGCAAGGCTATTCTCGAGCTGGAGAATTTCGACCTAGGTGACGTTGAACACAAGAGAAAAAAGATTAGCTGGACTGCCATCTTGACCAAACAAGGCTTGAATCGCGTCGTGTCCGTGGGTGAGGGAAAGGGATATATGGGGATGACCGGCAGACTGATTAGAAAATGACATACCTGCTGCTCCATCTCGCGAACCTTGAACTCGTGCGAGCTCAACTTGGCGTAGTCCTCGGCCTCGGCATCGCCGCTGTGCTTCTCCTTGATAATGTCCTGCACTTGTCGTACCAAGGCACGGCAGGCCGCACCAACGGCCTTGCTTGCACCCTCCAAGCGATCCTGGGTCTTGCTCATGAAAGTGGCCTTGACACGGCTAGCGGCCACAAGCTGTGCGGTGCTAGCAGCAACATCGTTGGAAGCCACAATGAGCTGTTCGGGGGTCTTGCGGCCGGAGATCACACCATCGGCCGTCTCGATCAGGGTGTTTGTCGAAGACGCGACCGCCTTGGCGGCGGAAATCAAACCCTCCGTCCAACGGTTGTTCTTCTTGTAGAATGCGGTACGTGTTGAGCTGCCGCGTCCTTCACGTACAATCTCCTGTTGAGATTCAGTGGCGGCCTTGATAAGCTCGGCAATAGCGTTGGTCACCGCGATGGCGGCGGCGAGAATGGCATCATTGATGCGCAGCTCATAGGTAGAATAGCCATCGCGAGGCTTGTTCTTCAGCTTGGCCAGACGCTGCGCAGCGGCATCAATCGCGTCAGCAGCCTTGAGCAGCTCCTGGTCGACCAAGTCGCCCAAGTCACCGTTGGTAGCGATCTTGCTGCTCTTGGGCTGGAAAGCCTCCACCATCTTGGAAAGAGCCTGCAAATCGCGCTGGACCTCCAAGTTGTTGTTGATGACCACGTCGGTCTTTTGCAGAGCCTCCATGCCTTCAAGTCGGAAGGATTGCAATCCTCGGAAGAAGCGCACGGTAGCCTGAGCAGACTTTCGCGCCGCATTGAACAGCTGATCGGAGCTCTTGTCATCGTTAGCGAATCGCGACAGACCTTTCGTGTTGCTCAACGTATCAGCAATAGAGCCAGAGAAAACTGAAACAGTACGGATAATCTCTGCGTGAGGACTATTGGGCCCATCGGCAATGAAGTTGTTGAAGGCAGTTGAGAATTCCGTAGCGGAAGCAGAGGCCTTCTCGATTTGCGAGAGGACGTAAGGGGGCGAAGCATTCTGGTTGCCGGCCTGCATGGAAGAGTCCAGCTCGTACAAGGCATCATCGACACGCTGCACACCAGTCTGAAGCACTGAATCAATGATGTCGTTGATTTTGGCGACAGTCCCGTGGAGGACCGTGTCGATCTGACTATCCAACGCGTGATCGACATCACCTTGACTCTATATGGAGATGATGGGTTAGTTGTATCGAGAAAAAACCTCTGGGATGCTTCGACTCACAAGCTTCAGCTCTTCCAGCTCCATCAAAGCCTGTTCCATGCCGGACTTGTACACCTCGATTTCTTCATCCTTCTCGCGGAGGGCCAAATCGTGGTCCCCAGATCGCTCGTTATTGCGGCTGGAGAAGTCCTCCAGAGCTCGAGTCTTGTTCTATAAGTGGGTCAGTCAGCTTTTCTGCAGCATGGTTGTCACTCGTTCCAATCAGGCATCACTTACACGGAGAGCCTCCTCCAGATCAGCCATCTCGCGATTGTATTTAGAAAGCATAGCGGAGATCTCATTGCCCTTGGACCGCTCTGCATTTTCAGCGCGCTCAAGAGCCATACGAAGCTCGCGCTTGACCTTCTCCATCTCGTCCTTGTTGGTACCCGTCAGCCGGTCCCTGTCGTGGAGAGCGCGGTCACGCTCGCGGATCATGTCAGCAAGCTCCAAGTTCTTGGTCTTCAGCTCTCGTTCGAGCTTCTCACGGCGATCGATGGCTTCCTGCGCAGAGGCAGCCTTGAGCTTCAGACTCTTGGTAGTCTGCAAGAGGTCCAGATGTTCCTGTCGAAGTTGCGAGTATAGCTTAGCCAGAGCTTCGTACTTGGTACGCCAAGTGTTCACTTGCTCCTGCAAAGCTCGAATCTGCTCATCCTTAGACGAGTTTTGCATGTTCATATTGGCGTTCAGCTGGTTCATCTGCTCCTCCAAATCCTTAACCCGACGGTCATATTGTTGAAGCATGAGCTGGTCACGCTCGTACTGAGCTCGGGCATTGAGATTTTCCTGCTCTAGTTCAGCAAGACGACCTTGTGTTTGCGTGGCATACTGGTCTCGAAGCAGCTGCTCCTGCGCCAGACGTTGTTGTTCAGCCTGCAGACGCTGTTGTTCCTCGAAGTCACGCTGGGCTTGTTGCTGAGCCAGCATCTGTTGCCTTTGTTGATCATTCCATTGTTGCTGCAGACGAGCTTGCTCCGCTTCATATTCCTCTTGTTGACGCTTAGCCTCATTGGTCCAGAAGTCGCTAATCGGTTCAGGTTCGGCTGCGACCTTGGGCGGAGGTGAAGGTAGGCGCTCGACCTCCTTGGTTGGCCGTTTGGGCAAGGCTGGACGGTCTTCCTCTTCTCCGAGAAGGCTAGGAGGATCCTGAGGTAGCTTAGGGATGGTGATAAGACTCGTCAGGTAACGTAAGTTGGAGCATTCATAGTAAAAGCGAACGAGGCGATGGTGTTGAGCGTCGTAGCGGGATCGGAGCGGCTCAAGCGCCTCATCATCTCCGGTGGCTGGAACATTTCATCTTAGCTTGTCTCCATCTCGAGATACTTCGAGAAAATCAGGAAACATTAGTCTACGGGTGGACATACTGGTGTGCATTGCTCTCAGCATGCTCGTAATAAATTTGTAGATACCATAACTCTCCTGAACAAGAGGTACCAGTGCCGAGATTCGACATTCATTATGCGTGCCCGACTGGAAGTGCGAGAAAATCAATTTTTGGAAACCATCGATCTGATCTTGGAGGGTCATGAGGTCGGTAATCGTCTCGTATCTAAGTCGCTGTCAGCTCCACGTTCTTGTCGCGAGAATATCGATCATCACGAACCCCTCATTTGGATCGTTGATAGTCTTCAGACTGATGTACTCCTCGTATTCGAACAGGCCTGGAATGGTTAATTCGCACGTCCTTGCAGTCTCGAACCTTGGCGTTTGTTGCGGGACATACCGTTGAACTCGGGGTGGTTGCGGTGGAAGGTGAGCTTGGACTCGAGGAAGTAGACATATTCGCGAATCAATGGCGCATATCCTGACAAGATTCATCAGTACCTGTATGTTGGCACTCAGTCGAACATGCGCGGATCCGCGCCTGTCCTCTCACACAAAACATACCTCGAACACCTTCTCCTCCAACGCCTCGCATCAAGCTATCAATCCAGTTTGAATGCTGCTGCGCCTCGCGCACAACAATGGGGTGTCCCTCTTGAAGTACCTTGTGGATTGTAATGAGTGCCTTGAACGTCTGGACCTCGTCGGCGAGCACAGGCTGCCTGTTGGAGCGAAGGCGCGTCAGCAAATGTTTTGAATGCAGCTCTGATCACATAGCTCTCGCGGTCGAGGATGCAGCCTACACTTTCATGCCTGCCCAGAAGGCCGCCGACGACTTGTGGTCCCATGTGTACACAATGCAGCTCCGTACATGCTTCCCTATAACCATCGCACAGCATTAGTCGCTTTTTCCGTGTGTCCCCTCCAATTCCCGAGTCTCCCACTTCATATCGGAGTAGAATTCATTTGAATCGTACGTTTGGGCGCGGTTTCCTCTGTCGCAGGCTCCTGTTAGCTCAAGCACTTTGTCTCCTGAGTCGCGGGGCCGGGGTGTGCCGGGGGAAGGGTCACTCACCAATGCTTGTCGCCTTGCGGATATTTATGGCCAGGTCGGCCTCGGTGCTGCACAATCAAATGATAAGTCTGCAAATTTCATATAATCAGGAGGGTGGTGTCCCGCTTACCGACTCATGATGCTAATAGCGCGATGCGGGACACGATGCGGGCTCAGGGGGGGTCTTCCCAATGACAGCTTCTGAGATGCAAAGACAGATCCCGAGTCCTCACAATGTGGGTATCGCCAATGCAAGACCCTTTGTCACTTGCGAGGAGAGAATTGGAGAAAGGGGGGTAGCTGAAAGGGTTAGGAACGAGCAGTTTGTACCGCACGTGGAGCGCAATGACGTTAGGGGAAAGTTGGCGCCTGTCAGTCTTGGCGCCGCATAAGCCGACGCATAAGCCTGGCAGACTTCCGAGGCCGGGCCATCCCTTTACCCGCCAACCCTCCAAACATTTGGCCGCAGGCGCTGCTCGCGAAAACAAGAAAGGAAAGGAAAAATACTGAATTGCATAATCCTCACCATTGGCATCTAGATCGGGTGAGCTGTCGCTTCGTTATTAAATCAAGGTAGATGAACTGAACCCACAATAATAAGGGGAATGATATAGTGGTTTGCTTGTGCTACTGAAAGCTACAGATATGTATTTAGGCAGAAGTAAGCTTCACACGATATTTCATACAAGACATGAGCCTCAGCCATTGAAGCAACAGAGACGATGCTGATGAGAGCGTAGAGCTCAGCACTTGTGCTGTGCTCATATCAAGGCGTACAGTCGCTTTGCAGATCCCGCAACGTCTGTCACGTGTAGTGTTTCGCGAAGATACATCACAATCCAGTATGACGCACCGACATTATCGGACGGGCTGGAGTTGAGACTTTCGGGGGTGAAGCATTGCTTGAGTCAAGGCTTGAGGGAAGTGATTGAGGAGAAGGCGGTTGACGCTCGAAACTCTCACTATCTTCGTGGTCATGATGCAACTCTTGCCTCGAATCTCCGGCATTGAGATGCGCATCTGTACCCATGAGAGAAGACCCAGTCAATGTGTCTTCTAGGTCGAGTTCTCCAGTGGCAGGACTATCGGGAGCGGAATCGTGCGGTGCTTGGACGACGAGTAGATTGTCGATGGACCCGCTTGTATCGTCAGGCTGCATGACAGGCTTTCGCTGAGGGAGAGGTGGCGGAGGTACTGGTCGAGAGGAGCCGGTGCTAGTCTTTCTGCGAGGTAATGGTGGAGGAGGCACGGGTCTGGTCACCTCGGCAGTGGGCTTGTCAGGCGATGACGGCTGCATGCCTACAGGTTTACGTTTTGGCAGAGTCCCTGAATTCCGTTTCAGGGCAAACTTGTCTGGCCGTGGCAAAGGCGCCCCTGGTAGCGGGTGAGGGTGCCCTCGGCCGATGGGCACATCCAACTTACTCGCCGAGGAACGTGATGTGTCCTCATTATTGGTCTCTCCTTTGCCGAAAACACTCCAGCTCCACTTTTTAGCAGCAGCAGCAGCGTTGCTGATCGCGACATTGCCGATGGATTTTTCGTCTGACAGCTTGCCTAATGTCTCGATCGTGCTTCGTCGGCGGGACTTCTCGCTGACCAGTGAAGAACTGGAGTTGCCTCTTAAACTGCGCATACCAAGTGGATTGGTATTCTCGAAGCGCGCAGACGAAGGAGTTTGAATAACCTGATCGCTGTGGAGACTGACACCATCCATCGACTCTGCAATGGAGGAACTCCGGCTGTGAATGGCATTCTCCGGCACTGCGATTTCAAGAGAGGGTGGAGAACTGCTGGGAGTTCGTCTTGGTGATGTAGGTGGAGAGCGCTTGGATATCTCAATCATAGCGCTAGTGGCACTATTTCTGTCCCCACTTTTGACCTCTGTCAACACTTTGTTGGCGTTATCCGTTGTGACGATTGGGTGCGCAGCATTCGAGAACGTCTGCGAACGAATGGCTCGGGGTAGTGGCAGGCTGTCTGACGTTTTCTCTACGCTGGTGGAGGTACCGCTTGAGCCGTGCGATAAGTCAACGGTGGACGGATTGGGTGTCTTCCTGGACTTTAAACGACCACTTCCAGCTTGCTGCTCAGATAGTGAAGGCGTGCTCATGATGCGCTCGTCCTTTACCTTCAGACTTTCCAGGGAAGGGGCATCACGAAGACCCTGTGTTGTTGCGGGTGCACTTTCTGATTCGTCGGGTATTTCCAACGGAGGGGCATTCATATCAGACTCACGTTGCCAGATGCCACCACGGAACGCCTGTCCATGAGTATCCATGAAGGGTATGTCATCCCAAAACGGCAGAACAACACTCTCGGCGACCACTTCTCGGATGCGACTTTCAATCGCTCGGAGAATGGGGCTAAAAGTAATCTGCTTGGAGCTGACAATGGGCTGGATGTCCATCTCGATCTTGGGCATGCTCTCAAACGACATCCAAAGCCGGTTACTTGGAGGAGGCTTGAAGCGGAGAAGCATGTGACCTTCCATTTTCTTCAAAACTACAGCCAGTACGATATCGACCTCGCGAGCTTTGAACCGCTGGCCTAGATCAATACGCACGGTGACTGATATTTCCAGGCGGAAATTCCCTGCATATTGCACATCTGCCTCCACACAACAGCTGCCGTCCATGGTCAGGTCCTTCAGCCGGGGGTTGGTGAAGAAGGGCGCCCCTTCTCCCATATCGATCTTCTGGAGGCCGATTTTGCTGATGAAGTTTGGCTTGTTCACTCGCGAGATCTTTTTAGCGATCTTACTGCCGATAAACTGTTCCAACTCGCGCGTTCGATACAAGGCCAGGAAGAGGCGACCGATGAGCGCATTGATCCATCGGGTCTGCATCTGCTCCTCTGACGAGTGCAATCGCTGGACCAACGAGACAACATGCTTTGTGTCGAATTCCTGGCGCTTGGGCGGACGGTCCGCTGAGTTCCAAAGCTTCGACTGATTCCGAAGCAAAGCGAGGTAGAAATCCTCCTTTTCTGACAAGTTTTCAGAGAATAAGAAGAAGGGCGGTGTCGGACCTCCCAAGTCTCCAAGCGAATCCAGTCGCCTTGAAAGACAGATCGCGTTCCGTTTTATCCAGAGCTCGCCTTCCGGAATGTCCCCCTCGCCACTGTGAATGGTAACATCGTGATGAGCGAGTGAAATGACGTAGCGAACGTCGACTTGATTTGCATCATCGTATAGCATGAGGTGGCCGTGTCTTTCGATCCCAGGTATTTCATGTCAGCTAGGCTTTTCGATCCCGCAGGGGAATGATAGGATAAATATACCGAAGAACAATATAGAATACATTGCGCGCACGCTTCACATTCTTCCCGTTCAGCTTCGCTGGTTCGATGCTCGGTGCTTGCTTCCTGTCGAACAAGCTCCTGTACATTGTTTGGTAAACACTGGGGCTTTCAGTGGCCACTACCTCCCCGGCAGGTGTCGTCCTCTCAGGCGGCTTGCCATTGACTCCGCCTGGTACATATTCACGACAGACGGCAAAGTATCCAGTCGCGACCTCTGAATCGTGTGCACGGTGAAACTCCTCGGCGAGGTGGTCAGTGCCTGACTTCAAGCTGTGTTCATCATCGTCGGGCCGGCGAAGGCCACCGGCTCCATGCCGATGCAGCCGAGCGGACGAAGAGACACTCGGGAAGGTCAAGTAAGCATAGAGGAGCGCAATCGAGAGGACCAGGGGGATGAAGGTGAGGCCCCCCAAAACATAGATGGCGACGAAGCTGATGAGCGGACCCATCGGTATTGTTAGTCAAAAAGACTAGTCCATAATTCGAAAAACAGAAGCTCTAGCAAGCAGACTACCGCAGATCGGTGACAGGCAGTGAGAGGCCAGCTCCAGTGCCAGACGAAGGGGCTGAACGAGTGATTCAAAACGACACTGAATTGACACCGAAGCTTGGGAATGAAGTGGAGTTACAGCTGCCCTACAGACGCCGGCATGACGGAGGCACTCCATTGATCGTTAAGTTACCGTTTGGTGCTGACAGTACATTTCCCGCGCGCAGAGGTTCGCGGCGCAGAACATTGGATCACTCTTGAGTAAATACAATACTTCCAAGTATTTGTATTTCAGGTGACGTAAGAGTACCCGCCCTACTAGTGTCGGATTTACACGGCCCCGCACGATCTGAACATTGTGTCAGGAACACCCCGAGAGTCTACCTGAGTTGAGTACAACATTGCAGCAAAGAGGCAAGTCTGGTCATATGTCTTCAGTGAATTGACCGATTAACCAAATCGAAGAGAAACTGACGTTGGACATCAATCTTGTCGTTGCCATCTATATCTAGAGCAGGAGCCTGAGAAAGCAAAATTGGGGGAAACAATAGGTATACACAGGAGGCACTTTCGCAGAAACGCAGGGCCAAAACAATCGCAAGAGGGAGAGTTATGTTTACAAGAGATAATACACGAGATATATGTCATCACTTCCGTCGCTTCATGGTCTTCTCGGCCATTTCGATCAATCCAGCTTTGGCGTCGCTGTCAGGGAAATCGCTGATGGCAGCGACAGCCTTATCGGCATAGTCCTGAGCGAGCGCTCGGGTTTGCTCAACACCGTTACTCTGGTATACCAGTTCGCGGGCCTAGTTTATTGAATCAGCGACGGTGTCTCGTATAGCGACAGTTTTTGCAACATTACTCACCCGTTGCACATCCCCTTCTCTGCCGAACTTGCGGCCAACCATGGGACCAAGCTCAGGGTTGCTCTTCCAGGCAAAGAGAAGCGGAGCAGTAGCCAGTCCCAGCTCCAAATCGGCTCCCGCTGGCTTGCCTAGCTCAGCTTCCGTCAAGGTATAGTCCAACATGTCATCCACCAGCTGGAAAGCGAGACCGAGATTGCGACCATAAGCGTACGCAGCCTCGACAACCTCCGGTGCACTGCAACCCAACACGGCGGCAGAGCGACAGGACTTGCTGATGAGACTGGCAGTCTTCAGATAGGTCTTCTGTAGGTAATACTCCACGGTGTTGTCGGTGTACACTGGTTTGGCCTCATCCTTGGCAGTGTTCTTCAGCTGCATGAACTCGCCCTGTACGAGATTGTTGATCACCGTAGCCATGAGCTCAATGACTTGGGGATCCAACAGTCGTGCCAGCGCGACTGAAGCGCGACCAAGAAGGAAATCACCGGCCAGCACCGCCATTTTGTTTCCAAATTCAATGTTTGCTGAAGCACTGCCCCGGCGCATCTCTGCATTATCGATTACATCGTCGTGAAGGAGGGAGGCAGTGTGAATCAGCTCGGTGATTTCAGCAAGCCGACGCTGGTTTGGTAGGATGTTCTCGTCGCCGACAAAGCTTTGAGTCTTTGGGGGCTCGGGCACAAGGCGATCTGTGTCTGGGTTCGTGTCTTCCAAAATACTAAGTGGACTGAGCGAGATGTCAACCGGCGCAGTGTTAGGGGTTCTTGTCAGGTCTTTTCGCGGATCGACGGCCGTTGCCTGTGACATCAGCAGCACCAAGAGAGGCCGCATGTGCTTTCCCTCGCTGCGGGTGTAGTACTTGGCAACCTTATCCAGCGCAGGATGCCCTGAGCCAAGCAATTGGCGAATGTTACCACTCAAGAACTTCAATTCCTTGCCCACCATTCGCAGTGGATCAACTGAGACGCCCGGAGGTGCTTTGGGCAAGCCCTTGAAGATTGCCTGAGCAGCAGTGGCTGCTGCCCCAAAGGGAGATGCATCTGTTCGGCGACCGGTGCGGAATTTCCGCGTCTGACCGAAACTCTGTGTGGTGTAGAGGTCATCGCGAAGGCATTGGGTGCAGACGGAAATGGTCGGAGTCCGTGTGAGGGTTAGGCCGCCGGTGACCGATAACGTACGGGCCCGCATGCTCAGAACCGGGATGTGAGGCAGTGATTGTAGGTGTTTAAGACGAGACTTCGAAAATGGCATGCATTGAGATGGCAGGGTGCGACCGGTGTAAAGGCTAGTCGAGAATGACCGCGGAGGAATTGGACGTGTGCCAGGAATCGAGTCTGGCCGACGGGAAGATTTCGAGCTCGGGATACGCACAGACCTCATGCGCCTGCCTCCGATACTTGGCAGCTTCGCCCGAAGCACCCGATCATCACAGATGAAATGCAGGTTATCTCGCTCGACAGTCATGATCAAGATCACGCTCATCTGTATAAATCCTTCTTATCAGTTCGAAAACTTGATTTTCGATCATTTCTTTTCGAGCCTCAAAATCCATAAGCTTGCAACTACATTCCCAGATGAGGTTATTGAGACCGCAGTTCCAGTATGGCATCCGTCACTGGACTACCTAAAGTATTTTTGTAGTGGCCCAGGTCGGCGGGAGATATACTTTGACTTCCAGCTTCACATACAGTGAGCAGGGAGAAGAAGAAGACAGCTGCGGTAATTACAGGTTATCCAAATGTCACTTTGTGTAATCCTATACCGACCTAAATTTCTCATATTTGATATTGATAGTTGCTAGGTGTCCACAGGAATAGGTATTGGCCTACCTGTAGGTGTGAAAACCAGTTGGTAGCGGAGGTAGCGCAGATTCTGTACTTCAATCATTCATCAGGTCAGCCTAGCGAGACACCTCATATACTTGTACCTACCATGCCGTCAGGTCAATGGATGTGAATATTTGAGTCTAGACGGGAGTACCATCAAGGTTGAGCGGACCTACTGTACCAGCACTAAGGTGCAGTGGTAATGTGGTAAGTTAGTGATCTACCGATTATGCATGCATCGTTGAACGGCGCACGGTAGGCGGATGTCCCAGGCCCTAGATCTACACTTTCGAAGCATAGGTCCCATTGAAATAGCCTTGTCAAGCCCACTCATACCAGAAGTGTTGGATGTACGAAGATTTCACTGAACGCTAGGATTGGGAAGGACTATGCTGCCGAAACTTGCGATGTCCCAATGCGTCAGGGCCAGCCGAGGAAGAAACATGCGAGAGTCTAGAGTAGGGATAACAAAAAAAGAAGATAATCATCTCAAGCCTAGAATTCCTCTGCCTCATACACAACAGGCAGCCGCTCTCTCCCACACAGGATCTCGAAGGATTAACACACGGGTTGAATGAGGGCCAGAGCCAACGCGCCGGCCAACGAGCAGATGGATAATGTCACAAAGACGAAGATTAACCCCCCCCCCCTCTTCAGGACGCCGTCTTCTCTAGATAGCATCGAAATCACCGCCAGCGTCCTCATCGTCCATGTCACCTTCTTGAATTTCCTTGGCAAGCTCGCGCTCTCGCTCTCGAGCTTCCTGCGCACTCTTCAGCTCCAGACGATGCTGATTCATAGGGAACCGCATAGCCTATCAATTCCAGACAACGTACCGGTCAGCAATTACTTCGTGGAGCCATGTCCAAATCAGGGTAGGCAACATACCTTGACACTTTCATCGTGCAAAGCCAAACAAGCGCGAATGCGCTCGTGGAAAGCCTCTCCTGGCTCCCGAGTGGCATAGATATCGCCAACCTCCTTGCTCTTCATGAACCCATGTTCATGGTCAAGAGTAGCCTCAATGACACCATCACGAATAGCCTTTGCAACAATGTATTCAGCCGATTCCTCACTGTCCAGGCCCAACCGAAGACAAATGTCTCGCAGTGAGATGCGAGAGTATGAAAGCGACATCATACGAATACCGGTTTTGATGACATTCTGACGGAGACGCAGAATCAAAGTATACGTGCCATCCTTGCGGAAGGCAGAGCTGTGCGCATTGACTGTGCTCAGGAAGCCATCGAGATCTCCGACGCTGACGGCCTGGGTAAGAAGGAAATAGGGGTGCATGGCCTTCTCCAGGGCGGGCTGCCGGAAGATTGCCCGATCGGGAATATCGCCCATGAGAAGCTCTACGACCACGAGCAGCTTATGGGAGGCCTGATAGAATCCCCGGGCGACATTGCTGGTTGGGGATTTCCGTGTCGCACCAATCAAGTGTCCATGGGCCTCGGTGTACTGAAGCTGAATGGCACGGATCCGGCCTAGGTAGTACAGATATCTCGCGATCTGGTTGTTGGAAGCAGCAGCCGGGAAGCGATTGTGCGAGATCAGCAAGTCAGCCTGAGTGATATGAGAGGTTGACAGGTAGTTGCGAAGTAGCAGGGTCATGACCGTGGCCTGCGTGTCCACGTCTTTCCGAAGGACGGCGGTTCGCAGTGCTGCCAAAAGCGGCTGACGGATGGAAGTCACAGCCGCAGCAGGCGAAGGAGGAAGTGGCGCAATTTGCTCGTAGAAAAGAGAATAATAGAAGTACACACGCGCCGCAAGGGAATCCAACGTTCGGCGGTTAAGCGCGCGTAAACGTTCAATGAGCTCAGTTGAGAGTTTGGCGCCCCTCTGAATCTGCCGCTGGTCGAAGAGGTAGATCTGCACCAAGATGGAAAGATAGATATCCACCTCAGGGAGAACATCCTTCGGGCATGGCTTGGACGTCTCCGAGTCCATTTCCATCTTCGAGCTCTCAGACACATTATCGAAGGCTTCTGTCTGATCAATGGCGCTGAGTAGGAAAGAAGCCACTGTGCTCGACGATTGGTAGGTCTGCGCAATAACCTGGGCCAGAACGTCGGGGGTAATGTATTTTCGCATGGATGAAATGGAGCGTAGAACGCGGAGAGTGAATCGGGGGTCGAAATGGGCTACAGCGCGCTCGAGTAGGGTGAAGTTGGTCTTGATGTCTGCAGTCACATTGAAAAGATCGAGGCAATGGTAAGCAACTCTCTTAGACGGTGATTGCCTTCTATTGCACATTCCCCGATGAAGCAGAGCAGTATTGACTGACCTTGGATAGCTTTGGCTGTAGGGTCGGGCTTATCCGCTTCATCCTCAGCACCTTCCATTGTGGCATCCTCCTCCTTGTCGTCGCCAGGATTGCCGGATGATTTCGAACCCTTGGTCGGTGGCACTACAACAGTCATCTCGTCACCATGCCGGTTCTTACTCGAGTTGAAGGAGGATGTTGGCGCACCTGCCGTATCCTCGCCCATCTCAACATCCTCGGAGCCATTCAAGCCATTCTCTGTGGGCTTTGACCCATTGGGGTGAGATTCGTCATTGTCTCCCATTCCGTTCTCTGATGCGCCCTTGGCGGCGACTTTCTTTACCGGGCCCGATTTAGCCTTGTTAGCGGCGGCGCGAGTTGTCGGGGTAGTCTTTTCCTTAGCACTTGAGCCCTGGGAGTTTGACTGAGAGTTGTCACCGTTAGCAGATGAAGAGGTGTCAGATTTGTTGTTGGATCGTAGAGATCGCCTCTCGGCAGGCATGGTTCCTAGCTACGAGAAGCTCAGTTGAGCGAGCAGCGAAGCTTCGAGAAGCACGAAAGAAAAGAAAGACGGCAGAAGCAGTTCAGAGCGAAGCGGTAGCACGGAATAGATACGAGCTGGCCGGATGATGCAAAGACTGGAGACGGACAACCACGATTGAGACAAATGGTAAAGGTGCTGATGGCTGTGATGTCAAGAGACGAAGATGAGCGTGGAACGGCACCGTGACCACAGTGCTTAGTCAGGAGAGCCGCTGCCGGGCAGTCTGGCACTTCACCTGAGCTACCAGCTCGGCCGGTAGCACATTATTCGGTCACGGAAAGTACTAGTGCATCAACACGGGAGGTTCACTCGCACTTGGATATATGATCACTGTGTGGAGTGTCTTCTTCAACCGTGTAATGAGATATCGATTAAGAACCCCTTGACTCCTTGAACATTTATAAACCAATTTTTAGTTGGGTTAACTCATGACCTTTTGGTTATACGGTCAGGTGCTAAGCTTCATCAACGCCTGAGGCAGAAGCAGAGCAACATCATCACGGGCAAAACAAGAGAAATAGATAAACCTTCCGCATTACACCAACTTCCTTTATTAGTGGCAGCCTGATCAATATGCCCCTTCTCGAATCCCATCTGGAGCAGATTGCTCTATCGTCGAATGCCATTGCAGAGTTACCGTGTGTTAAACTTGTCCATCTGCCACATATTGTATCGCATCTGACCTCTATCTGCCTTGTCAAGGTTTCCGGCTCCCCGCATTTTCACCAATGCGCTTCTCGGTCCGCACGACATCACGGCCCTGATCCGAGATACTGAAGCTCACGAAAGAGCGTTGTTTCAGGTGGATCCGGACAGTAAAAACCATAGTGCTCAACGACGTGCCACGCGACGAGGGACCATGTTTCCCGCTGAGCCTGAATCCGAATCTATGGCCAGTCGCATCTACTCTGCTCGAAATCATCGCAACCAGTCAGCAGTTGCACGAGTGTTGGGCCATGATATGATGGAGGAGATCAAACGGTCGGCCGGTACCTCCACCCGAGGTGGACGAAGGGAGGTCAACATTGGGGTCTTGCTCCGAGGGGCCGAAATCTTGTGCAATGTCTAGTAAGTGATTCCGGCCACATTTGATTGACCTCTGCTAAATTATTATTGTAGTCCAGTATCCGGCGCGCAAGAAAAGATTGAGACCCTCCGCTACCGCCACGAAACCATTTCCGAATCAATTGCACGACTCGAGGACCGGGTTGCCGCCAATGCTGCCGAACTGGAGCGGATGCGCCACTCGTACGGCGATGATGAGCCTGACGTCGCGCCAGCGGAGCCGTCCAATCCGGACATTTCGAGTGTCACCGATCAAGACATCGAGCGCGAGCTCTCCGAGATCCGAGAGCTTGAGCGAAGGAAACGCGCGCTTGAAGCGCGTGTCAACGGTCTCGATCGGGATTTGGGAGGGCTCATGTCTTGAAGCTCATCTCGTGTCAACATCAGGCCCTGGATATTCACTCCTGCTCGAGGTTCTTCCTTCCATTAAAGGCCAACATTTATCGTGGATTCGAATGATCGCCACAAAAAGAAGAAGTCACAAGCCGTGACAAAACATCCTAGCCACCCTTTGCAGCGCTAATCTCTAGCTGAACGCATAGGATCCCTAAGGCTGCGGAGTCAAGGTCTCGCGCGAGCACTTCTGCTTCAATCACAGCCCAGCAGTGGCTCGATGTTTTAAAGATCGATGGATAAATTGCGTCGACATCTCCATCTCTCGCTGACGGCGCCAGAAGTTCTTATGGTACTGCTAATTTCTGATGCTCTGCAGCAGAGCACGTTTCATTGTCGAGTATCCACTTCTTCCGCATGCTCTCAAGGGAAGATTGAACACTACAAGGGAAGTACACATCATCCTGATATGCTTGCCAATCGAGCCCACAAAGTAGAGCAAATTCCATTTGGATACCGAACGGCATCTTATGTTCATCGCAATGACTTGGCGTACTCTGTTAATCAGAGAGATTAGTGTTAAGCTCCGTTTGAACTTCTAACCTTGAGCGTGTGCTACATCAAAGGGAGTTCTATATTAAAGGATGAAGTAGTCGTCAACAGTGTATGCTTAGTTGGCTTAGCTTCTTAACTCAATTTAAGGTTGTAACCAGCGAGGAATTTTCACGCAATGTCACTTTTCTGGAATTCACCGTACACGCTACACGTCATGACGAGTCGTGTCTGAGGGATCAAGTAAAATCAAACAAAAACAAGTAGCAACATTGTTTGTGGACAACTGGTTGTTTTCAATTGATAAGGTATCTGCTGGCTGGGCCACAGTTCTGGTGGTAGGCCACTTTCAGCACCACCCGAAATCCAACGAGCGGGTGCCAAGACTACGTCTTAACCTCATCACCACCCACTGGGTTACAATCATCCCAACGGCGCTTCCAGTCGAGCTCGTTGCGACGGCTGTACAACACAATACCAGTGGAGGTCACTGTTCACACTCGTGTTCTAAAATCGTTGGGCCCTGATAAAGACCAGTAATTGTCTTGCCAATTTTCTGCCGCTTTCGACACACTGCGCAGTTCGTCTCAAGGTCACACCCGCGGCCGTCAGGATGGATGGTTCGCAATCCCAGCCTGGTCAGCAGCCTGGCCAGCAATCGCAACAGCAGCAGCAACCACAGCAATCTCAGCCACAGCAACAACCCCCACCACAACAACCACAGCAGCAACAGTCCATGATGCAGCCCCAGCAGCATTCCAACCTGATACGGACCGATCAAGTACAGAAGCTCCCCCATCTGAACGACCAGCAGAAGGCTCAGCATACGGCGTTGGTGCGCAGTCTGTGGGAGGCGATCAACACTCGAGATCCGCAAAGTCATGAATACCAAACCGCCCACATGAAGCTTTCGCAGTTGTCGCAAAACTTGATGAAGGGGATGCGCATGTTTCAGCAAAATCGACAGCAGGCTCTCCAGCAACACCAAGCCCAAGCCGCTGCGGCTGCGCAGCAGCAGCAGCAACAACAGCAGCAGCAGCAGCAGCAAGGTCAGGGCCCCGCAAGGCCAACCTGTTCAACGCACACAATCCAACAATCCTCAAAACTTCACCCAACTGTTGCCACAGATCCAAGCGAAGGTCAACGCCCTCAACTTCTACTTGCCGCCCAACGTGACACAGGAGCAGGTGCAAAATTGGATTCCCGAGGCGCGGCTGCGATATGGTATTGCACTTCAGAAGCAGGAAGTTGGTAGAGCGCGGATTGCGGACCTTCGACAGCAATTTGCGCAGCGACAGACTCAAGGCAACATGACCCAGGAGGAAATGCAAGAGTTCAAAAACCGACAGCTGGCAGCCGAGAAACTGTTCCGCGAAGGAAGCGAATTCCTGCAAAAGTTCAAGGAACAGCAAGATACTTTCAAAGCTCAGTCTCATCCTGGCCAGCCGCAGATGAGCCAACAACAAGGCCAGCTGACAGGCGCACCTGCTGCCCAGCAGCCAGCGGTGCCTGCCGGAGCCGCGCAGAATGCGACTGGATCACAAGCCGTTCCTTCAGGCCAGTCTGGCGTTGCAGCGAGTGCGATCCCAGGGCAAGCGCCAACCCCTGCACCTCACACGATCAACTCCGCTGTCAATGCAGCTCGCAACCAAGCCGGCCCTGCCATGTCCCCTACGATCTCGCAAGCCGGCCAGGTTCCACCCACTAATTCGGCAGGTGCTACTCCTGCTCCCTCACACGCGCAACCACCTGCGCCTCGTCCATCTCTACAACACGGAACACCAGGTGCACAGGTGAGCTTCTCTCAGGCCCCAAATGTGGACGGCCCTACAACTACGCCGACTGGCCCTAGTGCACCAATGAATCAAGGGCCCCCAAGACCTCTTTCCCAACAGGCTGCTATGCAACAAGCTGCCACTTACAACACTGCCGCTCAAGGCCAGCAACAAAGCCAGCAAGTCAACCAAGCTTCGGCCAATCAGCAGGCTCAGACTTCAGGATACCTTGTCAACCGCTCAGCAGAGACGCCCAATCGCAATATCACCACCCATATGGTAGTTCCCAGAAACCTCAACGTGTCTACCCCCGAACCAGTTTCAATGCCTGGTTCGCGTCCTACCTTCTCCGGTGGTCCCAGCCACAGCCAGATGGGCGTGATGGGACAGCCTGCGATTCAAAAACACCCTGGATACGTCCTTGAAGGTGAAGGCCAGCACGTACTCAGCAAGAAGATGCTTGACATCCTTGTCCGCCAGGTCACAGGTGGAGGCGAAGGTGAAATGCTTTCACCAGATGCAGAGGAGGTAAGTGATCGTATCGCTATTACTTGATGGTCAACATGAAAGATACTAACACTTCGGTACAGTTTATGCTTCAGATGGCCGATGACTTCGTCGACGACGTGATTACTCAGGCCTGCCGTCTGGCCAAGTTGCGCCCCTCATCAACCCTGGAACTCCGCGACATTCAGCTCATCCTGGAGCGGAATTACAACATGCGCATCTCTGGCTTTGCTACTGATGATCTTCGGACCGTCAAGAAACCTCAACCTACGCAGGGCTGGCTACAGAAGATGTCTGCAATTCAGGCGGCCAAGGTCACTCAGGGTCGGACTGAATGAAGCCTGCTGGTCAAGTGAGAAATGCACAAGGAGCAATGGCTTTTACGCGTTTCAGTTTTCTTACCCCCAGTTGTGCACATGAGACACTCTGCTCTCTTCATCTTCTCTTCAGGGCGGCGTCATCTTCCGGGGTTGCTTAGCTTCATTGAATTTTTCTGGGGGCGTGCTGGCGTTTATTGAGGCAGGCAGAGCAGCCGATGGACAGGGGTTGATTGACGCGTCACTTCAGTTACGAGGAAAGGCCGATTGAAAAGGGCTCACTAGCAAAGCTTCAGATGTCTACTTTCACTGATTTTCCACTTTTGTTTCCTTCCTTTGGCGCAAAGACCGCAACACGATTAATTTGACGGAAGTTTTGCAAACCGTTTGGGAGGTTACTTATGGTCAAGGATGTTTCTCTTTCTGCAGCCTTGCATAATTTACACTCTCTCCAGATCCTTGAAAATGAAGCCGTTCTACTTCAAGTTGTGCATCCATTCTTGAAAGATAATCATGTATTGTATTGAGCCCAGTATGAGCACCTCTCTCACGCGGCAGCGATTGCTGCCTTCCAACATTCCAAGATTCTATTCCAGTACTGCTCCGGATGCATCCTCATATGCCCAACGTGCGGTGAGCCCTCGAATAATTCCGTGTCCACAGCTCTGTACCCTAACGTCTTCACCCCAGCCACGTTCTCTTCCAAATCCTCATACCAGATGATCTCATCTTCCTTGGAGTACAAGTATAACCTGCTCGCCTCCCGGATCGTAACATCAGGATCGTTCATGATACGATTCGCCCACACGCCCGAAGGCTCGGAGCCCCGAACGATTTCCAAGAGATAGTTGGCCCACAGGAAGAGCCACCAGAAGGCCTGGGTGACCACAAAGGGCCAGGGAAACATCTTCGCCGTGCCGACCGCCATCGCGCGCGACCACCGGCCTACTTGTGTGGAGAAGATCAGACCGCCCGGCGTAGAGTCGCATACTAGCAGCTCATGCGGCATTTGCTTGTCCTTGCCGTGTCGCTCTTGATATGCGGCCATGGCAGCCGCCATGAAAATTCCCCCGGTATTGGACATGGCGTGGAGCAGGACTCTTTCCTGTCCTGTGTTGCTGGCGTTGTCGCCTGTTGGCGTTGGGAAGACGGTGTCGATAATCGGCATCATTGCCTTGATGCGATCATTGAGTGGTTGGGGCGACGCATGGAATGTGCCTGAAATGGCCACGAGGATCCTGGAGCTGGGAAAGAGATTGTTGAAGCCCTCGGCGTATTTGGAGACATGTTTTGGTAGCCCGTCGCCCCAGGCGAAGATGATGATTGTGGTTGGGTGGTCCGCCGGCACTGGACTTGTGTTCTCGTTGCCATTGCGAATATAGATGCGATCTGATAGCGCCGTGAATCCCGGGAAGGGGACTGGTTTGGATGGCATGATGTGTCTTTCTCTTAGAAGCAGATGTCAATCACACTTTTATTGTTCGGGAGTCTCTTGATGATCTGTTTAGAAAGATCAGTCGTTAAGCGTGGTCCGCCTCAATCGAGCACAGTGACCTCCTGGGGTGTGTCGTTTATTTAAGGTTCCCCTTTTCGTCGTCAAGAATGCTCAAATCTATGCACACGACAGTCTCGGCCCAGCCCTGCGACATGAATATTTGTCTGATCCCAGATCGGTTCCGCCGAACCCCGGCCGTGGTGGAAAAAAATGGCAACCATCCATGACCATTTGGCAGTCTGGCCGTCAACCTGTTGGGACAGTTTCTTGAGTCTGTTCCTTATGGACTGTCTATTGGTCGTTGAGCTGGGAAATGGGTGGGTCGTTGAGAAAAAGATCGAGCGGGTAGCGGAATGCCTCGGTTGATACCTTTTTTGGAAAGATTTGAGATCGCCTGGTCGGCCCCTTTCAGGGGTCGCTCCGCTCTGAAGATGGAAGCGGCTTAGGAGGCTGCTACGAAGGATACCGATCGCAAGAAATGACGTATATCGTGGGTCTGGGATATCTGATCATTCTGATGAGATGCTTCTAGCGCCGGGAGCCAGACGAGGGCTGACCTTGGGGCTTAAAAGAGTACTGGTGACTCACGAGAAGCTTCTCGAGACGGGGAAATGCGTCCACCTCCCGTAGCTGAAAGCTCATGGAATCTCAGTGACCACTGCACTGGCTTGATCCACCTGGCAAGCTCTGTCGAAGTCCAGACTCCTCCGACATGAGGCTCAAATAGCATTTTGAAGGCTGGGCCCTACGACCATTTGCAACGAGGCTGCTGGATATCTATGGTAAAATCAGCGTCTACCACAAAAGGATAGTGATTGCAAGTCACCAACCGCCCAGTCAGAGACTCTGTTATCTCATAATAGATAGGACGCCACATTGATCAGGTGTATTGGCGACGAAATGGAGAGCTCGAGACTCGGTGAGAAAAGCGAAGGCGAGCGCAACATGAGCATCAAACAAACCATGCGTAGCATGTTCCTGCGTGAGCGATCTTCATTGTTAGATCCTTCCATGTAAGATTCACATAACTTGCTGGCTCCATCATTGAACGGTCTCCAAGACACTCCAGTGCAGCGACGGACGTGATCTGAAACACCGCCCGGTGCGATTATTGGATCATCCTCCTTGTCAGCCCCAGCCACAAAAGTACGTCGCTCGGGTACCTGATTGTAAAGCGAAGCGACGTGACATTCAGAACGGCCTTTGGCCCCCACACACGTGTCTTTCACCTGACATCAGCGCCCCGAAGTGGACACTCTAATTTCAAAACAACCTGACCTCATCAACTTGCAAAGCTCGGTGCAGTTCAAGTTCACTTTGATCCAGTCGGGAACTTTCTATCCAAAATGCGAGGAGTGCAATGGGAGTCGAGTCTAGCAGTCGCTCTTCTTTGTGGAAGTGCATCCGCCGTCGCATTCAACGCCAAAGATGAGGGTCAGTTCGCCGTCTGGGGGATTAGCATCCACTTTGGATCAATCGTGGGGCCCATATTGACTTTTCTGCTTCTTCGCCAACAGCGTCGGTCAAGAATGCTGCCAGTGTAGCTGCCAACAATACCATTGCGCTCTACAATGGTCGCAATACCAGCGATATCCCCGGCAAATGGGCGGGCGCATGGTACCCGGGAGGTGTGATGTTCGACACCTTGATCAACTACTGGTATTTCACTGGCGACAGCACATACAATAAGGTCGTCAGCGATGGCATGTACTGGCAAGCGGGGAATGATTCAGACTTTTTCCCGTCAAACTACAGCCAAAGCTTAGGAAACAGCGATCAGCTGGTTTGGGGTTTCGCTGCCATGTCGGCGGCGGAGATGAATTTTACTCGGAACAGCTCGCGCCCGTCGTGGACTACTATGGCTGAGAATGTTTTCAATACTCAAGTTGCTCGCTGGGATACGCATAACTGCAAGGGTGGGATGCGAACGGGGATATGGCCCTACCAGGAAGACTACCAGTTGAAGGACGCTCTGAGTAATGGTGGACTCTTTGAACTTGCGGCTCGCCTGGCCCATTCGACGAGCAACAAAACCTACTCGGAATGGGCCGAGAAGATCTGGACCTGGAGTGGTACCACGTCGCTGTTGGACGTTGACGCAGGATCCGTCTCTGACTCGACGACATGCGACTCGAATTGCTCCAAGAGAAGCACCAGTCTCGAATGGTCATGGAATTACGGGGTCTTTCTCAGCGGAGCTGCGTACATGTACAACATGGTGAGTTTTAGTGATTGAACTTTCTCATCGATGTTCCAAGCGTGGCCAGATCTTTAGGCCAGAGCCAGACAGACGCTGACGAGGAATTCCTGACAGACCAACGGCGACAAAAAGTGGAAGACTGGTATCGACAATCTCCTGAATGCCACCACTCTCCTGTTCTTCCCCACGGATGGATTCGGCTTGGCTGATGGCAAGATTATGATTGAGATGGCATGTGAGCCATCAAACACATGCGATCAAAGCCAGGTGGTCCTCAGGAGCACTTTCATCCAAAGTCTTGTGCAGACCGCACTGAAGGCTCCCTATACCCTATCCAAGATTGTGCCCTTGCTACAGGGCTCTGCATCTGCGGCGGCGATTACCTGTACGGGCGGCAAGTCCAATCTGTGCGACGGTCCGTGGTACATGGAGAAGAACGGTGTGAACGGTACCACTGAGGATCAAATGGCCGCCCTCAGCATCTTCACTTCGAACTTGATTGCTTTCCAGGGCTCTGGATCTGCAGCATCATCGCCGGGCGCGAACAGCACAAATTCCTCGAGCACTACGGCGTCACCCACGCAGACTGCGAGCTCGACGGGGGCCTCTGGTGCTGCTACCACGACCGCCGGAAACAACGAGGCCGGAGTGCTTGTCAGTAGCACGAGAGCAATGCTTCTGGCCATATTCTTGGCGGCCTTTGCAGCCCTGCTCTGATGCGAAGCTCATAATCATGTTCGAGAGCTGGCATCCGATTGATTGATGGTGCTAGCGATAGTCAACATAGGTGTGACAGCCGTTGTACAAAATGTTCTGGTGCTGGTTCTTGGCGGGGCGTTGCAGTTGCTTTAACCTTTACTCTTTCAGACATACAAACTGAGTATGGCAGACTTATCTTGTTCTTTCCTTCTTTTCTTCTTCTTTTACTTCTCCCTTCGAGGAATCATTCCTTTTGTGTCATCTGGCTCGGCCGTCTTACGGGTGACTTCAGAGCGACTGGAAGACTGTCCAGCCGTGCCGACTAAATGATCGTCTTTTAGGGGCTTCCAATGGAACTGATTCCTAGTCAGCGTAGCTCATATAAGGTCGCAGGCACAACCTAGAGCTGTATCTCCCTAAGAACGGGTTCGAGGCATCATGTCTTCCGCCTGTCTTTGATGTGACATAACGTGGATCTTTCTGAATGCCAGGTGGATAGTGGTTCAAACAATATGATGAATATCAACGCTAGGCGCATTGTCATTTCGGGGCGAGCGATTTATGGAGGGCTTTGTCGTGCCCAAGTCAATCCCATGCCGCTGTTTTTTTGCCAGCTCCCGAGGTATAGACTACACTGCTACAGTATGTACCTAGTACCTAGTACCCGTTACCTATCTACCAGTATATGAGTTACTGACCATGTACTATGTACAATGTACACTGTCGACTGTACAGTACCTTTGAGGACGCCAATCTGCCGTGGCAACCATCCATAAAACACCAATGTTGAACTCTGCATGCATATCATTGTACTTCGGTCTTTTCTCGAACGACCGGCCGACTGCCGGATCGCCGTGATTCGACATCGTTCCCGCTATCGCTCTTGTCTCTTTTGCCGTTGGCTCTACCCCGGAAGCTTTGAGTTTGCTGGAACATGTAAGCAACCTTCTTTTAGACTTTTTCTGGGACTATCCTGGATTCTTATAGTTCATGGTCTGGACTTGTGCCTTCAAGCCTTGTAACATGCGAAAAGAAATCGGTCTGGGTCCTTCCAAGTTTCGGGTATTAAGCGGAATACTTGAGTTCGCTACACTCGGACAACACTTTCCTGCATCGTCGGTCAAGTAGTGGATCTGATCCGCTGTTGGCCTATACAGCACACAGTGGTAGATCACATGGCTGTTATCTATTCTATTTGCATGGCATATTGAGACAAATCAATATCGCATGTTCATGACCGTGGGCAGTAAACAGTAAACACCAAATACGGGATCAAGCCCTAGCCGGTGAGAGAAGATAAGTCAAGTCCGATACAGAAAGTTTGGCACCCTGCATAATAGCGGACTATCGGTAGCCCTGCATCTCCCTCCGAATGCCGGGGGAGGATCCAGATTCTTATCTGTTACATAGCCGGATTTGGTCAGATGAGACGTGTGGGAGTGCGATAGTCAAAGTCTGCAGTGGACACTGGGGCATGGCTAGGGTCCACCAGGATCCAGCCGTATCTCTATGTGCCCCATAGTACTTTTTTTTCGATAGATAGAGCGCTGAAGCCATCCCATTCAGTCCACAGCAGTAGTCATTAGTAGGGTCTGTCCTGTAGTAAGGTTGAGATATCCAGTGACCCCCTGACGGTCCAAAAGAAAGAGGGCACTCCGGCTGGTTCACATGGTCTGGCGGGATTGTCCATGTCATGGATGATCAACCCTAGTCATTTTCTCACTGGCCTTGGTGGTGATCTGACTAGTAGTCCTGTGCGCTGACTCTGCATGATGTCAATTGACCGATGCGGAGTCCTGGCCGTCTGACCCGGGGTGACGGTGTTCTCGTAACCCCACGTTTTCATTCTGCTCGTCTTGCTCGCCTTGCTCGAAATGTTGGGGATGTCGTCTTCCCCAAATTTTGACCGGCCTCCTTTTGTCTACACCACCGTGGAAGACCTACCCATTTAGTGACTAAACCATCCCAGTTCCGACTTGAGAGGGGCCTTTACCCCATGGGTAGTCATCTTAAAATGTCTGATCCAATGAAGAGGAGTGGTGGTATGGATAAGCTCTGGGGCGTCGACTTGTCGCACGGGTAATTCCTTTGGGCCGTGGCCATCACTTGCACCAGCCTTGAATTTGACCGGCGAACAAGCAACTCATCCATTCCTCGGACCGCGCTGGAGAGTTGTGCGCGTTCATCAAAGGCGGAAGATTGAGATGCGGCCACGACAGATTGGTCAAACTCACCGAGCTCGGCGACGACACCCAATCAAAGGCACGGCAATGTTATCGCCTCTCCGGGCCCCGTCCGCTGAGACTCACGTGGGGCTCAGGTGACTGAAGGCCAATGAGGCGGGCCACAACGGCCAAGAAGGCACTGAACTGGACCGAATGTCGATCCAAGTGGAGTGGCCCGACGACTAGACTCTGCCACTCTGGGCCATCGCTGGCATGATTCTACGCTCATGTCTCTGAGGGAGCCCCCAAATCCTATTACCTAACAGCCCGTTTGATTGTAGGGTTCCCCGCGTTCTTCGGACCTGGAGTCTCAGACGGGGAGCAGGTACACCAGATACGGTGAGACGCAATGGGGGAAGGCATGTCACGGTACATGACCGGCCATGAACGAGGGACTGACAACGAATCCACCAATCCCCAAAGCCCGGGGAAGTGATGTAGCCATTTCAAGGTCAGGGACCCGTCATGTCGGTCTCACCTTGATCTTTATTTTATCTCACGCTCTCCCTCTGCAACGACCGCAGGAAGCAACAAGAAAAGGAAATCTTTCTGACTCGAGAGACTGCGAGGCTCATTATTCGGCCTTGAGAGACAGACGGTCCGGAAAACTATACGGCACTGCCTTTTCCTGGTCGACGTTCCTGGCCCACCATGGAGAAGCAAGCATACTCGGACGATGACGCCCAGCTGGCGCAGATGGGCCACAAGGCGGAATTGAAGCGCCAATTCTCACTATTGTGAGTACGACTACGGGCGTTCACTTGAACAATAACCAGGACGGACATGCTGACCATGACTGGATGTTGACAGGTCAATGCTGGGGCTGGCGTTCGCCATTCTCAATGTGAGACACCAGACCGGCTTTCTGTGATTCGCACTCTAGCATCGCTGACATCTTTCTCTCGCGCGAAACAGTCATGGACTGCATTGTCAGCCAGTTTATCCCTCAGTTTGCCTTCTGGAGGCAGTGTGAGCGTTGTCTGGGGTAAGTTGATCCTGATCCAAAGTGGACGATTTGCGAGGCGCTCATGAATGTTCTGACTGTTCGTGTTTCACCAGGGCTGGTTACAGCTGGTATTTGCAATCTATGCATGGCTGCGTCGCTCGCCGAATTTCTCTCGGCTTATCCCACGTACGTTGGATGCAAAACCTGCCTGGTCGATGGAATGGCGATAACATGGTACATGGACGAGGGCTAACCTGGAGATGCGGATATAGTGCTGGAGGTCAATACCATTGGGTTGCTGGTAAGTGCGAGAATGGACCCATGCAAGATCATTTCTACACTATGCTAACAATTGGTTTCTGCTCACAGTCAGTACGTAATTTCGATTTCAGGAGCAGAAGCTCGAATCTGTGAATGCGGGACAATATCTGACCTTGCTGCAGTCTCGTGGGAACGCTGGGTGCCCATCCTCTCTTGGATCACAGGCTGGGTCAACTGCTCCGGATGGGTAGCCCTGGTGGCTACCGGTGGTCTGCTGGGCAGTCAGCTCATCCTGGGCGTGATTTCATTGATGAGCCCGGTGCGTGATAATCCCTTGCCCGAGGAACAAGACAGAATACTGATTGTGTCTCACAGACATATGAGGCCCAACGCTGGCATCAGTTTTTGATCTACATCGCATACAACTTGTTTGCATTTACTATCAACAGTCTCTTGAACCGAATTCTGCCTCTATTCAACAAAGCCGCTTGTGAGTTGATTGTGGTCAGACTTTACCACAATGTAGAATACTAACCTGTTCCTCAGTCATCTGGTCCCTTACGGGGTTCACCGTGATCTGCATCACCGTTCTTGCGTGCGCTTCGCCTAACTATAACTCGGGAGAGTAGGTCGAAAATTTTTGCTCTAATGATTGGCGTGCACAGCTGACGAAAGATAGCTTTGTGTTCCGGGAGTTCACCAACACAACCGGTTGGCCCGATGGCATCGCATGGCTTCTTGGCGTGAGTCTGCCCTCTCAAGTGATTCAACCGGACTCCTACTGACGATAAACAGCTCTTGCAAGGTGGACTTGGTGTGACTGGATTTGTGAGTAATTTCCTATGTAACAAGGTGATCATCATCGTCGACACAGCTAACCTCAGTCTAGGACGGTGTTGCGCACATGATTGAGGAAATCCCCAACCCCTCCGTTGAAGGCCCCAAGATCATGATCGCCTGCGTCGGTATCGGCACTGTGACCGGTACCATTTTCTTGGTCGTCTTGCTCTTCGTGGCCGGTAACATTGACGATATCATTGCATCCGCGGCCGGTCCTCTGCTCGCCATTCTCAAGAACGCCACGCAGAACAATGCTGGTGCGATTTGTCTGTTAATGTCAGTCTTCCTGCATTTCCGACCAATTCACGATCACGATGTTGATGTTTGCCCAATAGTTTCCCCCTGGTGTGTATGCTCTTCGCAACCACTGCCATCATGACGACCAGCTGTCGCATGTGCTACGCGTTTGCTCGAGATGGCGGTCTTCCATTTTCGCGCTTCTTCGCCAAGGTCCACCCCAAGTTGAAGGTTCCGTTGAACTCTCTCCTCCTGAACTTGGGCCTCGTCATCGTCTTTGGCCTCATCTTCTTGGGCTCGACTAGGTATGATTTACTGGCTTTTGCTGGCACAGCGGAGAACTTGTGAAACTAACTCACGTCAGTGCCTTCAATGCCATCGTGTCCGCTTCGGTTGTGCTGCTGGATCTGGCTTATGGAATCCCTATTGCGATCAATTGCCTTCGGAGACGCAACACCCTCCCCGAGCGGCCCTTTGTTCTGCCCAACTGGCTTGGATGGATTTTGAACATTGTAGGTTGCACTGGATGTGAATGGTCACGGGAACTTGAAGATAACTAACGTGGGTTCGCAGGTGTCCCTGGTATATGTCACCTTGACAACTGTCCTCTTCCTCTTCCCTCCCGACCTTCCCGCCACCGGCAGCAACATGAGTATGTTTTACGACCCCCAGTGACCCCATTTCAAGGTTGTGAGGACTGACACAGTGACACTAGATTACTGCGTGGCTGCCTTTGGTATCGTGTTTGTCATTTCCACGATCACATGGATCTTTGACGGTCGCAAGAACTACTCTGGTCCTCGTATCGAGGCTGAGGTTCTCTCTGGACAGGTTGGCGAAAACCCAGATCATGCGCCTATCCCCGTGGTCGAACAAAAGTCGTAGAGGACAAGATAGTACTTTGGTCATTTTGGCGTTTTTAGCTACACTTTATAAGTGTGATTTTCTTCGCAAAAGCTGTTCTTTCTTTTGCCCTTCCAGACTCCGGTGACTGTTCTAGCCTGGATACTCTTATAGACCTCGTGTCACGATTTCATTATGAAGCGTTTAATTACTTCTGCTGTAAAATTGTAGCTTGACACTGGGTAGGGTACCTTATGTTGGAGGTCGAGGCGGGATCCTTCATCTTACGTCATACAATCAATACATTTTGATCGGCTGGATGCCCGAGGCTCAAGTTTCCCAACATTCCGCTGCGAACATGAACATGCTGATCCGAGAATAGACCGATCTACACAAGCTTATTTCGTTATATAATCCCGCTCCACTACAGCTCCATAGTTAATGTTGCAGCACACTCATATCCAAAGAGTCAAGCGCTGTGCACATCGTGCGTGCCTCGCAGCGTAACCACCGTCAAACCCCCGCCTGTGTTTCCTCCCGCAACCATAAAGCGGCACGGGAGCGAGCGAGCGAGCAACCCGCTCAAACTACAGAACCGAGAACTCGCCCCTGTTCTCTCAAGATGTTCCAAATTCCATCCTTGAAACTTTCCAATCTCTTCTCATGGGGTGAAAAACATCCCATTGACCTCCCGACGGTCAAAGTGCACGATCTGGAAACCTCCGAAGAGAAAGGCACGAGGACCCTGAAGCACCTGCTGAAGCTGAACCATGCGAATCATGCCATCTTATGGAATCATCGCAAGTTTCACAATCACGCGCCTCATGTAAGGTTTTTTTTCCCCTGTCTTCTAAAGCCACACTTGAATGTGAAGTGGTGGAATCGGCTTGACTGATGATTGTCTTCGTTCTAATTGAGCTTTTGCCTGTAGCTTCTCAGCGCTGCTTACTTGCAAGGCGCCGATGCGGATGATCTTGCTCGCTTGTACGAGTCCGAGTCGAAAGAGTTGGAGGAGTGGGATGATTCTCCTGCCGAGGTGACTGAAGATGACTGGAGAGAGTTTGTGGGACGCAGAGAGTACGTGGATAGCCCTAAACACCACGAGATCAGATGAGATCTGCACCGGCAAGACTGGGATGGGCTAATAGCAGGTCTGATAGATATCAAAAGGCTTTTGTGGATTTCTTCGAGGACGAGATGGTTCGACTGGGCTATGACTGGAAACAAGTCGTGGCCGAATACTTATTCTCGGGGGACGAGCCCTTGTTTAATTCCGTGATGGCTGATCGTCAGTTGATTTCCCCAAGCTAACATTGTTCAACTCCCACTGCGTGACTGGAAGTACTGACATCAACTTCCAGTCGGACATCCCTTGATACATCTGGCCTACGCATATGAAATGTCCAGTCGTGAAGTGGGTATGGAATCTCTCGGTTTAGCGGCGACATGCTACAACAAAATCCACAAGTACCTGGACGACCCCGTCTTCAACCAAGTCGAGGCACCCTACCACGCCAGCTCGCTCTTCGAAATCATCGAGAGAGTCCACACCGACAAGAGACTCGACAATCTCTTCGTCACCCCGGGCGACCACAACGTCGAAACCCTCTTCACCGACCACGAGGCCCTTCTCCTCGACCACTGGAATGCCTGGACAATCACCAACCCGACGGAACAGTTCCGTGAGAGCCAGCGGCTGGCGGCCGCCCTCCTGGTCGCGACACACACCGACACCAGCGAAAAGTACGATTTCTTCCTTGTGCACGTACTGACCACCAGCCATGCCGTGCGTGTCTTACTCCCCCTGATCCCGGCCAAGTTTCAGATCCCGCTCGTTCGTCAGTGGTGGTTGATTACGTTGGCGGTATACATTGCGCAGCTGCGGCCTCAGATCGAGCTGGATGTTGTGCGTCACATCGATCTGAAGGGGAGGGATTGGGCCTGGACGGCAGAACAGGCCGTCAAGGGCCGCCACTCGACGGACTCGCATTATGTCAAGGCTTTGAGGTCGTTGCATGAGTGTGCGATTACCTGGGGGGACCAGGATGACTTGTTTCTGAAAGCTGCGGTGAAGTTTGCCGAGGAATTCACTGAATGGGGAGGATTTGTGTGATGGGGAAATCCCAGGCTTTTTCAGCAAGTTGTGTGATCGGGAAGGGAAAAGTGCGATCTTCAAAATTTTGTTATGTGCTACTGTCCCGGGGTTTCTCTATTCAAGCGACGAAGGTGTGAGCACTGGACATTCACAGTAGTATTTACCTCTGCAGACATCATCGGGACCAATGGTCGCCGGACCTCTAAATGGAGCTCTCTTCTACCGTACCGTGGCCGTCCCTTAATGCATAGTACTGTGAGCTCAATGCTATGATGCACACCAGACTCGGATGTGTAGAAAATCAGGCTCCAAAGCATGAAGTAGAGTACATATAGACTCTCTGCACTACGAAATGCCATACCATCTACTACAGAGTACAGAGTACAGGCTACAAATACAGACAGACCACAAGACGGGCCCTAATACCCCAGAAACCCAGCGCCCAGACGTCACCAACACCCCCATTCGGCCCAGCGTTCCCGAGTCCCGACGCAACCCAACCTTTTGACGAGAGAGTCTCGACACTTCAAACCCCCGGATCGGATCGCTGCACGGGCACGAGGAAGCACGCCAAAAAGGGAAAGGAAAAAGAAAATCAAGAACACAACCTTCCATTTCCTCCCTTCCCCCGGATTGTCACTCCCTCCATGACTCTCTCCTGCATCGGCACCGCGCAACAATGACACACTCTCCAGCTCACGCCCTCCGCCAAAGCATCCGACGCAATTGCACCCAATCCACGCTCGTCAGCCACAGCAGACCCTCATTCCCGCTGCAGCTCCGCCCGAGTCGGTTTCCTCGAGGCCAACCGGTTCGCCCCTCCTTGTTTTCCCCCTCCGCCCGTGCACCACGTCGACTTTACCTCCAACATCGCGGACCTACGCTACCAAGACCACCACCGCCACGACATCTGACACGTGCTGTCCGTCAATGACCGGCAAAATGACCGAGGACATGAAACGCAATATTGCGACCATCTTTGAGAATAACAAGAAATGGGTCTCGGCGAAGAAGGAGGGTGATGGGGCCTTCTTTGACAAGTTGGCTGCTGGGCAGACCCCGGATTATTTGTATGTTGGGAACTCGACTCCATGGATGGGAGTCTCCAAGAGGCGGGGCATGAACTTGCTGGAGTATGCCTGCTGAATTGGGTTGCTAATATGTGCTCTCTCTCCAACGGTTCAGGTACATCGGCTGCAGTGACAGCCGCGTCCCCGCCAACGAGATCATGGGGCTCGAGGCCGGCGAAGTCTTTGTCCATCGCAACATCGCCAACTTGGTCCCCAACATCGACCTCAACGTCATGTCCGTCGTCAACTACGCTGTGCGCCACCTGGGCGTCAAACACATCATCGTCTGCGGCCACTACAACTGCGGCGGAGTCAAAGCCGCGCTGACCCCGACCGACCTGGGCCTCTTGAATCCGTGGCTGCGCAACATCCGCGACGTCTACCGGCTGCACGAGAAGGAGCTGGATGCGATCCAGGACGAGACCAAGCGGTATAATCGGCTGGTGGAGTTGAATGTGGTCGAGTCGTGTCGCAATGTGATCAAGACGGCGGCGGTCCAGCAGAGTTATCGCCAGAAGCAGTATCCCATTGTGCATGGATGGGTCTTTGATTTGCAGGATGGGCTGTTGCGGGACTTGCACATTGACTTTGAGGAGATGTTGAAGGATGTCATGAAGATCTATCATCTGTCGGACAATGAGATGCACTCGGAGACGTCGGGTGGGGCGTGAAAGGGAGATCCAGAGAGTTGAATGTAATACGAGTGTGCTGATGATGTTGAGAAGAATGAATCGTTTTGTCCGAGCATTTTCCGTGAGCATGGTATAGTGTTGATGTATCTCTTGATCGGAAAAGAGATCATTGGTATAGGGGACGTGAAGAAGAAGAAGAAGAAGAAGAAGAAGAAGAAGAAGAAGAAGAAGAAGAAGAAGAAGAAGAAGAAGAAGAAGAAGAAGAAGAAGAAGAAGAAGAAGAAGAAGAAGAAGACCATCATCTTCCACTCTCCTCAAACATCCTCCCAACAACCCTCATTCAGTGCAACCGCCCTCCCACTCAAAGGATCATACACAATTCCATGTAAACTCAACTCACCCCGTCTCGTCGCCTCCTCCACCTCGGCCATACCGCGCAACGAGCGTAATTGATCCAAGATATTCAACTCCACAAACACATCATCCCGCTGCTGCATCGGCAACAGATCAATATGATGACGATGTTTCGCGTGGAGAGAGTCCAGTTTGCTGCGACCTCAATAACATTAGTATCTCGTTGCCTGAACCCTTCCTATCCTTCTCATAGCATTGTCTCGATATGATGTTCAGGGTAGCTAAAGTTTATAGTTCCAACACGTCGAGTACACGGTATACGCACCTTGACCACAGGCCCGGTAGTCCCTCCCTCGATGACGCCCTCACAATCCCACACCCGTAATGTCCACACACCACGATATGCTTCACTCGCAACTCGCACACCGCGTGGCGAATGGAGATCTCACTCGACAGATCTCCCGGAATGATCATATTGCCTAGATTGCGGTGCTCCAGCATCTCTTCTGGGAGGAAGTTGAGGGTCGTGGTCTCGGTGCAGTCGCTGTCGGAGCACCCGATCCAGAGGATCTGTTTGGAGAGGTGGTCGGGGCGAGGGATGAAGTTGGTGCGGAGGGTGTGGGTTGAGTCGCTTGGTGGGTTGGTGGGTTGGTGAGATTGATTTTCAGAGGGGTGAGAGGACGTAGGAGGAGGTGAGGATGGGGGAGTGTCGGTGTACATCCGGATGGGCATTTTGAGGGTGTAGTAGCAGAGGGCTGAGCTGCCTGAGATGCGAGCACGGGGAATGGGAATGCGAAGGCGGCTTTGATTGAAGAGGTGGCGGGAGAAGACCATGTGTCTCGCGAGAAAAGAGAGCAGCAAGAGAAGGCCTGGTGAGAAATACGAGGGTAAAGAGAAGAGAAGAGAAGAGATCTACCTTAGGGGCGTGAAGGGTCAGGTAGCATTAGTAGGACTAGGATGAGGTAGTACGATCCGACGTTAAGATTCGAGTCAAAGCCGCTAGCATCATCAAACAATAGTAGCCACTAGCCAGTTGCATGGCATAGCACTGACCCAAGGATCCATCAAGACAATTCAATTGTTTCGGAATACGGCAACGTCGGCCAAATTCCGGAACACCTGAATATGAAGACGGCCAATCCATCTGGCTCAAGCATCATAACCCGATCCGCCAAATCTATCGGAGGACCAAATGTAATCGGCATGGACATATATGCTCGATTAAGACATTGTTCCTGACCGCGGAGGTGGAATCGGTGCCATCTCATCCTCTCGCATCGCCGCCAGGAACGGAGATCGAACTGAAAGTGGAACTGGAGATGTAATTGAAGAGTAGTTCCAAGACTTCAGTTGGTAAGTGACTGTTGGCGATGATGTATCGACCGAGAAATCCCCGCGGATCCAAGTGGGAGCCAATGAATGTTGGGGGTCGGATCCGATGCCCAGCGGGAGCTTCCGGTTGATCTTCACGACCTCGTGGGTGGCTCAAGGCACGTGGATGTACAATAGCCGTTTAAGAGATACGCTTCCGAACGATGGATGAATGAGGTTGGGACGATTTGGAGAAGGAAACGCCGTCCTGTTGTTCCACGTGATGTTGACTAAAGAGGAGATGAAGCGTAGGACTGCCGAAAGGTGGTTCTCCTGGCCTCACCATGATCCACTGGTATTGCTCTGCTATGAGGAGCAGAGGGTATGGACGGGCTGTGGCTCCTCACGACGAAGACAGCTATCTGACTACTACAATGAAGCACTAATTGCCCTGGTCTGGTTATACCCAGAGAAGATATTATGGACGTATTGGAAGATCACTGTCACATCACGCATGTCTGAAGACAGGCGTCTGGGCGTCACTAAAGGTGACCTCGGACCAGCCTGCCGGGCTGTCGAGACAAGGTCCATTGTGCGTTGTCAGCAACACCAAAGTAAGTATGTTCATACACAAGTCAAGACCACCCAAAGCTGCGTCGAAGTGTATCGACCCGATCTAACAACGTCACAAAGCCCTTCGGCCGAAGGAAAGTGGGGAGGCGTGGGGGCAGGCATGGAGATGGGAACCTCAACTTTGATGGGTACGACACGTGATCATATGCCCAGTTTGCACAGTTTGTCACCACCAACAACGCGGCCGAGGCGCGTGTCCCAGTCTGGGCGCAAGTCCCCTCGAAGCATGGCTCCCTACAGAGGACTGATGCCCGATAACCATTCATTGCGCTCTTGCCACTGACCAAGTGTCACAATGTCGCCTGCTCTGACGCCTCAAGGTGATGAGATGCCCCTTCACCTGCACGCGGAGCTGCTTCCGAACATTCGTCAAGTCACGCTGTATGTATCGCTCCCACAACTGTCGACACTGCAAAGTAATCGGCCTCAGGTTCAGCTGTCCGAATCATGCAAATCGGTCACAGTCTCATTGTCGCCGCCATTTGAGCATGTCACAGAGACACTCAAGCTACCTGCACGTGTCTCCGGCGCCGTGGGGCAAAACTTGAATCTTAGTCCATCAACGCCTTCCGCTCCACGGAAGCCTGCAGATTCTGGATTTGAATACTCGCTTCGGATGGCTATTGACCCCCGAGATGAGCCATTCATCTCCGCTCCAGAGACAGTTTCTGATGACCACTTCCCCTGGACGGCGGCGGACATGTCGCCTCGCACGCGTATCCGCTGTCGGGGGTGCAAGACCCGGTTCCTAAAGGATGTAGGCGCAACGCAGTCCGTCCAAGCTGAGCCTTCTCTGCCCCAATCTGGATGGATCTGGAAGGATCTTCCGAGTGGGAATTGGGCAGAAATGATGGACTTTTGGCACTGCCATAAGCCTGATCCTCACGAACATGATTCTAAACCTGAAGCCGACGCGGCTCTCAAACTCGAGGGTGAGACTGCGCAAGTGAAAGGGTTTGGAGCCGATAGCCGGGTTGAAGCAATCCCTGGGACTGTGCTCATTGATGTACCTTCTTTCCTGCTCTGCGAATCTGATTGCATCAACTTGAAAAAGGTAAGCTCTTCCTCAAACGTCAGACGCCGTAGGAATACATCTCCCGTGAAAACCCACCCGCACCTCACATCCAAGACTCGAAGGCCTATCCGCCCCCTCCCTTCACGTGGGCAACCAGAAGGAGACCATTTCATCACCATGTTGTGGCCGCCGATACTATTGCCCTAGATCAACAAACTCGCATCTCTGTCCACTGGTCAGGGTGGTAAGTGGATTGATCCGTGTCGCAGAGCCACCGATGGCATTTATCCTCTCTTTGCCAGATGGATTTAGCCTTGGATCAATGGCTCTCGCATGGCGATTCAACTGCTGCCCTGAGCTGTGGCTTTTTAAAGAGGTGCCCTCTGTAAGTTTCAATAACAGTTTTGGCTCCGTGAGCCTTCTCCCGAGCAGTGGAACTGTTACGATGTAAGGAGGAACATGCCATGATCTGTCTAGAGCATGACTTGAGTGGGCTTGGTCACTACAAACATGAAATGAAACTTCTTCTCCTTTTTCGATCCTTCCACTCTCCATTTACCTAATTGCTTCTCCTGTTTCCGTATACTGGTGCCCTGCGAATACTGATCTTGTTGCCCGCTTTGCAGACCTCAGAAGATGTTCCTGAGACATCCACCTCAGCCAAATATTTTGCAAGAAGCTTGCAGTGTGCCAAATGCAACGCGTTCGTCGGCATAGAGGATCCACCAGCAAGAGGCTGGCGGTTACTAAAAACCAACGTGTCTCTCAATGCCAACCCCGAGGGTTCCCCAGAAGACGAGACTGCTTGGCAAAGCCATCCTGTTCAACAAATCGTTGCTGCACAGCTACTCGAGCTCATCGAAAGAGAAAGTGCTCGCCGGTTCGTGGTTCATTACGGTCACAAGGACGGGCTTTTGGTATGTTTCCCAGAATACCGCCAGTCGTTCCCGCACGGTTTCTAACACGGTATCCTTAGCTTTGGGTCTTCAATCCGAACCTGCGGTACTCCAGTTCTGGCTCTGGTCACGTTGTTAGCGCTCAGAATGCCATGAAGGTGCTCCACCAGTCAATACCGAATGTCGATGAGTTGCTGACGCCGGAAATTGGGAACCCCTCGCCTCTATCCGTGGAAGAGCTGGAGTTGCCGGCAGCGGTATACAGAGCCTTGGAAGAGGCTCTTGACAAAAGCAATAAGATGCTCCCGTCAACGGCGCGATGCTTCAATGAATGGAAGGTTGGATTGCTTCATCGCTACAGCAGGATCTGTACCAGATGAGCGGCGGCTGGGATCCGCGCTGAATTTGACTGTCACGACACAATGATCGCACCGCTGCGAGTACTGCAGCTTCACATTGTGCAAAGAGGAATTGGCAGAACCAAGGACGGGATTCCGAATTTTTATTCGAGAAGGTGCCATGTCCATCGCGTGGCTATGCTATTGTCTCGGGTTGTACGGATTGCTGTCTTCCCTGCAGACGAACAGCACACCTCTTCCATGATACCAGCTCATTTCCAGCTGACCTACTCTTCAAAGAGTGTCTCATATGGTGGCTCAGCCCGTGGAGTCAGTCGCGCAACATGGCGACGCTGACCATCCTCCCAGTGGTAAACTGCAGAGGGGCAGGCGACACGGTTCTGGCGCAGTCAGCCTCTTGCTTTTTAGCGTCCCACTTGGTTTGGTGAACTGACTTCCCAAGCGACCGGTGTTCCGTACTTGCATTTGATGCGAGCCTGGACATCTTGTGAAAGAGCAATGTGATCGTGCAGGAACTTTAAGAAATGGTCTGATTCCTCCTTTTTATACCCGACAATGAACCGGGTGACTACACCGGTCATTAGCCAGAACTTGTGTTTTCCGTGATAAGATGCCAATCCATGACTTACATTGCGGGTTCACAAAGAGCGCCTTCTCCCCAGTGACGGGGTGGGTCCTCACAACTGCTCTGAAGTGACTGGGTTCCGATCTCAGAAGCCCATTTCGGCGCATGAAGGGGTTCCATCGCTGGGATACAGAATTCGAGTGAACAGAAGAAGAGAAGGCAGTCGTGAAAAAAGGAAGTCATCACTACAATCCTCGAGCAGGTTAAATCTATCACGTCGTGATGATTCAATCGCCGATTGCGAACCTTCCAAATTGATTGACGTATGTATACTTTCGCATGCGTGACAGTTTTGGCCCTCCAAATCGACCGAGGCATTGTCGTAAATCCCCGGTCTGATTGGCATGGTCGCGCTGCCTTTTGGATGCCTCAAGGACTACAATATATACACACTTCCTCCGGCTACATCATCTTGCAACTGAAGTCTTTAGGATTGGATACTTTCCAGACAAATCTACCGACGATGCCTGCGTCGATTCTCTTCATCATCAATTCGGTGCCGTAGACCTGGGCCTCGGGAGCGCTTCAATCAGGAATCTCGGGAACAAGCGGTATGGCTTGCTTGGTTATTATTGACCGAGACATGATCAAACACTGACATTCATGTGAACAGGGTGCATTTCCGTAGCATTCCATGGTACCTACTACGTTGTTGCTCAGAGCGATCGTCCATGCATAGATTGATTTGGAAGTTCATCTCGGGAATACTACTAGGATCAAAACTGGACTCTTCCAATCTGCCTCTCCCGAAAACACCCTCAAAGCCTCAAATACCACATTAGTCTCAAGGAGGCGAAACATTCCCATATACTCGATGGGAATCTCCCAATATTCCACGCCCACGAGATCTCCCTCAAAAGCTATTCACCTCTACTCGCCAATCACATACTCACATCCCTCCTCCCCAATCCATACCTCGTGAAGTTTCCCAGCCGGAACATCAATCCTCGCCCCAGGTCCAAACGTCTCCTTCTTCACCTCGCCATTGAAATTCTCATCGGGGTACGTGATGGTAAATGTGCCCTGACGGATGAGATGGGTCGTTAGGCCCCGGTGACTGTGAGGCGCGTAGTAGCCCTTACTTTTTATGATTCGAATCAAGTGCGCATGTCAGCATTGACTCGGTTTTTTCATGAGCTCCAGCGCATTCTGTGGATGGAGCACGAATGGCTGTGGCTGATGAAAGGGAAGCGAGACACGCACATACCTCCCATCGGTCCATGTGAATACGTGATGGAAGCCCCAGTCTTTGACGAGCCGTTCGGTCTCGGCGCGTGTGCCGATGGGGTATGTGGCCGGCATGATTGAAAGGGGATTGCACGTGAACTCGTGGATGTATATAGTTTATCCGAGATCAGGAGGGATTGCGAGTATTGATCTCGAGTCAGTCAGAAGACGAAGCAAAGCGGCTGATGAAATAGAGTGATGTCAGCGAGTTATGTTTCCGGGGTCAATGTGGGCCTGGGCCAGCTGGGAAGCGGCTAGCGGCCATGGCTGGGAAATACATTGGAGTTGGGTACTTCCTCGACATCGTGATTGTTTCGCGGTGGAAACTTGACGATTTCTCATTCACATGGGATTTTCCATTAGACGACCTGCTGTCTCCGTAGGACCATGGCTTACTGAAGAGGTCAGAGAGGCTCTCCCACAAACATTCTCGCGTCAAGGATGTCCTCGTAGGCTTGTACTGTGAAAGTCCATCGCCCACGCTCCGTAGGAGGTACCTATCGGCCCCGGTCCCGTTCCCCGTGACCCTTTGTCACGTTGCCAATCTGCACGTATTGAGCGCCTTAGCTTGCAAAAGTACAGCGAGAAAGTACGAACTGGTTGCTTTAATAGAGGACCAGCGAATCAAGACGATGCATATTTGTCTTGATCAGCAGTCATGGAGATATAGAAAAAGCGTCAAGAAGGTGGCGAAAAGTCATTCCCGCCAAACGCCACACCGTCCACTCTAGGTCATTTGCAGCAGCCAAGTACATGAAGCAGACTCGATATTGTACAAGACACAGATCGAGTCTTGCTGGGACAGGAAAGAACTCAAATCACAGAAAGTCCAAATTCCAACAGATTAGGGAATATAGATATGCAAGGAAAATAGATCACATGAACAGGTCAGACAGTCATCCTTCCCCGACGCAGACCGACCTCCAAAGTTTGAGGCGCCCGAGACACACCCAGTCGATCTGATGTACGCATCAATGTGATGACCTCGAAAGACGCAAATGACCCAAGAGAAAACACCGTTCGAGATCGAAAATCCTCCCGACGCCATCGAATATCGCTGGACAGGCGAACAAGTAGTAACATGTGTCGCAAATGAGCGTGAGAATTCCTCTCGTCTTTGCCAGATCTGCTCCAGGGACACAAGGTGGTGTGAATTGTTTGCGGGTTGGGATACCCCCCCAGATGATCGGCTGGGCGATCGATTCTTTACGCGCACGGAGTATGGCAGACATGGCAACTCTTGCCTGGAATAACCCATACTTCTTGACCCTTGGCGTAGCAGTTGGGGCATCGTACACCAGGCATCTAGGTGAGAAGACGTTAGTATTGTGCCCTGCATCGACATTGTGGTACGTGTTGGAGGGGAGAAGCTTACCTTGGTCGAGCGAGAGTTGGCGGAGCTGCCAGAGCGGACAGTTGGAGTCGAGTTGGTCATTGCGTCTTAAGATGTGGGAGGGTGAATTGAACAAAGAATGAAGATCGGCGTGATATTCGAGTCTCGTCTTCAAAGCTGAATCGTTGAAGAAGATCGTGGATAGAAGCGAGTAAGAGTCAAGGTCACAGTGATGCTAGGTAGGTATGTAGTGGTAGAAGAAGAGTATCGTCGTGTTGAAGAGTGGAATGTCAATCTTGTGAGGCTGGAGGGATTGATGCAATGGATTTTCGTACAAAATTCTTCTCTTGTGTCTCTCCCAAGTCAGGACAGACAAGCCTTTTTAAAGACCAGAAATTGGACAGTGCCTGAACAGGCGATCTCCGACCAAAAGCGACCAGCGATGATGGTTCATACCAACAACACCCCGCGATCGCAAACTAGCACGAATAGGAATGGAAAATGTCAGAAAATCCCCTTATCGTATGTAGACTGATTTGACACAGAAGACCTTAATTGCTGAAGTGAAACTCAAACCCCAAAAATAATAAATAAAAATAACAAAATCGAAAAAAAAACTCATCTCTTCTAGGGAGCCCTGACAAGATTTCGGCTTCCAGACTCGATTTCATCCTGGTTCCATGGGAAGATCAAACACTCTCTCATCTTGCTGCCGGTCGCATACACTGATGATTCCTAGCAAGACTTTCCGGTGGTAGTTGATAGTCGACAGACCAATTCCTCTTCAGGATGATCGACTAGTCAGAAGCAAGTGTCCGCAGTGGGTGACAACTCCCAGTTTTGGACAGTTTTTTATGCTTTCGATGGCTGCAACTGGCGCAGGGCGCCTGCAGGGATTTAGGGTCTTTGCATATAGGGCTCTTTCCCCTTAGTATGGCGCCAATGCTTGCACCAGATAGCTAATTCATGATGAGAGTCACCCTTCCCGTGTTTGATTCAAAGAGACTTGGAAGAATGACTTTCTTGGCTGCGAGCGGGCAGAGACATGGCGCTGCAGCTGCAGGATCCCATACTATAGACTTCAAAGAGAATCCTCTTCGCCTATTGACAACCCATTGTTATTGATTGCAGGTAGGATGCTTGGCTGACACTTTCCAAGCTCAACATACACACCTGGTACTTGCATTATCCAAATCAGATAGTCTCCAAACCTAGCAACCACAACTTGTGATTGCTCGTGTCAGTGCAAGTCACAAACGAGGCCTCTGATCCGTCCATCTGCGCCCTCCGCACCCAACTTCTCAAAGTTGACGTATCGTTCCTGCAAGTGGGAGACGAGTGGATCGTCAAGTGGATCGTCTCTCGGTCGGCTTCGGTGCACCTGTTAGTGTCTCTTTTCTCTCGTGTGAGCAGCACTAAAAGAGACCCGAACGTCGCGAGAGCTCAAATGCGCCCCATGATTCGCTCAAGTGGTGACACTAGGTCTTAGTCATGCTGGACGTATCACAGACTCGAGGCTCGAAGGAACTGAAAAGCATGTTTACCGATCGTGATCGTGAACTCTCTCCAATGTTAGCGGCGTTCACCCGACCAATAGTTGGCGATAGAGACTACTACAGACGTTTGGGGTCTGGTTTTCCCGGTCCCAAGGTGGAGATGAAATCACTTTCACCAGAGGCACGATGGTTCGTTTTTCCCATGGCTGAACAATTGGGTCCTTGAGGAGGTGGTCCTCGACTATGATAAGGGCAAGGCACGACATCCGAGTCCAGCCTAAACTGGTGCTATGGAGACGCCGAACAGAACTTTACACATACGATGGTCGGAGGATAAAAGCCCAGCGGGTAGACAGTGGACAGTAGACACTGGACACTGGACAGTAGTAACACAACCTTGCACTAACAGTCTTCATATGGATTGTGGAGGTCCTCCCGTCCGTCTATACCGGATAAGGCCCTGTCCTACCACAAGGTTTTGAATTCATATGGCTCGCTACTTAGCTAGTCACTTTGCCCAGGGCTGCTACGTGTCCGAGTGCGTTGATCAACAATGGACATTCTGCGTCGTCACAAGTGCACGCCGTTGATCGCCCCAATTTTGCGCCACTCGGCCCAGGACAATACTATGCAATATACAAAATATGATGAATATGTGAATATGATACCATTCCAATGCGCCCCGTGTCCATCTGGGCACGTTGCAGTCGATCCTCCCCTGCCTTCTACCAGTCATGCACGCTGGGAAGTGATGCAAGCACTAAAGTCGTCATGATCGGATTCAAGCACCGAAACGAGGACCGTAAGAAATGAAATGCATCCAACTTTTCGAGCCCCAGACCGAGTCTAATTTCTCCAGCGTCCATCATTCGCTATCGCGTGACTCAACGAGAAATGTCGCAGCTTTCAACCTGCTGCAGACTGCTATACATTAATGGACGTACCCGGTGTCCGGAGGCTCCGCTATGATTTCAAATTGCTTGCCGCTAGAGGTTGTGGTCAACTGTGTGAGCTGGCACACTGTAGATGATGTGCATGATGCAGAAGTCCTTTGTAAACGAACTCACTTTTGTAGGTCGCAACCAACCTTTGCTGAAGAAGATCGGGCTGCTCCTCTGGAAGTGCAGAGTGCAGAGGTATACAGATCTCGACATGCAGATTACTGCATAACAATGGACGGCGGATTCCTCGAGCGCGCGTCGAGTACCGATATGTGATCATTGCTCTTGTCCTACCTACTTCGGCAAACCACCTCGAGGTATCTTCATTTTGTCCACTTTCAATGATTCAATTTGATGTTGGCCCACTTGAAGTTAGCACTGAACGTAGGTTCCCGTGACTAATTACAGTAACGTTTGCATGTAGAAGATGGCCCATTTCACATCATCAATCTTCGACTCGAATAACTAGAACAATAGACCTCCCCACTACCAAGTTGCACAAGCCTTTCTCTCGACGTGAAATCCTGCAGAATGTGATCTCAAGCAGAACGGGTTGGTCAGATTTCCTCCCCTGTCATCTGCGAGCTACCGCACGGCTTCCACGACGCAACAGTCATACGCATGATCGCCGTGGACCATCCACTGCGGGAAATGGTTTCAGTACGTCGAAGATTTGAGAAGCCGTTGGTCCCGCCTCAAGGATGATTTCTATAGGCAGAGGAGAACCTGTTTCTCAAATAGTGCCAGTGCCAAGATGCTTTCGCGATATGATTGACTCCTGATCTTGAATGTACCTGGCGGGTACTGGCGAAGGTCCGGTACGGGGTATGTTTGCTTTTTCAAAGAGCCCCTTGCCTGAAGTGGTGGTGGAGATTGTACCTGCTACCTACCTAGCAGTTACATGTTTGTGGGGACGATCGGATTTCTCATTCATCACCAGCCTCGAATGCGTTTGAATTGTTCGTAGTGGGACTGTGTGGTAGTTAAGCATTTAGTTAATATTTATGATGTATCAGTCAACTATAAGGTAGTTACCGAATAGACCAGGCACTCTGAAGAACTTTGACCATGCAGACGGGTAAGGGTCTATTGGTTGCCGGTGCTTTCAGATCTTTTCAAGCTGGCAAGAGCCAAATTGCAAAGAATGAATAATGGAAGCCATTAGCTTGGCGAGGTAATAAACTACCTGATAAATTTATCAAGAAACATAGAATTTCTGCATTACACATCCATATACATACCTGCCCTCTACTGTATAATCTGTCGTTCAGTCTAACATACATGTTATAATTTACTTGGCTGTTGCTAGATACTTGAGTAGCATCAATGTCCGATTTTTGTGCAAGAACGTGCACCGTTAGGTTGTCCTCCAAGCCTTTTTGGATATTTTGAGATTGCATCATGCGTCCCTCAACTCATCGAGGAAAATTGGTTCACCTACGTAGACGATGAGTGGGGCCCAATTCGAGGTATTGTCTTGTCTTAGGTACAATTTGAAGTGGCAGACACCCTCCAGTTTCCATTATAGTGAGTATAGCTAGAGGTTATCAAGTGAAGAACACATGGTGAAGTTATTCCCTTCCACTGATCACTACCTCTTACCCGCCAGCTACAACGTCAAAGCATTATGACTTATTGATTCTATAGATGCAGAGACGACTTTTTGTCTGTCATGGGTATGCGGAGTTCTGCAGAACATCACTTGCCTTGTTCAAAATTTTTGAGAATGACCCGCGATCACCGATACTGTATATCTTGGTTGTTTTGGACGCCTTGTAGATAGACTGTGACGTACCAAGTACTGATGTCCAGTGATGTGAAGTCGTGTTCAGATACCCTCGGCTCATTGAAACCAGGTAGCTTCTATCTGGGGGACTTGTAGCTTCGAAAAGGCCAGTGCCCCCCCCTCCCCATATACACCACAGTTGACCACAGGTACTTTTCAGGATTCATGTCAGAGTGTAATAGGGGGTATAATGACGATAGAATTGTATAGTGTAGGTCTTTTCATAAACGACAACCTTACGAGACCAAATGTTTGTACCTTCCTATTCAAGCTGAGGTGTGTACCTAGGTAGATCTACTTGTACCTACGTTGTTGAAGATGACAATCGATGGAATGCCCGCCAGTTATCGATCCATCATCGATAGACTTGCAGCAGTGACCCTGTGTCTTGCCTGGGTATGCATGCGATACATAGTCTGCGAGGCTGTTTAAAAGCACACGAAGCAGATACAACGCATCAGATCGCTCTTATCGGGGACCGTGTGTTTTGATCGTTGAGTACAGAGCTAGACGCCATCAGAATATGGGTGGCACACTGTACACCGATCACAGCTTTGAAAGCAGTTTATCAGAGAGAAAGCAGGCACAAGCCGCAATCAAACTAAATCCAACTCTGTGCTTACAGTTAATTCTTGACATCAAGTATGCATATGCGTCAAATTCAGACAGATTTAGTGAACATAGTAGTGTGATTCAGACAGGATAAAAAAAAGCAACGAAGCACATATCATGTCACATGCGATGCATTACTCCAGGCTTCCCATTACATGGGGCAGCCTCGCCGTGCACGGGATTTGAACCCTTCACCGTTCTTTTGGCATGGCGCAAAGCGCGCCATCCCTGATGAAGATCGACACATGCGGTGCAGCAGATGCTTCACTATGCCTTGACAGGGTAAATGTCTCAGAAATCGTTGATTTTCCCATGCGGACGAGCACATGATCAAATCACAGAAGGTCTGACAAGTTGATCTGTCACACCTACGTTGCAGGCTGAGAAGATTGCTTCTGAACACGAATCAATAGCAAGCCCCCAGACTGTTCCCCATTGCAGTCGTACAGCTGGACAAATCGATATCCTTCACGGAGTCGATCCAGTCGAATGCAAGCCCATGCTGCTAACGAGTCGTAACCGATTTCATCATCCTTGATTTTGAACCTATATTCAGAGTGACGTGGATTAGTATTGAAATACGCAATGCCAGATGTGCAGATGCGCAGATGCGCCGATCCCCATGGAGCGCTTGCGTGCGTGGGACAAGAAAACGGCGCTGCGCGTCCTGAATAACAACGTTGCACGCAACTTTCTGCGCGTTTCGGTCCTTCGGACCGTGGCGCCGTCGCCACAGGCATTTGGACGGAAAAAGCAATGTGCGAGCACAGACAGCTGTGCAGAACACCGGACGCCGTTTCTCCACAAAACAAAAACAAAAGTTGCGTCTCGGAAAGGAGTAGGTCCCTCGGATCGCCTAATTCCCATGTAATACGGATTCCGAGTCGCTCGAAGAAAAAGCACATCGCAAAGAGAGGAGCTATAACTATAAGGCAACGAGACAAGCACTAACCTGATGAAACTGAGCTCCTCAACAATCCCTTCCACGGTGGGGAAAATCAACATTTGGCCCTTAAAGTCGGGGTTTACCCCTGATGCACTCTTTGTGCAGCGGCGTAAGCTGCTCTTCTCAGAACCAGAGCTGGCATCATCAAGACCCACAGCCACCGGGCTGTGCGGCTCCTCAACATGCAACTGGCAGTTGACATATGGCCTGAACCCCTTCGCATTGTGATCGCCTGGCGGCAATGGCAAATCTTGTGCACCGAAAACTTCCACCACCAAATCGAGGGTGGGACGCGAAGCAACGGCGATATCGCTCTCGCCGCTGCGGTAGCCCTTGGGCTTCAAAACCCAACCAGGGGAAGTGTGAAACATGCCATGGTTGAGCATCATCCCCTTGTCCATATTCTGCCAGTTGAGAGCTACAAGCTGAGCTCCACGACGCCAACAGAAGGACGGATCCAGGTTGGAAGAATTGACTCGGAATGCATAGGGATAAATCCGCATAAGCGAAAAGCGGTTATGCTCGAAGAGACTCTCGCGCTGGTTCACATGCTCGTCCCAACAGGTTTTCTCAGAGAGTGAGAATATATGCCCTGGAAGCTTTGCCTCTGTGCACGATGTAAGAGAAAGAAAATCAGTGAGCCTCATTCGTTCGTGTCGGACTTACCTGGTTGGTCGAAGTGCTTGAAGCTGAATGCTTTGGTGTAAATAGCCATCTTTGCAAGTGAATCCAATACGTTGGACGGCTTTGCGGACTTTGGCGCGACATCATTAGGCGCACATGAACCATCTTTCGTGACCACCACCTGATTCAAATCGGTTGAAACAGCAGTCTCGTCACTCAAAGGTGCAGACTTGGTCTTGACCAGAATCTTCTTTTTCAAATCCTCCAGTCTTGGGACGTTTCTTGGCGGCGATCCCAGGTCTTCCACCAAGAGTCCCTTCCATGCTTCTTGCATGATATCAACCATCATCTGCTGTTGGTCCAACGAGCAATGGACCTCCAGGCTCACAATCACCGGCAGATCACTGGTAATGAAAGCGCAGTCTCGAATTGCGTGGCAAACAGAACGGAATGATGTGGCCTTGGTCAGAGTATGGCCGTGTAGCACTTGAGGCTCGCCACGACAAGAGCTTTGTTCGGTTTTCTCGTCTGTTACGATTCCCTGTTCTGCGCTTGATTCGGAATTTTTGGCCGACTTGTGACCAAACGCATTGCCTAATTTAGAACTGAAGTTTCGTAATGCACTGTGGGACTTTTTCCGATCATCCTTGTTCCGTTTCGAAACATGAGTCGACCTGTTATCTTCAAGATCACTGTCACTAGAGTCTGAACCCTCTGCTTCGCCATCCCAAACGTCGACTTCAACGGACCGGCACCCGCGAAGAAGGACCTGAACGGGGTGCGCGTTAGTGACAAGGGCCTTGTACGTGCCTCGAATGAGATCGACTTTGCCTATTGCCGCTTGGCGCAAGCAGGTGGGGTATAAGGGAGGGCTTTTCGCTTACTGAGGTATATGCGCTTGCCGCGGCTTCGCTGTACAGCTGATTGCCGGTCAAGTAAGTATTGTGACTTGTTGACACAAAATAGTTTGAAAGTGGGAATCCTGTGTCCAGTTTCGGGAGCGGCGCTTCTGCGGAGGATTTGGCACTTCTCATATATGTTTGGAAAGATTGCAGAGACTCGAGGAATTCTGAGACAGGCCGATCCTGAGGTCCCAGCTCATCTCGTGTATCCTCCAGGAACCTGGTCTTGAGCGCCTCGGAGGAACTTATGTTGTGATAGATCTTTTCAAGCTGCTGGTCGATGATCTCGTGGAATTTGTCCACGTGATGCTCTTTGGACTGGTGCAAGGAGAGCTGACGAGCTCGATCGACCAAAGCGTGAACTTCTTCCATGTTCCACACTCACACCCACTCCCTGTTCATGGATCACGATCAGAATCAATTGGACCATTGCTGATTTGAGTCTGACGGGAAAAAATTGCAGCATTTAATTTTGATCCATACCAGGATGTTGTTGTAAACCCGCTTGTGCGCAGCTTCAATCTCAGTGGTCTGCCTGAGCCCTTTGAAAACCCCGCCTTTCAGCCCAAGGAGCTCCTTTTACAAGGATCACACGAGAGGTCAAAGACAGAACGGGACCGATGTCGTACCGAAGAAGCCTGTTTCGAAGTGGACGATGCTACGAGCGATTGAAATCTGAATGACCGAGTTGGATATGCGCGATCATTCACAGCTGGCATTCATCACCGTCACAGACCATGTCGAGAGCGAAAGTCAAGATGTCTACACAAGCGGTCAACTGTAGATTGTTTTTTTTTGGGCCACGTTTTGACTCCACACTCCACAGAGTCCATAGTCCACATTGCGGCACACTCGACGTGGCTCCATCGGTGAGTTTTATTCGGCTCGACCATCAACAATCAACCCTCATCTTCAACGTGAGGATCTTCCCCGCATAGTGGTCTGCATTGGTCGTTCCATATCTGATATCAACTCATTTCAAGGTTTTAGTCCTCCTTGAGAATGGCAGTCTGCAGCCTCGGCGCATTACGGGATGAATCAGCCCGAAGTGACTCATGAGCTACAAGCTTACTCCAGGATTAAATCAGACGGCTAGGCAGAACTGCTCCACTCGTGCTATTGCCGACCAATTGTTCATCCGACGAAGATGACTGCTTATCAATCGATGATCCAGACTGCGCTCGATGCGCGATGACACTTCTCTGTTGCGATAGGAGACGAAGCATGATATTGGAGAACAGAATGATTGCAGCACAAATCCTGGCTGCAGGCCGCAGCGTCAGTGATCCTTTTCAGGCGGGACCCGGTCTCCACCTTCTTCAGCGTCAGTTGGAGTCGAGCATCAAGGTCCCTCAACCGAGAGCATGATTCATAAACAGAGCTAAGACGCGCATTTCTGCATCTCATTCCCACATATCTCCTCGAAAACACCCATTCTCTGCAAAATGGCAAACATTGAACCCGTCCACTTCTTTGACATTACCTCCACTCTGCCCGGTACGTCTGTGATCAGGATGTATACCCCGCACAACAGCAACCCCCGCGGGACCACAGCCTAACCAGAGTTGCTAACACGAGAACATCGACTACGCAGGAGCGCAAAAGTCATGGTCACCCAACACCATCAAGGTCCGCTCTGTCCTGAACTTCAAGGGCATCCCATACACCCAAAGCTGGATCTCCTACCCGGATATCGCCCCGTTGATCAAAAGTCTGGGAATTGAGCCTCACAAGACCGGACCTGCAGCATACACTTTGCCTGCCATCGTGCATAAGTCCTCGGTGACCTCCAACCCTCATGGCGCAATGATGGACTCGATTCCCATCATCCTGCACCTGGACAAGACTTTCCCGTCCAAGCCTCTCTTCCCTAGCGGGGACGCCAGCTATGCCTTGCTCATGGCGGTGATGAAGATTACGACGGCAACAGCTCCTGCCCCGCGCACCTTGATCATACCTCAGGTGGCAGATCAATTGGACCCCCGGGGCAAGGAATACTTCATTGAGACTCGGTCCAAATTCTTTGGCAAGCCTCTGGCGGAAGTCCGACCTACCGATCAAGCTACGATCGATCAACTTTGGAAAGACGTCGAGTCTCATATTGATACTCTCGCGGCCATGCTGCGTGGTCGCGAGGGCAAAAAGGGTCCTTTCTTTGAAGGCGAGACCGCGGGAATGGCAGACCTGTACCTCGCTAGCTTCATGGCCTGGTTCGAACGCATCGATCAGACAGCGTTTGAGCGGTTTACCTCGGTGGGTAATGGCGAGCTGAAGACTTTGTGGGAAGCGTGCAAGCCTTGGATCAATGGCCAGGGAGAGGAGAAGGAGTGGCCCATCCCCCAGGCGTCTACCTGAACATGCAGACTGAAGATCAAATTCGATGGTCTTCCATGATTTCCTATAATTCAGTTTGAACCGGCCAGCTACCTCCTTCGGATTTAACAGTAGCAATAACGATACGATGCAAATACTTTATATCTCAATAAGAGACCCCTGTCTCATGGTGAAGTATGTTTTGAACAGCAGAATGTAGTTAGTAATACAGGTCACAAGGCACACATGAAAGTGGCCCTGGAAATGATCTTCGAGATCCAATCTCTCGCCCAACACAGAACAAGGCCCCATCTTCGCTGGGAGACATCATTGACACACAGAAGCCCCCACCCCTTTCCTAATACATTTACAATCCACGAAGGAAGTTGGACTCCTTGATCGCCTTTCGTCGCGCCTCCCGAGCGCTCTTCGTTACCTCGTGTCGCTGATCCAGACCGCTCGTCGCATCGGCGAATGTGTCCTGGGAGGAGCCGTCGCGATTGTAAGGCGCAGGTGTGATATCGAAAGACTGGTGGTGAGCGGGGATCTTTGCAGCGAGTGGTCCTGTACGAGCGGCCAGCTTCTTCTCGTAGCGTTTCCGTTGTTTCTTGTTCAGGGCTGTAATCAGATGACGACCGTTAGTCTCAGCACCGGACAAGAAGAGATCCAAAAAGGAGCAGCATTGAAGAAAGGGAGGAAAGAACATACTGCTAGGATCGACACCGCCCTGATCCTTCTTAGCTTGCTTGCTTGCATCACCGAGCAAATCCCACAACCAGTCGGGATACTCCGAGTCCTCCTTCGCGACAATATCCGGCTTGTTCTTGAAGTAGTTCAGGCCATTCAGTTTCGTGCCAGCGGGACAGCTACTGGGCGGACGCTCGATGACTGGCTTCGCGGGAGCAGTGGGATTGGCATCGGTGTGGACTCCCTCCGGGGTACTCAGAGGCTGAGAGATACCGGGGGTAGCGGAGGAGATGGCGGAGGGGGTCGTGTCACCACCGGCTGTTGGCTGACGGGGGGCCGGGGGAGGAGAAGGGGCAGCGACTGGAGGATTGGTGGCCTTGTCGCTGTAGCTTCGCAATTGTGTGCGGAGGGCGATTGGCATTTGTCGCGCCGCTGTTGATGTGGTCCACGACACGGTTTGGGTCTGATTCAGTCGAGACAGCATGGTCGTCCGGCAACTTCTGCAGATCATCTTGGCGGGTTGAATTGACCTAGGGAGCTTTAGAGATGGTATTTTGTTTGTCTGAGAGGGGAATATTTCGGCCTACAAAGGCTTACTTGCTGTCTGTGTTGTTGGATGTCGAGAGATGCGCATCACTGGGCCGGCAGAAAACTGCGGCGCGGAATTGATGCCAAGCCGGAGAATGATCACGTGATAAGTCATTGATTGCAACATGTCGAAAAGGCACGCAAGAGACAGCAATGTTATTCCGAACCCTGAAGACATACAGTGTGTACTATGCAGTCATCTGAGAGCCATATTGACATGTTGGATGATTTTCAGTGTTTACGGTAAAGATCCTCTGTCACATGGGTCTTGCTGGACATCGCCGAACTTCATCTGATAGTCGTCTTCGCATCTTCACGACCAACCTCGCATCCTCGTTTCTCGAGTCTACTTCTAACAGTATCTAGGAACTGCAAAGTTACAGCATCTCAGCGGGGCACACTCGTGATGGATCTTGCATCAAATGGTTTCCATGCCGACTTTGAGGATGAAGGTCCAGTGACAAGAACAAATAAGCTTACGAGATTTCAGGTCCTGTTGTGTCCGTCAACTTTTGTTGCATTGTCCATAGACAATTCTAACATCATATTATGTTAATACCAGAGAATATTCAGCTCTGCGCGACAAGCCACGCATATCTGGTATGAGCCAGCCCCCGATGATGGACATCATCAAAAAATTACAAGTAACAATCAGGCCGTGCAATTATGTCGGCATTGCTACCATCAAGGAAAAAAAAATCAAACAGAAAGAGAGCCCAGAATAGAATCGACGCCGAGAAATGGGTAATACATCAAGAAAAGCTCACAGGCCAGGAAGATCAGATCAAAGAAGAAGAAAGAAAAAAAGGTTAGCCACCAACAAGAGGCCAGCACTTGATGAACGGAATTGGAAACGCATGTTGGCTTAGGAGGAAAGTCCACTGACGTCCAGGAAAGTGCAAATATCTTGGCAAGCATCTTTCAGGGACTTCTCGGTCTTCCACTTGAGTTCCTGTTGAGATCGGTCGGCGACTGCGACGCAGTAGCCAACATCACCCTCACGGCGAGGCGCAGCCTTTGCGGGGAATAGGCCGGGAGATCACAGACTCCATCGTGCTGAGAACTTCCATGACTGAGTTACCAGAGCCCGTGCCGAGATTGAAGGTTCGGAAATTCTCCACCAGTTTGCCCTCGCTTGCTGTGCTGAGGGCAGCAATGTGACCACGGGCCAGGTCAGTGACGTGGATGAAGTCACGGACGGCGGTGCCGTCGGTGGTCTCCCAGTCCGTACCAAACATCTGCAGCTCAGCATACTGGCCTGTCATCACCTTGACGACGACAGGGAGCAAGTTGGTGGGTGCCTGTCGGGGGTCTTCACCAAGCAGACCGGAGGAGTCACATCCGACGGGATTGAAGTAACGGAGAGCCACGATTGTCCACTCGGGATCGGACGCTGCAAGATCGGCCAGGATGGTCTCGCACATCCACTTGGTGCGACCGTAAGGGTTCGTGATTCCAGTGCAGCCTGGCTGGACGACCTTGGTCTGCCCATTGGGTTCGGTGACTCGCTCTTCTTTGTGGACACAGAGTTCCTCCTTCAAGGGTAGGCCTGAAGTGGCTAGGGTACCGTAGACAGTGGCCGAGGAAGAGAAGATGAAAGTCTTGATGCCAAAGTCGCCCAGCGTCGTGGCAAAGTCAATCAGACCGCTCACATTGTTTGCGTAATACTTGAGCGGATGTTTGATACTCTCTTCGACGGCCTTATAAGCAGCGAAGTGAATGACGCCCGCAATTCTGGACTTGGGGGCCCCCCATCGGCTGGGCAGGCGATACTCTTGCAAAAGATCTTCCAGGGCAGAGGTGTCACGGTAATCGTGAGCGTGGAGTCGCAAGGTGGGCATGTTGGTGCCATTTTGCTCATGGTGCTTCTTGGCCAGAAGATTGATTCGATCAAATACGACCTCGAAAGAGTTGCTCAGGTTGTCGATCACGACGACATTATAGCCGGCCTTCAAAAGCTCCAAGGAAGTATGACTTCCAATAAAGCCCAGACCACCAGTGACGAGAATGCATTGATTCTCTTGGGGAAGTCTTCTGAGCAACTCCTCGAAGTTGTCAAATAGGATAGAGGACTCTGTGGCTGGCGTGTCCACCAGGCTTGGAGAATCGCTCTCCAGAGGCGTGCTGAGGTTGGAACGTGGAGGAGAGTCCATCGTGGTGAAGAGGGCGATGTAGTAAACACTCAACAGAGGAAAGAAAAAGAAGTCACTCCAATGACTCGAAGGATGAAATGACGCTCGAGGAATGATTGACCCTTATATTCTTTTCTTCAGATAGTCAATGCAGAGTTCGAAAGCCAAGGACGCAGTCTTTATAAGATTGAAACAATGTTTAAGATCCACCCTTCGACCCGAGGGGGGATACTACTAAACTGCGAGCAGATTTTTTATAGATCGAAAAACAGCCTTGGAATCTAGCCCTCGCCTCGCCTGACTGCCCAGTGCCCAGTGATGCTGGCCTAGCTCTTCGACTCATGTGCTGTAACCTTCCAGAACTCAGCGGATGGTCCCTCTACGAGTGCAGATGACGCTGGCCGGCAAAATTGGACAGGAATGAGTCTTCCGCGACTTCCCAGCCGAACTTCGAGAGACTGGTGGCTATTGCGCAACCCGGACGCAAAAGGCCGAGCTGTAAACGCAAAATTGACCTTGGATTACCGCATTTGTACACTGGGTCATCTGTGAGGGAGAGAGTGGACCGGACTCAAGAGTATGCGGCTAGGGCTCCAGTCTGTCTGGAGGCTGATTCTCGAGCGCCGAAAGCTTTAAGCGCCTCTGCCACGAGTCGATTCTTCCACAAGGTCTGAAGACCCTCAGCTCGGAAATTCGGATGATTTACCGCAACTTACGAGATCCGGCTTGTCCACCGGTTGCTGCACCTCATCTGGCATCCAAGAAAAGTGCATCTCGTCACTGGTCGAGACCCGCCTGAGGCTATTTTCGGGCGACGCGATGGATAGAAACGATGGATTTCGACCAGGAATTTCTTTTCTTTGGTTTTTACTTTGCCCTCTTCTTTCAATACATAGTGGTATCTGTTTGAAATGGACATTTTGCTGGATTTCTTTTTGCTGGTTGTAATTTTCTGTCTCGCGGATTTTTTGGGATTTCCATTTTGCTTAGACCGCAGTCACTCGGATTGGGTCTCTGACTTGGCCATCTTAGCCACGCCGTGGTGGGTGCTTGTCGGTGCAAGGATGTACCAAGACAGTACTTTGGCTGGCACAGAATGAAGATCAGCTCTGGCGTTGGCTCTGGTTCATGGACTATTTCTTGCCCCATGAGACGTGGAACGTGAAGACATCCAAAAAGAATGAATGAAAAAAAAAAAAGAGAAACATTTCCATAGCATCTGTCTGCATCCACTACTCGTTATTTCAAACGACCGTCTCCTCCATTCTTCTCATCGGAGTTTGGACTGAATTTCAGGAAAGGCTCCCCCTTTTTTTTTTCTGGTTTCACCACTGACCATGTCCACCGCAACCTCCGATGAGAAACACGTGAACAGGCGGAGCATCCTTCGCTCCAAGCGTGGTCGCATTATCTTGGCCGTAATCGCCTTCATTGTCATTTGCGCCGCCGTCATCCCAGCCGTCGTGGTGACTACCCTCCGCAAGAAAAACAATATGGGTCCCAAGTCCAAAGTCTTTGTGCCACTTTACGTCTACCCTGCTCCTGGAGCTTGGACTCCACTGGAAAATGTGTAAGTCTCATCTGCGTCCTGGCATCCTCTGCCAGCCCCCCTCTCCTCTCCTCTCCTCCAACGTACGATCCAGGCCTCTTGCAAGTGGCCACTGGTTCTGTCCATCCACCCCATTTGCCTTACGGATGGTGGCCGAACAATGGTGAGCCTACCACACATTAGGGTCAGGTTACGCGCTGCACGATGTTGTTGCAGACTTCGAGTCTTGTGCATATTCTTGATGGGCCGTATACTCTCGGCGTCGAAAGGCAGCCCGTAAACAAGACTTCCCGGATCTAGAATCTCACTTTGCTGAAATCGAACGACCAGCATCTCGACCCATCCGGATGTCAACTTCACGGTGGTAATCAACCCCGGAAATGGTCCCGGACCAGACCAACTCCCGGACGCCAACTACACACGGGAGATTCCCAACTTGGCATCGTACGCTAATGTCCGACTATTGGGGTATGTGCATACATCGTATGCTCAGCGCAATATTTCGCTCTTGCGCCGGGACATTGCGACCTACGCCGCCTGGCCAACGGTATCATCCAACCCCCATCTGGCGGTCCGGGGCATTTTCTTCGACGAGACACCACAGCAGTTCAGCGATCAAGCTCTTGGCTATCTGCAAAATTTGACCGACTTGGTCAAAGGTCTGAAGGGATTCGGTCCCAATGGGTTTGTGAGTGCTCCGTTTCCCACCTGGTTTCGATCCGCGGACCATGGTGCTGCTGCTTGCATTACCCGATATATTGGAAGCCACCCAGACTTTGGCGTCTTCCCCGCTACCTTTGGCCTGCATTTCTCGACTTGTTCCGTCTATTTCCCTTTTTTTTTTTGCTTCTTTCTCTTTCCTTTTGCACAGATGCACGTCCTTGGGTTCGTGTTCACCGTTGGACTTTTCCCCACCCTCCTCCATCGTCCTTTTCTCTTTCCCACTACCCCTGGCCCGATACGTTCCTGTGCCTGTCGCGCCAAGTCTGTCACATTCGAGGCGGATTTTCTTGCATTGCTTGGCTACTACCTCTTCGAGTCATTTTATCCGAGCTGAACAAGAGCTAACGAAGACACACCCTTCTAAACCGACCAGGTGGTACACAATCCAGGGGCGATTCCTGACTCGCGGTACCTGAGCTCTGCCGACTCGACCGTCGTGTTCGAAGGAACATATGGCATGTTCCAGGAACGGCAGCGGGCTCAGCTCTTCGCAGGTATCCCGAACAGCACTCGCGGCCAGCTGTGTGCCGTGATCCACTCGGTTCCTGAGTCTCAGGATGGGTCTGCGCTCCGTGGGTTGGTGAAAGACGCGAGGAACATGGCGGACGAGATTTTCATTACTCATCTCGACACGGACTACTATGCGAATTTTGGGGGCAAGTGGACCGAGTTTGTTGATCTAATGGCAGAATAGAGGATTGTTCCTTGGGAAGGTAGGATAATCGGGTACGGGGTACAAAGTACAGGGTACACAGAACACACTACACACTACACACTACACACTACACACTACACACTGCACAGAACTACCATGATAGAACGGCATTCGGCCTGTGATGATATAGACAGAACTCTCGGCCAAATGAAGGTTGGGAAGTTTCGAGAGCACCTTGGGATGTAATAAGGTATGGCCAATATTACTATACCAGTGTAGTAGTGTCCCCTCCATCGCCCGGATGTACTGTAAGAAGTAAGTGGGCTTTTTGCATTACAGTCCATGTCTTGCAACCCTCATTGAACGCGCAAAAGCAACACAAGTTCGCCAATCATTTGTGCTAGCGTGTATTGTTATTCTTCCTAGGTTAGGTTCTGGGCCAATTTACCTCAAGTACTGGGATCATCCCATCTGGCACCAATTAGAAGACCACGAATACGAGAATGAACAACAATTCCAAGAATCAACGATGCCTTCAGGGCTCCGTGACCGGTGAGGTAATCTGTTTAAGACATCCATGTAAAATAGATGACCCGGCAGAAAACACCACCTCTCAAAAAAGACCCTGCACCCGCGGGGCCTTGAGAGATATCGATGGGGCAATGGAAACGCCAGACGGAGAAGCAGAACAGATCGATCTACTTTAGCCGTGTGGTAATTTTCGATTTGATCGGAGCTGTGGACAAGAGGGGGTCCTGGTTTTTTTATGGTTTCACCACTGACCAGAGTACCACATCCTTGGATCATTCCGACGGAATCTGCAAGTTTGATGGTTCTGGGCACTGAGAGTGGGCACTGGGCGGTGGGTCCGGTGCGTGTGCGCTCCTCGTGGCGTTTTAGACTGCGTGTTGTTCCACCCGAGCCTTGGCATGGACCATCTTCCAGGCCGGTCATTGTGAGTACAGACTACAGAGTCTACAGACTACTGCATATCTGTGATGGGTTTAGACTGGGTCTTGATTTATTTTTGACATCATACGGTTTCATCGACTCGCTTTCTGTTCTTTTTATGGTCTTCGGCGTCTGGCCCTCGGGGCGGGAGTGATGACACCGTTCTGCAGAATAATTCCAGGGATGATGCGTGGATTCGATCAGTAGAAAGAAAAAACCAAAAAAAAATTTCCCTTTTTCAACCTTCTGCCGACGGCCCAAAGTCGCCTTCCTGTAAAGGAATGGAAAGGAATCGGAGTGTCTTACTAGTGACTACGGCTCTTCGAGGGAGTCGGAATACGAGTCTTTGCGCCGGGCTTTGGCTTTGGTTTTTCTCGGAGATCGCTGGTGGTACGTAGGTTGGAAATTGGAAGTGAAGAGTAGTCAACTTTTCATATCTTGCAGGACTCTTCTTTGGGGGAGAGGGGGAAGACTTGGGTCGTGGAACTGCAAGTACTCCGTCGATTGATCTTGAGAGTTCGAAAGATCCCAAGATCCACCCGCTCCGGTCTGAATATCCTGGCTCATCCTTCTCGTCCTAGGATCGCACTTTGTCAGCATCAGGTAGATATGTAGTTAGTTATGCCGACCTACCGCAGCTACTAACTTGGCTACCGACCAAGTATCCCGAGCTCTCTGAGAGCACGACGTTTTCTGCACAGTGCCCCACTGCCCACTACCCACGAGTTATACCCTCTCACAGGGATGCTCTCGTCATCCCCGTGGCAGGTATCTGAGACCTACATGCCTTGGAGTTTGGACTCTGGAGCAGCGTATATTGCCCGGAGAAAGTCTGTGGCCGTCCTCAGGCCCCAGCTTCTCATGTAACATCCACTCAAGTCTCACAGATCTTCCCACATTGGACAGGGTATTTCTTGCCTTGTGGGATGCCACAGTGGGAGTTTCGAATACAGCGCCTTCTGCTGAGACGAAACGCTGAAGTGGGGTGGTCCATGGAATGGGGGTTGAATAGTCTATACTCTGTAGAGTATAGACTATAGACTATAGAGTGGCATGTGCTGGCGTTACTGTACTGCTGAGGTGGGGACGGATCCGGATCCCACCATCTTGCAAGGTTACAAGGTACCAGTGGGCGGGTGATACATGACTAAGATGCGACGCCGAACCTCAACTGCTACCCGACAGTATTGGACTTGGTCGAGCAGTACCAGTGAGAGCCGAAGTATTCTTCAAAGGTCCCAATCAGAAGAATGGGATGGAACCATGGTACCACGGTATCTCTCGGGATTTCAATATCTTCCAACACGACCGAGCACCTGCTGATCTCCTTTTCAACTTTTCACGCCTTCGACTCCGCAACGCCTCATCGAATGTACATGATCAACAGCAACCGACCCGAAAACCTTGTCGCCAAAACCCCTCTCACCTGACAATCAACCACATTCTGCTCGCTCGGGTTGCCCACGAGTTCCATGGATCTCGTCTTGGCCGGGTGGACTTGTCCAATCAAGGAGAATTCCTGGCTCGCAAGGGGAACCAGGCACAGAGAGGAGGGAGGAGCCAAACAGTCGGGATTGGGTCAATGGTGCCGCTGTCCGTCAAAAGCTCCCCGTGAATTCTCCTCGATTGGCGGGACTTGGTCGTGCGATGTCCTTTGTAGAGGGTAGTCTGTAGCAGTGATAGCTCAATGTTCTTGACTGAATGCCATTGTGTCTCTGGCTGGCGAGCCATGGGACTCGGATGTGTGAGGGACAGAGAGCTAGAAGGGAGGGGAATCGCGTAAATCAACGTGCATGATCCGTGTCCAGGTGTTCTGTTAGAGGTATAGTATGCGGCACTGTATTTCAAGCGGTAGTTTGGCGATTGATTCATAAGATCAAACAGTGGGGATTTGCACGACTACACGAAAGATCTGTGATCTGGAAGATCCATTGAACAAAATAGGCTCTGGGCAGTGCAACTGGGTCGATCTCCGAATCTCAGGTCGGTGAAGATCCCCTCGGTCAGAAATGCCTCCAATACACTTCCCTCCGTAGTACGTACTAACTTAGTCACTGGGTGGTACTCGCTGTTAGCCTCAGTAGTGTCCGGATTCAGCAAAGGTTCGTCGCTCTTTCCTGCTTCGAGACAAAATTTTCTTCTGAATTCCCCAATTTCCTCTCGCCCGACCGGTATGGAACGGAGAGTTCCCGTAAGTTAGTGGCGATCTAGTCAAATGTGGTTTGCCGATGGATCACTCTCTAACTTTTGAAGAATTTTACTCCACGGTGGAATCGCAACTCAGTGAGGTCACGGCGACTCGAAAAGCGATCAAGTGTGGAGCCGGTCTCTTGCTGAAACAATGTCAACCAAAGGCACAGAGGGCCTTTTGTTGGAGATGCGATGATGGTTCTGTGTAGGGACTCTCGGGAGTAGAGTTGCCAAGTATTTTGCACATGTTGCAGCTTCAAACACCCCCAAGAGATCTATGAGAAACATCATATGGTCTAGGGTATGTTACTCACAGCGTCGCAACACACAGTCGTATCTTCAAACTGTGAGACAACCCCAAATCAGACATGAAGATTACCGCATCTAGGAGGGCGGCCCGCTCCCTGGTCTATCCCCCAAGGCTAACCACATTTGAACAAAACATCCGAGAGTCATTCATTGACTGGAAATATGATCCTGCTTTGTCCACTGCAGGTCCAAGCATCGAATACTCATTGTGAGGGTCCCCATGATGGTCTGGTAGTGTACCATCCCTCGGCATGGCCATTTTGCCAATCCAGCATCACCCAAATCTGGAAAATTGGGCCGCAAGATCGGAAAAAATTGGGGAAAACACGCACAGTCGTGGATTTCACCATGTGCGATCGAGGGGGGCGGTGGTTCTGGCTCAACGCTAGAAGCGGTTCGATCGCCGGTGGCAAGGGCCAACTTCCTCTTTAGGCCAATCAACACAGATTCCCATAGTTCGTCGTCAGGCACCGGGCAGATCCGCTACGGGAGCCACTTTGAACCTTTCTGCCGGGATTGCGTGCCACTCAGTGCCTTCAAGCCTTGTAGCGCGGAACGGCAGTACTGTACAGCTGTACGGTTTTTCAAAAATACATTTCCTTTCTTTTCAAGCCACAGCCGTACTAAGTGCTGACGGTGGACTGTAAGTCTAGTAATTTTTGATAACCCCACCCCACCGGAGCAATTGTATTTTTGCAGAATCGGAGATGAGCACTGCTGTGGGGATTGGCAAAGGTAAAAAATCCTTTCTTTGTTTTTCTGCACAAGCCCACGGCTGGCGCCCACGTCCTTGGACTGTTCTCGTCATCCCATGTACGAAATTGTACCACACTCGCGCCTTATCTCCATGTCTTGGCCAAGGGGTGTGTCTTCTAGAGGACTGGACATGGACCGAGACATACATGAATGACCTGGCATCGTATGTTAGTAAGTACCAAGTACAATGTACCGGCCTATGGACATTCAAGTTGAAGCGGCTGAGCTGGCCAATCCTTTTCACCTAGTCCAAATGTCTAGGATGCGGTACATAAGGGGAAAAATGAGATCTTCCTTCCTTTCTGGGAAAAACCTCGCCAAGGAATGAACAAACTACAGACGACTGCATCAAGTGTGCTTTACACCTCAGACATGGTGGACCCGCCAAGCGGAGCGGTGGTTGACGGATCATATTGCATGCAGTCGAGAGTCGAGACCCGTTGAGTATACAGAGATTGGAGGTACTCGCTGCGGTGTTCACTGAAGGCGGCTAGACCGTGGGAAGTACGGAGTAGGTAGGGTTCTTTTCCTGATCTGGCAGAGGCATTTCTGCTGGTCCGTCTATTTATTAGTGCGGTAGAGATTGCGCCATTCTAAGGGGACCATGTGCAAAATTGTTCATGCTCTTGCGAGGTTGTTTCGCGTTGGTGGGTTTTTTCTCGGCGGGACAGTGGGAAGCCGTGGTGAGACCCCGGTGCGCGGCACAGCATCTCTCGATGGTATAGCAAGCAGGTTTGTTTCTGTTGTGTTGGGATGCTGCCTCCAGAGAGAATTTTCTCATAGAGGACCGTAGTCAGTGGATGGCCTGCTGCATGGAAATTCTGCAGCGCCAGTAAAGCCACGGTGCTGATCCGGATCCGGCTGATGAGTTGGTCCGGTCCCGAACAAAGCCCGACAGAGTTTAAGACTACTACACTGGTGCACTTTGGACTCGGTAGAAGAGCTTCAACCCCTCTGCAGTACCCAAAAAAGCCGTGAATACGAGGTCAAAGAAACATTACCTCGATCCAGGGTACATTAAACGAACCAACCAAGATGAAAGAATGAGCGACAGACTTTTTGTCGCGAGTCGCGACTGGCTGGCTTGAGGACATGCTAGGTTGATAGGGTGGGAAATGCTAATCTTGTTTGAATAGTCCCTGCGCCATCAGACGGGACTGGACGAGATCTGTATGTCTATGGATACTGCTAGCCACTGGACAATGAGATATCAATGGGGGGTTCACGGGTGGCTGGCTGGGTCTGACATCAGACATCAACGCATTGTCGTCGGTGCTCCTGCCGGGCTGTTGGCAGGTCCGAAGTCGTGATGCAAGGGCAAGCGAGCGCCCAGGTTATACTTCATCCTTCATTACCAGAGAGATATATACACATTACACCTCTCATATGAGAATTGACCAGGTTGAAAAAGTATGATCCGATTTCAATGGCTCGATAGTCGACTCTCGTCCGTGGAATGTGACAAGCTTTGACAATATCAAGTTTTACATTGCGGTGCATCCATGGATTACATCTTGTAACTAGTTGATCATTGTGACATGGTGACTAATTGGTCGGTGAACACTAAGGTACCGTACACTTTACATGTTCAGCCGAGAATAGCGGGGTGACAACTCGGAAATATCCAAAGGTAATGTCAACTGCTGCACCCGGAGATCATAACAGCGAAAAACAATCCTACGCCATAGGTAATCACTCGTATGGTAGTGAGATTTACAAAGCTTTGTCAATTTATCAAGTGATAACGCTAGAAAAGCACCGACTTACACTGATCAGATACCTCCAACCTAGCTCTCGAGTTTCAAGTAATCGTGTATATGGTTCTCCGCGGAGCATCTTGTATCATCATATCATGTATTAATGTATTACTGAGGGTCCTATTTCATATTTACTTTTAACAGCCGCGTACCATGACTGTCAAGACTCAAGAGTTAGAAAATTTACAGCAGCAGCAGCACTCGGCGATTCACAATTCTCCGCAAGCCATCGAAGCGCCCGTTGCGTTGTCAAAAGAAGAAAAGAAAATACACACCTCAGTGACCTTACAGTGTTCCACTGTGCCCCTCCGGGATCCAATGGCGCGGCTTCACAGCACATCCGAGAAACCTGACCAACCAGGCATGCAGTCTTCGACCACGCTGAGTCTTGGCGAAACGCCAAGACCTTTCGAATGTGAACTCTCGCGTGACTAGCCGGCTACTAACGACACGCCAACACCGTATAGCTGGAAGATGGGACTTGAGTCTCGATAAACACTAAAGTAATGAATGACTCATGACTTGAAATGAAAAGCCGTCTTCCTCCCCTCGATGGCCACGACAAGAAAGGACTGAATGCTAAATCCTCGATCAAACGATTGCGGGAACTTGGTTCCCCCGTAAAAAGGAAAGCATGTACGAGACGACGGGTAGTCAAGTACGAAAATACCACGCATTCCTGCCCTCACGGAAATAGTATCCCTGCGCCAGTGGGAATGCCCGTCCTATAGCTCAATGAGGCTAAGGTACCCTGAGCGCCAAGAGTGTCAGTGCCAAACCTTCGCGCCTCCACTGTTCCTCTGTTTATCCCCGTTCTTCCCCTCCGTCCTCCCGGCTCGCTACACTTGACACTTGACAGTACGCCCGACATCGAATGAGTCGGGACGTCTCGGTTCCACCGACAATTATACTCTGGGAAAAAGTGTCCTCAAGCGAAACGCCCTTGTCTGGGTTCATGCTACCCCGGTGCAGGCTGGGTGTTCAGCCGTTCGGGGTGTTTGCCGCAGAGGTTGTGTTTTTCCCTACAGGGTAAGGTACCACGGTTTGAAATGGGCAAATTTAGGCGACGGGCAACAGGGCGTTTTACCCAGCGGTCCGGCGGTGCAGATAGTTCGAAAAATTGATCGTGGCGTAGTCGAGCGAGAAGGTGGTGTTAAATTGTTGCTAATTTGCCGTGCAGCTGGTTGCGAGTGAGAGATTGTGGGAACGGAGTAGCCCGAACAACGATGGATAACTTTGTTGAGGAGTATTGTCAAGCATTCAATGATATCAGGAATGATCGTGGTGTAATGCAATTTTCCTTGTAGGACTGAGCTAATAAAGTCCCTTTCGATAAACATGTAAAGATGGTATATGCAAGAAGACGCCTTCAATACTGTGCCCGCAACAAAAATGATGCTCAACAAACAAATATAATGCTAAGCTAGGTAGCTCAATTGGTACCTGGACTGGAGACAGGAGTGCAGAATCATGAGCAGTACTCCACCCAGCTGTCCAAGTCCATGTTCTTGATGACGGTCGAAAAGTTGCCGGCGCTGGCCGCATTGCAAGCGGTGGACTTTTGCGCGGTCGTGACATCCTTGTTATTGTTCTCGTCGTTACCCTTGGGGTACTCGATGTGAAAGACGGGCTTGTTCGCGTCCGTAAAGGCCGCATACGTGTCGCATTCTGTGTACTGCGCACACTGCTCGTTCACAGACCATTGCATGTTGGGGAGGACATTGTCAATGATGCTCCCGCCATTCTTCAGACCGACCGACAGGTTCCGGCCATGCGCCTGGCCGGCGAGCCAGTTGACATAGTTGATGGCATCGTCTTCGGTCAACTTGAGACCGTTGGAGTTATCGTAGGCATCGATGTTGTCTGGGTCGACTCCGTCACAACCCTTGGTCACGGCCATGTCGAGACGAGTCTGCATGATCTTGCGCACACCGTCGGAATTGGTGTTGAGCCATTTCTCGCCCCGCCATTCCGACAGTGCGTTGCCCAGATCAGCCTTGTCGAATTGCTTCGCGTCGGGTCGCCAGTCCTCGTACGTCCCTGCAGAGAAGTAACAGATCACCTTGCGACCGAGATCATGCAGCGTGGAGATGGTGGTCCTGTTGTTGTCGAATAAATCGATGTCGTAGACGTCAGCGTCGACGGAGGTATCGTTGAGAGCACCCAGCAGGACAATCTGCCATTTCACGCCCACTGCGGGCTGCCACTTCACCGTGCCGTTGCCGGTGGTGGTTCCATTTCCACCGGTGCCAGTGCCTCCATTCCCACTGCCGCCGTTCCCTTCGTCCTCGCCGCCGGTCCCGTGATGCAAGCCGACACCCAGACCAACGCCCAAGGCGACGAGGATCACCACAATGATCGAGATGATCGTGGCCTTTTTCTTTGCGCTCCAGGCGGCCCAACCCGTCTTGGCTGGTGCCTTGTCCATGGTGGGTGGGATATAAACAGAGAGAGTTTGTGTGTGTGTGTGTGTGTGTGTGTGTGTGCGTGTAATGAGAGAAGACAAGAGCGTAGAGTCACCTGCTTTACACGTCTTTCTATGCGATCGACAGAATCGCAAGAGACTCAAGTCTGAGCCTCCAACAGGCGATGAGTTCGACTCCCAAGTGGGACTGAAGGGAGCAGCAGATCACCCGGGTCGATCGGATGGATGACAATCAAATCAAGTGTCAAGAGTGAGCGACTGGCACTTTTTTAGCTCAAAGAAAGCTCGACCGAAATGAAGAAGAAGGAGCAAGATACGAGACTCCTCGAGGATCGCGGGGGCCTAGAACGAAATTCTTGGGGCTGAGGGAACCGGTGGGCGGAAACCAAATCCAGCCTGCGGGTGGATGGGATGGGGGAAGATTAGATGGGCCGGGGGAGTGGTTTCAACGCTCCAAATGGTTGGCAGTTGGCAGTTGGCGCCCATCTACATTTGACGATCGCATCAATGTTCCATCTTTGAGACGCAGAGAAGGGTGGCTTTTGTTCGTAAATGGATCTCTACTTCACCAGGCAACAGGGTTTGACTCCCTGCTTCAAGCTGGCGGGCTGGAAGCAACTCTGGACAAGATCGGGGATTTGACAGCGTGACTCTGTATGCAACCGGGGATCGCGAGGCTCGGCCTAGAGAAGGACTGCATCCGACCCAAATATAGGTAGCTATGCAGCTTAAAGATTCGATTCACCACCATGGAGTCATCTTACTGGACGCACAGCTACTACAATGCAGATGATTGTACACAGAGGTATACACGGTTGCAGTTGTCATCTCGAGAGTCACATGTCATTTGGCCTTTTCTTTGCAGCCTGTTTCTCACGGTCAGTTCGTCATCTCGTCCAGCCTTGTAGGGCAGATTGTTTGAGGAGGCGGGTGGAACGAGCTCTTGATCAACGATCTACGGGGACCAAGTCTGCCGAGGAAGTCCATCAGCCGAGAAGACATTCGGCGTTTCTTCGATCTTTGCTCGATTGTTGGGATTCAAAGATCGAGGTCTGTGTTTTCTGGCTCGATCGCAGCACGATGTTGACCCAGGGTGCGTGGGGAATGGCCCGAATGGGGTCAATCCTCCCACTCACGACTCTGGTACTCAGTAGTTCTCGGCAGCTTATCCCTATACGAAAAAGCCCCATGGACCAAAATAGGGCCTTGGTGGCCAAGGCCAGCGCCAGGAAATCCACGGATCCGGGAGATCCTGAAGAGGTTGGAACACACTGCTAGTGATTTGGCCAACTAGATACGGCATCCACCTTCGATCCAATGAGTCCCACTCGCGCAGAAGGGAGAAGGGAGAAGGAAGAACCACTGGAGGATTGTCGGGGATACCAAGGGATCGCCTGGATCACGTGGTAGAGCCATTGGAAATGGAGTCCAGGGCAGATCGATGGCAATGCCGCGGTGCTCGAGGTCTGTTCGTCGTCTGCAGACTCGAGGGATCCACCGTCGAGAACCCTTTTTCCGGTAGGATCGACCCACTTCGACCGCTATGGGCAGAACCCCAATGGACAGACCAGCTCCTGTGTTCTGTGTTCACTGTTCACTGTTCACTGCTGTGAGCCCGTGACTTGAATTCGATCGATCCCTCCGCAGCCACATCCACACATCCTTTCTCCTCAATGATGGCCTGGATAGCCGACAGTCAAGTGATGGCCAGAACTCAGAAGTGGCCCGTCAACTAGAACGCACAAACAAACATCCAATAATTGAGCAGCCACTGCCTAAATCAGCACCATCGCTGCTCCCTCCTCCGTTCCCTATTGATCTAGCGCTTCCACGCTCAGCCACGATCCATCCCAACCGTGGCACCCCCCGATTTCCCCTCGTAAACGCCCACCGTTTCAGCCAACCGTGGTCCGCCGACGGTTTTTCCAGGCACGAGATCTCTTTGGGCCTGGTTTCTTTTGTCTGCCCGGTTGAGCTGCCACACCTAATCTAACAACGACTGCAAGGACGGGGAAACAACCCGCGATCCGGGCTCAGTGCTCGGCTTCCCTCCGAGGGACAATTTGATCCGGGGGCTATCGGCCCATCAATCTGCGACCGGTCGAGTTCGGTGTCCGGGGAAGAGGAGGATCCTGTCCGGTCGTGAGTCTGCCGTAGGTCTGGATGGTGGTGACCAGACGAATCCGAGTGTCTTGGCCTACTGAGCATACATGTATGTGTTGGCTAGTACTGGACTAGAGCACGAGAAGGATTGGGGTTGGTTGCGGTGGACTCAGAACTGCACCTAACTACCGACTAAGGTCAGTACTGGAGACGATGTGGGGCCGTGGGGATAGTGGGGATAGTGGGCTAGACCTGGGACAAACTGGGACTGTGTGTCACTGTCACTGACTCTGAGAATTCAATAGAGTAGGGACCTTCTAGTATCTAAGCCGAGTTTGGTCACCTAGCACAGTGCCAACATTTTTTAGCTGGTGACTCGAGAGTGGAAAGGAAACACACAAGCGAATTGCCGGCTTGCTGAAGAATTGAGGACACAAAATATAGTGCCGTGGCTGGGCGAGCCCACCCACGATGGCAATTCTGGCTGGGATGGAAATTTGAGATCTACAGGTTGCACCAATGCATACTACAATTTTTCTGCCGGTGGGGATACTAACTTTCAGCGATACAATACAGATTGTGCCCACGGTCTGGTCCTGTATTCCTGTATGTCACGTATCTTTGGCTCGTCCCCACTCCCTTCAGATTTTGCAATACCAGAATTGACCTTGCATTTGCAATGACCACCGTTCAACTCCAAAATGTTTGCTTTACGAACTGCCAGTACTCTTTCTTCTATTGCGCTCGCCCCCCCTCTCCCCCTCAAATCAGCAACACATTTCGGACAACTCGCATGTCATTGATCGCCGTCCACTGTAGATCATGAACGCCATCCCCTATCGAGATAATGATTGCCGACAAACTCTGATCTGTCTTGGGGAAGGCATCAGGTTTCTTCGAGAGCCGAGTGATTTCTCTTCCGAAGGTGAAGCGCTTTACAGAAATGTCCCGAGTGATTGTATTGAGTCATGGTAGCTCGGTTATGGAGACTGCTATGGGCTGACTTGAGGTTAGCTCTCCCAAACCAGCCCAGTGCTGCGCTTAGTGAATAATGTAGACTGTATACTGGATATCGTCTAGAATATACTGCGTTGAGCATTCGGCAATACATCCATCACTCATGATATATTGCTGTGCGCGATCTGTCCCCAGAGATCCCTTTTACCGGGTGTATCGACTATAGCTGAGCTTTGACAGAGGATTAACCATACTAGGGATATACAACTTTATCTTCACCGAATCTTGAAAGTTGACATATCCGCTTTTCCTCGCCTCTGTTCGGGGACAATGCATCCAGCACAAGCTTGGCAGACCTTGTCCCAAATCCCATATCCAGCAACATAACCCCGAGGTGATCAGACACCAAGTGCGCCAACACAATGAATTATCATGATGTCATGACTCCAAGCCGAGCTGCAATGGAGGTCCTAGGTCCTAGGTACTAGGTAGGGCAGAAATCGAAACAAAAGTCTGCTCTTTCTTTGACTCTCAAAGGACAAAAAAAGTATGCACCTCGATGATTTAGCTTTTCCGGGCTCGTCCACAATCTTGTTTACTAGTTTAAGTTTAGGACTCAAAAGTCAGTACGCCGTACGGTACTTTGCTCCTTGCCTTCTCACGCTCCTATTAGCCCGTCATGACGACTTCCAGCTCCCGAGCGCCATATCCGCTCTTTCGCAAAGTCAATGACTGACTAGCTCAGCTATCCGAGCATCCCTGGGTGGTCGCGGGTGGTCTGTGCCCTTGACGCTGAACTGCAGTACAGTACAGCCCCTGGACGCCGTGAGAGGTCCCGGGGTCAACATTCGGGTGTGAGGGACCAGCCTGGGTTCTAGAGTTTGGATAGTTAATTTTTTGGGGAGTCATGGACACGGTTAGCGCCCTAAAGTATCTGGCGGCTTGGACTACGACGGGACCTCTCTATGTTGTGGTTTCTTTTCCTCAATGCCAAGTATGACTAAAGACGCCTCCCAGAATTGGTCTTCCCCCCCCGACACGATGACAAGAAGACTTTTTCTTCTCGCTTCCACTCATGTCTTTGTGCCCGAGTGTATCGCTGTCGCGGGATTAATTTGCCACGTCAAGTAGTAAGCGCTAGAGAGCTAGTAGAGGCTGAATACGATTGAAGAATCTGCCAAGTCGTAAAGCATGCGCCATACCTTACAACTACTGCAGTCCCCGCGCAGTGTGCGTCTTGGCATGTGGTGAGGAAGAGTTTCCATTGGCAAATCATCTGGACAGATTGAAGCATGAAGTGTAGGTAGTCGAGTGTAGTCAATTCTAAGCCCATTTCCACCCCGCCTTGCCTCTCTTACGCCTTTCATCCCGGTATGCATCGTGGGGCTTCATGGACGGCGGCCTCGCCGAGCACTTTCACCCCCCCCCCCCCCCCCCCCCATGCAGGTAGTGAGTGCATGGGCACTGAAACTTCGTCATGCATTTTCGTACCTGCCTACTTGATATCGAACGCGACCGGCTCGAGATTGATACTCAAGAACATATATCGACCGAAGTACCGGACATCTTCGTCTGCGTTGCGCCAAGACAACCTGGTAATCAATCGGAGCTTCCGTTAGCCGAGCTCACGTCAAAAAAGTCTGATTCATTGGCGATTCTCAGCCTCACGACGGAACAAGCAGGTTAGTAGTGACATGAACGATCCCCATGTCGAATTTGGTACCGATGTGCTGGATGGCTTTTAGTATGCTTGAGGCGATAAAGGTCTGGACCAGGTAAGGTTGATTGAGGTGGGCCTTCACCATTCATCAGCCACATCAGCTCGCTTTGAGATGGCGCCATCCATGAGTATGGGTAAATTGTCTCATCGACTCGGATCCGAGAGTTTTGTGGCGACGATGAGGTCGGAATCACGGATGCAGCGGCATTGTGCAGAGTCCTGAACGTCTGGTTCTCATCGTGGCACCGGGCAGCTGGCTGGTGGAAATTGAAATCGTTCGGCATCGCCGCCTCACGAGAGAGACCCAAACGTAACTAATGACATTGAAATGCGGAATCTGCAGCCCGTCCACTGAGACATGGAATGGCCGATCAATTCTGGTGTCTTTTACAGCACCTCGTTTTGGTCGTCGACAACATTGTATTTTTTCGGCCGGCACTTGACCTGTGCGTATGGCAGAAAACTGCAGTCTCTTGACCAAGAATGGTGATTTCACATGAGACCACTATCTATCAAATGGCTGTCTCAAAATTTCCGAGACATTGGCCAACACATAGAACTTCGCCAAGTCTTGTTGTACCGGGTGCTGGACTTGCCGAGTGCGCTGCAGCTTGATCATTGACATGACTTCTTGTGCAATAACTTGAGCCAGCTTTTTGTCATCATCATTGATGTAAATTGTAAAGTTGAACAGCATGCCACTGCCCCAAAGACTGGGAAATGATCCGCGTAACCGAGTCAAGGCCAAGAACAGAGCCAAGACTTCGATCGAGTGCATTACCAAACCGGAAGATGTCCGCGCGCTTAGTACACATGGCCAACAAGGCACGTGGTAAAAATAGATCCCAATCCATGATTCATGTTATGAATCCATCTGGAAATTCAAGGCACGAACTGGGGCCCCGATCGCGCAGTGTCCCCAGAAACCCATATACTCGACAGTGACACTCCACGGTGTAACTGTGCACAACTCGGTCCATGATAACGACCATAAGCTCACAGACCATCTAGTGGCCTGGAGAAAGAATCGGTCAAGTCTCCGGTTGACAAGCGACACTCAGTATGGCCGAGATGCTGTGTCACTTGGACCTGCCTCGGACCTGCAGAAACCGGCGTTGAGAGGCCCGGGAAGGAACATTGCTGTAAACCGGATGGGCTGACTTTAGCCTTCACCGCTGGATTGGCAATTTCGTCTGATCTTCTTCGCTGTCAAACAGTATATGCAGCTTCGATCTGCCGTGGGGTGGGGGGTACACGGGTAGATGGTGGTCTGGGTGCGGATTCATGTGGGTGTAACGTTTATCCATTTGGGAGTGGAGCGATGAAACACACATTGGTTTCAATGTGGAGGAGAGGGTGCGAGAAAGGATTGAGGGGGTTCGCTTCCATTGCTCCTGTCATTTGATCGGATGCAGGTGGGTAAGGATCGAGAGGGAAGGAACAAGGGGTGTGGGAGAACGTTCACCTGCTGCAGGTGGTGCCTTGTTTAGACATAGCACCCAATACAGGCGGTAACGAAGAGAAGCATGAATTATGTACTCGGGAGGCTATTAGGGTTCCGAGTTGCTGGGTGGATCAACATTATCAGAGCCGATAAAAGATTATATTCATTATAAACAGATGACATAAATGTACTGCAACGAAATATGCAAAGATGCAGGGACTCGCTGAACAAGTCACATGGCAAATTATCAAACAAGAATTTGTTGAAGGAATGGGGGTTTGTAACAGAATCGAACGTCCAAGATGAGCGAATATGTCACAATTTACAGAGGAATAGGAGAAGAAAGTGTAAAAGTGACGGGAGAGCCAGACAGCTTGACCCAGACCGTGGCAGGGTCACTGCCCAGCTGCTCCACAGTAAAGCCCTGGGTGTTGCTGGGAGCCGTGGGGAAAGTGACGGGAATGGCCTCACTGCAAGTGTTGCCCTTGGCGGAAACAGTGACCGCGGTGATCTTGCCGTTGGCGGTAGTGTAGCTCATCGAGTAGCCGCAGGCATCACGGTTGTAGCGAGCCAGGAATGAAGCGGACATGTCAGCGTGCTTCAGAGACACGAGGGGCCACTCGACTAGACGGATGAACTCCTGGATCTGAGTCTCAACCCAAGCCTGGAAGATGGAGAACTTGGAGCTGACACCGTTGATGGTGATGGGGTCCACATCAACGTTACGCAGGTTGGCCTGGTGGAACATGTAAGGATCATGGTGAAGACCGAAGAGGTGGCGCATGGTATCGGCCTTCTCGACGGCAAGAAGGTCCGCAAAGGTGCCACTGCCAGAGGAAGTGTCAATCCACTCCTGGACGGTACATTGAGGAAGATCACAGTTGTAGTAGATACGGGTAGCCCAACGAGGGTTGACCTGCATGCCGGCGAAACCGTTATCGGCGACGGTGGTGAAAAGGGGCCACATGGAATTTTCCGGGTTCATGAGAACGGGACGGGTGTTGTCACCGACACAATTGGTAATGCCGTTCTCCCACCAGGCCCGCAAGGCGTCACCGTTGTGCAGGCCGGTAATGGCCGGAGGAATGATTCCATTGTCCGTGTAGTGCGCAGCTTTGTCGAAGCCATTCTGCTTGAGCCAAGCCTGGTTGAAGCTGATCTCGCGAGTGACATCCGAGAAGGTGGCATTGTTCTGCTCCTCGTGGGTGAAGGTATGGGAGAGAGAGGCGATACTATTCAAGTTCTCCGGCACACTCCACCACTGCAGAAGGGGGTCAAGACGAGTGCAGGCAGTGGTCCACTGGTAAGAGGTGGTCTTCTTGGGCCACAGATCAGTGCCGGTTCCCAGAGGCTTCTGGTACTCCAAGGGAGTGTCAGGAGGGCTGTCGTATTCAATACCACCGCCGTTGCAAGCAGTGTAGCCGGCATCGGTGTTGGAGGAGTTCTCAATGTTGCCGTTGCCGTTGTGGCCAGTCTCGGGGAAGTAGATACTGCCGGGGTTCAAACGAGCGTTGACAGTCTTAGACCAGTCCCGGATGCCACTCAGATCTTCAGCACGGATGCGGAAGTTACTGCCGGCTGGGTAGTACATCTCAGTCTCCAGGAACATGTCGTCAATCTGAGTGTTCAAGTTGACTCGGCGGTATCCAGCGTACACCCCCGGGTGATCCAGGTAATCCAAGCATGCTGCAGATAGTTGGATGTGGGACTCCAGTCGGTAGCAAAGCTGATGAAGAAGGCCATCTGCTCACGACCATCGAAATTATTGATGACCGCGGCAGTAGAATCGGTCGAAACGACCGAGTTGGCAGCGAAGGCGGCAATTTGTTTGGTGGAGGTAGTGTTGCTGATCGTGGCCGGGTAGTGCCACAAGCCCTCGGTGCTCACGCCGGCACCTGTGCGCAGGCCTGCAGTGGGGAAGTCACTGGTGTCGGTGAACGAAATGTCCTGTTCAACACCAGGGTTGCAGCATCCGCCGGCAATAGCACTGGCACCATACAGGGGACCGGGGAAGACGTCGAACTGAACCATACGGACACCATACGCCAGCTGGTAAGCGTATAGTTGATTCCACTGATCCATGGTCAAGGCACTTTGCCAGCCATCTGCACCGTAGTCATAGCTGACCTCGGAAGCAATGACAATGCCGCCAAAGTTACCGGTGTTGCTAGAGTTCAGCGCCGGCAGCTGAGTTCCCGTCTGGGGCACGACCAGGGTTGTGTAGGGAATGCCGTAGCCGTTGAGACCAGAGGCGGCATTCGTGGCCGAGGTGCTGTCTCGGGCGATAACCAGGATGTTGTTGGCCACAGTGACATGGCTCAGGGCTGTGGCCGCTGCTGAAGCCGAAGCCGAAGCCGAAGCCGACGGCGCGGCAATAGAAGACATCACCGAAGTGCTCATGGTCGTGAGACTACTAGCTGGAGCCGACAAAGTTGATTTCCACGAGAAAGTACTCGAAGTACTGGACGTGACGGAAGGCACCACAGTGGTTCCAGTGGAATGAAGGGAGACAGTAGGGGCAGGGACCGTCGTCTTTGCAGTCGATGTCTGTTTAGCAGGGGGAGGAGGAGCACCACCAGCAGGACCACCTGGTGCAGGAGGACCAGGAGCTGGAGCTGGATTCGAGTGATGAAGGAAAGGAGAATCCCAAGAAATGACCTGGGGCTTTTTAGGAGGCAAAGCTCCCGGACGTGAGTCGCAAGTTATAACGCCGGCGAAGCACGCCGCTGGAACGGCCCACGCAGGAACAACAACCATGTCAATTGCAGCCGACGGCGCAGAGTTCGATGTAGGAACGAGAGAAATGAGTGATCAGATCACAGACGTGCATCCACGAAAATAGAAAGGAAAAAAAAAAAATCAAAACCAGAAAATCACCTAATCCTATCAGAAGAAGAGCTCAAAACGAGCGGCAAGAGCGAGTGAAGGGAGGATGCAAACGAATGAAAGCAGACCATGTCTGTACTTCCGTGGCTTAGTTCGACCCATCGAGAGGTTTAAGTACCGACGAAGTGTCAGCTCTGCCACGCTTATCCCTTTCGATCGATCTCAACGCGACGTCCAGACCCAGAATTACGAATCCTTGACTCTCCACTGCAGAAAGTGCTCCGACCCTCGCGCGCTCGGCAATTCTTTCTGAAGTGTCCATGTGCGTGGCGTGGAGTGGAGCAATTGATCTGAATTCCAAGAGGTCAGATATTGACTATTGACCTTTCCGACGAAACAGCGACATTGAGTTGAGCCCCGCAGAGCCTCTTCTCTGGTTTTCGTCCGCCCTGGGAACGAACTTAATGAGTCAACGAGATCGGAGACTTAATCCATGACATACATATTTCTCGTTTTTGTTTCGAACACGAAGTGATGAATCACCAAGATACTGTACCATGGCGTTTATAGGAGAGACACGGGCATCCGTGCCCTGCAGGCCTGCAGGATGAAGGTCTCGAGACTCGAAGTCTATGCGCACCTCTCAGACTAATTGCGCTGGTCTTGTCTCTCCGGCACCGTCTGCATGCGCCCTCAAGTCACCCTAACCTGTGAGTCTATCGTTCTGCCTTTCCTCACATGGTTCTTGGGCATTGATTGCCGAGGCCATCTTTGGATTGTATGCCACGACCCAAACATGCGTCCATGGGGGCGCAAACAATGAAAGACTATACTTAAACATACAACCTCAAACCCCGAGGGACCCAATCATTCCAAGGCAACTCATCTCTGGAAGCGAGGTCAGAGCCCCAAAAAGAGGATGCAGAGGCTGGCGAGCCAAGACTGAGAGCTTTTCAACTGAGACATGCCTGCGGCCGTGGAGTACGCATGTGCTCGATTGCGCCAAATCCTCCGAGACGGCTCGCCCAGTTGGGCTCGGAGATATCTGCAAAGCCCTGAACCGTGGTGTATACTGTATCGATCTCAACTTCTCAAGATCAGGAATTCCACTTCGACTCCACCTCGGTACACATCTGGGATCCGCCAACGAACGACCCATCCGAAATATCTCAGGCCCGCCCTGTAGGAGTCAGTCTCCCTGGGATGAAACTGAATCTGCTCATATCATTCCACCTCTCGAGCCATCTCAAGTCCATACGTCCATTCATATGTCGCCAGGAATTGACTAATGTCTGTGCACGTCACAGATAGCGAACCTTTGGCTTCAAGCGTTCGCTTCCCAGCCTGCGCCAAGCCTCCGATAGACAGGGCCGAATTTGGACAGATCATCTTTCCGAGTTACGCTCGTACTTAATGTGGAATAACTTGACGGAAGCTCCCATGGACCTGAGAGCGGTGGCCAAAGGACTCCAAAAGTGGGATAAGGTCAACATTGTAGGCGGTGTGAGGGGAGAGCGATCTGGCACGGTATCGATCGATTCTCCACTAGTCCACGCCTCCGCGGAGGCGGGCGTATGTAATATGTATGAAGCTGTAATCTACTGATGTATTTTACATCTGCTCCACCCCCATGTAACAAAATTTACACCAAATTGCAATACCCACAAAGTTACCGTAAGTGGACAGCAAAAGGATGTTTGCCGGCCTTCTGAGGAAGACCTTTCCTATTTCGGGACCAAAGTATGCTGCTCGATTTAATTCGTTTTTTTCTCTTTTCTCTGCTTCTTTCGGCTATTCCCAAGGTTTTTTTTTCCCATCACAACGCCATCTCTTCTCAAGGACCAACACCTCCACCTCTAAAAGACAAATCGGCATTGGAGACCACAGCCTCCAAGCCTCAGTGAAGAAATGTACTAGGCCGAGGAAGATTTTCGGGAACCAAATTCATGTTAGCGCCTGAGATATATCAGCACTCGAGCGTGTGGCGGAGGAGAGATGCACTCTCTCGGGGTCTGGAACCGCATACAGCACTGAGTCTACTCACTCACTGAGGTGTAGAGGTTTACGGCCCGATGTTCGTTCACCAGAATGATCTGCGAGGTTTGGTGAGAACCGACGATTGTACGACCACCAATGGCCCGAGAAGGCGTGGACGACCGGGGATCCATTGCAAACTTGCAACACACATGGCATCAGGGCCTTTGGTCGTGGCAGCTCCACGTCCGACTCCACTGCATGTCTCACCTTTTCTTTTTCTTCATTTTCTTATTATTCTAAATCTCATTTTTGTTTCTTTCCTCTTCGGATCTTCAACTTTCATATCAGAACTGTAACCGTAGTGCATGCTTTTAGCGTTAGCGTTTCCCCTTTAGCGGCAGGCTATTTTTGCTCATCAAGTTTGAAGGTTCTGTTGGCCTTGCCATTCACGATCCACTTTCTCATGTCACAGACCGAATGGCTCTGAACCCTAGTGCCCCCCCTCCCCAAAGTACTCTATCACGAAAAAGCTAGCCCCAAGTCCAGCTGTGCTGGCGGTGTTCAAACTTCAGTGTTGGCTGAGTGGAGCCATACTTTACATTACTTTTGCGTGTCCATGTCGCCTTCGGTGACTTGGTGAGCTTCGTTTGACTTATTCTTTTTCGACTTTCAAAGTGTAAACACAGTAACACACCCTTTGCCATTGGACTCTGTGTCTGATTGCAGGTCATTTGATCCTGATCCAACATTGAAGCTATCTGCACTGGATCAGCGTGCTATGTGGCCAGCCGCTCGCGAGTGACAGATGAACCGTCAGTGATGCTGTGCGTCTGATCGGTTGTCACGCCTTCGTCCTCTTCAAACTGTACAGTCGAGTATCGCGCCGGGCCACGACTCGACTGCGAATCCTCAAATATGGCTCATCGCGAAATTTTACCGGTCTATCCGCTCTGGGGGAGGTACTTGATAGAGTATTGGTGGCAGCATGTAAGTTGTCCAGGTCTTGCGCGGGGACGTTGGTGCAGGAATTTGAATTGGAATCTTTGAGCGCGCAGTAGTGGAATTCCGAGGACTAATGAGCTCCAGGTCATGATTGCTGTGATTGTGGCGTGCGTCGCAGTCGGAGTCTCATACATCACTTGGTCGACCACGACGAAGATCATCAAATATTACAAGGTTAGTAGGCATCCATTCGGCGTCAACTCAGAGCAGCCACTGCTAAGATCAAATTGTCTGCTTCTTTCTCGATTGACTGACTGACTGGCCATGCTATCCAAAGTCACGACCGACACCAGACAAAGTTCCCACCGAGGTTGTACAGCGCCTGCAACAACTGGCGACTCGAGAGCTGAAATTGGCTCGCACCTCGGTCGCCGGGAAAAAACCAGCTAAATTCGGAGTATACCTGGGAAGCTTCAGCCATCCAGTGACGTTGGCAGAAGAGAAACTCTTGAATCAATGGGATGTGGTGATTGTTGATCCGTTTGAGAAGGGCGTCCGCGATGCCACTCGAAGTGCGAAGAGAAGTCAAGTACTTGGACGAATCGACATAGGCAAGATTCGCCTGCCCGGTCAACCGATTATGACTGTGGTTCAAAAATTTGAGGAAGCACTGGATCTTCATTTCAGGGACAGCGGTTTCTCGGGAATGGTCTTCGCCAACTGGGAAGACAACTTGACCCCAAACTTTTATGCGAAATTATTTGAGGCAGTCCGTGAACTCGGACTGAACGTTTATCTGGAGACGGAAGCTCCGAAGTTTCTGAAAAATCGTAAGGCCCTGCAAAATGAAAATGTTTCCGGTCTGGTGATCCGCAACGCCAGCATCATGCCTACTGGAGAGAAGCGTGATTATTTCCAATTGGAACAATTGCAGCCAACGATCAAGGCCTTCGTCTCGGAGGCCTGTATGAGAGATTTTGTGGTTCTCGCATGGGAAACCGTGGACAACGACGTTACCTTGTCCAATGCCATAGTGAGAAGATCTATTCTCTGGTGCGGTTTCTACAGTGCCATCTCATGGATTGGCAGTGAAGCATCTCTCTACCACTCCGAATTGAATGTTCCGACCACAGAACCTCTCCCGGCCTTTAGCTGGCTGAAGGAAGCGGACGTGATGAAAGTCCACGAGAAGTGGCGAGCCAATCGACAGATCACAGCGTCGCCCACTGGTGGTGATGGGTGGAATGCGCTTCGATCTCTCCTGCCGGCGATTGACAAGTTCCTTGCCTCTGCACAGGCTTTGAGCCCGCCTCCCAGAAGCCCATCTCTTCGACTTCGAGAACCCCCTGAGTGGGTAGCGCAGATCAAGTCTTCCGTGCATCCTCTCTCAGTATCCATGTCAGGACAGCCATACAAGAATATGGGCTGTTTCCCCCTCGGCTCAGACCCTACGCCATTGGCCTTTGCGGAAATTCTTCAATCTCAGCAAAGACTGAAAGGCTTGGAACTTCTCCATCCTGTCCCCGCAACCAAGGTTCAGAGCATCGGCCTTCTTATCCGTCACTTCCACGAGCATTTTACCCAGTCCTGTGAAGATGCGTCCCTTCTGGCTGCTATTCAGAATCTGTCCGAAATGGCAGCGAATGGCTCACTGAAAGTGAATCTCGCCCTGGATTCTGGTCTCAAGAAGACCTCTGACACTCGCTTCTGGGCAGTTTTCGAGCAGGATGACGACAAGTTTGAGATCTTTGTCTCTAAAAACGCTCATGGTCTCGCTGGAACTGTTCTTCACACCTTCCTTTCCGCCAAAGGCTTCTCTCGGCATGTCAGTTGCGAAACCGAGGTGGCTTTGGCAAAGTGGTCGGACGACTTGGCTCCATCTACTCAGCTTCCGCGTCGATTTGTGCAAGACATAGATGGTCTCAGCCCGGAAGAGAGACTTCTTCTTTTGCAACACCTATCACTCACCGATGCGCAAAGTGAAGTAACAAAGACAATTTGTGCCTATATCTACCAGCAGCTAGTGGATGCGCCATCTCTTGCACAGCTCAGAGAGCTCAATTCTGTCGGTTACCTCGAGGGCTCTGCAAGCGCTGAAGAGCTGATCGAAGATCGACTATCCTGGTACGAAGAGCAAGGCTGTGTGCGCCCCTCATTCTCCGCATCTCTAGAGCTTTTTCATCAGGTTGACGTCGTCTTCACCGAGGTGCACAAGCACCACCGCGAGGAAGAGCTCAGTGCCATCACCACCAGATTCTGTAACATGGTACAGGGCGGCAATTTCGATGCGTTTGTAGACATGCTGGCTCTCGCGCTGTTTTGTACCGCGAGGAAGAACGCCTTTGATGAGATCTATGCCGAAGTCACCGACCGAAATCCGTTGTTCAACCAGCATTCAGACCAAGCCGCCGCCTTTGCGGAGTCTTTCGCCCTGGGCTCCCGATGTGAAGCCTATTTTGGCGTCAACCCTAGTGTTTTCGGCAAGCTCTTGTCCGACCGTTTCCGGGCTTACTATTCGAAGAATCAACCACCCAGCTGGATCAATGGTGCTCCAGAGCTAGCGACTTCTTATGCCGGAGCTCAGATTGATGTGAATCCGGATGACAAGGTCAAAGCCATGCCATCGTACCAAAGATTCACCTTTCTCAGTGTATTTGCCATTCCGTCTCTGATCGATATCATTCTACTCACGCTCATCGGCCGCGGGTTGTATCTCTCGGCTTTCATGACACACGCTGAACAAGACAGTGCGACCATGGGTCTGATGATTTCCTTGCTCTTCTCTGGTGCGATTGGCACCATGATTGCATGTGGTGGACCGTACTATCTTATCTCGATGGCCTTTGCTGCAGCCAATATGTTTGTTTTGATCCGCTTGATTGCAGGCATTGCATTCACAGTGGCGGGCGGCTTGATTGGCTTCATCGCGATCTCGGGCGTTAGAGGCGCACGGGCAGGTATTGTCTTCTACCTCTACCTCGTCGGATTCACTTTGTACTTCTCCATCTTTGCCGCGCTGGCGAGTTTCAGCTACCCTGGCTCGTCCTTCCTTTCCGGTCGCAAGGCTATCATCTGTTGTGTTCCGATTCTCGTTTTATCCCCAATCATTACCTACTTCACCGGCAGTGATTCGGCAGTCTACCTGACCGTCATCTACGTCTTCAATGGTCTGCTACTTCTCGGTTTGCGCTCAACCACTTCTAAGTGGGTGACATGGTACCAGTCTATCAGACGCACAGATGATACCGAGGTTCGCAAATGGTATATCTCTGTCCACGGCAATAACAACGAGAAAGTCTTTGGTACTATGAGTGAACCCGCTGCCCTCAAACTAGCGCGAGACGCTCTTCTGAACGACATTATGGCTGAACGAAACCGTCGCATGTTCTCGAAGCCTACCACTGACAAGCTGGTAAAAGAGCTTGCACGGGATTGGGAATCAACCAACTTTTTGCTGGATTGGTACTGTCGCTATGCAGATGTCCCACGACCCATCCCTTTCAGCTCTGGGTGGAACATCCAGACTAAGGTGGCGCTGGATGTCCTTCGCAACTCGCAAAAAGGCCTTCGTCTCCACAACGCCTTCGTGCACTGGCGCCAATCTAGCAAGGAGATCGGATGCGGTATTCTTTACTTTGTCATCGCCCTGCTTGACAAGTGGATCGTAATGCTCAGCGGTGATCGCTTGCTCGGACTCAGTGCGCCTGTGAACGACGCAAACCGCATGGCTGTCGGGTTCGCGCTTGCTTACTACCTTGTTGGCGCCGTACTCATTGATGTGAAGGCTCAAGAGCTTCATTCTGCAATCGGCGGTGACAAGCCTACCGCCATCAAATCGGCAAAGGAAATTCGAGCTATACAAAAGAAGTCCATTGACTTCCGCCGGAAGGTGTACTGGAAAACTTTATACAGATACTTGTTGTGGCACGTGTGGAGCCTTGCGTTTTCCACGACGCTTGTCTGGGTATTCCAAGTCCAATGGGAAGCCATGGCCGTCTTCTTTGCATACGTTTTCGCATACAGTGGTCTTATCTGGTTCCAGTACACGAAGATCTTTACTGGACCTCACGCTCTCAAACCTCTTCTCGTGGGAATCCTCGTCGGCTTGCCTCTGGGAATTGCAGTCAAAGTAACCCAGCCTACATCGCTCTTTCCGCCGGTTCTTGGCCTTGGTGTAGCCACGTGGATCATCGCTATCCTCACCCTCATGAACGCCAAGATGGGCATGCCAAAGAAGGTTGACTCACCTGTCGACCTGGGCAAGACATTCCATGCCTTTACCACGCCTTGGGCCGACCCTGAATGGTCCCAGCAGGAACTCCAGAGCTACTTCGAGAATATATTACTCCTTCCTGCAGACTCTCGTTTCAAAGTCACTCCCAACGCTCACCCGGGTGTCGAGATCAAGAACGTCCTCCTGTCTCGTAAGAAGGAGTTACGCGTTGAGGAGGCTTTCCCTAACTCGAACGCAATCATCGATCAAGCTCTTGCCTCATGGGAGAACGGTGAGATCACTTTGGAGCTTGTGCCTCACGGATCTATGGGACCTGGCATTCGCGCTTTGAGCTGTAGCACCGGCGATCATCTTACGGTATCGATCAGCGTGCGTGGTCTTCACGATGAGCGACTCGATATAAGCGCAAACTGCCAGATCATCGCAGAGACCTTGATCCACTCTGTCGCAGAGATGATCATGGGTATCCCTCACGAGTACGCGGCTTTGGCGGAAGTCATCATCTCAGGTGGCGTCACTCATACACTCTCTCGTATGCTGCGGGAAGAGGCAAATGCTACTTCCGTCATGACATGGGCCAAGAAGGAGCTTCTCCGACAACTATGCCTTGGCTTTGAGCCAGATATTCACTGGGACAAACTGCCTGCGGAAGTCAGAAAGGCCCTTTTGAATCGCTGTGTTGGGAAGCCTTGCGCTTTGCAAGAGACTGAGCGACAATGGCTGCAGATGAGTCTTTGTCAGTTTGATACAGAATATCTCGACGTTCATGTCGCGAGATGTAACCTCGGTGCAGCAATGGCTGTCAGCATCCTTGAGTACTCACACAATGGAACTGGAGAGTCTGCCATTCCCGCGGAACCTGAGACTGCAGAATTCATCTCATATGTTCCTCGGAAGTTGTCGCTGCCTTTGACCATGCTTCGATCGCCTTTGAGCTATGTCTATCACAAGATCGCAATTTTCATCAAATTCGCAATGGCTGCGATAATTGCCGATCCCGAGTTTCAGAGGGAATTTGATCATGTCACAAAGACTCTGCCCACGGTTGTGCGTGTGCCGCTCACGTTCTTCTTCAACCTGATTTGGGTCTACGGCAAGATCACACAAGACATCGCTCTGTCGTTCTTCCTGTTCCACGGCCGGAAGAACGTCAAGCAATTATGGGACGAAACCAAGGGAATGACTATTCATCTCAAGAAGACCAGAGTCATCATCCGCGGTCTCGATGGAACATACACGGCCTTTAGACACCAAGAGACTGATGGCGGCTTCAAAGTGTATCAGTACGCAGGCGAACACAAGACGGAGCCAAAGGACAAGGAAGCAAGAACACTGAAATACGTCAGCAGCTATACCAGCGAAATGTTGCTCCTCATCAAGCAGGAGTTCAAGGATGGGAAGCTCGTCAATGAGTACCACTACGACTATGAAGCCCCTATCAAGAAGGGAATCAGGATTGGCAAGTCTACCAAGTCAAGAATGCCACTCGGTCGACGTTGCGTCCAAGGCGAGAACCATCTGCAGAGCATCCAGTACAACCGGAAGGGCCTCGTCGAGAAGGGCTCGTATATGAAAGATGGTAACTTGGTCCGTTTCCAATACCACTATCGAAAGAACCCACGTTTCGGAGATGAGCTTCTTCGAGCCGAGTTTTCACTCTCCCACATCACTTGCAACGTTGCCTGGTGCGCACCTCCTCGTCGCAACCGCAACAAGGAGCACCGTTGGATCCCGCACACAAAGGTCACGGAAGCCACTTTCGTGCAGCAGGCGAGCGGCGATGTGTATGAGAGTCGCTGGCTCTATGATCACAAATTCCACCCGACAATCTTCACCACCGTCAATGGAATGAAGGTCCAGACCCCACCCATGATTGAGCACGATTACCTGGGGGTGCTCGCCAAACCCGCTTATACCAGTTTCGCTAGCGATAACCCCTTCTTCTATGTGGATAGTCTCCGTTCCAATGCTCTGACCAGAGCTCTGGGATGGAACAAGAAGCGATTCGAGGTTTCGACGTCTCGTTCTCGTTCACTGCTGTGGAAGGCTTGGAAAGATCGAAATGACCTGGATGGTATCATTGTTCGCTGGATGGATGACCGAATTCTGCGGAAGGATGAAGTGCTTCGGCCGTACTGGCGAAGTCGTGACTGGGGAAATCTCCGAGCGGCGAGAAAATACATGGAGCTTCGTGCCGACGCAGTCATGGCAAGCGCGGATCTGGACAACAACATCTCGAGCTGGACACCACTTGCCGTCAAGATCAGTGACTTTTTCAACTTTGGCCCTGGAGGCGACGCAGTCGTTACCACTCGCTCTAAGGAAATCAGCTCGGATACCGAAGACACTCTTCATGTCATGGCTGCAGACAACGGCACTTGGCCCAACGAGGGTGGTGGTGTTTCTGCCTGTCGACGAGATATGATCAATTCTCTCCGTACGATCAAGTGGCACATGATTTGTGAATCTGCCAATGACTTTGGTGTCCCCAAGCATCAGACTGAGAAGAACGTTCAGTCGCTGAAGGTTGTTCCTCTTTGGGGACTGGACTTCATGACACCGACTCACGGCCTGTTCAGCAACAAATTGGACGCCGAAGTTGAGAACGTCACATCGGCCAGCGAATTCGATATCAAAATGAACTTCATTCCGATTCTGACCGCTCTGGTCAAGGGTGCTCGTGCCAATTATCTCTCAAAGGCCGATATCCAGCAAGCAACTCGTGCCTTGGTGAATCTCAACACATACTTCCAAGAGTCGCGTCACTGGTCGCAAGTCTGGAATAGCGAAGTGGTCAAGCAAAGCTGGCGAGACCTTTGGCTCACCCAGGAGATGCAGAATGCTACCCCGTCTTCCGAATGGTTAGATACTGAGCTTCCAACGCTTGGTACGCTTGACGTTGCTCTGGAGCTTTGGTACCGCTATCTGTTCATCTTTTCGATCCCTGTCCCAGACAAAATTCCAGGTGTCTTCCAGGCGTCTCATCACAGTGTCAGTGCATCATATGGTGTCGTCTGTAAGATCAAGCGCAAGTGTACCCTTCAGATTTGGGATCACGCCATCGCGTGGCGTGAGACCAATCTGTGTCTGTCTTCTGCTCTCTGCAAACTGTCGCCCTTCGTCCGAAATGCTCTGCTTGGTCTCATGCGTATTACTTCCGCTCTCACTCTCCATCATGCGGATATTATCCTGCCTTGTGCGGATTTCTTCAACCCAGGCTGGGAAGTTGAAATTGGTACCTGCCAGGGTACAATCGAGCATCGCAACACTTTCCGTCGCAAGGTCGATCCTGTTGTCAACGGTATCACTGATATGCAGAAATTCGCTCCTGTCAAGGAGATCAAGTCCGAGCGCCCAACTGTGACTATGCTGTCTCACGTCTGGTACGCCAAGGATATCAAGATCGCGCTTCTTGCTGCCGACATCATTATTAACCAGTGGAAGTTCGACGACTACCATCTCGACATTTACGGTGCCATTGACAAAGCCCCGACGTACTCGACCGAGTGTCAGGAAATCATCGCTTCCAAGGGTCTTCGAGGCCGTGTCACATTACGAGGCACGGCAGACCCCATGAAGGTGCTCGAGAATACATGGCTTTTCCTGAACTCTTCTCTTTCCGAAGGTCTTCCATTGGCGCTCGGTGAAGCAGCGTTGACCGGAGCCCCTGTTGTCTGCACGGATGTCGGTGCCTCGTTGCGAGTGCTCAGCGACCCCGATGACTTCTCCCGGTTCAGTGCCGTCGTCGCACCCAACGACGCTCACGCTCTGGCAAAGGCTCAAATCGGCCTTCTCGGTATGCTGGGCGAGTGGAGCAAGTACAGCGACGACACCGAGCCTGCCCCTGTTTTAACATCAGCACCCACCCGGGAAGAAGTTGAGGCGATCACTCGTCGCATGTACGCCAAGAGTGAGCAGCGACGGAAACTGGGAATGATGACCCGCAAGATCGTGCAGAAGTCATTCAGTGGTGATCGCTACCTTCGAGAGCACGAACAGATGCTCTGGATCGGCAAGGCCGCCAAGATGATGGCCAGCCGCGCTGCCGGCGACCCTCTTGAGCCGTCTGACATCACAGCGGCCGTGAACAACACCACCGTCGACGAACAAGTCATCACAGTGCCCCGAAGCGCCGTCCACTCCTGGCGCTCATCGGCAGCATCCAACCTGTCTGATGTATACAGCTCCGTCTCCAACTTCCCTCTGCGAGACATGCGCTCGCACTCGCGCGCTACATCCAACATGTCTGCCCTCAGTCTCAGCCAACTCTCCCTTTCGACCGAGACTGAGTCGTTCGCGCGTCTTCCCGTATTCGCACCCCGCCAGACTCTGCTCCCCAATCCCGATCCCAGCGGCCGCCAATCTCCGGGTCTTGTACCTCCGCAGAACTTCCGCGTCTCGTTCGGAGGTCAGCAGAGACCACAGTCTTATGCTCGGTCTATCTCGACAGCTGGCCGTGAGCAGGTGCGGGGATTGCATCGGGAAGATCTGATGCAGTACCGGAATTCGGACGTCAGTCTGGTCATGCGCGAAGAGTTCCTGCGATCTAATCCGACTTTGACCCGTTAGAGGTCAAAGCAAAAACCCCCTCCTGAACATACCTACCTCACCTTTTCTCATCTCTCCAACTTCCTAATCTCGAATGATTTTTGCTTTCTCACATTCATTGCCAAAGCGTTATATCCCAATCTTGTTTATTTGGAAAAAAGCATTTGTCTATTCGCCATGTGCAAGCACTTGCATGTTCGGACAGTATTCTTGTCTGGGTCTCGTTTTAATTTGCGCACTACTTGAACTTGTGAATATAGTGACAATACAGGACAGCATTTGTCTCGATCAAAAGAGCATTATTGTAGAGAGTGCGTTTTAATTCTGTGTTTGTACACTGCAGTCTGTAGTCTGGATTATATCCAGATGACCAGCATCGAGCCGGACGGTCTATACAGTATACACCCCAATCAAGAAGTGAACGAAAGAGCCCGAGTAACCACACGCTTGGCTAGCTTCCAGGATGGTTCAACTGGTTTCGGATTAGCAATGCGGTGCCATTCACCATTGAACGCGTTGATGAGCCAGCTCGAGAGACCTAAACGTCGCAAGGATTAGTTAAAGCGATTTGATCACCGAGAACCTCCGCTACACAAAACTCACGTTCGTATACGACCGTATGCGCATTATGGAAGTAAATGCTGTGGTCGGAATCCGGGAACATGGCCATGTCCCAGTTGTCGATATTCTGCAGATTCATTTTATCGAGCAAGGTGAGCGTGTTTTGGTAATGGACATTGTCGTCTGCCACGCCGTGCATGATCAAGAATCGAGTATTCATGCCTAGTGCGGCAACGTCGCTGATTGTGGCATTGTTGTAGCCAAGGGGGTTGTTCTCGGGTGTGTGCATGTAACGCTCGGTATAGATGGAATCTACCGAACGGAGAATGCAGTCAGTAAGTGAATCTTCAGCGCACGCGTGGAAGAGTCGTAGCGGAGCCTACCGTAGAATCGCCAGTCGGTCACGGGAGCCACGGCCATGCCGTACTGGAAGGTCTCCCCAGCATCTTGTTCGAGGACCTTCAAGGTCATGAAGCCCCCGAAACTCCATCCCCAGATAGCCAGACGCGTCTCGTCCACGTAAGGTTTCTTTGACCAAATCTTCGCTGTCTCGATCTGGTCGCGAGCTTCGTAGTGGCCGAGATTGTCGCGAACGATGCACCTGGCCTTGCGGCCGATAAAGCCAGTTCCTCGACCATCTACCGTGACCACAATGTATCCCAGGCTGGAGGCGACGTAGGCCTGGAAATCGACGGTGAACTTGCGATCAACCGTTTGCGAGCCCGGTCCGCCGTACAGGTGGAATAAGACGGGATATTTCTTCTTCGGGTTGAAATGCGGAGGCCGGCGTTCCACCACTTGCAGTTCAAACCCGTCAATCGTGACGGTGCTGTACACCTCTGCGGGGAGGGCATAATCCTCGACCATCTCAGCAAGCGCTTTGTTTTCTTCGATGATGATCTCTTTGTTCATCTTGTCGCTTTCGGTGCTGACGACAGCCTGCCAAGGTACGGCAGGGCCCTTGTAGCTCAAAAGGGCGTATCCAGCACCGTCGGAGAATGAGACGTCGTAGTATCCGGGCTTAGAGGTATCAGTGAGAGCACGCAGGTCTGACCCGTCGAGTTTGACTTGATATACGTGGCGTTGCGTCGGGCCTTCCTTTGCGGCGACAAAATAGACCAGTCCTTTCTTGAGATCGACCGAGGAGGAGGGGCTTTCACCACCTCCCACGCGCCGGAGGTGAGCATCACAGGCTTTGAACTGTCCAAGGGTGAGAAGTAGGCAAGGTGGTCGAACCCATCATGGACTACAGTGTCGATGTATCCAGGCTCCGGTCGACCATTCTCAGGATCGGCTGGAATGACCCACGTCGATTGTGAAGGCTCGACCCAACCACCATCGAGAGCCGCAATATCAGTCGACCGAACCAGTTTCGCAGTCCGAGATTGAGCATCCACCAAGAAGATCTTCACCACGTCGCTTTCACGATTGGTCTCCCGGATCAGAACTTTCCCACCAGGTGCCCAGACGACCTCGATGATGATGCGGTCGTTATCTTCAAAATCTTCTGGCATCTCGATGGTGAACAGCTCGCTCTTCACCACATCGTAGAATCGAAGGTTGACGATCGGGTTGGGGGCACCGGCCTTGGGGTACTTGATCTGTCGGACCTCTGGGTAATTCTCCAGGCCAGCTGGAGGCTTTGTGCCGGAGGGACGATGTAGGAAGTACTGGACGGGATATTCGGGAACGTCGGTCTCGTTCGTACGCAACATGGCGATGAACTTCCCGTCCAAAGACCACCAGGTAGCGCCATTGCCTGACAAGACCTCTTCCTCATATACCCAATCCGGGACACCGTTGAAGACATCTTTGCCACCGTCTGTAGTGATCGGGATCGCCTTGGTTGATGATAGCTTGCGCAGGTAGACATTATTTTCCCACACAAACACCACCGCATCCGATTCAGGTGACCACCAAGCCAACTGGATGCGACCGGTGAGATTGTCTGGATCCAACGCTTCGGCAGTCTGGGTCGCAACGTCAAAGATCCAATAATTGCCATAGTATGAGTGTCGCCAATTGGACTCATAATCGGACATGACGAGAACCTTTGCATGATTCGGGCTTACCCAGATCCGAGACGCGGTCACCACCCGATTGCCGACACGGAACTGCGAGTCTTTCATCAGCACCTTGGCGTTCGAGCCATCCGCACCAGCCTTCCGGTCACGAATATCTTCGATTCGTAGGTAACCATCTTTAGTCTCGCCTTGCTCGATCAGCAGTCCATCTTCGCCGTGGGGACCAGCCGTCCATGCAATCGCATGCGATTGCGGCAGCCACTGTCCCATGAGGACCTGCTTCAATGTCACTGGCTTCCCATAGTTGGTACCACCCGTCGCGGAATCCGGCTCGTGCACTTCGATCTGAGAAGGTGAGGCGACCGCCGCTGCAGGGTTCCGTCCTTGTACGAGGAAAGCCACGAACGCAACGACCCAGCCGCTGGCCATCACCACGCAGATGAGAACACCCAACAACAACCAGCGACGACGCCCCGGTACGGTACTCTTCATCTTCGATGGAAGAAAAGGCTCGTCACTGTCAGCTTCCGTTCCATCCTCAATATCTCGATAGCGTTGTCCCTGTCCATCGTCGGTCGCAGCCGTGATCTCGCCCTTGTGAGCATCGAGAAAGGCCGCGGAGGCGATCGAAAGCCCCGAATCCGAGGATGTATGAGATGCCGCAGAGCCGGATCGCGGCCGTGTCAATGGCACAGTCTCCGAGGCCTCTCCATCTTCAAGCTTCCCCATGATCGTAGATGGTCTGGGGTAAGTCTATAGTCAAGCTGGCCACTGTTCCTGGTAATCGTCCGATCTTATCGGCGGAAGTGCGGAGCCGAGTCTCTCCTCATTTGGGAGCTATCCACCAATGACGTCCGCGTCTAGTTCGACTCGGGAGTATTCGATCTTGAGCTTGTCGAGAAGAGCTTGCGGGAGCGATGATACTTCTAATTCTTGATTGATTCCAGACATGCTGGGTAGAAACAGTTGAACTTTCCTCCTGCATTGGATCAAAATCTGCACGTCAGCAATGCTCGTCCGACTCTCCAATCCCATGTGCTGCCTGTCGAGGGGCTGAAACTAGTCAGTAATTCCAGGGGCAGACAAAGCCTCCTTCTATTGAATCCCCAAAACGGAAAACCCGCCTCCCTATTGAACACCCTTTTGGGCAATATACATGGATACATCTCCAACTATGGACATGCTTGCACAGAGCCACGTACCATCGTAAGGATTTGGCACCAAGGCTCAGATCGTTTTCCATGGTCAGTAGGTCGATGGGAGAAATACACTAGAGTGGTAGATTACTAGATACACGCTTGATCATGCCCGGTCTACATGTTCTTCCGGTGTGGTCAAGAGAATAGAGTTTATACGGAGGTGGCAACATCATTTGACATTGAGAACTGTTGCTGTCTATGCCCTATGTTGAGAAAATTGATCTGCCTGTTGAGAATTACGTGTCGCTGCACAGTTGTAGTCAATGGTATAGGCAGTCACCCTCCAGAGTTTTGACCTCGTCTACAAAGTAAGTTGATATATAGCGATGAATACACGGGAACTTGCCTTCAAATCTCAACCGCTCCTCGCACCCACGCAATGAGATCTCTCCACTCCGGCGGGATTTGCCCTTCAAGTGGCTGCAAAATACCATTTATCAATCGTCGTCCCGAACCCTTGGCGAACCACTTTCTTGACATCAGATGCATGCCGATGCCATGAAAAAGAAGCATGATCCGAGCGATCCAATCTCCTTGTTTCACCAAGTCTAGAAAAGCATCTTCAACTTTGATCGGCCAAGAGATGCTATCCTCTGTGGGCCAGCCTTCAATGGCCTTGAGTAATAGATCGTGCGTACTGTGGTAAATTTCCTGGTGTTGACTGTGAAGCCCGCCAAAAGTCTTGCGAAAGGCGTGAAGCTCGTTGATCGTGATTCTTCTTCGGTCAGTATTACTTCGCATTGAGGAAAGACATAGCACGAATAGTAAGAGCTTACTGGTGTAGTTCGACCATTTGGGTATCCTCGCTAAGAAAATCGAAAACCAATGTAAGCTGGATCGTCGGGCTTTGAACGCAACGCATGCTGGACCGCATACCAATCTTTCGACACTGTGCTCGTCCTATCACGACGAATCCAGAAATCAATACTCGTCGGCTCCTTGCCATGGTAGATCTGCAAAAAGAGAAAAGCAGTGCCGCTCAGAAAAGACCGCATCGTCAGTATACCACCCAGCGGATCCACAGGATGGCCTTCCCCTTGGATCCCTGGGGACGCAGTGACAAAAACGAGGTTCAAGACCGAGCAGCTGAAGAGAGCTTCGCGATTTTGCTCACTCGTCGCTAGATGCTGGCGCAACCCGATAATTGCTGAGTTTTGGTATCTCAACGCAGTTTCCAGCCAGTGCGATGAACGCCCGGGCTCCAGCGAGGCCAAGTGCAGCGCAGCAACTGCCAAAAACCCATCGAGCACATAACCGTGATCCGTTGCAATTCGTGGGACCACCATTTGCCAGAATTCCCTGTCGATGTCGTCTTTGATGAAAGTCGGACTTGTCACCATGAGAGCATGGTGAAGTAGTCGCATCTCCTCGAGCCGAGGAAGACGCGAGACAGTTACAGGCGGACTTAAAGTAGCTGATGCAGAGCGAATGCTCGCCGGCTGCGAGAAGTCCGTGGTCGGCTTTCGTCTTGGGGGAGGAGATACATAGGTGCATGTAACTTCTCGCCTCACGCAGAGACTACAAGTAGGACGATGCTCATCACACTGTTTTGGTCGGTTAGCATGTCCCTTTCGCAAAAACTAACCATGGGGACCAAATGGAATCTGCTATTGAGCCTCATGGGCTTCTCAGATTAACAGGGCATAATTTCCTTACTTTGATGTGACGTTCTTTACATTGAACGCAGCCTTTGCGCGATTTCGTGTGACAACGACGGGGCATCTTGATCACAAATGTGGAAGTGGACACCCATAGTGCCAGACTGGGCGAAGACGTGTCCCGAGTTAATGAGCGAAGTTCACTGTCAATTTGATTTCCGTCAGTTGTTAATGACAGTCGGGTAGCACCGAACCGCCCGCCGCGGGAGTGCGCCCCGGAGCTGGTCGTTTACCCAGGCAGCGATGTTGTTTCTGAAGCCTCAGGCAGCAACTTCAACACATCGTCGGATTGGGAGCATAGTAGCTCGGAGTCAGACTATTCTTTACATCAACAACTCGCCAAAAGCCCTCTGACAGTATTCGAATCTATTCAGTGTTGTTCATTTTAAATTTAGTTACTCGTCATGGTCACAGCAGATTCATACAGCTTGTAAAAGCGGCCCTGGAATGCTTTTACCGCGACAGAGCAATGTCATCAATTCTCATGATCATCTTCACCGTCTCGGCAGCCAGCTCAATGGCACTGGTGCTGACTAGCAGAGGCTGCAAGATGTTCTCCTCGGTGATATCATCCTTGACACCGCCGCTGCGGATGCTGACGCCGGCATTGTGCTGACCTTGAGCGTGACGGTGACGCAGGTCGGTCACAACCTTGATGGAGTTCAGACCAGCATTCTCTGCAAGCGTAGTGGGGATGACTTCCATAGCATCGGCAAAGGCCTTCCAGCAAATAGCCTCAGTGCCAGTAAGCTCACGAGCCCGCATGGCAAGGGTATGAGCGACTTCGATCTCAGGAGCACCGCCACCTGCAATCATAGCACGCTTCTTCACCAGACAACGAATAACACAGAGAGCGTCGTGAAGAGAGCGCTCGGCCTCGTCGAGGATGAGGCTGTTGGCACCCCGGGCGACAATGGAAACGGTCTGGTTATTGACAGTACTCGGCTGTTGCTTGATGCCGGTGACCTTAACGTAGCGCGCACCAGAGGCCTGAACTTCCTCCACAAGATCGGCAGTACCGAGCTTGTCCTCGGTGAAAGAATCGACATTGGCCACGGGCTTGCAGCCGAGAGTCTTGCACAGGAACTCCACCTCATCACGCTCAATGTCCTTGATGGCCAGAATCTTCAGGCGAGAAAGGAAGTGCAATGACAGATCGTTAACGGCATCACGAAGGATGGACTTTTGGATAAGAAGAACATTGCACTTGGTCTTCTGGATCTTCTTGACCATGTTCAGCAAATATTGGCGCTCTTCCTTCAGAATCTTATCCATCTGACGGTAGTCATTGACGACAATTTGGTTCTCCATCTATTGAGGTTGTCAGTAAGTGAGAATTACCTTCAGCGCATTATAAAACTTGTACGTACGTCTGGCTTGGGCGGGCTCAGCTGGAATTGGATAAGGCCTATCCGAGCTTTCTCAATCCTTGTGGGCCCACCACTGCTCTTAATGACGGGCTGGTTCAACACCAAGCCGTCGATCATCTCACTGTCCTCAATTGTACCTCCAACCTTCTTTACGATGCGAATGTTGCGCAAATCGACGTTCTCAGCGGTCTTGGGGTCAACAACCTTGAGGACTGAGTCAACGGCCATAGGGCCCAGCAAGCTGGAGTGTTGAGAGACAATTTTGGAAGAAAGGGAGGTTGAGGCGGCTTGGAGGAGGGTAGCACGGTCGGTGAGGTTGATAGGGCGAGACATGTTGTGGAGGATCTCGACAGCGGCAGCGGCGGCGCGCTGGAAGGATTCGGAGATGACCGTGGGGTGAATACCCTTGGAGAGCAGCTTCTCAGCAGCTCCCAGCAGGCTACCAGCAATGACAACAACCGATGTAGTGCCATCACCAGCCTCAACGTCCTGTGCGGCACTGAGATCAACCAGCATACGAGCAGCTGGATGCATCACGCTCATGTCCCTCAGCATGGTGTTTCCATCGTTGGTCTATGGCGGGGTTAGTTGGAGCGAGCATCGAAAGCGAACTCATGGCGGCAAACGTACGATAATGGTGTTTCCCTTGGGAGTTTGAATCTGGAAGGATTGTTAGAGTCTCGTCCTCGTCACATTTCAGAGAAGCAGCAGTGTTGACAACGCACCATTTTATCCATGCCCCTGGGTCCCAAAGACTATTTTACTCGTTAGCCCCTCATTCCCGTCCTTTCGTTTTCTTTCGGTAGCGCATACCGTGCGAATGGCATCAGCGACAGCTATGAAATGTTAGTTGGAGGTTCCTCATAACATCCAGGCATTCTGTACTTACCCCGAGCTGCGAGGATATTGGATTGCCGCACTGCCATGGGCTTCTCCTTGTCCTGTGCGGATTTCAGCATCCGGGTCACATAAAAAATCATTGTCGTTCAACAAACCTTGAAAGCAGAGCTACCACCTCCCTGAGCCATTGCGGTGGCCATCTTGATTGTCAAGAATCTTAATGGAACCTTTTGTTGAGTTCAATAGGAGAGTCTCGAGGTACCGCTTAGTGGAGGGACACAGGAAATTCTGCGAGGTGCTCGGGCGGTGATGAAGCTTGGCACTGATTAGTGAGTTGCGTTCCGGACGGGAGCTTCAACTACCGCAGCTCTCTGCTACATCACTTATCTATCCTCTCACGCGCGCCAGCCTTTTCTTCGTCATTCCTTGAACGTGCAGAAAAGACAATCATATCCATCTTTCCTTCCACCCATCTGCCTTCCAAACCACCCTTTATCGCATACCTGTCCCTCTGCCAGCTATCCAGCCTCGGGCTGCCGACACTTGCATCATGCCTAGCGCCACGGGATCCAACTGGGAGAAGTACCAGAAGAACTTTGCCGATGATGAGGAGCCGGAAAAGAAGATCACACCTCTTACAGAAAGGTAAGGTCTGACTCAATCTGGATTAGGTTTGGGTGAATGTTGGGGGTTCAAACGCTCAATGGGCCGATGACCGACTGACGTCTACAATAGCGACATCGCAGTACTGAAGACCTATGGTGCGGCTCCATATGCAAATGCCTTGAAGAAACTCGAGAAGGACATCAAGGACAAGCAAGCAAGTGTGAACGAGAAGATTGGCGTCAAGGTGATTACTCCGCCTATGTATTGTCATCATTTAGGTTGCCATTTGAAGCTCACATGCTACCAGGAATCCGATACTGGTCTTGCGCCTCCACATCTGTGGGACGTTGCTGCCGATCGGCAACGAATGGCCGAGGAGCAACCGCTTCAGGTGGCCCGTTGCACGAAGATTATTCAGGACGAGAAGGATGCCGACAAGAGCAAATATGTCATCAACGTTAAGCAGATCGCCAAGTTTGTGGTGAATCTAGGGGAGCGTGTCAGTCCCACAGATATTGAGGAAGGCATGCGTGTCGGGTAAGTCGGGAGCACTCGACACTTGGCTGTTTTCCTTGTGCAATTTGACCTTGCTGACCTCGTCTATGATAGTGTCGACCGAAACAAGTACCAAATCATGCTACCACTCCCACCGAAGATCGACCCCAGCGTTACGATGATGACCGTTGAAGACAAGCCTGATGTTACATACGGCGACGTGGGTGGATGCAAAGAGCAGATTGAGAAGCTACGAGAGGTGGTTGAGATGCCGCTCCTATCACCAGAGCGATTTGTGAACCTTGGTATCGACCCACCAAAGGGTGCGCTCCTCTACGGTCCTCCGGGAACTGGAAAAACGCTCTGTGCCCGTGCGGTTGCCAACCGAACCGACGCAACGTTCATCCGTGTCATTGGCAGTGAGTTGGTCCAGAAATATGTTGGTGAGGGTGCGCGAATGGTGCGTGAGCTCTTCGAAATGGCTCGGACGAAGAAGGCGTGCATCATTTTCTTCGACGAAATCGATGCTGTCGGTGGTGCACGATTTGATGATGGCGCTGGTGGCGACAATGAAGTTCAGCGTACCATGTTGGAATTGATCACGCAGTTGGATGGTTTCGATGCTCGTGGTAACATCAAGGTCATGTTTGCAACCAACCGACCTTCAACCCTCGACCCGGCCTTGATGCGTCCCGGTCGTATCGACCGAAAGATCGAATTCTCACTTCCCGACGTTGAGGGCCGTGCCAACATTCTCCGCATCCATGCCAAGAGTATGTCAGTTGAACGGGATATTCGATGGGAGTTGATCTCTCGCCTGTGCCCCAACGCAACCGGTGCCGAGCTTCGCAGCGTTGCGACCGAGGCTGGTATGTTCGCAATTCGGGCACGGAGAAAGGTTGCTACGGAGAAGGACTTCCTAGCATCTGTGGAGAAGGTCATCAAGGGCAACCTCAAGTTCAACTCTACAGCGACCTACATGCAATATAATTAGAGAGATGTTGCTAGACAACAAGATTCCTAACGTTTGCACAAGTTTTGGGCGGGCATATTGTTCATCCTACGTTTAGTCACAGCTTGAGCACCATGTGTACCAACTCTCATAATCAACGGCGTGGGGGCGCAAAGCGCAACGCATTCAGCATGAATTTTCACTTCGGATCATTTTTCCGGCCTATGCAACGTTGTCTGATTTCCATGAACGGGCTCTGTTCAAAATAATCATATAATGCGAGGATCGAAATCATTGGGGCTCCCTACTGAACTCTTCTGACCACCCGCAGCTTCAGCGCAGATCTAGGAATGAGGCCTCAAGATGAGTATGGTTGTATATAATGTCATGTGATATGGCCCGATATGGCTTGGCGGCAGATCTGCGGCATCGGATCGGTTCTGACCATTTAATGAAGTCAGCCAGATCGTTTCTTATCTGAGATCGAGATTCTGAATTCAAGATCGGCAGCTGTTCAGCAACTCGCAGTGCATAGTTACGTTGTTGTTCGCCATTCCAAAGCGACGCCCGGTAAACTCTTCCTTTAATTTGATATAACTTCTCTTTTTAAAAATTATATCGTACAGCATAAATGCTGCCACAACTACGATGCATGTTACATTAGTGGTGCTAGTACTATCTACAATGTACAGGCACTTTGCAAGTCTCACATCGTAGCAGTCAAGCAGTGTACATGTGACGTTGCAAATGTCCTCTGCCCGCCACGGCCGAGAAAGATGGCGAGTCACGTGGGACTGGCCAATCACGGGGAAGCGGCTGCCCGAGGCTTTGCCAGACTGCTTTCCTTTGCACGTCATCTAATTGGGCAGATCGGCCCCGGTCCTCCCCGTCGGCAAGTGAGAAGTGCCTTATGTCAGCGCAAACTGCCAACCGCAACTCGATCGCCAGAGTCGTATCCTGAAGTTAGCACCTTCTCTTCTCCAATTGCATATCTCTTTCCCCCTCACTTCGACCGAAACACCGGTGACCGGTGCTCATATACGATTTTGAGGATATACTGTACTCGGTCTACTTCTAATCCGTCATCATGAGCTTCCTGGGCTCGCGGAGCTTGGCTCCCGCCAACAAGGTGTGTATCGATTGAGAGAAATTGTCTGCGGTCTAGTGGTATCAATCTTGCTGATGATGGGCCTTTCGGATGTCAGGTCTCCCGAATTCTACGGGATCAGAGACGCCTTTTCTCTTCAACACGACCCGCTGGTATGCATTTACTCAACCTTCCATCCTCGCACGCCTGCTCTCGATGCACTGACTCGGTTCCTCTTCGGCAGCTCGGCTCTGGACCCCCGGCCCTCTGCGCGCAAAAGCCGCTGAAGGCTTGATCTCCGAGAAGTACCCCGTCATCGTAAGTTGAATTGAGCGTACCGATCACGATGCCTTCCAGCGATAGAAATTAACGGACGCAGGATCACGAGTACGATGCCGTCGTGGTTGGTGCCGGTGGTGCCGGTCTCCGTGCCGCCTTCGGTTTGGCCGAGGCTGGCTTCAACACTGCCTGTGTGTCGAAGCTTTTCCCCACTCGTTCTCACACTGTCGCCGCCCAGGGTGGTATTAATGCGGCTCTTGGAAAGTAGGTCACGCATTCATTGCCAGTCAAGCCTGTGTCACTTTGGGGCTTCTGAGCTAACTGACACCACATAGCATGCACGAGGATGACTGGAGATGGCACATGTACGATACCGTGAAGGGTTCGGATTGGCTTGGTGACCAGGATGCGATTCACTACATGACCCGTGAGGCCCCCGCCTCTGTGCGCGAGTTGGAGGGCTATGGTTGCCCCTTCTCTCGTACCGAGGATGGCCGTATCTACCAGCGTGCTTTCGGTGGTCAATCAAAGGAGTTCGGTAAAGGTGGCCAGGCCTACCGTTGCTGCGCTGCTGCCGATCGTACCGGCCACGCTCTGCTTCACACTCTCTACGGCCAATCTCTGCGCCACAACACCAACTACTTCATCGAGTACTTCGCCCTTGACTTGCTGATGGAGGATGGCGAGTGCCGCGGTATCATTGCCTACAACCAGGAGGATGGTACCCTGCACCGTTTCAAGGCTCACCACACCGTTCTCGCCACTGGTGGATACGGACGTGCCTACTTCAGCTGCACTTCCGCGCACACTTGCACTGGTGACGGTATGGCCATGGTTGCCCGTGCTGGCCTTCCTAACCAGGATCTTGAGTTCGTCCAGTTCCATCCTACCGGTATCTACGGCGCCGGTTGCTTGATTACTGAGGGTTCTCGTGGTGAGGGTGGTTATCTTCTCAACTCCGAGGGTGAGCGCTTCATGGAGCGTTACGCCCCTACCGCTAAGGATCTGGCTTCCCGTGACGTTGTCTCCCGCTCCATGACCCTCGAGATCCGTGAGGGCCGCGGTGTCGGCCCTGAGAAGGACCACATCTACCTCCAGCTGAGCCACCTGCCCGCCGAACTGCTCCACGAGCGTCTGCCCGGTATCTCTGAGACCGCCTCCATCTTCGCCGGTGTCGACGTCACCAAGCAACCTATCCCCGTTCTGCCCACCGTCCACTACAACATGGGTGGTATCCCTACCAAGTACACTGGTGAGGTCATTGATGTGGATGAGAATGGCAATGACCGCGTTGTTCCTGGTCTTTACGCCTGCGGTGAGGCCGCCTGTGTTTCTGTTCACGGTGCTAACCGTCTCGGTGCCAACTCCCTGCTTGACCTGGTTGTCTTCGGTCGTGCCGTCTCTCACCGTGTCCGCGACATCGCCTCTCCCGGCAAGCCTCACAAGGAGCTCGCTTCCGACGCTGGTGCCCAGTCCATCAAGGACCTCGACTTTGCTCGTACTGCCGAGGGCCCCAAGTCCACTCACGAGATCCGCAGTGCGATGCAGAAGGCCATGCAGACTGATGTCTCTGTTTTCCGTACTCAGGAGAGCTTGGACGAGGGTGTCAAGCGTGTCAATGAGATCGACCAGTGGTACGAACAGGTTGGCACTAAGGATCGCAGCATGATCTGGAACTCTGATCTTGTTGAGACCCTTGAACTCCGCAACCTGTTGACTTGCGCGTGCGTATTCCCTCCCATCCTCAAGACCCTTAAATCCGATACTAATTTTGCTGCCTTCTAGTACCCAAACCGCCGTCGCTGCCTCCAACCGTAAGGAGTCTCGTGGCGCTCACGCCCGTGAGGACTACCCCGAGCGTGACGACGAGAACTGGATGAAGCACACTCTCACCTGGCAGAAGAAGGCTCACGGTGACATTGATCTCAGCTACCGTGCCGTCGAGGCCAACACTCTTGATGAGAAGGAGTGCAAGCCTGTCCCCCCCTTCAAGCGTGTCTACTAAGATCGCCATCGAGCCGAGGTGTTTTCCTTGAGCCTCGATCAAGGATGCTGCGGATCAGTTTCAAGGCGATCGGACTGATAGAGTGATACCCGGTCTCAAATGTCAATCATGTATCGAACGAGATTTCGGGAATTGTCCCGGCGTCGAGGTGGGAGTCCATGAAAAGAGCCTGTTTACCTTTTTTTGTTTATTTGACTGTGTGTTATTTACCATTTTGTATAGCCATATTCCTCGTTTTTTTTCACGTCCTCTTCTGTTCCCCTCTCTCTCTCTCACACAGTCGAGTAGCGGGTGTATTGAGCACGATTAGCTTTGTTACATATTCCTTGAAATCTCCATTTCATCAAGAGATGTGTAACACTAATTCTTCCAACACTTGAATCGTCCTGGTTCGGTAGGACTATTCGAAGTAATAAGGTAAATAAAATGGTCTAAACACAGCCCTCGACACCAACACAGTCTGGACCTGACTCAAATTCATGAAGAACACATATTCTCTCATATTGAAAGCCACATCCTGATCGATTGTAAGCTCTCAAACTATAGGATCTTCCGACATGGTGAAGAGCAAACGATTGATGGCTGACCTCTTGGATTTCCTGAGCATGGACGAACATAGTGAGATTCGATATTCGATGCCCATTGCCTTGTTTCGTTCATAGGGCAAATATCGAGATGCTCGTCACGGTGGTTGTGATCCTTGCGAGTGTGGGAGCCCCAAACAAAGAACCGACCACGAAGGCTTTTCCCCATCCACTACTTCTATTAATGGCACTCACCCCTGGAAAACCTGCCCTCAAAGACTCGAGCAACAAAGAATCGTGTACCACTGCCAGGGTGACTGGATGGCACTGGTGTCAGTGGCTGTGGCTTGCGCCTGTATCAGACCTTCCAGCGATACTGCCATCGACATGATGAATTTCATTGAGCCTTCGCGGCATTTTCTCTGGGATCACAGATTGCTGCGTTTTGCCATTGTTGCAAGGAGAGCTTCACTCTAAAACGCTGCGTTCAAGTCTGGAGACCGACTGGCCTGCAGCTTCCTTTTGCTCTGAGGCGAGACCTTCATGATGGACAACAACCTCTCTCCTCGCTACACAACATGCACTGGCTCGAAACAGTGGTATGTGTGTTCAGCGGGCAATTACAGAGGATGCTGCTCTACTGATCCATGCACAACGGGGATTTGTCCTGATGACAGTCAAGGAGCGGTGTCCTCGGCAAATGCTTCGACTTCATCGTCTCTGAGCTCCTCGACTTCTACCGCAAATACGAGTACAAGGACGAGCACGAGGACAAGCTCGAGCTCGAGCTCGAGCTTGGGCAGTGATACCAGTACATCATTTCCGACAGTAACACAATCTCCTACTTCGTCTAGTAGCTTCACGTCTTCCATTTCGTCGGCCTTGTCAAAGACCACAACCACGAGCGCAGAGACGTCTCAAGCCCCGACGCTTGCTTCATCTCCAAGTCCTGCGGCTGTGTCTTCGCCATCGAGTCAACAATCCTCCAGTAAGGCACCTATTATCGGAGGCGTACTTGGAGCAATCGTGGCCCTCATTCTCGCCCTTCTGCTTTGCTGGTGCTGTTGGCGTAAGAAGCGGAAATCCGGTCGACCATATGGCGATTTTACATGGCGCTCTTTGCGCAAGAGATCTTCAAGTCATCAAAACGGCTCCTCCTCTGGATTGAAGACTGAACTCTCGCTTATCGAGAAAAGAGCAGGTCAATCCCTTGATGGTATCCCACACTCCACCCATTACAGTCCCATGCCAGGTGCTAACTTCTCCATCAAACAGGCTCACTGCAAGGCTATCAAAGAACTTCTCCATCGTCGAGCTCAAACTCCAACGAGCAAGACCATTACTCGACCGATAACTCAATCACGGGTTCAGGCACACCCGCTCCAAGTGTCTCGATCAACTCATCTGCCCTCTCCACTCTGAGCTCCGGGTTCCTCACAACCTCCTCCGGAGGCCTCGTCCACGTCCAAGCCCAGCAAAGAGTCCCTCCTCCACTCAGCGAAATGCCAGGCACAATCCCCCGAATCGATCCACCGGCCGCCGAGCTCTCAGACACGGGATTCTACAGACAACGCGCTGAGCTGCCGGCTCAGTCACAGAGGGAACTCATCAATCTTCCACCGGAAAGCAGACGGCGCGGAGGAAGTCCCCTTGCACCAGGCCTATCTCGAATCGTTCCCATGAGCTCCAGCATAAGAAGCCCTGGTTTTGAAAATCCACCAGGCCAAGCAGCGGATGACACGGTAAATGCACGATTGAATCATCGCCAAACTGCGCGAAAAGTCGTCACCCACGAAGGAATCGTCCTGGGCTCGAATCTACAGCAGTATTCTCCAGTCGTCAGGTCGGAGTCGCCGCGTCTCCTGCGAACGCAGAGTAGTTCCGCTGGACGCCATGTTATGAGTTTTATGACGTTTGGTGCTGAGTCTTCTAACGCGACTACCGCCACGGTCCCGGCTCGGGTCCAGGCACAGGCACCGGCACAGACAGTCCAGCTCGCTGCCGCAGAATCTCCGAGGCAGGGCGGTCGTCGGAAAGATCCACAGGCATCGAGAGGGATCCTGGAGAGCCATGCAGAAGAGAATGATGATCTGGGCGAAGAGGCACCACCTGCTTACCAGGCCGGGCAAATGTCACCGAGACGGGAGGAAAAGTCTCCGTCGGGGACAAGCATGAGGCAGTGATCTAGAGAAGAAGGGAGATGGACTTGTTTTGCTAATGACAGCACAGATGAAGTTTTGCTCTCAGTACCTAGCGGTAGTGGGTATGTCTTGATTCAGACATTGGCCTGTTGCGTTGCCTGGGTTTTCTTGTGTCTAGATTTGATCATGGCTTCTGAACGATATTGACGTTTCTACAAGAGGGTAGTAGTGAATTTAGTAATCAAAGTAACATGGATTTTGTCTACCCAAAACTGATACACCCGAAATGCTACGAACCTTGATCAACAATGTCCCATAACATAGCCCCAAAAAAGAAAAAAGAAAAAAAAAAGACACCCTGATCCCAGTATTACACCCCCATTTTGCTTGCCAGAGAGAAAGTAAAATTACAACAGCTTCTTCAGGACGGCCGTCTGCTCGAGAACAGCACGTTTGCTTGTACCGCCAATGGCATCCTTGAGTTCCACCGCACGCTCGTAGTCGAGACAAGCTTGGACATCCTCGTCAAAGCGAGGATCAACGGTCTTCAATTGCTCAAGCGATAGCGTGTCCATGGGGACATTGTTCTGCTCTGCAAGCTGTACGACACGGCCGGAGATGTGGTGGCCCTCACGGAAAGGCACGCCCTTGCGGACCAAGTAATCGGCAATCTCGGTGGCCAACATCTCCGGGGCCAAAGCGGCGGTCATCTTCTCCGGGATGGCGGTCAGGGTAGACAAGACACCGGTGGCGATGAGAATGCTGTCGCTGACAGTCTTGATATGGTCGAGCAGAGGCTCAATGCTCTCCTGCAGGTCTTTGTTATAGGTGGTGGGCAGACCCTTGATGGTCATCATCAGACCGGCCATCTGACCGAAAGCACGGCCCGACTTGCCTCGGAGCAATTCCAGGCTATCTGCGTTCTTCTTCTGCGGCATCAATGATGAACCGGTGGAATAAGCATCCGACAGGCGAACGAAGCCGAACTCGAGACTGCTGTAGATGATCAAGTCCTCGGCCCAGCGAGAGATTTTGAGCATGAAGGAGCTGCCCCACTGCATCGTCTCCATAGCAAAGTCACGGTCACCAACGGTGTTCATAGAGTTGTACAACAGGTCGTCAAAGCCAAGCTCCTTGGCCATGGCCTCACGGTCAATCTGGAAAGGGTTTCCGGCCAACGCACCGCATCCCAGCGGGCTACGGTTGACACGACGAATGACCTCGCGTAAACGCTGCAACTCACTAGCAAACGCCGTCGCATGAGACAGCATCCAGTGAGACCAACGAACAGGCTGGGCCTTTTGCAAGTGGGTATAACCAGGCATGATGATGTCAATCTCCTTCTCGGCCCGCGCGATGGAGACCTTGACCAGGTCGGACAACTGCGCGTCCAACTTGCGCAGCTCGTCACGGAGCCACAGGCGCATATCGGTGGCGACTTGCTCGTTTCGGGAGCGACCCGTGTGCAGTTTCCCGCCAATCTCCTTGCCGATGATCTCGCTGAGTCGGCGCTCGTTGGCAGTGTGGATGTCCTCGTCGTTCTCCTTGGCTTCGAAGGTGTTGGTGCGCCACTCTTCGGCAATTTGCTTGAACCCGCGCTCGATTTCGGCGAATTCTTGTGCGGTCAGGATCCCGGTCTTCATGTTGGCGCGGGCAAAGGCGATCGAGCCGGCGATGTCTTGCTTCCACATGATACGGTCGTAGGGCAGAGACTGGTTGTATTGCACCATGAGTGGATCAAGACCCTCTATATAAGTTGAATGAAAGCATTGAGTCAGTCACCTGTCCTTAGTCGCTGTTGTAGGCGTCTTCAACGCTATTGACAGACCTCGCAACCTGGGAAAGGAAAGAGATAATACTCACGAGTGAACCGGCCTCCCCAGAGCATGTTGTCGGCGACTCCCTTGGAATTGCTCATTGTGATTGTGTGTGATAAATTCAATTGACCCAAACTTGAGGCTTTTGGGAGATGTGATGAAGATAGAAAAGGAAAACTCAATGTTAAATAGGGAGATGCAGTCGAGGATGACTCGAACGATTGTTGCTGCTAGTGCTTTGGGCTCGCCCGATCATCGGCGCGCTAGTCCCGTTTGAGGGGTTCAACCCACAGTGGAGAGTCACTTCAGCAAACAAAATTCGAGCTTTCCGAGAGGTAAACAGATGATACGACAATTGCATCCCACTTGGACTGTGTGAAGTGGGGTTTTCTCATTATCAAGTGGATGGATTTGCGTGAGTCATCACTCATGACGCATCTGCCTGCGAGAAAATGACCAACATGTTTGTCAAGGGGACTTGATATCAAAGTCGGTACCAATCAAACAAACGCGGTACCTGGAAAGAGTCAGACTTGAAATGTTTACTAGCAAGACTCGGTGCAGTTGGGTTATCTCCCTTTCCACTCCAGGAGCTTAATTCAATCCAGTGATATTGTAGTTCCAACCTATGTTACCCCACAACATTACTGTCCATCCTCCAGGGATGTGCTTCCAGCTCTGTGCGGGCAGCGTCAAAATATATATTCCCATGCCTGCCGTCGGGTCACGCAGTCATTCTCGGGCACTTCCACGTAGGTGCCAGGCATATACTTAGGTATCACCTCAGCTAGTTACATTTATCGCGAGAGATAATCACAGTATTCCACAAGTTAATCACACATTATTATACCCCGAGCTCCATTCGGAATCAGTGTATCTTTATGCCACCGTCAATGTTGAACTCTGTATACAACACCTTGAGTGTCTGGTAACCGCCTGCAGGCGAGTCATTTCTTGATGGACTGCGCCAGTACGGGACTCTCATACATGACTCGTAGCTTAGATTCAATCCCCAGGCGAGCATCGAATACCTACCTGTACCTGACATCTCCGATGCATTCCAGACTCACCACCTGCAAGCAAGATTCGTTTCAACCAGCAATCCATAACTAGGTACCTAATCTACTTGATCTACCTCCAGCAGCCCGATGCGATTGATTTATGTCTTTGCTCTGGAAGAAAGCACGTGAATATACTTGTATCATTTAATGACGCGAAGAAAATAAAACGCTCTTCTAGATCTAGCTGTAGTGTTGATTCGAATCTGAGCTATTTACAACCGGAATCACTTTACATCGTGGCCATGCCCCCACCACTGCGTGCGTTGAGTATACACAAACGCTGCTGCGTTGAATCGTGCAACATATATCACAGCGATCAATCAGTGACTCGACCAATTGACCCAATGAGCAGAAGTCGCCCCTCGATCAGAGGACTTCAATGACCGTCCATATAGCAGTCGTCAAGACCTCACCTCCAATCTTCTCCATCACCCTTCTACTGGCCCAATTGAAGCCCGCAACTTCGGCGTGCACCCAGCCTTCCACCGCTTTGACCGTCCTCTCATCCACCACGCCGGCCTGTTTGGCCCCGAAGACCCCATCTGGCGACATGCCTTTCCGCATGGTCTCCATTGACAGAGCCAAAGCCAGACCTCGTCCGCGATGGTCAGGTTCCACGAATAGCGTCGCCACGGCGCCGTCAACACCCAAGAATGCCCATGCAATCGGCATTTCACCATCTGCAGATCCCTCGGTCATGTCTCGAGCAGAAGAAGCAGTGCCATCGTCGTGGTAGATGGCGACACTCGGTAAAGTCAACAACTGCCGCCGGGGCCGCGGGATGGTAGTCCGGCTCTGCACCAAATCCAGTTGGAACGGTAAGACACCCCTTCGCCCGCGGCGGTCATGGTATCTATATCCTGACGGCAGGGGAGTCTCAATATCGGCTTTGCCCCGAGGACTGAACTTGGCTCGGGGAAAGTAGTACTTGTAGTACGGCGGGTTATCGAAGCGATGGATCCGCAAACCGGGAATAGGATCAGGATCAGTCGAATGAATGGTATCTCCGCCCAGGTCCAAACGTGGGTATTTTCCAGACTCGAGCAGCAGCTCAAATAGGCCCGTGTGCAGGGTTCCAATGAGGAAGGCACGCGGATCAGGCGGTGGGATGAGAGAGGCAGCAGCCGCGGAAGAAGAGGAAGCTTCATTCTTCATCGTCGTGGTCACAACCATGGGCGTCGATGCCGATAAGGACGCTGTGGCTTCAGAGGAATCGCCATTTGGCAGGGATGAGAGATACTCAGGAAGCAAATGACTTTTGAGATGAGACAAGAGGGACAACAGTTGATGCTGAGCGGTCTTCAATCTGCTCGAATCGGTAGAAAGAGAAGCCACGGCGTATTTGGGGACCAGCGGAGCATTTCCTGATGACGCCTCACTTGTATGTGTACCAATCGTGAGCGAGGGATGTTCCTTGTTGAATTGGTCGGCCTTTGCGGGGGTTGCAGATGTGTCTAATTCCGGGTACCTGGATACGGCGCCGGGGCTGATGGAGTCGGCGACAGGGTTGATCTGCGGAAGCAAAGTACATTCCGCTTCCAAACTGGAGTAAAGGAGGATCTGGGTCTCACGGCCGCGGAAAAGGTCCACATGTGCAGCCAGCCATGGGGTGGGACTGGAAGGGACTGAACCAGATCCCGAGGTGGAGCTAAGATTGGCACTACGCACAGCCGTCGCAGGGGCTGAGGAGGTTGCTGATTCCGATATACATCCAGGCGCGGAGCCCGGGGGGAAAGTTGCCAGGATTTTGGCCGTGGGGGAGGGGTATGAAAGAGAATGTTGGATCCGACGAAGGACTGGACTTGCGTATGGCATCTGACCAGCCAAATGGGGAATGATGGATTGGGCCGAATGCTCGTAAAAAGCACAGGGCTCAATCTGTGGTGCAGTCGGAAGCGGCGACATGATGATCTCTTGAACAGGCTGAGATTGATTTTAATTATTCATCTGATTGCATTGTTCACCTCCTTCCTTGGTTCGATCGCGTTCTTCCGAATCCTTTGATATGGCTCTCAAGGATCGGAAATGACAACCACCTGCCTATCCTGCAAAGACGCTAGTGTCAACCTCGCAGGTGCTTGACCCAGTGGTGTGGCCTCACGATCTGGTCTGATCTGGTCTGATCTGGTCTGATCTGACTTTGGCGTGCGATGAACCCAAGACCTTGGATCTGGGACACGTCAAACCCGCATGGGAACCCAGCAATCAGGGCGGATCGATCTTGCCGCCTGGGAGTGGCACTATTGGAAGGATTGCGGGGCCCGAAAGGGTCAAAGGGTGAAGAAATGGGAAGGATTCTGAGGACGGCAGGGATGTGCGCGTGTGCGAGTGAGGAACCCCGAAGCAACGATGACGAAAAAAATGGCGGCGGTGGTGGTGAAACTGCGGAGAGCGAGCTTTAAAAAAAAGGTCTAATGGCGAAGCCCCACACGGATGCGTTCTGGAGAAGCTCCCAAAATGGTCTTATGACACATCGCTATAAGCACTAAGTTAAAACGCGATCTATGAGTCATGGCTCAGGAACAGCATGGTGCGGAATTTCGAAAAGTGAGTCGAAGTAGGAATTCGACACGAGGATTCAGATGGAAAGCTGCTGTGTCAATTGTATTGACTATTTACAGTATGCCTAGTACCTACTGCAGCGAATACGAGTAGTGGATCATTGCCGGTAGAACTGAGAGCCGCGAGTCGAATGTGGAAAAGAAAGTATTTATTAGGTTTGTGAACTTCACTTCATATCGGGGACCGGCATGCAAAAGGGTACGTCGTTAAGTGATGTCTAGGCGTTTTGCCGAAATGAATGAAACGCTCTGGGCTCCTGCTTGGGTATGGGAAAACGTAAACAATTTACTATTACAGTAACTAGTAACTAGTACTACTAGCCTACTGGGTAAGTTGAGGGCCGGGGACCTCGGCGGGGAGTACTTGCTGCACATTCAGCAAGAATAAATGGATGCGAAACAAATTTTGACATCGGTTACTATTTTATTTCCATTCGAAGATTTTCACATCGTGTGCGCATGGGCTTTTTGCGATCGTTTCATCCCGCGCGACCTATTCTCAATTGGGGTATTTGTCACGACGGGTCTATCTCCAGTAGGTGACCTTACCCATTTAGGAACTACTGTGGCGGTGCGCAACTATTGATTTTTACATCCCGAAGTCCCGATTGCAGGGGGGTCTACTATACTAGTGATCTTGGGCACTTGAAGCTTGCGAGCTCCTGCTCTAGGCGACTGGATATCGTAGTATGGGAGGAACTTTGTTCATGTCGATCTTACCTTTCAAGATCGCTTTTCGTCCGTGAGGTCAGGCATGATTGAGGAGAGGACTAGCTTCGGTCATACACGGCCATAGCTCAAAAGACTGAGATTAGTAAATCACCATACCTAAGTGCATGAGAATAAATCCGGGGAAAAAAAATCTAAAGAATGTGATATTGTCATGTCTCATAATGAACCGCAAAACGGCCCAGAAAGCCGCCAGGCCTCCGTTGCTATCGGGGAAAAAAAAGAGTTGCATCAATCACAACATCCAATTCCGCTTCAATCGTTGGTTCAGATCCTGTCCACGGATCGCGTATCTCAGACATCTCGCGGAGCTGCACGTGCAACTCCATCGTAGTCGAGAAACCCAGTGAAGCGAATTGATCGCCCATCATCTACTGATGCTTACCACCGCAGATTCGTGATCTCACCATGGACTTCTGGCACCGACCATCCAGTCCTCCATTGCAAGCCATTCACTCCACCTAGCCTCAGCAACTCGGAGCTCCTCCTCTTTCGGGTCCCGTAGAGGTCGTAGAAAGGGTGTCTGCTCATCGGGCAGGATATCATAGGCAGCCTTGGTCTGTGCCCATCCGCCACTTTTCGCAGTGAAGAGATAATTCAAACGCTCCTGTTTGAGGATAATGCCGACGCCGGCGGGCCAGTCTGGTCCAAAAAAAGCACTCATGGTCGGTGGAGTATCCTGGGCTGTGACGATCATTCGTCGCATGTACGGGCGTAATGAAACATAGGGTCGATTGGGCTGATGAGTTTCGGAAGAGGAGAAATCCTGCTGGTCTTGAGACAGAGCTGAGAACGAGCGCTGATATGGCAGACGGATATTGAGAAAAGCGGCGATGCCTTGCACAGCCGGGGTGTGCTGGCTCGTGTTGATGAAGAATTGCACGCAGTTATCGTAGTGAGTGTACCAACCAGTGGTGTCGACATGGTTGGAATCGACAAGCTGGTCATGACTGGGTAAGCCGGCCGAATTAATTCCAATGTCGATGACGCCCGATTCTGGGAGAATGGGACTGCTCGATTCACGTGTAGTGGAAGTGTGGGCGGTGTCTGGAAAGACGCATGCTGGGTGAGATTTGATGTTAACACTTTCGATAGCCAGTAAAATTATAGCCTTCGGGGGGTTGTGAGGGCAAAGGGAGGGTGAACGTAGGTGGTGTTGGTTGTCCACAAGTATGTATGGAGAGAGGCTTCCATCTCAGATGACAGTCTCGACGGCGCCGAGGGGGAATACACTCGAAACTTGGAACACCACTCACTTGTGGAAGAGTATTTTTGATCCTCGGACAGGTGATTGTCTAGATCCATGTTTCCCGTACCCATATTCGTCCAGTAGTCTTGTGCGGAGTCTCGTGTACTGAGTGACATGGTCAAAGTCCTCGCACACAGAGTTGGGACAAAGTGAAAAGTTGATCCGATGTGACAAGAAGAACTGAAGAGCGAAGGGGTCACGAATGCATTGATTTATCACAGTTGATATAAAGATCGCCCATCTGCCGACACAGGGTCGCTCGGCAATAACACACAAGATCGCCGCGAGAAGACGCTTTTTGCATGGGAACTGTCGATCACGAAGGTGAGGGCCCTGGCAAGCCTTATACTTGGAGCCCGCGGAAGGAGAGGGGAACTACTAAGATAGATGGAGAGTCGGCCAGACCGAGAAGGGATGGTCTATGAAGGTCGGTGTGCAATTATTGCCATTATTTTCCCAACTCAAATCATCCGTCTCCACGATCAAGGGCGGGCCCTCCCACTGAGAATGGGGATGAGGATAGGAGGGGCTTGACGGGTTAAAGGTGGATCTGTACAGGGGACTGGAAAAGAACTACAGGGCAGGTCTGCAGTACACGGTGCAGCGTCCGTCCATCTTGTCCAGGGCTATCATGGGTGACGCCACAGAGGGATGACCGAGCTTGAGCCACAGGCTTCAACGATAGCTCGAGGGTGCAGAACTGGCGAGTCCAAGAGTACCCTTTAGAGTTTTACCGGTGCAGGAGCAGCAGCATGATGCAGTCTTTGCAGATCGTTGGCAGTTGCCACCTGGACCAGAAGGTTAAGATTTGCACCTCATCCACAGCCATGACTGGATGAGGAGGGGAGACCAAGTATGCATATGAACGGCCTAGGAAACCGAGTTATGTCACTTGGAGGGGAATGAGCTGCACAAAGGGCGTCTTCCTCTTTTATTGCTGAACCGAATGGATCGCGATTGTGCAGGAGCCAGGAGGATGCATGATTCCCCACTAAACCCATTCTGGTAAGATGTGTCCCACTGTGCACCAGCCACGGCGTGGCCGAGTGGCTTAGACACTGTCGGAGTCGTGTGTGAGAACCAGGTCCATGGAAGAAGACCCATCTACTCTGTCACCGATGTTCAACGCTGAATGCAATTATCTTGTTGAGCACATAGGAGCCAAGAAGAAGGGGGATGAGGCGATCTGATTCAACAGAATCCAGAGAATATATGGCGAAAGATGGAGAGGTTTGTCTAACGCCTGGAAATGGAAAAAGTAGGTACTCAGCAAAGTGACCTGGAATCAGGGGAAGTCCAGCGTTCAACCTCAGGCCACCATCTCGGGCAGTCCCGACGGGACCGCAGCCCTCCAGGTGGCAGCGGGATGGAGGCCGAGGGGGCTGTTCCTGATGATGTCAGCCTGTCAGAGTCACCTGATATACGGGCTGATTCTCCAGAGGCCAAGACTCAGGAACAGCTCATTGTACATGACTAGTAGTAGTCTCAGGTCTCGTTCAACTGAGTTAGTTCAGGGTTTACTAGGAGCTCTGAGTGAATGCTGCACTTTGGAGAAGACCGGGACTGTAGATGCGGCCCACTCGATCATGATCTCTCTCAATGGCCACAAACCAGCAAATCAAGTGGTGATCACCATGCAGACATGGAATGGCCCGGAGGTCTCGTAGATACTCGTTGATATTATGGTGAGTGAATCAACCTCCTCGGGTTTATAGATTCCACGGTACTTGTTCAACTCCAGACTTCAGTTGCTGGCTCTCCCGGTGTGACTTGCCTTCCGAAGCGAGAGAGCGCGGGCCGTCACATTACTGAAGATACCCGGTCGCCACATAGTCGAAATCGAACGATCAGACGCTCATTTGGAGGGGTACCCGCGCACAACAGAATCACAGATCAACTAGGGTCTCCTCTCTCGATCTCGCTCAACATCAACTGATCGCTCATGCATGAAGCCCGAGTCCCCGAGTCCGAGATCTCAAATAGATATACGCGGCCCCTCTCATGAACCATGATCAGGAGACTTCTTCCATCACCAATCAACCTTCGCAGAACCAAGATGAATCGTGAATTAGCGTCCCAATAGTCTGGCTCGGATGTACACTAGCTCCATCGTGACTTTCCCCAGTTCACCTACTCCTCATCGGTCCTCATCCTTTCATTGCTCTACGCGCGTCCGGAAAACTTATCCACTGCGCCTTGGCCATACCAAAACACTCTAAATCTGCCTGTTGCTTGACAGAAATGTGGATCTCAATGGACAGACGAAGCTAAGCTGCAGTGTTAGCGCCAGAATGATTTGGAAGCGGTCATCAAGGGCGGAGCTCGGGGGATCGCCGCCTGTTGCGCCAGCGAGGACGGGGAACCACTTGTGGATGCTTACTGGCGGGTGTACCTGGAGCGATCGTGCGGTGCCCGGTGGCCACGCTGGAAAGTCTGATCAAGATGCAGCATCTGTGATTTCGATTGCGTGAAGGCCTATCATTCTAAATATGGGATGAGCATGTTCGACCACGGATCGATCTATAGTGGCTTTGCGTTGAGACGATCGGACTAAGGTAGGTTCCACTACACATCTGTGAGTATTCAACCTCAGGTACTTATGTACGAAGAAGGAGATTGTATGCTGATCGCAGGCTTTAGACCTTCGTCTGCAAGTGGTGACAATGATGATTTACTGAATGATTGACTCGCCAATTATTGCAGCGATACTATAGCACTGCTCTCCTCTGTTCCTGCAGGTTCGAGTATCTCCCACACCGAACGGAATGGTATGACTATGCAGCACTCAACGCTCTCGAATCTCCATAGTTTTCGCCCCGAGCCCAAGCCGCTGCCAAAGATCGCTGATCCGTGCAACATATTTGACACAATCTCCACTCTTCATCTCTGGGGGTAAGTCCTGATCACAGACTAAGACGAGAATGCTCACATCCTGCCTAAATCGTCAGGCCGGCGTTGTCTCATCTCTGTCTGTCTCTCTCCCTCTCTCTCTCTGTGATGGCGTTCGAACCCAAAGTGGAGACTACGGTAATTCTCCGACGGACCTGTTCGGGGGCTGGAGGGTCTCGCACGCTTTGCCCTAGAAAGTAGAAAACCCCCCAAGCCTTCCTCGTGATGGGCGCTAGACCAGCCGGGCAAGTTCGAGTTAGGGTCAGTGTGATCTGTATGAAATGATTTCGAGTGTGGGGCGTGAAGAGATCGACGGCGATCTAACACGATCCCCAATGCAGTCCACTGCCGTCTCTTTAGGTCTTCATAGAGATCCAGGGGAACGGATCGGGCTTCGCCTGGACTATCTTGGGCATGTTGAGTCGACTAACCAGTTTCGGTCTGATTCGGCGATTTGATGTACTGACAAATTGACACTAAGTTACCTGAGATCGTAGTAGTCTGTTACGCCAGGATGAGTCCTGAGTACGATGCCCAGACCTGGTCGCAGTGATCTTGAAATCAGCAGCGGTAGCTCCTCAGCTCACTACACGAGTACACGTAGTCAGGTACTATCGAGTCGATAGTATCGACTCACTGCGCAGTGCGTACATGATCCCATCACCTGACCACACCGTCAAGATTCAAGAATCGGGCCCCTTTCATCCACCTGCATGTCGACCTGTTTTGCTTAACCTTAGGTTTCGCTGGGATCCACCGACACGAGAGAGAGAGAGAGAGAGAGAGAGAGAGAGAGAGAGAGAGAGAGAGAGAGAGAGAGATCATGTCCGAATCCACGCAGCCGACCACGGCCTGAGGCGAGGGGCTTCGTGAGTGTGGTAGAACACGAGCAAAGTTCCAGTGTTGATGACGTGGCCCACCTGCCCGAGGCCACAGTAAGACTAAACACGTTCACTGGCCACGAGAGACTGTGCCCGCGAAGTTCGAACCCTCTGATGTCTGTAACGTGGGCTACTGCAGTCTTAGCTGTCCCCTACTGCAAGGGGTTTGGCCGGGACCATTGAGAGCGAAACATGTTTTGCCTTGCCATCTCACCAATAGTTGACCAAGCTTCTAGCGCGCTTATTGAATATGTCTGTTAAATTTTTGACTATTACGCTGCACGAGACTGGTCAGGCACCGAAGGGTGCCTCTATACAGATTGGCCAAGAAGGATGCAAAATCCTTCCAGACTCCTGCGTTGATTGCCAGACCGGGCATTCTTGATTCCATCCGTGGGGGACAAGCCTTCTTCTGTTGAGCAGGCCAGCAGGGTCATTCAAGTGAGTTCGGGGTCATATTCGGCGAACGGATCTCGTCAGGTCCAGTTCAGTCAGCCAATGACCCCGGGTGGAAGGGAGGGGAGCCACATGCACTGAAATAATCATGATGCAAGAATCCATTAAGCCGAACTGTAATCTGGAACCTTGCCACGTTGGAGATCAGGGCGGTGAGACCGGTCCATGCGGAGTGAAGGAGATTTGAGTCTCATCAGATCATGAAACTCCGTCACAAACCATCAAAAAAGTCGCTCAGTGGGCAACTCACACATCCATACCACCAGAGTCTTTGATGTAGCCGTCTATTGTCCCATACGTTATTTTTGCTCGTTTCCAAAAGTCTGATCTCTCCCATTATTCTACGTAATGTACTTCCAACTTCCTAGGAACCACGGCTACTAAGGCACCTCTATCCAGATTCCACCTGGCACGATCGGAGTACGCTGTGGAGACGTCCACCTGCAATGATGCCATGTTGATTCAGGGCAAACCACCTACGCCAGTCATCCACATTCATATCCACATCCACCACATCCTGGTCAGGTCGGCTTGGTCTCTCACGAGTCATCACTCACCAGAGCTCCTCCTCCAACCAACCTACATGACTCCACCGACGTGCATTCGATCTTGCTTTCCGGGAGTCGGGGTCGGGGCCTCCGACCGATCGGCTGCCATCGACGCTTACGCCCAGGCCTCTAGTTGCAATGGACCCAATCAGCGCCCATTCTCGTGGGCTGACGAGAGAGGCACGCCTCACAAATCTTGCTTCCCGAGGAGTTGGTAAAGTTGGAACATGGCAGGATCGACTTTTACTCTATTTGGCGGCCACCTGCAGTGGATAGTGTGGACACTGGACACTGACAGTGTCCAGGGCATCGTATCCATGAGTGCAGGGTCCCTCGGTCTTGACTGCCTCGGGGCTCCAGACTCTGGCCTCATGCTTAAACCCTCCGCCAATAGAGAGAATCAATTAATTTGTATTTGGAGGGCTTTTTGGGGGGAGGGGGGAGGGAATTGGAGTTGGTAGAGTTCCTTGTCATTCCCTGTTCTTGTCCAGTGTGTGTACCTTTTTCCTCTTGCATGTACATGTAGGTCAGTACACTACCTACTCTAGATTAAACCTTCTAGTGCAATTCACAAACAACTAGCCCCATTCCACCCGATGCACATCATTCTACGAGTCACTCTCGTTCCTCAAACTCTCCCCGCCCGGGTCTGCGGCTGAGGAGGATCCTGCCCCATTCCCGATCGTGTGTCATGGGCCTGCATTACGCTGATCCACGATTCTACGCCCACGATTTCGATGGCCGACCCGGATAGAGAACTCTGTCTTCGGGCTTTAAAAGCACTGACGTTCGCCGTCTTCCTGGTCGCCCCTCTTTTTAACTCCTCAAGACACATGACATCTTAACTCTCTATCAACCTTGACATCACTCTTAAACAAGACTATCCGCCTTCTTTCCACAGCCATCTCCTTCTTACTGCGGCAAGGCCATCGACGACTCATCGACTTATCGGCAATCAGCACCTACACACCCTGCATCTAAATCAGTCAACCAGCCCTTCGGTATCAAAGGATCAATACCTGCCCAACGACAGTCCAGACGCAGACGCAGACTCACACCAGCCTCTCCATTGGGCATCTTGCAGCCTATTTGGTGTTTATATAACCCAATCACTCTATCCTCTTGCCATCTCTTCGGACCTTTCCGTGCACTCGGCACCGCCGTTACGTTGTCTGAAGACTATCAACCAAACTACAACTTCGCAACGAACTTTTTCTTTTCACAATGTACAAAACCAACTACGAACTATATGTACGTGCGGACATGATCGAGCTTCCCAACCTACATACCACCTAGCACTTTCTCTACCTTATCCTGTTGTTTGCAAACTCTAATCAGACTTCTTTCCGTGTTCAACAGAGCAGCCGCGAGAGCCTGGGCAGTCGGCGCTCACCACTTCCCGAGGAACTCTTGTCTCCCCTTGCCGAGCTGTATCCACATGTCGCCGCCCTGCAGCCGCGATACCCTCACCCGAACCACTGTACCTTTACGGGCTATCAAGACACGGAATATTGGGCTTCTGCCTACACCACCCAGTCAGAAAAGGGAAGCTTTCAGTCTGCGCGATCCGGTATGTACACAGAACCACACTGAACAACTTGGCTCTCGAGTGCGTGGTCCATGAAAACTAATAATCAAGGAATACAGAATCTTCTTGTCGTATTGTCTCAAAACTGTCCAAACTGCGTCGATTCTTGAGCCGCGACGACTTGTCTCGACGTCGATCAAAGGCCTCGTCGGCCACGAATTAAGTCAGCCTTGTGGCTTGATCTTCACCGCCTTCCCGGCTCGGATTTCTTTTGTTCACATGACCTGATCTATGAAGAGTGATCTTCATCCATCGATATCAACCCTCGTCAAACGCCATTCCTTACGACTCTTCCATCAGCCACATCTTGACGTTATTGTTCCTTCATCGCATGCGACATTCTCACTTATCATGGATTTCGAACCATGGACTTCATCCCTCCGTTCTGTTTGACTTTCATTCCTCATCGCGACTGGGCTTAATCTGCATGCATTCATTGTGACTACATCTTTGCATTTTCTGCGCGGCACAGTCTTCCTGCAAATTCTGCTCTTCTTCGCATTTCTTTCTCCCCATCTGCCAGTATTTACATTGTTCGTTCTGTCTGTTTTTCCAGCATGCTCTGAAGCGAATCTCTATGTGATCAAGCGAGGCGTTTCTGGGGCTGAACATTTTGCATTCTTGAGCGAGAGCGTCTGGTTTGTTTGACCATTGACTTCCTCCCTCTTTTTTTTTTCGGGGCTATCCATTCTTGACCAATTTCTTTGGCTTTATTAAGGGCTGAACATATAGCTATTCTGGCCATGGGTGGACAGAGATTGAGAATACAACTCTTGTTATGATCTGATCTTTGAGCTCTTCTTGAATTCCTTGAATTCTACTCGATGATTCTTTGTTACCTATGTTCTGTGGTGGGTTGAGCTATGTCTAGGTACTTTTTTTTATACGTGTAAGAACGGACGGTACCTGAATGTCTTCGGCACATTTTCAACTCGATGCTGCGTGTATGTCTTGAGCGATCTTCAAAACCCAATCAAGGATGGTTCTTCCTGATTCCTCGATGCATGAAAACATAAAGAATATCTACATCTCAATCGAGCGCACGTCTACCTTTCCCGAACATGCTCACGTCATTTCAGGTCCCGTTACCTATTCCTCTCTCCCTACCTACGGCTTGGAAGATCGTGGATCTTCTTTTAGTTATGATCACCAGATATCTATCTCCGACAGGATTCCGACTGTACCATGAACCTACTTACCTGCAACCAGGCACTTATCAACCGCAGCATATCACCTGAATAGTATATCCATATTTCGATCCTTCGACAGATAAATTCCAATCCAGCTTTATCTAGGATTAGGAAAAGTCCGTACTCAAGTGCACCTCCACTAGGCTTATTCCCGCTGAGCTCCGGCTGTCCTGTTCCGCAAGGGGAAACTTTCTCCCTCGAGACCCGTGAGGCTGAAGCTCAAGTTAAATCCCGTGGAGATGCCGGATATCCAAAGTCGGAGCGGAGCCTCCAGTTCCATCTCGAGAGTAGGAAGATAGGCACATGAGGAGGTAGGAGGTATGTTGCACTGGACAGCTGCCGATCGACCTCGGACTTACCAGGCGAGATGATAGATGGATGATGCCGGGAATCTAGAACGCTACATGTCAAAGATACCTCTTCGGGTAATCATGCGTGTTCTCCACCTCATCCGTGGATGGAGTTGATGATCTGTCATATGCGATCGGACAGCCCGGGATTAGAGACATGACCATTTTGATTAAGATGTCTCACCTCGAGTCGTGCAACTTTTACTTTTCTTCCATTTCCTTTCCTTCTACCTTCCTTGCCTCGTCTACTTTGTTTCAATTGGGGAGATTCGACGTTCCATTGATCTTCCACGATCCCGTCCAGAAACGAGCGCCCGTCTCGCCCGTCTCGCCCGTCTCGCCCGTCTCAGCCCCCAGCCCCAGCCTTCCAATCTCCCGTCTCCCGACTAGACAAGTCCATCCATCAACCGTTCCCCTTTTACATCAGCCCCATCCATGAACCCCTGCTTCCCTTGCCCGACCATGCGTCCCAGATCATCCCCTGCAGGGGCGGATCAGGGAATATTATCCCATAGCTTCTATCTTTCTCATCAAGCAAGTATCCAAGGTTCCAATTTTTCTCGCGATGCGGCTGAACATTCTGATCCCCTCCCCAGCCAACCCCGTTCTTTTCCTCTATTTTCCCAATCCATGATTCTGAAACATCAAAACCTCGTGTCAGGTCCCCCAGTGATCATAGGGCATTCTTTAATGATGGGCCTTGCATGGATAAGGAATTGTTCTCGAAGGGCAATGGAAAATCCCAGTAGATGAGGGACTCTGCTGGACATGGCCCAGGTCGGCCCCTCTTCGATCCTCATGAATCCAAACTTGCCACCTATCTTGGGAATTGTAACCCGTCGAGGACTTGAAATCAGGCTATCTCCGTGAGACTTGGTAGTAACTACCTGCCGACCTACCTTACCTGCTTGGGCTGGTCCCTATTCTCCCACGTTCGAAAGCCGACACATACTCCAAATTGGTCGGGCTATGTGTAGGTGGGTCGAAGTACTAAGATTATGGAGGCCACAGATACTCCATCACGTCAGACTGGCTTCCTGGACCTGGACCTGGACCTTGACCTGGACCTTGACCTTGGCATACCCGACTGCTTCACTTGGGCGTGCAAAGAGATGGCAGCGGCTAGTCTTTCTGGGGCCGTGCCTGTCTACTCTAGGTTAGACAACTTGTGGAGGAAAAATGGTGGGATATTCAATTGAAGAGGGGGAGAGGGTATACTGTTCAAAGACCATATACATGAGTAGGAGACAACACTCATGCTAGCGAGGAGGAGAGCGTTTCATGATCCCATGAGAATTATCCACTATCTCGACGACCAGACGAGAAGAAGCGCAGGTACAACCATAACGCCAAAGGAGAAATAACCACACTAGCCTATCCCGACGAGCTGAACACAATTTTGATTACCAGAAACAAAAAGTGAAAGCCATTACAAGAAGCATAATCCAATGATCCAACCGCTGGCATCCATCGCAGCAAGGGCACGATTGCGGAGCTAATCAAGGGAATGAGTGGATGGATGACAGTACCTATGAGAGTAACTCTGAAGAGGGAAATAGGACGTTGTTAGCAGAGTCTCAAATCACGGCGACGCCCGGCCCCCATGGTCTTGGTCAGAGGACTTCTGGACGATACCTTTTTTCGCTCCCCTTTGATTGCGTATCCGGGTGCGTCACAGCCATGCTCGTTTATACGCCTTGACGCGATAACGTCACAGTCGAGATCAGCCCGCGTAAGTGAAAAGATCGACGTCCCTCACTTCAATCACACCAAGCTAGTAGATCCCGCTGCCGCGGCGGTGCTCCAGCGAAATCTTTTGAACCCGCCTCGCACTGCCTCCTGGCCGCAAGCCGCAGAGGAACGCGCTCCTGCGACACTGCCATCTCCCATTATACCCACCTCGGCTCTGCCAACCTCTCGACCAAGCATGTAGCCGGCGGAGAAGCTGATGGCCGAGAATAGGACAACCACCCCCGCACTGACGACCCACGTCATGACGGTCGGGGTGACAGTGGCCGTCGAGTCGAACATACTAGCCCTGCGACTCCTCTTGGCCACACTGCGGTCTTTGGGAGATGCTGATCGGCGTTTCGCTTTCGAAGAGGCTGGGCTGGGCGGTGACACTGCATGCGGTCGACGGCTCGACGGCTCCCCTGATACGCTTTGCTTGAATTGCCTTTGTGAGCGTAGACTCTCTTCCTCACTATCCTCTCTGTCGCCCATAGCGACAGACTCTCCTACGAGTCTGAAGGAGGATGGCTGGGCCGCTGCTGGTGGACTAGCCTGGGAACGTGGCTGATCAACTTTGGGAATGCCCCGCGCCGCAGCGGCGCATGAGAGAAGCGTCGATAAGCTGGCCCGCAGAGCAGCATCATGGTCGGCATGATGCGAAGGCGAGATCATGTTGTACGGGCTATGTGATTGATGCTGGTATCGGCGAGAACCCTGTGTGACAGGGTATGATTCCCGACGGATCGAGGGACGCCGACGGGGATTCGATGAGGTTGGAGGAGGCTGTGAGCGACGTGAATCGGTCGCACGGGCATATGCAGGATTTGAGGTGGGAGGCGGGTGGGAGAACACGTTGGGTTGAGGAACGAATGGGGAAGGGCTCATGTTCATCCCCAAGGCCGTGGATGTATCGTCTTCATCGTCACTATCGGTTTCATCGGAGCAGCGAGAGGGCGGTAAATGAACAGTGTTGGGTTGTATAGATGGAGTGATAATGTCTTCATTGGAGCTGCTCATCGGCGGGTCTGACTCGCTTTCACTCTCTTCATACTCCTCCTGACTGCTACTGGCGAGACTAGCGTCTTGGTTCGAGTAGCCGACCTGTGCCGTAGCCACCGCGGCCAAGTGTTGCATACGGCGTCGCCGACTGCGATGCTGATACATGCCTCTCTCGCGAGGTTCCACTTGTAAGCCGGTCGTGATGATATCGTCATTCGTGGCTGCCGATGACAATGATGAGGACGAAGGCTGCGATGACAGTTCGATCCAGGAATCTATGTAGTATCGCAGTGAGTACATGCTGGAGAATACTGGAGATTGTGCTATCATGATTGCGGCAAAGCGTTTCTGAGGATCGGGCGGGCAAGAAGGGAAGAACATAATAAAGAAAGATGAACGGTGATGATTATTTCATAGGACAGACAGACAGACAGACAGACAGACAGACAGACAGACAGACAGACAGAACATGACGTCTTTCGCATACCTTCTGATCTTATGAGATTCGCAGCAGATGGACGAAACTGTCCAGGATGACCACGTTGGTCGCGCGGCTGTCCATCGCGCATCACTTGACTTGCGGCTCTGGGCTCGCGCACCTGACCGAGAAGGTCGTAGTGATTCGGCTGCATGGCCTTGAAAGATACGTCGCAGGGGAGATTTGGGCAAGGCTCCAGGGCCCGCGAGACGAGAGATGAGGGCTAATAATAAAGAAAGCGATGCCGGCGTACCGGCACTGGCTGGAGGAGGGGTTGTTGACGCGAGGCACAAGAGCGATCAAGCGGTCAAGCGTGGGGAAGAGGAGAACAATGAAGCTATCTTATCTGAGTGGAGATGATCCAATCCACCCGCATTCCTGATGCCCAATCTTGATCTTGGCTGCAGGCCCACCTGAGATCTTTTTCCCTCTTCGGTCGCGAATGCAGAGACACTGAGTAGAGGCCGACCCTGCGACAGAGGAGCTGAGTGATAGAAACAGTCTGCGAATGTTTGAAGAGTACAGCAGGATAGTTGCTGCCTGAGAAGAAAGAGGATGAGGAGGAGGAAAGACAAGTCCAGTGCAAGCAGCGGGGTGGAGTGGATAAAGGTGACAGTCAGCCGACGGAACAGCTGATGTCCTGTTGAGCCGCAGCGCCTGAGAGGATGAGGGCTCGAGACGGGAAAACAGAGGGAGGAAGAGGGAAAGATAGAGGGAGAGAGAGAGGGAGAGAGAGAGAGAGGCAGAGAACGTGACTGACACCGACGACTGATGCGAGGGGCAACGTGGATGATCCCGAGGAAAGTCTGGGTCACCTGCTACGAGCTCGTCGTCAAGATCCACAGCAGTAACGCAGGAGGTGTGCGATCCTATTGCTGTAGGGGACCAGCGTCCAACACTAAGCATTTGTACAGAACTACATATGTACGCACGAATCGTACAAGCCATCATGGGAAAGGTTGATCAAATGGCTGCTATCTTATTTCTGATGCTTGAGAGAGAGGCAAATAGTATGGACGATCGACCTTTCGATCCGCTCGCTCAGGCTTCGACAGTAGTACAGATACCAACCCTTCTTCGTGGTAGGAGGTAAGCAGGCGAGTCACAGTTACGAACTTGCTTTCAAGCCAAACACAACATGTTCAACCTATGAGGGACTCTACACTGGACAGTCTGATGGTGGAGCGACATGAAAGTGGAGTTCGGGTTCCACTCTCGGATCACCCTCGATTGCGGGGGAAAAGGCGGTGCAGCATGGCAGTTTCTGCCACCGAACAAAGGATCTGTCTGCATCAGTGGAGTCTGCATACACCAGCACCACTCTTGTCAAGGTGCTCTTACACTTTCTGAAAGTATACAGAAGAATCAAGGGTTTAATCAGGGGCCGACAATTCGGGCCGAGATCTACATCAGCCGCTGGTCAACACCCGACACTCGATCTAGGTCTACTATGCTGCAAGACATGGAGTCACATGACGAAGGTCTACACTAACATCCATACACTCGACTCTTACCTCTCCATCAAGACACCTGGGTGACCTGGCAACACATGAGTCTCGGGTCCTCGACGAGCGGGAAACCCCTATGATCATACGTGGACTAGCTGAGCAGCCCCGGTATTGGTAGTCACGGCGGAATTAACAATTGAATCAGCCCCTTATCTGTGATGCCAATCAAATAGGTCATGCTGTGGTGCACTGCACTAGTACCTGCTCCAGCCATTCCCACAAATAAAAGCTACCTTACAGATCAAAAGGCAATCCAATCTACGACGGAAGCAGGAATTCAAAAGATAATGAATGTTTGAAATTATACAGTCAAGATAATCTTGCACATGATGAGCCAAGGAAAAAGGAAAAACGACTTTTAATAAACCCCCATAACCCGTGAGACACCTAGAAAAAGTGCAAAGATGATAATCGTATCAGTAGCAAAAGCAAAGTGGAAGCATCAACGTCCCTTGTTTAGAAGGTGACCTTGGTACCCTTGAACTCAGGGATGCTGCCCTTGGCCTTATTGTAGCCGCCCTGGCCACCACCACGGCCGCCGAAGCCGCCACGGCCACCGCGACCACCGCCGCGACCACCGAAGCCACCACGACCACCACCACGGCCACCACCGAAGCCACCACCGAAGCCACCACCACCCTCACGAGGAGGACGGGGGGTGCTGAAGTCCAGACGCAGGGAGCGACCCTCAAGATCGGCACCGTTGAGGGCAGAGTGAGCGGCACGAGCCTCATCAACGGAAGAGAACTGGACGTAACCGAAGCCCTTGGGGCGGCCATCGTCAGGGTTGGTGGGCAGACGGATTCCAAGAATGGTACCCTGCTCACCGAAGACGTCACGGAGAGCATCCTCGGAGGCACTGAAGGGCAGGTTACCAACGAACAAGGTATCGCTCTCGGGGCTGGTGGAATCACCGAAGCTCTTGGCGCGAGTCTGGGCACGCTCACGACCAGCACCCTGCTGCTGGTTGTTCTGGCGACCGGTAGCATAGTCGAGGTTGATGGTACGGCCATCGAGATCGGTACCCTTCTTGGCCTCGAAGGCCTTAGCAGCATCGGCGGCGCTGGCGTACTCAACGTAGCCGAAGCCACGAGAGCGACCGGACTCACGGTCGGTCACGATACGGCATCCAGTGAGCTCACCGAACTCGGCGAACTCACGCTGGAGCCACTCCTCGTCGACGTTCCAGGACAGATTGCCGACGAAGAGGTTGGCAGAGGCACCCTCGGGGACATCCTCACTCTTCGACTTCTTGGCAGCGGGAGTGGGCTCCTCCTCGGCCTTGCGCTTCTTGGAGGGCTTCTCCTCGGCCTCAGACTCGGAGTCGGAGCTGTCAGAACTGTCAGAGCCAGACTCGGAATCGGACTCAGAATCGGAAGAGGACTCCTACAGAAGGGATGGGTTAGTGGTGAGCGTATATCAGGGGAGCAGGACGACTAAACATACCTTCTCGGCCTTCTCAGCCTTAGCGGGAGTCTCATCCTCAGACTCAGAAGAGTCGGAGTCGGAGTCGGAAGACTCGGAGGTCTCCTCCTTCTTGGCAACATTCTCGGCCTTCTTGGCAGGCTTCTCATCCTCAGACTCGGACTCGGACTCAGAGGACTCGGAGTCAGAAGACTCCTGCTTGGCAGCCTTCTTGGCGACAGGCTTCTCATCCTCGGACTCGGACTCAGAGTCGGATGACTCAGAGGAGGAGGACTCCTTGACGACCTTCTTCTCAACCTTCTTGGTCTCCTTCTTCACGGGCTTCTCGTCCTCGCTCTCGCTGTCAGACGAGGAAGAAGCATCATTCATCTCCTCATCGCTCTCAGACTCGGAGGAGGACGAGGAGCTGGGAGTGGGCTCCTTCTTCTTGTTCTTCTTAGAGGCCTTGGAGTCCTTGGCGGCAGCCTTGCGAGCAACATCCTTGGCCTTGGCGGCAGGGGAGGCAGCAGCCTTGGTCACGCCGGCGTCCTTGACCTTGGACAGGGTCTTGGAGACCTTCTTGTCAACCTTGGAGGAAACCTTGGTCTTCGACATTGTGATCTAGATGGAAAGTGATAGGTTAGCATGGGTCTTCATGGACGTCAGGGTCTGTTCACATCCCACGTACAGTGGTCGGTAAATGAGATCAAATGGTTTTTTTTGTCTTCTTCTGGTGCGGCAGAGCCAACAAAACCCTCAATTAACCAACCCGTGTAAGTATTTTTGGATGTGCAACAAAGAATGAAACCCTCAGGAAATGATGATAACCAGAAGTGATCTGATCACAGCTGGTAGAGTCCAACAAGCAACCCACAACCGACAGAGTTCAAGCCCACAGAGACCGGCACGATACGCGACTGATCTGATATGAAACCCACGAGGAATAAACCCACAGAGCCCACAAGACGTGCAGTATGTAGAAGCCAACAGCCCTCGATGTGAAAAGCCCACTTAGATGTCTTTTGGAGTACTTTGAAGTACGGAACCCACGCAGCTGCGTCAGTTAGTTTTGGGGGAAGGGGAAGGATGCTGTACTTATTCAGGTAGAAGCGAGATTACGATGCTTCAAAGAAAAGATGCTAACACAAGGAAATGATAGCAAAGTGATTTTGGGATGAGAGAGGATGAAGGAGAGAAACAAAAAAACGATCCCAGGCTGGGGGAAGCTCTTGATAAGAAAAAAAATCTGAGAGAAAAATTCAACAGCCGGCAGAAACCCCTTCCGCTTCCTTATTGGAGTTAGTCCCAGGAACTTTCAGTAGACAAGGTGGATACGTAGTGGAGACTTAGCGGATACCTCACACTCACAGCAACTTTTACTTCCACTCAGCTGTTGTTCTGCGAGCGGTGGCAAGCGGTGAGACGGTGACACTGGCGTGTTCAACGGGAGGCACCACTACTACGATTTAGTCATCTGCACCACCGGACCTTTGCACTGCGACTGGTCCGACGATCCGGCCGCGTCTGGGACAAGTGTACAACCCGATTCTCTATCTTTTCTTGACTTGGGGCTTTGAGTAGCTCGACACCGGTCGTACACCCTAAACAGATCGTTCATAGCAACGAGGTCAATGGCAATTGCTGGTACCACCTGGCCATTCACATCAACATAATGGCTCCCTCGACTCCCTCTTCACACCGTCCCCGCAAAAAGCGGACAATCGCTACTCCTCCAGGCTCAAACAACAGCCTGATCATTCATACAAGCGATACACAGCAACTTCCTGCATTTCCTCTGGTCTCCTTCTTGTGGGCAGCTCGTGCAGGTGTTTCTCAATGGCTGATCCTGCCTCTGACGCTCATGGTTGTCGGCCTCTTCCGGTGGGCTGTCAGTCTTTGGGGATACTCTGGTACGGTCCTCTGTTCTCCTTCTAAGAAGCAGTATGATACTGACTATTTTCAGGGCATAATGTCCCTCCGATGTACGGCGACTTTGAAGCGCAGAGGCACTGGATGGAGATCACGTCGCATTTGCCAATGGCTAATTGGTACCTCTACGATCTCCAATATTGGGGTCTGGACTATCCTCCCTTGACAGCTTACCACAGCTGGCTTTGCGGCAAGATGTACGTTGCAGCTTGCATTGCTTCATGAAAAACGCCTCACTTGGATCTTTATGCTGACAGATACAGTGGTGCAATTTTTGACCCTTCGTGGTTCGCCTTGGACACCTCGCGGGGAATTGAAGGGCCCGATTTGAAGATATACATGCGAGCAACTGTCTTCGTCTCAGAATATCTCGTCTTCATTCCAGCTGTCGTCACTTTCCTTCGCCGGTATACCCGCATGCATGGCGTCCACGCATGGTCTGCCTCGATTGCGCTTGTTGCTATTCTTCTCCAGCCGGCGACCATCTTGATAGACCATGGTCATTTCCAGTTTAATACAGTTATGCTGGGTCTGGTGGTCGCCAGCTTGGATGCTATTCTTGCCGGTCGTATGCTCTGGGCTTGTATTTTCTTTGTTGGAGCCCTGGGCTTCAAGCAAATGGCTCTGTACTACGCCCCAGTCATGTTCGCCTATTTACTAGGCGTCTGTGTCTTTCCGCGCATTCACGTCTTCCGACTACTCAATATTGCGCTTGTCACCCTCGCAGCATTTGCTTTGCTTCTCACTCCTCTACTATACGGGGCGACCAGCTCTCAGGCACGCGAGTTGTTTGCCTCGTCACCTGAGCCTCCGCTTTTGCAGGCACTGTCCTTATCTCTGGATAAGAAGTCACTGGCCTACGCTCTGCTTTTTCAATGCACACAGGTCGTTCACCGCATTTTTCCTTTCGCTCGGGGACTCTTCGAGGACAAGGTTGCCAACGCTTGGTGTGCCATACATACATTCTATAAGCTCCATCGCTTTGATGCTTCCTTACTGCAGAGAGCATCCTTGGGTGCCACTCTGGCTTCTATCCTTGTACCCTGTGTGGTCATCTTTCGCCACCCCCGAGCATCCTTACTCCTTCCTGCCATGTCCTGTGTTGCCTGGGGCTTCTTCCTCTTCTCCTTCCAGGTACATGAGAAGAGCGTTCTGCTGCCTCTTCTCCCCATGACACTCTCTCTGGCAAGCGATGGTGGACTCAGCAAACAAAATCGCGCCTGGATCGGTTGGGCGAACATTCTCGGCTGCTGGACCATGTACCCGCTGCTAAATCGGGAAGAGCTGCGCATGCCTTACGTTGTGATGACCCTCCTCTGGGCTTACCTACTGGGACTTCCCCCGACTTCTTTTGAGATCTTACGCAGCCGGACCTCTTCTGACATCAAGCCTCTTGAGCCTCATCTGCTGAGCAAGCTTATCCACCTGGCGTTCTATGCGGTCATGATTGGCTGGCATGTCATCGAAGCGCTCGTGCCTCCTCCTGACGGCAAGCCTGATTTATGGGTAGTCCTCAATGCGTTGATTGGCGCAGCAGGCTTCGGACTCGCGTATCTGTGGTGCATGTGGAAGCTAATCGCCCAGTGTCGTCAAATCGAAGCATGCGTGGCAGATGACGATAACCGGAAAAAGAAGCAGTGAGGAAGGGGTGGTGAAACTGTGCCGAAAGCAATGAATCAAACTGTACAACAGTTGCACTACCAGTGATACCCTTTTAATAGAGCAGCATGATCATGCTAGACTGTGAATGATTTGGACATGATACGGGTGAAAATCCATCTTCTCTCTTGAGATGATACAATTCGAGGTCATTCTATAGTAAATACACTTTATAATGAACAAGAGACTTGAAGCTCTTAACGGGGTGGGTGAACGAGTGCAAAGCCAGGCCCTCTGAGCCTGTCGACATTGGGGGTAGATCTCCAATCAAATACGCCAAAGAGAAAGAAGGAATAACGCCAGACCAGGGAGTCTCCACATGCAATATAGTAAAAACACAGTGTAATAGTACAAGCCGATCAACAAGAAGGTCCGCTGTAGCCCGGACTTCGTCTAGACCTTGAAGCCATATCCGAGCATACAGCTCTTGTACTGATCAATCAAGGTCTGGCACTCCTTGGCAGGGTCGTCGGACTTGGAAAAGAGCATGCAGTCATCGCGGGCGGCCTTCTCGTCTTTGCAAACGCAGCAGGGCTAAGGCAGAGTTGCGAGTCAGCAGGGCCCTGTGCCAACATATTCTTAATCATGGAGCGATGCCATACCTTGGGCTTCTCTCCTTGAGAGGCCTGGGACTTGGTGTCTGGGTTAGCGGCTGCAGCCTTGCCTGTCAAGACGTCAAGAATTAGCGGGGCCATTTGCTTCAGTGTCGGGCACGCTATATAAGCATGTGCGCGCAAGTGCGCAAGTGCGCGATTGGCCGGTACCACAGTCAAAGACTTACCGCTGGATGAACCAAAGAGCCACGACATTTTTTGGATGAAGATATTTCGAATGTGAGACAGGAACTGGCAATGACTGTGGGATTGGTAGAGGAGAAGAAGTCGGAGATTGCGCGAAGGCGAATAATGTCGGAATAGCGGCGAGCCGGCGACAACCTGCAGGCCGGATGCTCCAGGAACGGGCGGCCCATCGCGCCATGACTAAAATGGCGTGGATGGCCTGGGTCGCGTGCCGTAGTCATCTTTTTTTTTGGATATCGGGCAAAAACATCTCCGGTTTCTTCTGTGGCCTCAGCTTCCCCCTGCTCCTGTCTCATTGGACATCTGTCTCAGCCTTTCGATTTCCGGTGATTAAATATCACACTGCTTCTAGTCTTGACTTTGACCTGTTTCTGCCAGTCGCGGTCATCTTTTTCCACTTTACAATCCGATACCATTTTCTACCTCCTGAACTAAACGGTACCCCGCCATGGCCCCTCCAAAGGTCTTTTCTCTCGAGGGTAAGGGTTTAAAGCTCGACACCGCCGAGGATATTGAGGCACACATCAAGCCTCTCTCTGAGTCTACCGACTTCACAGAGATCCGCTTCGGGGGTAACACCCTCGGTGTTGGCGCCTCTGAGCGTCTCGCCCAGGCTCTGGCAACTCAGAGGAGCCTGGAAGTCGCCGATCTCGCGGATATTTTCACCTCCCGTCTTCTCTCCGAAATCCCTCCTGCGCTGAAGTCGCTTCTCGATGCTCTTCTTGAAATCCCATCCGTCCACACCGTCAATCTTTCCGACAATGCTTTCGGTCTCAACACACAGGCACCCCTCGTTGATTTCCTGTCGCGTCACGTTCCTTTGCGCCACCTCATCCTAAACAATAACGGTCTCGGTCCTGCCGCTGGTGTTTTGATCGCCGATGCACTCAGCCGCCTTGCTGAGCGCAAGGAAGAGGCCCGCAAGGAAGGAAAGGAGGTTGCCATGCTGGAGAGCATTGTTTGCGGCAGGAACCGTCTGGAGAATGGCAGTATGGAAGCCTGGGCGCGCGCCTACGAGAAGCACGCTGCTGGCATGAAGTCTGTCAAAATGACTCAAAATGGCATCCGTCAGGAAGGAGTCTCACATTTGCTGAAGAATGGTCTCCGTCACTGCGGAGCTCTCGAGGTCTTGGATCTGCAAGATAACACCTTTACTGTGACGGGATCCACCGCGCTCGCTGGAGTTCTGGAGGGCTGGACTGCGCTGATTGAGCTGGGTGTTGGCGATTGCCTGCTCTCCGCCCGAGGTGGTGTCAAGGTCGCGCAAGCTCTGGCCGCCAATAAGAACCAGAAGCTGCAAATTCTGCGCTTGCAATTCAATGAGATCAAGGCTGAAGGTGTGAAGGCTCTCGCGCACGCGGCCAAGACTGCTCTCCCCAGCCTACGTCGTGTCGAGCTGAACGGCAATATCTTTTCAGAAGACGACCCCAATGTCATTGAGTTGCGTGAGTTGTTAGAGGCTCGCCAGGAGGAACACGGCACCGACGATGATTCCGAGGACACTTGGGGCTTGGATGAGCTCGACGAGCTCGAGGAAGAGGATTCCGAGGACGAGGCTGAGGATGAGGAGGATGAAGATGAAGAGGTCCAGGCCAAGGCCGAAAAGACTTTGGAGGACGCCGATCGTGCTGAACAAGAGAAGGTGTCTCAAAAGTCCGATAAGGATGTTGACGAGCTTGCCGACGTTCTCGGCAAGACTGGCTTGTAGGTCATGTCTGCACCATGCACTCTCTTGCCAGTTCTTTATCGTTCACGCCGACAGACTTTTATATGGCATTTCGAGGCGATACTAGTTCACTGCATCAACAGACGGTCTTTATTCGTTTGATCACCTTGCCGGAAGAGGCAGCCATTCGGGACTCGTTGCCGTCCAGCCGAAAGTACTGTGGGAGACGTTGATGAACCGGTTTTCCTCGCTGCCCAAAACTTTCCTTTTTCCTGTATACCCTGTTGATGATAACGATCACTGCACATAATTCCTCTTACCTTTATATACCTTTCACATAGCCTTGGTGGAGCACCGGTGTCTCTCGAGCACACGGGAAAAGAAGTATTCCAAATAAATTCAAAACCAGCTCCCAGACTCATTCTGATTTTGCTCATGCATTAATGTCAGTAATCCATATTCAATTACTGAGTAAGGACATCCCAGGGCCCACTTGGCATATGGTTATCACCTACCAGTTGCGCTTCGTCTTGATGTTTGCGCGTCGACAGAGTGAAAGATTACCGGATTTGGAAGGCTCGTCTTGGCATTCAACCTCGGAGCATCCCACACTCCTCGAACCTTCCCCGACACTCCATTTATCATCTTGACGCGCGGTCTTGGGTTCTCTACGTTAAATCTCTTTTCCCTTCAACTTACGATCACGTTAGAGGCTCACTACAACATCTTACCAGAAACACAACGGGTAAGTGTCTGTGCAAAGCCCCCGTCCTCCTCCGTCCTCAGCACGTTGAATGCGCGGTCGCAAATGCATTTTCGAATGCAACTTCGCCCGAGCTATCGATGGCCTCTACGTCCGAAGCGCTCTTCCCTGCTCAGGATGGCTCCCAGAGCTGCTTCTTCATCGCATCCGACTTGCGCCGGAGAAGCGTGTCAGTGGAGCCGATATCAAAAGTTTGTGTCCAAAAGGCCCTGCGCAAACGACATTGTGCGCCAGGCCAGGCAACAAATGCGCGTTCGACATCAGCCTAGACTGAATGGGATGAGGAACGATGCCAGAAGCTCTTGAAACATTGGCCTGTTTATCAGTTGAATTCCTGCCCGCTATGCACTTTGCTAATCTGCACGTGTCTCCCAAAGTCAGGGCTCGAGTGATCAACTTCCTATTCAGTCGTTCCCACGTCCCGTCCTCCTCACGTTCGTTTGCCACACTGTTGCCATAACACTCTGCTGCTGCCGCGGTCATGGAGTCCAAAGAGATCGAGGCCAAGGCGAAAGCCTTAACCAAGGCAGCCACACAAAATGAGCCTGCGCCCACCATTCTCACGATGCTGAAGGAGATACAACAGGGTGTCAAGGCGACGGAAGACCTACTTCGCCAGACCCGTATCGGTATCATCGTGAACAAATTCAAGCAACACAAGTCTCCCGAGGTGGCTCGGTTAGCGGGCGAGATTGTTTCTCGATGGCGAGTTGAAGTCAGCAAGCAAAAGCAAGGCGGCGCATCGGCGGCGTCTCGAGGTTCTAGCTCGCCTCGACCTGCACAGAACGGCACAGGCGCTTCCACACCTGCCTCGGCGACCCCCACTGATAAGACATCAAAGCTCTCGGTGCCACCGGACAAGCGCACATGGAAGGCGGACGGAGTGGACACAGCGGTGACGAAGAATCGGGTGCGTGACGGCTGCATTGGGCTCATGTACGATGGACTGTGTTTTGGATCGACCGATTCTCCCAAGTCTGTTCTCGCCAAGGCGTCAGCCGTCGAGAACGCCGCCTACACATTTTTGGGGCCCGAGACTAAGGAGGAGTATCGCAGTAAGATGCGCAGTCTCTACCAAAACCTCAAAAACAAATCTAACCCGACCCTCCGGACCCGTGTGCTCAATGGCGACGTGACCCCAGATGACTTCGTCCGACTGAGTTCTGATGAGCTGCGCTCTGCCGAGCAACGTGAAGCGGATGCGAAGTTGCAGAAGCTCAATATGGACAAGGCCATGGTGGGCCAGCCCGAACGCAGTATCAGTACGAGTCTGCAGTGTGGCAAGTGCGGTCAGCGCAAGGTGACTTACACCGAGGCACAGACTCGCAGTGCTGATGAACCGATGACTCTGTTCTGTACGTGCGTGAACTGTGGCAAATCCTGGCGGCAGTAAGCCAGGACAAAAAGAAGGAACCCCCTGAAGAGAAGAGGACATGACAGGGCAACAGATCACCAAGTCGTATCAAATGTTGCGGCCAGAGTATGATTTGGTTAGCTGAGAGACATTTTGCGATCATATCGTCATTTGCTGGCATGCATAGATGCAGCCCAAGAAGGCACTTGCCATGATCATGTGCCCTTTTTAATGAGCAAGCGGAAATGCAAGCCTGTTGACTTACTCTCTCCACTTCATTCATACTATTTGGTAGACTGTCCCCTGAAGACGGCTTTTCTTTTTCGACAATGTCAATTGTCGCGCTCGACCAGCCTTTTCTGTATTTCTACGATCCAGGATGTCGAGCAGTGAAGCCTAAAAATACCTACGGTTGCCACAATCGCAAGGTCTGCCGCATGGAACTCTTTGCTAAGTATCTGTCATGACCTACAGTATCAATCTTAGACAGAAAAACCAACAACCTATCTACGCCTGCATTGTCGATGCAGCCACCCCATGATCCTCGTTGTCCCAGATTGCTGGCAAAGTTGATGGTGAAAAGTAAATGGTAGTGTGACTGGAGGCATGTATGAACGGGCCAATGCATACGGAAACGGGGGTTCGATTCGGGCTCTCCTGTATTCCACGTCATGATTGAGTCAACCTTCAATGGAATGCGAACATGGATAAACAAGCTCGATTGATCATCTGACATTGCTATCTTCTACCTGCGTATCTCTGCTATCACCTGATTTGCATCAAACTTCACTCGGGTACAGTCGGTCACGACCGTAACTTCAACCTCACCTGTCAACCTTCCAATCGACACAATACTATAGCAGTGCAGTCGCTTTCCTACTCTGCGAACCCCGCCAGCAAACTCATCCATTTCTATTTCAACCTACTAGGTGATCACATCTATACCACATACAATGTCTTCGCAGGCCCTTACCTCCTCGGCCTCTTCCTCCTCCCTCCTCCAACCCATCCGCACCTTCCTCCAAGCCCTCACATCCCCTCCCACAACCCCGACATACATCCCAACCCTCCTCTCAGCCTTCACCACGAACCCGCTCCCCCTCATTCACGAACACGGCCTCCCCCAACTCGCCCCGTTCCTCGGCCGCTCCTTCACCGGCACCGACGGCATCGCCCGGTACTTCCAGCTGCTAGCCGAGCACCTCACGATCCGGGACATGAGCTTCGAGCCCGAGACCGCCTGGGTTGCGGACGCAGAGGCGAGGGTCGTGGTGGTGCGGGGCAAGGCGCGGTTTATTTGGAAGGGGACGGGCCAAGGGTGGGATGAGGAGTTTGTTTATCGGTTGGGAGTGGCGACGGAGATGGACCGTGGCGAGGGGGAGGATGGCGATGCAGGTGGTGGGGAGTTGAAGGTTTGTGAGTATCGGATTTGGGCGGATACGGGGGCTGCGTACTTGGCGCGGTTGGGGAAGTTGGGGGATTTGCTAGAGGGAGGAACGGGAGGAGGAGTGGAAGGGATTCATTTTGATCAGGATGAGGATGGAGAAGGGGAGAGGAAGAAGATGGAGGGGAGAGGGGAGACGAGAGCGTCGTTAAATCGGAAGAGGAGTGGGCATCAGGATATGCTAGGGGCCGGGTTGAATATTTATGGGAGTTGCGGGTGAATGCAATGCAATTGCACTTCTTGAATGCTGGTGACACACTCTGAATCTGGTATAGACCTAAGATCTCAATGTATGGAGGTTGTCATGTGTCATAGTCATTGTTCCAGGGTTCAGTTTGGGGAATATATCTATGATACGAAATGGTCGGAAGTGAAATGCGCCAATGATTCATGCTTCGGATGGCTATGCTCTGAAATACCACATGGCTTTTCTATGAGAGGAGTCTATTTCATTTCATACCACGTCCTCTTCCTCATTTCCTCTTCCATCCTCAAGGTCAAAGAGTCCTCAGGCTTGCTTACTCAGGTTTAGTTAACAGAAAAGAGAAAGGTAGGACTGGACGGAGAGAAGGACAAATACGACAAGATCCAACGCTCAATCTTCGGTTGTCTACTATGAGACAACTCATGCCAACTGGACCATCTTTTCGATGCATCAGCAGAGTGTGGTCGGGCCGTCGAACCCTTCACAGCCGACATAGGAACACGGCCAAGCACGAGTGTTGAGAGAGACACTATCCCTCAAAGACAGCGTGGTTGAGATCCACCCCCATATCCTTGGCCATGTTCTGCATCTGCGCCTCGAGATCGTCCTCCATGCCACCTCCCAGATGCAAGAACTGCCGGATCTTGGTGAACCAGAAGAAGATATCACTGCTCAACAATACAAAGCGGAACACCACATGGCGGCCGAGATTGCGAATCTTTTCAGCCAACGGCAGGTCCGGCGATTCGATCAAGGCGCGTGAGGCCCATGTTCCCGTGATTTTAACCCGGTTGACCGGAGAACCCAGGAACTGGTTGTTTCCCTGGACGATACGGAGATTGCGGCCGATGAAGATCAGTTCCCGGGGCCATTTGTTCTCGTCGCCGAGAATCTCACGGATGGCCTTACGCGCGGCCTGCTGCATCTCGTAGTGTCGTTCGGCTCGTTCCCGTTTACTCAATCCCTCGATACCGCGCTGCGTTGACAGATCGCCACCACGGTAGGGACGGAGCAATGTGGCCGATGCGAAGATGTCGGCATTGTTGACACCCCAGCCCTTGGCGATTTCGCCCAGAGTCTTGTTGTCAAAGGTCAATAGAGCTTTCCAGAACCGCGCATACTGGTGGCGGAAGCTGGGTTCCATGTGGATGTACAGTCCGTGGTCGATCAGCACCAGCTCTGGTTTACCCGAAGGCTTTCGCCGAATGAAGATATTGCCGGGGTGCGGATCACAGTGAACCCAACCAAACAGAAACATTTGTGCAGAGAACAAGTCGACCATGGTCGTCATCACGTCCTTCAAAGAGACTCCCAGTCCACCCCGCTGGTTAAGTCCCTTCCAGTGCGTACGCTCGGGCTTGAGCTTGGCAGCCTGGCCCTGGCGGACATCTTGCGTGGGAGTCATGCTGCCAGGAGCATCCAGCGGAGTTCCCTGGCAGCCAGGACTTCCCTGTCGCCAGCCACCGCGCCAAGGACGGGTGATGGACTCCTTGTCCCACAGCCGTACACCTTCCACCCACTCGGCTGTCATTACTCGACGAGAGGTGAGGTCGCGATAGACCTTGGGGATGTATACTCGGTCACGGAGGCGAGGCTCTGCCGCAACCAGTCGGGCCATGGTCTCCGAATTGGTAGCCTCGTTTTCAAAGTCTGTCTCGAGGGACAGGCGCTCGCTGATATAAGGGACGAGGCTGTAGAAGGGAATGTCGAACATTTTGCTGTAGATCCATGTCACAGCTCTGGAAAGAAGTGGTACAAATCATCAGTTCTCGGTCCATGCTCATTTCAGAGACTCGCAATTCTTTAGTTTGGAAGCTCGGGAGCGAACTCACTTGAATGCCCACAAGTCCCAGACGAGCTGCTGCTCAATCTCATGCTTCTGAATCTTGATGGCCACTTCCCGGCCATCTTGCAAACGAGCCCAGTGAACCTGCGCGACGCTCGCACTCGCGCGAGCTCGCCTTTCCATCACTCCCTTTCCAGGCTCGCCCGTGAAAGAGACGCCAAAGACTTCCTCGGGAGATTTGCCAAAGTCCTCCCGAATGGTCTTCTCAACCTCCTTCCACTCATTCTGTGGTGCATCATCGAACATGCGGGAGAACATAGCCTGGAACTCGGGCGGTAGGATAGCGGATTGCATCGCGATGGCCTGGCCCATCTTCAGATAGAGACCTCCATTGGCACGCAGCAGATCAGACAATCGCTCTGCATTGCGGGCATGCACGGCTGCGATGGAGCTGGCCAAGGGCGGTTCTGGTCGGAAGTTGACCTTGTAGTCTAACGCAACGAGAAGACCGACCGAGAATGTGCGGGCTGTTCTGGTTAAGGAAGAAGCATAGAACTGGGAATCAATTCCATAGGTGATCCCCGTCACGATAGAGGTGTAGACCAGTCGCCGCAGCCATTTCCGAGTGCGCGTGTAGGTCTTGGCCGCGACGGGTTTTCCCAGGGAACTGGGAGATGGGGGGACGAATGGTTGAAATTCACCCGCATGGACTGTACGACGAGGTGCTGTGCGTGTGAGAATCACTGAATGAGCTGAGGTGGGGAGTCGCCGCATGGAGCGGAGGAGCGTCGCGTGCGCCATCGGTGGACAATGCGACGAGACTATCGCATGATGCAGGCAACAACGCTGAAGTCAAAGAGTACTCTCCGAGTGAGATTGACACTTTAGAGCAGACCAGGACTGATAATCCGGTGTACAGCTCCTCTGAGGAATAGCAAGGAGAAGGGAGAAAGGAGTGAGATAATGGATCAGCTCGGAGGAGGTCGCGGAGATTCAAGGCGATGCGATCGATCGGTGTGTCGTCATCCGCCGACCCGCCTCGGAGTTAAGCATTTGAGAGTTGAAACGCGATGCACACCAACTTGCGAATGAGAGATTACCAAGGGTTCAAAATCATATAGATTTTGAATGCTGAGAGATGACCTTGCTTAATTTATACCCTGCACTTATGTATTTGGGGTTTGCCCTGAAACAACACACGCTGGGCACTTGTCCGATTCTATCACAGATCCTCATGATTCTCAAATTCCACCGACCCCTCCTCTCCTGAAGGCTCTTGTTGACGCTCAACTGACTCCGCCTCCAAGTCATGGCACACGCTCGCATACGCGCGCATATTCTTTGGAATGGTCTCATCCCACAGCTCATTCCCTTGCAGGTACTGGTATTGTTCTTTGCAGGCAGCGTCCGAGGCCATCGGCAGTAGAATCGGGATATACTTGAGCGATGCCTTGAAAAAGTACCGCTTGAAGCAGTTTCCAAAGTCTGCCAGCGTCGCCGGATCTGAGCAGATATGCCGGTCTCCCAGCATTGGTCCGCACTGAACCTTGATGATGGCTGCCACGTCGTCTCCCATTTTGAACAAAGCATTTTCGCTGTGAGGGATGTTCATGCGCGTCATGATGTTGCGCACCGCGGGGACAAAGCTATTGTTGCGAGTCCAGAGATCCCAGTGTGGCACGGTCGGCTCACAGCCGCGCTCGCAGATCTCAGTCTGGAAGAGATTGTATAGATGGGTTGGTCGACCGATGAGGGCGGATGCGACTTTGATGCATGACAGGCCGAGCGCGTTGACGGAGCCGAAGGTCAGCCAGAGGAGGAGGAGAATGCGATCTAGTGAGAGATGCATTTTGGGACGGAGGCAGACAGGGAGGTAAGTCGTTCAAGGAGCTGGTGTGGGCGGAGCAGGTCGAAGAGAGGTCGAGGAGCGAGGAACCGCTCGTACTCGGTTTCTTGGCTGAGACGGAAGAGACACTGCAGCCAGGTAAACACTGAAGATGAATGACTTCCTGAGTGGATGTATTGGATTGTTGTTCATGCACGGTGACGGGCTAATGCGGCAGTAATCGTCCGCGATGATCGTGGTATTTCTGGGCCTGGGTTGCTGGTGTCCACATCGCATGCGAATTGACGGCGCATGGGTAGGATTCGTGCGGGCCTGTTGTATTCACGAAGAAATAAATATGTATCGAACGCTATGTCCTCTCAATCGGCCGATGGCTTTTGCCCTGGGAGCATCGAAGTTGAAATAGCCACAATGGCAGTACGCTGAGATTATCTTGAGGGGAAGCCGACCTCGTAATGCGGGGAAGGACTGAGAGGAGACACCTGATCTCCGCATTATTAGCATTAGCTGGGACGTTGCTGACTCTGATAGCCTCACTCATCATATTTCTAATCTCTGAGAAGCTCCTCTGCAACCTTTCCCTCGCTCACAAACTCACTTAGGAGGGTATTGGCATCCCGGCTCGCTTCCAATCATTATTCTAAAAACCTGTTGAGCCCGATACACATCCGGTTCAATTCTCCGGCTCGACACCATGGACGACACCTATAACATGCTCAACCTCCAAGAGGTGGATTCGCTAGAGGCCATCGTCATCATCGACAACGAACTTGACCCTATGTCTCCGCCTGCGCCCGAGACGGTGGGAGTTTCCGGAAACATGCGCACGATAGGACTGCATTCGAAGCATCCATTGACCGATCGTGGCGGCGCCGATAGCGAAATGAGAATGGAAGACATATGTTGCGCTGCACATGGACTTTCAATCCTGGTAGTAAGTCTCGGAAGGTGACCATGACCACCGACCCCTAGCCTCAGCTTTGCAGTGTTGTAGCTTAGCAATCTTTTTTGTCCCATGACAGACAGCAACGAAAGGCGAGAAAAAGCATGCAATGCTGTTCGATGCCGGACCGGAGGAAGACATCTGGGAGAGAAATGTACGTCGTCTTAAACCAAATCTTGCTTCGGTTGAAGCAATTCAACTATCTCATTGGCATCGAGATCATTCCGGTGAGTGTTCCTCTTCAATCGTGCTATGAGAGAAGGCCAACGTAAGGTTCTCTCGGATGATGTTGCTCTGTTTCTGATGGCCTTTCTGTCGACAGGTGGTCTTGGCCGGGCGATTCGCATGATCAATAGTGAAAAGCAATTGAATGGAAGCTCGGATAAGGTGATCCTGGACCTTCATCCAGATCGACCCTGTTATCGAGGTCTTGGATTCCCCGAACGCATCGTCTCCCTCGAGGCAGACCCGACCTTTGAGGAGCTCGATGCCGCTGGCGCCGCCATTCACAAATCAAAAGAGCCCCATACACTTCTGGATGACATGTTCTTGGTATCTGGCGAGATTCCGCGACTTACATCGTACGAGACTGGGGCCAAGTTTGCAGTCAGGTATCTGCCAGACGAGGACGATTGGGTCTCGGATGAACTTATTACAGACGAGCGCTTCCTTGCTTGCAATCTCAGGGGTATGTGATCAATTCTTACGCCGTATTCTGTACGAATTCATGACATGGCGAGCTGATCCTCGGAATCTCGTGTGCGCAGGGAAAGGACTCGTGGTCTTTACGGGTTGCAGTCACGCGGGCGTTGTCAACGCCGTGACGAACGCATTAAAGTTGACAGGTAACAAGATTCCTGTCCATGCGGTCGTAGGAGGCTTTCACCTTGCAATCAGCGATGAAATGCAGGTGCGCAGCACTGTTGCTGATTTAAAGCGGCTTGATCCTGCCGTGTTGATGCCGGGCCATTGTACCGGATGGCGAGCCAAGTTTGCAATCGAGAAACAGATGCCAGGAAGACTGGTGCCATGTACGGTGGGGAGCACAATTAGATTTTGAACTGGGTGCAGTAAGGTTTAAGTAGAGGCTAGAAGTGTAGAACAGATATGATTCTGAAGAATCTTCGTTTCCATCGATGCCAGGTTTGTGCATTCCAGTAGTCGTGCAATAGATCGAGTGAGCGGATCATGACGCAGGGAAACCTGAAAGACGACTCGTCAGTGCAACCAAGTCGAAGCAGAAGGAGCAGCTGGCTCAGTCCTTGTAATATGGTGGTGTTTTGGTGATCATTGTTGATCTGTGTCATGCCAGGGCGTCTTCGCTTCAGTTCACTCTCTACGAGATGCTCTTCCTTCGTGAGAGGTAGTTCTTTGGCCGTTCATTCGCTTTAATCGACACATAATTTTGACAAATTGTGGGTTGTCCCACGTTTTGCACTTGTTCTTGCTGTTTCTCATTGCGAGAAATGCCGAGATAAGGTGCTCTCCAGAGGTGGTTCATTTCTGGATAAGCTCATATCGTGCACGATCAGTGTCTCCCACAGCAGGCCCCGTGCCACGAGCCATCAAATGAGGCTGAGAACCTGAAAGCCAACTGCTTCATGTCCATGATCACGACCTCATATCCAAGATGCAAAGCACACTTCATTGCAATCCCTTGGAGTACCAGGAGACTTCGTGTCAACACCAAAGCAAGATGAAAAAGATGTCAGATCATTTCAGTCTCAACAGTGGTGAACTTGATGGATACGGTCTAGAGTGTTGACTACTCCCAGGTTAGATCCTCAATGACTGCCACGCAATGACTTGCAACTTTAAGCTGAGGCAGCTGTTCATGACACATATTGACAACGTGTGGTTCAAGCCTGCGGCACTGGACGAGCACAAGTTCTGCCAGACACGTCCTACCTACATGTGTGCTAATCTACCTGACATTTCCGCAGAGTAATATCTTGGGAGGCTGCCTGGTAGATTCCATTCTCGGCAGGTCAGCTGGAGGACTATTGATGTACAACGTTTCGTCGGAGGAGGGAAAAGACGATCCCCACGACGATGTAGGTTAGCAAAGACGTTGACGTAGGGATGACGTGCCGATTCTATCCAGTTATGCACGCATATCAGCCAATCCATGTAGATATATCTAACCTACCGCAGTCGAGGGAGGTGATACCGCAACCTACCTGCATGTACTGTATAGCCCGGCATGCTCTCACCTCTACGCTCCGCTCTGCCACTACATAACCTCACGAGTGGACCATGGGTCTGTAGTAGAGAGACCAACAGCATCTTATTTACTACAACGAGATTTTTTACGTATAGTCAACCATCCCTCGAGAACTGCACTGGCAAAGCCTCGATTCATCGCCGAGACCTGCAGGAGACCCTGCAGAGTAGAACCGAAAGACTGGAAGTTCGTACTGTGAGTATACCAAGACACAAGATAACGATATCGAGTGCTGCTTCAGGTTTTGATGCCGAGACAATAATGCGAGATAGTCAATGCATGATATCGCTACTCGTATCAACAGTCCGATACATCCTATGATCCTACCGGGCAGGTATACGTGCTGGTCTTGGCGAGTTCACAACCCGAGTGGAAGGAGCGCTGAAGCTGGAGGATCTTATCAGGAAGGGGTTGGTTGTGTAGAGAGGTATGGTTGTGGAATCTGCGTTACACAAACAACAACATTCACCCAGTACCAACCGACTCTCATGCGCTTCGGCCTACATCATCATCATCACCATCGGGACATTTTCTTTGTACCATACGCTCAAGCACCCCCTCCCTTGACCGACGAGACAGGCATCGTCTCAGGGGTAGTACAGGAGCATGTGTGTACGTGCGACTCTCTGTGACTCTCACGCCCTTGCTCCAAGTCCAAAGCCAAGAGCTATCGACCGGATATCGGTCGCAAGACCACTGGAGCGGGATGCAGATCATCCAGAACAAGTGCCAATGTGACGGGACCACTTGTTGAAAGTCACCAGACCTGTAGATGCTAGCAAAGTGGTTCTACAAACGGTTCAACACCGCACGGCCAAGAGACCCTATGCATGGTCGATCCTTTCATGGACAAGAAAGCTCCTGGTGCCTCCGCTCTCGCAGTCTCGCGGGATAGGTTCCGTCGACGCCAAGACGCAGGCCGGTTCCATTCTAAGTATTGCTGATCTGCAGATTGGCGCATGCTTGGTTGGGTGTTCTGGTGTTGCACATCTACCTTACAGTAGACACGCCAAGACACAAGTGAGAGGGCCAAGCAAATAGATTGTAGACAGTCAGAGCAATCAAGGGCGTCAGGGCGAGAGTCAGGACCACAGGCTAATAACGATAGGTATTCACATTGGTGCTCTAATACGGCAGTACAGTAGATATCCGAGCCAATGTTTGGACATCGCTGCTTCAAGGGGGAAAGGAAGTGGACATTTGTGTCCTCGTGACGTTGTATCAAGCCAGGATTTGGAGGAAGGGATGGACAATCAGTGAGGAGATAAGAAGATGGGGTGTTTCGAAGACCTGTCGCCCTGAAGTATCCTGAGTTGTCTTGGCGCCGAATGTAGGGATACATTGATCTGGAAGTATACAACATCGACGCAGTATCTGTCCATGAAGATAGCGACTGGTCAAGTCCAGTGCGTGGAAGGATTTATCACTCAGAGGAAATGGGTCCAGTCACTTGTCCGTTCAGTAATCGACTACTCCATATGATACTCATGTCTCAAGTCTATGAAATATGAAGCTCACGACAATCTACTGTAAAGGAAGGTTTTCTGCTGAAGCGACAGATGAAAGTACTGGGGTAATGAGCCAGGCATGTTGAGCTGTAGAACTTCAATCTACGTACAGCAGCCGAAACAGTCCAAACGAATGGTACTTTGCCGGCTATTACAGATGTCCTTGACAAATTGATAGTAATGTCTCGTTCGCCAGTTATGCTTTCCTGCCAAGTCACTAGTAAGCTTTTTTTTGAATTTTGAGTTTCTTGAGTATGTTTTGACAAACCTGTTGAGTAGTACTACACCGGCGTCACGTTCATCATAATAATCAAGTAGACCATTTCAGGGCCAAATGGATGTTCTCCGTGCACCGACCAGCATGGCAGAGGGCAGGGAAAGAATGACGGATGAGGCGAGTGTCAGCCAACTTCCATGTTTACTGACACTACTACTCTCAACTCTGATCCTCTCTCTCTCTCTCTCTCTCTCTCTCTCTCTCTCTCCAGTTCTCCACACCCCACGAATGGAGTGAGTGTCTTCAAACACTGGCCAGGCCCCATGTAGCCCACTCGCGCAAATGTCAATCAAAACATGAGACTCAGGCCGGCCACTTCCGATTCTGCGCAAAGTCTAAAGTTACATGAATCCGCTCGATGAGAATGCTGGCCCGCACCACTGCCCAGTCTTGAAAGTCTGCACCTTGCAAGTAAATCAGAAACTCAAGATACGCTGCTGCCGGTGTTGCCTTTTCTGGCAGTTGACTAGATTGCGTTCACGTTCACAACAATGCTCCAGCTGGCTGGACGTCACCTTGTGCTGCAGTAGCAGACCTCGGGAGCACGACATCGGAACAGCTTCCCTGGTGGGTATGCCGCTAACGAGATCCAGCTCCTCCAGACATGCAGGAGCTTGGGTCTCCTCGCCGAAGCTCGAGGCTAGAAGCGGGTACCTGAGCTACGAGAGCAGGCTAGCAGCTGTGCTATTCCAGACTAGTGGAAACCCAGAACAAACCAGAGAGACCGGCTTGTCCTAATCTGGGAGCATCGGTAATGGTCCGGTCCATCAATGACCTCAAGCTCGCAGGATTTTGTCTCCAAAAGGTTGTTCGAGGCGAGGCAGATGTTTCTCCCCTCTTCCCCGCTCCCCTCAAAAAGTTGGCAAAAGGCAAATATCGCACGGTTTACCAAGAGCTAGAATCCGCTTCTTTGACTCACAGTTCCCCGTCGATGATCGGCTTATGTGTTGATCTGCTTTCTCTTTGGGAAGTGGGAAGGAGGGGGGCGAAGAGAGTTTGCGATGTTTACACTTTCCCGCATTGGTGCTCCTGCCGATCGAAGGTCGGGAAAAGGGGTAATGATGCATGATGCGTCAAGACTAACCGAGTTAGGTCAAACTTGTGGCTGGCTAGGAATGTCGAGGTTGTGCTGTGATTGGGGGTACCTGTCATCTATCCCCAACGTGTCAGGGGTAATTGTCGATGATGGGATCCATTCCCCAGCCGGTCGTACTGGACTCATGCTAGACAGAGACAGGTAGACAATGCAACATACTGAACGACATCATCGCCGCTCCACTTCTTCTTTCTTGATTGATATTGTGTGTGTGTCACTGTGTGGTGTGATTCGATCTGTGTTTTGTTCTTGGCCTTGTTGTGATTTTGCCGTTCTTGGAGAAGTCCTCGCTCTGCACCTGCAAGTCCCGTCCGTTCCACCCCGTGTCCAATGATAATCTAGATCCCGTTTCTCAAGTCGTTGACTCACAGCCTGATATAACTATTGTTAAGTGTTCACTGTACTACTCCCGAGGCAAACACAGTACGATCCAACCCATCAGACAGACAATATGTCGCAATCTGTTCACCGTACGAACGAACACGTAGATTGCTGATCCGTGATTCGATCGCTACAGTGGTATCAACTAGCGATCGAAACTCCGAACACGCATGTCTGCGCGTGATTTGATTTCATCCTTTCTGCCTCGGCCGGGTGAACCTGACGATCCATGCTAACAGCCGGAGCACATCTCACTGATCTCAGATCTAAAATTACAGTACACACATGCGTATCGCGTACAAACCAGGGCATCGGCAGCGTTGTGCTCGTTGATTGGACTCAGGCTGAAGCGGCCGAGGCGGGACGCGAGCCCATTTTGACTTTCTTTGCTGCAGTTATCTTGTCTGTTTCTGATGATGAGACGCGAATAGCAGGCGATCATCATAGATAGTGGGGTACTCACTACTCAGTAGTCTGTACTCTGTACTCTGTACTCTGTACGTTGGTATTGATCATAAATAAATGATGTTCTTCGAGGGCGTCGCCACCATGTAGTATGTACAGTCTGATATAC